ACCATCTGGAAAGTTGGATGGCAAATGCAGGGCTCGTTTTGGTAGGTTGGTTAGGTTGGGTCAGTAAGGCACAGGGCGTGGGCGTGGCGTAAACTTATCCGTCGGGATTTTTTTTTTTTTTTTTTCACTCTTTCTTGGGGTTTGATTTTCCGGTTCTCCTTTCCTTGTAAAGTATGTCTACACTGTAAATACTGAACATTATTTTGGATAGAGGGTTCTTTCTGAAAACATTGGACTCTACTTCTTTTTTTCCCTTTTGATTTTATTAACGTACCAATTCATTTACTTGCCAACAAAGAATGACGAGTCCTACCTACTAACTCCAAAACCATTGAACCAACAAAATACAAACCGGATAGATCCTAGTCAGTTGCGAACCGCTAACTAACCGCCTTGGCACAAAAAGGACCCTGTGCTAGTTCGTTCATGCCCACGCCACGCCCATGTCTTCCTCCCTGTAGACGCTGTCGTTCGCCAGCACGGGTGACTACCGCTGCAGTTTCGGATACAGGCACGTACACTTTGAGATTATACTTCAATAGTGGGAATTAGCAATTGGAAATTTAGGTTTCTGATTCGTAGATTCGTAAGTCAATCCCATGATATTTATCTACGGTGTTCATGTTGTGTAGTACATGCATGCTATTACTGTGTACGGAGTAGGACAATCGCTGAATTTACTCGGGCTGGTTCACAGAAGTCCAACGGTCCACTCCACTAGGTGTTGATTTTTGTTTCGGTTTTCCATCCCGCCGCTGATTCTTCTGATCGGCACGTTTAGGTCTGGTAGCTGCCCTGGTTGATGTTTGAGGCTGGGTTGGGGGTGATAGGATCGGGCAAGGTAGGACTAGGAACTTAGTGTTAGTCTTACAGATTTACAGTTTACACACACATACTCCGGGAAAGAAGCAGAAAAAGACGTAAGAATTGTCGATCGAATTACTATTATAGAACAAACATAAACATAGGGTTAGAGACTTGAGGCTTAGAGGCGTTGTACCGTGGTTCAGAATTCAATGGGGTTGGGTTTCGGAGCCGGTTTGCGATTACCCTAGGATGAGGATGGATTGGGTAAAGATGTTCATTTACTTACTTGGTGAGGACGGAGTACGGAGTGACTATTGAGTACTCTGTAGAAGAGGGTCTTTCCATTTCCTGTTAGTAGGACTACGTCTACTCTGCGGAGTAGCATCGAGAAATATTTTAGAAGATCAGCATCAACGAATGGAGCAGAAACCTTGGAAAGAGACATGATGTTTCCTGGTATTGCTGGCTATGAAGCCTCAACCATACATCTATATATTACATAATACCGTAGATAGTCAACTATTCTATTCCCAGGACTGTAAACGTCCTAACCACTCCCAGACCAAGAACAGGCAACTCACACGCCAATCAGATCATCGCCAACCCTAATCGCAAACAACAAATGTCTCACCAGAGTTTCCGTGCAGACTTGAATCAGCTTGACTAGCTCACTCTCTTCACCCTCACAAAGGAACAAAGCCTAAGGTCAAGGGTCAGCAAGCCACGCAGACAAGAAGGCCACGAGGGTAAGGCACGGGATTACGGACTCTACGGAGTTCCCTTTACCCTGAAACCCCGAGTCCGGTTCCATGAAACATGAACAATGCGCAGCGTAACGCGGCACGGCATCTCAGCAAGCAAGCAAGTCAGAAGCAAAATACGGAGACAAGTTTCTAACGCATTTCGAACGGACCATGACGATCCCCAACAAGCACCGTCGCCGTCAGTCAGGGATCGTCCGCGGCTACGGAAGCTGGAAGTTAGGTAGCATACTCCGTAGAGAACAGGCACCCGAGTTTGACTTTGGCTTTGGCAGCAACAGTTAGTTAGTTAGTTAGCCAGCCAGCCAAGCACTAAGCAAGCGGCAGCACGGGACAACCAGGGCAATTTTCGGAGAATAATGCGGGATGAAACGACGAGCTGCTTTTTTTCTTGGTCAGATTTTTTTTGTCACAGTTCCGGTGGGATGAGCCACGAGGGATCATCGTGCCATCGTCATCGTCATTGTCAATCTACAGTAAAAATAATTGCTCTAATAATTGCTTCTTTCAGCATCTTTTAAGGTTTATCCTTGGAGAAATTCCTGAATCCTACGGTGGGATACTAACTATTATCTTCCAGAATGGCAAACAACCCAATTAAAAAAATAAACCATGATAAATGAAAACCTCCACAGAAGAACGGCAGAACGAGTATTAGCCAGGGCACTATAGCGATGTAATATTAAAGACCAATTAAAATAGATTAAGTAGAATATAACCTAATCGTCGCTGATTGGTTTACATGGCAGCATTATCAAATCGTACGGAGTGATGTATATTTTGCTCTCCGGACAGTGCACAGGTACATACTTTAGGGAGCCTAGACTACCAGTTAGGTCTCAACATCGACCAAAAATGAATATTCAACGTCTAACAAATCTAGCAATCTTGACGATTTACAAGACATGCGCTGAAGAAGCACGGAACTCGGAATCTACACTGCTTCTTTCTTCCGTATCCCCCTTTTTCTTCCCCGAAATCCATCACTAATGGGTAATGACTGTGGAGGAGGATTGATTGCGTGGACCCTGGAACAAGGAGAAAGTATAATTCTAACAGCTACACCTTGGGCGGCTAAAGCCTTACTCCGTACTCTAAGGACAAGGGCAAGAAACCTATGATCTCTGGGGAGCGGCACGGTGTATATCCGGAGTTGGGGCGTAGGTCCAGCCCAACGAGGAGGAAGAGGGGAATCAAGCCATGATGACGAGGACATTGCCATGGGTCCTGGGACTATTGGGTGACTAGTTTCTCAGCGACCAGGACTTTGCTGGAGGTAGACTTTTCCTGTCTTCCGGAGTACGGATACTTTTCACTGGATTAGTTCAGCGTCTGGACATGGTTAAGCAAGCACCTTCTTCGTAGAGTAAGGCAGTTGGTTATCAGAATGGGGCAGGCTATCCGGTGGTTTGGATAGACCGAAGACTATCACTCGATAACTACTGGAGACGCTACATAGTCGTCAGGTAGTGGGTGATTGATTGATGTACTCCGTACAGGGCACATCAGACCCGGACCCAGTCAAACCACCTACTCATCCATCCATCCCACTTGTAGATCCAGAGCATCAACGGTCGAACGACCTGAATGTAGAAGTTTCTCTTGTAGATGAAGTTTATCTAGTCGATTGATGGACAGACTCTCCCTCAATAGTTCGTGATAGCTGGTAATACCCAGTGGTCTCACAAACATGACGATTCCGGCCCACGACCGAGCAGCTGGAAGAGGACCAGGACCACCATGTCGATACACAGTCTGCCAGCGCCCATCCCATCTCGTCCCCTCCACTCTCCCATTCTTCCCTCCTATCCCCCTATTCATCGGACCCAGCTTCAGCTCGCCCAGTTCTGCTTCCAACCCAACTCTGGTCTCTCCACCTCCATCTGAACCACAACCACCGGATATTCTCCGATCCTCAATTATCCAGGGTACCTTCCAAGGTGGTAATCTCCCCGACGTCCTGAATGGCTGATATATTTAGTAAGGTTACATTGGGGAGGAGCTCTGCTCAGCGCCTTTCCTCATCCATCAATCTAGCTCGTTAGGGAGATTACGGTGTACACTGTACAGAGGTAGGAGGTCTGTTAATTAACCTATTGTCTATCTAGCTATCTATGGATATCTAGGGTGTACCAATGCAGCACACAGGGAGAATGAGACGGAAAAGAAGAGACACGGGATGACCGTTCATCCATCCAATCTCCGGTCAGTCAGAACCCAGTCCTCAGTCACCTTGAGCTAACCAGCTAGTCCCTCATCACCATTACTACGGAGTATTGCCATCACCATCATGAGACACCATCATCCAAGACATTACCCGGTAGAGAAAAAAGAGAGGAGCGGGAAACCCAGTCCCAAACCCAAAGCACCTAACTCTAACCCAGCAAGTCCGTTGGACCTAGACGAAAATAACCCTCAATATGGAGACAGAGAGACAGGAATGGGGTGTGTGGATGATGGATCGTATTGTTCACCGGGTCAGAATCCAGCTACTGGTCAGATAGGCCGGTCGTCCATTCATTCATCGTCCGTCGTCTATTCACTCGCTCACTAGGTCAATCGATTGATCCGGCTATTGTTGATGGGGTCGGTCATTCATGATTGGAGTCCGACCACTCATGAGTATATGGATGTAGACACCAGGTACAGATACCATAGAGACGGAGTACTGGGTGTCACATCGTGCGATGAAATAGGATTGGATCATAGGACAGGGGAGCAGAACCATCCAACCACTAACCAAAGCAAGCGAACAAAAGACAAAATGTACCGTGCCACTCGGAGCAGAAGCTAGAAGCCAGAGAGGAAGAAACCTGGCAGGCAGTCCCCAGTCCCAGTCCCCAGTCAGTCCCCAAAATGCAGCGAGCAGAACGCAGCACAATCAGACCGAACGAATTAACAGACACCAAAAGAAGAAAAAAAACCCACCCCCCCAAAAAGAAACCAGACGAGAAAAATAGACGAAAATTAAAAACAAAACCCTCAGCGTGCAGAGTGCAGAATGCAGAATGGGGAAACGAGCCGGGCTGGTGTTCGCCAAAAATATCCAAAACACAACCAGTCAGATGGCCGTTCGTGTCGGGAAGTCGTGGGATCAGCCTGCCAGTCCCTGGACCTTTGCGAGGGCTGTGTTCGCCGGGCTGAGCTGAGTTATGGGTCTGCACTCTGCAGTCAAGGGCGTTTCCAGCGACTGCAATGGTGGGAATTTCCCTGCTTGCAGAATTCCTGATGTTGTTGTCGTTATTTGGGTCGAGTTAACCGGTTCAACGGTTAACGCTTGGGGGGTCCTCCCTGAGGGTAACGCCGACCGCTGCTTCAGGGGTCATTCTACCGGGGTAAGTAGGTCTTTTCCCTGACGGTGTACAAGGTTGAACAAGTCAATTTGAAGACAAGCATTTGCTAATTCGCTAAAGTCGACTGCAGGTAATAGAATCAGAATCTCTCAGCAGTCTCCTCCACCGTCCGACCATAGCACAATGGAAACAACTTCCCCCAGAATTGATAGAGCCCCGGACGTCTCTCCTTCTCCGTCACAAGCCACTTTGCAAACGAACATTCCGACTCGTAGGGATCGATGCTGCGGAAAGGGACAATCTACATTGGTCAATAGGGAAGCGAACCTCGCCGGCGTAGGTCGTCTCACCTCGTCGTACTTCTGTAGTGCATCATAGTATTGAATCGACAGCCCGAATCGCCTCTTCAGCGTGTCCTTCTTAATCTTCCGCGCAGCAACTGCATAGAGCGTGGATAGAGTGTCCCAATGAACGCCCTGATGATCGCCGATGACAATTCCCCCGGGCATTTTCCATCCATGTCGCTCGTAGATCACCTCGATCAGCCGAGTGAGGGTGTCTGCCTGCCAGGTCATCAGGAGCTCCTTGTCGAAAGATCGGATATGACGCTGGAGCTTCATCAAGTCGAGCTCCAGCCGTAGCGTGCTGGACCGCAGCATGGTCATCTTTTGCTGCAGCTTGTCATTGCTGGCCTGCAGTGCCTTCAGGGTTGTGGAGTATGTCTGGGAAACAACAGGTAAGCATGATATGAACAAACCCATCGCGACCTTTGCGGACAACGATTGACATGAGGGTCTACAATTGCAGATTGACCTACCCTGAGTGCAGTGTCCGACGACGGCGCTGAAGGATACTTGGACGAGGGCTCCATTTGAGCAAGATAGAAGGACATCCCCGGTCCGTATCTCTGAACGATGTCGGCAGTCATGATGGTGGGTGCGTTACACGCTGGGTAAGAACTATCAAAGGATGGATCAACGATCTTGGAAATAGATGGATAACCATGCAACAAGGTAAATGCCAATGATGGCTTTGTTCTGACATTGCAGAGTCGCCGCAGGGCGCACCGATATTGACATGGACATCCGGGTTTGCTGGAATGGGAAGGTGCCATCCAGACTCATGGATGAGGCAACAGCAGGTAAGCCTGATGGATTCCACTCCCTTCTCTGGTTGATTCATTCATGAAAACCGTCTTGTGTATCTCTTTCATTTTTACCTCCGAGAAATCTTGCAGTACCGTACAGAGGCTAACATTCCAAAAGACCATCCTACAGTTTACTCTCCGAAGACTTGCCGAACTCAACGACCAATTTACCAAACTGCTTGCCCTCCTTCAACTCCTGGAACAACGCGTCGAGCCCTGCGATATCACCCAGGTCGGTCTGCAGCACGCGCGAGACCACCGGTCGGATCTTGTTGGTCTTTACAAACTCCACCATCTCCTTGAATTCCTTTCGAGAACCCATCGTCGAACCGCGGACCTCGATGTTTCTCATCACGGCTTGCATCAGGAAAGGCATCTTGGGCGACACGGTCATTCCATAGACAGAGAGGATCCCACCGAGCTATAGCAGTCAGTAAAAACAACCCGATAAATATAAATCTTGCAAAGAAACGCACCTTGAGCAACCTGACTGCCTTTTCGATAGCATCGCCACCAGCACCGTCGATGACGGCGTCGAAAGATCTCTTCCCTTCAGGCAGCATGCCCAGCAGCTTCTTCTCCCAGGCCTCCTCCTTGTAATTCACACCACCCTTCGCACCCAGCTCAATCGCCCTCTGGATCTTCGCTTCACTCGAGCTCGTCACATAGACATCTGCCCCTCTGGCGATCGCAAATTGCAGCACCATCAGCGCGACTCCTCCCCCGATGCCCGTCAATAGTACCGCCGCGCCTTTGCCCGAGTTCCTCTCCCCTGCCTTAACCACCAGGGCCCTCCACCCCGTCAAACCGGTCAACGGCAATGCCGCAGCCTCCGCATCAGAAAGGTGCTCGGGCGCCTCCTCGACCTCCCCTTCGTCAATGACAAGAAACTCCTGCATCGTACCCGTCGTATAGTGCTTCGTCCCGCCGAGAATGCGATACCCCTTGGGATCTTCCGGTCCGTCGGGGGAATCCTTCCAGCCCAGCCCGGGGTTCAAGATAACTCGCTTCCCCTGCCATCGCTCTGGGCTCGTCACGTCTGGCCCGGCGGACACGACCACCCCGACGCCGTCGGCGCCCATTGGCACGTCGAACGTGATGCCCGGGTAGAGATGCTGGCGCAGGAAGACGTCGCGGTGGTTCAGCGATGCCGCGGTCATCTTGACCAGCAGCTCGCGGCCCTGCGGAGTTGGCTGGAGCTGGGTCTGCACGTTGAGCGGATAGTAGACTTGGCCGGGTTTGCCATCGACTTTGGTGAGGAAGACTGCTTTGGACATGGTGGGTTTGGATTCACTGTAAATTCTGGTAGATCTGAAAATTAGAAGATGCGGAGAAGGGGTTAAAGAGTATAGTTAATGGAATTTTCAAAGGGAGACGTCTCCAATTTACGTTCAGGGGAATTAATCAGAAGATGCGGGGATGTTGGGCCCGTTATCGATAACCGAGGATGCGCCGTTATATATTATCATCAACCGTAGGCAGACAGTAAAACAGGAACATGAGATTTTACTACTCAGTAATGAGACATTTTGTTAATAACTGATTGTTTGTATAATAATTCGAAGAATTGTAGAAACTGCTAGATTATTAGAACAGTCTATACCGTATATACCCCGGTTCCGCTACTCCGTACAGGCAGTCCTAGAGATGAAGTCATGACTATCTATGCAATCGATCGTTACCTAGACATGTGCGCGAAGGCAATTCACCACAAAAATTGAATACAATGTAGTCTATTAACACTGCCCTAACCATTTCCGATCGTAACATACATTCATCACTCATGAATCCGTGACCAGCAATCAACCCCCCAGAGATCTCCCACATACCAAGACAAACTCAGCACAGCACACTAGGAATAAGCATCCGACTGACAGATATCACACTCGCACATCCTAACAACAGAGACCCGATCCCAAGGCATTTGATGACGACTGTCCCGACGGGTAGAATCGTCCTGCTGGCGATTATCGACGAGACAAGGACGAGGACGAGGTCGTGACAAGAGTCTTGCACGCGGAGATCTGGATGCCGATCGCTCAAACTGCACCCGCTGAGTGCGTGCAGGTCGCGCGTTGCCGTCTGCGTGCTCTGGATCGTACAGTCCTCGCTGTGGAGTCCGAGTGTTTTCTTGACGAGGGGGTCGTGAATCACCTCGTTCTCGTCCACGTCCATGTCTACGTTCACGTTCACGCCCACGTTCAGATCCAGACCCAGATTCAGATCCAGTCGGGTACCGAACCCGTTGAGAACGAATCGGTAGGGAGAAATACTCTGCACGACGCTCTGGACGAGGAGTTTCCACTGACGACTGCGAGGACCGGACAGAGTAATGCACCTGGCTAGGGCGGTTCGTCGACGGACGGTATCCAGCAGACGGGCGGCGTGCTTCGTCATGGTCGTCCTCGCCACGATATCCTGTTGGAAGGTGTTCAAGTCGTGAATGCTCGCGTCGACTTACAAAGACATCCTCCTGCGAACTACCAGACGATGACACAAGTATCTCATCGTTAAAATTGGGACTGGCGCGACGGCTCAGCGAGCCAGTTTCCGCACAGGAAGAGTAGATGTTCGATCGCTGGTACTGGATATGATACGTGCTGTCTCGGACAGGCGAGTCTGAACCTGACCCTGAACCCGAGCCCGAGCTCGAACCCGACCGGGCAGCCCGCGAGACGTGAGGCTGCTCGGTAGCATGATCACGGCGCCGGTGATCAGGACGTGGTACGTTCGAAGCCCCAGGGGTAGGAGGGCCTACGACGGGACATACAGCGCGGAGGTGACCGTCGTGTTTCTGGGCCTTGCGCAGCGGTTGAGCTTGGTAGTACCAGACGTATGGGAACTCGTCCTTGTCGGGTTTTGTGCCCCAGCAGAAGAACATGGTGGAGGTTGATGGATATGATGTGATGTGATGGAGATGCGGGTATGATGTCACTGATTCGACTCACGGATTAGGGGGTAGTAGGGACTCAGTAAGGAGGGTGGGGAGGATAGAGTCAAGTAAAAGAGAAAGATGAAGATAGGAAGGAGAAGAGAGGGAAAGGAGCCATGACTACAGTTGATATAGAAGGGATTCATCTTGTCTGTCATTATGAGTAGTAGCTAGGAAGTATTGGATGGGAGAGCAAACATGTCTCTATACGGGGGAATGGATATCTTTATCTTTCTGGGGTTTGTGGAGGATAAGCGGGCTTCCATGTTGAAGATGAATTGCCAGTGACAAACAGGGTGAATCGTGAAGAATCTCACTCTGATTGCATCGTGCACAGCAGCACAGCAGCACAGAAAAGAAAACAAGAGATGCAAATGAAGCAAACCCGCCCGTTTGCGGCCCGTCACCTGGCCGTGGCTGCAGGGAGATTCCGTCCGGGGGAGTTGTGACCACGCACTCGTTCCTGTCAGTGCGAACACTGGAACCTAGGGTCCTTTTGGAGGAATAAAATGAACAGGAGGAATTTTCTCCAGTGAGAGTAAGAGTGTTTGCTGTTGCCCTGTCTCCTTTTCTGCCAGTCACAAATAGTTGACAACACTAATGCCTGTCAGTTCTCTCTATCAAAAACCTCCTAAAAATCTGTGGGTTTGTGGGTTTTCCGGTGGCTGGCCAACGCAAGCGGCCAATGGAGGCCCACCCGGGGGATGAAGGATAATGCCACGCACGGGCGTGTCGTTTGCCTTGGGTTCTTCAATTTTCGCCGGGAGGAAAAGAATCTCTCGATCTTCTGATCTGGACTTGGATCGTCTAGCGTTTGCCTCGAACTTGACCTCTGCCCAGAGACTTCAATCTCGTTCACTCTCCCGAGCTGGTACGTTGTCCCCTGTCCCTGTCCCTGTCCCCTTCCCCTTCCCCTTGCTCTTCAAGAACTCCCTCTGCTCTCGCTCTTGCGGCTTGCATCGACCTGCTTTGACGTGGCTTTCCACTGATTCGGTTCTCTCCCTCCTAGCTCTTTCATCACCACTCTCGTCCAAACCTTTCTCGCAACTCTACTTCCCACCTTCCCCCCCTTCTCCACCACGGTTCAAGGGAAAATCGAAAAACCCATCTTGTAACGAGCTCGCCTCAATATCATTCTTTTTACTTCGCTGAATCGGATCTCTCTCCCTCAGCCAGCGATCGAACTTCCCATAATGCCTACGCCACTCCCTTCTAGTTTTGCTTCCGCCGCTGCTGGCAACGCCCACGACTCTTCTCGAAGAGGTGATGGAACTGCCGGTGGAGAATGGTATGCCTTCTCTCGTCCCAAAGAATTGCAGTGATTTGATTGAATCGTGCCCTCCGTTCTGTATTTGCCGTCGCGAGTTTTCACTCGTTTTTTCTTGCCTTCTTGCGTCTTCGTGTTGTTTCCTACCAGCAAAAAGTCTCTAACCACGCGCCTTCTCGTCGTTATTCTAGGTCTCGATCTCGTATGAACGGAGCCACACAGACTTTCCGCCGTCCTTCAGTTGCCATCAATCCTTCTCATAGCCGAGATACCAGCCAACCCGCATCTGCTACAACCCCCACCGCCGGCGCCTACTCTCAACAGATGCCGTCGAATTACCCATCCAGCGCACTCCGCAATGGGGCGGGCAGTGACACTCGTTACTCCAAAGAGCAGCTTCTAAACCTGTACAAAGCTCAGCGGGAATCGGGGGCTTTGAATAAGAATGTTGCAGATCACTTCGCCGCCGATTGGAATCCCCGTGCCGACACCTCTCCCGTCAACGGCGCTTGGGGAAGGAGGGAGGATTCGAAGGATAATCCCTCCGGACCTGAGGTCTGTTGGGATCACGGCGGACAGATGGAGCCGTTAGGATTGGTGGATATGACCGATGACGAGAAAGAGGTTGGTTTTTTTCCCTCCCCCTTGTTTGGTGCCTCCTCCCCTGCTTCACTAGTGTCCCTTTCTATTTTTTCTCTTTCTTTTCTATCTTGTGTTGGTTCTCGGTGGCTTGACCCCAGCCCATGCTACTTTCGAAACTATACAAGAAGAGCTGTTGCTGAATGGCGTAGTTGTTTACTCTCTCGGTCAACTCCCCGCTCAAGCCGCCTCCCACGAACGCTTCCAAAGAAAACGTCGCTACCGGGACAGGAGGACGCAAATCGTCGATTTCCTATACGCAGGGCCACATGAACAACTACAACACCGCATCCCCTAGCTCTGCTCGCCCCGGACCCAGGCGTCGAGAGACGGGCGATTCCACCGGGAATCCGATGTCTCCCACCGCCAGCGGAACTCGCTTCTTCCGTGACGAACCGAACACGGCCACCCCGCCTCCGTCGCTGTTACGTCGCAAGACCGATTTCCGCGACAACTCGTCCACTTCTCGCTGGGAGGAGAAGGAGAAGGAGTCCGCCAACCGCGAAGGAGGCTCGGAAGTCGCTTCTCCGTTCGGCTCTCTGAAGCGGAGCTCGACAAACCCTCTGAATGTGGCACCTGGCGGAGGAAACTCGCCGTGGGGGCCGTCGGCTTCTCACAGCGCGAGCTTCTCGCCGATGGGGGCTTTTGGCGCGTTCTCCCTCGGGACAAACACCGCTCAGACGCCCACTGCGGAAAAGAAAGCCGGATTTGGCAGTCTGCGCGGCGAGAGTCGCCTGAAGGGCTTGTTCTCCAAGGATAGCACGGAGGATATGTCGGCTTCGATCAAGGAGAAGACATCTCTCAGCAGCCTGGAACGTCTGGCGGAGGGCGAGGGCGACAAGCGCTCGCAGTCGCCCTGGGGGGAGACGGTCAAGACGCGCGCCGGCCGGAGTGAGACGAACCCCTTCTCCGAAGAGATGCGCAGTGGAAGTGCGGCTCTCGGTGGCTCTCAGGATGTCAGCATGCCGTCTCAGGCTGCTCCCGACCAGCTGGGCTTCTCGGCCTTTGGAATGACCTCCAGCATCCCCGGCTTTCGGGAGCTGATGCAGAGCCACGAAAATTCTCGCAACCCCACGCCCAGCCTCCTTCAGGGTCACGAACCGACGAGCCCGACCAACACCAACCCCTACCAGAGTCCCCACGGCGAGAGAGGTGGCGGCGTCGGCGTCGGTGCTGATGTGGATGATGTGGAAACCGACGGCTCTGACATCCAGAACACCCACCACCCCGGACTCACCGGCCTGCGTGACCCGGCCAGCGCGTTTGGCTCGATTCGACGCGTTGGATCGGGCATGGACCTGCCCTCGATTGATCGCAGCCAAACCTCCAGCGCCGCAGGAAACCGCAGCTTCTCCGGCCTGGGAGGACTTGGCGGCTTGTCTTCTCTCGGCGGTGCCGGTGGCTGGCCTACCTCCGGTGCCGTTGGTACTCCGACCCGGGAGCGATCTGCCTTTGCCGGCGGATTTGGTGATCCCATCTTCGGGTCCATGGCGGATCTGCAGTCCCCGAGCCTGTCCACTCTAGGCGGTAGCGGGCTTTTCAGCCCTCACCCGGGCGGTATCAGCGGCACGGGCAGCCTTGGCCGCTCCAGCAAGCTTGGATCTCTCTTCCCAGCTGCCATGCAGGAGCAGATGCAAGCTGACCATCCTGCGAGACCCGATCTCGGCAGCCTGGAGGAGAGCATGCGCCAAGCCGACGCTCAGCAAGCCGACAAGCCCGGGCAAGTAAACGCGCCTGCCACTACGTCCACTTCGCAAACCCCGGTCTCTGCCGTGGGCTCGATCCCGCCCTCGATGACCGCTGACGGGGCTCCGCCGAGTCAGACCCCTGGACCGCCCGGCGGCGGCCTCGGGGTTCCTCCCGCTCAGCAGCGGACTATGGTCATGCCCGACCGCATGCGCTGGATCTACCGCGACCCGCAGGGCAACATTCAGGGTCCCTGGACCGGTCTCGAGATGCATGACTGGTTCAAGGCCGGCTTCTTCAGCCCTGACTTGCAGATCAAGAAACTCGAGGACCCTGAGTTCGAGCCTTTGGCGCAGCTGGTGCGACGCATCGGCAACTCTCGCGAGCCTTTCTTGGTGCCTCAGATCGGCATTCCTCACGGACCGGAACCCAACCCTACCGGCACTTGGACCACGAACAACGCCGGCACCGCGCAGCCTCCGTTCCCCGGCAGCTTCCCTAGCTTTGGCACCACCTTGACTGCTGAGCAGCAGAATGCTCTGGAGCGCCGGAAGCAGGAGGAGCAGTACCTGATGGCCAGACAGAAGGAACACCTCGCCCAGCAGCAGGCTCTGATGAAGCAGATGCAGTTCCAGGGCGTGCCTCATGGAATCCATCCCCATCAGCTCCAGCATCACTCGAGCGCCCATAGTTTGCACAGCCAGCCCAGCTTTGGAAGCATCGCCTCTCCCGTCGGCTTCCAGCCGTCACCTATCCAGGGCCCCATGCAGCAGCAACAACAGCAACAGCAGCAGCAACCCCCCGTTGGCGGGTTTTTCGATGCTGCCGCTCCGCTCCGCTCGGGTGGTCTGCCCAACGTCGGCCCTCAGATGCTCGGAACCGACCTGGGCAGCAGCCAAGATCAGCTCCCTGCTCTGCTTGACCGGTTGAATGTGAACCGTAACGACCCTTTCGCTTTTGGCAGCCCCGCTTCGTTGACCGCGCGCCAACCCGATAGTCTGTTTCACTCCCAGCAGGTTGCTTCCATGCTCCAGGACCGAGCTCGACTGCAGCAGGAACAAGACCAGTTCGACAGCACCCAAGGCGACAGCCTGTTCGACCAGCAAGCCCGTGAAGACCGACTGCGTCAGTTTCAGGCGTTGAGAGGTCAGGAAGGTGAATTGGGTCTCCCCACTCACCCCGCCATGGACTCTCTGGAAGATGAGGGCGAGACTTTGACCTCGCAGGAGCTTGCCGCTGGCGTGGCCGCCCTCGAAGCTAGTCAGGAGGGCACCGAACCCGTCCTCACTCTGTCCCAGCAGGTGCAGAAGGCGGCGTCGGCCCAGAGAGAACAACAGGAGCAAGAACAGCAGCAGCAAGAACAACAACAGCAACAGCTCCAGCAAGAGGAACAGGCTCAGATGGAGGCTGCATGGGGTGGTGCTGGTCTTGTCAAGGCCGACTCCGCCATGCCTCAGCCCTTCCCTCCCCCTCCTTCGGCCTCGCCGCTGCCCGCTCCCGCTGCGCAGCGCAACCGCCAGAATGTTGCCGAGTCCCTGGCCGCCAACTCTCGATCCCAGACTCAGACTCCCGTGGAGGCACCTACCACCTCGATCGCGCCGTGGGCCAAGGAGGCCAACGAGCTGCCCAAGGGACCTTCGCTGAAGGAGATCCAGGAGGCGGAGGCTCGCAACGCCGCGCAGAAGGAGGAACTGGCCGCTGCCGCTCGTAGGGCGCAGATGCTGGCCGAGCAGGAGCGACTCAGCCAGGCCCAGACGCAGGCCGCGCCGGGACTGCCTTCCACCGCCAACTGGGCTAGTGCCGGATCCCCCGCCACTCCTTCGTCTGCCGGGTCCGTGTGGAACAACAAGGGCCAGACCCCGTCCAGCGGTACCGCCAAGAAGACTCTAGCGCAGATTCAAAAGGAAGAGGAGGCCCGGAAGCAGCGTATGGCCGCTGCCGCCGCCGCCGCCCAGACTGCCGCGGCCATGACTGCCAGCGTTGCCCCCCCGACTACCAGCCCCCCCGCACCTTCCTCCACTGGCAAGCGTTATGCGGATCTGGCCAGCAAGGCCCCTGCCGCCGTTCCCTCGCCCGTCTCGGCGGCTGCCACGACTGCTGGTGTTGGTGGCAGCGCGTGGACCACGGTTGGCGCGGGAGGTAAAGCCAAGGCTCCTCCCGCCGCTCCGTCCGGCCCGCGGTCAACCAGCGGACCGGCTCCTCTGCCGGCGTCGCCCGCTCGCCCCAAGCCCGCGACGGTGATTAGCGCTCCCCGGACCGTCACCGTCGGCAGTACGCCCCCGGCCAACCCTAACCGCGCCGTGGAGGAGTTCACCAAGTGGGCCAAGCTGACCTTGGGCAAGGGGCTCAACAGCAGCATCAATGGTAAGTTTTATTATTCTCTGTGCTCAAAGAAACGTTCAAGCTAACAACAACTAGTCGATGACTTCGTTCAGCAACTGCTGCTCCTGCCGGCCGATTCCGAAATCATCTCCGACTCGGTGTATGCCAACTCGCAGACGCTGGATGGACGACGCTTCGCGGAGGACTTCATCCGACGCCGCAAGATGGCGGACAAGGGCATTGTGGACCCGGCGGTGGCCAGCGCATTGGCGGAACAGAGCACCGGAGGCTGGAGCGAAGTGGCCAAGAAGGGATCGTCGTCGTCGAACGTGCAGCGCGAGGAGGACAACAGCAGCGCGGCGTTCAAGGTGGTTGCGCCCCGGAAGAAGGGCAAGCGGTAAATGTGATATTGGACGTGGACATTATTGGACGTGAATATGATGAATGGATGGAATGTTGGGGGGTATTTTGGAGATAAGCAAATGGGTTGTAGATTTGCGGAATGATATTGAATCGTGAATCATATCAAGATGAGTCGTATAATTATGTTGAGTCATACTGCCTGCGGGGTTGACTATCTATCTACCACATCTTCTCTCTTCATCCTCCTTCATTCTCTTCTTTCTTCTCCATCTTGCTTTCCTCGCAATCCACAATTGATTTACTACATCAACATGTCCTCCCTTATCCCCTTTGGCGATCCCATGAAATCGCAATTCCTCATTGATACATCCTTCCGCAACCTCAACCACGGTATATCCCTCCCCATATGCCCCCGCAATCCACCCTCAGACCAACCAACTAACACATCCCCAGGATCCTACGGCACCTACCCGATCCCCATCCAAACCACCCAACGCGCATTCCAATCCGCCGTCGAATCGCGCCCAGACCTCTTCCTCCGCCGCACGCACTCCACCCACCTGGACGCCGCGCGATCCGCAATCGCAGATCTCCTCAACGCCAGTGTCTCCGAATGCGTCTTCGTCAAGAACGCCACCACCGGCGTAAACACCGTCCTCACGAACCTCGATTTCCAACCCACCGAAGTGCTCGTCTACTTCGATACGGTCTACGGGGGTGTCGAGCGGGGTCTGCAACATCTCTCTGAGACGCGGGGTCTACGCACCCAAAAGGTAGAATATACGTTTCCGATCGATGGCGAGGGCATCGTGGATCGGTTCAGGGAGGTCGTGGAGGGTGCCAGACGGGAGGGTAAGACGGTGAAGGTGGCGTTGTTTGATACTATCGTGAGTATGCCGGGGTTTCGGTTCCCGTTTGAGCGCCTGGTCGAGGTTTGTAGGGAGATGGGGGTTTTGAGTCTGTTGGATGCGGCGCATGCGGTGGGCCAGGTGGAGTTGGATTTGGGGAAGTTGAGGCCGGACTTTTTGACGAGTAATTGTCATAAGTATGAAACCCCTTTCCTTTGTTAGCTGCTTTTTGTTTGACTATCTGGCCCTATCCTACATTGCCTCCTCACCTTGGTCTCTTGCACCACCTGGTGTTCAATGTTGGAGATGGAATGAGCCCAACTGAGTACATGTATACTAAACCATGTCTATAGATGGCTCTACACCCCCCGCAGCTGTGCCGTCCTCTACGTCCCCTTCCGAAACCAACACCTCATCCGCACGACGCTCCCTCCTTCATGGGGCTTCATCCCACGACCAGACCCCTCCACCAGTAACCCCTCACCTACACCCCCAGAAAAATCCCCCTTCGAATACCTCTTCGAATACACCGCCACGACCGACGACTCCGCGTACCTATGCGTGCCCGCCGCGCTAAACTTCCGCAAGAACGTCTGTGGCGGGGAGGCGCGGATCTACGAGTACTGTGAATCGTTGGCGAACGAGGCCGCAGATTTGGTTGCCGAGGCGCTGGGGATGGAGGTGTTGCAGGAGCCGGGGTTGGGGGTCAATGGGGAGGGGAGTTTGTTTCGGAAGTGTGCGATGACGACGGTGAGGTTGCCGGTTTGGGTGGCTGAGTCTGGGGTACAGGGTCAGGATCAGGGTCAGGAAGGGGAGAAGAAGGTGACGGTGGAAGAGAAAGATGGGAAGAGAGTGGCTGTTGTGCCAAGGGCCCTGGTGGCAGCCGTGTTGGGGTGGTTTCGTGAGGAACTGTTCCAGAAGGGCACGTTTGTGCCGGTGTTTGAGTATCAAGGGTCTTTGTGGACGAGGCTGAGTGCGCAGGTTTACTTGGAGAGGAGTGATTTCGAGTGGTTGGCTGGTGTTTTAAAGGAGTTATGTGAGAGGGTGAAGGCGGAGTTCTAGATTTATAGAGGGGTCTTCTAGTAGAGTCTAAATTGAATTTGCAAGAGGAGTCTCGATGGAGTGGTTTGATATAAAATTAGGGCACGATCAGTTTAAAGTAGATAGCCTTCTAAAAATCATAGTTTAGACTAGATGTACAGCCCATCAAGACAGGATCATCTCTTATACACTCTCCTCCCCTCAAAATACGTCTCCTCCACCGTCGCATCCAGCAACCGATCCGCCTCCCACTGCATATCCACGACCACAAAATCCGCCTTCATGCCCTCCCTCAACCTGCCCGCATACCCATCCGCAAAGCACGAATACGCCGACCCGGCCGTAGCCGCCGCAACAGCCTCCATCATCGACAGGGCCAGATGCTTGTTGAACACCTCCACGGAGTCCGGCTCACGCGCAGACCGTCTCGTCGTCGCCGTATACAGATTCCTGAACGGCAGATGCGGCGCCGTCGGCGAATCCGTCCCAATGGCCAATTGCGCTCCCCCGTCGAGAAACTCACGGTACGCAAACGCCCTCTCGCAGCGCTCCTTGCCCAACAGCTTCGGCCATGCCCGTACAATCGCCGGATCCGCGTGGACCGGCTGCACCGACGCCGTGATCCCCAACTCGCCCAGCCGCTTCGCGTCCTCGGCCGCCGTCACTTCTAGATGCTCGATGCGATGGCGTCGACCCTTCGTGCCAACCCGTTCCAGCACATCCACGGCCATCTTCACCGTCGCGTCGCCGATAGCATGCAGCGCGCACTGCAGGCCCGCCGCGTCCGCCTTCCGAACCACCTTCTCCAGCATCGTGGCGTCCCAGAGCGGATCGCAGTTCGTGCCGGTGCTGGCATACGGCTCTGTCAGGGCCGCCGTGCACGCATCCACCACCCCGTCGCAGATCACTTTGATACCGGCAATGCGCAACCCAGGGCTCGTGGTGAGGTTATATCGCGCATGCAACTCGATCGCGCGGTCCACTTGCTCTAGGACCTTCGTCTCATCTGCATCGGGAAGAATAATCCAATGCGACGCGATACGCAGCGTCATCCCCTTCTCCCCTTCTCCCTCTCGAAACGCCAAAACCGTCTCCCACAAATTCTCATCCGTCGCCATCTCCACGACACCCGTATACCCAGCCCCATTATACGCTCTGACCGCATTCCTCACAAACCCGATTTTCTCCTCCCTGCTCGCAACCTTCGCCACATGCGGCCAGACAATATTCACCGCCGCAGCCTCGCTCAACAGCCCCGATGGGTTTCCGTCCTGGTCACGATGAATAACCCCGCCCGCGGGGTCAGGAAGATCCTGGACGCCGAGTTCCCGCAATGCAGGGGTATTGCACCACGCGGAGTGTAGGTCCTTCGAGTCGATGAAGATGGGTCGGGGGTCGAGGTCGTCGAGCATTGAGGCTAATGCGGCGCCGTCGGTCATGGAGTGCATCCAGCCGCGGCAGAAGAGGCGGGGGAGGTGCGGGTTGGCTTGGGCGTAGGCTTGGATTGTGGAGCGGATTGTTGAGAGGGAGGTGCAGGGGGAGAGATCGAGTTTGGAGAGCGAGGAGCCGAAGAGGAGGAGGTGCATGTGTCTTCTCTCGAGTTAGTCTTTCTTTTAGAGAAGATTGAATGAATAGAAGAATAGAATGATGCAAGGTTGAACAGATAGTAGATTGAACAACCATAGATCATGCGCGCCATTATTGGATCTAGAGATATGAACGGAATTCATCCATATCTGCATGCATGATGCATGTATACACAAACATCCACACCATCTCACACCCACCAACCCCCAAAGAAAAGACAGAGATAGAAACGGCTTACCCATCAATAAACCCCGGAAAAACCCTCCTCCCCTGTAAATCAACCACTTCGACATCCCCATCCACCTCGGGGACATCGTTCCCGGTATACGCGATCCGATCATCCTGGACGAGCATGCAGGTGGAGAAGGTATCCTCCGCTGCGGAGTCGCTGACGATGAGGCCGTTTTTATAGAGGGTTTTCATTTTCAATGATACAAGATTTCGGAGGGATGTGATGTGAGAATATAATATCGAAGAATACGATACGAATAAAAGATAGGAGAGGTGTAAGTAGAGGGAAATGAAGGAAGTAGAAAAGAGGGGAGGAGGGGGAGTCAATTGTAGGGCGCAAAGTGGAGTTGGAGACGGTGGAGTCTTTCCTTATCTTGATCTGTTTTTGATCTGCTGCAGCTTTTATCAAGAGAATCTACCGAGTAGAAGAGGGAAAGGAGTATAGAATCTCTCTCCATTGGCATACTGCATTAAGTCAACGTGTTCATCATGTCTACATAGGGAGTACTCAGTCCAATTCCCTCGCAACTAATTCCCCCCTCCGAATCGGCTTCGCATCCATCCGGTCAATCCTCCGCCCGTCCCTTGATCTCGACTGTTTCGTCGCTCAGTCTCGCCCTCAGCGCTGTTCCTGCCCCCTCCTGTCGGCTGCCCGCTGTGTTCGGGCACGCCACTGCTGTGACGGGACGTCTCAGGGCTGCTGTCAATCACCACGGGGTTGTCGCTAGTACCTTCGCTGCTCTCATTTCTGCTCTCCTTAGCACTGACCTTTTCGTGTCGTGATCGCCGTCGACTTACTGTGCAGGAGCATCGATACCCCGTCGGCAATGAGGACATGTGTTATGCTGGCTCAACCACATCTCGATACAGCTGAAGTGAAACCAGTGCTTGCACGGCAGCACCGTCACCTCCGTGCCCACCTCCACCGGGTCCATGCAGATCGAACATTCCGCCTTGCCCTCGTTCCCCAGCATCTCCTGGTCTACCTTCTTCTTCGGTAAAGACCGGATATCATTCTGCGAGGCCGGCGGGGCGGCGGTGTGATCGCCATTTCGGTCGATCAGCTCCGAGATCACGCGGTCTAGCTCTTCCTGCGAATACACCGCATCCCCGTTTCGTTCGAGGTTCAACAGCGCCGAAAGCATCGCCAGGGGGTTGGGACCGGTCATGACCCGGAACCCGCCGTTGCCAGTCTGGTTGATTCCACCACCGAAATCGTTGCGAAAAAGTTCCAAGATACTGCCACAATTAGCCACGTGCAGCTCGCAAGGGAAAAGGGGAAACGCACTCGCCCAAGCTACGTAAAGGAGTAGCCATTGGCTGCGGACCGTCCGCATCGCGAGGATGCAGTCCATCGTTATGAAAGTCCGAGCCGCCTCCATACCGTAGACCATAGTCAAAGGACCCGTCGTACGCTGCGCCGGGCGCTCTCCGCTGTCCCTCCAGTCCCGCCGGCTCGGGACCCTGCCCCCATCCTCCAAAACCATGTTCGTTAGAATCCTCATTGTGCTGCTGCCACGGTCTCCGTGGTTCTCCCCAGGGCTGCTGACCCGCGGGCCGATGAGGATCCGTCTGCTGATAGAGCCGATTGAAGACCGTGTCCAAGCGCCGCATCATCGGCATCAACGGATCATTTTGCATATTACCCTGCGGGTCGGTTGACCGTCGTCGAGGGTGCCCAGACGAGTACGTCGTGCTGGAGAAGGTGAACCGACCGTCGGGCGAGCGATAGGTGTGATGCGAGAAGCCATTTCCTGAATTATTTCCTGTGCCTCTGTTGCCGCCGGCGAATCGATCCTGAAAGTCGTCCACGCCGGTGGAGGCCCAGGGATTATGGTTTGCGAACGGGTTCACGGGTGGCGTGAATCGGTCTTCGGGCGCCTCTTCAGGAGGGTCGGGGGCTTCGGTGTCAGGGGGGATTTCAATCTATGGAGTCAGCTATCACGGTGCATCTCGCGGGCGCAGGGAACATACAATCTCGGTGAATTCAGATTGGCAGGTCGGACACGTCAGTCCGCGCTCATTCCGTAGCCACACCCCGCTACAGGCATGGCAATACATCCGATCCCCCGCATCCATGGCGACCAAAGTAGATAAGTGGTTGGTGTTGATAATCCAAGAAAGATAAAAGACGAGTAAACTGAAAATGATTCTGTGTATCGAGAAGGTCGGGTATCAAACAAGTCGAGAGACTATTTATCTAAAAACGGACTTGAACCAATGGGCTGCAGATATGCGAGGTTTTGGTTCCCTGACGAACTCAGCGTCATTCTTGGTTTCGGGCCCGCATGTACTGAAAGGTTGACGGGATATTCCATCAAACTAACGGGCATTCATTGTTTCAGGGGGGTTAGTAGAAGGAAAGTAGAGGTGAAGAGTGAGGAGACTGGGGAAACAATGGAACGGAGTCAACGAAGAGGAAAGGCGAAGGTGGAGGATGACGTTAGCAGGTGGCGTGCCTGAGAGATCAGTCACCAACTTCCAATTCACCAAGTCTCAGTCTGAATGTCTCAATCACATCAAGTTGATCATCAAACATACACCGTACATCCTGGACTGAATATTCACATCTGCTAAAGCTCAAAGTCATGGACAACAGAACGCCATCACATGCAAAACAATCATTTCATCCCAGTATCAAAACCATAGCAATAACAATCAATAGCAAGAGCAAACCGCAGTAACCCAGGCCCGGATCCATCCTACCTATGTACATCTCAGCAAATTATGTGCCTGCTCTTCCTTCAGCTCTTCCTTCAGACCCTGTGATTTACCGTCTCTTCGCTCCCCGCAACACCACACCCCCAACGACACCCGCCGCCAGCGCCAACCCGCCCACGATCGCAATGCCCAGCAGTCCCTCCTTGGACACCTTCTCCTCGATCAGGGTGCCCAGGCTCGCCGCCTGGAGGTTGGCCGGCTCTTTCTCCAGCAGCAGGTCATTGTATCGTCGCGCCTCGCCGTAGTTGCCCAGCTTGTAGTTCCCAAGGGCCAGGTAGTATAGACATTCTCGTCGTCGCTCGGGGGCCGCGCGGAAAATCTCTGATAGTAGACGGACGCCTTCTTGCTGTTCTGGACGGGCGTTGGATTTGATCAAGCCCTTGACAGAAAAGAATGTTAGAGTTGCCGACACATACGGGTCGGGAGGATCGGATCGTGCTCATACCCAGGCATAGTTGAATTTCGTCTGAATGCCGACGTAGTCGCCTTCTTTCTCGTACTGCGATCGGAGCACCTGCAGCTCGGCTGGCTTTAGGGGACTAGAGCATAGTTCAGTCAGTGGGTTTTCGGGGAATAACGGTGAAGTCACACACCTCTCAGCGTCGGCGGCATCTAGAAGGCGGTTAGTTAGCATGGTAAACATTAACACATCGAGGGGGATCACATACAGGGTAGATTCGAGCCCATGGTCGTAGGTAGTATATGTATGGCAGTAAATCAAAACGTCAAGAAGAACAGCTCCGGGGATAAGCAGATCGCTCAATCGACTCGATGAAGGTGAGGAATGACCGGCGATGATGGTCGCCTGGATTCTTTCGTCACGCAGTGGCGGTGCACCCAAACTGTGGCGCTGTGGCAGTTGCTGCCCCAACGAAAGTATCAACAGTCGCGGATGCTTCCTCTGTCGGTATCATCACCACAAGAATTGTCTATCTCCACGTTTTACTAGGAACTAGCCATAAGTCTCAATCTCCTTTGCCAAAATGCTTCTCGACGAAAGCCCTGCCACGGTACTACTCCCCCCCCTTCCCTCCCACCACCCGATCGATCAACTAACTAACAACAATAGCTGATCCACCACACAATCGGCAACTTCAACATCCACCCCGACAAACAAGCCGTCACGCGCATCAATGACTCGCTCGCCACCCTCCAGCAGTCGCGCGACCTGCGCATGCGCGAAGCAGAATCCTCCATGAAGAAGCTGTCGCGTCACCTGCACTCCTTGACCGCGCAACACGAGGAGGCCGTAGCGGCGCACGACGCCGGCAAACACGCCGCCGAGATGGTCGAGCTGGACACGAAGAAATTTCGCATCGCGAAGGCTGCCACGGAACTGGAGATCGAGAGCGAGAGGCTGGAGAGCGAGCTGGAGATGCTGAAGGAGCGATTGGCGGATCTGGAGGCTCAGGGGTTGGAGGGCGACGAGGGGACAAGGCGCGAGAGAGAGATGGACGATGCGACGATGTGAGTTCCCCTCTCATGGTTTTGGTTTTGTTTGGATATTCGATAATTGGATGCTAATCTGATGGGCAGTCTTCGATTGAAAATCTATCGGTCGCTGGGAGTGGATATCGAGGCCGACGAGGCGGGCACTTTCAACAAGGCGGTTATTCGCAACAGTCGCAAGGGCGACGTGCACGTTGTCAACATCGATCCGAAGTTCTCGCGCTTCTTCTACTCGAATTACTTCTGGTCGACCATGCAGGGGTAGTTCCGTTGATTGCTTTCTTTTCTACTATTCCTTTTCGGCGTTGAAGGTTCACGACGCTACGATTTTTCTTCTTTGCAAAGCTTCATTGTCTACATAATATACCCTGATCTGAAATAAATTGCTATACAGTTTATACACTATGATACATATGATACATGACGGGAAGGAGGGACCAGTACACTGTAGTTGGAGGATACATGCGCCTGAATCAGACCGGCCATGCCCTCGACTCCAACAGCTGGCGCACCTTTGCCCTCTCCTCCTCCGACAGCAAACAGCAGCCCCCTTTCCCGTAGAGAAGTGGCTTCTCCGCCGGATACAGCTGCTCAATGGCCTCTAGCACATCCGACCGCGTATACCTCGCATCGCCGGCCCCATCTAACCCCCAAACGGCCATCCACTGCGCCTCCAACCGCGCCATCCTCTCCTCCACCGAATCCATATGCTCCATCTCCTCCCCGTCCCACGTCAACACCACCTCCTTCTTCACCTCACCGTCCCCCTCGCTTGCATCCACAGACCCTTCGGAAGACGAAGGAGAGGAATACCTCATCTCCACCCCCAAACCCCCCGCAACACCTAACCTCTCGACCCTCCCATTCCAAAGAACCTGCCTCAACACCCCCGTATAATCAACCATCATCCAAAGCACCGGATGCTCGCTCCTGCTCAACGCATCACGAACCCCCTTCGTCGCCTCCCTTGTACTAACGAGCACGCCGACCTGGTTTCCCGTGCGCCACCCCGCCGGCGCATGGCGTCGTAGCGTGCCTTCGAGCTCGCGCACTAGGTTCGGACCTAGCTTCGTCTTCATCGCTTTGCATTGTACGAGGACTCGCAGCGGGTGCTCGTGGCCTGGTAGGTGCCATGTGCCGAGGAGGTCGATGCCCGAGTCGGAGCGCCCGCCGGTGCGGTGGAGGTGGAAGGAGGAGGCGCGGAGGGCCTGTTGGACGGTGTATTCGTAGTGGGTGCCGATGTAGGTAGTTGTTGTTTGGGGAATGTTGTTGCGGGAGGTATGCGCGAGGAAGGTGGGTAGATTGTGGTGTGAAGAGCTGGGTGGTTGGAGTGGTTGTGGTGGGAGCTTGAAGAGTCGCGATGTGAAGGTGCTGAGAAGGCGGCGGCGGTTCAGGTTCAGGTTGCGGGGGAGGAGGAGGCAGGATGAGGAGGAGAAGAAGATAGGACGAGTGGTTAGGCGATTCATTTTATAATTTCATGACATGTCATAGCATTGCGCTTGGTCTTGGTGTAGTTAAGTATGTGTATGTGAATGTATATGTGTTTGTCCGTTTTGCTGGTGTCGGGGAAGTAAAAAAGTCGGAGAATCGAGGAGCTAATCTTATCGATCGATCTAGCCTTTCTCTCTCCATCGGCGTCATCCTTCTTTCTTTCTTCCTTCTCTTCCTTTCACCTCCGCTGTCATTCCTCTCCTCCTCACCACCGCCCATAATGGCAGACATCCTCACCCAACTCCAGACCTGTCTGGACCAAGTACGTCTTCCCCATTCCCTCCTCCCCTCTCAACCATACCTACCTGCCTTACCCATCATCCATCCAACCAACCAACCAGTTAGCTAAACTACTAACGAAACCAAAGCTAGCAACCCAATTCTACGCCACCCTAGGCTACCTAACAACCTACCACGACAACTCACCCGCAATCCCACCCCCCGGAATCAGCACCGCCGCGCCCGCCCTCGCCCGAATCCCCAAGAACTCGTCCCTGCCCCCAGCACCCGCTGGCGCACCCGCCGGCGCCCAAACCTCCCCACCACCATCGCACCCCACACAAGCAGGCGGCGACGCAGAGCCTGGCACTGGAGACCCGAACCTTCCGCCGGCAGCAGACGCGCCGCGGGTATTTGCGAGTCGGCAGCGCGAGTTAGCGCGCGATCTTGTCATCAAGGAGCAGCAGATCGAGTACTTGATCTCCGTGTTGCCGGGGATCGATTCGAGTGAGGAGCAGCAGGAGAGGAGGATTAAGGAGTTGGAGAAGGAGTTGAGGGGGGTGGAGGAGGAGAGGGAGGAGAGGATGAGGGAGTTGGGACGGTTGAGGAAGAGGTTGGAGGGGGTGTTGGGGGCTGTGGAGAAGGGGGTTTATGGGGATCGGTCGTTGTGAGTGGGATAGTCCTCTGGGATAGTCTTCTAAGTTTGGGTTGGGGGTTGGGTCTTGTTGATCTTGATCTTGAGATGGATGGATGGTGGTGGTGGTCTATCTAATCTATGGCTGGTCTGTAGATAATGATGAACAAAGAAAAGAAAACTTCTGTATTCAATGGACTTGCGTCCTTAGTATCCTGTCTAGGTCTGCAAGTGTACGAGTAATAAGCTCCAACGGTGTACTGTATCAACCGTCTCCAAATCTTCAACCCAAATCGCAAAACACCAATAAGTAGAAAATAGAATAGAATATAAAGTAAAACGCCCGAGCCGTAGAAGGGTATCAAATATCAACCGTAATTTTGTCCCAAGTCAGTGTCCGTGAATATTTATCACCCAGAAAACAAAGGTCGCATGCGTAAAATGAGATGAGAGAAATCGAATAGAAGTAAAAGAGCAGAGACCACAGAAACGGAGATCATTTGAATAATCCCCGGTAATCCCTCATTCGTTGCTCCTGGACCTCCTTCTTGTCGAGTTTGCCGCGGTTCATGCTCAGATCGGCCAACTGCTGCTTCTTCTTGGCCAGCTCGAAGATCTTCTCTTCAATGCTGTCCTTCATGATGAACTGGACCGTGGTCACCTCGCGTGTCTGCCCGATTCGGTGCACGCGATCCACGGCTTGCGCCACTGCCGCCGGGTTATACTGCGGCTCCATAATGTACACTTTGGACGCCGCCGTCAAGTTGAGTCCTACACCACCAGCGCCGATAGTGGCGAGAAGCACGGTGATCCGGTTATTGCTGTGGAATTCCTTGAGGGCTTTCCCACGGGCCGCCAGCGTCATGGTGCCATCCAGCCGTGCAAAACTCGTGATGTTGTTGTCTTTCAAGGCAATCTCGATCAGATCCAGGTGCGACGTCCATGCGGAGAACACCACGCTCTTCAAAGGCGGTTCCCCATCTCCCAATTTCCGACTCTCTTCAGCCGTGGCTTGAAGCTGCTCAACAAGAGCGATAGTCTTGGTGTGCGGGCCTTCGTAGTCTCCAAGAACCTTAGACTGTCGTCGACTTTGCTTAGCTTTGACTTGCTCGATCAGATGATCTTGCAGTCCCCCAACGGTGATGTAGGAGTACGATGCGGGGATCCACCCTTCGCACACTTGGCATTTGATATCCGGCAGCAATGAGTTGCTTCGGCTGTCGAAAGCGTGTTTCCAGCCGGAAAAGCAATCAGGGCAAAGCACGTCATAACAAGGAAGTACGACGGCAATGGGAGTTTGCCGGTCCACGGGGCCAGAATCAGAATTTGGTTCCTCCAAGCGCCTATTGCACGTGGCACACGCGTCCCCCGAAGATTCCTGCATTAGGACGAACATCTCGTACGCCTTCTTGTCGGACACTTCGGCGGTATCATTATCCCCGCCCTCTTCAAGGTTGATGGCATCTTGGACGCTCAATCCCTTGATCCGTTCTCGGTCAGCGGCGTCGAGTAGCTCCTTGCCGTGAGCGCTAATTTGTCGCAGGATCATCATCGCTTTCAGGATGTGATGGTACATGCGGCCCTTCATCTTCTGGTCTTCGCCAGCGATTACTTTCATCATCACGTTAGACTCGTTGCGGAAGAAATCATGCAATTGCCTTTCCTTGTCGGAGAACTCCAATAAAACGATCCGGTCTTCTCTGGCGGGAATATCGATCTTGTCCTTGACCCGACGAAGCGTGAATGAGTCCACGAGCACACGCAAGCTAGCCAGAACGGTGGCATCCCCAGTCTTAAACCGACTGAGAATGTGCATTCCGAAGTTGGTCCGGTCGTTGTACGGGAAGAGCCCGAGGAATTTGGTCACAGAGAGGAGATCCTCGAGCCGGTTTTGGATCGGCGTTCCGGTGACAGACCACTTGCGCTGCGAGTTAAGCTTGAAAATGGCTTGGGTCTGTGCGGCCGTCTGCTCTCGGATGGTGTGTGCTTCGTCCAGGACGATTCGGAACATATTCATCTTTGTCAGAGGGCTCACACCCCGTTTTGCGCCCCTGCCGGACAGTTCGCTGAGCACGATACTGTAGGTTGTGATCACCAGGTCATACTGCGATAATTCTTCAACGTTATTAGTGCGCCCTGAGCCGTGAAACACGTAGTAGGAAACGGCTCCCGTCTTCAAATGGTCCTTGATCTGCAGGACCCAATTGTTCACCGCAGTCAATGGAACCACGAGCAGCGTGGTTTTACTGTTGCGAATTCCTGGATTATCTTTCACCATGTCCGTGGGTGGAGGCAATGGCGCCCAGTTACGTGCCTCCTCTAAGGAGGACACGACAAGAGAGAGTATGCTCAGTGTCTTACCAAGACCCATCATATCTGCTAAGAGCCCGCCCAGGGTTTGCGGGGGTTCTTCATCCATCGTGATGCCGCTGATAATCTCGCGGTATTTCTGCTTGCCGCTGGCGGAGTACTCGATTCTCCAAAGAGAATTGTTGTCTTTCTCCTTGGGCCCGAACTTGCGCGGCTTCTCTTTTTCGGTCATGAACCAGAGGGCCTGCTTTTGATGCCGAAGCAAAGGCGTTTTCAAAAGAGAAGGAGTGTCCATCTCAGGGACGTTCTCAGCACTCTGAAGCTGATCAAACATCTTCATCACTGCATTGTTCACTTCCTCCGCCGACCGTACTTCGTAACTGACACCGGGTCGGCCTCGAGCAGCGGCTGCGGGCAAGAGGCCGGCCTGGGCGCGTCTTTTCTCAGCATGTGGGTTGAACACCGGCACTCCTTGTTCCACGCTGAACGGGGTGCCAAGCCAAACATTACGCTGTCCCAGGTGATTTCCGACGAGCTCTGCATCCTTTCTTAGACCGTATAAGTTAATCGAAGCCCGATAGAACTCTGAACAACATTCCCCGGGCCATTCACTCGGTTTTCGCTGCCGATAGTCCAATCGTGCAGTGATGTCCACCTTCAAACCCGGCGAGTCAAGAAGCGGAGCTATCGCAGAGGCGGTCCTCGTATCAACAGCTCCAAAAATGTTGCCATGGGGATCCGAGACGTCGATGCGAATGTTTCCCTGAGTTGCAATACGGTGTACCCCTAATTTCATTGACGGCCAATTTGTATCACCGAAGATCGTTCCGCCAGCAGGTTTCGGAACCATAATAGCTTGGATCATTGCATTTTCAATCTTTCCATAGCAGACCCTTTGGATGCTAAGGTTGTTCGAGCCGGTGACTTGCAGATCGTCATCGCTGGTGGATGCAGCTGGGGCATCTAGATAGCATTAGCAAATGGCCTTTGTCTTGTAGCAATATGTCGTATCCTACCAAGGGTCAAATCGACAACATCTGGGGTCACCGGAAGAGACGCTTCTGGTGTTGACTGTTCTTCCTTCATCCATTTGCCCAATCCGCTGTCCCCAGTGGCGGCAAAATTCCCTTTCTTGGGCGGGCCATCTTGCTCGTCCTTCATTTTTATTTTCTTGTAAGGTGGATTCACTCGCCTCTCCACCCCATACATATCCTCAATTAAGCTACCATGGCGCAGATCCGCCCCGGTGTCGAGCTGATCACAGCCACGCTTCGCATCATGTTCATCGTCGCTCTGCGCGCTCGTAAATGTGAATTCCAACTCGGGCTCTGCTTTCTCGGAGGGCTGCGGCGATGAAGTTGCACTGTCGGTATGCGACTCGAGTGACTGGAGCTGGGAACTCGACCTAGGACTCGACTTGACGGAAGTCCGGCCACGACGTTGGGGACTGAGGAATCGTTGCGCCGCGGAGGCGGTGCCGGCGGGCGCGGTAGGGGAACGGGTATTACTCTGCGATGATTTCCCGGACTCCGACCGGTCTGCGGTGTCGATCAGTGAGTCTGTGTCATCCAAGAACATAGGATCTTCCGGGGGCGAGGGGCAGCGCCTAGGTGAGGGGGGCAAGGGAAAGGATTCATCCTGGGCCTCTGAACTGGGGTCGCTGTCCAAATCTGGTGTTCCAGCTGGGGATTCCGGGTTGTTACCATTTTTGTGCATTTGCTTTCTGTACGCTCTTGGGTCCAAGAGCATAGCAGCATGAGACGCCATGGTTGTCTGCTTCCGTTCTCATGCAGATGCGGGTATCCGAGACAATGTATGCGGGATGAAAGGTTTGCGAGGTATGAATCGCGATTAAGAGTTTAAGATTAAAGTGAGAGTTGCACAACAGAGATAATATAGATTTTGTATAAAGGTAACTGATCGAGGCGAGGCTCTTGAGCGTCGAGTGTTGCGAAGGTCACTCAAGGGTGAGGAGTGGCCGAGGTCTAAGCAATGCGAAAGGAAAGTGAGCGATAAGAGAGTCGTTACAGCCCTTCCATCGCGAAACCCACGCGCAAGCGATCGACGCTGTCGAATGCAGGCACTGGGTTGTACAGAGACGAAGGAGAGAACGAGAGGGAGGAGAGGAGTAGAGAGGGGAAGGGGAGAGAATGAGAGTGAGAGAGGGAGCTGCTCGAAGGGTTTCTGCCTCGCCGATGATTATCGCATGCCAAGCCCCGATAAGATCGGCTTATCAAAGCAAGTCTTCGAAGGGTCACGAGGACCTCAGTTACTGGGAATTGCGCGATTAAATGTATCTCTCTATTTGCAGGCTGGTTCCTCTTTCTTTTGTGTATCTCAACGTCAATAGAAGAATTAGTAGTGAGACCAGCAGCAAGTCTGTCGTCTATATACAACATCAGGGTGAAATTTTCCCATCCAAAAAAACAGGCCGCAAATCATGCGACATCGCAAACCGATTCCTCATGCCAGTTCTGCCCATAACACGCTAAAAGTGGAAGATGACGGTCATGACGACAAGTAAAGTAGGTAGTTGAACAAGAAATAGAAGGGGAGGAAGAAGAAGAAAAAGTGGTAAAATGGGAAAGAATAGGAATCGTAGGGAACAAGATGGGTGCCTAGCACCAGGTGAAAACAGGGTTTTTGCTCTTGACAGCTTCAATTCGCTCCACGATGACTTTGCGTTGGTTTCCTTCCATTCCCTCGGCAGCTGCATATCCCAAATCACCTTCCAAGTCATCACTACTCCAAATCAGATGCGCTGCACTGCGCCCGTTCGAAGACACCGAACTATGCTTCTGATGCTTCTTACCCGGCCGAGGAGGGAGGGTGGCCCAGCTCTGATCCAAGCCTCGATCGTCGCCGAAGTCGTCGATGTTTCGTCGGCCGAAGCCATAGTCGTTTAGCGTAGCAGGGCTGCCATTCTGAGCCCGGGGCATGTCAAAGTCACGGGAGTGACGGCTCCGGGAAAGCTCGAATCGGTTGGGGTTGGGGAGTTCGTTTGGGGAGGATCCCAATCCTAGAAGGTCATTCTCCGGACCAGTGCCCAGAGACATGGCCGCACCAATGTCCATTTCCTCGTTGTCGGGGTCATAACGGTCGTAACGGTCGTAGGCCCGGACTTTGCGTCGTTGAGCCTCCGTGGATGGTCCACGAAGGGGAATGGCAACCGGAACGTCCACTAAATCGTCCCAGACACAGACTCGAGTACGTCTGGTGAGCTCCAACGGACCGTGGTCGGGGTGCTTCAATGTCTCGACAACATTCCATGCTTGGCCCTTCATCACGGCGATCTGCCTGGCGAACATACTCTCCTTGAAGTCGTCATCCTGCGAGAACACCCGTCGGAGGGCCATCTGCGTTCCACTCCACCAGGCTGTTGACGTGAGGAGTGGGAGGAAGTGATCTCTCGTTCTTTGGGAGAAGGGCTGTCCTATTAAAGAAACAGGGAGAAACAGCCAACCGAAAGGAAAGCTTCGCCACTGAGCAAAAATCAGCATCATGTTCAAGTACGACAATTGAATAGAGGACTTACGGCATCCGGGTGTTTCCATGGCCATGACAAACTGTTATCAATTGCTCCAATCTGAATGGACGCCTGCGGCTCCTGTGCGTTCAATGGGGTTCCAGACCGACTGACGGCAACCATTGTCTCGTGCCTCTTGTATGGATATGAAGCGGTGGATGGCTTGTCAGAGTTAACTGAAATCGGTCGTGCGGGAGGGAGATGATCGTCGTCCTCCTGCTGAGCCCCGTTGGGTTGCGGCGGATCGGCCACAATGGATACTTCCTCCGTGTTCCAATCGATCTTGATCATCCAATTGTCTAGCCCACGGTCTGTGTTCCGCATGATGTAATCCAGAATGACCAATTTCTCCAGCTCCTCCCTGAAAGATTGTTTAAGACCTTCGGTCCAGTAGAACCGTCGCTCGCGGCTCTCCTCCCGGGGCGAGGGAGCTTGGCCGGGAACATGCACCTCCTCATCTTCCTCCTCGTCGTCTGAATGAACACCGGAAGGTCGGCAAGCTTCATTCCAAGGGCGCTTCTTGCGTTTGGGCGCGTCCTCTGCGCGGAATCCAGTATTCGCCTGATCCGGCCAGGGGTGATCACGCAGGAACAGGTTTGCATCCTTGTAACCCTTTAAGAAAACCTGGAAACTACCTGCCTTGTGTGGGAGCGGTTTCTTGCCCATCCATGCCTTTCTCCGATCCCAGAAGTCGTAGTAGAATGATTTCGAAGATAGATACACGATATCGGTGTACGGAACGAGGTTGGTGCGTAGGCGCGAGTCGAGAACATAAGCGGCCGCTTCGGAGACATAAGACAGATTGGGGATCAAGCAGGCACGCCCGAAAAAGCAAGGGAAAAGATTCCGGTGAATCCACTTAGTCCATTTAGGATTGCGGGATGCGTAAGGTTCCTCGTCTTTGGGTTTGAACACACCCACGACCTTTCCATCGGCATTGCGCGCAAAGTAACTGCCGGAGCTACCTTGCGAGATCATGCGAGGGTGAACGCCCATCTCAATGGCAATGCGGACGCCCTCCACCACTTCCTCGAATTCGTCACGGGCCCGACGTTGCGCCCCTTCCACTTCGTCCGACTCCAGCGTTTCGGCGGTGACGGGCCGGACCCCGTCGGGGGCCTGGAAGACGGAATGGTAGATCTCCAATTTCTCCTCCTCCAAAGTCTTCCCTTTGACCTTGTTGATCTTGAACTTCGAGGCGATTTCCTCGGCCCACCGCTCCAGGCGCGCATTGATGGCCTTGATGTCTACGCCGGAGTTTCTCCGGCCTCGTCGGTAATGTCCGCTGGGTCTTCGTCGAGGTTCGGGGGGGGAGGCGAGCGACGAGGCCTGCATCTGGGATCGGGATGAGATTGGCGCATATCGGGGGGCGGATTCGGATATCGTGTCGGCGGGTTGGTTAAGTTCATCGTCATCTGAATAGTCGTACACATCATGGGATCTATCTTCTTCTTCCTGAGCCAGACGGGCGTATCCCGACGTGGCGGGTCGGTTTTTCGGCATGGTTCAAGAAATCTGGGGGGGGAGGAAGCTATTGCAAGAACGCGGAGGCAAATACAGGTCGTCTCATCGGAAGTAAAGGGAAAGAAGAGAATGATACAATTAAAGACGTACTAAAGAAGGAGAGAATGCAAAAGCGCAAAGACTAAGAGGAAAAGAAGAATGGATGAAATTAAAGAAAGATAGCACACGACGGGAGGGAGGGAATTCAAGGCATTGCTGGGGAGGAGCAGAAGCAGAGGAACGAGGAGAGCAGCGGGAGCCGGGAAGGGACACGCAAAAGGCCAGAAAGTCCAGGCAGGCAACTTTCCGCCAGCACAGAATCCCCGGTTACCGTACCGTACACGAGTCTGCCACGCTCTGCCCTGCCGTCAGGGTCTGCAGAACCGGTACGATACCCGACGATACCGCACCGCCACGGCGGTGAGCCGTGTGGCTCCACCGGAGCTTAAGTTCTTACGAGTCGAGGCCCCTGAATGATTGACATCCTCTTCGCTTGCAAGATAGCCAGGGGTCACCCTAGGGTCCAGTGGGCATTCTCAAGGAGCCACTGCTGAAGCAACCTTCGTCCTTGAATGCACCTGCTGTTCTGTATCTTTGCACGGCATACGGAGTGCTACCGGTGCATGAGATGAGGTATCTGCATGTTTCTACTAATAGAAACAAGATCATCGCTGTCCACATGGAGACACCTGGAAAACCCACGAACTGGCCTCCTCCAGTTTCGCATAGATATAACCAATCGATCGGCTGATATACGTCAATTCAGTGCATATCGTTTCCGCAGATGTCGTCATTCGTCGACGTTTAGCCAGGGCCTTGGCTGCAGATTTGTACACAGGTGTATACTAGTCATCTCCCATACTGGGATGCAAATTTGAAAGCCCCTGAAACGGTTAACAGGGACCCCTTTCATGAGATACTCCACAACTGGGCTGAAAAAGCCGCGCAGGCCTCCCATGTTCTCTCCCTTACCTCCGCATGGATACACCTATGCACAGGATTTGCCGAGGCAGGGAGTACCGAAGACGATGTGGGCCCGTAAAGTCGTCATCATCAAAGCCCTATCGATGACCGAACGCACCGACTCGGATTCAATTGTCCTGAGCTTTCTGTCGAGGAAACCCTCCTCTCCGCGATCCTCGTCCCTAAGAAAACCCGTGCTAGGAAAGTTGATTCCATATTCTGTACCTTCATCCGGCATCATGCCCCTCGTTCCATTCTGAGTCTAGTCTCATTGAATGTCTCAACGCTTCGAGCTCTCCCGTCGCTTCATCCATATTCTCTTTCTGTCAACCTTCGAGATACTCATAAACCCTGACCGAGAATCAGTGAATTGGCGTGAGCTTGCAACCCGTAGCCGAACAGTAGGATTCTTTAATTTCTGGATAATAGTCTTTGCTCTACCCTCGAAGTAGAGCGCGCTGGGGACGAGACTGAACAGGACGAGAGGACAAGTGAGATCAGTATCTAGGTAGTTGTCTGAAACTTGGCTGCGCAAGGCCTCATAGTTAATTATCCAATTCATAAGACCGACGGCGTGAACCAAAACCCGTGATGAATATCTCATCAATGTGAAAAGACGTGAAGATTGGCCGTTGTTCAACCAGGTCCGCGACGGGAGGCTGTCCCTTAGGGCTAGTGAGCTAATCAGGAGAATACAAACGCCCAATCTCGTCGAACTGAAAGAATCATTCCAACAAGGCTTCCCTGTAGTCAGCATGGTGCAGGAAGGGCAAGTAAACCAAAGTTAACGAGGAGATCGATTGTCAGATCTTCAGATACTTCCGAGATAATCGACTGCACACTGACAGAACGATATTCTTAGTGTATAGACATCAGCCTGGCTTGTCTATTTGATGCAGACCCTGTTAACCTGGGCAATTGGGGCTCGAGCATAGCAATCTAGATAGTAAGCTCTATCATTCAGTGCAGTCTGTGAAGTCTATCAAGTCTCCGAAATATGTGAAGTTTGTAGTCGATAGCCGAGCACCCGTTTGATCGCACTCGCGGGGAATGGGACTGTTCCGATATCAGTTATAGTATAGCACAGCACTGTCAATCCGTTATAATGTTCCATGGAACTTTCAGTTAGAGTAACCCGGAATATTCCACTTTTCAATGATCCCCAGACCCCAGTCTACCAGATTAGGAACGATCAGGCCTTGTACTCCTTTGTATAAAGTATGCACCATTTCCGGTAATAGGAGAGGGCATATACCAAACCATTCGACTCGCAATATCAATGAGAACTTTTGACAAACTCTTTCGTTGGGCTAGCCCAGAGCCCAAAAGCCCTAGCTTATCTAGGGAGCAGCCAGTTATAGATATGTCTATAGCTAGACTTCCCAATGAGCTACTTTACCGAATTTTTGAATTCTGCGGACCAATCGTGAGAGGCCAGACTTGCATCAGTCAATGGGCCAAGTTGATGCGGGTTTGTTGGCGATGGCATGGGATCGCACAGAGCGTCCTCTACAACCAAGCGCCCCTAGAAATCTTCTTCGAAAACCGCAGACTATCAGCCAAAGCTTTACCCCCACCCCCGGTACGCAGATTATTCCGCTCATTGGCCTTCCATGAAGAATCCAGGTATGAAAACCCAAGCGACAGGGTGCCAATACCGGTGGCCGTGATAGGGTTGCTGATATCTGTGCGGACCCTGACCCTCAATTATCCGCCCAATCCGCGCAAAGCCAACCACCGGACTCTGATGTCCTTGCTCACGAAGATGCCGCTCACCCATTTGGACCTGCGCGTATGTCATAACCTGGATACGTTGTTGATCGCCTCTGACAAACCCACGCTGAAACATCTCAATGTCACGAACTCAATCTGGGACGGATTCTGCGCGGCCATCTGGAGAGGATTTGTCCCTGAAATAGAGGACCTCGAGCGTGCTCTACCAGCGGGGAAAGAAAGGACGTTACCCATCACGAGTCTCCAAATGCGTTGCTATACTTGGCCTCTTGAGATCATCAAACGGCTCTTCTCATGGCCGGCCCGCCTGGAACGCGCCGACTTGCATCTGCTGGACGTCGCCCATGAAGGAAGTACCCCGGACATTATCTTGAAGATCCTCGCCCCACAAGCCTCATCTCTCAAGGCTATATCGATAGGGTCTCTCCCAACGACTGAAGCGGAGCATGTTATGCCGAGCTTTTCCCAGTTCCCTTGCCTCGAAGAGCTCAGCTTATTCGGCCAGGATCTCTTCCAGGAGACTCCTGAAAATGCAGTCCGTCTACTGCAGAGCCCCACCCTCAAACGTCTGACATTAATCTGGGAGATGGGCGGTTTTTATTTTCACGGAATCAGGCAGAGTCTCAACGAAGGGCATAGCTCTTGGCTTAGGGGCTTCCTTGCGCGTTTGAAAAAGTCCGGTACTCTGCCTAGGCTCAAGGTTATAAGGCTAGATTATAATCATGGTGAACCGGAGGCTGATCGCCTAAGGGTACTTGCTGAGCAATGCGGAATATGGATAGTGTTCTACCAGTGGAAACTCGTGCGTGGTGAATTTGAGAAATGGATACCTGTTAAGGAGGTGGTGGTAGGTAAACGGGATCTTTGAAGGAAACAAATGTTCTTATGGTTGTAGGTAACGAATACTGATCAATGAAGGGCGAGTGGATGGAAGGAACTGAGACTGAATTTCGCCGACTCTGAACATCACCTACTAATATTACTGTCGATATAGCCTGCTAGTAGGTAGTTAACCCCAAAGCAGCACATCCGTCCCTAACGGCCAACCCCAAATATAACTTTGCAGGAATCATGAGACAACAATAGTAGATGTCAGGAGCGACTGTGGATTCCAAAACATGGAAATGACGCAATACCATGATTAGTTCATATCCGAACAGATAAGGCTACCTACGATCTCAAAAGGATTACCGAATACCAGAATCGGCAGAGTGAGGAGGATGAAAAAATTGACCCAAGGCGGCATAGTATATAAAGGGTAGCCTCGGTTCAGAGATAAAGATGATAAGATAACTGCAGGGACGATCAATGGCTAATTCAAGTCGGACGTGCATGAGATCATCATCTGTCAGAATCACGCCCTTGAAGTAAATTGGGTCGCGAGAAGGATTGAAAGAAGACAGAACAGGTCAAGTGCGGCAGTTGGATGGTATAAATTCAAGAAAAAAAGAAATAAACAACAGAAGGGAAGAGAGTAATGGGACTGCGGCAAATAGACGATAGACAATAGTTTCCAAAGACATAATGCAGACTTTTTGAGTGTTCTGGGTTTCTCCTCACGACTTGCATATCGTATGCAACGTCAGATGGCAACGACACGCTAATGATAAATCAATCACGCTCGATTAACCACGTAGCCAGCCCCATCTCCCCCGGTCCTCCTCAGATCGGAATCCTGCCACATCTTGGAGTCGGATTCGCGGGACAGACCCTCATATGGAACAATCATAAGATAACCAAGCACACAGAGATAGAACTCAAATGGGAATAATAGTATAATAATGGTAATGGTGGAATAAAACAGATTATAGATCACAGACATACATATAGACCGCTCCCACGTCGGTTATATAGGGGGTTTGGTTGCTCCGCGCATCGCTGTCTCAAAGTCGATCTTCCCCTGCTCATCGGAATAGAAAAGAAAAATAATAGCTCGACGCTAAATTGAGTCGAGGTAGGGCGTAAGATGAAAAGAGCTGATTGGGGGAACGTAGAATAAAAGCGGAAAGGAGACAGACATTAGTGAGATCCGATATACATCCAGCCAAAAGAGACAGACTTGTAAAGGGTATCATGAAGCCAAGGGAAGACCAGAGAATTCAGCAGAAGCGGATGCCAAGTTTTTTTTGGGGGGAAATTTTGGGTACTGTCGAATCAAGCGCAGCTCACACATTCCATCGGCATTAGATACTCTTGGGCGATTTGCTCGGCGAATCGGCCGGTTGATCGACCACGTCGGACAGTTTGATGCGTTTAGCCAAAGGTTCGCCTGGACTGTTGTTGTTGTCGGAGATTTGGCGCTCCATTTCCGCTATGCGTTGCTTCAGCTCATCTTCCCGCCGTTCACAGTCGTCGAGCGAGCGTCGGAGGCGCACTTCCGAGTCGCGAACGATCATCTCGGATCGGCGCGCAGCGGCATTGCTCTGCTCGAGTTCCGTCACTCGGCCTCGGAAAAGTTCGTTGATGAATTCCAACTCGCTCACACGCGTTTTGAGCGACGTGTTTGCCGCGAGCAATCCCTCATAGGTTTGAGGCGACTCGAGATGTCGGTCTTCGGCAGAAGTTGCCGTCGGAGACGGTTGGCGCAGCTGGGTGGCTGGAAGGCCATTGGACGCGCTGAGCCCATGCTCTCCGAGGGTCACACTGTCAAACATATGCTGCGGAGCGATATTGGAATTGTGTTGCGTCTGCGCGTGGGGTTGGTGCATCGACGAAGCGCCGGGGGTTTCTGTTCGCGGAACTGGCGAGTTGGAGCGATCCGAATGACCCGGCGATGCCTTGCGCGACGCGCGACGGTATCCGTGAGATCCGCCTAACGGAGGAGTGCCCGCTTCCGATCTTGAGGTAGGTAGGCCATTGGCATCGACAGTGCCGGTGGACTAAAGCCATCATACACAAGTTAGCGAGCGTGGTCACAGAATTCACCCAAAAGAAATTTCCACATCGGACTCACCTTGCGTTTTGGACCCTGGCCAGCGGTCTTAACCCTATTGCGACTTTTGATGACATCAGTCTTCAAGCTTATCGGGCGCGGCCTGCCGTGTAATTTCAAGAACAGGCCGCAGGCGTTGCAGAGAACGGAGCCGAGTTCGTCTCTGCGCCAGAGAGGAGTGGTGGAGGTGCCGCAATTTTGGCACACAGGCTGTAGATGGGGCCGTTTTTGGTCAGCCATTGCAGTCGCCATTGTGAAAAAAAGGGAGGATCGCGAGAAGTGAGAATGGGGAGGAGGGAGGAGAGAGAGACGGGGGTAGAGAGCCGATAGTGATATGATACGATAGATAGACAGATAGAGAGGAGGAAAAGGGAAGGCGCTGGTTGATAAGATGAGAGATTTGTCGGGCTGCGATAAGAGCGACCGGCGCCAAGCCGGCTGATAACAGATCGGCCGGAATTGGAAAAACCATCGCCAGAGAAAAAGAAAAATATGCCAGAAAAAAAAGCAAGAAAGATAAGCCACGATAAGCATCGCGTCTTCAGCCACGTCGCTTCACTTACCGGATTGTTTCCCTGTCCACCGGTCGTGGCGGCAGGAGACGAGGTTGCATAGGTCATATTGGCCATGTTGGAATTCGCATTGCCGCTAGACGCCCTGCACGCGTAAGCCAGAGAAGTCAGTGCTGGAGATTCGCTGGCAATGCCAATATCTTAGGTTGATTCGATGTAGGGAATCGAAAGGAAGGGGCTAGTTCTAGTTCATGACACGACTGTGGATGCACGATATGTATACGCGCGAGCAAAGTATACCACAATCCCCGACAGAACCCTCTTCCACCGCGGCAAGATACAAGTATCGCAGTGCACGACTACCACAGAACATACCGTAGATTCGATGTAGGAGCAGAGGCGACCGATGCCAAAGCCGAAAGACCGGGCAAGGAAGGGCCTAGAGAGCTGGGGAAGCCGCCGCTGCTGCCGGGACTATGGTTCGATTTATCGAGGGAATTGAATTCGGGGACGGTTCCGGAAGCTTGCGAAGAGGCCGACGATGCACCTGCGACAGCGTCCGTTGTCGACTGCCTGGAGTTGCTCTCCGCCGAGGAAGACTGATTGTAGTTGGGATCGTTGGACGGCGAGGGAGGACGGAGGGCCGGGTCGATGGGCGACGCCCGAAACAGGAGCGAAGAAGCCACTGTGGAAGGTGGGAGAGGGGAATTGACTAGAAATCCGGTCTAACAGGACCGAATTGAACGCACTTCAAACTCAAGGAAGAGAAGAAAGACCCAAGATCCACGTCGTGTTCGGGGTTGTTTGTATCTGACGGTTGGAGTGAGGAATGCGGCTCGAGGACCAGCCACGTCCAAAAAGGGAGGGAAAAGATGGAATGCTTTCCCAATTCTTGATTGCCCTCGCCCGGAAGACTGGCAGGTTGATCGGAGGTCTAGACTGGGAATTGTAAATGTCCCCGGTGGTGAAAGATGGAGTTCTGTTGTCGGTGGATGGTCAGATCATAGCAGGATAAGGAGCGAAAGATCTGAAGGAGAGCCCTTACCCGAGAAACAGGGAGAGACCGGGGTGATAAGGAGATCGTCGCGATAACAGGCCACAGGCACGACCCGGCTAATTCATTGATGGTCGCAAAGAGTGTCTGACGACTCCTGAGGATGCAAAATAAAACAGAGCGTCAGTACTGTCAAGGGAATGGGAGATCAGAGGAGATGAAGCAGAGGCAACGTGACCGGAGGAAGATCGATCGACTGATTGATTGATTGATTGATTGATTACGATTATCGCTATCGCGTCTTGCCGGCTGCTATCGATTGCGCCCCGACGGACTCGAGGCAAGCTAATACCTACGTAACGTCTGCGACGTCTCTTTCTAGTTTTGCTTTTGCTAATCCGTCTAATTATAGTCGCTACTTATGACACCTTCGAACCTATATGCTCTCTACAGACAGTTCTTTGTTTGCTGCGTTGCGGAGAGAAGAAGTGCGTGCCCATGTTTCTAGGGCGTATCAATAGGCACATACTCATCCTAACATATAGTGCCAGACACTCTACCAAGCCACCCAGCCACTCCCGGGGGTCCAAGCATGCATAATCCTGGATGAGAAAGTCCATGATCTCAATGGCTGTTGATTAAGTCGAATCTCGCCATTCATCTTTCAAGTCCGGGAAAGCCAAAGGTTGGCGAAAGAACTACCAGCGCACGTGCCCATCGAAACCGGATTTGGTGGACGATCTTCTTCCAGCCACGGCCATTGCTTCCTATTTCAACGCACCTCCGTGGTTACCTTCAATGTCTCTGCTTTTCAGAGCCAAGCAAGGATGTTGTGGGATGATTGCAAGGTAGATGTGTATCTTTGACATGACAACGTCAGGCCTTCGCGACTGGATGGACGCATGCGCTCTAAGGTCGCAGGACCGTAGACCATGCGCCGAGTATTAGTATGTTTTATGTCATTGACGGGCCATTCATTGCAGCACCTCATACCCTCCTTCGTCCTTCATTGATTCACATATTTCTTGCCATGAACGTGGACAGTTACGGATGCCATTCTTGCGGTAGTCTCACTTCGCTTGTTAGTCATCAAGGAGGCTTTCCTTTGGAGAACTACATGCAGTATACCTTCCACAATGCCATCCTCAGATCTTTTGAGGGCCAATAGCATTATACGAGGGCTCTCCTGGATGTGCTGTGTTCTTCCGTAGTCTCTTACGAGGCAGGCAATCGTCTTAGCCCGGGCCCTCCGCTTAGGAATCTGGTTACTACTATTCACCGTAAAGGCCCACTGAGTCGCAACTTCTTCGTGCATTTCCCTGACAACGCAGGCTCTGGCCCGGTCCTGTCATCTACGTTCTCATGGCATGTGCTGTATTCCGTGTCTTGATGAAAGACTGCAGCTGGGACATTGACAAGAATAAGAATACTTTTTACCAACCAAAAGTTTATGTACATGCATGAAATCACCAAGGTTTCTATCAATTTATCTTCCGGAGATAGACCAAGACCTAAGACCAGATAAATCACATAGAAGCAAGAAAGAAGTAATGAAGAGATGAAAGAAATATGCTAAAAATCCAAAATAAATGTTGAACGAATCCAGTTCGGTCCAAGTCACTCATGTTGACCCAGCTTCTATATAATGTGTGATGTGACATAAGGAAAAGGTAAAAATGGCCGTGGACCCGAAAGAGAGCGAGAGGGTATTATGTATCAGAAATAAAAAGGCGAAACCCGCATGCTGGCTGACAAGATCAGAGAAAACTCAAGTTAGTACGTATGCGGGTATCGCAATCAAGCTAGACGATCGTGCTCAATTTTCTTGTGAAGTTCTGCGCTGTGAATACGCTTCTCGCGCAGGATACTCCATAGACAGACGACGACACCTGCAAGACCCGAGAAGAAGGTCGTGTAGTATGCAGCTTGGTAGCAACCAAGACCATCGGGACAATCGCGGTCTCCGTCGTCGCCCACCACGGAGTGTCGGTCAAAGATGCTGCCATAGAGCAGATTGAAGATGTTTCCGCTGAAGACCGGAGCAAGGGTCATAACACCCCAGTTTTGAGAGAGTCCGCCGATACCGAATGTGTGCGCAACGAGAGACGGGAAGACGCCGAACAGAAAGCCGTAAGCGACGCCGGTGAAGCCGGAGACCACCACGAGTTGATGTGGATTAGATATCGTCGACCCGGCGAGTTGCGTAAGAGTGAACACGACGGCCGAGATAAACAGGCACCAGAATCTAGACATGTCTAGCTTTTTGACTAGCACGTCGGATCCAATTCCTACAGGGACAGTTAGACTATATCCAAAGGAGATGATACAGATATGTGTCACAAAATACGTACCACTTGAGAGGCGACCGATGAAGTTGCCAAAGGATAGCACGGACACGTGCATCACCTGTCGCTGCTGGATAAACTTGGAGCTGGCGCTATCGTCATAGTACGTCCAGAGTGCCTTGGTCTGTGGCAGTTAGAATCAGGAGAAAGACACGGGATACAAAAACGCTTACGCTGTTGCCGATGTTACTGCAAAAAGGTTAGCAAAGTGTCAATTGATTATTAGAGTAAAAAGAACTTACTTGATAGTCATCAATCCGATGCCAGACAAAAGCGCCATTGTCAGAAACAACTGCCAGAATTCAACCCTGGGCAGCATCGCCAATCCTCTAATGTCTGGGTGAGGTGAGTCAGGGACAACGTCAGAGAGAGCATCATCGTCATCGTCCGCGTCGTGGTCATGATGGGACTCCCGAGAGGTTCTCGAGTTGGCTTTCGACACCAATGATGACGTCTCATCAAGGTCGGATTTGTGGCCAGAAGGAGCATGGTAGTTCGACGCGGCGGATGGCGATCTTTCATGCTGCGAGGATGGTGGGGCATCAAAGGCATCAGAGCTCTGCGTACCTGCTAGATCGGAGTCATCACGGTTGGATCGCAGGTCGGAGGACTTGGTTTTGAGCAACCGCCTAGACTCTACCCCGGGCGATCGGCCTCGCGGCACGGAGCTATAAGGCTCGTACGGCGGCACGATCTGCATCATAGGAATGGAGATGAGGTTCAAAATGCAGGTTCCGATTGCCAGTAAGAGGAGGAATCGTCCGGTATCATCCTTGAAGATGATCGCAGATATGGTCGACCAGAAAAAGGCGCTAAGACCGAAGGCGGCCAGGGGGAACGCCGTGGCCGTTCCTCGATGTGTAGGGAAATTTGACGCCGCTAGGAGAGTTCGCAACCCAACGTTAGCTTTGCGATCTCAGTAAACCCGAATAGCTAAGAGAGCCGATGTACCTGTCTTGATAGAAGCTGAAAAGGCCGAGGAACTTCCGAAACCGGTGAGAAATGCGAAGAATGACAGAAGGCCGACACCCAAGGAGCCTGGTCCATGCTCATATGCTATATTGTTGACGCCTGTCAGCGCCCTGCGATCGACTACCTCCTTCTCCAAAAGACTAGACGAACCTGAGTATATGGGGTAATACCCTATGCCAAGGGTTATCGCGCCGATGAACGTCGTCAATCGAGGGCCCTTCGCATCCGTCAACAATCCCAGAGGAATTCCTGACGCATACATGCCCAAATTTCCAGCTGCGCCCTGTAAGATGTGAATAACCAGCCGATGTCGGAGAGTTGGCCGAGGGAACGAAGAGACGGCTTACGATGAAGTTGGTTTCGGTGGATGTGATCTTCATGCGGGTGCTGAATTGAGGTGCCCATGCTGAATACGCATACTATTCAGAATCAGTGATGTAGAACTTGAAGTATAATATGAGAAACCTCGGTAAGAGAGTCGCACGTTGGTACCACAGGCTAGAGCTACTAACGTGCCCGCAATCACGGAAACCATCCGTTTCGTCTTGTGAACGTCCCCCATCGCAATCTGTTCCGGTGCTCTTGCACCGATTTCTATCTGCAATCGGTTGATGTCACATCAAAGGACCTCGCGCAGGGAGGGAGGCAATCGAGAGGGGAAGAAGGCGCAAGCAATTGGAAGTATGTCGAGGACTGGCTGGGATCGGAGTTTCGGCGAATAGCGTGGATCAGCCTTATCAAGTCACGTAGGCCCAGATAACCGCAAACGCAAGGAAGGACGAGATGATGGCGGAGAAGGAAACTGGAGATGGAACGGGGAAAAAAAAAAAAAGAAAGGCAATGCCTCCAAAGGAATAATAAGAACGAGTGACTAGAGGAGGGGGCAGAAAAGAAAAAGAGAAAAGAGAGAAAAAAAAAAGTAGGGAGCACGCAAGAGAAGCAAAGTGGCCGGGACTCGTAATCCAAGTACGCGGGACTTGCGGAGTGACAGCGATTATACTGTGACAGCAAGTACCCGGTACCTGAGCCCCTTGCGGCCCTCCGTCCTCCTGCCGCTTGCGGTTTAGCGCCTCCCCGGAGGCTTGGCCTTAGTCATGCTGCTCACGTGCCGCATTCAGCCTTGTGTTACTTCTGTTTCTTCCCCGGCTTGTGCATGGAGGTGCCCAGTTTGCATCATGAGGCCTCGGTGGCTTCGACTGTTGCCAATATCGATGGAATACGTGAGGTCTCATGCCCTGTAATGTCACTGGACTCTCGTTTCGCAAGAAACAAGGACAACGGGTGTCCCAGGAATCACGCCCACGTGAGCTACTTGGAAGACCATGGAGGATGGAAAGGTCCTGACTGGTGCAGGTACTTTCGTTCTCTCTTCCGAGCTTTTGATTGATGCGAAATCCCTTGCACGATACACCGACCATTTTACTTGTTTACTTATGACACCTCATTCCGATGACTAAACGAAGGTATATTTAGGAGGTTGTCTTGCCAGATTGCACTTGGCGGTTACGCGGTTCTTCGGAGTACTATGTTCCCAGAATGAAAACATTCGTCAAAAGACCAATAGAACACCTTTTCCTTCTAAAAATTAGTCAGAAGATCGACGCGCCATGAAAAGCCCCTGGTTTGCCGGAGATGACCCCCCTGGTTATTCCGTAACGCATCCGAATTGGTTGGCGTTCTTGACGACTCGGGGTTTGCCCAGCCTGGCCTTACTCCGTTGGGTTTGTGACGGTTAGGCCAACGTGGGGGCTGACACACTCATGATTCATGACTTTTGGCCTTGTTACGCCAAATCGATACGGTGTATATTGACATTCCCATCAAGGAGAAGGTGACTATAAGTCGACAAACCCTAACAAAACCCTAATTCATCGTCGATACACACCCCGTGGGGATGTCGGGTGATGGATCCCTCAAGCGTGATAGCTAGCGTTGCTGGTATCGCGACAGCCACCTTTCAGATTATTTGTTTTCTCGGTACGACAAAGGGAGGGGGGAAAGAGCGCCTCTCGCTACTCAATGAAGTGACCCATCTCTGGCTGGCTGTTGTCGCGGTCCAGGCCCAAATCGCTTCGGAGGGCGACAATCCTGACTCCTTCCCAGGCAACTCTGCCCGTTGTTCGAATTCGATGGGATCATCAGGGGTATTGAGACTGTAGTCGAGCACTTAGAAAGAAAGCTAAAGTCGCGATCATCGTATGGCAAAGTATGTCGGGATTTGACGTGGCCGCTGGACAAGCAAGATGTTTTTCAGCCGGATTCATCGGCTGCAGCAGATATTACAACTTGCTGCGACCCAATTCACCCACGCCTTGACGCACGAGATCTACCGGGATGGGAAGTCCATGAGAAGTGTCATCAGATCAGTGAGGCGCAAAGGAAGGCTATAATTGAATGGCTATCTCCTTTAAACTTCGCGGCAAAGCAGAGTATGTTATTTGCAGAACATCACAAGGGAACCTGCAGGTGGTTTCTGCAACGCAAAGTCTTTTTGGCATGGAAACAGGAAGGCAGTGCTATGCTGTTCTGTCCTGGAATTCCGGGGGCCGGCAAGACGTTCTTGTCATCAGTCGTGGTCCATGAGCTGGACAGTGAATGTGATGCTAGTAATGCAGCAGTCCTAATGCTCTACTGTAAATGGGACGACTCACTATCGAAATCTATCGATGCTCTTCTGGGAAGTCTGCTCAAGCAGGCCACACACAAACATGGAATCATTCTTCAGGAAATGGCCGAGCCGTATTACAGACACAGCAGTGCTGGAACGAAACCGACACGAGAGGAGGCCCTTTCGATGCTCACAGCCGAGCTCCGTCGGTTTTCAAAGACCTTCATCATCGTAGATGGTCTGGATGAACTTCGTGAGGAGAAGACTGGGGTAGACTTACTCGAAATCCTGACTTCGATAGATGCTACGGTCAACATGATGGTACCTCACGAGGCTTAGACAACATTGTGCGGCATTTTCGACACAAAAGCCTTCGTCCATCTTGCAGTGACTGCTTGGTTTCTTGTATTCGGCAACATTTTCAATTGTCCGGATTGCAACTCATCAAGCCCAGGTTCAATCAACTTCAACCTCTGCCAGTCATGTTTCAGGACAAGCAAACGATGCGGTCACAGAGGGCATGTCCATTGTATGCAATTTAGCGGCTTTATTATCATTACTGCGGTCGAAAATGATCTGATGACCTACAAACAATGGCGCGTTGCACCGTCAGAATTCCTTCGCCAGTGCGTGGAGTTGAAGGAAGGGCTGATGCAGAGCATCCTCGATATAGTAGTCAAAGAAAACGATGGGATATTTCTTCCAGTGAAGTTCAACATGGATACTCTAACTTCCAAATTGCGCCCGGCGGAGGTCGTGAAGGCATTGAAGAGCCTACCAAAAGAACTTGATGGAACTTACACAAATGCCATGCTGAGAGTCGCCGATCTTCCAGCTAGCCACAGAGAGGTGGTGATGGAGTTACTTTGTCGAGTTGTCTTTGCAGAGCAGCCTCTGAGGATGCGAGAGATCGAGCATGCTATTGCCGTGATGGAGGAAGACCGCGATATTGATCGTGATAATATCATCCGGGCCAACGTCATTGGTTCGAAATGTGCCGCTTAGTTGTATTTGATGAGTCTGATCGCCTGAGATTAGTCCACTTCTCGGCGGAGAATTTCTTCATTCGCAATCGTGATCGATATCCCCTGGTGCAGATCTTCATATCCGCAATACGTGGGAATGAAAGCCATTGCATCTGGCCGCGCTCCACAACTCTGCTGGCTCGGCTGAGATTCTTCTCAAAGCTGGGGCAGAGATTGACGCAAAGGATCACTGGGGTCACATACCCTGAATGATTTCCAGTATCAGCCGCATATCGATAGCCAAGCTCCTCGTCTCAAACGGAGCAGATATATCAGACAGCCGACTCAACTTGGATAAGCTACTTGGGCTAGCTGCCGAGAATGGGAACCGGGGTTGCAGTTCAGCGATTGGTGGAAGCTGGTGCTGAGCTGTGGAGAAAGAAACCATTGGGATACTCACCATTTATGATGGCTAAGATGTACAATCACGACGAGATTGCAGATCTCATTCTCAAGCTAGGCCAGCCCTCAGATTTCACCACGGCTACTGGGTTACCCACCACAGTCGATAAGCGCAATGAGAGAAATAACTCAACTAGAGGAAGACTACTTGTACCAGAGGATGGATCAAATATCTCCCAGTCCAGACATTCTCGTTTGAACCAGACTGTTCGCCAAGAGTTCGAGGGCTTTGATATGGGTCAAAAGAAGCCATTCGAGCCGGAGTCGATGAAGACATCGAAGGAGATCAAAATAGCCGACAATACATGGAGGAAGAATCAGCACTGGATTCATCTTCTCTGGGAACAGACTCCTTGGGTTATTCTGACAACGCTATTTTTCTTGATCGCCGCCACTGCAGTGATTAGGCCGAACTTCCGGAAGATCGAAAGCATGGACACGTTTTTATTTTGTTTAGAAATATTCTGGGACATAAGGGCCTAGCTAATTGATTGCCCAGTGTGTATATAGACTAGGTTAGTAGATATCACCACAATCGAACATCTTGGAACTTCAGAATATAGACAAGATCCGATCCCTCGATTCGTCGAGATATACTTCGTTCGTCCGATTGTTGATGACGAAAGCGGGCCCGCTTACATAACTACCTAACCGTATGCAGCACATGACGAAGGCGGCGGGTCTCCCGACGGTCACGCCGTCTCCAACTCCTCTCTCTGTCGCATCCCCATCATACCGTTGGGACCGACTGTTCCTTTGACTTATTCGATCGATTTTCGCCTGAAGTCGGGTGAATTACACACAATATGGGGGCTCTACTCTCCTTGCCTCTTTTGGCCATTCCCAGCGCCAGTACAGTACGTCGCCCCCAGATTAGGCCACCAAGTGATCTCTGAACTGACCGTCAACTAGCTGATCACTGTTGCGACTTCATGTTGCGGCGCGGCAACTTGCTCGGCAGTATGTAGTGCGTGTGGGAAATTTCAGAATAGGTTAGAATTTGAACCTCCCTCTGGCAAATCTACATTAAAGTTTACTGACCATTGGGGCTTCGCATCAGTATGGCCACGAGGATTGCCTACGCCTTCATCCTTCTTATCAACTCGATTATTTCTTGGATAATGCTTACGCCGTTTGCGCTCAAAAAACTACAACATTTGACTTTGGACTACATGGAAATTCGGTGCGACGGCAAAGAATGCACTGGCTGGGTCGCTGTTCATCGCATCAATTTTGCCCTTGGTCTCTTTCACCTCATTCTTGCAGTCTGGCTGCTTGGAGTGAAGTCGTCCAAAGATGGCCGCGCGTCTCTTCAGAACGGGTTCTGGGGTCCAAAGATTATACTGTGGATCCTCTTTGTGGTCATGTCATTTTTCATTCCCGAGCCTTTCTTCTTCGTCTACGGTCATTACATTGCCTTCATTTGCGCCATGCTGTTCCTTTTGCTGGGACTGATCCTCCTTGTGGACCTAGCACATTCATGGGCGGAGTTATGTCTGCAGAAGATCGACGACAATGACTCACGGATCTGGCGGGGTCTGCTTATCGGGTCAACTGTGGGCATGTACCTTGCATCCATCGTGATGACGATCCTGATGTACATCTTCTTTGCTCGCAGTGGATGCACCATGAACCAGGCAGCCATCAGCGTAAGTTCAAAGCCTCACCCGTTCCCAAGGCAACACTGAGCTAATTGAGTAGATCAATCTCGTCGTATTCTTGATAATTTCCGTCGTCTCCGTTCAACCCGTGGTTCAAGAATCCAACCCCCGAGCAGGGCTGGCCCAAGCGGCCATGGTTACTGTCTACTGCACGTACCTGACCATGTCGGCTGTTTCGATGGAGCCGGATGACAACCAATGTAACCCTCTGATTCGAGCTCGAGGCACGAGAACCGCCACTATTGTCTTGGGTGCGATTGCCACCATGGCCACGATTGCGTATACCACTACCCGTGCGGCCACCCAAGGTATCGCTCTCGGATCCAAAGGCGGACACAACTACTCGCAACTGGGCATGGATGACAACGAACATGGTCTTGTGACCCAACAACCCATCAGTCGTCGTGAGATGCGTGCCGATGCTCTCCGTGCGGCCGTTGCCAGCGGTAGCTTGCCTGCCAGTGCACTGGACGAGGACAGCGATGACGAGTCCGACTCTGACGAGACCAAGGACGATGAGAGAGGGTCAACACAGTACAATTACTCGCTTTTCCACATTATCTTCTTCCTCGCGACCACGTGGGTGGCTACGCTACTGACGCAAAATCTGGATCCTGATTCGATCGATGACTTTGCCCCCGTTGGTCGGACGTACTGGGCCAGTTGGGTGAAGATCATCAGCGCTTGGGTGTGCTACGCTATTTATCTGTGGACCTTGGTCGCCCCAGTTGTTCTTCCCGATCGCTTTGACACCTACTGATTGATTTAAGTGTGTCTGCCCTTTTTGCCTTGTTGCCTTTTGTTCTGTGTCGTTTCTCAGCGGAGTGAGGCGTTCTTTAAGCGGTGCTTGACATTCTCCTGATTGTCCACTGTATATTGGTTTTTCTTTTACTACAGATATCATTATATACTAGGTAGTCGCTTGTATAGGAGAATACGAAGGGGTTTGCAAGTCATGATTTATTCGAATAAGATAAGTATGGCTCGTTGGGCCGTAGCATCTGCAGTGGACGATCGATAAGGAGGATAAGGATGCTTAGTGAGCGCGGCATCGCGTCAAGTAGCAACCCGCGCGTGGGTTCCGCGTCGGAAGTCATCTCTCAACTCCGCCATGGGATGAACATGGCGACTATTAAGGCCATCGAGGCTCGTTCGGTACGATTGTGGTCTCTCTTAAAACTTTCATAAAACTACATCTAATCTCATGCCCCGGGTCTCCAGGTCCATCAAATCCAATCCGGTCAAGTCATAGTCGATCTTTGTTCGGTTGCGAAAGAGCTGGTCGAGAACAGCATCGATGCCGGAGCTACGTCTATTGGTATTTCATTCTTTTGGTTTATCATGATTTTGAGTGAGCTGATAAAGGTTGCCTTTCTGCTCAGAGGTGCGATTCAAAAATAATGGCTTGGACTTGATTGAGGTGCAGGATAACGGGAGTGGCATCTCGCCTCCAAACTACGAGAGTCTTGGTAAATCCCCGTCATGTGGAAATGGATTGAAATAGTTCGAAAGGCTCTAACTCAACCAGCGCTCAAGCACTACACCTCCAAACTATCTTCGTACGATGACCTCTCGCGCCTACACACTTTTGGCTTCCGCGGCGAAGCGCTATCGTCCCTATGCGCTCTATCCGAATTCCACGTCGTGACCGCCCAAGCCGATCAGGCTCCAAAAGCCAACCGACTTGATTTCGAACCGTCCGGAAAGCTGAAGAAGACACAAATCGTCGCGGGTCAACGCGGTACTACGGCATCAGTGGAAGGGATCTTCAAGCGATTACCCGTCCGGCGTCGCGAGCTGGAGAAGAACATCAAGCGGGAATACGGCAAAGTGCTGAATCTTCTGCATGCGTATGCATGTATCAGCGTGAACATTCGCTTCAGTGTCCGGAATACCGTGGGGAAATCTCGCAACGTGGTTGTCTTCTCCACAAACGGCAACCAAACCACGAAGGAAAACATCGCCAATGTCTACGGCGCGAAGACACTTCTGGCGCTGATTCCGCTCGATCTGGAATTGGAGTTCGAGCCTTCCGCAGCGGCGAGGCGGCTCGCTGAGCGGGAGGGGAAAGAAGTGAACAAGATCCAGGTTCGAGGACATGTTTCTCGACCGGTATTCGGGGAGGGCCGGCAAACGCCTGATCGTCAGATGTTTTTTGTGAATTCTCGTCCCTGCGGGCTACCGCAAATTGCGAAGGCGTTCAACGAGATCTACAAGTCATTCAATGTTTCGCAGTCGCCGTTTGTTTTCGCCGATTTCCATATGGATACCCATGCCTACGATGTCAATGTGTCTCCTGATAAGCGAACGATTCTATTGCACGATGCGGGGGCTATGATTGACTCCTTGAAAGAATCTCTCACGCAATTGTTCGAGTCTGCTGATCAGACCGTTCCTCAGTCCCAAGTTTTTGGCTCCAAGCAGAATACCAAAGGATTGCATGATGTCGTTGCTCGTAGACCTGCAGTTACAGGTCTAGGCGAGGGACCGAGTAATGGAGCGAATGATGAGGAAGAAGGTGACGATGAGGAGCAGGAAGAAGAAACGACAGCAGAACAAGATCATCCCAGTTCGCAAAGTAGGCTGAAATGCTTTCTCAGCGGCATGGGCTCTCGCCGAGAGCAAACCGAAATCCTGTCCTCGCCTGCCAGAACTGGCACACCAAGAGTACAGAACACAACCTCCTTGCCAATGACGTCCCAAACCAAATCAGGCACAGTGGGTCAAGATGACAGCTTCCCGGCTTCAGATGGGAATGGGAAGGCCAATGACTCTCCTAAGAGTCTAAACGGGAGTGTGTCCGACCCACAAGATGCCCAATCAGATGCAGAAATGGATGAGCCTGAGCATCAGACCCCCCAGAGCAGCGCTCCGGGTGAAAAGACCACCCTCAGGAAAGATAACGGTATCATGGAAACACCCAATGCAATCCAGAATGCATTTGACAGGATGCGTCCCAGACGGGTACCAGCGGAGATTGCTACAATTACTATCGGTGACAAAACGGTCACGTCTATGGTAGGGAGCGGTGCTCCCAGAAAGAGGGATGCAGGATCGATCAGCACAGATAATCCCTCTTCAGTTCGGAAAAGACGAATCCACACCCCTTCTCGCTCGGGCATATTTGGTAAACATATGCGGGACTTTGCTGCTCCTGGGTCGCAGTTAGAGCAAACGGCAAACAGCGAAGACGAGGACGTGGAGGAAGAGGACGACGAGAACGAATCTTATGAAGATGAAGTAGAAGATAATGAAGAGGACGAAAATGCTGAACCGATTGATGATGGAGAGTCTGAAGATGGAAATCAGTCCTGCGCACCGTCGCATCATGGTAATGACAGTTTAGCCGATGAAGACGCCGGTCAAGATGTGGTTCACCCGGAAGACCATAACGAGCTTGAAGATGCAGCGACACAACTGCCGCCGGCGTCAGACGACGGAAGGGTGGATTACGACGATGAAGAGAAAAAGAAGCATGAAGAAGCCGAGGTCCAGCGACTTATTCAGGAGGCAGAGGACAAGGCTGTTCTCCCACAGGAAAACAGTCTTAGTCGGGCGAATAAAATGAATAAAGGGGCCGCCCATCGCGATTCTACTGTTCAATTCGCTTGCACCGTCGATGGATCTATTCCCAGAATTCAGCTACAGGTCGAGCAACTCAGGGAACATACTCGGTCAAATACCGATGACTCTAGTCAACAGGATGACAACGAGGCGGCAGTGTCGCTAGAGACGGCCGAAGAAAAGTTGTCTTTAACCGTGACTAAGGAAGACTTTGATAAGATGCGGATCATTGGGCAGTTCAACCTTGGGTTCATCATAGCTACACGACCCTCGAGCAAGCATGTAGACCCAAGTTCATCCAGCTGCAAGGATGAACTCTTCATCATCGACCAACATGCCTCGGATGAGAAGTTCAACTTCGAGCGTCTCCAAGCTGAAACCGTCGTTCAGAACCAACGCCTGGTCCAACCGAAACGGTTAGACCTTACAGCAGTGGAGGAAGAGATAGTCATTGAGAACCAATCCGCACTGGAGAAGAACGGGTTTGTGGTGGAAGTGGACGACAGTGGAGACGAGCCTATTGGCCGTCGCTGCAAACTGGTCTCGCTACCTCTCAGCAAAGAGGTGGTCTTTGGTTTGCAGGATTTGGAAGAATTGATTGTTTTGCTGTCCGAGATGCCGGCAGTCAGTGCGACGGGTTCCGCGTCGCACATGTATATACCACGCCCGGGCAAGGTGCGAAAGATGTTTGCCATGCGCGCATGTCGGTCTAGCATCATGATTGGCAAGAACCTGACACAGAAGCAAATGGTCAAGGTGGTGAGAAACATGGGAACCATCGACAAACCATGGAATTGTCCGCATGGTCGACCAACCATGAGACACCTGATGAGCCTGGGACAATGGAATGAATGGGACGAGTTTGGAGATGATGACGACGGGCTGGATCCTGACGACAATCGATCTTCCTCGGACTCATTGAGTGCCTGGAGGGATTTCTTCGAGGAGATGGGAGGCTCCGGTGATGAAGAAGAAGAAGATGAAGTTATGAACGAGGGCGATGATACCGATGATGGTGAATCAGAGGGGTAATCGCCCGAAGGCTCTTGGACTTGGACATAGACATCTACTCAAGCGATCTAGCAATACATTTTGGATACATAGGATGATTTCCTCTCTTGTCTGGACCACACCATCGAGAATGAGTTTCGCTTACAGAATAGCTCGCAACGTGATCCTGACACCGATCTGTCCGCTGATCTTAACATACCCATTGACAACGCAAGAAATGAAAAGCTCGGTTGCGCCTCCGAAGACCCTTGCTGCATTTACCAAGTGTGTGACCCTGTTCCACTAGATCATTGGCTTTCTATCTGCCTTATCAATGCAAAGAGCGCAAATGCCCCCCACAATGTGTATCCCCGCTGTCGATGTTCGGGATCGCAAGCCGAAGTGTGAGCTCGGCCGCCGGAGAGCGGCGTTTACGCCCTATTATAGCAAAGCTGCAACGCAAGATCTTCCAAGCTTTTGCTCTAATTCGCCTCGCTGTAGGAGGCATTGGTATAGTCCATCAACTCCATGCGGGGATACGCGCGGAGTGGGGTCCAGAAGGCGATGCTCGGAATCACATCCCGAGCATGTTGACGCAGCGCGGCCCAGTCCTTCAGATACAAAAAGGTGAGATGCCAGCTTAATACTACAGCTTCGCCAATTTCATTATCTGTCTTCTCATTTTGCGACCACCCTTGACTATGAATGCGGTGCGCACCGCCGGCATCCGGCGGCTGCCACGGTCGATGTATCGGCAGATGAGCCTGTGGAATCCACCCAAATTCGAGAATGAGAAAATGGTAGGCAATCTGGGAACTTCGGCGGATAATGCACAAACTAAAGATTTATTAGTTGGACTACGGAAAAGGTTCCCCAGAGAGGGCCGAGTTGACTCGGACGTTGGATAAATTGAAGCGGGACATGCCGTTCAAGATACCACTCACCGTCAATGGATCTCCAGTAAGAACCCCGGGCGAACCCAGCGAATTCAGCGGCTGACCATTAATCCAGGTAGAAACGCTTCAGTCCAGACAACAAGAGAACCCATCGAAACACCGAGAGATCGTGGCGGAATACGCAACAGCAACTCCCGCGCAGACTAATGCGGCGGTGGACGCTGCTCTCAAGGCCAAACCGGCCTGGGAGGCCATGCCTTTTGAGGATCGAGCTGCTATTTTCCTGCGTGCTTCGGAACTTATCGCCGGCAAATACCGCTCGGAATTGGTAGCAGCCACTATGCTGGGCCAGGGCAAGAATATCTGGCAGGCAGAGATTGACGCCCCTGCCGAGACGGTTGACTTTTTCCGCAGCTACATCCAGGAGTGCTGGTCACTCTTCTCGCAGCAGCCTAGATTCCAGACGGCTGGCACTTGGAATAAGCTGGAATATCGCCCTCTCGAAGGCTTTGTCTACGCTATTGCACCATTCAACTTCACGGCGCTTGGCGCGACTCTAATTAGCCCTGCCGCGCTGCTAGGCAATGTGGTGATCTGGAAGCCTTCCGATTCAGCCCTGCATGCCAGCTGGCTACTACATCAAATCCTCCTGGAAGCCGGACTTCCCAAGGACGTGATTCAGTTTCTTCCCGGTGATGCCGAAGAAGTCACCAATACTATCCTGCAACGGCCCGAATTCGGCGCCCTCACCTTCATCGGTTCAACTCAAGTATTCAAGAGCCTGCAGAAGAAGATCGGAAACGGCATCGGTGACGGCGTCTACAACTCCTACCCCCGAGTTGTCGGCGAAACCGGCGGCAAGAACTGGGGCCTAATCCATCCATCCGCCGACGTGAAGAACGCAGTCCTGAACACCATCCGCGCCGCCTTCGAATACCAGGGCCAAAAGTGCTCGGCCAACTCGCGCATCTACGTCGCCGAGTCAGTCTGGCCTGAGTTCCAGCGCCATCTGCAAGAAGAACTCAGCCACCTCAGCGTCGGCCCCGTCGACGAATACCGCCACTTCATTAATCCGGTGATTCACGAACGGGCCTTTGATCGTCTCGCGCAGGTCCTCGACGCCGCGAAACGAGACCCTGGGCTGGAACTCATCGCCGGCGGCCACGCCTCTAAGGAAGAAGGCTACTTCGTGCATCCGACTGTCTACCGGACCACTAACCCCAGACACGAGATCATGTCGCGCGAGCTCTTCGGCCCCATCCTCGGCGTCTACGTCTACCCTGACGCGGAGTGGGAGTCAACCCTGGATCTCGTGAATACTACCTCCCGCTACGCTTTGACGGGGAGCATCTTCGCCAAAGATGCCGTCGCGTCACGCCACGCCCAGACGGCGCTCAAACATGCTGCGGGTATGTTATACCTGAACAGCAAGTGTACGGGGGCCGTGGTCGCGCAGCAGCCGTTCGGCGGGAGTCGGGACTCCGGAACGAATGATAAAACGGGGACAATGGCGCATTTGCAACGGTTTGTAAGTGTTCGGACGATTAAGGAGGATTTCGGGACGTTGGAGAAGGTTCAATATCCGTCGAATGAGGAGTGATTTGGTGTATAGTTGAATGATATTGAGTCAAATCAAGCCTATATATCTGAGAGTTTGAATTATCCCCGTCATGCTCAGAGTATATTAATGACCTAACCCACCTAGACGGTTTGAATGTACCAGTCAGTGTACGAGTCACTATCCATCAAATCACACAACGGAAACCACCTAAATTCCAAGGCCTCATTACAAAAGTCCTCTATCCAACACCAACCCAACTATATCTAAAACCACATACTATATATCAGACCTCATAATTGCAAATTTCATTGTCCTCATATAACCAATAGAAAAAGTATGAACTACACATCAAGAATTGAACCAAAAGAGTTACCTGCCCACCAGTGGACAAACAGACTATACTACACACCATCCAGCCCCTCCGCATCCCGCTGACCCTGACTCTGCTGATGCTGCTGCTCAGCCCTCAAAATCTCCACCTCGACAGCATGTCTGCGCGCCTGTTCCGACTCGCTCGAATTATCCCTGAACACGTGGTCCATTTGCTCGAGCGTGCGGCCCTTGGTTTCGGGCACGAAGACGAATGTCCAGATTAGTGCTAGCAGGCAGAAGACGGCGAAGAAGGTGTATGCGCCGAAGCCGGTGTTTTGGACTAGGGGCGGGGTGATCAAGCCCTGTTTTTCTTGGTGTTAGGGTTTGCGTTTTGGGTTTGGAGAAAGGGAATATGGGATGGGATGACTTACGATGATGAAGTTGTTTAGCCAATTAGAACATGTTGAGAGAGCAACACCCTTGGCGCGGAGAGAGGATGGGAAGATTTCTGAATCTTGCGTTAGACAGGAAGTCAATAGAGATTGGGAGGGAAAACAAACCAGATGGCATAGCCCATCCGACAGGACCCCAACTAGCACCGAAGGAGATCATATAGAAAAGCAAAAGAGCAACGCTGGCCCATCCTTGAGGGCGATGGGCAGGCCAGTTGTTCGAGAACAGACCCACCAAGATCGCGATGATAACGTGGGATATGGTCATGAACAACGCGCCCCAAAGCAAGAGACTGCGTCTGCCGAAGCGGTCCATTGTCCAGACTGTGGTGGAGACACCGACTAATTGCGTCACATTGAGAATACCAGACATCAACAGCTGCATGTCGTAGTCTAGGCCCATGGTTTCGAACAATGTGGGAGAGTAGTAGATGAGGGCGTTGATTCCGACGAACTATGCTACTGGTCAGTTATGTGCACCTTCACGGTGAAAGTAGGAATAAAGAAAGATATACCTGTTGGAAGAACATCAGTCCCACACCGACATGGGTTCTGCGCCAGCAGCCCTTCTTGAAACAGTCTGCCCAAGAGGCCATCTCCAGTAAGAAGGACTTGCGCAGTCCGCCACCCTGGAGGTCGGGGTGCTTTTCGGCGTTCATTTCCTGGTGGAATCGAACCTCGGCCTGGATGTCAAGGTATTCTTGCCGCACGCGCTTGTCCGAAGTCGGCAGACGACGAAGCCGAGAAAGACTTTCGAGTGCCTCGTCATTTCGACCCTTTGAGGCTAGCCATCTAGGCGAGAAGGGGAGCACAATAACACCTGCGACCAGAACGAAGCCCGGGATCATCTGGAGGAGGAATGGTAGACGCCAGGACCATTCTCCGGCCATGAACCGAGTGCCATAAGTGATCCAGTAGGCGATGACAATACCTAGGACGATGCAGAATTCTTCTAGAACGAGTAGTGTACCACGACACTCGGGAGGACCTGAACGAGCACCAGTCATTAGCCACAACAATTCCTGAACTGGCCCTTACATGATGCACATACTGATTTCGGAAATATACAGAGGCGCAACCATCGAGAGCATGCCGATACCCAAGCCGCCAATGAACCGAGCAACGGTCAACATGGCGTAATCCATTGCAGCCGTTTGAAGGATCGAGCCGATGGTGAAGATAATGACGGCGACGACAATCGAGTAGCGACGCGAGATCATATCTGCAATCCAGCCCTGGTTCAGCGCGCCAATCAATGCACCCAATTCGATCATGGCCGTCATCAATCCCTTCCAAAACCCCGATGCGTCGGGGCCCACTTCAGGGAACCGTTCCAAGAATTGATCCATGACTAGAATAACCGACACCACGCCCTGGTCGTAGCCAAACACCAGACCTCCGAGTGTGGAGCATGCTGCGCACATGAACACGAATGGGTTGGCCACTAGGCCTGCCAGACCGGCAGGTCCATATGGCTCCCTTTCGTTCAAGATGTTCTCGGCATGGTGGGAGAAGCCTTCGATAGATGAGTGGTCATCGTCAACATCCTTGACTTGGGGTGGCTTGTCCGCCATCTCTTACTAGGGGAGGGGAAGTGAAAGGGGGATAAAGGGAAAAGAAGGATATATATGAGAGGAGTCGGCAAGAAGCCCAAAAGATCAAGGGAGCCAGGCACCTGATGACTGTCACACTAGAAATAGCAGCTAGGGGGATTGCAGGACACCTTATATAGATTGGATGGTAAGGACCGTGGTTCTGAGAGTCACCTTAGACCCAATTCACTTCAACCGCCATGAAACCCAAAGGCCGAGCTGCAACTCTGATTCGCAGACAGACCACGGTTGTCGGCTGCTTCCAGCGCCCATGAAGCCAAGGCAAGCTACCTCCAGAGTACAAAGAACGGCGATCCCCCGGCGTCTGTCGAATAGCGCGCCGGTCTGGGCGAGGTGGGCCCGGAGAAAGTGCGAGCTAAACTGGATGCAGGAAGTTTGAGGGGAAAGCTCTCCGGGGGAGAATCCACTGGACGGGATTTTAGACACGACATCCTGGTCGAGTTGATCCAGGGAAATCCATGGAAGCTTGGTGTCATCCTTTGAGGGATATTGGCTTCATGATAGGGTCTGGCTCTACACGTGAGCCACATCACGGGATCTTCCCTCGCCCTTTCTCCCTGACCTGGAGATGCACATGGGGAAGGACCAACGTCACGATCTCGACTGGCAGGGGCTGGTCGGCATGAACATGGGGTCTGCTGTGAAACCCAGATCGATACAAGCGGCTCCAGTATACCGGCACCATTGGCTCAGCACGCCGTGGGATGTCATCATTGGTGTCCAGAGCCAAGGTCAGATCGTCTATCAGTCATCCGTCGTCCCTTCTTCCTGGCAATTCCTTATGCCTCCGTACTCGTGGCAGACCCACGCGTCTGCGGGACACAGGCCAATCATCCTTTGCATTTTACTACAAAGTTGGCGGGTGATCGAGGGCGCATTAGCAGCGTTGGAGTCTCGCACGGCAACGGAGGACAGAAGCAGTCATGTCGAAAGCCGATCGGACAGGATCAGGGGACGAGCCGAGAATTTCCGCCGTGCATCGCTGGAGGGGTAGGAGAGCTTCTGTTTGTGCCCAAGACATCCAGAGGATTGGATGCATCACGAGATTTGGCCGGACAAGTCGGTGCCTGAGGATGGCTGAGAAGCGGACGGTCAGGCACCCCTCGAACAAATAAGCCCGGCCTCATCCCACTTGCTCTCCGTCAACTCTCTCCCTCTCTCTCGTGTCTCTACAATCAGTAATTCACACTCTACTTCGTACATCCATCCATCTGTTGACCCCACGGGGAAAGCGACTGCCTCCAATTTTTAACTTCATCCTTGGTCCCTGGGAAATACTGGGGCTGGCTCCGATTTCCGAACGAGTAGCAACGCCTTTCTCCACCGTCGCTCTCAAACGCCGACCGTCACTGTCGGTCAACCCCCGATTCTTGGCTCTTTCTGCCGTCTCTGCATCAAAGAATCCCCTCTTTTTCTCACGGTGCTATCTCTGTCCGAAATCTCACCATCGGTCCGTAAATTCCTTGCTTTTTTCTTGCTGTGTAACAAACCGAGCCCGAGCTTCTTACGTCACTAACACATTGCACTAGAGACGGGGCTCTCTTCACAGAAAACAAAAGAAAAAGACAGAAAAACAAAGTTCATCCAGGACGGATTCCAATTTCCGACCCTTCCAACGTCATCCCGCGCTTCTACCCTTGCCCGCTCTCCTCTTCCGACTCTACCCCCGCCGCCTCGCATCGGACCGAGACACATAATCTCTAGCCAGTATGGCCTCGTTTGTGGAGGAGCTCTGGTCGAGCGTCTTTACCCCAGGTCCCACCCCGACCCTGCTGGTCGCGACCAACGCGACCTTCGCCGCCCTTCAAGTCGTCCTGTTCTCCCTTCTCGTCGCCACCTACAGCATCCATTTCGTCGTCCTGTCCGTCCTCTCAGGATCCCTCTGGTACTCGATCAACTGGTTTGCTCGGGAAGTGAGACAAGTGCAGGCCGCCGAGGCCGAGAAGGAGAAAAATGAGAAGAAGGGCGACTCCACGCGGGAGAATCCGGAGGAGATCAAGGACACCAAGCACGACGGCATTCAAAGGAAGACGCCGGGGGCTCTGGACAGCGACAGCGACACGGAGACGGAAAGTATCTCGGAGCACAATAGAAGGAACTCAGATGCGTCTGGGCCTGACCTTCGGTCCACTCCTGTCCCGACTCTCCAGCCGCCAGAGGCCTCAGGGGAGATTCGGAAACGCTCCAGTATGGGAGGGGACAGCTCGGGCTATGTGAGCACCGACAGTGAGTGGGAGAAGGTGGAGGATAGTAACGGGGCTTAACATGTGTGGGCGTTTGTTGTAGAGACTTATGCGAATTCTAAGAGTACTGCTCTATGGTACTGTGTGGTGGCTATGTCTGTTTCACGCCAGAATGAGGTAACTCGTCTGCAATAAATCGACACTCGTCGATTATACACGTTGCTGCTTGGGTTTTGCTCGTATGAAGAGATACCCCTAGATATCACAATGTTTGTTTGTCATATTAGATGACAGGAAATTGACTACGATAGTCGGCAGCCGCATGCCGGCAAATATTGGGAATGAAATGACTGGAATCATATGGTGCCTCTCCTTTCAAGGTCGACGCCTGAATATTCAGCAGCACATGCAAACCCCTCAAAACAACCCAATCTGGAATAGCGCATATACCTTATCGATAAGGTCACATGCTGATAGCGCTGAGTCATCCCTCCTCTGTTGATGCGCGATAACGAGAAAAGCAACCGAACTCTCTCCGGTATTTGTTGACAAGAAACAATCCACTCGTTGCGCCCTCCGAAGAAATCCTCCCGGCAATGCCTCCTACATAAGTTCCGGCGAGAGACACCATCATGGCCGCAACCGCACCGCCCATCCTCCCCGGACGACGACGCGTCTTCGCGTCCGTCTTCCCGCCCACCTCGCTCGACGACTTCGGAGGCCCCCCTGCAACGACCGAGCCGGCGCACGACCAGCCGGCGCACGACCAGCCGAAGTGGGATGCCTCGTGGCGCGCAGCAACCGCTTTCCTGAGCATCCCGGATAAAGGATTCTTTCTGGCGAGTCAGATCAGCGAGGATGAGTTCCTTCGACTCTCGAATCGACATCAGACGCCGTCGAAGGAGGTGTCGGGTGCGCTGAAGTACTTGAGCGCGCAGGCACAGGACGATCTCGCGGAGACAGGACGATGGAGTATAATAGATTGGTATGGGAATGAGATCCGGAGGCATTTCCTGAAGAATTTTAGGGAGGGGCTGTTCACGGTGGGTGTGCCTTATTCCTTTGCGTGTCTTGGCTATGGTTTGTTCTGATAAAATGGGTCTAGCTATTGAATGACGCGGATAAAGATGAACTGCTGCAAAAAATCGTGCATTGCTTGCAGTTGGCTCGAAGGATCTATTTCGCTCCTCTGATGGAGTATATCTTGCCGTTGCTGGCTCGCCCGGAGCAAGAGAGGGTGTTTATTAAACTGCGGCGCGAGTTCCATATGATGATCTCGTATGGGCTGCCGTGGCCGACAGTTTCGGGGTTGCTTGCGCGCGAGATCACAAAGGAGACGGTTGTTGTGCTGGGTCTAGATACATTGAAGGACAGGGATCTCAGCGATACGGAGAGCGTGGATAACATGGAAATTGACCGACAGCACTCTGTTTCCTATCAGACCTGGAAGGACGAGCCCTCTGCGGATATCCGTGTGCATATGATGACGGAAAACGAGGATGAGCAGGTCACGGGGGCTCGCGAAAGACTGTTATCGTTATTTACGGGACTCCAGCTGGTGGGGTTTGGCGGAGATAAAGCCCAGAAGGTATTTGCGGATGTGATGAATACTATGGTGACGGAGTTTGTGCGCGCCGCGTATACAGGTCAATGGGAGGGGCCGTCCTTGGTAGCGGAGCATCTACGACAGTGGATAGAGAATGTGTTCGCTCGGCTTGTCGTGCAGGTCTTGGCCATCATCAACGTGCCGGAGTCTGGTGCTAAGGAAGAAGATTATCTGGATGTGAACCTCAGTGACGTCGACAAGTGGCAGGATATCGGAATTGCTCGCTTGGGGGCGCTACGGACGAGCGAGCTCTTCGAGATTATTGTGGAGTGGCCTGCAAGTAGCGGAGCCATTGAAGACCTTCGATACTTCACGACGTATACCGCGGCGCGACTTCATCTCACACATTCTTTTGCCGCGGTGCTCAACCGACGCCTGCTGCACCCTGGCGCGTCTACCGTCGAGATTCTACAGCTATACATTTCGATCATCCGGGCATTCAACCTTCTCGACCCTAAGGGGGTGCTACTGGATCGGATCGCTCGACCCATCCGTCGATACCTCCGCGATCGCGATGATACGGTCAAGGCCATTGTCGGCGGACTTTTGGCTGACCCGGCCGACGCGGACGGGCACGGGACCTCGGGCGGAGAGACGCTGGTGGAACTGTCTGCCGAGCTAACCAAGGCGCATCAGAACTCGTTGAGAAACGAAACGGGCGAGCTCGACTGGGATGATATGAACTGGATCCCCGACCCCGTGGACGCGGCGCCCGACTACCGGAAATCGAAGAGCTCCGATGTCATCGGAAGCTTAATAAGTCTATTCGAGTCGAAGGAGACCTTCGTGAAGGAGATGCAGAATATGCTGGCGGACCGACTGCTTGAGAAGCGCACGGAGTTCGACCAGGAGATGTCGGTCCTGGAGCTTCTCAAGGTCCGCTTTGGCGACAACGCCCTGCAGGCCTGCGAGGTCATGCTGCGCGACATCTTCGATTCCCGCCGAGTCGACACCGTCGTCCGCAACGACCAGGGTCTCGGACGGTCTGCCACCAACTTCCCCAACACCCCCGATCAGAACGCAGATCGCGACCACGACCAGCCCGAACTCCACGCCAAGATTCTCTCGCACTTCTTCTGGCCCGACATCCAAGAACAAGAGTTCAAGGTGCCCGAGGACATCTCGCAGCTCCAACAGCGCTACTCAGCCGGCTTCGCGTCGCTCAAACAATCCCGCAAACTCACCTGGCTGAACGGACTCGGCCAAGTCACGGTGGAACTGGACCTCGAAGACCGCGTCTTCGTCGACGAAGTTACCACCTGGCAAGCCACCGTCATCTACGCCTTCAACTCCTCCTCCACCTCTTCCTCCGAACCCATCACCCACTCCATCACCTACCTCTCCCAAACCCTCGACATGTCCACCGCACTAGTCCGCAGCGCCTGTCTCTTCTGGGTCAGCAAACGCATCCTCACCGAAGTCCACCGCGACACCTTCCGCGTCCTCGAAGTCCTCCCCACCGAATCTGACGAGCCCACCACCGCCGGCGCCGGAATCGACCCATCGTCCCCCTCCGGCCTAGACGCCACCTCATCCACCGAGACCCAGGACGCCGCCGCTGCCGCCACCGCGGCCGCCGCAGCGGCAGCCAAAGAATCAGCCGAGGCGGCCGCCATGGAGAAGATGAATCTATACTGGCAGTTCATTGTCGGGATGCTCACGAACCAGGGCGCCATGCCGTTGCAGCAGATCGTGATGATGTTGAAGATTGCGGTCCCGGGAGGGTTCCCGTTTAGTAATGAAGAACTGCGCGAGTTTTTGGCCGGCATGGTGGCTAGGAGGAAGTTGGAGATTGTGTCTGGGGGAAGTTATCGGATTGTTTAGTATTCATAAAGGCACCAGGTGTCTGGGTAAGTGACCTTGCTGTATACCATCTTACCAGAGAGGAGGAAGGGAGGAAGTTTGCATTGTACGAATTACGAATTTACACGAATAATTCATTAATCAGTCACATATCTATTGGAATTGCCGGACAGGTCGACTGCTTTCCCTTGGCTGTTTGGTGCTCACCTTAAGTAGACCTAAGCACGCCCTAAGGACCACTGCCACACCGGGATACTCAACAGGCCCCATCTATGGGCTGTGTGCCTTCTGGGCTCAGCCCCTAGCCCATCATGGGCCCTGGAACCTGGCACAAAGCTCAGCCCACAACTGGGTCGGGTTAGGTTGGGCTTGGGCTTTCATGGGCTCTGCTGTAATCTAGATAGAGCTATACTGAGGTACCGTGATCTCGCTAACGTAAAAGTCTAGTAGTTATGTCAGCCACAAGAGGATGAAGCTATAGTTTCTGAGTACTCTTTACCAAAATAGACTTTTTGGAAACTCTCACAGCGGACCCCCCTTTACCACTATGTGCCTGAACAGACCCTCTCCTCTACTACAATCATGACTCCAAGGACATACACCATTATCACCATCCTCATATTCACCCCAACTCTTCAACAAGATCCCCAACGATTTCCTTGGTAAATCTCCACAGCAACGCCGAATCATGCGCATGGAACGCAGCCCCGGAGTAAAACGTACTCCTGCGCCCTTGAAGCCCATACAACTTCCTATAAAACCCATCCCGGATGGCCTCCGATGAAACATGCACATGATATGGCGTATGGCTATCATAAGCCACGATCTCGCTCTCCAAGTCCAGCTTGCCCCCAACCTGCCGGCGCAGTGTCTCGATCGATTGCAAAATGCCATCCTGAGCGGCCTGGGCAGTCAGGGCAGTCAGCGATCCATACTCTACAATATACAGCTCCGGAGCTTCGGTGCGCATAATCCGGTAGAGAGCAGGCAGTCTCGGCTGGCCGTAGACCGTGTCTGACGCAATATTCTTATACATGAAGCTCGAGGGGGGGAGGCCCGGAATCCGCACGAGCGATGCATAGTATCCTACTGCGCGAAACTGCCCAAACACGGACTTTTCGTCCTCGGATAGGTCATACCCATCCAAGTTATCCAGTAAAGGGGGAATGGTGCTGAGCAGTTTCTTTGAGTGGATGAGTTCCCGGCCTGTCGGTGACTCCACGCATATGCGGACGCTGTCGTTATGACGCTGCATGTGGGACACTGTCGTCAAGAGGAACACGCTGTCCTGGCCTAGGATCTCCAGCGCGTTTCCGAAGATCTCGTAGTTATTATGGTTGGCGGTGTACACGAAGTTCGTCCGCATACTTTCCACAACGGCCGGTCCTACATCCTTGAAAATATATAGTGCTGGCATTGTCAGGATATCACCCTGTCCGTTCCAGAGATTACTGACAAAGCCTTCGAGGCCATATTTCTTAACGATATCCCGGAATGGGCGATATAGATCCTGGGGGACGGGATCAGGAAGCGCAGTGTCATACTGTAGGTAGTCGTATTTATCGACCACGTCGGCATAGGCGTCGACTGAGGCTTCGACTAGGGATTGGTTAGAAAGCTCTCCTCGCTCGAAATCGAACTTGAAGGTGTCGCCGGGTGAGATGGCGGCGGTTTTGGTGTAAGAGACGTTGAGACGTTCGAAGAACTCCGTCACGACATCGAGGTCGGTCCATTGGTAGACTCCATAGTCGATTGTCTGGTTAGTCGTCGGATCGACGTAGGTGTTTGTGTGGCCTCCGAGGATGGGCTTGCGCTCGATAAGGGCGACGGATTTGCCGAGATCGTGGAGCTGCATCGCGGCGTAGGTTCCCGAGGCGCCGCCGCCAATGATGGCTACGTCTCTATGTATCACTTTCGTTGTGTTGCAAGAGAAGGGCTGTGAGGTAGAAGCTGCTACTGGTAGCATGAAAACAGCGGCCGAATATAATGATTGTAGCTTCATTGCGGGGTTGGCGAAGGGATAGGGCTCAAGCAACTAATGAGCTTGTTGTAAGCGGAGAGAACGTAGTGTGTAGAACTGCCAAAGTAATTGGAAGCTGGTCTGGAGACACTTCTTAACGCGAGTCTACCGTTCTACCTTGATGCTTTTTGCCCTTGCGTCGTCTCCCTCCTTGGCAGCAATGCGGAGTGGAATCGGCGTGTCGCCCATGCACTCACTCACCGTCATGGCCGTTGCTTCTGGGGGTCAATACTGTGTTCAGCGTGAGAGCCCAAGAGAGTTTACAATCGAGAGACAATTCCAAGAAAATATTTGTTCAGCATTGTACGATATACCGCGGGTCAGAACATATCACGCTCTATACACCAGGTATGTATACATATGAAAGCAAAATTCAATCTACCCTCAACCTAACAAAGTCGGACCCTGAGGCGTCCGCTATCTTCTTTTCTTCTCTTTTTCCCCTCTTGTAAATGCAATAAAAAAAATCAAAGGGAAACATTCTACCCCCCGGAGTCAAATCCCACAATCCGGGAATTTGACCATAATCCTCGTATTAATAGCCTCCCACTCAATGCTTCGATCCCCAAGCAACATCATCTCACAATGCTTCGTATGCTCGTAAACCCCAATATACCCATCGATGGCCTCCCGCCCACCACTCCCAAGCACCGCGCGATGCATCTTCTTCCACATGGCCGTACAGTGCCGTAGATGGTACTCCCAGTTCACATACACACCCGTATACTCCCCCGTCATGATGTCCTGGTGACTCAGCGGCAGAGTCCGATTTGGGTCGAGGTACCACTCGAGCTTGTTCTCGTCGTCGAACTGCCGCGAGAGCTCGGCGTCATAGCAGGCGTCAGGGAGCCAGCAGAAGGAGATCACATCAAAATGGCAGCCGGCTTTGCGGGCTTCCGAGGGCGTGCTTCCGCAGGGTGTGTGGAACTTCTTAGGGGCCGGAACAAGAGCGCGTTGGATGGTTGGGTTCGTGACGGCGAGAAGGATAGTTGCGAGGATTCCGATGAGGAGAGAGAGAAGGATTAGACTGGTGAAAGCTGGGCAAGTGAGGAGGAAGGGTCGTCTGTATTTGCGGTCTTTCGGGTTTGGTGTATAGCCGTGCGAATATTCGCCGGAGCCCATCAGGCGCGCTGATGTGTCGTCGTTGGCATCGTCGGAGTCGTCGGCTGCGATGTTGAGACGGCGCTTTTCGCTGGCCGATAGCCGTTTGATCATAAAGACCGAGGCGAAGGAATTCATGATGCGGAGCATAGTGATGTAGACTAGACTATCCGCTAGAATTTGACAGGTATGTTCACACCAGAGAAGAGGGGAGATGGGAGGCCTCTAGATACCAATTGCTCTTGGTTATCTTTGTAATGCCAGGAGGAGAGCAGCTAGGGATATCGATATTAGCGCTGGGTAGGGAGAGGCGTGGCAGCGGGCGTGACGCCGATAGTGGGATGACTTGTATAGGCGGCAATACTGGCGGGAGTGCAACGAACTGTCTCACTGTGCCAGAGACTACGATGACACTGCGTTCGTGCTCACTACGGTACATTTGTGTTGTAGACATTCACTGGGTTATTCCGAAAATTATTTGATTTCCTAGATGTAGATATTCGTGTCTAGCATTATGACCCAACCATGAAAGCTTCCCCCTTTCCCCCCGTCAAAAGCCAACCATAAAACAAAGATACAATCATCACCAAACACGCTCAGTGGCATAGTCCCAAATAGAGTCCCAGCTGCGGCACTCGTGCGGCCAACCTAATCCATCCACCACTGCTTGGCCCGAGATCTCCGTCACGAATTCCAAGGAAGTATCACCTGCGCACTGTAGCCCCTGTCGAAGGTAATCCAGGCAGTGGGAGATATGCCACAGACCGTGGATGGCGGAATGATACATAGGCGAGGTGACATTCTCCGGCCACTCGCGCAATAGTTGCTCGGGGTCTTCGTGACCGAGAACGAGGTCCCAGATAAATTTCCTGACAGCACCCTAAGATGGTTGGTGTTAGCTCCAAAAGATCGGTCCCCTTACTCAGGGACGACCTACCAAACAGTGCAACTGGTGGAACACAGATAGTCCGGCTTTGGTGTCGGGGTAGTCTGCAGCCTCTTCCAGAGTGAGCCAAATGAAACCGTGGCGGTTTGCTGTTCTCATCAGTCAAATCCCCGCAATGTCTATAGCATATTGTAAGAAGCACATACGACCCGATAGACTCTTCCAAGCCTCGTTACTTTCCGGCGTCGGAAGGGACAAGTACAGAGGATTCATTGTGAACTTTGTCACCTCATGCGGAACTGTTTCGCCTCGTCAGCTCACTGGTATCGTCCACGATGAAAGGGTACTCACAATTCGGGACAGGAGACTTCAGCAATCTCTTCGGCTTCGAGTGTGGCCATGCTCCTGAGTATACCAACACAAGAAGGAGCAACAGCACGACGTTAAAGACCACCGAGACAACGAACGTCTTCCGAGCATACCATGGTTTCTTTGACAGGATGGGGAGGTTACCGATTCCAGACACGGAGTCGCTGGACTCACCCTGCTTGAGTGAAGAATATTCCATCTTCTCGATTCTGGGTGCCGTCCAAGATAACATGTTCGATATTATCTGCTTGCTTTGTGGTGGTATACGACTGCAGTAATTTGAGATGGAGGTGTTGTTTGGGACGGATTATGCCTTTCACGAAAAGTCATAAAGAGAGAACGAGACAAGGGGATTCGACTACGTGATAGTCTCATAACAAGATTGCGAAAAGAGCTAGAATGATACTGGCCGAAACGCCGGTCAGAGCGGGCGGTCCGCCATGAACCAAGAAGCAATAGGGCGTGACGCCGAGAGCCTTGCAGGACATTAAAGCTCCACTCTATATGCACAGTTGTAGATCATTATAGCCACTCGCAACCAGGTCAAATTCTTTTTCTTGAAATCTCTGTCCCGGGGCTTCGAGGGCGCAGCATCTCTAGATCAAATCACGGGAGTCTCCTGGCCATCCTACAATGGGTGCTTGGCTTTCCCAAACCCTGCTGGGCAAAAATTTCAAATGGAAATCAGCCCGAATCGAGGGTGAATCTGGAAACCTCGAAGATGCGACCGACTCCCTGCTGCATGAGAAGCTCTTGCGGCACAAGATGGAATACGAGCGGCAAAAGTCGCTCACGAAACGACTTTGGGTGATGTGTAGTTTAATGCTGAAGACATTCTTCTTGGGCTCTTGGATCTTTCTAGCCTTGTGTCTCTGGATGCATCGCAAGGACTCGAGCTGTCTGCTCGGCAATGAGGGTATGTGAGCTTCTCTTTATTTCTCTTTGGCATAGTATGGCTATAAGCAGAACCATCATGCTAAAGGTCCCAGGAATATTTGACGATATTCCTGTTCGATATGAGATGAAACGCTTCCAGCGTGCTGGCTTCCATGACTATCGCCACAATGCCTTGACCGAGTACGAAGGCGCTCCAAATGCAAAGAACAATGCGGCCTGGGAGAAGCTTCTCGCAGGTCAGTGTACCCAGCGCATGTTTATCCTTTCCATAGCAACTCACACCAGGATATAGTTGGCGTCGTTGGGATCTCCAATCATGAGGATTCGAAGCTACCGAATGGAACCGCGCTGTCAGTGACGAACCCGTCCGTGCACATAGTTGAGCTGGAGATGTTCCATCAACTCCACTGTTTGGTAAGGGCAAATATTTCACTTGGTGCCAGTATCTGTAGTCAGTCCGGCTAAGAATTCTAGAAATGGCTGCGCGACCGATACTGGGAGCTTGAAGGTGTTGTTGAGGGCTCCATGGATGTCCCGCAAAGACAAGCACATTCTGGTATTCTTCATCCCTAGCTCAAATGCTGTAGTCATTGTACCGTTACTGACATGCAACCTCTAGATCACTGCATCGACTATCTCCGGCAGGTAATTATGTGCCACGGAGATGTGACGCCTATCTCTTTCGAGAATAATGGAATCGATGCGTATTTGGCGCATCATAGTACACCGCATATGTGCCGTAATTTCAACTCCATCTATGAGTGGGCTGCGAAAAGGGATAACACAGGGCTTCGGGGGGATGGAAACCATAAAAATGTCGATTTGGAAGAGCATGAGATGTTTGATTGAGCTCTGAGTTTATAGTACGGTTCATCCAATTGATATAATTCCAATAATGTCACTTGATTTTACAAACCCCACAGACCGGTATAACTGCTTTACACTCCAGAGTCTATAGAAAATCTCTTAAGTCAATCCCAGGGCTATACACCAAAGGGTCTAGAGGAACATCAATACGTAGCACGACTCTGCTAAACAACACAATAATACCGCCAATCTATGTATAAGCCTCGGCATACGAAAATAGCGGACAGAAGCAAATATGCCACTCACCCTTCCCGCGAGACACAGCATCCAGACGACCTCCTCTTTGCATCCCCTACGCGTAACGCCAGCACCAGCCGCCAAATCACAATACTCAACCAACAGCACTCATAATGCATGGGATAGCGTCTCGCTGGATGACGCATCAAGTAAAGGACCAGATGAGCGGCGACACCGGATAGATTCAGCGTCTCGCTCATGACAATCCCCCCCTAGCCGCCTAATTCAAGTCCATTACCCGTAGGAAATGGCAAACAGTAACACATATAAGACAATACACACCTTCGTTTGAAACTGTTAATTTATCATCTCCTTCACAGATTCAGCTCAAACAGCTAGAAACCACTCACTCCACTAAATATCCTCCATCTTTGTACTCAATCAATCAGCTAGTACCGCCACTATGCGCGCAACCCAATGGCTCTTTATGGCTTTTGCCACCGCCGTCATCGCAGCACCAGTCAAGGAGTCCCAGAGCAGCGAGAACAAACGCGCCAAGGACATTGGCGACAACGAGGGCAGCGAGAAGATATATACTTACATCAAACGGGATGAGAACGCTGCAGACGGCGACAAGATATACACTTACATCAAACGGGACGAGAACGCTGCAGACGGCGACAAGATCTACACTTACATCAAACGGGATGAGAACGCTGCAGACGGCGACAAGATATACACTTACATCAAGCGGGACGAGAACGCTGCAGACAACAACAAGATTTACACTTACATCAAACGGGACGAGAACGCTGCAGACGGCGACAAGATCTACACCTACATCAAGCGGGACGAGAACGCTGCAGACGGCGAGCAGATATACACTTACATCAAACGGGACGAGAACGCTGCAGATGGCGACAAGATATACACTTACATCAAGCGGGATGAGAACGCTACAGACGGCGACAAGATATACACTTACATCAAGCGCGAATCTGTTGCTGGCGATCACTCCGGTCATGGTCGTACGTTTCTCACACATCGTATCCATTCTATCAGAGCAAAATGAGCTAACTGCGAAACAGACTAATCGCGCAGCGAGTGTTGCATTGGTCAAGGGTAGAATGGGGTGGCGCGCCGTGATCAAGCGATATTGTTGGAGGGAGAATGCCTAGACTCAAGCCCAGAGAGGTTCTTGGTAGGATTTGATAATTATTCGATGTTTTGCAAGTATACTTGCAGTTACTGATACTTTGACACTTTGATCCAGAATGTATCTGACGTTAGTTATAATTCAGTTAATCACTGCGTGATAGGCGTATCTTCCGTAATCACCTTCTGCATAACTGCATCCGCATCGCTATCTACGCTACTAGTCGCCTCATCAAGAATCAAAATCCTGCTGTTAGACTTTGGTAACATAGCCCTGGCTAGACAGAACAACTGCTGCTGTCCGTGTGACAAGGGGTGATCTAATAGCACAGCATCAAGACCACCATCCTTCTCTAGAGTGCTCCATATCCCGATCTGTTGCAGGGCCATTATGACCTCTTTATCTGTGGCGATGCCCAATGAATTTACGTTGGTGCGTATCGTGCTCGAGAGAATGAAGGGATCCTGTGGGATGGAGACAGGTCGTTCACGGATTTCTTCTCGGCTTATAGTGGCTATGTCTACACCGTCGATGAGGATTGTACCCCCGAAATGTCGATCAGACGGAGTAGAGTGATAATTAGGGAGCTTTTACCACTGTAGTAGAGGTCGAGTTAGCTTTCCAAGTCAGGACCTAGAGCCGTCCTGGGTACCTGCCTTCCAGTCCGGCCGCATATGCCAATCTTCTGGCCAGAAGATATTTTCATACTGACATCGGATAGTGCATTGGCACCGTTAGTGTACCTGACTGATATGCTATTAATCTCAATTGCAGCAGCTTTGCAAGGTGAGCAATGCAGCGAGATAGTGATGCTGTGACTGTGAGCAATGCTCGTGGTAGGGCAAAGTCGACAAGGCTCATATCCTGGCTAAAGCGGTTTAGTGTCACCCCTGTCCCTGTTGTCGCAAAGAACGACAATGGCGCGTTCATTACCAGATCTAGCACTCGTTTGTGTAGCAGGACGGCAGACTTCGGCATTAACTTCAAGAAGATGATTCAGATGCATAGGAGACAGAGAAGGCAGAGGCCGCAAGGGCTAAAACTGCATACACTGACAAACGCATCGCGAGGCGGCCCCATAAGTTGTCCACCAGCTAAGCCAGATCTGTGGGAAACTGTCGGAAAACGCAGCAGTAATTTGGATAATGAGAACTGGAATCCAAAGCCCTGTGTGAATCATTCAAAAGCAGTATGCATACACAGTAAGGTCACCGGTCGGCCTATTGACATCCATTGATTCCAACGTCCTTTCATCTTCAATAGCCGCTAAGCCCTGGTTATCCTCCGAAGAAGGACTTGGTTTAATATGAGTCTTGCTATCGCCCTCTGGGGGTGCAAATATCTCCAGTTGACCCATTTGCTTCACACTCTCCTAGGAGGTCTCCAAAGAAATACTGCCTTCGGCGTCAAGCACAATAATCTTATTGGCGTGATGGATACATCGAGCTGTGCACGCAACATTATCAAATCAAGTCTTTTTACAATTGTTGGTACCTAACCCACTTACCAGTGTGAGTGGACAAAACCAGTCGTACCAAGATGCCTGAATAGCCCAGCTTCGAGAAATGACGCGCTGCGATATGCTCCTGAGTCTCTATATCAAGGGCACTTGAAATAACATCCAGAAGAGCAATATCCTGCCGAGCATATACGGCGCGTGCCAATGCCTACCTGTCATTAGGCTCAGAGATAAAAGTCTGCAACAAGTATAGGTTACCACTCTTTGCTTCTGTCCTCCAGAAAGAGTTAGACCCTTACTTCCAATGATTGTCCTATCTCCCTTGGGCCATTGGCGTATATATTCATTCAAAGCGCATGCTTCAATCACAGTCTCATACCATGTCTGATCGAGCTCTGTGTTTGAGAGCCCACAGATACTGTCTTTGACGGATGTGTTCAGCAACCATGCCGACTGGCTACAAAATGACATCTTCTTCGATGAGATATATATATTACCGAAGGAGCACGGCAACTCCACTACCATGGCCTTGAGAAGGGCTGTTTTCCCGCAGCCAACAGGTCCAATAAGTATGGTCAAATACCTAGTTTTAATGGTGCAGCTGGCATCGGAAATCGCCGGCGAAGGGCGCTTGGGACCTCGGAGTACTGTCACATTGGCGAGGCGAATCGCATCTGTCGATTGACGGGTTTCTTCTAAACTGTCGTAATCATACTGAGCATTAAAAATGTCACATACCAGCTGTGATAATCAGCGGGGTCACACACACAGCATCAATTTTCCGGGCCAGAAGCCAGATGCTAATACCGATTTCAACTAGACATGCCCATATATCAATGATATTTCAAGTATGTCAATGGTATTATCGATGTTTATGCATAGACAGAAGTGACTTTGTCAGTGCTACGAGCTTAGAGAAGTTTTTATGGGGGTTTAGTAGCGAACCGGTGCTCATAAGAGTCAACGCTGCGCTTTCTGCGCAAAGGCTGGGATGGAGAGTTAGGCTTCTTTGTACAGTAAAGCTATCATGGATCCGCGGAATTTGGTAACAATCCGTGCAAAGCACCGTCCATAGTGGGCTTTAGATATCTACAAAAGCTTAGTACCTGCATCTCCAACTCGAAATAGGAGACACAGACTGCAATCCCGAAGTATATCAAAAGCGCTGCCCCAATTAGCCCATATCAGACATTTTAGTTATGCGATTCTGACTCATTCTTCACATACTTGATGGCAGCAGTCATAAAAATTGGCTGGATGAAATTGAATCCGATCATACACAGCCGCGGTATGGCGAGAGCGAATAAATCCCACCTAAGGACGAATAGGGCCGCTTTTGGCAAGGCCAGCCCTTCCAGTTTTGCTGCAAGCTATCAGCCTTTGAGCATAGGGGTAGATATAGACTGAATTTATTTACCGCGTCTATCCCACGCGTCCTGCATGCCTTTGTCTAATGCATCAGCCTTCAAACTAGGGTGTATATCGAAAAAACCCTCAGTCATGATCAATTGTCGGTAGCCCATCAGGAAGAGGGCATTCATCCACCAAAATAAGCTAAGGTTGATAACCCCAGCAGTAGTTTTTGAGGGTAATTGATTGTGTTGTGGTCGGAGATAAGCAGCTTTCGAGTGGCTTTCGAAACAGAGTAGAATCGCTTTAATCCCAACGATAGCCGTTAGGACGGCGGCCATGTTGCTCCGATAACTCAGCCATAATGCTCGAGCCTGTGTGGCATCACAGACAGTCGAGAGCAAGGGGTAAACATTGAGGAGCAGAGACGGGCGCGATGACCGCCTACCCTGACATATGTAAGGAATAAGATCAAAACCTCACCCACCAAGGATAGCGCAGCTGCCGGCGGACTTGTCGAAATTTCGAACGAAGCCGAGACCCATCGTGTCAGTAACACCAATTGAAGAATCACATAGACTATGGCAGCAGCCTGAATTGTGATAGGCGGTCAACTCCCTTGCTGCTTTAGAGCGATATCTGTTTTGAGGACCGTCCATTTGCTGCTCACCGTTCTCGGGCGTCTTAGCAAGAGATACGTTAGACGCAATGGCGATACCAGTACTAGCAAAGCGGAAGGAAGGAGCGATAGGATGCTCTGTTCGAAGGTGAGGGTAAAGTCCAATGACAGCGAACAGCTCACGGGGCCACTCCACCAACGTAGGCGTTTGCCAATACGAGCTGCTCCATCTAGGGCAACAAGCTGCGCTATCACCAAGCGACAGAACAGATGTTAGGCTAGATGAGCACCTAGTATCTGATAGGTGTCCTTCCGAAAGTCACGAAAGTGTGTAAATTAAGGAATATCTGAGGATGCCGTTCAGGCACCTGGGGGTGACAGGGGTCCTTTGTGGCAGGAAGGTCTTGATTATTCTAACTATGCAGTATAGCTTCCCCGAGCAGGAGAATAACTTCAACCTGATGTAGCACGATAGGGCAAAGCTGTGGGGTGGGAGGTGACCCGAGGGGAACTCGGAGACGGGTCCCTGCCGACGCAGAATACCTGCCACCATGCAGCAAGTACCAAGTTGGATATTGATCTACGGTCCGTGCCGCGTGATTACCAAATATATGCTCTCGCCCCGCCCAGCAAAAACCTACAGAAGTTAGGGCACAATTCTCCTTACAGACCACAGGGAAGACTTCTGTAGTTCATCCTCTCAAGGGATAGATAGTGCCGGAAACAACCGACATGTCTCGGTGATCCTACCTACAATATGAAGCGCCGGCTATCCTCCCATGACCACTTATACCCCTTTCGATATCAACATGTGCGTATAGCAGTAGGATGCTAGATACATCACCTGTTTGAAAGCGACAGGTACCAGTCGGGAGCTGTAAAATGGCCAATGCCCTAGAAAAAGTTAGAGATGCAGCTTTCAGCCCACAGGCATGGTTCTATGAATTCTTGTTGTGGTCAGGGCTTGAGCACGCAGGAGAAATATGCAGGTTTTGGCTTTTCTGGAATCATGGCCTTGAAAAGGCGTTGGAATGTTACACAGGACTTATACATTCCAGACTGGTGTAACGAGACCTTGCAGTTGAAACCAGCAAAGGACGCCGGCCTAAGCGATAGCCTGCTCATAGTCCTGACCGCCATTCTCATTTCGCATAAGCGAGATGAGCAGGAGGCGGTTGTTCGACAATCTATTATGATCGATGTGATCTACACTATCCAGCATATCAAACAACGGGGGGACGGTTTAGTTAGTACCCAGCCAGCCGTGCAGGACGTGTGTGGCTGTGGCTGCACTGGCCCACGAGATATCATTGAAACTGGTCGTGAGTTTGATTCCTAAGAAGGTCACCCCCCGCAAACGATTGCGACGCCGTCATCCAGAAAAGAAGGAGCGGGTTGGAATAAATTGGTCGTTCCATGATCGTTCTTGCAGGAATAGATGATATGACACCACGAGTATTGTCCGGCATTCAGCAATAATGCACGTGAGTGTCTATAAGGGCTATTCTAGAACTGGGGCCAAGGCCCGCTCAATAACTGCAGAGTGTATGCATGTCTTTCAAATGGAATCCTCAGTAGGCTTGTATGTTATCTTTGCAGGGTCCCTTTACATATTAAGGACTCTGTAGGACCGCACAGCTTTGATATGAGACGTGTCACAAAGGGGTTTACCTAAGGAGTCGGTGGATATCTGGATACTCCCCGATGCTCGAACGCTTATCTTCAGGTTGATACCAACATATCGTGAGAACCAATACAAAGAGGAATCTCGTCCTCCCTTTCCCCAATGCATAGTAGTGAGTGGCCACACTCGATACCTTTCTCAAGAGCTTACCCAAAAGCAAAAAAGGGCCATCCGGCACGAGAAGCACCAAAGGTTGCTGGACATGCCGCCTGAGACGCAAGAAATGCGACGAAACGCATCCATCGTGTCAGTCATGTCAGAGTCTCGGTTTAGCGTGTAAGGGCTATGGGCCGAAACCATATTGGATGGACCGAGGGCCACTAGAGAAAGTGGAAGCCGAGAAAATCAAACGAGCCATAGCCCAGAACGTGCCGAAACGCCGGCGAAGACGGTCTTCCCGTTCCCTATCCTTGTCTCGATCCGACAATTCCATGACAGATGGAACCGCGAATAATACTTCACCAGCCTTTGAAGCCCTACCAGAAATACTCGTTCGAAGGAGTCCAACCCAGGATTTGTTGGAGAACAGTCGTCAGGTCGAGGACTTGGGCATAACAGTACCATCGCTGAATGAGCCGGCGAGTGATATGGCGATATGGTCGCCGCAGAACCCCTCGAGCTCAGGCTCAGCCATTGATTTTGCCTTTTCCCCAATATTGTCCTCACCCATCACGCTGCCCAGCGCACAACACGATGCGAGTGAGAGACACGCTCTGATGGACAATCTTACCTTTCCTGGGGATATTCTAGCCAACTTAGACACTTCGACAGATCACCATCTACCGATTGTCGATTATGAGGCACACGATGCACAAGGACTAGACCATGGATTGGGGCATTTAGCGTTCGAGGAGAAGAACTGCGGTAGCTCGATGTGCATAACTTCTCGAGGGTTGTGGCTTGGCTCTGCTCTCGGTTCCTATCCGCATCTCTCAGACTTACCTAGGAGCGGTCCTCGCCAAAGGATTCTAAGAACCAATGAGCCAACGACAGAAAGTATTGCTTTACTATCAAGTTACCTCACAGACATCTCTCACATACAGTTTCCCTTCACTCAGTTCACCACGAAAGGACGACGATGGCTACACTTCCTACTCCTAAGCTCACAAACAGTATCAGACATTTCTTTACTCCTCTCCAAATCCTATCATCATCGAGCACAAGTAGTCGAGGACCTGAACTGCCACACTAATTATGATGAAGTCACCAGCCAGGTCTCGGTAGCCCTCAAGAGCCTACCATCATCAACAGCCACCCGGTCACTGCTAGATAAAAAACAGAAAACCTCACAGGCTCTATTCGCATGTGCAGCTCTCCTGCAAGTGATTTATCTAGATGTTAGTTCATCCGTCTTCACCGTCTAATTAACTGCAGGCATGCTGAGGCTTTTGAGAGAGATACTTTATCAAGAAACATGTCAGTGGGAGAACTGTCTCACTCAAGCAGCCGATTACGTCCAGATTCTCATCGACATCATCGTCGACGAGGATAATCAAAACCACCGGGTCCCAGTGTGTCGGCTCCAAAAGGATACGGCAAAAGCAGTCCTAGGCCATCTGGTCTGGTTCGATATTCTAGCTACCGTGTCATGCGGCAGCGGCCCATTTCTCGGCATCAATCACGCCCATCTTCTAGACTTCGACATTATATCCATGGCCCCTGTGTGCGGCTGTCACAATTGGGTGGTAAAGGTGCTATACGATCTAGCGAGTCTCCGGTGCTGGAAGCTGCAGGCACAAGAAGGAAAAACGCTAAGTATCATTCGACTGGCAGCGCGCGCAAAGGACCTTCATGACTCTTTAGTCGCTGCCATGGCTGAGAGATCCAGTGCACCAGATGAAAGATCCTCTGGGCATCCAGGCAGTTTTGACAGTATGGTTTGCGGGTGGGTCAGCGACATGGAAAAGGAAATCACTCTGTCGTTTGCCCGCGCTGCAGTTATCTACCTCCATGTGGTGGTGTCTGGTCCTAATCCGCATTTGCCTGAAATAGATACGGCTGTGAAGGAGTCTGTAAGGTCGCTTCAAGCACTTGCAGACAAACAGCTATTACAGCATGTTTCATGGCCCTTGTGTGTTATTGCATGTTTTGCCGGGGTGGAGGAAAGACAAAGCGTGCAGAGCCTTCTTCAGGAGGAAGCCAGGCGCAGCAGAAGGTGGTTCAGTACATCTCATGAGACAGTATGCATCGCATGGGAGTGCCATAGGCTTAGGGGTGAAGGGCAAGATTGCGACTGGGTGACCTCAATGGAGAGCTTAGGGCGTCGGACACTATTACTTTGACCCACTTCGTTTAACTATCATAAAATAAATCTTCAAGGAGGGCACTTGAGTAGAAAGCAATAGATACATCTATACATGACACCATGGGAGAAAAGTATGTAAGAACCAGGATTTGCAATCATTAAATAATTAATATAATTAATTTGGTCATTCTCACGCTGCTTAACTCTGCAATTTCTACGTATATGAATCTGTTTCTTCTTTAACAAATATTACGAACTGATGTCTTTATAAACGAATATTCCTAACTCAAAATATATTCTCTGCCTTGTTTTGTCTACCTAATACTAAATTATCATTTAGCTCGTTCAAACCTAACCAAAACTAACATCCCAATTTCCCTAGATGATGGACAGCAGAATTAGCAAATCTGCCTTGGGAATCAGCCATTCTCACGCACAACCATCTCAAATGATGCCCCGTCCGGTAGCTCACGGTCCACCGAGCTCAGAACCTACTATGAGGAAACATCGCAACTCATGGATCCAGGCGGCCCAACACCGTGACACCCCTGAGGCAGGATCACCGAGATAGGCATTCCCCGGCAATCTAACTCACTGTGAATTGCCAGTACATTATTAGCACCGCTTCACTCTTTCTTGTAATAGAGAGACGTCTAGTAGGGGTAATGAGATTGACGTACTTGAAGAACACGCAACGAACATTCTCGAGGAAGTTGATAGATCTACATTCCCAGGGTTTGTTAGCAACTATGTCAGAAAAGGTTTTACCATATATACTCTCAGAATTGATCGGCCTCACCCGTAGTTCATGTAGTTGACACACTCTTCGGCGTGGATGGGGTCAGATACTGTGCCGCACGTAGTATCACCGAGCGGGTACTTATTTCCCTATAAGGGACATATTAGCCTTTGATTATATTTCTTGTGAACTTTGCTTAAGGCGTGCAGAAGACTTACGATAATAGTTGGGTCTGTCTGGGCCGTGGCCAGAGCCAGGAAAGAGGAGGCAACGAGGATAGCCTTTAGTGAGAACATATAGGCACAGTCTTGAAGTAGTGTGGAACAGTTGAAAGAATATTTCTCTGCGAATAGATATAGATAATGGTCTGCGAGGGCGTAGGACCCTTTTTATACCTGTTTCCGTGACGGATATCTATTTTTACCGTACAATCAAGTGGTTGCAGAAGTGGTATTTGTTAAATGCAGCAATGCATGCTAACATTGCATTTCCCGAAAAAGACGGGGAACCTGACAACTCGCATACATCATTGAGCAATGTGACAGGGGTACCTTTCAACGCAAGGCATTTCATTCCTGAAAGCAACAGAGACGACTTTAAATGGTTCACGCCTCCTTGAATTCGCACGTTGTGGGGTCTACGCTCGCCCGTCCATTCTCGTTACATGAGAAACTCATCCATAGCAATGTGTGTGTATGAACTTTTCTCCAAGACCTGTCCCTAACATCTACCGAGTGTTATCCATCGAGTATAGCTATGACGAAGCCTAGGATGAGCGATCTAACCAATAACATAGAACCTTGGCGGTAGGACAGGCCTGCACTATAAGTTATCCGGGATGTATTTTCCGAGCATAATCCTTCCTTACAGCGAGCTAATGATGCAGCATATTGTGCTACAGTAACGGCGGACCCTTACATCCGAAGAATGGTTGATCATGACATTTTTGGATCGGACCGTTGCAGTAGCTATTAGGCCGCTGATCTAACCAAATTGGGGCGGTATGCCAGGACAGCCACTAACCCTGTGAGGACAACCAGTAATATTATTAGAAAGTATATATTACTGACTGATCTTTGCTTCTTTTCGAACTACTGAGTACTTTATTAAATATAAATTTTAAGGAAACGAAAAGACCTCATGAGCCTAGATACCTAAGATACCATAAATGCCCGAAATACCCTCTACTAGGCCCTAAAGTTCCCTTCAAGACCTTGAAGACATCAATGTTGTAAAAACCGAGTGTATTTGGGATATGTATTTTTTAAACTCTGCTGGTTCTATGTAGACCGCCTATAGCACCTTCTGAATTAGGAATTTGGCTGTCCCTGTAGAGCCCAAATCAAGAAATTGAGCAGACTCTATTTCCTATTTAGGAAATCACCAGGAAGAAAGCAACGTCCCTTTGGTTCGACGAAAGAATAACAGAAAAGCTCCCTTTAAAAGTCTTATTTTCCCTTATCTCCTCCCCTGAGTTGTTCCCCTCTATCGTTCCTCGTCTTCATCTCCAGATCCTATTACAGAATGCCGACTTGCCAACCCTCCGTACCACATTGAGTATTCTTTTCCAACAGTGAAATCATATCCATTTTTTGGTCCTTCGTGAGTGTCCTCATATACCTGGGAATTGTTGGATAGTAGTATAGCGCATGAAACTATTCACTGGTCTTTCTGCATGTTTGTCACGATATTCAACTGTGGTTGGACAGTCACAATCGGCCACCAACGGCTCCTAAACAAACAAAGAAAACGTCCTCACATGATGTAGAACTAATCCTTGTAAGTTTCATCTTCATACCGTCCTCAAGCCAACACAGCAAGAAGAGGAAGTCAAGCAAAGATAACTGAAAAACTTAACCAAAAAGTCCGTGGTGTTAACATTCAATCATCTCAACCTCATAACTTAAAATACAAGAGAAAAAAGAAAGAAAATCTACTCGGCATCCAAAGGCGCCACCGGCGGCTGATCATCAACCTGAATGCCCCCTCTCTTCTTCTCATTACTATCCCAGAATGGCAACTTCCAGCCGCCCTCATGCTCCGGCGTCGCCAACCACAGACGCATCAAGTGTCTGCGGGGCGCGGGCGGCGCATGATCCGTGTATGCGGTGCGAGCGTGCAAGACGTGCGAGTTTGAGACGAATTGGATGTCCCCGACTTCGAGGATCATGTGGAGAGAGAGACGGTTGCAGGTGGCTTCGAGGACTTCGAGGGCCTCGAGCTGGGCGGGCGAGAGGGGTGGGATGATTCCGGCGTCGGAGAAGCGGGTCAGGGAGCGGACGTAGTAGGGGTCCCATCTATTTCAACTGTTAGCTATCCGATCAGGGGGCTCTCTGTTTTGGATCGAATGAAAATGGAAGGGTGGGTAAAGAGAACATACTTCGTATACACGCGCGCATTCTCCCCACGTTCCAGATACATGACACTCGTCTTGATGTACTCGTCCTGGCCCTTACTCGTCTCGCCCTTGCGGTCAAAGTACCAGATAGGCTCGGTGAGGGTCTTGAGTACGTCAGGACGCTCCTTGGCGAGGACGTTGTAGACGTTGTGCGAGGAGACGATGTCGGATTCGCCGCCTTCGAGGGCGCGCGCGATGCAGAGGAGACCGACGATATCGGAGTCGTCGGCGTGGAAGTATTGCCTTTAGGGTTTATCGGTTAGCGTATCATTGACTTTTTATAAGTATAGTATGGTGTCTGAGGGCATACCGAGCATTCGTCCGATAAATTCGCACCGAATCAATCTTGGTCGAGTCCTCGCCGAGATCCTTCACATGTCCCAGCACATGACCACGGCTGTTCTGGCTGACAAAGTAGCCTAGATACGTGCCCAGGCCCATGTAGGCGACGGCGGACTTGTGGTTGCCCCATTTCTCCACGGGAAAGCCCTTGAAGAGGATGAAGCCCTTGCCGTCGATGAGGTCCCGACGGAGGGTCTCGAGACGGTGGGAGAGGTTGGGAAGGGGGAAGTTGGACTGTCGTTTATTAGCTCTACGCTAATTCATTTACATGTGAAATGAAGGGGAAATAATGCACACCTTGCTAATCCCTGTCAACGGGATCTTGCTCTGAAGAAAGGCATCCGCGGAACCGCTTAGCTCGGCGATCTCCTCGTCCGTGAAGCGATGCGTCCACTTCTCCGGCTGGTCGCGGTAATCCTCGGCCTTCCACAGGGTTGGCCCCGAGATCTCCTTGGGGAATTTGTCAAAGGGGTGGATGTGGTCGGCGAGAGGGGGATGTTGACCGGTGGTTTTCAGGCCATCGGGGAAGATGTCCACAGGGACGGGGGTTTGAGCGAGAGCGGCCATGACCGATGGATATGAGCAATCAAGTGTGAAGGGGACTGAATATGCGTAATTCAAATAGTTATAGTTGCTGTAAGCAAGGAGCTCCGTTGGTCAAGCACAATTGGTCTGATCACCGAAGTGAGGGGTTGGCCGGGATTATATAGTTATCCTCGGCCTGCCCCTCTAACCGACCCCTCGAGATGTACGCAGCCAAGGGATCGCCAGGTCTCGGAAGATGCAACGATGTGTCGAATAGTGGACCGCATGGCGTGCCAGGAGAAGGGGGATTCTCACTGGACGTGGTTGCCGACGACGCGGTGGAAGGTGAAGAACGAAAGTCGTGATTGGGGAGCGGATGGCGCAATCGTCCGGGGCGGATGTTGTGATTGCAGTCGATCATGGCGATTGTGACTCGACACGGGTCTGTCCTGGTAGTAGGGCCAAATCCTCATTTGTTTGTATAGTTTCATTATTGATACATGCCATGGATCCTGGCGTGGAACTGCCTGGAAATTGGCTTGAGGCGTAACCAGGGGAGTGGGACAGACCGTACTAGTCCCTCGATGGGGACGAGGCGCAGGGCCGACGGTAATCGGCACGATCTGATTAGATATTCTCGGGCGAGAGATTCGTCGGATGGACGGATCGGATTGTTTTATCCTGGATAGAAGGTTGGAGGGAGGTGTTGTTTGAATTGTCCTACTGGAGATGCCCGGAAGGGCTTCTGGTAGGGCAACTGGCCCTATACCCTAGTATCACCTGATGCCTGGTTGCACCGATCGCATTGGGTTTACTTCTCTTTTTCTGGTTCTTTGACTTATTTTTCATGCTCTCCTAGCATCAATTGCAATTTTGCGAAGGCATACAGGTGTATACGCCAGTGATTTAGCTGGTGCCAGTTGGTTGACAGGCTTTCATTTCAAGGCGATCCACTTAACGGTATAGATCTCCCATACTCTTACTTCGCCTACCACGAATCATATACTTTCTCAAGCTTCGAGATAGCACGAACCAAGTATAACATATATTATCCAAGTCGCAATTTCAATTAGTTAATTAAGTGGTAGTTCATTCAAATGGCTAAACGAGGCGATGAAATATAATCAGTCAACTCCCGCTGCTAGTTGCAGTGCAGTACGTAAGAGAATAGTCTTGGTTCTTGAAGAGATTTATCGTCCTTATATCTGTTATGCCTGTTATTTCAGAAGCAATAAAGCCTACATGTTGATGCACAAGCAATTGGGTCTTGCTACTGCTAACGGACATGGTCGGTGCCACGATCTCTACCTGGGTGACTTCGCAGCCACAGGTTGGTAGAATTCGAGAGGGACCAACAAGAACCGGTACTTCATCAACATCTCTGACAGTGGCTTCCACCGACTCGGCCCCGTTATTTCATCACTACCGCAGAGGTCTAAGTGATCCGGCTCGTCGGCGCGCTGATAGCGGCAATCCGATTGATAGACCACTGTATCTCGAGGGATTCGGAGGGCCAGGAGATAAAACCGCTCGTCCGGGGAGCCAGAAATGTCAATTCCGCCGGGAAATTTGGTTGCACCGCGTGAGGCGAATTGACTGCGACGAAACCCTGAGGGGACTTGAATACCCACGTCAAAAGGCAGCTTCATCAAGTGGGCAATCGGGATAGATCCTTTATCAACGCACGTCAGTAAGTGCAAGGTCCCGTTCTTGTTGTTTGTCCTACGCCTGCAGGGCCGAAGATAGCTTGTTTCGCAGGATGTTAACATGACTATGCAGCATTGCTTCCTAGGCGAACAACACGCGCAGAAAAGGCCCAGGATCATCCTCAAGAGGCCTGTGCCGGAAGTGGCCAGTTACCAGTTGAAACGCATTCAATATTGCAAAAGCGGAAAGTCCACGAACGAAGAGGTCAAATGATCGGGGACCAGAAAGATATTCACCAATGGAATGAATATAGGTGTTTGCAATCGGTGAATAATAACTAGTTTGGTAATGAAGAGTAATAATGACGAAAGCGTTTGACAAGAGTGAAGAGTGCCAGTTATAGAGTTTTCAAAAATCAAGTATCTAGGGCTAGGGACTATCTCAACTAGTCTATAACAAGTTCAGCTCGCGGGGAGCAGGGCGACTGATTGCTACAGCCCAGGTAGGTATTACCCAGGGATACATGTTTGCATATAAAGCCATGGCATTCCTATCGCCATCACCCACAGCGACTCTGTATACAACGATAGTTTATATTGTCTACAAAGTTATGACACACAGAAAAGGATCCAATTACTCAATGCGGTAACTCAATCCGCCTCACCCCAATTCTCCAAATCCCCTCCAACATTATTCAATTTCGATACATCCCACTTCAATTCTTTTCCTCTCTCTACTCTACCATGCAATAAAGCCCACCATGTCCCTCCCCGTCCACGTCGCCATCTTCGACCTCGACGTGCCCGTCCCCGCCGTCTATAGCGCCCGAGGCCTCTACAGCTCCATCTTCCGGCGACTTCTCGAAAATGCCGCCTCGCGACTCAACCAGTCGCGCAGTCGTCCGATCGCAATCCACACCTCATCCTGGGACATCCTAGGCGGCAGCTATCCTCCGCTCGCGAGTCTACGAACAACCGAGAATGAGTCTGACTCTGACAACCCCACTAACCCCCTCGCGCTCCCCATCTCCGCAATCCTCCTTACCGGCTCCGCCCCCGCGGCCTACGACACGGCCACCCACCCATGGATCAACCCGCTCGCCGACTACCTTACCCGCATCTACAATGACTTCCCACATGTCAAGATCTTCGGCTCGTGCTTCGGCCACCAGATCCTCGCGCAGACACTCCTCTCCCCGCCATTGAAGAACGAACTCTGTCCGGAAGGCCGAGAAATGGGCCTCGTGCCGATCGCATTGACGGAGGGATTCCAGGCCTCCTTCCCGCATGTGAAACACGCGCTGCCGGAGGGTCGGATGCGTCTGCAGATGATCCATGGCGACTGGGTGGTTCCTGTCTCCGGGGCGAGGGATCCGGTCGACTTGCCGGCTCCGTGGATGAATATCGGTGGGAGTCAGGCGTGTCCAATCCAGGGATTGTATTGTCCGAAGAGGGTGCTGTCGTATCAAGGACATTTCGAGTTCGATACGTTCGTGAATGTGGAGACGTGTAAGGAGTTTGGGAAGAGGGCGGGGTGGAATCCGGAGTTGATAGTGGAGTGGTTGAAGATGATCGAGTTGGGGAAAGGGAAGGGGGAGGGGGATGAGGATGATGACGATGCGAAGGTGGCGGCGGAGGTGGTGGTTTTGTTCTTTGCTGGGGAGGATCAGACGTGATATCAAATATATTGATCATGTCGTGGATAAATGCAGTACATACATACACTTAGACGGGTATATACATAGAAGACAAAGCACATAGTACAGAAATAGAATAACCAGAAAAAAAAAAGCACGAAACAGCCCAGTCGAGTCTACTGTATACACACCACAAAGACCATTTCATCTAACGGATTAGACTATTCCCTGTCTCCTCCGGCGGTACATCCTCCACAGTAGGCTCTACCACCACAGTCTCTACCACTCCAGTCTCTACCGGCGGTTCCACCACCTCCTTCCCTCCAGTATCAACCTCCGGTTCAGCCTGGACCCTTACAGTCGGAGTCCCGAGCGGAGTGACAAACAACGGATCCCGACCATCTTCCGTATCGATCTTCACCACCACCGGGCTCGCGAAGGGAGTGGGAGTGGCGTAGTTTCGGTAAATCATGACTCCCGCCCTCCCAGACTTTAGCATACTATGGATACCAGTGAGAGCGTTAACGCAGACTCCAAGAAGCACGACCGTGGCGATCTGCGTGAGGACGAGGAAGAGCATGTATAGGGTCATTCCCGGGGTGCGAGGCGCTGGGGCCGGCGCCACTGGGGGAAGTGGCTGGGGTCTTTCGGAATATGGTGGAGCGGGTGTCATTTTGATGTTTATTATGGTGGTTTGAGGGTTGATTTAGATGTCTGTGTCTTTGCATTCCATGTTAGAAGTATGCGACTTTTAGGCGGATTGCTAGACATACTTGCATGAACCTCATGTGGGCATATACTCTATCCCAAGAAAGTCTTAGTCCCAGACAGAGAAGATGTGCAAGAATCCAAATGAGCGCCAGCCGACATCATTCTGCAGGGGGACTTACCTCTTTCTATATATGAATTTTCGAGAAACGTTCGACTCATCAGCCTCGCCCCGCGGGGCGCAAACAACGGGTCATGAGAGCAGAGAACGAACCAACAACGAACACGCCCGATGCGTTAGTCCCTAACTAACCCCAAAGTAAAGAATAGCTCGTAGAATTATGTTGCATGTCAGCCTTGCCAATGTTTTCCTCGCCAATCATATGTCGCTGTCAGTGCATGGTTTCCTACGGGCCAATCTCTCGTGTTCCTGCTTAGGGCACGGATGCCCCGACCCCTGGTCGGTGTCTTGGATGGTTACATTCCAAGACTTGGTCTGTCGATTTGTTTATCATCAGGCTGTGCGTGTTATTCTCTATGATTATGGGCCGAGGATAAGGTTACACACGAGATCTGTGGTAGTAGACGACTATTTTAGAGAGGATACGAACTCTTTTGCGATGTGTGAAAATATACTTCATCAGGCAGGTCTACTCAAATTTGCTACCACCAAATCAATATTTCTCGCGCAATTGGCTTTAAGTTCTAATTCAATTGTCATGATATCGAGAGCCTTGCATGCTCTAGCATATCCCGATTTACGCTCCGAAGAGTATACTGTACCTACCTACTAATCGTTCTAATCAGGCGCCGACTCCACAAGACCTCCCCTTTGAATCGTCTATACTAGTAATCTTTCCCCTCCTACCGCAACCGCCACCCCGGCGCCTAATTGCTTCCCAATTCACCTCAACCGATCAATTCTCTGTTCGGAATGCTACATAATGTAATCCATGTTTCATACTTCAATTACACCGTAAAGCCTATCTCCTTTCATGTCCTCGCCCTACGACATCCCACCCACCAAGTGCCTACAGCTGCTGCTACTACAACTATGTCCCCAACCCACCTCCCCTCATACCCAAACACGGCCTACACAATCGGCTGGATATGCGCGCTACCCATAGAAATGGCCGCCGCGAAAGGCATGCTCGACGAGCTGCACGGCAATCCACAAACACCTCCTTCTCAAACAGACACAAACTCATACCTGCTGGGCAAGATACACGCCCACAATGTCGTGATCGCATGTCTTCCACGCGACGAAATGGGTCCGGCTTCGGCGGCGCTCGTGGCGGCGCATATGCTAAGCACGTTTCCGCGGATCAAAACGGGTCTGGTGGTTGGTGTTGGCGGCGGGATACCGCACCATGAAGGAGAGGTCCAAGACATCCGACTCGGGGATGTTGTTATTAGCAGCGACGCGAAGTCGGGAGGTGTGGTGGCGTATGATACCGGGGAGCGGAAGCCAGATGGGACGCTGGATTTGGTGAGCGGAGGGGAGAGGCTGAGTCGACCGCCGAGGGGGTTGCGGACGGCGGTGAGTCGGTTGGAGATGGAACATTTCACGAGGAAGAGTGCGATCCCTGGATACGTGGAGGAGATGTTGGAGAGATATCCAGTTATGCGGAAGAAGGGTTTTGGGTATCCCGATGGAGCGGAGGATGTGTTGTTTGATACTGGGTATGATCATGTTGCTGGGACGAGGTCGTGTGCGAGGTGTGTGGATGCTGGGAAGAAGGAGGGGAGGATTGTTGAGCGACCTCTACGACAGGATAGGAGTCCTGTGGTGCATTATGGCATGATTGTGTCGGGGTCAACTGTCGTGAAGCATGCGCCGACGAGATTGATGATCGAACAGGAGCATAGGGCTATCTGTGTTGAGATGGAGGCTGCAGGCATCATGAACTACTTCCCTTGTCTGGTCATTCGAGGCATTTCGGATTATGCAGACTCGCATAAGAACGATCGGTGGAAGGCATACGCAGCCGCGACGGCCGCTGCATGTGCGAAGGAGCTGTTGGAGTATGTGCCTGTCAAGGCGGGAATTACAAAAGGCATACAAGATGAGACAAGACCAGGTGAGCCTTCTCCCAGTCCAGAAGATACGGAACATTGACTGTTACGCACTCGAAACCAGAGCTTCTCCCCAGAACAAACACCGAAGAGACCTTCGCATCTACAAACGCAACGGTAGTTGCTGCTCAGGAAGGTGCGTAACTTATCTAAATCCCACAGACCCTTCTATGTGTCCTTATATGTGCGAGCTAATCTTTCCAGGCAACTCCAACTCTAAAATTCTATCATGGATAGCGGAGCTAGATGCCCTAGCGCAGCAGAACTATCTACTCGAGAGACGGAAGGACAGTATCACCATGTCGATGCTGCAGTATCACACTTTTCAGAGATGGGTCGGACAGCCGAGAAGGAGCGTAGATCTCTCTCACGCTGTTAATACAAGGTATGGAAGGACTGGTAGGTTTCTAGATCAATATAGATACTTCAACCAGAGAGCTCGTGAGAGTCGAGGTTCTTTGGCGCCTGTGATAGAGTCTGTTAAGCAGAGCTTTTGGTCGGGGTTGTGGACCGGTGGGCTGTCAAATGGGGTTGGATCATACCAAAGTAAAGAGATCGGGTTATAAATCGAATTGTAATATAGTAATTTAATCAGTGGCCCTTGGCGATTCCTCTTCCCAATGCATAACGAAACCCAAACAACGCCTAAAGACCTGGAGGGCAGCAATCTGGGTAAATCTGGAGCAAAATCATTCAATACTGTGCTCGACGCACATGCTCTTTCAGGTTATCTCTGCGTTTAAACGCCCTGTCGCATTTTGGCTCTGGACACTCGTGTGAGCCCGGATAGATATGCTGCGTCTCGACATGTCGTTTCAGCTCGGCTTTGCAGGAAAAGGTACCAGTGTACGTGCAGTCAGCCCAGTCGCATTCGATGGGAGTAGCGTGGTATGCTTCACCACTGGTGAACCATCAGCATAAAGTAAGATGCTAGTAACGGAAGAAAGCGCGTACCTTGGTTTACATGGCCTGGAACAGGCGCTGCATTCTCGAGATCCGGCTTTCGTTCCGGCTTTTGTTCCACCATTTGACACAGGAGATGCTCGGGCTGACGAGTCCGGGTTGGAACTCATTAGAGGAAGATCGATGGAATTACTGTCGACGGTCCCTGCTATAGGGGCAGCGGCTTTACATGGGCAACGTAGGGTATCCATGTAGGGTATCTCCCCAGTTGACCACATGAGTTTACCCATGCCGGCTTGAGGAAATGCAGAAGGCATGGTGTACTCAGGGTTCTCGCTGCACGGAGTAGTCAATCAACAAATGATCGCATAGCCGAAAGCTTTCTTCTTGGAACATGGACGCATATGGTTGTTGATCGAGCCAATCAGGGATAACTTGGGATGATTCAGGCATTTTACCGTACTGACTGGGCCATCCTCATGATGCGTAGTACCAGCAAAACTCCGTCGGATAGGAAGACATGGGTATGAGGATTGGAGGAAAGGGGTGAGGAGAGGAGTGACGACAGGTGATTATGTATTGCAGAATTGAGACTGAGAGTTAAAATATGGTGGAAACGAAGTACCTGACGAGTTACGGGATTTTATACAACGGTTTGACCACCCGCGGTGTTGATACCTGGAAGCGCATCGGCCAAGGAGATGAAGATAAGAACCACCCTCCAATTGAAGCAATAAGCCCCGTCCCTAGAAAGATGAAACCGACTTTACCGCCCAAGTTCCCTGCATCTGGATTGATCTGCTAAGTGGTTAGTAGTTATGCTTGGGTCAATTTCTGTCACCTCTTACCATGTAAGGGATCGTAAATTGCATTACTAGGCTCCAGACAGCGTTGGAAATAGTGACTAGACCTTGTGTTGCACCACGAAGCCGCATGGTAGCAATCTCCGATGCCAGAACGAAACCGTTTGCCCCAATGGAGAGTTGAAAAATGATCGCCCACAAATAAATGAGCACAATAATAACCCAACTGGCTTTTGTTTGATCTGGAACGCATCCCATAATCCCTAGGACCAGAAGTATAAAGCACAGTGCAAATTGGGGCCAGACGATAAGGGTTCGGCGTCCCAAAATCTCCGTCAGAGGGAACGCCGAGATGCTGGACAGAAGCATGACAATGTAAAGGACTACCGAGGCATCGAAGTACTCCTTCACATGGATTAACTGGAGAAAGTAGGTCGTGTAGCCGATCACAAAAGTAGCACCAATCATCTGCTGACCGCTGGCAGCATAGATAGCAGTGAAGGTTCGCTTGCGGTTTCTTCTGTTGAAGCATTCGGCCTCGGCTGACAAGTCAATCCCCCCGAACTTATATTTAGGAGTGTCTGCTGTTTGTTGAATCTCAGCCGCAATGCGAATCTCATCTGCCATTCGTCGGATTTCGATCTCGTAGAAAGCATGATCGCTGAAGCCGTAGATTTTCTTCAATTCCTTTCTGGCTTTCATCGGTTGCCCACATCTGACCAGCCAGTATGGGGACTCCGGAAAGAAAAACCACCCAGCGGTGAGAATGACTACCGCAGGTGTTAATATTATTAGAGATGTGGTGGATCCTGTACGTACGTGGGAAGATGTACATGGCCACCACCGGGAGCCACCATTGCCTGTAGCGCTGAGTGAGTGGAAATGCTGGAAGTATTTTAGGTCCAACCTTACCATCTTCCAGTAATATGGCTGGCTCCCTTAGATACCACGACACTTTTCAGCGGCTTAGCAGCAGCAGCCACAGTCTCAAGGGAAACGAAATACGCACATTGCAAACTGACCAAGGACGATGCTAGTATTAAAGAAACAGAGAAAAAAGCCTCGTAGCTCCGGCCGGCATGTCTCGCCAATCCAGAGGGGGGATATAGTAAACATGATACCGATAGCAATTCCTAGGTTGTGGTCAGATTGAGAATGGCGTCGCAAGAGCTTCACGGACCATTGACCCCCCTACCAGCTAGGTGTGTTTGCCAATCCGTCGCCAACTGTTGCAAGAGGACACCGGCAACAGATATCACCATGGCGACCAAGATCCCCGGCTTGCGACCAAACCTCTCCAGGGAGAGAACAACGACAAAGGTGGCCGCGATCTCGCAAGCCGGGGCAATCGAGCTCCAGGCCGAAAGGTACCGCGCCGGGATGAGGTAGTCCCCCGACGGCTGCAGGATACCGAACTGCTTCTGGAATGCGGGCAATGCGGCCAATTGACCTCCGGCAACGAGATCGAAGCCTTGCATGGCAACGCCGCTGGAAACCCACAGTGCTGACGAGGTGAGAGAACGTGGAGGCTTTTGGTGGTCCGCGCACTCACCCCAGAGAGCAAATCGCCACTGAGAACGAAGCATTCGCCATTTCTTCTCGGGACTGATAACGGTATAGTCGAGTCTGGCCACAAGTCAGCCGCAGCAGCGTCTTGTTGGGAGGGGGGGGTCTGTACTGTTCAGTCATCGTGCCAAGCATTCGCGGGCGTGGCAGGGTAAAAGCCCTTGCATCCTGACTGGCGACAGACGTAGTTGTAAGCGCGGCTACGCTAAGGTATTAAATTAGTTCCACCGTGAAGAATGACAGAGTCTGGGGGTGGATATTTTCCTAGGGGGTTTCGCGGAGTCCTCGAGCTGCTCCGCGGTTGGCATATGGTAAGATTGAGGCCCAGAGCATTGTGGATCTCCATCATGGCCACGCCGGACTTGTTGTAGGGAATTGCGGCATATTTGTACAAGCCACAAATGTGTGGTCCCAGATGGACTGGGGCGATTCGACGTGTTTAAATGCTTAGTCTCCTGTCTAGACTTAGGGTAGAGGTGCTTTTGTAATCACCGGCGGGGTTTCGAAGTCCGGGCGGAGGACACGTCGCCCTCCGCGACTGATACTTCTTACCAGCAACGATGCAAGACCACCGCGCAACAAAGAGGAAACGCACGACTCTGGCATGCGACGCATGTAGGGCACGGAGGACTAAATGTGATTCGCAAAGACCGGCATGCCGCTATTGCCAAACTCACGGCGTGGTCTGCATCTACCAGGAGCCGCCGCTGGAGCCCCCCAGTCGGTATGCGACTGCTAACTCCGCCCCCTGACTTACCTAGACAGCACTGACAACTGAAACCAGTGTTGAGGAAGAGTTGTATGCTCTGAATAACCGTCTAGATCAGCTGATCAGGTTGGTGCTTCCAGCACAATCGAGAACCGAATATGGAAACCTGGTCAACGAAGAAGACTCGCCGTTTGATCTGCCTTCCAAGCTGCTCGGTAACTCATCTATTATGAAAATGCTTGGACTCGATGCAAACTTTACCCAGATTCTGGTACAAGGGGAACTGACTACCGAGTCCAAAAGCCACGTGAACCCAGGTACCCGCATGCTTATCGTTCGTCATCAAGACACAGTGAAGTACGTCGGGCTAGATTGGTTCACGGATTGGCAACTAATGAGATGGCATTAGCGCATTGGCTGCATTCTCTGCGCGCGTGCACATCTGGTATCCCATTCTTCCCTCGGAATATTCGGATGAGTACTTCCGGCTGCTCTCCGGCTGCTTGCTTCCTTCGTCGGAAACATGCCTTGCCCTTCTTGTGGCAGCGATCGGCCTTGTCATAGAGGAAAACGAAGCAAGCTCAAGCACGCCATATTTTGAAACCGCTCTTGCCTCGTTACCAAACATTGTCTCCGAATGCAGCGTACGCAGTGTGCAATGCTTAATGTTGATTAGTTTGTATTATTCTTGTCTACTAAAGCCTTGTCAAGCACATGACTATTGTTTGATTGCATCGTCAAAGATCCAGACCATCTTCAAAAGGTGATTCGCTCTCTTCGAACTGCTGAGAAGCAAAGCTGATACACTTGCTCTAGTGGGCTGGAAGGGGATGATCCCAATATCGTGGAACAAACTCGGCGAGCATATTGGGCGGCACTGCTACTCGAAAAGTTGGTGGTCTAAGCTATCAATGTGTGGTTCATAACTGATTCTAATCCAGCGAACTTGCTGCCCAGTTCGATGCTCCCAGGAGTGGCATATGGTGTTTGGACGAGCATGTCCCATTGCCACTATGCCAGCAGGTATGGCAGTTTCCGCCAGAGAGCACTTCATCAGGAACTGCAGCACCCGTTCCCCCAGGTGGTGCAGCATGCACCGATACAGGCGGGGAAAAGACACGATCCTATTTCCTGGCGGAGATTGCTATGAGGCGTATGCTGCATCGATGCAACACAGCTGTCCAGTTGACGGCCACTGGAAAATACGTCTACGCACCAAATATCGCCTTGGAGTTAGAAAACCAGCTCGAGGAATGGTATCGTTACCTACCCGAAATCAACCGTTTTGAGAAGGGCGACGTGTCTCAGCCGTTGGGACTGATCAACATACCATCCTGTCCTCTATCGAACTTCCTGCGCGTCCAGTACTACTGCTGTAGGCTTTCTATATTCTGGCCGGCCGTCTATCATGCAATGCAGGATGGATCTGTTTCCAACAGTCTTCTGGACCATTGCAAGCGATTCCTCGATTCTTACGTGCTGCTGGCACCGAGTATTATTGCAGCATTCCATGACTGCCGAGTGAACAGCTGGACAGTCTTTGTGAGGTGGGTTCTCTTTTCTGAGCCTTGTACAAGGCTAGACTGATCTGGGAATATAGTATTTTCATCACTTCCGTGGCCGCGTTGACTGCAGCAAAGGCCCCATGTTTGAGAGGACTCTGTTCGCCTCGGTTGTATCAATCTATTCAAGCATCCGGACGAGCCGATCGAGCAACAGTGCAAAAGAGCGCATCCTTGATGATGCTACAAGGTGTCCTAGAAAAACGGGTTTCAGAGGCTGGGCTGTAAATACTATCCCACGATAAGCTTAATTAAACAATAGTGGTTGTTAACACGCGAGCTACTTCCAAAACTTCTCAATGCTGAAATGGAGTTTCCTACAAGCCCCGAGTAGTTGACAAACCGTCCCAAACCTCCCCTTCCTCAAAGATAGGACTCCTCGGTTTCTGCTTTGCAACTACCGATGTGCCAGGATTGCTAAAGTGTTCTAGGCCATAGACAAATCTGGCCAGGTTGCGTGTCTGGTGTGAGTAGAGCACAAAGCGTCTAGGTACATTTTGATAGACTACATGGCATAAGCCCGTCGCGGAAAGAGACCCGGATGCACAAAGATCACTGATGCAGTTCAGTGTAAAATGCAGCAATGGACTCGCATGTTTGGAGTTTACCTTTGACTTATTTTCTGTGCTGCAGTCGACCCCGATCTTATTGCTGACCAGCAGTTTATATACAGCTCTTGCTGCTGCCGCGCCAAGGCTAATCCTGGCATTCATCGCGGAGTAGTCCCAGGTCTCCGCGAGACTCCAAGTCTCGCTATTCAGGTTGTATTTTACTGAGAAAAGAACGTGTTTAAACCACAGTGCTAATGTCTCCTAAATTGTAAACTGCATTCATTGTTGTCTCCACACATGGTGGTCCAAAACCAAATTCCCCGCGCTGCTTAATATGACATACGTATGCTGCCCTTCCAATGTTCCCCATGAACGGTGCTGAAAGTTGAAAGGTGATCAACTGGTCCACGCGTTCCCAGTCTTTACCCGAGGGACACCTTCCTTACCTCCACTGACTGCAGCATAGCATTCCCTCCAGTCACCTCCAAGGCCAGGCCGTCAGAGCTATCACTGGGGAAAATCAGGTCTGAGATGACCGCCTCTCCCTGCCCGCCGAAGACCTCCACAGAACAAGTATCAACCAACGCCCTGATGTGAACAATTCCAGTATTGTCTACCTGCAACTTGGCCTTATGCACGCCTCCTGCGGCCGGATCATAGGAGATATCACCGCTCGCGGTGCGGTCAACCGAGAGGGTGGAAGTTGACTGGGTGTATTTGATGACAGTCCCCTCGGATTCACCCTTACGGACAACCAGGGACAGAACCGAGCCAGCAGCAGGGCGAAAAGCAAGTCGAACATCGAGAGCAGTTCCCTTGACAGACGACAACAAGGTTTGGCCAGGAGTAAGGGTCTGGTTCTGGACCTGTAGAACGGTAGTGCCAATGGTATCCAACTCTGCGATTGGCAGCTGAACAAAGAATTGCTGAGTGCCGATTTTCTTGAGCGACAGTGTCCGGGGAAACGAGAGCATGCCCTTCCAGGTGGTTGTGGGCGGGTTGGAGCCGTAGCTGTTCATGACGGATGCGATAATTCGCCGGCCGTCGGACGCAGGCACGTTGACCCAGCTCAACGCGCCGTCGAAATCCCGCCCATAATCCAGCCACAGGGTGGAGTTGCTGACGGCGTCCGCAGTGAAGGCCTTCCCGTCGAAGGACCCGGTGAATGCCAACACGCCATTGCCCCCCGCAGGGGATCCCTGGGCAGGTGTCATTATCAAGACCCATGTGGTCTCTCCGGTGCCATCAACAGGAAGTTGAAACATGTCGGGGACTTCCCACCCTGTTATACCGGATGACAGGCCTCCGACCGAGGATGACTTCAGGTCACTCTGCCATGTCCACTTCTTGGTATCGGGAGACGTCCAGAACGACAGTTTGTTCTGTCCGCCGTGGGAAAGAACCATGACCCATTTGCCCGAGGGGTCATGGAAGAAGACCTTTGGGTCTCGAGTCTCCAATCCACGCGTTATATCATGAGGTGCTTCCTGGTCGGTGGATATAATGGGGTTGTCTTCGAATTTGGTCCAGGTCGCCCCGTCGTCAACACTGAAGGCTAGGCGCTGGTCCTGCTTTTGACCCTCCGTGGTATAGCCAGTGTACCAAGCCAGGTAGGGCGCATTTGCAGAGGTGCCGAGGCCAGACGTATTTTTCCTATCATAATAGGCCGTACCCGTGAAAGCTTCGACGCCATTCTCGTGCGTGATAGCGAGAGCTTCGTGGGTCCAGTGCATCAAGTCAGTGCTCGTTGCGTGACCCCAGTTGAGATTCCCCCACACATTGGCCGTGGGATTGTGCTGATAGAAGAGGTGCCACGTCGATCCGATCTTGATCAAGCCATTTGGCTCATTCATCCAGTTCTTATCGGGCGTAAAGTGGTACACTGGACGGTAGTCATCAGACTGCGCCTTAGTAACCGACACGGAGCCCAGGCACAGCAACGCCATCGCGTAATGGAAGTTGCGCAGGAGCATCTTGAGGGTGACAGGGCAAAGAAAAAAGACGGGAGAAGAATTGTTGATGTTTCTGGTCTCTGTAATGGATGACAGTGACAGGAGTGTGAAGGCATTGTTCCCACCGTGAGGAGAGCTGGTTTATATATCTATAAATCTCTTCACCAGGAAGGCCTGATCGATTCCCCCTACCTACCAGGATACTGCGGGCTCCTGAAGCCCACCGACGCACGCTTTGGATATATTATGATATACATCAGTATATACCTCAAATGGATGAATTGTGCAGTGATAGATTCCTCCTACCTACCAGGATGTCGCGGTCTCCTGAAGACCACCGACCCCCGCTTTGGATATATTTCGATATACATCAAAGTATACCTCAAACGGATGAATTGTGTAGACTACTTGTGTACATTACCGTAGAATAGCGATTCCCGTTAAGTGACTACAGTACGTGCCCCCTGTTGAACCGGGAGATTGCAAGGGCCGACAGGGTCTGAACACCCAACCCCATGGGGATGCGGCATGGTAGTACTGCGGGGACTCAAAACACCCTTGATGATCCTTTACCCAGGGTCTCCGGTCTACAGTATCCCGAGAGCGTCAGCCTGGCATCGCGGAGAGATGCGGGGCCTCCGCGAGTGGTCGTATGAAGAAGATCCTTTCCCTTCATCACCTTGGGCATATGTTGGGTTGATGTGGCGTTGCGGTTTCAACTAGGACAGGGAACGGAGGACAGCCTTCCGGCATACAACGTGCAATGGCGGCATCTCCGCGTGAGACTCGAGCCCCTTCGGCCCGTGAGATGAAGAGGTGGCAGACGATCAACGCCGAAAATTCCCCGTGGAGGCGTTCTTGGGGGGTCCCACTCTTCCCACTCCCCGTGCCCGAGAAGCCGATGGCCCCGTGGAGCCCCGTACTCCAGACTCGGAGGACAGCGCTCCCCTAGTCCTCGCGGAACTCTATCAAGTTGGCGAATCTAGCCTCTTCCAGACTCCGTGCAAGGAAAGTCTCGCGGTGGCAAAACCTCCGAAGTTCCCCCGTTAGCCTCGTGGTATTCTGAGAGAAGCAGTGCGGTGACCCCGGTGTATGGAAGTATTCTCAGCCAGGGCCAACAGCCAAGCCATGTTTGCGCTCCAATCACAAGCGCAGTCCTTACTGATGCACGCAATGTAGGTCTTGGACCTTTTGGCTGGCTCTACCCCAAGGGGTAAAAGCAGGCTCCTGCGAAATCTCGAGTGGTAAGCGCTATGGGATCTTGATACGAGGAATGAACGGATATGGTTAGCCAAACCTGGATATCATCAACACAGCAATAACTCTTTGCTCAATACTAGGGCGTAGACCGTCCGGTTCAAGTTCCTTAATGGAAACAGTACTATTCCGGTGACTAGACTCACCCTGAAGGACTGTTTACGCCGTTCCGGGGTAATTAGCGAGACAGGGGTGACTCTAAAAACGATATAGGTGATAGGAGTGTCATACTATCACTCCTTTCGCTCGGTAGCGTTGCAAGACATCCACCAGCGCGGAGAGACCCCAGTCCCTCCGCCAACCCCGCATCGTATCGAACGCTTGACTTGCTCCTGATTGCGATTGATCCGAGGAATGGCCGTTAGGTCGGCTTGGGGATATGTATTCGACCCTTACGGCATAATGGGAACTATCCTCTCGAAGGTATAACCTTCTTCTCTTCTAGCGAGGGCCCTATAAGTACCGATTCCCATAAACTAAACAACATTTACAGTATCCACCATAGCATCTTCACAGTTCTGAACGAGACGAGAGAGAGAGAGAGAAGAGAAGTAACAGCACACTGTGGTCACTATCAGCATTCGACGGACCTCTTCTCTGCGTTACACCGATCAGTACTCTCCATGGGTTTCTCACTGCAAAAGCCCACCGGAACGGAGGGCAGAACGTGGCCGGCCATTCTGATTAGTGGTTTCGTCGCGTTCGGCGGAATTTTATTCGGGTAGGATGGGATCTTTTGCCAGACAAGCCGTATTTGAACTGATCGTCGTTGCAGGTATGACACCGGCACAATCAGCGGCATTCTGGCCATGCCGTACTGGGCCGAGACTTTCTCAACGGGCTACAGAGACAGTACCGGCCAGCTGAACGTCACGGCCAGCCAGTCTGCTGCGATAGTGTCTATCCTTTCCGCGGGGACGTTCTTTGGTTCGCTGGGTGCTGCGCCCATGGGTGACTTCATCGGCCGCCGTTGGGGACTGATTGCGTCCAATGGCGTCTTTGTCGTGGGTGTCGTATTGCAGACCGCCGCAACTTCCATTCCACCCTTCCTTGCTGGTCGATTCCTGGCTGGGTTTGGGGTTGGACTGATATCTGCTTTAGGTCTGTGCTGCTATCCATAAAGCCAAAGTGGAGCATGATGAACCAATGCTAACTGCCCCGTACTGTACAGTCCCGCTCTATCAGTCTGAGACGGCTCCCAAATGGATCCGTGGGTTTATCGTGGGTTCCTATCAGTGGGCAATTACCATCGGTCTACTGTTGGCCTCGGTGGTCAACAATGCCACTCATATGCGGGACGATTCCGGGTCCTACCGCATTCCGATTGCCGTTCAGTTTGCCTGGTCCATTATCCTGGTCGGCGGAGTCTTGATCCTGCCCGAGACCCCTCGGTACCTGATCAAGAATGGTAAGAGGGAAGCCGCCACGAAAAGCCTCGCCAGACTGCGTCGTTTGCCCGGGGACAATGCTGCAGTCCAGACCGAGTTGGCCGAGATCCAGGCCAACCACGACTATGAGACCAGTCTCGGGGGCTCAAGCTATATTGACTGCTTCCGGGGGAATGTCGGGATACGCCTTCTGACAGGCTGCCTGCTGCAGGGGCTGCAGCAGCTTACGGGTATTAACTTCATCATTTACTACGGCACGCAGTTTTTCAAGAACTCGGGCTACGACAATGAATTCGTGATCAACCTGATCATCAACTGCGTCAACGTTGGCTCTACTATCCCGGGTCTCTATGCCATTGACAAGTGGGGTCGGCGTCCAGTGTTACTGGCGGGCGCGGTTGGGATGTTCGTTTCGCAGCTACTGGTGGCTATTCTCGGGACTACCACCACTGGACAGGATAGTATGGGTAATATTATCGTGCATAATGATGGGGCACAGAAAGCAGCAATTGCCTTCATCTGTCTCTTCATATTCTTCTTCGCTGCTTCATGGGGCCCAGTCGCGTGGTAAGTACTCCACTCCAGCACAAACCCCCCCCAAGAAGCGTCTAACCACCCATCTAGGGTCGTTACCGGAGAGATATTCCCCCTTAAAATCAGAGCCAAATCTCTATCGATGACTACTGCCACCAACTGGATCATCAATTGGGCATTGGGATACTCCACGCCTTATCTCGTCAACTATGGCCCCGGAAACGCAAACCTGCAGTCCAAGATCTTCTTTATTTGGTCCGGCTGCTGTTTCCTCTGCATAGTGTTTGTCTATTTCATGATCTATGAAACCAAGGGTTTGACTCTAGAGGAGGTGGATGAGCTCTATAGCGAAGTCAAGTCGGCACGGCATAGTGTTGGTTGGACCCCAAGCATCACTTTCACGCAGATACGAGATGCGAGTTCAGCGAAGAATAGCGAGAAGTGTGTGACAGGGGAACACGAAGAGAAAATATGAGTCTTATGATGTGGCATTATAATCGAATCTGTGAAGAGGACCTGTACCTCGGGGCTCCGACACGTTTGTTGTGTTGCATCAATGACTCTTCGGTGGGGCGGGCGAAGGGATGGCGAGCATCTACTTCTTATTATGTGGCTTGTGAATGCGGTAATAGTTGCCCGATTTGACTAGTATGGGAGAGGTAGTACTCAAATGAATTCATACTGCTGTGCTCTTCCGGCGTCTCGAACAGCATAGAGTAATTCAAAATAATAAGTTGTGCTGTGTCCGAGTCGGCATTTTCCTTACAAGTGTATACCTAACGAGGGTTGCAAATGTATAATCGACGAGATCCAGGAGGAGATAGCTTCCAGCCCTTCGTCGAGGAACTGTAATCGTTCCGGGAGCACATCTTCTAAGTGTCGCTCATTCAGCAGCAACGATGGGAGCATACTCTAAACCACCATTCAGACTGTCCCTCACCGACAGAGTGCACCCCTGGAGCATCTTCCGCATGGCGATCTCGGCTACGAAGTATAACAGGTCGGCTAAGGTCCTCAAAGATGTTGCATTTTAATGGTGTATGTAGAATTGCAAGCCAAGTATAGGACGAATTTGATAGAGCCGTCTCGCAGATGATCTAAGCCGGCTGTGACTTTATCGTTCTACTGAGTGCCGGTGTTAAACGACTTATGGGAAGTATGGCTTTCGGCAATGTTCTGCTGATATATTCGCCGTGATGGGCGGCGTAACTGGTTCAAGCTAGATAGGCATAATTTCTACGGACTAGGGCAGGAAGCAAGAAAGCGTCGGTAATAGCCAGGTGTGGCAGGAGAATCCCAGTCCTAGTTACTACATAGCATTGACGGAAAGACAGCAACAGCTGAAACACTATCTTGAGCCTCGGCGACCTTGTTCTCCTTAATTGTTCCAAGCAGACGGAACTTGATGTGCCTTGAGTTCGACCCCGCTAGTTCGCCCGCCAGTTGAGAAGAGATGAACACCCACGGAGTCATTTTTGGGGAATATCTGAGCAGTTATAACGGCTTCCCCTGCCCCCGCAAAGACTTCTACCGAGGACCAATCAACCAGCACACGCAGCGTGATGTTGCCCTCGCTAGGAGCCAGTGGCGCATAGTACACATCCGGGAACGTGCCTTCAAAACCAGACTCTCCGGACTTTGTCCGGTCCACAAAGACCTGCTTGCTGGAGAAGTTGTAGCCAACACGGGTCTGTTCCTTCATGTCCTCCGAGGCGCGGAGGATTAGACCAAATTCACTTGACGCCGACTCTGAAAAGCTCAGGGTTGTGTCCAGGGCCCTCCCTGTCATGTTCAGCTTGGTGACACCCGCTGGTACGGAGCTCCAATGTCTCGGGTAACTGTTTCGCTTCTGTACAATGGGTTCCTGCACGAGCGTTGCTGTTCCATTCAAGGTGCGCAGCGACAATCGTCTAGGGATAGTATTGGCGCTCCGCCACGGGTTGGTAGGGATTGCGGCGGCATATTGCCAGTTGCTCATCCAGGCAATGTCGATCCGGTCAGCGACGGGGAGCCCGGAAAAGCTCAGAGCTGCGTAGAAATCAGGGCCCCAATCCATCCAGTTTGTCTGCTGCACACTCCTAGGGTCCGGGGTGAAGCTAGTCCCATCAAATTCTCCCACAAAATACTGGGTCCCTGAACCAGTGGTACCTGGCGGTCCTCCTGGGTTGAGGCCGAGTTGGACAACCCATTTCAAATTTTCGTCATCTCCATCCACAGGAAGAGGAAAGAGACTGGGACATTCCCATACGCCCCCAACAGCATTTGCCGGGCCGAATTCACTGGCATGCGTCCACTCCTTGAGGTCCGTTGACGTGTAGATGACCAACTTGTGCAGTTTTGCTAAAGCGACCACCGCAACCCATTTACCGGAGGCATCGTGCCAGAACACGCTTGGGTCCCGGAATTCCAGAATCTGGTCTGCGTAATCGGCAGGAGGGTCTAAGATTACCGGATTTTCAGCATCATAGGTTGTCCAAGTCATGCCATCATCAAGGCTGTAAGCAATAGACTGTGCTTGCTGATTGGCTTCCACGGACTTTCCGCTAGGTAAGGTTTGTGCCTGAGGGTACTGGTAAAATGAGTTAGCGTATACCCTTCTTCGTCCCCTGTCCAGATGACTGCTCACCATAGAAGTATACATGGCAACCAGAGGAATAGTGCCATTGGACCCAAACCCACTCGAATTGGAAGTATCGGCTACAACCGTCCCCGAAAAATACATCTCCGTAATATTATCGGGGTAGCCACGGGCCTGAAGGGCAACTGGTTGATGTTTCCAGTGGACCAAGTCGGAGCTTGTTGCATGGCCCCAGGACATCGCTCCCCAGGTATCTCCTCCCGGGTTGTATTGGTAGAATAGGTGGTAGGTTCCATGGTGAAAGATTAGGCCATTCGGATCGTTCATCCAATTCTTAGCTGGGGTAAAATGGTACTGCGGACGATAGAGCTCCGTATAGCTCTCAGCAGACACAGCACCGAAGGTAGATGCCCCAAAGGCCAGTGCATAACAAATGATAGAGAACATCGTACCTGACGGGAGAAGACTCGGTGAAGTGTACGTGCTATTGAATGATCATTTACTCTTGTTTGAAGTAATCGCTACCAATATATATACTTCTTGCTATTGTATGGATATGTAATTGTACTGGCTTAGATCCGACCCCATGTTGATCTCTTACCCTTCCAGAACATCTGGGGCAGCTATTCCGAAGCGCGGAGAAGTGCGGGGTCTCCGCGACTGCAGATTACCATCCCGAGTTACGCCTTGCTACTTCGGAGAAACTATTAGTGTGTCCACGGCGGCATAGGAGAATCTTCGAAGAAATCTCGGAGCGTGCTATACGGCGTACTCCGCATCCGGGGCCGCTTGAATCCCCACAAGTACGATTGCCGTCTTTGCACTAACAGGTACCGGCTGATCCGATACAGTAGCTAACTAAACCCCGGGTTATACGAAGGCGGGGCTACAGCACTACAATTTGCAGCTAACGAAGGCTACATTGGAATAGCCCGCAAGCTTCTGGATAAGGGCGCAGATGTCAATGCAGACGGCCCCCCCTTTTTATGGGAGAACCGCATTGGAGGGCGCCGCAGGGTATGGCCGCATTGATATGCTTCAGCTGCTTCTAAATGCAGGGACGTCAATTGAAGGGCAGGGCAGGCGACAGTATATCTGTACGTTAGAATCGGCCTCAAGTTTGAAAGCGATCCAAGGCACAATGAACGTCATCATTCATGTTTGATGATAGAGAAGCACGCCTATATTGAGCTGCAGAAAGGGAAGGTGCTGAGGGCTTTTCCATGATGATAGTGCTATAGCAAATCGACACAGAGATTGTCTAGCTTGTACCTGCCTCTATGCGAAAGATTCCCCTGAGATCCACCTGATCATCATATCAAGCGCCACGTCAGGTCGATCCTGAGGAAGCTATCATCATTAACCCGTTAGCATATTCTTAACCTTCCTTGGGAACAGAGTAAACTCACCAAATGCCCCGACTCATCAACAGTCACAAACGCAAACCTCGACCGCCCATCACCAACCTGCACATTCACCTCCTTCATGAGCCCAACTGTCTCTTTCCTCCCGTCCTCAACAAAAGTCATCCACGGTCTCATTCCCTTCGCCGTGAACTCCGCCTGTCCCTTCCAAATGACCGAATCCGCCCACCGTCGATTCCCCGCCGTATTGCACGCGAGATCCAGATTTCCTTGGTAAGCCAAAAAGTCGACTCCATGGTTCAGCAGAAAGACAACCAGATCAGACGTAGAGGTCATGCCGTCAGAGGAGGTATCGAATGCGTCGATAACGGACTGCGCGACGAACTTGTACTCTTTTATCTGGGCGGGAGGAGAGAGCGCATTCCACACAGCGGGAGTGTTCAGATATGTCTCGATGCGCGCGGATTGAATGTAGCACATCTCGTCGATCTCGCATGGCGCCGTGACTATTTACCCGAAGGCTCTTTCAGTCAAATCAAAGAATCGGAAAGCGAGGTGAAGACTGATGCATGAGGGGAAACTTACTATCAAATCTGTTCCGTCCCCCAGCACCGGCTTCATCATCGTACCAACCCACCACGCCCTCGTAGCAGACCTTCAGCGCAGCATGACAGATCGCCGGGTCTGGGTTTCTCACGCAGAAATCAGAGACCTGCATGCAGCGCGGCATGTCCGCGGCCATGATGTCGCATCGAGTTTTGTTGAATACGGGCTCAGGGACGCCTGGATTCGTGGTGCAGAGGGTTTCCCAGTATCCGTAGAATGAGTCTCTCGGGGACATGAAGCCGTTCCCGACTAGACATGACTGCAGGTTGATCTGGGGATGGTCGGGATGGAGCTGGTTCTGCTGGATTATCTGGGCGCCGAGGTGTGGGATATATTTCCCCTGAGAGAGGGATCAGATTACGGATCGAGATGTAAGAAGGTAAAGAGTAGAATAGGACTTACTGCATACGACTCCCCCGAAAGATGCACCGGCACGGTTGACAAATGCGGGAAAACCTCAGACACAAACAACTGAAGAAATCGATGCATGTCGACCGCTGCTTCCGCTGAATCCACCGGCAATTCGACTCCCTCGTCAATATACGAAAAGCCCGTATCGACCGGCTGGTCGACAAACAGCAGCGACGAATTCCGCGACCATGCCCACGGATTATGGTAGGTGCCGTTACCATGCTCATTGACGAGACAAGGCCCGATCTCCTGGAATAGGCCGATCATGCTGGAATCGCCGGGCCCGCCGGTCATCCAGAGAGTCAGGGGGTCAGTTAGAGGGTCATTCTGGCTCTCGAAGTACCAGAAGAAGATATGTTTGGGGCCAATGTCCAGCCAGCCGGTGTATTGGGCGGAGCCGGCAGCGCAGATGGACTCGTTCTGCTGGCGGATGCGCACCGACTGGTCTGGGAATTGGGTGCTGCGGATGACGCGAAAATCATCTGTGTTTGGGTCTGAGGATAGGAGAGGTATTTGGGTGGCAAGGCTGAGGCCGAAGAATGTGATAGCCAGCCGGAGTAGTAGGCGCAGCATGGGTGAGGGAGGGGGTTGAAGAAACTTTGAAGTATGATGTATGCGGATTGACGTAGTGCCAGGGCCTTGTCCGCTTATTCACTTCACGTATGCAAACTTGAAGTTCGCCGCCAGAATCAATGTGGGATGAGAGAAGCCGGAATCCAGGAGACAAAGACAAGGGCCCCGCCACGTAATTGGACAGGGATGTAGAAGCTTAACGCTTCTCGGACTTGGCCGATCCGGTTTACAGCGGAATGAACTATACGGCCAGCAGATATCAGGATTTATATGCAATTGGCTAATTTAGGTTGCTGCACATTGCAGATCCAATGGCCCCGTACTTGTGTCTACTTGTTGCTTTCCACTAGCGGTAGTAGAAATGTAAGATGCGATAATATATTCAGGGTGCCAGAAAGGAAATAGAATTTACAGAATGAAAAATGGAAACCGAAACGAAAATGGAAGTAAGGAGACAAAAAGAAAGCAACTTTAGAGAAGAGGGAAAGGCAAATTGAGCATAGAGCCATGAATATCCCAACAACAGCGCTTTGTTAAACTCAAAAGCTTCAGGGATCTTGGAACGTCACTTTTCCATCCTGCTTTTTCAACCACATTATACCCCTCACCTACTGCAATCTTGTGCGGTTGTTGGGTCCCGATGGCATATGACATCTTTTATGCACCCATGATCCTTGTTTTGAGAGAACCCAAAATCTAGATAATAAAGCCGCACTGTTCAGCGGTTGAGGTATCCACTGTTGTCCATGTTATGAATACTGCACATCATCTTGTCTACATGGTTCGACTTAGGTCGTATAGAAGAACAACTCTATCATTTTGGTGTTACACAGACTTCCGACTCTGTTAGCACAGCGTCCTTGACACAGCTACCTACCAAACATGGGTTCCATACAGGAGAATGAAGAATCTATCAACCTCATAACTCGACTATCGCATCTTGCCTCAAGACTTGACAATAACCAAGACTTCGAGGCGAAACGAGAATGCTTGCAGATCAGCAAAGCGCTGACAGTCCAGCTGGACGATCCAGAAAATGTTGCCGTCGATATGGTTTTCTCGGTATAGCATCGTCCTTGAGGCCCATCACATTCAACAATTAGTCTGCGAGCTGTGCTAACTCCCTGAGAAGCCCATGATAGCCGCCAGTGCGCGAATCGCCGTCGATATGAATCTCTTTTCGCTCATCCTGCAACATGGACCTGTCACTTCGACCAGACTAGCCGAGTTGTCGGGAGCCGAGGAGCTGTTGATTGGTATGGTTTCTCTCACGTCTGGCTTGTGCTTCGCTTAACAAGGCCAAAACAGTTCGTATCCTGCGTTCTTTATCCGCCATTTATTTTGTGGAAGAAACCGCAGTCCGAACATGGCAAGCAACGCGCATCACACAGGCCATGGCCAAGGAAGAAATCGCAGCGGGTCATCGAATGGTGTTCGTTATGCATTCTACATCCTTATTCACCTTTTGAGGTCTAATGTTGGATCCCTAGATTCGGATTGATCGTACCGGCAATACAAAGTGCTCCTGAATACTTCCTGGAGAGAGGCCATTCCTGTCCCGTTGACTCGAAAGATGGTCTAGTCCGGCGTGCCTTTCAGACCGAACAGACGACGTTCGAACGAATCACGTCCTTGCCTTCCCTTTTGAAAGACTTCAACCTCTTCATGGGAAATACCATGGGCGCCCGGAAGTATTGGGTGGACTGGTATCCCGTGCAGGAACGAATCTTGAACGGAGCGGACCCGAATACAGCCTTGATTGTGGATGTCGGCGCAGGCAAAGGCCATGATTTGATCGCGGTTCAGGAAAGATTCCCAAACACGGGGCAGCTAGTGTTGGAGGATTTAGAAGCTGTTACTGATACCTTGGACCTAGATCCGACGATTCAAAAGGTTCCGTATGATTTCTTCACGGAGCAGCCTGTTCCTGGTAAGTCCTTGGGACTCCCTGTATGGATGTACAGGCCTAACTAGTCCAGGTGCACGAGTCTATTTCTACCATCATATCCTACATGACTGGCCGGACTTGTATTGTCTGCAGATTCTTAACCGGGTGGCGGCAGCGATGACGCCGAGATATTCGAAGCTTTTGCTGCATGAGATGCTCGTGTTGGAGCAAGGAGCGCCGCATTTCCAGGGCCAACTAGATATGACGATGATGGCATTTAATGCTGGTATGGAGCGGACTCGACAGCAGTGGCAGACGCTGCTAGAGGCGGCTGGTCTAAGGGTAGTCAAAATTTGGGATCCCATCGACGAGGCTGGCGATGGCATTGTTGAGGCGACGAAGGTCTGAGAGAGTCGACAGGGAGTATGGAATAGATAGGTTGTGCTCTATACTACACACAGGAGGAAATACGATAGACGAATACTCCTCTCGGGCAGTTTATCAAGGATTCGGCGTGTCCAATTTCAATTATTTGAATGGATTACATTAACCAGATCTATACAATCTGCCACCGTATTGGAGCTGAACCTATTGTCCCGTCCATGCACGATTTCCTAGTCCCAAATCGTTCAATTGCCACACACTTCGACCGGGAATCTCCTCATTCTGTACTAATTCTTCGCGTGTCCTTTAACTAAACATTCGGAGGGCAACCGGGGACGGGGGAATTGGCACCGAAGCCCCGGACGTGCTCCGACTGTCCGGCACGGCTCCGGCGTTAAAGCCGCGTGGGATGGACAGTATACCCCACGGGGTTCGCCAAAGAGGGGTAAGATGACGGCTTGGGGTTACTGATTATGATGGATTTTCCTGCTTCGGGCTCATGATCTAGCCTGCGATTCAACTTCAGATAGGTATTTTCTGATTCGCAATATATCATGTCCGATCTCTCTAGTTCAGAGGAATTGTTGATCATCCAGGCGGATGGGCTATATCCTGTTCGTTCATCCAACTCTTATATCACCAATTCCTCGTGCCATCTGACTTCTTCCAGGACGATGCAGTCGAGCAACAAATTCTGAAGGATGCCCGGATTCCGCAAACCCGCAAAATCAAGTATCTTCAACTGGACCTGTTCCCGACAGGCACTGCTACACCCAAGCCATGGACTACAATCCCCGAGGAGTTGCGACGAGAAGTAGACGGCATCCTAACGTTGAAGATGTACTTCACGGCAGAAGATGTGCAGCTCTTTCCAAAGCTTAAAGTGTAAGATGCAAACTCCAGGACTGCCATCGAAACCCAGTTCAATGTCTAATTCAATTCGTTTGCAGCATCGTGAGAATGGGAGTCGGTTACGATCGACTAGATCGAGTTGCACTGGCCCAGCGAAACGTAACAGTGTGCAACGTTCCCGGTTCGTCCACTTCCACATACCTCCCAGATACCTAAATCCTTGTACAACCAGCCCAAGGTCCGACTAACACCCCCAACCATCTAGACTACGGCACAGCAGAAATCGCCGACCACGCCCTCGGCCTAGCCCTCTCCCTCCGCCGCGGCATCCTCCTCCACCACGACCTCCAACGCGAACCACACGTCGAGCCCTGGATGGTAGTCGACACGCCGCTGGTCTCCCGCATCCGAGACACAACCTACGGAGTGCTAGGCCTCGGCCGAATCGGAACAGCCGCAGCGCTCCGCGCAAAAGCATTCGGCTGGCGCGTCCTCTTCTACGACCCGTACGTCCCGAACGGCTACGACAAGACGCTCGACATCGAGCGCGTAACCGACATCCGAGAGCTCTTCCGGCGCAGCACAACCCTGAGCATCCACTGCGCATGCACACACGAAACACGGGACATGATCGGCTCCGATCTCGTCTCGCTGATGCCGCGCGGATCGATACTCGTGAACACAGCCCGCGGCGAAGTGTTACAACTCGACGCGGTGGAGGAGGCGTTGAGAACGGGGGTTTTGGCCGGCGCCGGGCTGGATGTTTTGCCGGAGGAACCGATCCCCGAGGAGCGGGTGCATTCACTGATACGGGCGTATCGGCGGAATGAAGACTGGTTGGTAGGCAGGTTGGTGTTGACGTGTCATACGGCGTTTTATTGTCCCGAGAGCTTTGCGGAGATCAGGACGAAGAGTATGGAGACTATGCGGGATGTGTTGGTTTTGGGATTACAGAGTAATGTGATTCCTCCTGGTGCAAGCTGAAAGCTGGACTTGGATGGTTTACATCGATAGGATGGTCTGTGGGTATTGTTCGTTTGTATGTAGTGTAGTATGTTACTCGGAAGAGTGGCTTCAGTTGGATAGAAGCAGTGATATAGAATGTCATGCGCCTGGATGTGGGCCATTTTTCTAACAGTTAATAGCTTTAGTAAGAAGAGGGGAGATTCCCATGCCTAAGCAGAACATCTAGATTACCAGTGCCGAATAAATCCAGAAAAAAAGACCCTTCACATTGATATACAAAGGTGGCTTGCATGTGACTTCTCACATGTACCGCGCTTGTCGGCAGGTCGGGATATAAAAGGCACTTCGTCCCTCCGGGAACGTGATAAAATTTCAATACCTTCGATTTCTGTTCATTGACCCCGAGACCTGATCCAGGTCGGTCTGCAGGGATTTATTAACATCATATAGTGTGTACACATGCAATGCAAACGCAATGCTCAAGCTGTCCAGCTTAACGAGATGAAAAATCCAACTCCTCATCCAATGCCAAATTCACATCGCGTCACCCGTCTCTAGGCCGTCCGTCCAGAATCAAGTCGGCAGGCCAGGTGTTAGTTCATGGATAGATAGGTAAGTATATGTATAGATTCCGACAAGATATTCCAAATGATATGAGCAAAAGAAAAAACCAAAAAAGAAACGTCCTCTAATCTGACTCGATATTCAACGTTAGATCATCCTGGGCATACTCTGCGACGCGACCGACCCGCGCGGTCCGCTCGAAGGCCCCGACCCGTCCGCCGACAGCATCGTCTGACGTCTCGTGTTATTGTGCATCACAGACTCCAGATCCGTGCGCGATGAATTCGGCGCGAACAGCATCGAGTCACGATCGAATTTGACCTCGCTGGTTGAGCGATTGTTGCCTTCGACCAACGGCACCATCGAATAGGCGGATGCGCTCGCTCCCCCTTCCGCTGTGGCCGCAGCCGCAGCTTCCGGCGCCGGCGGAGTCTTTTCGAACATTCTGGTGATGCGGCTGGCAAGACAGTACCAACCGATAGTGCCAATGAAGATGGCGCCCACAACACTAGCGACCGCGATGGCGGCAACCATACCGTTGTGGTTCCATTCTTCGAGGTCGAAGTCGCTGGAGCTGGTGGAGGCGGTGGATGACGTGCTAGAGGTGGAGGAAGAGGTGCTGGATGTCGTGGAGGAAGTGGTGGAGGCGCTGCTGGTCGTCGTCTGGGTGGTTTCGGAGGTGGTCGAGGTGGTGCTCTCGGCGGAGGTAGTGGTAGGTTCGGCAGTGGTGGTAGGTTCGGCAGTGGTGGTAGGCTGTTCGGTGGTGGTGGGCTCCTCGGTGGTGGTTGCTTCGGCGGTGGTGGGCTCCGCCGTGGTTTTGGCTTCGGTGGTCGCCGGCTCTGCCGTGGTGGCGGGTTCCGCGGTCGTTGCAGGCTCTGCCGTCGTCGCTTTATCTGCGGCCGCTGTGTCTGCAGCTGCCGTGTCAGCCTTCGTGTCGGCGGCTGCGGCAGCGTCGGCGTCGTCAGTTTTGGCAGCCGCAGCAGCAGCAGCAGCAGCGTCGTCCGTCGCTCGTTTTTGGAACCATCGCCCGTGATATAATTCCTCGGAATCAACCGGAAGATCGTTGGGGACTGGAGAAGGATCGTCCAGCAAGGTGGTGGTAGGAGATGGGAGTCGGGTGAAGCTGGTGGGTTGCTCCAGGCGGGCGTAACCCACGGAGCAGAGCGCCAGGGTGATCAACACGGATAACCGCATGGTAATTGAGGTTGTTCAACCGAGCGAATTAAAGTGGTGGGAGAGATTTTGGCATTTAAAATGAGTGAGAGGGCGGAAGGGCGAAAAGAGCGACAGAGGGTGAAAAGAAAGGGAGAAGGCAAAAAAAAAAGTTGGCTGGATGGTCTGAGTGATGGTCAATAACCTGACCCACGCATTACTATTATGGGAAGAAGCAAACCCAAAAAAATCCAAAGGCAAAAAAGGCACAGGCACAGGCACAGCAGAGCACAGCACAGGGCAACGGAGGATACATTTTTCCATCTTTCGATGTTTGACTAGGGCTGAGCCTGATTGGGCCCGGGGAGAACCGGTGGAGTGCGACGGATGCGGTTGGTCTGCCACGCGGCTGCTCTCCACAGGCTGCTTCTAATTATATAGAATCCAGGGTCACAGAGGTGATTAATTTACAGTCTAGTCTGTGGGAGGAGGATCAGATCGGTTGGAGTGAAAGTGGTGGAAGTGGTGTGGTGCCTGAGGAGAAAGCAAACATTGTATAGGATGCACAGGTACTACTGTACCTTCCAACAACAGAATCAGGGGCAACTGGCAGTTGTCGGCTAGCGGCAACTTTTACTTTGGCCTGGGAAAAGGTCTTAACCAGCCAATTAATGCCCGTTGGTGCCTCTCGTGTTCTGTGGCCATTACCAGCCCTTTTCTGAATACGAGTTGAAGGTGTGATATGAAGAGTGAATTCATGCACAGAATCCTCCGCCATAAACAGACTGAGATAATTATAGTCGGGTATTAATTCAACGCTGCTGCATACACAGTACATGACACAGGTGGATAAGGCTGTCTCATGTCGATCATAAGATCATTTTCCTACAGATTACAAGTGAGAAATATCCCGGTAGAGACCGACCATCTGATTGGTATGCAAAATGCTATTCTTATTCTTGCACTGCCTGGTGATGCTGCAGGTATTCTTAGTTCTCTGATTCCGCAATGTTTCCCTAGCGAGTAATTCGTAAACACAGGACTCTATCCACTTCACTGCCACCAACCACGTTGGTGGGTCGGTGCATTTTTTTTGCTCCACAAATCTGAGAGACAGCCTGTGCTTTTACTCGAAGCAGGTAATGGCAGGGTATTTCACGGAGTTGAATATGCTCAGGAATCCAAGTACGTCATGGCCTGGTGGTCAACCTGATTCCCTATGGAAGGAGTAGTCCTACTGCGCTGAAACGGGCAAGCTGCGCATAAGACGCATAATCTGAGTCAGCATGTATAGCCTGGCAACTCTGGCTTATGCCAAGGTTTGTTTGGCCCGACCGTCTGCCTCGCCCCCATTCCAGTTGCCTTCCAATTCCTACAACTAACCACAAACTACTCTGTTCAGTCAAAAGTCGAGGCACGATGGACTGCGCACATTCCTTCCCGCCCCATTTGCCTTGAACCGCCCATCGGAATGTTGTCCAACTAGATGATCTACCCCTAAGCCTCCTATGTTCCGGCAACCCTTGTAGGGCGTCCAGCCTTGCACGCGCCTGTCCATCTCAACGGTACATTACTCTGTCCTTCATTTCGTGATGAAACCAGCTCAACAACAATGAAAGTACGCAACGGTATACGGGTGGTGTCAGTGTCATAGACTCACCGCCCAGACAATCTCATTCCACGGGGTTTTCTCCATACGGTTCGGACTCTAGTCGTGGAGATACCCGAATGAGGGAGTCCCCGCAAGATCGACGTGGACAACTGCTTGACTTCTTCGCTTTTTAAAACGCCGTCATAAGTTCAGAGTGCCCGCGATTTGATTGAAATTGCCATATCCCCGCAATCATTGGCTAGCGTGGGGTGACCGCTGAGCCAGCCTTGGGTCCTCGCCCCCTCGAATACCCTTGTTGGATGTATCATAATTGCAGATCCATTCCGACTTAATCTCATTTCAGGCTGACGGCCGCCGTCCCTGATCTTCCCTGTGCAGGATGCCACAGCCCTGAGCTACTAGTATATATTCGCGGATTCCTCCTCCCTTCACTTGCCCCTTTCGACACGACAATTCTCTGTGAGATCATATTCGCCACCATGTCCCTTCGTTACCTGCCCCTGTTGTGCTGCTCGCTGGCTTCGGCAGCCAACCTCTATGCCACTCATTACTCGGGTTCTGTTTACACCCTATCCCTAGAGGGCGGCGACGATGGGTACTCTCTGTCCGTCGCATCCGAGTTGAAGACCTGCGGTGACATGCCCAGCTGGATCACCCTCGACCCGGAGTCGAAGCTTCTCTACTGCTCCGACGAAACCGGCGATGCCTCCAGCAACGGGTCCCTGACGGCTCTTTCCATCGGCGAGGACGGTTCCTTGACCGAGGGTGCCAAGACGGGCGCCGCGCCGGGCGGCGGCGTCAACAGCATCATCTATACCGGTGATGACGGCTCCAAGTATCTCGCCATCGCGCACTAGTACGTGGCTTCCATCAGGCCCTAATCAAAAACGTTCTACATACTAACATCGCGCAGTGGTGGCTCCGCCCTTTCCACTTTCGCGCTTCCTTTGGAGGCCGACGTCGAGCCACTCCAGGTCTTCCACTTCGAGTTGACCAAGCCCGGCGCCGTTCCGCAGCAGGATGCCTCGCATCCCCACCAGGTCATCCTTGACCCGACCGGATCCTTCCTGCTCTCGCCCGACCTTGGCGCCGATCAGATTCGCGTGTACGCCATCGACAAATCCTCGGGATCCCTGAACGACTGCCCGGCCATCGAATTCCCGCACGGCGCCGGACCCCGTCACGGCCTCTTCTGGAAGTCCGAGAGTCCTCAATTCAGATTCCAGCGGCGCGCGGACTCGCAAACCATGCTCTACACGGTCAGTGAGATCGGCGGCCACTTCACGGCCTTCGACGTCTCCTACAGCGACGACGGATGTCTTTCGTTCCGTGAGACCCAGTCCTTCGTCCCCTACCCCGGCTCCGAGCTGCCTGAGGGCGCCACCCTCTCGGGCATCCAGTCGGACGGCACTTCCCTGTACGTGTCCATCCGCTCGGACCACGGATTCGACCCCAACGACTCCATGTCGACCCTGGCTCGCTCTTCCAACGGCACCGTGACCTACCGTGACCTGACCTCTTCGTACGGCACCGTCCCTCGCACCTTTGAGATCAACAAGGCCGGCGACCTGGTTGCTATCGGTAACCAGGCTTCGTCCAACGTGGCGATCGTTAAGCGTGATCCTCAAAGCGGTAAGCTTGGAGAAGAGGTCGCCAATGTTCAGGTAGGAGAGGCGGGGGAGGTTGGTACTGCCGAGGGTTTGAGTAGCCTGATCTGGGGTGAATAGAGGATGAGCGGTGTCGTACTTGTACATTAGTATGTAGCTTTGCGTGTTACAGCCTTACAGGAGGTGGGATGCAGAGAGGGATCCGCTGGTGACGGATCTAGCTAAATATAAAATTACGGTGAAAATGCTGATTATGCGATCGGACTTCCATCCACTGCCTGTAGCAGCACATTAATAAACCGCAATGGTGTAGAGATGAAGAAGTAGAAACACAGGACGATGCAGCCTCAGGCATAAACACCTGATCACAGGCGGTAAACAGCCACGTGACCTAAACGGCAGAAAAAGCCAAGCCAAACCCAGAAAAGGATAGAAAGAAGAACGCAGCAAGACAATCTACCACGACAGACAAACGACTGATGCCCCCCGACAGCATCAGCTTTTGTTCCTCTCTATCCTAAATCACCATCCCGGCGACAGCGTCTAGCCCTGTCCCCGGATGTATTCGTCAATGCAGCAAGCCCGGTTGCTCTCGACCACCCTCGTCCGACCCTGTCGATTCGTCGCGCACCGCCGTTATCCCGCCGCCGTCGTCGCCTCGCGTCGATTCCACCTCTCTCAGCCCTGGCGCTCCTCGGCCCCGGGACCTTCAGATCCTCATGGAAGGGGAGAATCGTCCTCTGATAACGTGAGCGGGGTTTCGTCAACGGTCAATTCCGAACAAAATCCCTCGGATCAGCGCCCCCCGACAACGACGCCTGTTGTACCGTCCGCTACGGAACAGCAGCAGCAGCAAGACGGAGCGAAGAAAGAATCGAGCCCTTACGGGTCTGCCGTTCGTCGGGCTCTACGGAATAGAAAGCCGGCGAAGGAGTGGACCGCGCCTGTCGCTACGGTCCCTGACTGGTTCTACGAGCGGAATACCGTAGTCAATGGAGACGAGGCGCGGTCGGTGGCGGCGCAGGCTCCGCAACAGGTAAAAATTGCTCCATCGGTTACGGGGACAGACAAGACGGAGACTGAGGCGGTCGCGCAAGGCGGCGGCAGCGGGGATGAGAACGGAGGATCCTCGCCGTCGTCGGACGGAGTGCCTGGAAACGAAAACCGGTATGCGTTGACCGAGGCGTTGTGGCAGGAGCTTTGTGCCTCGGCCAGGGCCGGTCTACGACTTCCTCCGGCGAAATACGCGAAGGAGCCTTCGGCGCGCAAGTCGCACTTGGTACTGCAGTACCCCGGCAGCGATGGGATCTTGTTCTTGGATGCGGTGGTGAAGAGGCTGGCGCAGGATCTGGGGGCGGATCTGGTTACGCTGAATGCTCAGGATATCGCGCAGCTGTGCAATGAGCAGGACCTGGAAGATGTCGGGACGACGTCGTCGATTCGATCGTTGGGCTACGAGGTGTATCGACCGGCCCCTTCGGACGCCTGGCAAGATGTCGTGGAGGAGGGTGAATCTGATGACGCGGACATGATGGACAGTGCGGTACCGTCACGCAGCTTGCGACCTGGACTTGCCGCGCCGAAGTTCATTACCATTGAGAGTCCTCGGGGAAGTTCTGGGGATATACCTCTTCCTAACCTATCGGGCCTTCGGTCTTTAGTGGCTGCCTTCAACGGCCCTATGGATGGTCCTGGTGGTTCTGCATCGCCGCAAGGTGGTAAAGATCGAGCGGAGGACAGACGACTTCGACTGATCAACGAGCTTCTTTCATCCCCTACGAAATCTTCTCGGCAAGCAGACAAGACAACCCCAGAGGAAGAGGGAGAATCACATGCGACCAAAACCGAAGACACCAAACCCGTTCAGACCCGCGACATTATTGTACAGGTCCAAGATCATGGCGAGATTCAAAGCACACGGGAAGGCGCCCGGTTTATTCAATTGCTGCAAAAAGCTGTCCAGGATCGGAGAAAGGCTGGATCCCGGGTCTTGTTTGTCGGCACTACTGCGCAAGATGACTCGGATTCATCGCGGTTGATGCAAAGCGCGCTTGACGACCAATTCTCGCAGATGCTCGTGGTTACCCCTGCTATGGGCTCTGAGATGGCTGAGAAGACCTTTGCGGACGATCGCAAGAAGCGGACCCTCGATGTCAATATCCGCCATCTGCAGGACATGCTCCGAACACGACTACACGAAACCCCTTCGGCACTGAAGGATGACATTTTTGCGAACAGGGATTGGCCGCTGGGTGCCTCCCTTGTAAAGGATTCCGGCCTAGAGGATCGTTATTGGACATACAATCAAGTGCACTGGGCCACCACCCTTGCGCTTGGAAACCTGAAACCGGAGGATTCCTTTGGCTTCGACCATATTCGGCAAGGGATCGAGATGATACAAAAGACGGAGCGCATCCGAGGTGATTGGCTGCAAGAGAAGACGCCCAAGACGAAGCACACCGAGACTGGCAATGACCGTGAGCGGCTGATCAACTCGCTCCGGAAAACATGCAACACCCACGAGAAGAAGCTGCTCAACGGCGTGGTCGATGCGAAAAGTCTCCGTACAACTTTCGACGATGTCCACGTCCCACCCGAAACGATCGATGCCTTGAAGACGCTCACTTCGCTCTCCCTCATTCGCCCGGAGGCGTTTACTTACGGTGTCCTTGCCACTGACAAGATCCCGGGCCTTCTCCTCTACGGACCTCCTGGTACGGGTAAAACGCTCCTGGCCAAGGCTGTCGCCCGCGAGAGTGGTGCTACGGTACTGGAAGTGAGCGGCTCGGAGGTGTACGATATGTACGTCGGAGAGGGAGAGAAGAACGTCAAGGCCATCTTCACGCTCGCCAAGAAGTTGAGCCCCTGTATCGTCTTCATTGACGAGGCGGATGCCATCTTCTGTTCGCGCACTGGCGCTAGCAGTCGCACCTCCCACCGAGAGCTGATCAACCAGTTCTTGCGCGAATGGGACGGAATGAACGACCTTTCCGCCTTCATCATGGTTGCTACCAACCGACCCTTTGATCTGGATGACGCTGTCCTGCGACGTCTCCCTCGACGACTCCTGGTCGATCTGCCCACTGAGCAAGATCGTCTCTCCATCTTGAAAATCCACCTCAAGGAAGAAACTCTCGATGGTTCCGTCGATCTCGCCGAGCTTGCCCGTCGCACGCCCCTTTACTCTGGATCCGATCTGAAGAACTTGTCCGTCGCCGCAGCACTGGCCTGCGTTCGAGAGGAAAACGCGCTGGCCGCCCAGCATCAAGGCGATGAGCCCTACCAATACCCGGAGCGACGCACCTTGACCTGGACCCATTTCGAGCGTGGAATGGAGGAGATCAGCGCATCGATCAGCGAGGATATGTCGTCGCTGTCGGCGATTCGCAAGTTCGACGAGCAGTACGGCGACCGCAAGGGACGACGCAAGAAGAGTCCCGGATGGGGATTCATGCCTGCGATGACGGAAGAAGCCGAAGCAGACGCAGCGCGCGTTCGTACATGAAAAAAGAAATGACGGTCTCATAGACATGGTTGTTGTTTCAATATTCAACTCTGTTACATTTGAATTCGCTATATGCTTTCTATAGAAGAGGAGGGATAGGATGGAAATTCTTGGACGATCTTGTATTTTAGCGATATCCTGTACAATAGGTATATAATTCTTTTACTCGTATTCAGTTCATACAATCTAAGCCAGAAAGTGGAGGTAAACTGCAAGAAACCGGCGTACAGAGCGGAGGATCAGAGTTGTTGCATGATGACATCGACTCTCAACTTCCGGCGATCGTCATTTTCTCCGCCCGAAACTTCGCCTTTTCCTTTTTCCCCACATCTTTCCCTCTTTCTCTCCTTTCTTTTCACAAACTTCCGGGCATTTTCCTCTTCAGATCGCCTTGGAATATCTGGGACTCCTGTTATCTTTTGTGACTGATTCTATTGGTCTATTAACTCATTCCATACCCTCTGCAGGTTCCCCTCTAAGCGCCCCTTTCTTCACCTTTGCCTCAACTCGCCTCGCGCTCTCTTTTAACAGCCAAGCTCTGCCCCCTCAGCTAGCTAATATAGCTTCTGCGGAGCTTTCCAGCTGAAGCCCCTTTACTGGGCTCCCTCCTTTCCCACCGTATTACCAAACAAGCTCAACTCCGATCCCCTGGCCCAGAAATCAAAGATCACGAACTGAAAGAAGCAAACAAGCAAGAAGTCAAAATGACCACCGAAGCCCGCGACGCCGCAATTCGCGAGGCAAAGCTACACGTTCGTGAAATCGTCCGCAACGACTGGCTTTTCCACCCCTCCACAGACTCAGGTCTGCCCGCCTCGTCGTCCCCTACCCCGCCACCCCACGAGATCGCCGAGTGGCGTCTGCGCGAGTACGATAGTTCCGGGTCCGAGCTGGAGCCCGTCTCTTCACCGGAATTGGAACCGGAGGATGCCAACGACCACGACCACGACTTGGAATATAAGCAGGGGCTAGGACGCGCTACGCTGCGGTCCATCTCGCCGCGTCGCAAGCGCCGCAGGCAGGAGCAGGAAGAGGAGATGCGGTGGAACGAGGGACTTCGGACGTGGGTGGAGCGACGGGATGCGTGGTCGGGGGCGTTGTCGCGCACGGATATTCGAAGACGCGAGCAGGAAGAGAGGCAGCGGGGGCAGGAGAATGGGGAGGAGGGAACGACGCAATCGCAATCGCAATTGCATGATCAAAATGCGATCGCAAACGAGGATGCGCAGACCCTCGATTCAACAACCTCCTCTGGCTCCGGCACCAACTCGTCCTCTGGATACGAGGACCTAGCTGCTAGAGCTGAGGCTTCGTTCTCCATCGCCGATCAAGACCCCACGACGACAACCATGTCGGGCGCGACGCAGCAGCAGTTCCCTGCGGATCGTGAGCGCGAAGACGAGCCCTCTACCGCCGATCCGGAGAATCCTCATAATCCCAATGCTGCTGCTACCACGACAATTAACGAACCCAGCACGGCGACCCCCGCGCCAGCTACGCAAGCTGCCACTGCGACCGCATCGTCGCGCCAGATCGCGCGCAACATCTACGAAGACCCTTTCATCCCCGTCGCTCCGTCTCTCATCTCGACCTCCAACCCCATCCGCGCCGCCATCACGCCAACCATGTACCCGTCAATCTACTCGAAAGTCGTCGTCCAGGGTCTCACCCCCACTGTACCCATCAACTTGGCGGATGTCACGAAAGCCATGGTGCAGGGCTGGAAAGCAGACGGTCAATGGCCGCCGAAACCCGCGACTCAGAACATCGTGCTACAGGACACTGCGACGGTGCGACGGCCCGAGAAACCTGCCGGCAGTGCGGCAGGCGACACCGCGGAAAAGCAGCTTGGGTCTTCGCCCGAATCGAAGCGGCGATCGGGCATTGCCAGCACCGTGCGGAAGGTGCTACATTTCTCCGGTTTCCATCAACATCCGTTCCATCGACGGGGATCATCGAGCCATAACCAGCAGGGTCAGCAGGATGCGAATGAGGGGACGGTCGAGGGAAGCGGGATTGTGGATCAGACGATTCCAGAGCGGTGATCTATCTCTTCCTGGTAGTTGTATTCGACCCGGTTTGCTTATTATCATCCGATATAAACCGGATAGACCATTTCCCGAACTGATTAGGTGTGGCATGGTGTGGCGTGGTTCTCTTTCTCACCTCTCGAGAAAAGGAGAGATGAGTTGACCATGGGAATCCAAATTACTCTCATGTTTCGGATATGGATAGCACCACTGTGTCATTCCATGCTCTATCGAACCACGCATGTATACGATATCTTGCTTTCACTCTTGATGTCGAACATGGGCAGAACAGACTGGTTGACGGAGCGAAGGACAGACAAATGAACGCACAGATGCATGAATTACACGGTCTCAACTCTTGCAATGAATGAATTGGCTGAAATACCTCGGTTGATATGCATCGTTTTTCTTATGCGTTTATGTTTATGTTTACTGCCCTGCTCAATTACCTGGGTTACTTGGATTAGTCTCCCTCTCTTCTCTTGTTTCGTCTATCCTCCTCATTTTCCTCTTTTATATGTCAATTGCATTGTTATGTCGTGTCATCTTGTCGAGTGGTAGTTTATGAGCTTCATGGTCACATCATGTCCTTCTCATGCCTCGTTCTATTCTGTCTGTACTATACGTTAATGTATAGTTTCTTCTCTTCTGTTTGTTCTACGCCTTACGTTGGCTGAATGATTGCTTGCTTAAATGAATTGCATACTCTGGATGAACGGTTTACATCTCTGCTCTGCTTTACTTTACTTGACTTGACTTACAGCCAGCTAGCTATTTCTCACTTGCGAACTCTCAATTCCCACTTACCTTTTTATATTTGTGCCTACGTTATCGCGCTGGTTATCTACAGTCCTGGAGTTTAATGGTAGAGCCTTCACTTTCAACATAAATCAAAACACCAGGTAGCTAACCCATGGTTATTTGATTAGATGGATAATCTTCAGTATCTTGCAAGATCCCGCCTATAGTATAAATGGTTAGATAGGATATCCTGCTGCTTATGCATCTATGAGAGAGAACTGACATATAACATTTAAATTACTATAGCGGTGTATGCGGTGAGCCTTATGGCCAGTATAGTCCTTCTTACCAAGGGGGCGGGATACCGGAATATACAACAGGCGGGATACCGAGCGGGATGCCGGACTAGGTATGAACTTTACTTCAGTGCCTTACTGATTTCTCATGACAGACTAATGAGCAATAGACCGGTGGGATAACTCGAGACTACTAAGCTAGGGCACAATTAATCTTCACCTCAGTAAGCAGCTTACAATGCCTAGGTGGATTAGAAGGCGAGAAACGGATCGAAGCATACGCACAATGTTCATGCGCCCTCGTGTACTTAAACGGCCGAAGGACTCACGCAAAGAGTTCTTCAGATTCGATTCCTGTTGAGCAAAGTCAAGTGCACAGAAGCATATCACCCATCTGTCCTCTCTCCTTCTCGCCGCAAACATGGCTTCTCCACCAAAAACCAGACTCACCTTCACTCACATCACGACGGCCACTGCAATCCTGAACATCGATGGGATCAATTTCCTCACTGATCCCTACTTCGGCGATGCCGGCAGTTTCTCGAGTGAACTTGACTGGTCTCGCGCACGCCTTGAAGAAGATTTCGGGCTGGATGAGATCCCCCCGCCCGCACAGCTCTCGCTTTCCAAGCCTCCTAAACTGTTCCAGACGAAGGCTTCGGTTCAGTTCGCCTAATGCCCTTACATGAACTATCCAACCTTTTTGGGAGGTTGGCATCATCAACTTAAGAAAGAAAGCGCATCGTCATCAGCTAATATATGTACAGTGGCCAGCCGACTCCACCTGTGCTCTCAGCGTACCTGTGCAAGCGTCAAAAGTCCCAGGGTTCTGGTAGCCTGCAGGAGAAGGGATCTGGATTGCTCTTCATCAATCAAGTAGCAGCTCTTCCGCCGTTAGCCATCTGAATTTCGTGGATTTCTGTATTGCATTGCCCGAGGCATAGCAAATCAATCTCGATCTCCCGATCGCTTGTACCCCACGCTCTTCCTAGCCAATGCTACCTGATGGATGCTGGATATTCATAACGTTAGAGGCTAAATCTAGCTAATTGCATTTTTTCTATTTTTATTCACGAGATAACTTCCTACTCCGTAGATGATAAGCTTGCGTTAGATATATTCTATCGCACATCGAGAAGTATCCCCAAACGAAGGAATTGTATGCATCAATACAGCTAATCATGCTTCCCTCTATGTCAATTCTGATCTGGTTCCTATTGCGTCACCTACGGAGTACCCATGGTAACCTTTACGGGCGTAGCATATGACGTCATGATAAGATCCCAAAGCGGCGCGTTAAGACCTCTGCAATTCCTCATACAAATGTAGGTTATTGTATCCAGAACAGAAGATTGCCCGATCCAGTGAATAATAACGACATCTCAAATACTTTGGGCCTCTTCAATATGTCTTCAATCCGAGAAGACTCACACACGCCTCCCACTGAAGAGTCGCCTCTCCAGCAGGTACCCCCACGAAAGGTAAAACGTTCTGATATCTTCTTAATTTACTCAACATTCCTCGGTATGTTTTGCTTTGAGCCAAAAGAAATATGAAGGAGGAGGGGGAGAAGGAAAAGAAGAAAAGCTGAATATCACTAGGTGTCTTTATCGCAAGCGCTGACGAGTTTCTCGTGCTATCCACATATACAACCATCGCTTCAGAGTTCCACCGTCTTTCAGAAGGTTCATGGTTGCTAGTGGCGTATAATTTTGGATATTGCATTTCTCTGCCTGTGGTAAGCGGCTCCAATTAGTTTGACGAGCAAAAGACTGACCTTTGAACAGTGTGGAGCACTAAGTGATTTATATGGTCGCAAGAATGTGCTCATTACATCGTACATGCTATTCCTGCTTGGATGCGTCGCATCGTATGTACAGACTCTTAGGCTGTTAATAGCAGCCAATCAAAGTTCAGACTAATAGGATATTTACATCCAGTGCGGGGAGTGGTTCATTGGTTCAACTGGTTTTGGCAAGAGTGCTTGCCGGTGCCAGTGGTGCGGGGATGGTAGCTCTCGTTTCAATTATCATCATGGGTATGGTACCCCTGGTTTAATGGATTGATATAATATTTCCTGACATGATATAGATCTCGTCCCACCTAGGGAGGTTGCAATGTACAGAAGCTACGAGAATGTAATGAGTGTTATCGGACGGAGTCTGGGAGTACCCATTGGAGGCTTACTATCGGATACCGTGGGATGGAGATGGTAATATATGCACCGAAAGAACAAGAGACACAAGACTGATTTGCAATTAGGGCGTTCTGGGGTCAAATCCCATTTATCCTTTTTTGCACCCTTGTCGGAATCTACGCATTACCGGGGGATCGGCGGCCATCGTCGGAGGACTCGCCAAGTGGATCACTCCTTCGAGATATCGATTTCACTGGGCTAACCACTTTTTCGGCTACGATTGTTACATTCTTGCTCTTGCTTAGAGCGACAGCAATGGAGGGAGACAACAAAGCCCTTCAAATAAGCGCCCTGTCTCTGGGTCTTCTCATTTTCGGTGCGGCGTGCATTGCAACCGAACTCTTCTGGGCTCGGAAACCCTTGATCCCAGTACATTTGTTGCTGAAGGAGCTGGGACTTTACTGTCTCATCCAGTTTCTATTCCATTCAGGTCGAACGGCTGTATGTTTTGATCGCCTTGCCCTACTCATGATACTGATTAAAGCCCTAGCTCGTGGTCAACATCATTCCCTATTTTATCCGTGTCGAAGGCGCCAGCGACTTCCTCTCCTCGATGATGTACGTTCAGGTCGCTGTGGGGGTTTCGGTGGGAGGAGTGATTTCCAGCTTAATCATTAAACGGTGCGTTGTCCTGGATATGTTTTCCACCGACATCGGCTTAGACATAAACAGCACGGGAAGATACAAGACGATGGCTGTCGTATCACTCATCATCACTATACTATCATTCTTGCTCATATTCCTCAGCTGGCGTGATGGTTGTACACTCTGGGAATCCTCTATCCTCTTTTTTGTGGGGCTCGCACCGGGGATTCTGTTTTCGTCTCTGTTCATTGGCATGTCGAATAGCTCGGCAACGGACTGCATTGCTTCCTGCATTGGGACCTTCTATCTCAGTCAGCAGCTTGGGATAATCGTTGGTTCTGCATGCGGTTCCGCTTTGATTCAAGGCCTGTTCAAAATGAACCTTGCAGCTCAAATGGAGGGCACTTCATACTGGAAGGTATGTTCTGGTGTACGGATATAGAATCCGGGTGGGTCCTGCTGACTTGTTTCGGTCTAGGATATTCCGAACATTCTCAATGATGTCAAGTTCTCGCAGACATTACCACCCCCCGAACAAGAACTCGTGAAGTCGAGTTATCTGGCTAGCTTTCAATATGTACCTGGTAAGTTGAGTTGCTTGCCTGGTTGTGGTCAATCCGTTATCGTAACTGAGTCGTCAACTAGTGTTTGCAGCGGCAACTACTCTAACAACGTTGCCCATATTCCTGTGTCTTAAGGAGAAGAGGCTAGAGTAACACCAGTCTGGAAAATTAGACCTTCAAATGCTTGTCCATTGTTTCAGGAGTGGATGACATGCATCTCCTTGTTTTCTTTCAAGTTAAAAGACATACTTAATCATCTCTCGCCTGAATTACAGAATCCCGAACAGACTTCAGAAATTTAATTGCATTTGTACCCCCCGTGCCAGTTTCGCCCACTGCACTCCTCATGGCACCTGTGGGATCAAGCTTGGCCCTGTTGGAGGACGGTTGGCGCTTTGCCATGACCACAACGTACCTTGTCACCATCTGAATGTGGGCTTGCCGGAGCTGCAGGAGTGCAGTAAGACAATTCTCGTAGGCTGCAGTCAACAGAACATTCTCCGACCATGACCGGACATACTCCCTTATATTGGGCATCTGCTCCGCCTTGGCCAAGAAATCGCGGTGCTTTCGAGGCATATACAATCGCATCTCCTGCTCAGAGGTCTTTGGGTTAATCATCTCTCCAAAATCGGCGTCACGGTCAGATAAAAACTACCTTCAGATAGTCGGTCTTGGTTGACCCTTGGTTTTCTTCATGCTTTACGCCCAGAATGATGTCGACGAAAGCGAAAAGCGAGCTCTGGGCATTGCTTGGTCCACAGTACTTGCGGTACCGGCCCCCATCATGCTCTTCGAAAAAGACCCCTTCGAGGGACCGTACGGATGCCAGGTTCTTCGTCCCTTCAAGAAAGGGACGGAGTTTATGGTAAAAGAAGTTCTGGCTGCAGTGCTGGTACATGCGCGGTAAAAGGGAGGTCATGTCGTTCAACGTCACGGTCGCTCGCTCGAGGTATGTAATAAGCTGTTCCGCATCCTGATTGTAAGCAGCTTCAACAGCCTGAAGCATAGTCGGAATCAATGGCGCCCCGCACTCCTCAATTGCCAGCACGGTGCCAAAAAAGCCATCTTCCTCTGCGGATCCGGTGAAGGACACCAGCGTTTGGACAGAGCCCTTCTGTAGAGACGCCCTGTCGTCCCCGAGTCCACGATAGTTCCACAGAGCTTGTCCTGCATATGTTGGAACGGGTGGTAATCCAAGATATGCTGAGACTTCAATCATCGGCTGAGAAATACTCAAGGGTAATCGCTATCATGGAGTTAGCTTGCCGTGACATCTAATCCTGTAAACCTCAGCGCAAAGCCCTGAATTGGAGATTATATTACCTGCGTTGGGGAACTGCCTCCGAACAGAAAACCATTCATTATATATCCCAGGATCACATAGGCTCTGCGCCTTTCCACTTCAGTGAGCAAATACTCTGTAGACAGGACAGGAATTCCATGCACCCGCTGTCGCAATGATCCGTCAGAAATGAGCCTGGGCAAGTTGGTGGCAATTATTTCCCAGGGTTCATAGTATGGATTTGGCAATTGTTCCAGCGGTCGTACAGATGGTAAAAACCCCCGTTCGGGGGATACATCGTAGCTTTCGAGGGTAGCGAGTAATTCAGCCATCGCGGAGATATTCGGGTTGTGAAATGTATCACTTAAAATCCAATACTATGCTCTGTCGTGTCCTTACCAGGTTATAGATTTATAGAATCTACATGTATAAGTCATTGTCCGTTGGTCGCGTTATGACATGACAGTTCTCGCCGTTTTCGGTTCACCATTGTTTGGGATATCGGCATATATGATGCTCATACATCCACCGATACCACCATCCATTTATCCATATGTATGTGATAAATATGTTCTATAGGTTTCTACTATATATAAGCTTATATTATTTTGGTTTCGGCTCTATGACCCTTACATACTCGCTAGCATCTCCGGCTGCGTTCTCCAATTTCTATGTAACTACTGCGCCGTTTGCGGAAGTGGACCTAATCGACATCTACTACTACCACCTTGACATATGCTTCATCTCTGGTTCATCTCTGGTTGATCCCGAAGAATCGGTCCAAGTGGACCCCGAGAGGCACCCCGGAGAGGCAAATCCGGACAAAGTGTCGATCGACATAGACATGTCAAGACGTTGACAGGGGTGGGTATCCCTGGTTGAACCACAACCAGACTTCAAGAAACCCATAAGCGTTGCGCCACATCCGTTGCTTAATCAATGAAGAAGGAAGCGTGATTTAAATTAGCGTTTCCCACCAATTCGTGGACTAGACGGTTGTAGCTTGTTGACCCTTTCCCCTCCGACTAGAAGGCGGAGATATCTTGTTGAGTTTTAACCGTCTATCTTAAAGCCACACGAAGCCCATGGAGACAGACCGGAAGCGGAGGCAAAAGGTGGTGATAGTGGGTGCCGGGCCTGTAGGCTCGTTGGCGGCTCTGTACGCTGCCTCGCATTATGACGAGGTGGAAGTGTACGAAGTTCGCACCGGTATGTCTGTGATGCATCCATCCAAGAGGACTTGACTGATCGTTTAATCTACAGGCGATATCCAGTGTCCTTCCGAGTTGCCTTCCAAGTTTCGAAAATCGATCAATTTCACCCTGTCAGAGCGCGGCATAAGTGCCATGAGACAGTCCAACCGCAGGGGCTTCCTGGAGGCCGTCATGCAAACGGCCATCCCTATGAATGGCAGGATCGTCCATGCAAAGAACCCCCTGGGGGGTCCTCGGGAGGCTTTCCACCCGTACGATATTAATGGAAATTCTGTATACTCATTAGAACGAACGGCGATGAATCGAGTTCTCCGGAAGGAGCTTGACGAGACACCAAACATCACCATGCACTTCAACCACCGATTTGTCCGAGCCGACTTCTCTGCGCACAAGGCCTGGTTTAAACAAGAGGGCCAACCCGAGATTGAGGTCGAGTTCGACTTCTTGATCGGAGCAGACGGTGTCCATTCGGCAGTCCGATACCACATGATGAAATATGCCTACACGGACTACGAACAGAAGTACGTTGACACCAGGTGGTGCGAACTGCGTATGCCACCTTCTGCCGATGGTCACTTTCGTCTGTCCCCTGACCAGGTCCATCTCTGGCCCGGCGGGGATTTCATGCTCGTTGCATTTCCATGCCCGGACAAATCATTCAACTGCACATTGTTCGGCCCCGCTGCCCATCTCGATGCCTTGAGACGCTCCGCATCTGCGAAGCTGTTCGAGTTCTTCGACGCCTATTTCCCCGGCGTCTGTCCCCATCTGATCTCCCGGGAATCACTGAGAATGCAGTTCCATGAGAACCCCCACCTGCCATTATTCACCGTCAAATGCAACCCGCACCATGTCGGATCCAGTGCCGTCATCCTCGGCGACGCAGCACATGCCATCCTCCCCTTCTACGGCCAGGGCCTAAACTCCGGCATGGAAGACGTCCAGATCCTGTTCAGCCTGCTAGAGAAGAACGGCGTGTATACCATGTCCAACCCAAAGGCTCGCAGCGATGCCCGAGGACTGGCGCTGCAGGAATATACGGCTCAGCGCGTGCCGGACGTGTATGCGATCCACGACATCGCCAAACGGGTCCATTTCGAGATCAGACATGGGGTGAATACTCCAGTGTACAGGATCAGAAAATATGTCGAGGACACCTTGCAACGATATGTGCCGCTGCTGGGCTGGCAGACCCTACACTCTCGAGTCAGCTTTACCGGACAGCGCTATTCGGAGATAGTTCGTGTCGACCAACGCCAGGGTCTGATACTTGCAGCAACTGCAGCCTTGATTGTCTTTCTAATCTTTGTGGCTTTTGTGAGACTCCTGATCGCAGTCTGGGTATAATCAGGTATGACTTTTCTTAAGATAGGGAGAAGAGATTTTATGGTGTATTAGCAGTCTATTGGGGAATCTTAATTAATAATATATGAATATTTGGTTACTGGCTCGACAGTAATTTTCACTATCAAGAACGAGTCCTTGAGTTTACCGAAATGCATACTGGAGAAAGCATGGTAGATCAACTTTTTTTAAACCCTTGAGGAGCTTAAAACTGTACATAGGATGCTTACCCTCACTGCGGATAATGCTACTAATAACAATTCTTAATATTAGAGCTATACTTTAACTTAAAACAGAAACTCTATGAAGCCGCGATAGCTGTTAGGGAGATAGGTTTTCAAGGTGTAGACAGCTATATCCGCTGCGTTCTTAATCTTATTGTTGGCGATAATAAATTCATAGATTATGATGCAGACATAAGATGGAGTTCGATATTTCGAACAATTAGATACGTCTTATAGGCAAAGCAAAGTTTACTTTGCAGCCCACGACTAAGGAATGGGGATGTCTCTAGCAACTTGAACATATTGTTGCAAAATTCGAGGATTTCACTTTTGTTATCTTTAAGCGCTAGCCCCAGATCAGTCTACTAATAGCTATCTACTATGAGCTTCACGACATACTGAATGACGCTGCCCCATCACATTTGCCATAGGTACTTCTCTAGTATGTTCGAGGTCTAGCCTCTGTCTGTCTGCAGCTTCTTCCGGAGGTAAATCAGTAGAATGTCCAAGAATATATCAACGTATATTTCAATACTTTCCACCTATCGTGGGAGCCCGCGCACACTTATGCATTCCATGGTGACTGAATTAGGGATGAAAGGGAGTCAGGGTGCGCTAGATCCTCTTCCTTGTAAAGGATACTTTTAAGTCTAGTACTAGGAACCGCCTTGTGTGCTTATTCAAACTTTATTTGAGCCTTTTCTATTTCTTGAACTGTCCCAATGTGCTTAGAGCTAGCCTATAGGTATAAATAATATTGGCCGCGGTTGTTGGGTATTTGTTAAAAGTTATGGGAAGCTATGGATCAAGATTATCCTTCCGGTAACTGAGATAGATTAGAATATATACTACAATAAAGCTCTCAATGGAGTCTGCTATTGAGGGACTTTGGATAAACAGTAGTCTAGAGTTGATGACCTATTTAAGTTGTTTTATAGCAGAAGACAGTTTTAGATATAATATACCCCGTATAACGTGTGAATGACTGCACCTGGCTCATTAACAAAGTATATATTATCAGCAAGAATTGCTTTATGGTTGGAGTCAACAATAACTACAGTAATAGTTACCTACTGCAGTATCAATATGCGTTTGTATACATGAGCAAATCCAACGGCAGATCTAGACCTCGATCCGGCTGGATCTCAACAACATCCCCTTCACTATTGCCTAGATCCATTTCGACATCCACATCTATAACTCCAGGCTCATCTCCACCTCTCTCTCCCCTTTCCCCCTCCAACTCCAACTCCACAGGATCCATCCTCATCGCCAAATCACCCAAAAGATCCAACTTCCTCGCGGTATCCAGAAACGAACGCGCCGCGGAATCTAACGTCCTACATGGCGCAAGTTCCAAGTCCGCGACAACCTCCGGCTCGATGGCAATTTCCTGAGGCTGATGGTTTCCTCGACGAGTGAAGTAGTACTTACCCTGGTGGTGGGACCAGCTTTCGTGGAGGTAGGTTTGTAACTCGCGGGTTGCGGAGGTGCGGATTTCTTGGAAGAAGGCGGGGGTTGTGTTCGCGGTCTGGATGTGATTTTCTGTGAGGGTGGTTGAGGACTCGGCTAGGTCGTCAAGGGAGTCGGTTAGGGGTTGGTCTTTGAGATAGGAGGTGGCGAAAAGGGTGAGTTGGCCGAACATGCGGATCTGTGAAATGAGAGGGTCGGCTGCTTCGCTGGTCCGGTCAATGTAATCGACGACTCGGAGAGAAGATGTGATCATTTCGAGGAAAGAGGCTATGGTTATCACGACCGAGGGGTCGTTTAGCATGTTGACGTTGTGGATGATGGATCTCAGCGCGTGGTGGGATGACTGGAACACGGTGTTGAAGATGCCGATGAGAGATGCGACGCAGCTGGAATCTGTGGCATCCATGCTGAAGAGTAGCTCTTTGAAGGTCAGGGAGATAACGTTGATTATCGGTCGACATAGCACCCATGCGGCAGGGTTGCTGAACGCAGTTTCGAGGTAAGCCGGGAATACGGCCTGCAGGAGGGTGGCTCGCAAGGTAGGCCGGTCCGGGTCTCCTGATTCATGCGAATCCATCATCGATGCATGCAGCTGTCCGGTGAGATAGACTTGCTGTCCGTCGATCGCGGCTCGTTCGGAGACGCCTTGGATAAACGTGATCAACATCTTCGCAACCTTCTTAGAGGATAACTTGGGCTCATAGCCCTTCAGTCTCGCCACGATGTACGTTGGATCGGTCGATGGCAAGGGGAACGATGTTGGGTCGGTGAAGAATGGGTCAACCAAGCAGATATCTCTCGTATGTTGTTGCAGGAAACCAACAACGCGGTGAACAAAGCCCACATATTCACCCTGCGCGCTGGCTTGTCCGCTGCCTAGCTCCTGGTAGTTCGCCTTCATGGACGACATAAGTTGCTGGATAAGCTCCTTGTATTCTTGTTTGGTACTCGAGAGACCAGGGCTTTCTGTATCTTCCAACTCCTGTACATGCGAGCGCATGTTTGCTAGGAGACTTGAGATGAGAGACACCCTGCGCTGGCGTAGCTCTTGTAACGTAATGTAGTACTGGCCGTCCATTTTGTCACTTGAAAAAGGCAGGTTCTGCAGAATGGGATTTGACGAGTCCTGATTCAGCAAAGCTTCTGTCAGACAATGCTGGAATTTAAGAATCGATTCTCTTTCCACCAAGCTGGACATCCACATGCTAAACACCTGGGTTTTACATTCAGAAACAACCTGGGAGTCTTTCTCGATACAGCTTGCGAGGAATTTGGGGGTAAATTTCCTGGTTTGCATGGTCGACCGGAGTGCCGTCCAAGAATAATCGCTACCATACTGGCTGAAATAACCGTCCCAGTGCTGCAACTTGTGCTTCACAAGCACCTCCGCCAAAGAGGTCCAGCAGTCTACGACGCTCAGAAGTATAGCATCCTCCGGGCAATGATCTTCGCCAAAACAATTGGACACAAGGCGCGAGACAGCCGGATGGAAGACCTTGTTCACGTGTTCGACGCCCGGAGGCACGGTGACCGCTGGCGGCGATTCCTCCTGGTATAGAACGTCGAAAACTCCCCAATCTCCGAACTCTTGACTATCTTCATCGACTGGGGCTGGAACATGGGCTGATCCAACAGCAGGCTGTGGGCGGCATTTTTCAAGATAGACCACTATTACCTGAAGGGCCTCGATGACAGTTGTATTCACGCGAGCAACCTTGGAGTTGAAAAGACCTAATACCGCTTTGATGGGTTCTTTGGAGACCAGTTTCTCTGCGTGATCCAATGAAGGAGCCACTCGGATGGCATTCTGCAACAGGTTCAGGGCTGTTTTCAATTGCGATTCAATCTGTCGCTGGTTCTGCGAAATCGTGCGCTCGATTAGCTGGTGAGAGAATTTGTTTTCACCAGTGTTTTGGGCCTCCACTTCTTCTCGGGCCAGGGTGTGCTGTTCCAACAATTTGGAAACAAAGTAGCAGTGCCAGTCTGCAAACGGTTCTAAACCAGACATATCTTCATCTGTCAAGAGTTTGAATCGAGCAAGCCTAGACCAGGAGCGAAGGCTGATATTGCATGTCTCTTGATGAGAGCGGGCCGGGTCCACAAGATTTTTGATCGTTTCAAGCCGAGGACGACAGCCATCAGGAACCGCAAAATACAAAGTGCAAAGGAGGTCGTGGTGATTTCTCAGAGCGTCCAAATCGGTTTGATGAATAGGTCGATCTTTGGGGTACTCTCGGCCATGGTTGGGCAACAAGCGCCAGGTGATGTTCCGGACCTTTTTCTTTTCGTACACTTTTGACAAAAACCGCAGCCCGCTACCGATAGTTTTCAAGAAAATATGAAAGCATGGGTCGCCTGTCTGCACTTCCAAGGATGGGCTGCGGTCGAGCTCGTCGAGGAAAGCTGGAGACGTGTAATTGTCCTCAGGTTTCAGGTTGTACAGAGTATTCTTCGCGAACAAGTCAAAAAGAGTGTCAAGGATTGGCTTGCAGTCCCGCCAGCCCCAGCCGTTGATGAGATAGTGGCATCGATGGAACAAAACCCGACAGTAGTTATTATAGGAGACGGGTGCTGGGTAGTCAGGATCCTTGGCCTGGAACACCGGCTTGAGTAGCTGTCTGATTACCGGCCAGCCGTCGTGCTTCTCTCTAAAACGAGATCCAACTCGGGCAATTCCGAATGCATCCATCTCGTTCAAGGGGAGACTATTGAATATTCGGTGCCACCCAGTTTCCAGAGATTCAATCTCCTTCGCGGTGCTCAGTGTAGAATACTCTTCGGTGAGAAGATCACCTAGCAGCCCGCTAGGGCTATCTATGCTTTCCAAAATTTTGCGGAGAATGATATAGGCCTCGACGACAGGATAGCTATCCCTTGCCCCCGACTCGCGCATTTCTTGAGACTTCTGCTCCTCTAGAAACTTGGAGATGTTGGCCTGCCCCGCAACGCTCGAAATAACTGTGACGATAGGCTTAGAGGCCAGTTTGACAAGCTCCGAAACTTCGCTCACAACGCCGGCGTCGACCAGGCCATTGCTATTGCATGCAATTTGGTGTGCTTGGTGAATCAGCACGAGGTTATAGGAAACTAGCTTTGTAACTGCTTCCAGGTCACGGGGTAATTTCGATGCCAGGGCCACCATGCTATAATTAAGCGTGGAGGCAAGGGAATTAACTCTTTGCACAAACCCAACTCTGTCGATGGGATCAATGAACGTCATTACCTCCGTAACGTACTTGATCAAATCCCTGTAAGCATCGCTACCAACGCTAGACGGATGTTCATCAATAGCCTCAACCTCGTCACTCTCTCCAATATTATCGAGCGTAGTGTCAAAAACGATCCCCAGCTCTGACGACACACTATCATTCCAAGGACCCCAGCGAAAGCTGTATTTGCCAACTTTGAAGGAGTAAAATCCTGCATCTCTGTCCAGATCCCGCTTGTCGAGGTCGAGAGAACGCGCAAACTCACCGCTGCCTATAAATGTAGACTCGCGAAAGAATGTACCGGAGTGCAGAGGAGCGACGTTGAAATTGACGCTATACGAGCTCTGAAACCCTGTGAGGCCACCCAAAGCCAAGGCCGGTGATTGAATATCTCTGCTTTCAATCTCCAGTGGCTCCGGATCTGACGTGGATAATGCAAGCGTCCCCTGGTTCCCGCTCAAGGTGACGTTCAATCGTTGGGGAGGGCGTTTTCGAATCTGTCGCCGCGGTGCCCGAACATTCGTCGCCGGTGGTACGTCGCGCGATGCATTTGATGTTTGCGCAGTGACAGGCCCCGGGTCATCAACAACAGGTGTAGGCATGCTTTTGAGAAACCGTCGCATGATTGGATTCTGTTGGTAAGCGCTAGAGGGCGGCCTCTGGTGGCTCTTTCCATTAAGTAATGCAAGAGACCGGTGAAGAGATGGGAACGCGGTATAGTTATCAGAGCTGGCCACCTCTGGGATCGCGGGCCTTGGGGCGTTCCTCCTCAAGGAAGACACCGTAACATTTCGACGAACAACCCATTTGTTGCCTTGGTCTCGCTGTCTAGAGCTTGCAGCGGGGTTGGTATTCTCAGAATTTGGATTAGTCGGCTCGTCTCCCGTTGGCGCAGGTTGAGTGGCCAGGTTCTCTTCGGTCTGGTTTGCTTCGATCTGGTTTTCTTCAATCTGGCTTTCTTCGTTCTGGACTTCAGATCTATTCTGGATGTTTGTGTTTTGAGACCTGTGGGTTTGAAAGGGGTTGCTTCTATTCGTAGGAAGGTCTTTCAAAGCCGCCCGTCCTTGGGGTTTGGTTTGAGGCCGCGGCAACTTAGTTTGCCGAAGGCGACCTGTACGCCATTCACGCAAGGACGTATTGGCATCTTCCGTGTCTGCCCTCGTACTCAGCTGGATGACCTTTCGAGAAGGGCTGCGCCTCCCCCTGTCTTGTCGGGAACGAACTCGCCGAGCAGCGACTCGGAGAAATTGCGGCTGCTGACTTCGAGGTTGAGCCGTAATATCTGGAGCATCCAATATGCCGAGTCTGGGAGCAGGCAGAGACCTTTTCTTCTCCCTTCTCGGTGGATGCACGGGGTCCGTAAGCCTCGTTTGTCTTTTTAGGCGAGGTCTCTTAGAGTGATCACCAAACCGGCTGCCGCTCCCCTCAGGTCTCGACCGTTTCTTTTCCTGCTTTCCAGTCCGAGCCGAAGACGTGCGCTTCGCGGCTGGAAACATGTAATCGATGCGGTTGTCCTCAAGAATATCACCTGCAGGATCTGGATCTAGATCTGGATCTGGATCATTGAATGGGTCATCAAAGCCTACCAAATCAGCCAGAGCTTGACGGGTATCGACATTGCTTCCAGCTTCATCTTCTTCGCTATCTTCCCCATCAACAAGACCCTGCAGTGATTCAAGTCTCCTTCTCGGACTAAGACGTGTCCCATAAGTACTCTTGGTGACTTTTTTGGCAACCCCTTTGGCATTCCCCATCCTAGCCATTCTCTCGTTCGCTCGCTGCGTGGAGTTAAGTCGGGTATCTTGCTGCTTTTGCTGATCCAATCGTAGCCAGGAGGCAGGAAGGACGCCTTTTATTCTGCGCTGGAATCTCCTCACAGCACTCTCATCTTGGTGTTCGGCTTGACCTTCATCTTCGCCGTCCTCCGCATCCTGCTCGTCTTCGTCTGAATCGATGCGTTCAGCTTGGGGCGCTATCGACTCGGCATCCCCAGGTCCCAGGTCAAAACCGCCGTCGGACAGTTCCAAATCATTCACATCATCACCCCGGTCCTTCTCCGCCAGTTTCGAAGTAGTACTTGGTGTGTTCAATGGCGGTGGGCTGAACCCCCGAGGAAACCTGAATCCATTGAATATCCGTGGGGCTTGATCAGGGGAAAGGCTTCCTGAGCGTGGTGGGCTAGGGGGGACATCGCGCATCGAATTGTCATTCACATGCACGGGAGAGGAAGAATTGTCAATGAGCACCTGAGGGCGAGCCAAATGCCGTGATTGAGGGCGGCCGTCGGCGGCGGGTTTCGCTATCCTGCGTCTCTTGGGAGCTCGAATAGCATCCGCAGACCGTTCTTGGGTGGGAGAGAGTTGGTGGATTCGGTTCTGAAGGCTAACTTCAGGCAAGCCACTGTTTTTCGCGGGTGACGATGATCCCAACACTGGGCTGCTTGATGGAGGCGGCGCATTATCGACAAATTCCTGGCCTTGACTCTCCCTGGCTGCGCGCAACGCTTCCTGGTATTGAGCAATGCGCAGTGGTTTGACACCTCTTGCCTTCATCAGGCTTTGATATTTCGCGTCTTCCAAGAGGTAAGGGTGCAGCTGAATAGGGTTTCGTTGTCGTAGCGATCTCCTCGCTGGCTGGGTCAATTCCTGTAGGATGTCGTCTGGGATTTCCAGTTGAGGCAGCAAATCCTCAAGGTTATTCCCTGGCGGCTGTTCCGTATCCTCGGCATCATTCCTATCAGCATCCTCTGCAGGCGGAGAAGAGCGAAGCAGAGATGAATCAGGTGGAGGAAGTAGGTCCACTATATTCCTCTCCGGCAGCGGTTGCGTTCCATTTTTATCGACCTGATCATCCTCGTTTAACGGCAAAGAGCGAAGCGACGATGGCGGAGACGACAGCGGGGAAACCACATCATCATCGTCATCATTATCATTACCATCGCCACTTGGGTCCGGTTGACCAGTGTTGGGTCGAATCGGCGACAGAGGGGCCTGTTTTCGGGGGAAGGGGTGATAGTCGGCCTGTAGCTCGTCCGGCGACGAACTGGGAATATGCCATGTCCATGTCTTGGGCTTCGGTGTCGACAGCGAACTGGATCCTGCGGCCGTGGGTAGTTCCTGAGATGCCGCAGCACCATCCTCCTCCCTCGCTTGATCCTCTTTCTGTGATCCATCCTTCTCCCACCTCCTCCGCGGTCTTGCCTTCGGTGTGGGCTCTCCATCCTCGTTATCTGACAGCTTCGTCGTATCCAAGGCATCGGGGCTCGATCGTGCGGACTGGCTTTCATCGAAATCGATGTTCTCGGGGGTATGTTGTCGCTTTTCGTTGTTTATTGAGGTCCCTGCGTCCTGCGATGCCGGGGGGTTTTGAGCCCCGGCATCTCCTTCTAAAGCGTGGTCATCATGCTCCGCCTCCCGAATCACGTTCTGTGATTCCTGGCTATCGAACTCCTCCTCTGAATCGGAGTCCGGTACAAACCCTCGTTCCCGCCATGATTCCATTGGTATCCTTGGCGCCGACAGCGCATGGCCTTAGATCTCCATTACCGTTGTAGCTAGGGAGGAATGCGAGAGAGGGGAGATCGAGCACCACCTCAAAGGTCAATAAATTCAAGCGGGTAGATCAATTTCGGTGAGTCGTCAATCGTAAAGGGTGAATCAGAGCAACGAGCAAACCAGCCTCGGAGGCAATTAGTCAAGACGCGTCTGAAAATGTGGGGAGACGCGACGGGGCGGAACTTTGGCGATGCGATTTGCCTTTCTGCCGCTTAGCACCGGCTGCCTTTAGGGTAGGTTCGCCTCCGCCCGCGGGCCCCATCAGCCTTTTCTAGACCTCTTCAATTGCGCAGCGTCATTGTTTTTCATAACATTAAGCACACCATGAGTCGAAACTTCTTTCCCGCTCTCATGGCCATCGGCATGGGTGTGTGGACGGGTATGGTCTTGCTCCAAGCCGCATGATGCAATATATTCTTGCTAACTACTTGTCCGTTTCTCTTGCTCAGGATACTATGCATTCAACCCGGCATTGCGCGAACTCCAGTCCGAACAGGGGACGTCGCAGCAGTATGTCCCCTTTATGCGCTCGCTTTCTCCGATCCTCTGCGCCCGGTTTTAATATTGACTGCATCGAATAGAGCTCCAGGCACCCGGCAAACACAAGGCCAAAGCACCACGACCTCGAACGTAAAGGATTTGACGCCGGGTAAGGAAGAGGGCGGAAATGGAAGTCAATAATCAGACCTGGTATACGCGATGGGGACCTCAGCATGGCAAGCAAAGGAGTCTTTTTATGTCTCCATGATAGCCTGGATGGCAATGCGACAGCCTCAAAGTGCTGATGAGCTGCCGGTCGAACTTGGTCCAAGTCCCAATCGTTGATGATAGGTTGTGGGACGTGGGGGACTGAACGTTGACATTCTGTCAACTTTGAAAGAGCTTGGCTCTCCAGGCGATACACGAAATGCAATTCGTGCTAATACCACGATTGGCAAATCGCGACGTGTGAAAAGCCGCGACTAGGCCCTCGCTCTATAGTTATGTCGGGCCATTCGCTCAAATCATCAAGCCTTGTATAATAGTGTGCTAAAGTCAATGATACCAATAGAAGTTTCCTCTCTTGCAATAAACTACTACATGAAAGATAAAATGTATATGAGTAGGTCATTGCCGCAAGAAAAGAAACCTGGTTGAATGGATGCACCGTCGCAGCTCCGAAATGCCCGCCAAAAACATATCATGTCCTGCAATCCGGGTTGCGGCCCTTGTAATGATTCAATTGTTCCAAATACGCCTGGTCCGTTTGCGCCCTTCCACCCAACTCTAGTCAATTTATACCTCTTCCACAAGCTTTCTGGGTCCGCTATTTCCAAGGGGACCTTCTCCAAAGACGCGGCCGGCCGGAGTACCAAACCATTCCTCGGGCACGCCAACTCTGCTGCCATCGCGACCGCTCACCCATCTGACCATTGTTGGGTCTGCTCTTTCGACTTCTTGTGCCTCTTGATCTGCAGAAGCCTCGGCTGCTTCCGCTGCGGGAATCCGACCACGCCGTTTGGGAGCTTGTTTTCGCAGAAGTCGGTTAATCGTGTCCATCTGCGTGTATCATTAGCATCCCCTTGGCTAGGGTCCACGAAGCCAAGAAAGCTTACTTTTTCTTCTTCATTTCGTTTTTCGCTCAGGTTCTTTCGACGCCGAGCCATCTCCGCTCGTCGCATTTGGCGCTCCTCCGCAGTCAAATGTTTCTTGACTTGGGGCTCTGTTACTCAGTTAGATGGAGCATTCCAATGACGGGGGCAAAATTAAGGGTTAAAAAACTCACCCATCGGCAATTGCAAGAAGTCGTTGCCTAGATTTCCCCTTTGCCGTTTGGTCATTTTGCTCGGATCGGTGGAGGGTAACCCGTCGTCGCTTTCATCCAAGTCGTCATCATCAAGCTCTTCATCCCCTCCGTTAACGTTCCCTAAGGTACTTTCCTCCAGGTCATCAGGCTCGCCTTCGGCGTCGGAGTCTGGTTCGGAAAGCTCCTCGTCGTCCTCGTCGTCGTCATCATCATCTACTTCCATTTCTTTGGCCTCGACACTCTTGACGGGTTTAGACGTGGCCGCAGAAGTTGCCGAAGCCTTGGCATGTCTCTTTGACACCGGAGGCTGAGGTGGGGCATCGTCCATGTCCAAGTCACCATCGGCATCAGCATCCTCGTCATCTTCCCCGGGAGCATCCTCATCGTCGACTTCGTCTTCCTCTTGGTCATCCATGTCTTCCTCGTCGCTCGTATTCACCTCCACGAGCTTCTTTCGGGGGCGACTAGTCCGAGGCCCCGAGACGATGGGGTTCTCTGTAAAGACGTTGACTGAGCGTCTCGTCGCAGCACCCCCGCGGGTACCACCACCGGTTGCGTCGCGCAGCTTACTTGATGGCATTTTAAAAAGCAAACAAACCGACTCTTTCGACTCCTCTCCCACGAGTCGAACTACCGTGACTGCTGGAGAAGCTGCGACAGCCCGAGTGTGTCTGGTGGACCTGGAAGTCACGTTAGAATCCAAGGTTGGAGGATCATCTCTCGAAGGGCGAGCACGAAGAGAGCGACGCAAAGACATGGTGAGCCGGACAAAGATCGACCTGCGATCGCTCCAATTGTGTTGAGAGAGAAAGAAAAGCAACGGATAAAACGAAATATCAAACGGGGGAAATAGGAGGCGATGGCAAATGAGTGCGAAATGCGAACAGTAGATAGGAGAAAAAGGAGAAAAATGAAATCAGAGACAAGTCAAAGAGACGGTATTTTGTAAGACAGCAAACAGAGAGAATCTGAATCACTCAGAGAGCGAATAGAGGGGCGGATTCAGAGGGCTGCGCAGGACGCACAAACACTTGAATGGGAGATAATGAACATTCGTGCTAGCGTTGGGGGGAATCATCGATCCCCCGATGAGAGGGGACAGTTAAATTATGAGGGGGGAGTTGAGTGAAATAAAGAGGGAGGGGAGCGAGCAGCGATGCAACATCCCAAGCAAACAATGGCAATGCTCCGGTGGTGGTGACCGGCTGGCGACGTGGGCCAGCGTTCAGTCCTTTTGACGCAGTCCGGGAAGGCACAGGCCATCAATCAATCGCTATCACATCTTTTGACGCCACTTGGGAGGTTCGAAGCTGACAGCCGCGATGGAACCAATGGGAGCATTCTGATCTGGAACCCTGGCTAGGCACGTTGGACGCTCTGAAAGGGCGAATCCAACGTCGCTGCATTTCTTTCGCAACACGAACTCTGAGGTGACATTTCCTTGGTTTGGTTGAACAGGGATCTTGGACGGAGGAACGCCAGTGATCGGAGCAGAAAAACAGAGAACAGTAATTAAAAAAATAGGGGGTTGCAGAGCACCGCGCGCAAACGAGAAACATCGGGAGGCTGAAGAGAATTGGAAGGGAACGCTCGAGCTGAGCATACGAACACAGATGGGACACTCACCGATGAATTTATAGAGTTGTTCTGAACACGCAAAGGCCGACCAAATCGGCAGTATATGAGATACGGGTATATATAGAAGAGGACAAAGGATATGAGGGCGAGTATACGACGGGGCAAAAGTGCTCGGAAGGACGCTGGATTTCCGATGCGATTCGATCATCGCCTGCCATTCTGCCGGGCGGTGGCTGCGACTCTTGGCATGCTGACTACTCCAGGTCCCATCGCAATGCTGCTCTCTGTCTCTGCAGCTACGTGGTTCGATTTTGATATTCCAACATGAGGCAGTAGCTCTGTTTCCTATCCTAGAATGCCAGGTCAGAAAATCAGAAAAATGTGTGTGAAACATGGACTTTCCCTGTCGTCGCCTGAGTGGACGCACCAAGATATGTACTTCGGGTTATTGCAGGAGATGAAACAAAGCAGAAAGAGCCAATTTCATTCGAGCAGCCTATGGAAATCTACATTGATAGAGTCAAAAACAGAAGAGTGATCTAAGTCATCTTATCGAAATAAGACATGCCTGATGGGTGCTTTTTACGTGCAAGTCCATACCTGCAAGCCTCCGATGGCCGCAGCATATGACATGACAATACCGATACAGCCGAGGTCAGCGCCAAACCGATCGGCCAAACTCCCAGCTTTCCCTATCATCTCCTCCTTTCTCACCTCCCCATCTACTTCTCTGTCCCTTTCTCCCTTTCTCCCTTTCATATTCTCAATCATCATGTCCGACCCTAAATCCAACCGCGCATCGATTCCCGACTGGCAAAAACCCAACGCCACCGCTCCCAACGACCCCGACTCCAACTCCGCCTCCACACCGTCGCATGCTTCCGAGGAGAACGAGACCGACGCTCGATCAACGCTTCTAGAGCAGGCAAACAATTTCCTGCAGGATGATGCCATTCGCGACGCTCCCATTGATCGCAAGATCACTTTTCTAGAGTCGAAGGGTCTCCGCAACGATGAGATCGACAGTCTGCTAGGCGTATCGCGAAACCCCGAAGCCACCAACACCAATACCTCCACAGAAGCCACTTCCCCGGATTCCGTCAATGCACCATCAAAGAGCGAGAACGAGTCTGAGGCTCAGGCCTCCAGCACCAGCTCGACCCCCTCATCGTCGAATTCTCCCGCTACCACATCTACCGGCACCGCCAGCACCAACATTGCCAGAAGCCCGGCACCATCGTCCTCGCCCCGCGACGTTCCCCCGATCATCACATACCCGGAGTTCCTCGTCCATCAATCCAAGCCCCCACCGCTCGTCTCCTTCCAAAGCATCCTCTACACGCTCTACGGCGCCGCTGGAATCGGAGCCAGCATCTACGGCGCAAGCGAATACCTCGTGAAGCCTATGCTCGCGAACCTGACCAGCGCACGACACGAACTGGCGCAAACGGCGTCGGAAAACCTCCAGAAGCTGAACGAGAAGCTAGAGCAGAACGTCTCCGTCATCCCGCCACAGCTCGCCGCCCGGAAACCAACCGACGAATCCTCCGAGGACTCCGACTCCATCACCTCGGACCCAACGGAGCTGTTCCATCGGGACGTGGCCACGCAGACATCGCAGGACCTCGAGGCGACGCAGTCAAAGGCTAAAGAAGACGACGAGAAAGTCCCGGACCCTACGGCGACCGTGAACACACACGTCAAGCGAGTCGAGGTCCTCACGTCCCATCTGCGGGAGTTCGCAGACATCGAGAAGCAGTCGTCTGCTGTTGATGATACCGCGCGTACGGGTTTAAATGAACTGCATCATTACCTAGACGGCCTGATCTACAGTAAACCGGGTTACAGTGCCGTATCTGGCTACGGGGTGTATGGCTCCCAGGGTATGGATAGTAATGGCACATCGACTGGCATGGGCAAGGGCGAAGAGGATGCGATTTCCAGTTTCAGGTCGGAGATTCGAGGCGTCAAGGGAGCTTTGTTGAGCGCGAGAAACTTCCCCGCAAGTCGGGGATGTGTGGGTACGGGTCTTTCTCTGGGACGGTGAGACTGTTAATATGGTCTTTTATGTATCATGAGCTGCAGTGGACGTGGGTGGGATTTGATGCATTTAGTGATACCATCTGTACAAAGTGCTGTCGCTTTTTGCGTTTTTGTTATTTTCTTATACTTTTGACCTGCAATCTTTTCTCATGTCTGCTATACCTACGTCTTGACGAATAGAGATGAATAGCTTAAATTTGTTATTGGCTGGCCACGACCAACATGGACATCATGGTAGATTGTTTACAAGCGTTACATCCATAGACACAAGCCCGCATAAGCCCTTCATCTCCCACGAAGCATCGATTCATCCATCCATTCAGGATCATCTGTTCCTTTTCTGCCCGATCATCTCTAACAGACCGATAAGGTAGACGAATTCAAATAGAAAAGACAAATTATAATAACATTGACATATGAAGAGAGAAAGATAAAACAACTTCTAAGTGAGTAAAAAGAGAAAAAAAAGAAAAAAAACCTATAACACGGGGCATATCGAACATCTCGCATTCGGAATGAATCATGACATGGCGAGTAGTAGGTACTGTTCTTCAACAACCAGCACACACAACATGATACATATACCTCTGTTCTTCTTTTCCTTTTGCCTCGTACATAAAGCTCATAGGATCGTAGGATAGGCGAATGTTCCGTGTCATACAACAAACCGATCCGATCCGATCATGGGCACTATGGAGCCATTTACGGGGTAGCGCGGCTCATGCTGATGAGACGTTTCACACCGACCTGGGAAGTTTATTAGCATTTTGACTTTGGAGGGTATTCGAAAAGAAGGGGGGAACTTACCATCCAGGCACCGCACTCTTCAGTCCGGTTAGTCATGATGTCGATGTGGATCGTTCGCGCCGTCTCGTAGTCACGAGCCTGGATGGCACGAGCCAACTCGGCCATGTCCGCGACGGTGTTGGGCTTGAGCAGATCTTCGTTGTTCAAGTGGTCGAACAGGATGCTCAACCGCCGTTCGGCATCATCCACTTGCGCCTTGAAGGAAGATGGAGCCCGGGACTTGACACGCTGCATGTCCGCCGACAGGATTTCGTAGACGGGCATGGCCTCCGCGGGGATGTGGGTGCGATCACCAGGGGCTGGGGAAAGGGAAAGTTAGTGTCTAGCCTGATCAAGGGGCTTTGTGAGAGTCGACTTACGGTACTTGGGAGGGGCAGGCGTGGCCTTTCTTTGCGAAGAAGCGGTGCTAGGACGGGATCCCGTAGCCGGGGGAGGAGGGGCCTGCTGCATGGGGGGAGGCGCGCCAGCGGCGTACTGGTTTACAGGGGGAGGAATCGGTGCCGGCTGAGGGGCGTAAGGAGAGGCGGCTGCCTGGGGAGGAGGAGGGACAGGCGCGCGGGTCTGCAACTGAGGGCTTGCTGCTTGAGCTGCCGGGCTTGGGGCGTACCGATTCGTGGGTGGGGGCATCGACGGCGGCGCATTGTACGGGGAGGGCCCGCGAGGAACCGATGGTGGCGGTACTCCCATGGTGGCTGTCGGAGGAGACTGAGGCAGAGAGGCGTAGGGGTTGGCCGGAGGAACCACGCCTGGGATCGAAGACACCGACTGGTTGGCCGAAGGGGGCGAGGTCACCCGAGGCGGAGGAGCGGAGCCCTTCGGTGGGGGTGGAACGGAAGGTGCTCGCGGGGCGCCTACTGGGGGTGGACCCCCAATAGTAGGCGATTGGTTCGGGAAAGGCGCAGCGACGGGTGCAGTAGCGACGGCAGGGGTTGCTCGGCGGGATGCGGGAGCCTTGGCGAAGCCCTCGGGCAGATCATTCCAGGCAGGGAGGTTGGTTGCGGTGGTGTACGTGGTGACGGTAGCCGGAGACTGGTTGGAGGCACGAGGAGGGGGAGGCACGCCGCCGCCTAAGGGCTGAGCACCGTACGTAGGCGCCGGTGTGGGCTGGTAACCCGTGGGAGCGTAGCTGCTTCCAGATGCCGGGGCATAGGGGTTGGTTGGCTGAGCTGGGGCAGCGGCGGTAGCGGGAGCATAGGGGTTCGCAGCAGGGGCAGCAGTCGGCGGAGCGTAAGGGTTAGGAGCAGCCGCAGCAGTTGGTGGAGCATAAGGATTGGAGGCGGCCGCAGTAGGAGGAGCATAGGGGTTGGAAGCAGCCGTCGGCGGGGCGTACATGTTGGGAGCGGCAGAAGCACTTGGCGAGAAGGTGGTCTGGGGTTGATATGCGCTAGGTTGCGTGACCGGAGGAAGAGGCTTGGTCATGGGGGTGGTCGTCCTAGACGCAGGGCGCACTTGCTGCTGGACTCGCTGGCCAGGAGCCTGTCTTGTCGCCAGCTGAATGCGGTTGCGGGCGATTTCAGCTTCGGGATGCTTCTCCGGAACAAGGTCGAGATACTTCTGGGCAACTTGCAAACGACCGTGGGTAGCCACGACGTCGGCATACTCAATGTACTTGTCGTACAAAGTACCGAGCTTCCAGTCGGACTCCTTGGTCCGCTCGGTGTCCTGGAACTTGGTCACTTGGCGGAAGATGGTCACCTTCTCAATCAGTCCCTGCAGGGCGCGCACGTGGATCGAGAATGTAGAGTCATCAGCAGCGGTCTCGATAGCCTTCTGCTCGTTCTCGCGGAGCTCTTCAATCCAGATAGAGACAACCTTCTCAAGCTTGGATCCAGCCAGGTAACAGAACGAGGCATCCTTGCGAGCGGACTTGTCATCCGTGGCCCGGATCTGCTCTTCCAGCCGGTCACCCAGCGCTTCGCAGAGGTCAGCGAATTCCTTCTCCTCGGCGAAAGTGCACAGCGACGCCATGACTTCCTTCCAGTTGGACAGGTCGGCATTGTACACGACGTCCCACAGGTTCTTGCCGACAATCGAGGCGAGCAAGCGAACGTAGTTGGGACTCTCGGTCTGCTTGGAGAAATAGTGCTCCTGCGCCTTCTCGATGCACTTGGGACCTCCGCAGATGGCGATCATGAAAGCATCGGACATGCGGTTCTCCTTCAGGGCGACATCAAGGGCCTTGTTGAAGTCACCGACAAGCAAGGCACGGGTGATACCCTTCTCGGCCTCGGATTCGGAACCGTTGAAGATCTGGAAGGGGTTGTTGGTCTTGGCTCCCTTGGAAGCAGCCAGATCCGAGAGGAAGTTGTCCTCCTCAGGGTTCGCATCGAACATGGATTGCAGGCGCCTGTGCTTCTTGGCTCCCGACCCGCGGGACTCCTTCACCGGCTCTCCGTTGACTTCCTCTTCCCCATCCTTGTCTAGTCCGAGTTTGGCCAATGAATCGGCAGCCTCGTCAGCTTGGTCCTGGAATCCAAGGTATTCGACCAGGCTCTTCCGGGGGTCATTGGAGATCAACGCCTCAATAACCTTCCAGTCGGCCTTCTCCTCGTCACTGGCTGCGCCCGAAGCGCGAGTTTCACAAATGCTGCGAAGGTCACCTTCCTTCAGGGCGTTCTCAAAGGTCTCCGTGGACTTGCCGACGGCCTCATCCACCTCGAACGGGCTGATCTTGATCTTTGAAGCACGCTGGCCCTTCTCCGCCAATCCAATGGAGACGACTCGTCCACCGAAACCGAAAGCGGCACTGCAGGGGCGCTCGAGCCACTTGGGGGCCTTGGGTAGCGAGAAGCTCGACACCTGGGGCTGGGTCTGTGCCTTCGCGAAGAAGTCCTCCCCGTCAAGGGCCTGGTTCTGGTCGGCAATGGTCTGAGCGGCTTCATTGCCGGTGTTCTGGATAGTCTGGACGGCGATCCGTCCGTCGAACGAGGCGGTCGCAAAGAAGTTGGGGTTGTGGGGGTTCCAGCGAGTCTGGAAAGTCCAGTTCGTGACCACGGGGAATTCGCCGTACGAGTGGCCGGTCTGCGGGTTCCAGCAGATAGTGCGGTTGTCCTTTCCGGACGAGAGGAGGAGATCGGGGTCTTGGGCACACCAGGACAGCGACAGCACGCCGGACTCGTGTCCTCGGAGGGTCTGTGGCGGGTTAGCGAAAACAAAATCTCCACAGCCAGCACGAGGGAAATGCTATCAAGCTCACCCTTTCCGGAGCGTGGGAGTTGCGCAGATCCCAAACGCAGATCACAGGATCGGATTCCAAAGGAGTCGCCGTGACGAGTTTGGTGGGCTATTCCATGTCAGAAGTTATGCTCGTCTCTAATGAGAGATCAACTCTTTACCTTCTCGGGATCCCACGCCACAGAGCTGACGGCTTTCCGGCCCATGTTGTTCAGGGTCAAGCTCTCCTTCTTCGTCTTGACATCCCACACGGTGACGAAGCCCGCATTGCTACCAGTAACCAGGATGTGCGGCACCTTCTTGTTCCAGTCCAGACACTCAATGTCATCGGCACGGGCAGCGGTGCCTCCGAGTCGGTACGGATTCGCAATGTTGTTCAGGTCGGAGATGTAGAGCTGTTCGAAAGCATAAGCAACCGTTCACCCACATTTCACCAAATCCGGATCAAATACCTCGCCCTTGGCGCCTCCGGTAGCCAGCAGATTCGAATGCTTAGGGTTGAACTGAAGAGCCTTGATGGCTCCTGAATGTTTCGAGGTCCTCGACATGACGGCATCGCTGTTCAAGTAATCAGCCAACTGACCAGATCTATGGCCATCCGGTCCCTCCACGAACCTTGATCCACTAAGCAGCTTGTCTGCATCCCACAGATCCAACGATCCATTCTCCAGAGCACCGGCGATGATCCCCCGCGAGTTGTCTTCGGATTCCGTCCATGCGAGGTCATTGAAACTAGAAGAACCCAAACACAAGTCAGCCCGACATTCCAGACACAACAACTGTTGATTGACAGTCCGTAGCTCCTTACCCAGAATCAGTATCGATCTTAGCCACCGGCTGCAGCTCCCCACCAGCCTCCTGGTTGTTCAAGCTCAGATCCCAGAGCTCCAGGCACGTTTCATTGGAGAAGTCAACATCCACAGCGCCAGCGCGAGTTCCGGTTGCTATAAATGGCGATGCGGCCCCGGGGGACCATGCGAACGTGGCCGTCCGGGGAATCTCCCTCAGACGCACCATGTTGGAAAGTAAAGGAGCGGCAAAAAAAGAGTAAGACAAGAAAGAATATAGATCAATTGACCGGACTCAGGGACGGTCTGACAATCCAAGGTTATAGAATGGGGGGTGGGAATGGTTTCGACAGTAAGCGGCGAGGTATTAAGAACTAAAGGAAAAAATAAAGGGGGTAGAAACCGAAAAAACGTCCAAAGTAGAAACCTCCCCTCTTGCTAAATCGTGACCCGAGGGGGACTTTGCCAAGTTTATGAGATGCGATCGAGGCGTTCTACGAACTCAATCAACCAAGTGTCCTCCTGGGAGCCGCTGGGGGGGAGGAGGGATAACCCGCCTAAACCCTTTCGGGCCGCTCGCCAAAACACCCCCGGGACGCACGTGATATCAGGCGAATCCGACCGAGAAAGTCTGGGCAACGAATGCATGCATGAGTCTCGTTGAGCGCAGACCGAGAAGAGACAAGCTGAACGACCGAGTCGAGCTCCCGGAGGCATATCACCTTCTGCCTATTTGTCGCGACAAGTTTTATGGCCCGCTGCTAGCGTCCAAGTTCCCTTGCCCGGCTCTTTCACTTTCACCAGTTCCTTCACCATGAGCGAGAAGGCTCGCCTGAAGTGCACCGTCTATGTGGGGGGTCTCGACCAGGCGGTTTCCATGCAGACGCTGGCCGAGGCTTTCGTTCCCTTCGGCGAAGTCGTCGATATCACTCTACCCAAGCCGGATGTTCCCAACTCGAATGATCTCCACCGCGGGTTCGGGTATGTGGAATTCGACCTGCCGGATGATGCGAAAGAAGCTATCGACAACATGGACGGCAGCGAGCTATACGGACGGACGATCAAGGTAGCGCCCGCCAAACCGCAGAAGGATAGCAATGAGGGACTGGGTAGCAAAACCGCTATCTGGGAGCAGGTGCGCAGACCATTTTACTACGTACTTATCTTGAAGCACATTACTGACTACAGCGCTACAGGAGGGTTACCTGGCAAAATACGCCGTCAGCGAGGAGGACAAGATGGCGTCCGAACAGGCGCAAATGGAAGCAAGCGAGCGCCCCCAGGACCCAATGCAGGGACTGGAAGAGCTGGACGTCGCAGGACCGAAACCGGAATGAAACCCCACCGGCAAGCAATAAAGATGATACCCTCTCGGAATACGGACGAAAGTGAAAGCAAAGGGCCAGGGGACGCAAGTCATTCTGCATTCTTCCTCCAGAAACCTCCGTTCAAAGCCGTACTATATACACGTGCTCCAATCCCGAGGCTGAGTTTAACGAGTTTTTCCAATTCCACCCTTGAACCTCTTCATTCTCCCGCGACATCAAGCTTCCTGGTGAATAATACATATCGCCGATAACAAAAACCAAAGGGTCGCCTATGTTGCAATCAAATGAAACGCGGTACAATTTAGTGCTCCTCGGGGCTCTTGGGAGCGTTGCGGCTGAGACGCAGGGTCTTGTCGGTCATGAGCTTGTGGGCGCTGGAGTAGATGGCAGCTCCCACGGCGACGCTGTTGTGGTTTGCGTCAGTTGAGAGACGGATTGGGGGAAGAGATTTGAAGATGTGGGGATGGGGGAAGTGGCGGATTGGATATCCGATGTCATATAAGATGCTCCAACGAATATCAAAAGGATCAAACGTACCCAAGGACAACACCTGTGCAGCAGTATACATGGTTAGAATATGATATCTTTCAAGATGTCAAGTAGTCCCGGAAGAATGACATACCGAGAGGGATCAGCTCTGGGGGGACCCGCTTCAAGGTGCGCAGACGCTGAGAGATGGTGTGGGCTGTAGATATCAATTAGTTCCCAATTCGGACGCATAACCCTTCTCTTTCCAATTGAACCCCCATTATACAAGTCCAGGCTTCGGGAAGCGCGTACCGCTGTGGTTCTCCTTCTATAGGGATTGATTAGCACCAGAACCGAGGAGCCGCCAAGGAATCATTTTTCTCGTCGGATTCGCAAGGGTAGTCGGGAACTCACAGGAGCAGGGAAAGAGAAAGGCCGAGAGGCCTGCATCCGCAAGATACGAGTGGGATACATGGTTGAATGGAGTGAGGGGGGTGTTCCGATACGGGAGGTTGGACGTGGGTGGGATGAAGGAGAGAGTGGTGACGACGGGAGAGAGGAAGAAGCTCAGCAATTCGAAGGGGAGGTTTGGTCACGTTCGGGTGTTTAGGAAATCTTGCCGCATGAGTGGCTCGCTAGACCGCCCGCGGTCACTCCCGGCTTCACTGCTTCACGGGTCATTCCACTCCACTGGGCGCAAACCTCACCCCATCCCGTTCCCTTTCCTTCCTCTCCTCCCCTCCTCCACACCCACCCCCTCTCCCTCCCCCTCGACAATTCAATTCTTTTTATCTGCCCGCAGACGTTTTTCTGCTCCACATAGTCAAAATGGGTGCCATTCCTGAAGCCGATCCCGATGAGGTCATGGAGACCAAGCCCTTCAAGTTCGTGACAGGTGAGCTTTCTCAATCCCGGTCCCAATTTCTTGGCCGATCAATCGCAAATCATGATCAATTGCTAATGTCACTGTAGCTGGTACGTTCTCCTCCTAGGTTCTAGTCGGTCGGATCGCTCTCAATGCCGTCGTGGTCGAGGTTTTTTTGTGGCGGATGGCCGAGTCGGTAGTGTGTTGGATGCTGACAATCCGGAACGAAATGACAGGCTATGATGCTCGTTTCCCCCAGCAGAACCAGTACGTGCCATACAACTTTCTATTATACTACTTCTCTTCCTAACCTATCATCTCAATTCAGGACCAAGCACTGCTGGCAAAACTACGTTGACTACTACAAGTGTGTCAACGCCAAGGGAGAGGACTTCCGCCCGTGCACCCAGGTACATCCATCAATTCTTGCCAAACTTCCGTCGCGAAGCAAAAAAGGAACTCCAATGCAAGAACAACCCCCATCTAACCGGTTCTAAATCAGTTCTTCCACGCTTTCCGCTCCCTCTGCCCCAAGGCCTGGACTGACCGCTGGGACGGCCAACGCGGTATGAATCCTTCCCCCTCCGCCCAAGCCAGCGGTGACTCGAATTGAAACAAAGACACAAGACTAACCATCTGACTGTTGCACTTGCGACAATATAGAGGCCGGCAACTTCCCCGCCAAGCTGGAGTAAAATGATTCCTTTGCCGTTTCCTCATTGTTGATTGGACACTTTTTCCCACTCAAGTTTTGTTGTGTCAACATGTACTCTAACCTGAATCGTCGCGGGAAATTTAAACATTCCATTGATAGTTCCTTTGGGAGGCTTTTGCTCGCTGGGGGATTTGTTCGTGGACGTATATAGACTCGCAATTAGTTTTGGAAGCCATTTTTTCTTTCTTGTCTTTTTCTTTGTTGAAGTAGGTAGTGCTCTGCTTGGAGCTGTAAAGCATTGATTGCTCTGCTGATGCTGTTCTAGGAATTGCTGGTAGACAGATGGTTGTCTAACCTTGCTAATTATCTAGAGATGGATTCCGATGAATTGCAGCTGAATTGAATTGAATTAATCCAGAACTACCAACCAGCATCTAAACAAATCTATCTATCTAGCGAAGTCTAGCAAAAGGAAGAAAGAATGTACCCTCCCCGTCTATTCCAACTCATTATACAACCAACCAGACCACCAAATCCGAAAATAGGTAGCGGCGGAATCAAAGATATTCCTTCCTCCCATGAGATGAGACAAACATGTCTATGCAGAAAATACAGCAATTGCAAATACTCGAACAAAAAAGAAATGGACAGAAAAATGTGAAAGGTGCCAGATACGTCCATCAATATAGGCATTGATGAGTATCTGTCAATGGAATGGGTATCTCGGTGCCGTTGATGTAGAAACAGCACTCGCAGAGGACTGAGAGGACAAGAACAATAGACAAAAAGGAAGAACAGAGAAATAGAAGCACACACATAACCAAACACAGTATGTACAACAAGAAAAGAGAAAAAGAAAAGCGATGTTCAAACTTTTGTCCTCCCAAGATGCTTCGCCAAAATCATGTACATGAGACGTCAATATATGGAAAGTTAGATGGCAGAGAAAAGCAGGGAGAAAAAATCTGGGATATGAGATAACGGACGAAGGAGCGTCAAAGCAATCTATGCTTTTTGCTTGTCCTCAGGAATGCCCTTGATCAAGCGATACAGCTTCTTGTGCTCTTCCAAGAAGATAAAGGTAGCGATGGTATGAGGACCCAGACGAATGAAGCTAGGCACCCATCCACGGAAAGCCCATCCGAAGCCTTCCTTGCGGGAGATATCCCGGAGAAGACCCAGGATGCTGTGGCCGCGGCTCTCGGCGGGCGAGGCACTCATGACACGGGTCTTGATGACGTCCACGGGGCTGCAGACGGTGGTGGCGACGAACCCGGCCATGAAGGACGCGGTAAAATGCGTCCCCAGGTTATCGGACATGCCGAAGCTCTGGATACACAGGCGCTTGAAGGTATCGTAGGAGGCCAGCTGCGAGGCGGTCATCAGGACCGCGCGCGTCGAGTTGGGCCACACGCCGCGGAAGAGACTGGCGGGACCTTCGGTGCGACTCATCTGCACCAGGCCGTGGAACGCATGGCGGTAGTTTCGTCGTTGCGCCGGGGGCAGCGCGGCGTCGGATTGCATGCGCACGTTCAGAACGTCCGCCGGGTTTCCTGCGATCCCGCCGAGGAAGCCAGACGCACAGGCCATTCCAACCAGGGTGAGGAGGCCGGGAGGCGAGTCGGGAGTCGAGAGGCGCGATTTGAGCTCCTCGTAGATTCCGAACCGGGTGGTGGAATACGTTATCTGTCGCAAAAGGGCTGCCGACAGCTAGAGAATCCTCCGTCAGCTGGTACTTCATTTTCACTTTTTTGACGCCTTTCCTATGTGAACCATGTGTGCGATTCAAAGCATCAGAAACATACCCCACTATATAAGCCCAGAAATCCATCGTTTTTGAGCACATGGCCAAAGGTTCCCACCATAGTCGAGGGAGCACCAGGACCACGCGTTTGTAAGCGAACCTATTTTGGTCGGAATTCATTAGCGACCGGGAACGATAACGCGAAGGCAACACCGAGCGAAATCGACGAATTGCTCATTTGCAAGACAAAAGAATGCGAGCAAGATGGAATATACCTTCACTATTATCGCATTGTCAGCTCCAACCTTCGGATACTTGATCTAGGGAAAATTGCAACATACCAAGGTCCAACGGGTGTGTAACGGCGGCCGCAAAGCACGAGGCCGAGCCTCCGAACCAAAAAGGATAATGAACCTTTTTCACGGGGGCGGGCGCGGGCGCGGGCGTAGAAGCCAGCCGAGATTGCGACATATCTAACTTCGCGGTGCTTGCCATCTTGACGGACAAGATGTGGGCATGCCAGCACTGGCGGGGGGGAGTGGAGAGAGGAGAGGGGAGAGGAGAAAGCGACGTGAGGAGGAAGGGAAGAAAGGTGAGGCTATCGCCAGGAAATAATTCTGCGCCGGAGATAAATCAAGTCTCCGATGCTTCGGCGCCCATCCGATCCTGCGCGGGGGTCCGCCAATCACCGCCTCGGTTTTCGCGGGCGAGCGGTAATCTTCGGTAGGAGGCCTTGCGCCTTCATCCTTTGCTCGGTGGTTGAAATGGCACCGAGAGGATGTTCTTTGCGAGTAATGCAAAGTGGTTGATAGACGTGAAGCTGTTTGGACCCTAGGTCTGGAGTATACTCGAACTTCTGGCAGTCGTTAGCGTGTGGACGGCATCCCGGAGTTGGGCGGATGAATGGATATGCATGGACAGGCATGTTGCGTCATAATTGCAGGCATGAGAAATCCTTAGTAACTACCTTAGTATTTACCTTTGACACTGAAAGACCTATATTGTTGACCATAAAACTATATGCTTGCGAGCAGCAATGACAATCAATGTCCAATGCCTATCATATATACTCGTATGTATACTTCTAGTTAGCACCGTATGCACGATATGCACAGTATGCATTGTATTACCGTATGCACTCGGCCTCTCATTTCGCCGCTCCGAAGTGTTTTGCTCGGCCTCTCCGAAGACCGCAACCGCCGACCACCAGCCTGCAGCTCAGACAATTATACCTCCTGGACACAATGCGCCTGCTGGCCACCGGTAGAGCCCTGCGCATCAGCAGCGGCAGATGGTCAATTGCCCCCTCCGCCCGGAGCGTCCGCATTCCGCTCTCGCAGCCTCCGACCCAGCTCGCCCTCGGCCGCAGAACCTGGAGCTCTACAGCGCCTCGCAGGACATCGGACCAGGCCAACACGGACCGCAAACCAGTCGCTTCGTCTTCATCACCCGCCGCGAGGAAATCGCTCGAGATCGAGGGCAAATCCTACCCGACCGACGAATGGACCAACACTCCTGACACGATCCTCTCGCATGTCGGACGCAGACTATACCTCGAGAAGAACCACCCGCTAGCCATCATCCGTGAACTACTCGAGAGCGAGTTCCCGGGTCCAGCATACGGCAACTACCACGAGAAAGACCCCGTCGTGTCAACAGTGAACAACTTCGACGTGCTAGGCTTCCCACTGGACCACCCAGGCCGCAGCCGCACCGACACCTACTACATCAATGACAAGACGGTACTGCGCACCCACACCAGCGCGCACCAGCAGGCGTATTTCCAACAGATCAACCGCAACGAGGCCACCAAGCCTGAGGAGACGGGGTACACCGTGGTCGCGGACGTCTACCGCCGCGATGCCATCGACCGCAGCCACTACCCCATCTTCCACCAGATGGAGGGCGCCATGCTCTGGAAACGCCCGGACGTCGACCCGCTCAAACACTCCGCCGAAACGGCCGCCACGATCACCGACGCCCTCAACCGTATCCCGCCCCACGATGTCGTCGTCGAGGACCCCAACCCGACCATCCACCCGGAGCGCAACCCCTTGCAATCCGCCCACCACAGCGAAGAAGAAGTCGAGGCCATCGCCGCGCACCTGAAACGGTCGCTCGAACGCATGGTCATCAAGATCTTCTCCGAAGCCAGCAAAGCCACGGCAGCCGCCGGAGGCGCCGAACCCGAACCGCTCAAGGTCCGCTGGGTAGAGGCCTACTTCCCATTCACCAGCCCGTCCTGGGAACTAGAAGTATTCTGGCAAGGCGACTGGCTCGAGGTGTTGGGCTGCGGAGTGATCAAACAGGAACTGCTCAACAACTCCGACGTGCCGAACCGAGTCGGCTGGGCCTTCGGTCTGGGCCTCGAACGCCTTGCCATGCTCCTCTTCAACATCCCGGACATCCGCCTCTTCTGGTCACGAGACGAGCGCTTCCTCTCACAGTTCCAAGCCGGAAAGATCACCCGCTTCGAACCCTTCTCGAAACACCCTGCCTGCTACAAAGACGTGGCCTTCTGGCTGCCCACCGCGGCATCCGGCAGCTCCGCCGGCGGCGCGACCTCCGTGCACGAGAACGACATCATGGAGATCGTGCGCGGCATCGGCGGCGACCTCGTCGAGGACGTGAAACTCATTGACGAATTCACGCATCCGAAAACGAACCGCAAGAGTATGTGCTATCGTATCAATTACCGCAGTCTGGAGCGTACTTTGACCAATGAGGAGGCGAATGAACTTCATGATAAGGTGCGCGAGAAACTCGTGGGTCAGTTGAGTGTCCAGCTGCGATGAAGGGGGAATAAGATTCTGTGTAAATTATTTTAAGCTTGTTCGTCCACTAGTTGGATATGTAAGTATGTAACTATACGTACCTGTTTTTCTACATTATCATAAATTTCCTATTGTAGACATTGCTGCTTTATTAAAGACGGTTAATTTGTTGGTGGAGATGATTTCGCAGGGCCTGGGTAGTTATCTTTGAGGGTCTAGATTTTGTTTAAGTATATAGCTAGGTAAGGAGGTATTGTGTGGGTCTGCCAGAGGTAGACTCGACTACCTTACTATTGGTCAGAATAAAGTATGCTTGTGGAATCAAGAGTCTGAGTGTTGTCCTATGGTAGCATGGGCATCTACCAAATGACTTATAAGGATCTATCTTGAAGCAAAGACTATCAATACCCTAGTGATGCCATATTTAGCTACCCCAAACAAGGTTTGGTCTTCCCGTTTGATAATGGAGGACACCGGGTATAGCCTCGATATCCATAGGATCACCGCATTTGATGCCAGTACCATGGGCCCTTCGGTTGTTAGCATCCTTCGCATCGCTCGGCGACTTGCCAGTCTGCTCCTTGGTGAATGCGGTGCTTGTTTTCATAGATTTCCTTGTTATTTAGAACCTAGCAGTAGAAGGCACAATGGCCGCCTTACTCTTATCGTCATTATCGGCTCCACCACTCTCGGAGCTAGAGGACGAGGAAGACGAAGAGCTCTGGCGGGTTTCTTGGACAGGGACTCAGGCGCCAACAGCAGACCACAGTTTGCATGGATACAGACAAGTAAGTAGCTAGCTCTGGCATCACAACAAATACTGAAAGATATGCCACCTTGAGGCTCCTGTGTAAACAAAGCAATGGAAATTTAGATAACTATTTACACAACTCGGGCAGATGACCCCCTGTTGATATGGGCTTGACCAACACCAGCAACCACCTTGCATGTTAACAAAGAGCATGGGGAAGATTCAGAAAACAGGCATGACGTGGTGATGTGACGATAGAGGAAGAGGGGGAAATCAGGGTCAAGGACTCAGAATGCAAAAGACAGATAAGTCCCTCCCAGAGCTGGAGGCTCGGTGGTACTTTCTGAACTCGGTATCACGGCATGTTTCATCACAGTCCAGGAAATGGAAAAGAACAGTCCAGGTAATAGGAAAGAACAGTCCAGGTAATAGGAAAGAACAGTCCAGGTAATAGGAAAGAACAGTCCAGGTAATAGTAAAGAACCGGCTGGGAGAAGGAAGAAAAGAAAAGGGAGAAGCAGGTCCGGTCGATCGGGTTTAAAAAGGGTTCTGCAGTCATATGGTGTTGCGTGACGTGCAAATGACACGCCCGCCAGGCAACAGCCTATCTATATCTACCTTGTTGAGAAGGAACGGCCATCCGGTAACTGTATATACTGTTAAAACTCCCCAAATACAGTGGACAAATCAAACAGTAAAAATGTACCATGTAACAGAAATACACCCGCTCAAAGAGCTCCTAGACTGTGTCAAGCTGTCTCATCCAGTTCCTGTAGTCGGTGGCACTCGGTGGTGTGCAATGTTGGGGTGCGATCAATTGATACGGCCTTCTCGATATGCTCGACACTCGGGGTCGCTAGGTATGAAAAAAGACAGACGATACCGGTCTATCAAGATCATGTGGGTATACATGGTGCTAAGTAGGGAGTCCGGAAGAAGGATTGCTTGAGAACGTAGGAAGTATTGATATAAACGCCTTAATCTTCAAAGCCGTTGCTTGCCTCCATGGCAAATTCCGATATGTAATGCACTCCCCAAATGAACAAGCTGTGTTACAGGCTGTAGTAGACACCTCTTTCGATAATAGATGACTTAATGTAAAAGTGTTTAGAATTTACACCACCCCTCAAAAAAAAAAAAGGCGCAGTAAGGTTACGCGTATTTGTATTTCCCCATCCAATGCTCCTTCCATACCCGAAGTTCTGGCAGCAATCAGAGACGGATCCAACAGACAGAGTTTTGTTTTATAAACAAGTCAAAGGGCTCTCAGCCATTTTGATTGTTAAATCTTAATCTTGTTGCTAATTAAGGCTTGGTTTTCATCTCTCATTATTGGAAAGCCCTTGGTAAGGAAATTGCAATCTTATTTTTAAAAATTATTTTTTCTAGTTCGCTCCGATGATGAGATGAAATGAAAAGAATAGGCGCAAAAATTATCGGTCTTGGGGGCCGGGTCGAACTCGATAACTAAACTTTACATTTTTGATAGGGGACCCCATTTGGAGAGCAAAACAAAAAAAGAAAAAAAAAAAGAAATACTGTTAAAGCTGTGGCTAACAAACTTCTCTTTTCTTGATTGACAAATAATCATAAAACGTTTGTAGGTATCTTCGTCGCAAAACGAATTACAACGATACATGTCCTTCAAAACGTAACATGGTTTCTCAGTCTCACCATTCCCTATTCGACGACAGGCCCAACTTCGAGCTATACGTGAACAAAATAGGAGATTGATGTAAGAACATGGTTGGAAGGCCAGTAAAGAGCAAATGATGGAAAAATGAAGCATGTATGCTGTATATGGCGGATATGTTGAATATCATCGTGAGGATGGTCATGATGATTGTGTTCAATATCTATGTTGTGTATATACTCCGCCAGGATATCAACCAAGGGAATGGGGAGGATTCAACATAGAGGTGTGGCATGTGATAGTTTATTGAGATTACTGATTTAGAGTATTTAGTCTTCTGCTCACCTTGTGTTTAGTAATTATCTCAGACTGCTCAGAATATGTTTAGAGCGTGTTTAGGGTATACTTAGGGCGTGTTCAGGTCTACTCAGTGAGCAAAAAGCAGCGAGGGGTGAGCACTAAAATGGAAAGGGAAGGCTGTCGACCTGGCGAGAAAATCAAGTACGTATGTATTTTTAGCATGTAGCATCATGTGTTTCTTTGTAGATTCAGAAGCTCTCTTCTGATACCATTCAATAAAAGGTCTAATTCTTGCAAATGAAACCGTTCTTATGGCCAACAGGCCAGCCAGCTGCTATTATCCTCTTCAATCAATGTTCTGAATCACTATACAAAACCAAGACAACCGGAGTGATGCAAGGAAAATAAGTATAGAAACAGGACCCCCGATGCCATGCGTATGTAATTTCAAACCATGCCCGCGCCACACCAAGTCCATCCATACATATCCAACCAAACGAAAGGGGGGGGGGGGGCAGTCAATCGCTTTTGAGGCATTAAACAAGACAGATCATTGCGTATAATGTACAGAGTAGAATAGGGAGGTGAGAGTGTCGAGAGAAAAACAAGTCGAACGCCAATAGAAAAGATAACGAAAGGAAGACAACCCGGACGCCTTCCAATCGTATGAAAATAGGTGTATCATACACATGCAGTCATAAGACAAAAAGCAGCAATGATCCGGGGAACGCGAAGATTCCAAGGGGAATCCATGTCCGTTCCCATAAGTAATACCGTGGGTTGATGATCCCCCGTCATAAACAAAAAGAGATATTTTGGTATATTATACAGAGAGAAGATTAGAAAGAAGAAAGTAGGGAGAAAACGTGTCAGGAGCTATAAAGTGGGGCATTTAGTCATTCTTGACAACGCCAACCTTGGCAGCCTGGATTGGATTTCAATTAGTAAAATGCCTCACACAGAGCCAGGGGGCAGCCTGTAGGGGAAACACTCACTCTCAAGACACGGCCGTTCAGGATGAAACCCTTGCTCTGGGTGTACATGATGTCGCCGTTCTCCTTGCCCTCGGCCTTGGCCATGAAGGTGGCCTCGTGACGGTTGGGGTCGAACTTCTGAGCCTTGCCGTCCTCGGTGGGCTCGTCGGGGTCGAATCGCTCCAGACCGTGCTTCTTCAGCGTGTTCATCATAATGTTCTGGGTCATCTTCAGACCGGTGACCAGCTCGTTCAAGTCCTTGTTCTCGGGGGCGGGGTTTTCGATCTTGTCCTTGGGCACGGCAAGGAGAGCGCGATCGAAGTTGTCAATGCTCTCGAGAAGGTCGGCCGAGAACTTCTGGATGGCGTAGTTGCGGGCGTTCTCCATGTCACGCTTGGTACGCTCCTGCAGATTGAGGAAGTCGGCCACGGAGCGAACATACTTGTCCTGTTGGCTCGAGGGTCAGTAAATTCGATACATTACCACATACAATGCGATTGGAAGCGCCAATGGTGCGACGACGCGCTCCGATATCGGTAGAAGGGAGTTCCCACCTTCAGCTCCGTAACTTCCTTCTTCTTCTCCTCGAGCTCCTTCTGGACAGGGTCCTCAGGGGCTTCCTTAGAATCGGCCTCCTTCTGCTCAGGCTTGTTCTCAGTGGAGTAGCTGCGGAAGTTGGGCTGGCGAACAAGCGGGCGGAAGGACTGAGGAAGCTGTGACGTGCGACGAAGAGCCAAAGGTGCCGATGATGTCGTGCGGACGGAGGCCACAGAGCGGATAGCCTGGGCTTGTCTGAGGGCGAGTCTTTGGAACATGATGAAGGAGGAGGAGATGAAGGAAGGGATCAATGGGACGGGAGGGAGGCAGGAATAGGACGTTTGGGGGGAGGAGTGAGGTTGACAGTATGAATTATTCTGGTCGGGGAAAACAGAACTTTCGAGTAGCTGCTCAGGTGACTGTCCGCTCTGACCGCCCGGGAACATCGTCGGGCCGCACGGATGCAGTCCCGTGACGAGAGAGCGTGGGATACTGTGACAAATGGGAACTACGTCATGCCGCCAGAAGCCGAAGGAGTATATCAATTTGAACAATAACAATGGTCTGGTTCAATACAAATGCCTTCTTTTGTCTGATGGGAGTGCAGTTGCGGTGTTTTGAGAAGACCAGCTTGGCGTGGCATGGAAAAGACTACCGAACAGACAATCGGATACACAATCTGCCTATCCATTCCTCATGCAGTAACTCAACCTAATAACACTTAATAATCACTCAATGCGCAATCACAGTGGCACTCACAGTTGGGGTCGACCGTCGATTACTCCTCACTCCTCACTCCTCACCATGTTTCCCCACCATGCCCACTTAGCCCCAGGGCTCAATTTACCCTGTGGCCGTTATAAATGATCACTGCAGAGAACCGGGCGCGTAGGCCTCGCTCTTTCTAAGACTCGTCACAGGATATCTTCAAGGCTTTCCTCTGCTTACGCTCACCCTACTTAAAAAATGCCTCTCACCTATGACCCTGATTTCTCCACGGCTGCGGCCTGGCTCCTTTCGGACCTAGCATCCAGCCCAGCCCCCGCCATCCACGATGTCCAGGCGCGCCGTATCGACATCACTGCCAAATACGCGGCCATGTTCGAGAAGCTTCCCGCTGCGCCTGACGTCGAACAAACCGTGCATCAGATACAGTCATACGACGGAAAACCGATAGCCGTGTATCGATTTGCAAAGAAAGCCCCGGCGTCCACGGCACCAGGCCCGGCGGTCTTACACACGCACGGCGGGGGTAAGATCCAGGGGGACGTCGCACTGTTCACGAAGATGCTTGCGCTGCAAGTGCAGCGAACGGGCGTCCAAGTGTTCTCGGTTGACTACCGATTGGCCCCCGAGAACCCGCACCCAACGCCCACCGAGGATTGCTATGCCGGGCTGACGTGGGTGTACGAACATGCGGAAGAGTTTGGCGTGGACCGCAGCCGCATTGCCACGATGGGTGAAAGCGCAGGCGGGAATTTGGCCGCTGCTTTGGCTCTGATGGCCCGTGACCGCGGCCTGTCTCCGCCCCTGGCCAAGCAGATCCTGATCTATCCCATGCTGGATGACCGTACCACCACTCCCATCCCGCCGTTGGAGCCCCTGGCCTTGTGGAACAACAACGACAACATCACCGCTTGGACCGCTCTCCTGGGCAATGACATCGGTACCGACAAGGTCTCGCCATACGCTGCCCCTGCGCGCGCAACCAGCGTGGAAGGTCTCCCGTCGACTTACATCGATGTCGGCGAACTGGACATCTTCCGCGACGAGGACATTGCCTTTGCTGCCAGAATTGCCGCGGCCAACATCCCTCTCGAGTTTCACGTGTACCCGGGCCTCCCGCATGCGTTTGAGGTGTATGCACCGGAGATCGAAGCGACCAAGAGAGCCGTTGCTGACCGAGACCGGGCCATTACCACGCTGTAGAGTAGGCTGATGTATACGTGCGTGAACATAGATGCTGGTGAGAAGGAGACGAGTCATACAAGGCGGAATTCCCCTTTTCAAACCTTCATGTACATAGAATCCTGCTCGGTTGACATCGAGCCGCAATGCAGACTGTTGGCGAAACCCAAGTTGAGAGGATTACCGTAGATGGTTGTGTTGCCTCCGACATGTTCGGATGCGGAGTGGCTATGCCATCCTCTAACCAGAAGGATGCTCTCGCCTGGGGCTTAGTCAAGTCACTTTTCTCTGCCAAGTTCTCATTGAATCCTCCACTGTAGGCAGAGAATTTCTGGTAACCATGATAGAGTTACTATAAAAGGAATTGTTGCAGTTGTCTATATCAAGATGGATGGCCAATGTAGGGCAACGAGTTACGACGGCCCTAGCTTTAGAGGAATGTTGCAGACTAAAGAATGGCTGTGGTATGCGCATCTAAAACAAGTGACAGGTGCATGTTGCAGTATTAGTAAAGGACTGAAGATGACTGTGTTCATGATTAGAGAGCCTACCAGTCACTACCTACTAGTTAGCAGGTCCCCGAACGGACCACCAAAGGGGCTTAGAAAAGCGAAGCATACGATTCCGCATCAGCCACGACGTCAACCAAGAATTGAGGATAGAATCTTGCCTGCCTAGTGATAGCGGAGCAGCAACTTGCCGATTAGGAAGTTCATAGCAATCCCAAGAGCAGCACGCCGCAAATCTCGGAGGAGGAGTCCGCGCGTGCAGAATTGCCTCCACTCCCAGGGCGGAGCTGCGACGGAGGCATGCGGAGAGCCCCGAGCCAGAGCCATGGGAAGATCGGAAGAGGCTTGAAGGAGGGCTCTCCGGGGATAGTCTCGTAGTCCACCATAATTAGCGGCAAGCAGACTGGACAGGCTAGTTGAGGCGGTTGACGCGAGGGCCATTACTGCGCTACCGAATCTGGCAGCCTGTTTGTGGCGATAACTCCCATAGTGTGCAAATTGTTCATTGCATCAGCCACAACGGGGTCGGCCATCACCGTGGCAAAAAGAAAATCTGGATCGTCAGGAACGGAGCAGGGCCGTGGACCGTCGTAATCGCGTCTATCATACGGAGTACGCTTGGGGGGCAGTGTAGGTGACCCTCTTTTTTCAATGTTGAGTGGAGGCCGACCGGGGCGCAGCATCAACTGAAGACGGATGGATGGAATGTCAAAACGATCGCTATATAAGACGAAGACGGAGATTGTGACAACTTCTTCCATGGATCAGAAACCATTCAAGCAGAATTGACCGCAATTAAGAAATCCAGACCAGCGATCGTCTGTTTTCAAACAAACGCCCAGAAATTGGATTTTCTCACCTGACCGCCACCTTGATAGTCTCGCTTTTCTCCTCTTCTTCCATCTCTTTCTCTTCCTCCCCCTCAACATTCCTCCTTCTCCTATCGCCGACAAATCTTCAGCGCTTCGTCTCGTTATCTTCCATCATACACAAAATGACTGGAATCACAATTTCACCGCCAGGATCTTTCCCATCCTCTCCCTCCTTCGGTGCCTCTCGCGCCTCTAGATCCTCCTCATCTTCACGACGGCCCAATCTCTCGCTGGACATGTCCAACCTGCCATCTCTCTCTAAACCCACGCCACCAACCAACACCCTCCTCATCACCGACCTCAATAGCATCCTGCTCTTCCAACCGGACGCCCTCGCCGCGATCCGCGCCCGGCTTGAATCCATCGCCCCGCTGAACTCCTTCTCCCCGCTGCCCTCTCTCCGCCGTATCATCTGTTCCTTCCACTCGGAACAAGACGCCTTGCGCACCCGCAAGCTCCTGGACGGCTCCTCGCTCCTCGATAACACCAACACACGCGCCAAGATCTACTTCGGCGAACCCACCCCCATCCTAGACGAGCAGGACGCCCGCCCCAAACTCCTAGAAGCGCCGCATTCCGACAAACTCTTCTTCATCTCGCCGCCCCCCAGCCCCCCGCACGGCTGGGTCATGCGCAACGAAGACCCGCCCAACAAGGAGGTCCACGCGAGTGATCTCGCCCACGCCCTGGCGAACCTGAAGACCGAGCAATTCGGCGTCGTTGCGGACGTGAACGCCGCCCCCAACGCCAACGCTATGGAGCCGGGAACCCCCATGTCTATCACCTCGGATAAGCGCACGGGCAGCTGGCCCGTCGCCGTGTCGCAGCAGCGCAGCCGCAGCAGTACCCTCATCTTCCATCCCGAGGACCACGGCGGCAGCCCCAACCTGCCGGCCGTCATGGTCGAGGATACCAGCGCGGCGCTGGAGGATATGGACGTCGAGATGAGTCCGATCGAGATGTCGGTGAAGAAGATGCCGCCGAAGACGTCTCGGCCGCCGGTCGAACTGATGAATTAAAACAATGGTCATACGTTTTTCCACGTTCTTCCTGCAACGTTTGCAATAACGGTTTGGTTTTGGCTGGTTTAGCGTCTGTGCTTTCTTTCTCTTGTTAGTGGCAATTTGCATGCATGGTGGGTCCATTCTACTGTTCATGTGTGAATTTGCATTCTTGCTGCGCTTCATGAAACTCGATTATGTGTTTTTTTTTCCCTGTCTGGTTTGAAATCTTTGGTTTGGAGGGTCCTGTTACTATAATATCATGGGTGGCGTTTCCTTTACAGGCAAGCATCGGCGCCAAATTGCAGCATTTAGGTTGATTGACTCATTCACTTATTATCTTTATTATCCACTACATGCACTTACCAATCTTCCTACAGACTGGCATACATACAATGAATCATTACCTATAAACCTCCTTTGCAAACAATCCCCAGTATTGTAGCACGAAAACTTCCAGAATATACTAAGAATCTACCCAGCACTGGAAGCGATGATAAACTACAAGATGAAGAATGAAAACTAATCAAACAAAACCACCGCACTCTCCTTCCGAACCTCCGGTCCCAACACGGCCGCCAACTCCGCAATTATCCCCTTCACGGACTGCGGATTGTCCATTGGCATATCTTCCCATCCGACGAGGTCCTGTGGGTCGAACATATGGTCAGCATGTGTTCTTTGTTCGTGTTTACTATAGTATATTGACTGTACGATCTAGCGAGAAAACACCATTCTGCAAGGGAAAGGAAAAGATGACAAAGAAGAGGAGGGGAACAACTAACAATCATATGCACAAACGTCCCATGGACCAGAAGGAGCCAGTGATCGAGATCCAGGGCCTTGACTTGTTCCAGGGTCAAGACGCCGGGCATGTGCAGGTCGAAGAGGGAGACATCTTCGTCGTTGATTTCGGCGTCGGCGTCGGTGGCTTGCGGCGTGTCTTGTGCGGCGGCTTCGGAAAGTTGTCGGTCATGCGAGAGGGAGACGTATGGGCGTTTGTCGAGCTTTTGGGAAAGTTCGCCGTCGAGGGGGTCCCAGGTTTGGCTTTCTGGGTCTGGAGGGGTGGTGGTGGTTAGGTATGGGGTTGCGAGGATGATAAAATTTGGGAGGATGATGGATTTGGGAGAATGATGGGGTTCATTTACCGAGAATGTATTGGGGTTTGAAGGAGCCCTTGTAGCGCATCTTTTGACAGGAGTGGATGTAGTAACCTGGGAAGGGGGTTAGATTCAGAATAGATGGATTGGTGGTAGAGTGTAGCTGACCCATGTAGTAATACTTATAATCACCTTCACTGGCCAGGGCGATTTCTCTGAGCGCGCTGAGTTTTCCGAATTCCCATTGCTCGTACGCCGGGTCGTAGCTTGGTTTCCTTGTTAGCGTTTCCACCAGTCAAGTTCTGAAGGGAGGAATCTCACAAAATGTAGACAGAGCTAATGCCATTCGGCATCAGGTCCAAGACAGCCACGGCGATCAGCTTGCCGTCCAATCGGTAGCATTGATGATACGATCCTAGCTTCTTCTCCGAGGACTGCGGGTTGGCTGGGGATCGCTTGATGCCTGAGCAAAGGAAGCGCTTGAAGTCCTTGGTTTGCCATTTGGATACATCTTCCTTGTGGACTGTGGTTTGGTATTTGAGAAAGAGGTCAAATCTTGAGAGTATGTGAGCATCAGGACGGCTGATTATTATGGATGGGCTATATACTTGGCCTGCGATATGGAGTCGCCCTCGATGTTAACTTCGAACCGATGAGCCGGCTCTAGAAGTTTCTTGGTTTTGGGATCCAGAGGTCGTTTCACGTTGCTGTATTCAGCCTCATGCACGACATCCAAAACATCGAAGTTTTGCTTCCGGTGTTTCTTTTCTCTAGGCACGGGATACTGTCAGTCTTATGGCTATCAGGGGATGGAGGATTAAGCTTACGCTCGGCTCTTAGGACACAGATACGCCGCCCTACGGATATACTCAGGACCCAAGATGAACTTGTTCCAGCGATTGATTGCCTTCCGCTGGTCCTTCCTAGGTTTGAAAGCCGAAGCTTCCAACCTAAATACGATCAGCATCTACAGACGAATTAAGCCGTCTCCGGCCATGGATCGGGCAAACACACCTCATCGTATAGTGCGGACAGCATGACCTCTGCAGGTTCTGCTTGTAGTAGAGCGTTCCCGACCTGAAGCCAAAATCAGCAGCCAGATTCGACATGCAGGACGCATCCCATCGCGTAGCGAAACCTACCTTCTCCAGCCGCGGTTGACAAGTTCTTCATAATGAACCGGACGAACGGCGACCGAGCTAGTGTAATAGGAAGCACCTGTAGGAGGTTAGATAGATGCGCATCAACCACGAAGAACGGAGGAAGGTTCATCGGGGGCAGAGACCACAACGACCCGGAGGATCATTGCAGCAGAGTCGGACTTACTGCCATCATCGGATTTACAGTAACCACAGGAGTTACGTTGGTAACCTATATCGAATAAAAATTATAGTGAGTCACCGGGAACAGTCATGAATACGGATGAAGCCAAACGGATCATGCCAGACAGGACCGATGCAGTGACAGTGACAGTGACAGAATTTGCGGGTCATGCATTGTTCGTGCCGCATATCCAGGAATTGATTGATTGAATGACGGGTTGGCGACGATCCCAAAATATGGAAGTACAAAAGGCTAGGCTAATAGTCCCGACCTAAAGAGCCAAGACAAGAAAGAGGAGGAGGGGCAAGTTGCCATACATCATGGAGGGGCACAGAATGGCCGACTCCGCGGGATGGCAGACGGACTGGGGCCAATGATGACGGCACGAGGAAGAGCAATCATCTCTGAGTGGCTGCTTACCTAGGGGTCGGAAAAACGACAGATTCCTTGCCTCTTCGGCGTCGACGATGGTCCCCATGTTGGATGTGGTGCGATGCGCAAGTGGTCTCGTTGGCGCTCAAGGCGGGAAGTCCGAAATTGAAAAGCAATAATCAACTCCGAGGGGGATGGGTCGGGGGAGGGCAGAATGAGAATTAAGAGAGACTAGCACAGAGCCAGATGGGTCTACTGAGTAGCGAGTCCACCTGGAGACTGGAGGTGAGGGACGAGACCGTGAGTCGAAGATGTGAAAGACCGAGAGTAAATAGAGGGACGAGGACCAGACGTTGGCGGGGAGAAACGGTGGATGCCGCATGACCGCCGCAGTACGGCCGACATCTTACAGTTACCCCTGGTCGCGCAAGTACACAGTAGGCACACTCGCCAAACACTTCTGATTAACGTATGTAGTTAACGTACAAAGTGACAGCAACCTGAGCCAGAGGTCAAGGCTCAATCAAGTATCGTGCTTCTAGAAGAGCATTCGAACTGACTCGGATGGGCTGGTCTCGTCTGGTCTGATGGCAAGTGGTGGTAGTCTCATGTAAGGCCCGGTCATCCCTGTCCAGGGGCTGATTGGAGTTTTTCTTTTTTATTACTCTCTTATTCTTGTTGTCTTTCTATTTCCTTTTTTTTTTACTTTTGGCTGCACTGTTTGTCCAGTTGTGGCTTCAGTATCGAGAGATGGCGGTGTCTACTCCGTACGATAGGTACAGTAGTTAGAGCGCAGAAGAGGCAATGGAATAATAATCCCGAACGAATATCTATCGGATTCGAGGTCTGCAGTCATCCCACAGGTGTGATCTGGAATTTCCAAATTTATTCAGGCACAGAACACTATCTGGTAGGTAGTTGACTAGGTATACTCCGGAGGTGTTACTTACATACCCAGACACAAATTTACGATACGGTACCTCCCTTACAGTCGATGGAAGGGGAAGTTGGCCAAGTGTCAATCCGATGCGTCATTGAATAATGATAATGATACTTACGGTGACTTGCATGCCTCCGTTCATTTAACCTTTATGCCCCTTCTCATTTGATCCTCCTAATTATTGGAATGTTACTATCTTGAGGTGTGGGATCGTTGAGAAATTCCCCGGCATATATGACATCACGTGTCGCCCCTTCGTCTTCACCATTACGGAGAGTCCAACAACTCGCGCAACGGAGTCACCTCAAGTCTCTCACCGCTGCGATCTCAGGGTCCGCATCTAATATAGATCGTTGCTGCGTTGTATCCCCCCCGATCCAATCAGTGTCGTGGGGTTCGACATCCTCGAACTCCTCTAACGAGTTCTGATGTGCATGCCTTACCGCCGTTAAGTTGTTCAAGGGGGTGTGGGCTTTGGCGTCAAAAGACTCCAGCGTTATGATCGACCTGATGGTTCTCCCCAGCCCTCCCATGGATTCTCCTCTATTTTTGATATTATTTTAAACCCTTTCCCTCCATCCGGACACCCTTGACCCTCTCGGAGCCATATCCAGGGATGTCGTTGGAGCCCCGCATCGGATTGGATCGGCCTTTCTGTGATGGCATCGACGTTCCCCAATAGTCACTTGGAGCTAATGTATGCAGGCATGCTTGTGCGTTTCATGGTATCCAATCCTTAGCTTGTCTGGACGAAGGTCGAGGTTGGCGCAGGTAAAAAAAGAAAGAAAGAAAGAAAGAAAGAAAAAGAAAAATGAGTCGAAATAAAACTTCTCTTCGTGAGAATGATTTCTCCGCCTGTCCACCTTCGACCAAAGATGCAGGACTAGCTGGTTTGATGCTGATTGCCGCGTCTTTGCTGGACGGTTTTATCCTCCGGGAGTCTCACACGTAGCGGATGCTCCGAGTTGTCTATGTCTATTTGAAGGGTGCTTCGAAATTGCCACTGACGCTGCAGGGAGGATTGATTTACACTCCGCATGAGTTGCCTACGAGGCTGTTGACCATGTGCGTCACTCTTATTGAGCACCGCGGAGGTCTCTTCAGACTTTAGGGCACGTCCGTGCAGGAAGATACCCGACGACGATCTGGTCACAAGAAAACGAAGGGAAAAAGAACATAAAAAAAAAGAAAAATTCACGGAGGGGCGCGTTCCATTCCCTGGGAAACGATTAGGGAGATGATTATTGGACGTCGGTTCTTGAGACCTGGTCTCATTCGGTGTACCGCAGTTAGGGTTGGCTAGGTGCCTCGGGGTGGATCGCATCCAGTTTTCTAGTTGATGACCGATGAAAATAGCAGAGACAGATCTTTACGGACGAAATGGACTGATGGGACCAGAGTCCGATGCGGAAAAAGAACCCCAAGAATAGAGAAGAGGTCCACCGGTCAATAATGCAGGAATATGCTGAAACTTTGGACCGGGTCCAATATCAGACTCGGTCGACTACATTGAGAGTCCGAAGACCGAACGAGCCAGAAGAAGTGACAGTTCCCATAGGTCCATAGATCCATATTCCATAGGGGGTGCACTCTGTAGCTATGGCGAGGACGGTGACACGCAGTTGGAATGACCGAGTTCCTGACAGAGTGGACGCAAGGATCCGGTAATTCCAATTGATTACCGAGGATTAATTCCACGGTGATTCATCATCATTTATTTGCCTTCTGGAAGGAAAAGCCAGTGGAGTCTGGTACTCAATACTCGGAGTACTAACAGGGAGGCAGGCAGCGGTAATACGTGTACACTGTACGGTCTCCGCGAACTTCCCCCCCAGAAGCAACTTCTTTTCCCCCCTCCGATTCTCTCCCCTCCGTTCCTCCTTCTCTCTATCCTTCCTCCCTTCCCCTATTTCTTCGCTTCTACTTCTGATTACCATGTCTCATTATATCTCGTCTTCTTCCAGGTTCCCGTCCGCCGCGGGAGTGAACGGGAATACCTAGTTGCCTGACTACTCTTTCCATTAATCTTTTCTTGATTTTCCCCTCCTACCCCAAAATTTCCAGTCGACCGCCTCGCCTCTTTTTTTCTACTCCGTCCCGGGAAAAAAAAAGTTTAGGGTTGACGGCCGCGGACCAGCTCCCACCCAGGCTGGACCTCTTCCCTCTCTATACTCTTCCGTCCTTTGATCTCCTCCCCTCCCTAGAAAAGTCCCTCTTCGGACTTCTAGACCTCTACACCGAGGTCTTGTCTCGTGTTCTTTGCCACCTCGTCCACCTCATCCACCTCATCCCGCCTTGCTTCTTCCCTTTTTCCCCTCGGAGACCCTTTCATTCATTTGACTTTCTGTCGCGTGGGGTACTCCTGGCGCATTCACTCCGCCGTTCCTCCTATCTTTCTCTTGGGGCATAGACTTGGTGAGAGGCGTCTCAACGGCTTCTTATTCCTATTTCATCTTCCTTTTCCTTCTACCTTCTTCTCATTCCTTGTCCTCCAAAATGGTGGATCCTACCCGGTCAATGGAGTCCCGGACAGGGCGAAAAAACCAACGTGAGTGAACGCCGGAGGCACGTGGGGCGCATTACGTCGCTCTGGCGCCTGGTCGGAATCCCCCTCCATTCGCGAAAAAGGGACGATTAGGCTCTCGGACCCTTCGGATGACGTTCGCGCAACCTGATGCTAATCCGGAGATCTCGCGTTTTTCCAGGTTACGGATCGAAAGGCGAAAGACTCGTGGCCGGTGTGGTCCCGCTGTCAACGGATAAGACGAAAGTCCTCATGATCCAGTCCGCCGGACGAGGCGGCTGGGTGCTTCCCAAAGGAGGGTGGGAAACCGACGAAGAGAGTGCCCAGCTGGCTGCCTGCAGAGAGGCCTGGGAAGAGGCCGGAGTCATCTGCACGGTGCAGCAAGATCTGGGCCTGATCCCGGACATGCGCCCGTCGACGTTGCTGACGTCGCATGCTCCGAAGGCTTCCTACCAGTTCTTCGAGGTCACCGTGGATCGCGAAGAGGATCAGTGGCCGGAGATGCACAAACGAAAACGTCAATGGGTCGCATACGCTCAAGCGGCGGCGGCTCTTGCCAGTCGTCCCGAGCTGTTGGAGGCATTGAATCGCAGTTCCGTGAAAAAATAGCGATGACCGATTGCTCTCCAAAATCGCAGGATAGAGACAGCCGGCTAGGTCGGAAGCTCGCCTGCCAAACTTGGCCCTTTTACGACTTGACATGACTTCCCTTTCAAAAAGAAGAAAACATTTTCTTTTACCCATCTCATCTCCATCTTTCTTCCTGCATCTCCCTTGATCGATGCCTTTCCATCACTTCTCTTGTTCTTTCTTGTTGCCACGGTCGGCTGTGCTGCTTTGGAGTTCGAAATTTCCTTTCTTTCCTTTCTGTCTTTGTAATATCGCGTGGGTGGCTGGATGGCTATGCGCGCGAAACCAATTCCCACAACTCACCTCTATAGATTCCGCAACAATCCGTCAAAATAGAAAGTTAGAGCAACACGGTCGACAGCACTGATCGCGGACGGATGAAGAAAAAGTTATACGTCTTACGGACGTGGTTTTTGGTCACGTCCGACTTTGGTTGGAGGATTCGTTCTTACCGGTTATCTGGATACCAATCCTATGATTCGAGCCTGACAGAAGGCCTTTGAGTTCTATGCACGAATGCGTTTTGCATTTTACCATTTGCGATGGTCTTGAAATTGTCATCTGTTCGACTATCAAGACGGATGCATCTTTTGGTACCGTCGGATGGTTTGGTCTGCTACTCATGCAAAACCCTAGGGGTCTGAACCAAGAAAACAAGCAAAGAAACAAACAAAAAAAGCCATACTCATATCATCTCCCAGTGATCAGATTGACGGCCGCAAGAGGATTTTGTAATCCCAAGTGATTTGTATCCCTAAGCATGACATGAGAGTGTGGAGTAGAGTATTTCGGTGTAGTCCTGTAGTCACATAGAACATATGATAGAATAGAACCAAATGTATAGTAAATTCGAAGTCCAAATTCACTGTCATGCCAAGCAAAGTATTTACTCTTCATGGGATTCTGTCAAGAAGCTCTCCGGACTGACTGTAGAATGCGCGAAGAAGCCGCCCAGATGCATTCCCGATCGGGCAAAGCGCGGCCTGCAGTTCCCTGAGCCAAACTCCAACCTTCACCTCCGATTGTCTCTTCTTTCATCGCCTTTCTCCCGCCTCCTCCCCAACCTTGATCTCGGTCCTTCCGGTCGGCTTTCAACTTAACGTCCTCCATCGCTCTGTCATTCTAAAACACAAAACTTTCCCGCCCCGTCTTCTCGAGTAAGCAGCCCGCAGCGCTGCTTCCACGCCGCCATGGATTATGAAATGGACATCGAGCCCACAGGGCCCCAAGTGACCGTGCGAGAGGTATTATCCCGTCACACTCCAACGACATAGCAGAGATCCAAGTTTCTCGAAACTCACACTCATCTCTAGGCCGAACCCTACCGCGTCGACTTCAAACTCAGCTCCGTCGACCTCGCCTTCGCCAACTCCGTCCGCCGCGCCATGCTCGCCGAAATCCCCACGATCGCCATCGACCTCGTCGAGGTCGAAATGAACACCTCCGTGCTCCCCGACGAGTTCCTCGCCCACCGCCTGGGCCTCATCCCCCTCAACTCCAAGAACTGCGACCAGGACGTCGAGTACACGCGCGACTGCGAATGCGAGGACCGCTGCGCGCGCTGCAGCGTCACCCTGTCCTTGCATGCGCGCTGCACCGGCGACGAGGTCATGGCCGTGCATGCGCGCGACCTGGTCGTCAGCGGCGAGCGGGCCAACGAATGGGTGGGCAACCCGGTCATCACGGATCCTCAGGGCCTGGGTCCCTTGATTTGTAAATTGCGCAGCGGTCAGGAACTGAAAATGACGTGTATTGCGAAGAAGGGGATTGCTAAAGAGCATGCGAAGTGGGCGCCGACGGCGGCGATTGGGTTCGAGTACGATCCGCATAATAACCTGCGACATGTGGATTATTGGTACGAGGAGGACCCTGCTAAGGAATGGTATGTTCGGTTTCTCTGTTTCTCTTCTTGCGTGGCTCACGGGGTTTCTTTTTTCTTCTTCGGTTCCTAACATAATCACCTCTAGGCCCATCTCCGCAAACGCTGCCTGGGAGCATGCCGCTCCCCCCGACCAACCGTTTGACTACGACGCCGAGCCCAACAACTTCTACTTTGACGTCGAAAGTATCGGCAACCTAGAGCCGGACATGATCATCCAGCAAGGCATCACGGTTCTGCAACGCAAACTCGCCTCGGTCATCTCTGCCCTCTCCGGTTCCGGCGAGGGTGACCACGGCGGTATCATGGGTGTCGAGGAGGATGATATGATGGGAGTGCGCAGCCCCGACGCCTACGAACCGCCGGAGGGCATCGACGGTGGATTCACGGCCTATGCCAATGGCAACGCCTCTGCCTGGGGAGCCAGCGCCGCTACTCCATACGGCGCGACCCCGTACGGCGGCGGCGGCGGCTATGGCTTTTAATGTGGTTGAACAAAGAAAAAAAAAAGCATAAAAAAGAAATACTCGAAAATGGAAAACAAACTCACTGTGGATTCTACCATATACCTTTCTGGAAGAAGAAAGGTATCAAATCAAGCATGCGAACGGAGTTTCAAGGGTGTCAGTCATGATTCAGCGGCGCGTTTTTTTGATCATCATTTTAGTTTCTGTTTTCACTTATCGGGGTTTCCTAAAATACTTTTCTTCATCTTTTCCTTTCATCTTAACAGATATCGAATGGTTTCTTCAGACTTGTCTATGGAAATATTTTGGCTTGCTTGCGTTTCTTTTTTTTTGTCTTATTTGAAAGGCCCCTGTTATATTAGATTTCACTTGACACTCTATAGGTACTTACATACTTTTCTTTTATCAATCTACCTGAACAGTACTTCTTGACTTAGATAGGTCCTGACAGATGCAGAATATCAAGACCATACAGCGAGAAAAAGATGTACACCGTGTAGACGCAGAAAAACCAAGATAGCACAACATCGAGGCTGTGACATGACTGCAGGGAATCTAATCTCTCTTTCTCTCAGCCCTTGAACACCGTCGCGATATGTATAATACGTACCTCCCTACATTATTATTATTCATCCATCTTCAAGAGGCGATGGTAACATACAGTACATTAGCAACCCTTCTCCTGAATTCTGTCTGACATGCTTTCAAACAAAGAACAAGGAATACATCCTATCATCCATAGATTAAATAATGTGAATGAGAGGAGAGATATTCAGAAAAGGCAAGAAAGTCGGTAGGTAGGATTCAAAAAGGAGAGAAAGATCCCAGACATACATACACCATTAAATGCCAGCGCCCAAAAACAGTCGCAGAAGTGATACAACGAAAAGGGAGAAAGACAGAGAGGAAACAACCACCCACCACCGGTCCCATTCCATTCCATATATCCCCTGGATTGTTAGACAGCCAACGGCATTATCGAGTAAATTGAACTCAATATCCAGAGACGCCAAAGAGAGAGGAGAAAGGGTAAGAGAAGGTCAAATACCGATTCGCCAGAGCAGAAAGAAAAATAAAAATCCACAGCGCCATCCATTCTTCCCAACAAACAAGATAGGCCTAAATAAGGACAACTAGAGAAGAATACAACCCAGAAGAAGGCCCAGAGGAAGTAAGAAAGATAAGGAACGTCTTCGTCTATCGCTTTTGACCTCACAAACCCGCAATAAAAGTCGCCGGCTGTATATGCATGATGCGAGAAGAAAAGAGATAGAGAGATAGATAGATATTTGGAAAGACATGTGACGCCACATCCAAGAATGATCTGAAAGCAAGAACACCTTTCACCATTTGCGCGAGCTTGCTCGAGCTTGCGTACGCCCTTGCCCTTGCCCTGCTTTATGATGGACGCCAGATACGATAGAGAAGCCAGAAACGACGCCAAGCAAGAAAAAGTAGCCAAGAAGCACCCAGCTCGACAGGTCTTCTTGATACTCCGTGAAAACTCCGATCCCATGAGACAGACAGACAGAAAGACGGATTTAGTCCAACGCCGGGAAGATGCGACAAGGCTATACGGAGAACGGAGATCGGATATGAACAAAGAGGATAGGAAGAAGGAGAAGAGGGTGATCGAAAAGTAAGTCAGGCAGAAGAACAATCAGTGCTTGGCCGCATCAAACTCCGTCAATCGCGTCTGTCTCTGCGTCGTCCGTTTTGTCTCCTAGCAGGGAGTTATGCAGCCGGCGACCCGATCCGTACACCATCTCCAACAACTTGGCCTTTTGCTTCTCCCGGACAGATCGTAGGTAATCGTAACTACCCTCGAGTCCACGGATTTGCCCATCAATCACAGCTTCGACCGGTCCCAGCATTCGACCGTTACTCCGGCCGTTGCCCGTATCGCCGGCGCCGAGGAAGTTCGAGGAATCATTCGGCCGGACAAGGGGACTGACGAGCTTGCGCCGCAGCGTCTCCAGGTTGATCTTGAGGGACATCAAGCGGCCGCGGTGGTCCATCAGTAGATGTTTGTTGGCGACTGTGCGACTGCGGACGCTGGCGAGAAGTCGCTTGTTCTTCTCGTATTTGCGCACAACCGCGGCATTGGGCCCCAACACCCGGGTCCAAAGGGAGCTGAGCATCTCGCCCTCCGCTCGCTCCTGGGCGTCCGACTCACGCACCACCGTGCGTTGAAGGTTGAGGAACTGGCGGTCAATGGACTCGAAGAGCAGAAAGAGGGACGCCGAGTGGGTCAGTTCGCTATTGATCGACTCTTCCAGCACGGAGAGGAATTCGGTGAAAGTGCGCGAGAGGGCGGCGCGCGTGCGCTGATTAGAAGTTTGACCAAAGAGAGCGCCGACTACATGCCCAAAAGTTGTGGGAGAGGTGGTCAAGTCTCCCCCACCGTCGCCACTGGGCGCCGCAACTTGCTCGAGCGGACTGAGTCGCGAGAGCATCTCGTGCACGTTATCAAAGACAATGGTCGGCAGCCCACTCGGTGGTTGAGATGAGATGGTTTCCAGTTCCCGCTTGGCCCAGTCCATGACGATCAAGATGGAATCGACGTCGGAATCCACGTTGGCAAAGAAGCGCGTCAGTTCCATCGAGAGTCCCTTCAACGACTCCGACAACTCATCCAGCTGGTCTACGATGATCGGAGCGCTCGTCATGTTGGTACTGCGCACGGATTCACTGAGATCCCAAACGGCGACGCCCGTTTCCTGCAGCGTACCAATCTGCTGGACCCCGTTCTCCGAATAGTAGATCAGCGGTTCAAACGACCGCGCGAAGTTGGATAGCTTCACGAGGTCGGGAATCGCATGCGGATCATGGGGTATGAACAGGGCGCGGAAGAACATGATGGAGAACACTCCGACCACAAAGGATACGGTGGTATTCGACTTGGAGCTGGTCATCCAGTCGAGCCACGATCGAGCATACTTATAGAATGCGACAAACGGTTCGCGCTGTTGAACTTCTGCGCGCACGGCAAAGCGGATATCTTGAGAAGAAAGCCGACTCGTCAGTATCCCGCTCCAGCGTACTGGACAGGGTTCAAACCGAGATGAAATTTATAGTAAATGCCTACAATTGCTTATGTTATTCTCTGACTGGAAGTCCAGTCCGTCCGGATTAGGGCTGGTCCTAGAAGTCGGCGCCGGCGGGCCCGGGCTGGGGGACCGTCCTTTGAGCGGCGAATCCGTGTCGCGAGGCAGCGGCACATTGGCTGCGATGGTCGCCACCCCCGTGTCTGCCGACGTGCTTCGTTGCACCGCCGTCGTGCCCTCGAGCGCATCTTCATATTGAGGACTCGGTTCGCGCGATTGCGACGGGCTCAGCTCCACCGTCGGCTTCAACCCCAGACGTTCATGGTCGATCGCGCGCGAATACGGTTGATGGCGATACCACCCACTGCCTTGGACGTAGTCATACCGACGAAATCCCGGAGGCGACCAGCGCTCGGCCTGCGGTGTCGCGTCCTCGTCCTCGGAATCCTCGGAACGAAAGCCAGAGTGTTGGGACGGAAGGCCGAAGACGGGCGATCGATGAGAGTTGCTGGCATTCTCAAAATCTTCTAGCGACGCATCCAAGGATGGATGGTCATCAAACACGTTGTCTAGCTCGTCCAACATGGCGGACGGCGTTGCGCGCGGGCTAAAGGAAGACGTCAAGGTCACTTCACTTGGCGCGCAGTCAAGGCGACCACTCGAGGAGAGATCCAGCCTGGTCTAGAGAGAGGAAAGAAAGGGAAGAGAAGGAGGGAAGTTGCTGGAGGGGTTCAGTCGCAAGTTGCGCCAAGAACCGGGAGAGGGAGCAAGTAGGAGCAATGCGCTTATCAGGCGCGACGCGGGGATGCGATCGAAGAAATACGGAGCCAAAGACAGGCAAGTCAGGAAGAAGGGGTCTGCAAGTCAGAACCGGGGACGCGATGGAATGAAACAGCAAGGGAATGCGAGACATAAGAGGGAATGCGAAGGCGACGAGGAAGGGGTTGGTGCCTGAGGAAGGATGAAGTGGACCGACTAACAAGGTCGCGACAAGTCACTCTTCTTCCGTTACAGCGGCGCCTGCATTCGACGGCCGGCATCCAATCAATCCCCCGAGGATGCTGGTGTTAGTTGTAACGAGACAATCCGTTGTTTGTTTTTTTCTCTTTTGTTATATTTTCTTTTTTTTTTGATTATCTGATTCGGGACTAGATAAAACTTCTCTTTGTCTGTTGTCTGGGACAGGAACAAGAACCAGGGAGAAGAAGCAAAGACCGGGAAGTACACGAAGGACGAAGAAGGACAAGAAGACGAAACCCCTCGGGCTTTTATTCGGCACGAGAAGGTGGCTGGGCCAATTGGGCGGTGACCAGGTCATGTGCCCAGCGACCCGTGATGCGCACTACGGCCGCCCGTAGTCGCCAGTCCGACTTTTCTCTCTTCTGAGACTAGCAAGTAGTGTTATGTTTACTATGTTCATCTTCAGTCAATAATTTCAAAGAGTAGAGAGGATGTCATTACAACCGGTCAGGCCGGCAGTCAAATTCCATGGTACACACAAAGCGGGAAAACACACATGATCGTCACGGGGGGGATTGTTAAGAAAAGACAAGCGCATTAAAACAAAAGAGTACCATCGCGCCATGTAGACCGCTGTCTCTATGATGTCCGCAAACTTCTCCGGCGCACACAAAGGAAAACCAGGTCTATTGCGAGTAAACACGGTAGCAAGTAATATTACATGCCCGGTCCGTCGGTCTGTCGAACATTCCACGGACGGGGTGGAGAAGGGAAATTTTGGCTTTTATCGACAAGACGCATTTAAGCGGTGCTCTCCTTGAGGTAGCTGTAGTGAAGAGACCAGGTTAGCCGGGTGTCCTATCCGCACTGCTGATCGCCCCTAGGAACGAAATGAAGAGAAAACTTACGTGATGAGGTCGTTCCTCTCCTTGCCCTTCTTGAGACCACCGAAGGCCATCTTGGTACCGGGGATGAACTTCTTGGGGTTCTCGAGGTATTTGAACTGTACACGCGTTAGTCAACCCCTTTGCGCGCGATTCTCGCATGCAAACAAAACATACCAGAGTGTTCTCGTCCCAGGTGACACCGGCCTGCTTGTTGGCGTCGGTGTAGGCGTAGCCCTCGGAGGAACCAGTCTTACGACCGAAGAGACCGCTCAAGTTGGGGCCGACCTTGTGGGGACCACCAGCCTCGACGGTGTGGCACTGAGCGCAACGGGTCTAGGATCCAGGTTAGCCGATCGCGTCTCCCTCGCAAAACCATAGCCATATGAATTCACAACTCACCTGGAAGAGCTTGGCACCCTTGGCAGAGTCACCTGGAAGCGTCGCCATGTTAGCTTGTTGTTTGGCCTTCTCTGCAGCCTCAATCTCCTCCTCGCGCATGTGAAGCGTAGTGAGAAAACAAAAAGTATCCCAGCTGGTCATCTTGGCAAACACAATTGTTTTCTGGGTAAAGTGTGGTTGGTGGAGAAGATTTGCACAAATTGTGGCAGCTTGGGTATAGCAAACACTGCAGAAATGCCGCTGACGGAGTGATGGTGATATAGTGACGAGAGCCCGGAGGATCACAGTGCCAGGCGTAGAGACCAACCCCGATTGAGGGAACTCTCCAGCGCTAGCAGGTCGCTACTGGAACTTTCACTGTTCACTGGCACCCTGACAGAGCACATTGCAAGTGTTGCAGTGAATGATTGGGGGACACCTCCCAAACACCGACCGGAGGCAATAGCAGGGGAGGATCAGGCTTACCGGGAGCGAAAGAAGCGTCCTTGCCCATTGTGAATGTATAAGGGGGATTCTAAAAAGTAGAAATAGAGAAGTAGAAATGTACTGTACAAGGAAGAGGGAGATCCAAGAGGTATCCCAAGAAAAAGCAGAGGTCAATTGAGAGAGAAGATAAAGCGAGCTGGCAAGAAAGAACAAGAAGAGAAAAAAAAGCGATCGCAGGAATTTGTACAAGGAACGAAGAGCGCCCGGCCGTCGCCCCCGTCCGCTCCCGTGATCCGGGCGAGGGCCAATCAGCGGGGAGATGATTCAGCCTCGAACGGGCGCCTTCGGAATGGCTTTTTTTGCCGGTGTCTTTTTTGGTGGACTGATTTTCCTCAACACTGTTTACTCTGCAGGAGTATACGGAGTATAGACATCTGTTTTCAGATACATGGCACATGTATCTACTCAATACTTTACTATACAATCATAATATAATATTCCATTGATCAACTCCTAGGAATCCCGACCATACCAACTATGACACGCCGACCCGGTGTCTGCTCCGTGGAAAATGACCTCATGGCGAGCTCATGGCTGGAACCGGCAAAATGGCAATATTAATGGGCGCCTCGCAATTGGTGGTTTTTCGCTCACTTCCGCTCTGCCGCCTGGAGACCTGAGGCATTCAGGCATTCAGGCATTCAGGCACTTCTGCACCCGAGGTCTCCCGCGTATCGTTTCCGTATGGAAATGGCAATGCGAACCCAACCCGCTGGTGGGTTGAGCCTCTGCAGGACTCGATCTCCCTTGTATACGACGGCTTATGACTACATACTCGGTCGACGCGTAGGACATGCTTCTGTACGACGGACGGACCTTAATGTCGCTGTTGTCTGGTCTGTCCGACGGCTGTGTCTATTTATGGACGGAGTACGGAGTATACCCTGCGGCATTTTCATAGTTCATCCGTGGTGATATACCACACTGCACCGTAGATATACTAAGATCGTCTCTATTCCGATTGAGTAATAATCGGCAGCTTGGCAATTGTCTATTGACAGCGAGTCTAGGAACGACCGAACATCTGCTACTGCCATTGGAAGCAGGCAGCTAGTATTCTGAAAAGACGTCAACAAATCGATACGAGCAACTGAACTCAATATCAAAGAACCTATCGTCTATAAGTCTACCGTGGTAACAGTAAATAAACACACGTGGAAGCGCAACCAAGACCTTCCTTGCACCCTGGTTCTTGCAGTCAGAAACCATGCAATAGTCACGTGATCCTGCGCATCAACAGCGGACCTCAGAAAAAGTCCAACCGCGGAGTCTTGAAGTCGGTGATATTCCTTCCTCCAGGGCAACCAACACCCCGCAGAGTCCTCTCTCTCTGCCTACCTTTCAATTCCACCTCTTCAATTCGATCACCTTCCCACAACAAGAAGAAAAACAAATCCATCGAAAATGCCCCCCGTCACAATCCCCCAATTCCTCCTCCCCCGAGGCGCCCCCTCCACACGCACCCTCCGCACGCTCACCCGCGCCTATCCTACAAAGACGCCGACCCCAGCAACGCCGTCACCCCGCCGCTGCGCATCCTCGCACAGCAGTAGCAAAGATGACAAGCCCCGCGTCCTCGAGAAGCCGGATAAGTTCCGTCCGCCATCTCACCCAGCGCGTCGCGTCATGCAGACTCGCAACGGCCGGCTCGTGAACCCGGGACCGGTGCACTACGGTCCGCGGCTCTCGGAGGCAGAGAAGGAGGCGCAGAACAAGAAACAGTATCCGAATATGTTTCCGCCGGAGGGGACGGTCATGCATCGGTTTTTGACTAATCGGTGGATTCATGTGTGGATTGCTATGGTGGGTTTTTTTTTTTTTTTTTTTTTTTTTCCATCTTCTTTTTCCTTCTCGATTATGATAATATGGCTGTTGGATCTTCCGGAGATGGTCGTGGTTCTTCTAGTCGATTGGATCTGGGTGTTCGGTGTTCGGTGTTGGATATCTAATCGACCCCATTGCTAACATTGACACCATGGATAGGGCGTCCTAACCTCCCTCGCAACCTTCACCTTCACGACGAACTTCAAACGAACCTCCCCCTTCGCGCATCTCCTCCCTTCCTGGTCCGACCTGCTCTGGCACCCCATCGACACGATCTCGCAGGCCCTTTCGGTGTACCGAATGCACGTGCAACACAACTCCCTCGAGACGCGCCAGAAGCGCCAGCGTCGCATCGAGGACGCCGAGAAGAGACGCCAGTACCGGGTTGCCCATGGCATGGAGGAGCCGAGCGCGGAGGATAACAAGGATGGGAAGATCGACGCGGAGTTGGACGGTGTGGATGATCAGAGCCCCGTGGCGGTTGAGGAGCAGGTGAAGAAGGGGCAGGCGGAGTTTGTGGATTGGGAGGGCAAGAGGAGGCCGGTGAAGAAGTGGTTGGGGATTTGGTAGATTGCCGGCGGTTGAAAGAGTGGATGTGTGTGGTGTGATGTGGTGCGGTGCTGGGGAGGAAGAGTGGTTTGTGCATGGTGAGTTGATTGATGTAGATACTGGACTGGTTTTTGGTTTGATGGTGACCTCTCCCTCTCTCTTCAAGAGTGTATTATTTTCCCTTTTTGTATCTATGTACATTGGTAGACTCTCTCTCTCTCTCATCTGCTATATCATGATGAATCACTTCGTCGAATTGTTCTTTAGCCAGGCTCGGGGGAGTTCCGTATCGGAGGTGGTCTTTCAATCCGCAGGAATATCCGGCTGCGTTTATAGACATCGCAGCGACGTCTCACCTCCACGAGCATCGCAACCACGCAAGAGCCCATCCGAAGTGCGAGAGTCATAACACAAGACCCTCTCATCAAACGGATCATGTAGAATTCAGGACGGACAAAAAAAAAGCCCATGCCCCAATCGACCTCAATCCAATCCAATCAATCAGCCAACCTCAACATTCTCCAACCCATCCAGAACCTCCTCGCCCACACCCCCCTTCTCAAGAACCAACTTGATCATCCGCGCCACCGTCTTCCGCTTCACACCACCCCTCCTCGGCCTCCAAACCCCCGGCGTCTCTTCCCCGCCGGTAACAAGTGACCCCTCGCCGGCATTCACCGCCGCCCCGGTGGCCATATTCTCCGAATTCGGCACGCCCGGCTGCGTCAACCGCGACGGCGGATCAACAGTCCTTATAGATAGAAGCTTCAACCCATCCGATTCACCGTCCCGAGTCACCGAAATCGCCATAACGGCGTCCGCAACGGTGATTTCCTCGCGGTTCGGATCGAAGATGATATTCTCGCCGACCGAAATGACCAGCAGCGTCACGGGCGGGCGAACCTTCTGGGACAGCAGTCTCGACCGCGTGCGAGGGTACAGATACTCCGCGGCGTCCCAGTCGTCGTCGAAGAAGGGGTCTTCCTCGCCCTTGGATTTCAGCTTCGGGAGCTTCGTCGATAGGAGCGCCAGATGGGTTGTTAGGGATAGGAGGGGTAGCGGGTAAGATAGAGGCTGGGAAAGAAGGAGGACCTAGAAAGAAGAACGAGCAATTAGCATGGACCCGTCGTACAACTCCCTAAAGAGGAAAAGGAAGGAGGAGGAGGAATCACTTACATCAATATACAACCGCCAATGCCACCGTCTATTAATCACCAACCGACCCTTCAACCCGCCCGCCATCTCCGCAACGTCCTCGCCATCACCATGTCCATTCGACACCGACTCAACCAACGGCTCGCGCATCATCTCGGACAGAAACACAGGGAGGGCATCATCGTCCCGAAACCCAGGGATCTCGATAGACATCTGCACCCACGATCCATGCCCACCAGTCGGCGCAGGTTTCCCGTCCTCGCCGCCCTCCGTTGTCTGCGCCTGCTGCGAGAGGTCCACGGCGTCGGGCGACAGCGCCGTTTTCTCGACCTCGGCCTTCACGCCGACGATCGCTTGCGTGCCATCTGCGAAGCCGACGCGCGCGCTGCCGTTCGTGCCGGGGAGGATGTCCGTTTCGGCGGTTAGAGGGCGGAACTGCGTCGGGGAGCGTCCATCGGGGCGGATGGGGCTGCCGGGGAGCGCGAGGGAGGTGTAGAGGTAGGCGAGTTCGGCGGGGGAGATGAGGGGGGTCTGTGAGGCGGACGAGGCCTGGCGCTGAGACGCCATTTTTTAAGTGTTGGATGAGAGAGGAGGGGAATGCAGAGATAGGATAATTGAGAAAGGGAAAAGGAGGATCGCAAACTTGCAGGCAAAAGAAGCCGGTTAATGCGTAGTATGAGATGAGATATCAACCCCACTGGGGGAGGGGCTGAAGAATAGAAAAATAGCACCGAGGGAATTGTTGAGTGCTATAGGTTCACCCGGATAAATTAGCCATGCCCGACCAGCATCCAAGGGTTGAGTGTTGCGATATGAAGAGGTCCTTTGACGTCTTCTACTTGGGAAATTCTGCTGGAGGCGGGGAGTTGTTGTTCCGAGCCGATCTATCGATCAACGCTTCTCTATCAGACTCCACACCGTAGTCTCCGACCATCACTTTCGTTTTGCAATGTCCTGCGGATAGTACTGGTTACTCTATTAATATGTTGAAGTATATCAAGAAATTAGAGCAGTCGATTGCACGCTTCCATTAGATGTATGTATAATTGGGCGGAATATCACCCAGATAAGTACTATATTACAATATTGTGAGGTCAAGGCTGCCACCAGGGGTCCTTCAAAGTGCAAACAAGAAAAGAGAGGAAGAATATTTGTACACGGGGAAAAGAACGGGGAATTTTATAACAAGCCACATTGCTCCCAGTAGATGCAACGAAAAGAATGGCGGTGAAGGGATAAAGCCCGGGAAAATATACAAGAGCGAAACACAACACAAATTTTGGACACAAAGAAAAAAAGAAAAAGGGGAAAGAGATGGTAGGGAGTTAATGCATATATGTATGTAATAAGGAATGATAGTAGACCTCGCGACTTGCGCCATTTGGTATCAAGGGGGTGGTAAAATGTGCAGAGAAGAGTCATCAGAGACGGTGATGATGATGATGATGCAAAAGAAAGACAAGAATGAGAAGCATGCCGAAAACAAGTTGCGAGGCCAACTAAGTCTAAGAAATGGCCTTTGGGGTATGAGAAAAGAACAGCCGACAAATGAAAAAAAGAAAACCGGGCTAACCCACGCCCTATACAACAAATCTAGGGAGCAACGAGAGAAAAGAATCAAAACAGCCTCCACGGTGAAGAGAAAAACAGAAGACACCAGACCCAGTACGCCTTGCTCGGTTAGATCGCCGGTAACACGCATGATCGCCCCATTTTTCTCTTTGGATTAGATTCGAACAAAAACATTGCAAGATGGCAAAAGAACGTAAGGAAATTGTAAGGTGAAAAGAACAATGACACCGCACTTGGGCGGGGTATGAAGCCCACTACCTGTATGCGGACCCAGTCATGAAGTTCCCAGCCGGGCGGGCCCAATTGTCCTCTTCATAAGGTGGAGTGGGCCACTGACGAGTCGAGCTTGGGTGGTCGGCCTTGCCATCAGGGACCCCTAACTGCCTGCAAGGTGTGGCCTCAGCATGACCAAAGGCCACCTCATCACACTTAGCGGATGGCGAAGGAGTCGGGTAAGGGCTTGGTAGCGGACGCGAGTTGTCAATTCCCAACGCTGGACGACTATAATTGGAAGACGCATCAGAGGCTTGCGTTTGCGCTAGACGCTTAGCGGCTTTGCTTGCCGAATGAAGCACCTCGTCTAAGAGCTCATCCTCTTCTTCGGGGGTCTCGTAGCGGTGGACAGGGTGGGTTGACATCTGCAAGGCACGTCGAGTCCGGCTTGAGATAGGTCCAGGATTACCACTCGTGGAAACAGGGCTGTCTCCCATGGACCGAATGGAGCCCTGCGGCATCGATTGACGCTTGCTACCCTCCACCGGCGACGTAATGTGAACGGGAACGTTGCTCTTGGCAGTCGAATCCAGAGAGCATTTGACGCCCTGCAAAGCTTTGTCCAGCTCGTTCAGGTCCGTGTTCTGCCGAGATTCATTGACATTAACGGAGTCCAGGGCGAGTGAAGAACGGTTTGACCAAGGCATACACCCAGCATTGGCTTCGACGTCATCGCTAGCCACATTGCCTTGATTACGCCCAGAGAGCCGGCGAGCACGCTTGCGTAGATGCGAGAAGAAGCTTTCCTTGGGAGTGATGCTAGCATGGTTGCCAATTCCGTTTCCATTGAGCGCCCGCTCCGCCTCTTGTCGGTGAACATCGGCGTAGTGATTCCCGTGCGAGTTGACGGAGAGTTGACGACCGATCTTCTTGCTGTTTTTGGCTGGGTCGTTCATATGGGCGAGGGAAGAGTTGGCCTGTGCTGTGACGGCATTGGACAACGGAGACACGGGCCGAATCGAGGGCAAGATGGGCATCGGAGCTCCATTGGCCCACGTCGCGCGCTTGCTCGGCGCCGGCTTGCTCTTAGTTTGGAGCTCGGGCGTGGTGCTGTAGGAAACAACTGGCTGCTTCGACGGCTCATCGTCCACCATGGGAGCGGGACTTTCCGACCGTCCAATAAGCGATCTCCTGAACCAGGAGGATTTGGTCGATAGAGTAGGGGAATCCGTCGTTTCCCGACTGGGGGTTTTGAAACTCTTGTCCGAGTGTTTCCGGCCCAGCAAGCGGGCAGTCGAGGACTTTGGCCGCAGGGGGTCGAGCGCGTCGGCGAAATACTCATGGTTCAACGCCTGAGTAGACGTGGGACGGTTCTTCGGATCCCACATCAGGCACCACGTGACAAATTGGCTGAGAGCCGCGGGCCACTGCGGTTGCTGAAGGATGCTCTCCATCGAATGGGGGGCCATCTTAGGGAAAGTGAAGCCCAGCTTCTGGGCAAGGCGAGAGCCATCTCGCCATTCACCACCACCCAGTTTGGTACCGGACTTGCTATACCAGTTACCCGGGCTACCCATGATTTCGCAGACACGCCAGACCTGATCCACTTCATTGCCACCAGGGAAGAGCGGCTTCAGCGTGGCGATCTCGACCGCCATAGCACCAACCGCCCACATGTCGACCGGCGCCGAATACTCTCCCGCACGTAGAAGAACTTCGGGCGCACGGTACCATCTCGTGGAGACATAGGTGGTGTATGGCAGCTTGGAATGGGTTTCTCGAGCAAGACCAAAGTCGGCGATCTTGACGGTGTATGTTGGAGGAGTGGAAGGGGGAGTCACAAGGTTGGAATAACGGCTGAAGGTGGAGTCATTCGGGGCGGACGAGGAGACAAGGATGTTCTCGGGCTTGATGTCCCGGTGGAAAAAGTGATGGGCATGGATGTGATCGAGACCCGACAGAATCTGATACAAAATGCTCTTGACGTGCTTCCCATCCAGGGGTTTGTGGTCGCGAGATTTCATCAATTGGTAAAGATTGCCATCCATATATTCCATACAGATGTGTAGTTTGCGGGAGAGGGGATCGAGGAAGATGTCGAGGGCGGGTACAAGGTGAGGATGGATAGGGAGGGTTCGGAGAAAGATCACTTCCCGTAGCTCTAAGCACGGAGTCAAGGAATCGAATGTCTTTTTCATCGTCTTGATCGCGACCTGCGGAGTCAATCGTGTTAGGTGTGCCTCGTGCCTCGGAAGCTGGTGCAACTTACCATGGTTCCTCTCCGTGCAATGTTGGAACCGGCCGTCCGCACCCGTGCAACAGCGACGCTGCCGAAGCTACCATCCCCGACCTCCTTAAGCACTTCAAAGCGGTCTTCGAGGGTGGCCATTGAGGTAGGAGCGGCACTCCGTAACGAGGAGTGGTCGTATGTAACGGTCATGGTGTGTTCCCTTTTGGTATATTTGGTGTGATTGTCTGCCAGCAGATATGATCGAGGAGGGAGTGTTCGTATGACTGGAGGAATCGGATCGTGTCAGCAGGCCAATGTTGTTATCCCCCCCACAACTCCGTCATCCCGAGGAGGGAAGGCTTACCCTATATCAGTGGGTTTTCCAGGATGTATATCGATCTTCCAATTGCGGTGGGAAGGAGATTAACTGGACCAGGTGTTCATCATTCGACGTTCAGAAACGATTGCGAGCCCGCGGAATGGGAAGCGGAAATGGTTTCTATCCCATCGAAACGAGGGCTAATGGGAGGAAAGCGGGATTGATAAGGGAGAGATGCCGAGATGAGGGACAGAAGAAGTGGGAGAAGAGGGGGAAGGGGGTGGTCATGTAGTTCTCAAAAAAGAAGGGTGGAGGACAGGAAGAAGATCTGGAAGCAAGATGGAAGGACCCAGAGGATTGGACGTGATCACTGTAGTGATATGAGCGGACCCGTTTGGTGGGAACTGCTAAACGAAAGGATGATCGGGGACCGAGTGGGAGAGCCCCTGACGCGGTGACAGCTATACCAGCTCTAGGACGAGACTTTTGGGACCGGGCCGTGGAGCCTGTGAAGAGGCGGTCGACTGAACGGAGGGAGTCTTCTTTTCTGAGAGGGGGGTGGTGGAATCTGATGGTGCAGATCACAGGAAATAATCAACCTGGTACTAGTAGAAAATAATGGTAATAATAATCGCAATAACGAAAATTCGCCGCGGGTATGGGATGCCGAAAAAAAAATAAAATATGATCAAAATAATAATAGTATAATTAGGGGGAGTGGAAATGGAATAATAAGGATAATGCGAGTGGATTATTGAGGGGTTAAAAAGTAGTAGAACAAGAGGGATGACATGGACAGAAATCAAATATCTACCACATTTTGCATTTGTTTTCTCACTGACAAGCGAAAGCAAGACAATCGCGGAGTGATCCTGTAAGTCATGAATTAGGAGGTTGGTTGGTTGGGGGGACAAAAAAGAGGGCAGCAACTGATGCGTTGAAAAAGAGCGAGCGAGCGACGCGAATGGCCGGAGAGAGTAGAGAGGAATAATGGACTGTACGGAAGAGAAAAACGGAGAGACGCGAATAAGAAACAGGAAAATCCGAATTAAAAAATAAAAATAAAATAAATAAAAATAATACGTACGGAGCTGATGATAATTTAAAACATGATTACACTAGGTGCCACACTTTCTCCAGGCCCCATACCAGTTCATCCATTCAGACGACTCCGTTTTCTACACTTAGGTCATGGACTCATGATACTCGTCCTAAATGCCAGAAAAGAATAAGAAAAAGCGAGAGGGAAGAGAATCAACCGGGATGCATAAATCCCATCAGACGACAAAAGAGAATAACCAGAATAATCATAATAAAGCCAGTAGGTGGAGGCAGCAGACCTCCACGCTAATCTTGATGGACGAGTCAGGAATGGCCGAGGAACGGGGATCCACCCCGCCTAGGAAAGGCCAAAAAAAAAAAAAAAAAGAATCCTATTCAAAGGGGTAAAGGGGAAAAATAAAACCAAAAATAAAAATAAAAAGGGGAGTTCCCCGTCGGCGGAAATTAGGTCATCGTCGAAGGTCTCGAACTGAAGACGGGTAAGCCGTTCTGATAAACTACCGGAAATGCAAACATGTAAACATGAAAACAGATAACCCCAATTGCCTGAGAATGGTAGACTGAAGAAGGGCGAGAAAGAAGTACCATTTCTCGTCAATAATCGTAAACTTCCCGCCGTCCAAGTGCTTATCGGACCAAGATCACCAAACAAGCCCCGACACCGTGTTTTGGAGGGCATCCAGGGCCTCCGTACTGGCCGTTACCGCCGTCTGAAATCCCGGCGTTGGAGTCAGCACCTAAACCGCTTTCAGGATTAGCCATAACCCATTCCTTCTAGCGTTCTCCAAACTTGAAGCGTTTCGCCGCCATGGTCCAATAACTGATGTCCATATGTACAACTCTTGCCCTAGGGTATGGTCTACTGAGGGCTATTGATTCCCTCAACCAACCCCATTAATGAGAACCGTTTTGCTTACCAGTGAGTTCTGAACTTCTGATACTATCCAACTGCTACGGTTTAATCTGGTATCTATCATCCTTCCGCAGCATCGGTACTTTGTCCAAGTACGTCAGACTCAGATGAATCGAATTATTAATAGTCTGCTTACCCATTTCCTCCGAATCAAGTTAGGCTAAACAACGGAGGGAGGAGATAAAGAGACGGGGAAAGAAACAACAGCAAAATTAAAATTGTCATCGCCCAAGCCGTCCCAAGAGAATCATTTGACAGCAAAGTTAAACCCTCCCGATGGTGTTGCGTTGACACCGGGGTTTGGGACCAACAGGCGAACAAGTTGCGAGGGAAAAACCACAAAAGACCGACCGGGTCCAAAGACCAAACGAACTAAAAGGGCCCTCTGGTGGTCACCGTGTTTTTTGAAGACTCCGGAGGTTCCAGCCTTAATGGGCCCACTTAGTCTCCGCCTCTAGTGATCGTTAGACGGGCTCTAGCAGGGGTGTCCAGGGGTTGGGCCGCGTCTTTTTCTTGCCTCTGACCTGGGTCTTGCGAACTGTCGTGACAACAGTGAACAGAGAGTGCTATCCATCCCGCTCAGGGTCTCGAGGAGGCGAGGGTGACTCTGAGAGCTCACAAATCAGACACACGAGTAATGTGACGTGTACCTACGAGGGCAGTGGCAGGCAGTGAGATCAGCAATCACCTTGCAAGGAATGTAAATGACCTCATCTTGACCCTTGACGTTCAATCCCTCCTTCCTGCGCACCCCTCGTCTTCCGTGACACGCGCGTCAAAACAGAAATGTCGGTTTTCCGAGTCGTTCAAAACACACGCTGTACGGAAGAGTCGGTCGGGGAAATCTAAGGAGACTAACAAATACGGTCAAGAGTTCATGCAACTTCTTGTCTGCATGTGTGGAGAGTTCGCCTACGGAGTACTGTCCTGTCTCAAAACAACGATGCCCACCAGCCAACCTATTATTCTTAACTGTACACCGTACATCGTAGTCCTCCATATCCTTACTCCATAGCCGCGTAGCGGGTGGCTGACCGCCATCATGGCAACCACCGCCAGTTGAGACGATAATCCGACCCACGAACCGAGACGGGAAATATACAAGCTGGTATTCTGGTGGCTTAATGGACTAGCTAGTGAATGGAACAATGATTTAGAACTCCGTCCTCCGTAGGCAACCCCTCCTTCCCCCCCCCCTCTTCAATATACGGAGAACAGATACTGGATTCAGTTGGTATGTTTCCACTTGACAAGTGGTGTGTATGCTAGTTTCTCCCAGTTGAAACACATTGGAAATTTAACGGGACGACCTCAGACAAACCCTCTATCCTACGAGGAATACGGAGTATGAATTAATGAATCATGTTAAGTTATCTTGCGCCCTTCGCCATCCGTACTTTCGACACGCGATCTAAACTGACAGTGTAGAAAATATATTCAGTGTTTCAAACTACGGGCGGGGATTCAATCCAATGTTTCTCGTACTGTCCATGGCTTGTGACCTGTAAATTGTAATCGAGAGAGCTTTGGGCAATAAAGCAAGACATGCTAGAAACCTCGGAAACAGAGCCGATTCCGCGTGGACAAAAGTCCATGTATTGTATCCCAAGTTCTCAATATTAACCGATTCAGCTGTACGGAGTAGTTCGTATCATACTCCGTAGAATCTTCTTGTTCCCGATCAGGTAAAGAAGTGGATGGAAAACAGAATACGTTTCTGAGGCAATAAACATGCATGCAGAAGTACAGTCGCTGCTTGCTTCAACGCACCTATCGCACCTGTATATTCTTGCAGAAAACCTGGCCCACTGGATTTGCTGCAGGTTAACTCGATATATGCATCATACATACATATCTAGGACCTAGCCATTGTGCTTAAAGTACTGCTGTCCGGGGAAGCTGAAGGCTGCACAAATTAAGTTTTCCTGTACTCCATGGGTGCATGCATGAAGATGATACTTTACATTTACAGATTAAGTACCGAATGCGTACAGGGTACATCCAGACTTCCATATATCGAGCGCGTTGATCATCTAGGCTACCACCAGTACTCCGTACCCAGCAACGGCACGTAAGGTAGTCTCCCGAGACTCGGTTTTATCGCAGGTCCAGCATCTGCACGATAAATCGAGGTCATCTGATAGATAATGGCGAATTACTCCGTGTACTCTGCCCAGCTGATCTTCAAAAACACAGCAGACTCAGCAGTTGACTTGACTTGTTATGACTTGTTACTACAGTGACCATCCATCCTGTAACATTTGGCCAAACATCCTCCCCACGCATGTCGAATTATTTATTCCGCGCCATTGTTTGCGTTTGCTACGGAGTACCCTAGACAAGCTCGCCACCAGCCCTTGCAATATGGAAGAAGATCCGATCCGGGTTAATCGTAACGCTCTTGCTAAGCCTTTTCCAGCAGTGGCAGTGGGCAAATGCCATGTGCAAATTAGGTCATACTGGATCCTACCACTCCCGCAGTACATATTAGAATGTCCACCGGACGGAGGGCTGTACATATGATATGACATGCTTAATCTGGCTGCATGGTCATGGAAGACAGATTCGATCTCTCTCACATTCCTCTTTCTTTTTCCTCTCTTCGAATTTCTTTTCTTGTTGCCCCTTCTCTCCGCCAGGCCGAGAACGATAGATGTTGCCTCCCGGGGTTTTCAGAGTGAACAGGTCACGCAATCCAATATTGGGACTTTGTTAATTCCTTATTCCTTGCTGAGGAGGCGTTTGACATTACTCCGTTTTGATGCTAGAAAGGGGGCTTGCCGTATGGGTCTCCGGTGCTCCGTATTGCGGTGTACTTTAGTCTAGTTTAGTCCTCCGTGTCTCCCGCCATATCTGCCACCCGACCCATGACTACGGTTTTGTTCCGTTAGTAGGTATTATTGTCACCGTCTCTTAGGTCTCAATTTTAAGAAGGGGAAAGGGAATTTTTCAGAACGGATGCTTGGCGTCTGCTTCGGATGATTCAGATCGAGCAGGCCAGTCCTCAGTGTCGTTTGCACGGAAGAGTCTGTCGTTTGATTATGAGTGCATGAATTAATTGTCTAACTCGCAATTGCTGGGGTGACGTGTTCCCCTTTTTTTGCTTCTCTCTCTTTATTTTTATCTTCTTTTTTAAGCTACGGACTGGGTTGTCGGCTGTTTCCTAGACTGAACCACAGTTGGTGGTGTACCGGAACGGGAAGTAGAAGGGTTAGCCAAAACAAAAGGAAAGGAACAATAACAACAACAATAATGATAATCACAAGATGGGAAAATCAAAAATGGAAATGGAAAATCCTAAAATCATTTTGGGCACCCGCACAGAAAGAAGGCGAGAGTCGACTTGTGTGAGGGAGTGATTAAGTGAGTGGGGTGATTGGGAGAGATGGTGGGGGCATCAGAACGCAGCAGTGGATTCTGACCCAGTCATTAGCCTCCGACCGGACTTAACGAGCTAGGGGCAGGCAGCCCGAATGATTCGCGGGTGCACTCATGGCGGTGGACACCCGTGGGGCAGCTGATTGCACCGGGGCGCTCGGGGAATGCGGACCCCCCACTCAGCGCAGGCCCGTCCCTACTACCCGACAGGCCGACCATGGGTCTAGTCCTCCTTTGAACCAGTAGTGTCGCGAATCACAAGAGATCGCTGGCCGAAAATTGGCCCACAAGTCATCGCCTGCTTCTCCATATCCAGATTCCGTGCCAAGCTGCCCGCTTTCCTTAGCCGTGAAGACCGTCTCTCCCTCCAGCCCGCTATTATCATTACTCCGTGCTCGGTACGGAGTAGACATCCCCCTCTGATACTCGCTAACCATCGAAGCCGTCGCCTTCCTTAGGGATTCCAGAAGGATTAAGGAGGTTCGTCTGTGGATAGGCAACGGCATCGAAGGGATTCGGAAGACCGGAATCGTCCCTCTATGGTTTGGTTCTACCGTCCTACTCCGTAGAAAGGGGGGAGATGGCCTTCGATCTTTCTCCTAATCAATGAGTCGATTGAGCAAGCCGTTGGAAGTCTGAGGGAAACTAACTGCAGTGGTGCTTATGCGCGGTGGAGGATCAACAAGACATCCAATGCAAGACACGGGTAGATGGAGAGGTATGTTTCTAGAAGGCGACTACTGTCGATGGCGAGAGATCCGTTGCCATCCGTTCATCTATTTGAAATTATTGGTTAACCCTAATCACCTGGTGTACACTCCATGTCCCATGAGCCTACTTCGCAGTACGGAGTAGAGAGTAGTAGATAATAACCCTCTATTATTATCCAATATTCCCAGCTAAAGTTCCTTCGCCAGGCTCATACCATTCCGTGGTAGCTCCGCAAGTCAAGGCGCTTTCTCCATCTGGATAGACTCCCGGAACGCCTTGTTACTGTTAGGTGATGGATCAAGTCACAGCCTAGGACGGAGTACAGAGTACCTACGGAGTAGTGGGGTCTTGCTTCTGACTTATGGATTCTGGCATGGCTGATAAACCAAAGGGCTGGAATGACAGCTGATTGACCGATCACCCATCTTGTCTTGCAGTAGGCGAAGGGTGTCTGCATTAATCCCGACGGAGGTTGCATCTCAGCCCCTCTACGGAGTCTTTTTTTTTATTCCCCCCTTTTGTTCCTTGTTCCTTGCCCCTTTGTGTTTTTCTTGCTTTTTCTTTCTTTTCTTTTTCCATTTCCAATTCTCTCATTCACTGTGTCTTCCTTGTCTTTCTCTTTCTTCAAACTCGCTACGGAGGACTACGGAGATGTCTCCCAATTCAACCCTGATCATGCTATGTTTTCGCACTGACCCATGTGACTATGGCCTGAACACATCCCACGACTGCCTCTGTGCATTGCAGTTTACGTAGTAGTTAGCTGAGTATGAGCGCTTTAGCCCCTTCTATTTTCCTTCATCATTATTACTGTTGTTCTACAGCTCAAGTTCTAATGCATAATGGAAGACTTTTCAATTTCTCATACAAATCTTATGTAGAGGATGAGACATCCATGAACTGTATTTCAGTTGCAAACGAAAGGTCCATCGTGATTCTGTTTGCTCAATCCCCAAAGAGGCGCCATCAATTCAGCATGACCTGAAGGACATGTCCGTTTGATTTACGCTCGCGGCGTATGCCAAAAATGAAGAGAAACCTTTCACGAGATCCAATGAGATATCTACGCCCGTTCAAATTCTCAGAGTATCCATACCTCGTGTGGCTTGGACAGATAAAGAACGGTGAAGCCATGGGTGCCCTGGGAAGTCAATCTGAGGACGTTGTGAACTCTATATTTTCTCCCAGGCTGTTTGCTTGCCGGCCACGTGCTGAAACCGATGCCATCCATTCCAAGCATAGGGTCTAGATTGCAATCCTGCCTTGATAGACTCTCACAGACAAGCATTCACCCGCGGGGCTTGAGACGGGACGCCGCTTCACTCCCTGGCTGGCCTTCACCTGGAACCGTTTGATCAACTGTATGCCAGGTTGCCATAGGTTGCTTGTCTAACCCATCTGCATTCTAGAACTTTATTTTGTTTGCCTCTGTAATCATGACCAGAGGGGCTCATTCACTTCTCAATTTCTACGAAACCGACGACGAGGGTATTTAAACCCTGCTTGTGGTAGACTTCTGTTGAAGCTTGCCCCTCACCCTTTCTTCGCTTGGGCTTCCTACACCCTCCTTCCTTTTTCTCTCTTGCCCGGAATCGTTCCCCCGTTTCTTCGTCTTCATCAATCTTTGCTCCTCGTGGAATCAGCTTTGTCTCGTAGCTTAAGCTTTTCTTTTCTTTCATCTATCTCGTCTTGCCTTCCATCCAAGCATGGCAAGTAGATACTCCCCGACCCAGCGCGGTGCCAGAAGCGTCTACGCTGGCGGCTACAGCGACACCATCAAGAGACAGTAAGCTACCCGAGCCCTGCTCAAAGCTGCGGGGAGGTTCTAACAAATGTGCTCCATTAGGCTGGACAGGGTTGTCATCCCAGAGAAGTGAGTCTACAATCTGCATTTCTGAAATCACGATATCTGTTGCTAATCATTGGTTGGAAGGATCAAATGCGAGGTCTGCAAGAAGTTTCGCATCCAGGACTATTACTCCAAGCGTCAGATAGACAACCTTCGCAATGCCATCGCCGTTCAGGGGGCCAGAGCTGCACATCAGGCTCATGCAAAGTGCAGAGACTGCGTCGGTGGCCCGAATCTCGAGATCCGTTGCTTCGTCTGCGATCAGACAAAGGGGCTGGAGGACTTTGCAAAAAACCAGCGACAGAACCGTGACACTGCCGTAATATCTCTCTATTCCCCTCCTTCTGCTAGAGCTTGCTGACCTGGATGCGTCTGTAGAGATGTCTGAGTTGTGTCCAGAACCATGCCGACGTAGAACCACTCCTCGAAGAGAACAAACACCTTCTGGAGATCGAGGGAATGGCCCCTAGCATTGCCGCGGTACGCTCACAGTATACTTCATAACATCCTACAAAGGCAATGTATACTAATAGGAGTAAAGAGCCAGGTCGGAGACACGATGTCCGCGGATGCCACCAGAAGATCTTCAGAGAAGAGTGAAGATGACGAGATATCTTCTGGAGGCGTCTGGCTCGAGAAAGGAAAAAGCAAGGGGACCACCGCGGGAAAGGTTTCCGGACATCAGTACAACGCCTATGACTCCCAGGGCAATCTGCACCGTCACTCCGCAACACCCTCACAAGCCAGCCCATCTGTTCATGGGGGATGGGGATCATGGGGTGTCACTGCCGCCTCGTCGAAAGCTGCCTTGAGCAGTTACAACTATTCATCCCCGACTCCGAAGCGGTCCAACTTCGCCAGGATTCCGGTGAGCTTCAAACAACATGAGATCTTCAGATCTAATGCAAGTCAAACCCGCTAACTTCGCACAGGCTGCACGCACCGAGAGATCTGGCGCACCCACTATTTGTGAACCCAAGGAAGCCCGCGATGCTGTTGAGTCCGATGACGAAGACGATAACAAGGACCTCGAAGATTACCTGTAGGCTGTGCATTCTCTGTTTCTCCGGTGGTGGGTTCAGCTGGTCAAGCACTTTGCGGAAGGCTCGAGAGCACTTATGCTAGTTGGGACATGGTTTATCGTGAAGGAATGGGACAATTTGAATTTGCTAGTTAGGAATCGCGCTTGACAGCGGGAGGAATCCAATGGATTGTTTTTATTGTAACCTCGGACCACCCCTTATGTGTCTGTAGTCTAGGCGACCACAAACCATGGTTGGCAAGATATTGGGTACTCCGAGCACCCCACCGGTCCCAAGAATCACATATCCATGGATATAATCATTGTGATTTGTATAGCACCGTCGACGTGCGCGGCGTTATATAAAAGTACATGTTAACTCGGATCGTCTAGCTGATCTCAGAGGCAAAGACCGACCGGAGACAGTTTTCTCGAAGTGATTGGAGGTGACGCTCACCGTCAATGGGCTATCCTCTCAAGAATATGGAAGATCTACAGAGAACAAGGTAGAGTAGATTAAAGATAGACGTGATATCTCTGCCTTACAGAGAGAGCTCAGGCAGCGCGAGAGACCGATGACGTATGCACGGCGGCTGGCGGCTGCGCTGCTTCTTCTTTGGGGTTTAGCTTGGCCTCGTGATTCCAACGCTCGATCGCAACGGAGAAAAAACAACGATCGATGATCAGCCACTGACTGCTCAATTCTCACGTCGGCCACGTTTGGCACTCCTCCTGTCTTCTACTTAGTATCCATCGGTTTCCTGGCCGTTGCCGTGCGATTCCTTCTCAACTCGCTACACACATTGTTTCAAGATCCACTGGCTCTAGTGCGCCCCTCCATCGGGTGCCCCTCTTCTTTGTCCTCATCCTTTGTACTGTGTACACACTCGGCACTCGACGTCAGACTTTTGCCACCTTCGATAGCTATCTTTTTTCCTTCGGCGTCTCTTGTCTATCACTTTCTATCTTTGTCGCATACATCTCGCACGCCGCTTGTGGAGCATTCGTCACCCTTACTCAAAAAGAGGATACTCTAGCTGCCGGCTCTCCATATGGCTTACGATGGCTACCAGAATAGCTCGAATCCGTACTCTCAGATGGGCCATGTCAACCAGATAGACCCGAGCGAATATCGTCCAACATCCTATACTCCACCCTATCCATCTCAGTATGGTTCCGATCGACTCAATATGCCACAGCCCTCGGTGCCCCCAATGTCGTCGTCCCCGACGAACCAATACCATCATCCGTATCAGGATCCGAACATGTGGCAGCAACAGCAACAGCAGCAGCAGCAGCAGCCACCGCCCCCACCACCATCACAGCCCCCTCATACAGGAAGGATAAACGATGCTGTGAACTCGGCTTTCAACAATCAAGCCGATAACTCCAACTACCTGCCACCGGAAGTTCTGTCGCAAATAACGGCGACCGTTATCCAACAACTCAAAGAGACTGGATTGAACAACCTGCAAGGTGATCAGCAGTCGTCATACCCTCCTCCCCGGCCACCGAAGCCTTGGAGTCCCGCTGCAACCAATTCTGTGCCCAGCGAAGCTCCACCTTCACCGTCCTTGGGCATGCACAATCCGTCTCCGACGCCGACACCCAACCCTGGCCATGAGGGGACCAATTTTCCGCCGCCGCCGTCCGCGGGCTATTCGGGTGCTCCTCGCTTCCACAGACCGTCGCCCGTTCCCGTGGAGAGGCGGGATTCGCCGGCTAGCCAGACCAGCGACCATAGTCATCGAATGGAGTCTCGACCGAAGATACCACCGAGGGAAGAGGATGCCACGGTCACTGAGCTGACTACACTGGAAAAGATATGGGGAAAGCTATTCGAGAATGGAAAACCCACGGAGAGGTTAGGACAGTTTCTGCGCGGGATCGCTGTTCATTTGGTAAGCTTTAAATAACAGCATTGAGGAACGGTCACTGACTTTGTGCTAGATTGAAGCATATCCTCCAGAAAACACCCTTGTGATAACTCCGGAAAAGATGCAAAAGTTCTATGAGGATACTAAAGTATCTGCTGATCCATATCCTTGGCATGGTTAGTTAAGAGAATCGCCTTCTTAACCAGATAGGTCTAGTTAACGTAGAGCACAGATATCTTTGATGATCGTACATCCTCGATCTCGAGATTGTTCCGTGAGGTGGAGGCGGAGCACCACCTTGTGCAGAACAAGTTAAACGAACGGCCAGATATCCCAGGATTAACGCCGCGCGGATTCGAGCGATGGGCCACATTGATGATCCGCGCTCACCCCAAGAAAGAATATGAGCGACTCAAAAAAGCCGTACTCAATATGCCTATCAGCAACCCTGACAACAAGAAGGAACGGTTCCCTAAGGAGATCCCACGGCGACTCTTCCCGGAAACGCCGGTCCTTCCCCTGCGAGAAGAGGTGGATCAATTCATCATCAAGCACTGCGGTGTCGATCTGCCTCCGATTACAGATGAGGAAGTTAAACAAGCCGCTGCGCATCGCCACAAACCTTCGACTAGCTCCTCCGCGTCAGGGACAGAATCCGCCTCGGTTAGTGAGCGAGAGCGAAAGCCAAAACCATACCAGGCGTCTGTTTCGGCTGTGGTAGATGACGATGATGAAGACAAAGAGATTCCACCCCAGCCAATCGAACGACAACGGAAACCTTACACCGCACAGCCAGGAGGGGGGAAGAACTACGAAGAAAAGAAAACCTCCGGACACCGGCATACCCAATCATTCTCTGGAGGCTCTATTCCTAAGGAAAGTCTTGGAGGTCACGGACACAAGCAGTCAGAAGCATACAGCCAAGATCCACTCTATTCGCGCGGTGCCTCACGTCCGTTTGGCGGGCGATCCCGAAGTCCGTCCCGAGTAAACGCAAGTGACTACAGGCACTCCGAAAGTGACCTCCTGCAGAGCAACAGTGGTTTATATGGGACCTCTCCAGGTGGTTATTATGGATCTGGTGCAGGCACCCTAACAGGAGATATTCTTGAGGACAACCGACGCCGACGCGAGCTTGAACGCGAAGACGAGGATTTGCGGTTGTATGAATCCCTGCGAGAGCGCGAGAAGGAGCGTGAGAAGAGCAAATATAACGATCATTTCCCAGCTCGATCTAGCTGGTCTAACGACGAGGATTTCTATCGCGGCATGCTCGGTGGTCAAGGCGGTGGCCCAGTCGGCGGCAGCAGCGGATATGATTACAAGTCGTACGGATTCAAGTGATCCTGACATGTGAACATTGATAAACGATGCATATTTCTAACCAAGGGAGTACCCTTTCCTTCTTTGGATCCTTCTTTCTTTGTCGTTTCTTTTCCGTTTTTCCCCCTTTGTTCAAAATCCAGGTCAATCTTTCGTCATTGATTCGGGCTGTTTTCGCATTGGAAAGTGATATCCACCATGTATTCGATCAATAGCGGGTTTCTCTTTTTAATGAATGATGTATGATGCTCATGAACTTTATGTGTTTCTTTATGTATAACATTTTCGAGTTCGGAGTACTTTTTCTTTGGATTTTCCTCTTTCATTGACTAGCCACAAGATAATATATATTCTGGATACCACAACAATAATCCTACCCCAAGCCTTTGTTCCCAACGTAACAACAGGCCAATAACTCTTGAACATCACCGCTCAACTCCCGTCTGCCTCTTGCGAATCTCATACATGGTTTTCGCGCCAGCATCCTTACAGATAACCGCCTCCTTCTCCCTATTCCTCTCTTCATGCTCCCACAACTTCTGAATCCTCCGCTGATCCTTCTCCTCGCGCTCCAGGCGTTTCCTCTGCCTTTTCTTCATCCTCGCCTGCTCCTCCTCAATCTTCTCTTCTTCCTCATCTGCCTCGACCCGCAACTGCATTATTTCATCCTCACCCAACCTCCACGGCACAGCCAACACCTCGACCAAGAATCGACAGCATTGGTCCAGGAAGCGCATTTCGGCGCTCGTGCCCCGGACTACGAAGACGCGCTCGAGCTGCAGCTGTACCGTGGACCGGAACATTGACAGAGTCCCTTTGATCTGGGCGACGGCGCCGGGGACCAGTGAGGTGATGTTCACGGCTGAGTTCCGGTCCGTGGCAGCGACGTGGGTCGTTGTCCACTGCGATTGGATTGAGCCATTGGATGGTGGTGGTTGCCTTGTGCCTTGACCTGGGCCTGAAACGGAGGCTGAGACTGAGGAGTCCTGTGCAGCGGCTGCTGCTGCTGTTGTCGTCGGGTCGGCTTTGTAAACGACGATGTCAATTGTGGCGCCGCTGCTGTCATCGAGCGTTAGGATGGTGAGACGTGGGTATTCAGTCCTTGCGATGATGATGCCGGCTACGGAGACGAATCGGATGGGGTGGTTTTGGTAGAAGAGGATGGATTGGTCTGGATGGGGTTAGTTTTTCTTTTCCTGAACTGAGATGACGGTCCAAGCATTGGATAGGTGTTGGGGATCGGGTTGGTATGTGCGACGGTGGGGAGATGCCTGGGAAAAATCCAGCGTAGGAAGGGAAGTAAGGATAAGCCACGCCGTCATGGGTAAACGGCGAGTAGGCAAATAGTTCAGGCAGACAAGTATGGGCAGGCGGGCAGGTAGGTGGTATACTCCGTATGCAAGAACCCGGAGTATAAGCCACACGGCCATCCAATGATCGCTCGACTTCCAACGATAGCGAACAAAGAAAATCCCGCCCCAAACACGGCACGCAATTTCCACACGCAACCTAGAACCAAGAAGGCGAAACATGACACCGCAAATCAAAACGACCCGACGGAAATCACGACAAAAAAGGGGCGAGAAGGGGGGATGAGGAGATGAATCCCTACCTCCGAACTCCGGCCGTCTCTTGAGCCGATGCACATCCGTCGCCATCATCTTTACCCAGGCGAAGTGGGTAGGAGACGCCTTGAAGCAGAACGCCGGGTAGAAGACGAGATCTTCATGTTCGGTTGGCGCCATGAGATCATTTTCTCTTGGGTCTGCGGGGGAGCAGTTTGGACTTCGGATGTTGAGGAGCTGGGGAGATTGCTCTTCTGGGGGAAGAGGGATTGGGGGAGGATGGGCTGCACGTGATGGGTTCTTATCTTATCGCTAGGCGGCAGTGGGATCCACTTTGGGTGCCTGATTGTGGCATCTACATTGACATACGATGATAGTATTGAATCTTTATGTGAGTTCTTTCACCTCAGAAATTTATCTTTATTCTTTTACACTAGTTTAAATCTACCATTTCTCTGCATACGGCCGCATATCTATAGTGAATCTTAAAGTGGGCGGGTGCTCGAGGCCCTTAGATTTCCGAAGAAGAGGAAAGACTTGCGGGGCAAAGTTGAAGTCTTTTTTTTTTTGTTTATTTTCAATGGTCTAGTGAGCTCAATATCTATGGGATACACTAGATGGCGGGAAACTTACTTCTGGTTATCCAATCCAGTCGAAAATCTTTTCTCCGTTAGTTCTAGAAACGGCTTTCGTAGAAATCTTCTACCCGAGTTGAATATTACGGCAGCTAGAGATGCAGCGAGAAACTTCAAGAGATTTGTTCACATGTGGATTTGACATTCGTTGCGTCCGAGACGTTGGCAGAAATGCCGAAAGTTCGGTTGTCGCTGGAATTGATTTTCTTTGCAATCGGGTTATAGTTGTCCGGGCTTCGAGCTATAAGTATTACGGGATATGACTTAGCGAGGCGTCAAGCAATAGATGCTCCCTGATAATGTTATGATTAGTCGACCGTTTTTATATATTTTGGATTTTTAGAGAGTGACGTAGTATACCGTTCTAGGGCCAACACCGGCAATGATAGTGAGGGGTTTCGTAGCCATTGAGTGTTGAGTTTAATTAGATATGCATTTTTTAAAGAAGGAGTAAGAGAAGTAACAAAGATAGATGAGAGTACAGTTTGTATGGGTAGCATTTGATACTTCACAAGTCTGACATCAGGTCGCTTATAAATCAGCGTCCATTGAATTTTATTTCTATCAGTTGTTTCTAATACCGACCGCGCCCTGTGTCAACTCTGCAAAGGCCATATGGAATTTTTATCTAGGATTTTCCGGAGACTTTAACCAGGTCAGAATATAATAAACGCCACAAATAAGCTCTTTCATTGGTCTGTATTACGAACTGGCTGTTCCTGGCGTGAGAAGTCTACGAAGACACAATTGCTGGGGGCAGCATTGACACATACAAGAAAATTAGGCATCCTCCGCGTATTCAGTTTTCAGCGAAGAGATGGATGCTTTGTCCCTGGTATCTTCAATACCTCTCATGGTTTCTCCATGGGCAGGTTTGATGAATGCTTGAAACTGAGACGTAAGATCAAGTCAAATCAAATTATGATATGCTAACTTTCTGGGCGTATCCTGAGAAATTACCTTCAGCTGCGACAGAAAGAAAAGAGGGGGACACTCGCACAGGTTTGGAATTAAGTCGTACAGGAATGGCTTCAAACAAGGCGATACAAGGCCTCACTGACCAGTGTGCTTAACAAGTCAGAAAGCAGTCTATTTTGGCCCCTTTAGCCTCGCTGAACCCTCATTCGAGGTCAAGGCTGGCATAATGTCACAAAGACGAAAGAGTGCAGATCTGCGCGCGCTCGCGGAAGCCTCGGAAAGATTGGGACGAGCCGTGTTGGCTTACTCCGAAGCTGGAATCCATTTTTCTACGATGTCTACACCCTACGGAGTATACGATGTCTTGGATCGACCAAGCAATAATCGTACGAAATGTGCTTCGAACTTCATTGACCGGTGATTCCGCGATAGAATGGACCCAATGGACCCCTACAATCAAGGCGCAAAACCAACATCTGCATGATGGACGCCACTAGGAAGACACAAGACGAACAGGAGAGCCGGACAAGCTCTCAATGATTGGGATCTGGCAAGGAAGTCGTCCGTAGGTCTCACAGGCAGTCCCATTAATTTCCTCAGTGAAACAGAGACACTGCTAGTGCCAACATTGTATCCATTGCAATTGGCCCCCCTATAACGGGCACTAAAGTAGTTTAATATAGCCAAGGTCCACCGTTGGAAGGGGCCGGATATTAAAAGATTTGATATGCTCGATTTACCACCGACGGATGCGCCAAATCCAGGGACCGTGGTTCAGTTTCCGTTCTAGGTATCCTCGTGGATCCTGCCCCAACAATGGACCCATTTTCCATATCTGTGTTTGAGGCTTCCTGGCCCCCAACTCTATTCCAAGCCCAATGACGAACCCTGTTTCAGGCTCAAGGAGGCTTGGTTACATTCAGAGGTAGTAATGGCCAGAGGATAATGGACTGCCTACAGGGAGGTTTTGGTTTATATACCTGACATATCTTTATGATCTTCAAGTCCTTTGTGGCTATCACTTCCCTTCAGTCCATCCTCTCGGAAATCTTCTAAGATGAAGATCAACAGCCTTCTCCTCGCAGCGTCTTCGCTGTTGAGCTCCACCGTATGGGCTCTGCCCGGCGATACTTCTCTTAAGGAGAGAGACGCCTCAAACCGCCTAGTTTTCGCTCATTTCATGGTATGTTTCTTGCTGCAATGAAGCTATATCATAGGATGCGGATAATTAACCTGATATGAATAGGTTGGAGTTGTTGGCAACCGAAAGAGCGCAGCCGACTATGACGATGACATGAAGAGAGCGAAAGCCCTGGGCATTGATGCCTTTGCGCTGAACGCTGGAAACGACGACTACACCAACGATCAACTGAACTATGCCTACGAGTCAGCTGCTAACAATGACATGAAAGTCTTCATCTCCTTTGACTTCAATTCCTGGGGCACAGACCAGGCCAGCGCAATTGGCCAGAAGGTCGCCGACTATGCCGGCAAGCCCGGCCAGCTTATTGTCGACAACAAACCCTTCGTGTCCACTTTCGTCGGTGATGGCTTGGACGTTGCAGCTTTACGCTCTGCTGCTGGTCAGGAGATATACTTTGCTCCTAACTTCCAGTCTTCTACCGATGTCTCCAATGTTGACGCCCTGTTCAACTGGATGGCCTGGCCCAGCAACGGCAACAACAAGGCCCCTACGGATGGCAACACAGTGACTGTCCCTGATGGAGATAACGCATATACCTCGGCTCTGGGTGGCAAGGACTACGTTGCTCGTGCGTGAAATGACCTCTATCCCTTTTATCGAGTCTACCGAGTGCTTGAAAGTAGCTAACCCCCTAAAAGCCGCGTCGCCTTGGTTCTTCACCCATTTCGGTGCCGAAGTCAGTTACAGCAAGAACTTCGTCTTCCCTTCGGATACCCTCTGGTACGATCGCTGGAACCAGATCTTGGAGCTGGGCCCTCGCTTTGTGGAAATCATTACTTGGAACGACTATGGCGAGTCGCACTACATCGGACCTCTCAGCTCGATGCATACTGACGATGGTAACTCCAAATGGGCCAACGATATGTATGCCTATACACTCAATGCCCCTTTGATTAGCGTTTCAACTCATTAACTAACAACAACAGGCCTCACGGCGGCTGGCTCGACCTGGCAAAGCCTTATATCGCCGCTTTCAAAGCCGGCGCCACCTCGGTTGGCGAGCATATCACCGACGACGAATTGATCTACTGGTATCGTCCCAACCCCCGTGACACAGACTGCGATGCCACCGACACCTGCATGGCCGATGCCAACAACGATTCCGGAAACTACTTCAAGGGCCGTCCGAACGGCTGGGAATCCATGGAGGACTCCGTCTTCGTCGTCTCTCTCCTGACCTCCCCGGCCACCGTGCAAGTCACTTCCGGCGGAAACACCAAGTCCTTCGAGGCCCCTGCCGGTGCTGCCTCTTTCAAGGTGGACATGGGCGTGGGCAAGCAGCAGTTCTCTGTTGTGCGTGACGGCAACGAGGTTCTGTCGGGAACGAGCCAGAAGGATATCATTGACGGGTGTGTCTGCGGCCTGTATAACTTCAATGCTTTTGGTAAGTTGCCCTTCCGAATTGTCGGGTATCAATGTACGGAATACTAACTTGTTTTCTAGTTGGCACTCTTCCTGCCGGTGACGCCGACGCCCTTCAGCCTGAGGCTTTGGCTTCGTTCACCGACGGCCTGAAGGTTGATACTTGCCAGGCTACTCCCTCTCTTGGTGCTTCTGCGCCCGCGGCTACGGCTTAGATAGATACTAGGCTCATCTAACTTGACATTCTGGGATTGGTTGCTGTATATAAAGGGGCTGAAATAATCAAATGTCAAAGACGAAGAAATCTCTGTCTATGCAGCATCCGCTCACTAATATTTGATCCTTTTCGGTGATATAACGTAGTATTTCATCTTAAAGCACTAATCTTGGCTCAGCCTTGCCAGAATTGTATGGCCACATGACATTGGCTGGTAGCAAAGAAGATCGGAAACCACGTCAGCCAGTAGATCACCAACAAGCCAAGAAGGCAAATATGAACAAAGAAGTCCAATCTGGCTATACTGTATATGGATAGTACTAGTACCAGCGGTCTGGAGTGGTAACCTTCTTCCACTACTCGTTCACAAGATAACTTCGGGGCATACGTGTTCATGATGTCCAGCAAGAGTACAAACAAAGAACTCCAGCCTGATCACACTATTTATAGATAGTATGCTCTGGCAGCTGGCTGGAGATTCTCCCCTCGAGCCTCAATCCCACTTTCCCAAAGCTGTTCTCTTCTCTTTTCGTTTAGTGTCTTCTCATTTCTCACACTACGAGCAGTCTTCCCAGTCCTTCATTCTTCCAGAACATGGCTCCCCCCGTCGACGTGCTAATTATCGGTGGCGGCCCTGCCGGACTAACGGCGGCCTTGACCCTCGTTCGCCAGGACCACTCAGCCATTCTTTTTGATTCAGGCAGCTACCGCAACGGCGATGCTGAGTACATGCACATGATTCCCACCTGGGACCACCGCAACCCGGCTGAATTCCGAGCAAAAGCGAGATCCGAGATCCTGAGCCACAGCGCGAATATTAACATCGTGGACGTCCACCTCACCGCGGCTCGCAAGATCAATGACTCCTTGTTTGAAGTCGCCGACGAAGCCGGCAAGACCTGGCAGGGGAGAAAGGTCATTCTTGCTACTGGCTCGGAGGACATTTTCCCTGATATTCCGGGTTATGCGGAGTCATGGGTGAAGCGCATGTAAGTTTCACCGAGTCAACTCTGATATGTAAGGATGGTGATCGCTGACACCCTGACTTCTAGTTACCACTGTCTCTACTGCGAAGGATACGAAGACCGCGGAGCCACCAGCTCCGGCGTGCTCGCTATCCAAACGGCCTCAATCGCGCCCATGGCTATTCATCTTGCCGAGAACGCCGCGCACCTAAGCGCCAGCGTGACGATCTACACACATGGCTCAGAAGAACTCAGCGCCCAGATCCAGACACTTCTAGGCCCCCAACCCGACGGTCAGAAGATCTTCAAAGTGGACTCCCGGCCCATCTCGCGCCTCAGCGTCGTCGAGACAGATGGAAAGCCCACCGGCATCGAACTTACGTTCGCGGACGGCACAACCGCCCTCGAGACCTTCCTCGTGCATGATCCATTTACCCGAACCAAGGGCCCCTTCGCCGAACAGCTTGGCGTGGAGACAATGTCAAGCCTGTTCCCCGGGTCCGACAATGGCGAGGTTGTGGCTAACTTCCCGATGTATCAGACTAGTGTGCATGGGGTCTTTGCGGCGGGAGACTGCGTCACGCAGTACAAGGTTGTTGCAGGGGCGATTTCAAGTGGATGTAATGCTGCGGTTGCGGCATCGACGCAGTTGTTGGCGGAAAGATATGGACATCAGTCGCTGGTTTGATGCTCCTCGGGATAGATTGCTTGACAGTGATGGGTCCTTGAACCGTGATCTTGAGCATATTTAGGATATGTGATAGTGGAATTATGAATTGGGGTTGAATATCACAATGTCTTGGTGTACTCAATCTTTCTAGGGATTGTAGAAAATGGTTTAGGTGGTTGCCAGATTAATGCGCCTTGTCAACGGGGCATCAACCCACGGCGAACCTCCACCAGGTTTGTGCGGCCCTGTACTAAGAAGGTTGGGACAGCTACAGAGTAGTTCGTGACCCATCTCTCAAAGTGTAGAACTGCATGTGCATCTCCTACTATACTACTGATGTACTGAGTCGTTCATAGTTTGATGCTGGGGGTAATATATGAGCTGTATAGATGATTGAAGTAGTGCTTTCCTGTTGTTGCCTGATAGGTTTATTATTAGATACATGTCTATAAGTAATGTCACATAGATCAGGACTAGGAATGAAGCGAGTAATTGAACTAGTTTTATAACTTTTGGAGTCCTATATCATGGACAGGAGAAACACGAAAGGTGCATGGAAATCGAGTGGGTGGTATATGTGGCAGCTGCATTGTAAGTACGATAGGAACAACAATAATGACATCCATGTTTAAGTAGACGGCTTTAGCATAGTTAATGGAGGAGATTATTATTGATTATCAAGCTCGAGTAAACTGCGCTTTCCACTTGGATTAAGGACTAGGGTTAGACAGTTCCCCTCTTGGTGAGATATCCGACTTTTGCCGATTCCAGCTTGTTTACCACTCGAAGCTGAAACTTGTGAGATGGTGGTTGACCAATATCGCTCGGACATCAGTGCCAAGGGCCGGTGCTGCTATATATACTCCTGGTATAAAGAAACTGGCTGAGACACAGCCTGGAAAGGTGCACTAACGGGCAAGCTAAGCTCCGCGTAAGACAATTGATCTCCAAATGTTAGCAGGTGTGCCAACTGAGTAGTGACTGAACTTTTTTATGACTGCTCCAAGATTGACATTTGGAAACGAGAAGAGAACAAGGAAAAAAGCGCCAATTGTGAATGGCAGAAGTTCTTAAACCTTTGCTAACCATTCCAGGGTTTTGAGAGAGCTTAGAATGTGACCTGTGATTGATCACCTCCTTAAGACGCCACCCCGGGGACCGGGGAATACTAGTCAAGCCCAGTGTCGAGCCGATATGGCATGGCGGACCTAATGCAGGGTTCATTTACCTATTGCCAAGAAGCAGAAATAGTTTAGCCAACAAATGACAAATACTCGCTATGGCGATGGGGAATTTGGAGTATGGGAAGAATAATTGGTGGCGTTGGTACTAAGTCTTCTGCTATTGCGCTGTTTCTGGCCAAAGTCCTCTTTCTTTCCTCTTGCTATCCCGAGATTCTCTTCGAATTGCCTCAATTACGATTTGCGCGAATGCGGTTGGGAAGAACATCACGAGCCATGGTTTCTTTGCCAGTGGGTATTCGATGGAGTATAATCCCGATAATGTGGATCGCTGGGCTAGCTGCGATAGTGACTTCCCTTGAGCTTGACATTCGCGACTCTCGTAAGAGCCGTGCTCCTTTTCAACCAGAATACGATCTCGATTGACTGACACATACGTTTGAATCAACAGGCTCTCTCATAGACGCTGCGGCCACGACGGTTGAGAACATGTTCAGCAATTCTACTTCATTAAACGGCAAATTCAGTCCTTTGCTCACAGGACACAAACAGCCCGACGAAGACATGCTCACATTCGACGAAGGCATGCTCTATTTAACTCTGATACAATTCTGGAATGCGACCGAAATCGCATCATACAACTCCCTCATAAACAAGCGCTTGAGGAAGCCACTCAATGATAGTGATGCTCCGATAACCCTGGAAAGAACTCAAAACCAAGCGCTGGGTGCCTGGGGTCTGGCATCCATCACAGCCGCAGAGATGAACTACCCCGAGCTAGACGATAAGTCTTCATGGCTGCAGGTTGCTTCCCATATCTTATCAGTTTTGACTAGTCAGACTTGGGATGTTAGCACCTGCCGTGGTGGCCTTCGTATGGATTGGGAATGGTTTCCGAAAGATGCCCTATCGAACGGACTTTTCTTCCAGCTTGCTGCGCGACTAGCACATGCCACCAGCGGGGATGAGAGTAGAGATTATGCTAGATGGGCAAATGAGGTATGGGAATGGAGTGTCATAAGCCAGATTCTGGATGAAAAGAACTGGTCTGTTATCATGTCGGTCACCAACAGCACGGAAGGAGGCGCCTGTTCGCCTTATAATCTCCGGGAGTGGAGTTACGCTTATGGATTATACCTAAATGGTGCGGCGTACATGTATAAAGCAGTAAGTTATTCCTTCATGATGACAGAAAGGTCTTTTCTCAAATCTTTGATGGCGACTTGGAAGGCTAGCAGTATAGCTAACCCAGCTAGACAAACGGATTATCATGGAAAGAGAGAGCAAATGGATTGCTTCAGAGCACAATGGAAAGATTTTTCATCGACAATATCATGACCGAGTTCGGCCCACGTGGCTCCTTTGGAACTAACGAAACAATAATCAACAACATGAAGGGCATGGTAGGGCTACTTTCGGCATCGCTCGTCACTGTCGCCAATCTGCTGCCGGAAACCGCTGAACAAATCGTGCCACGTCTCAGGGCAACCGCGGTTGCTGCTGCAAAGCAGTGTAGCGGGTCAGCCAACGGGACAGTATGCGGATCGGAATGGACCAAGCCTACATACGACGGTAACCCCGGCCTGGGAAGCTCTATGAGCGCGGCCAATCTCTTCGTATCCATTCTGATGCTCCCGGAAGGCCAGGAGAAGAAATTGTCAGACGGGGAGATTGCAGGCATTGCAGTAGGATCAGGGGCTGGCGTTGCTATAATCGCTACAGCCATTTTTCTCCTCGTGCGACGACGGGGAAAAGGCAAGAAAGGAGTTGTGTCTGATTCGGAGTACTCACCATGTCACTCTGATCGAAGCGAGGATGTCTCGGGGGTCACGGAGGATACGTCGGAGCTGCCTGCAAGTAAGGATGGCGGTACGTCGGTACTCCGGCATGAACTGGACAGCAATAACAGAGCCACTGAGTGATTCGAACATGAAGGTTCTCAAGAGGTCTTGCGTCGCCCTGAGAGTCAAGCATTCTTCTACTTGATCAACCTTAAAGTACTTAATATTTCAACGCGGTTGTTGCTTTTCAAGCAATGTTCATAATACACCGCAGGATCCTAATATCTGACCTTAATGAAATTCTGCTCATCATTCCATATTATATGCTTCCGATCACAATGAGTCATCGATTATCTGCGTGTGAACTCTCTTAAAAACGTGGATATTCTTCTGTTGCGCGTTGTTCTCTTCTTGTAGGATAATGCACTCGAGGTGCGCCTCCGTATAAAGCCGTTCGAGCTCTACAACTCATTGGCCAAGCTGGGCACGACTTCATGCTTCTAGATCAGGCTGACGGTTCGTAGCTTGAGTCTGGACGGCTCTCTCTTCAGGCGACGGGTGGTTCTTAGGAATAAAAGTTAAGAGCCGCCTGCACCTCCGCGGCGTCATCTCTGATATGAAACCATTTTCTCATATTCCCGTGCTTGGCAAGAGACTATGACGGCTACATGGAGGATGGATGAAATGCGTGGAATGCGGCTGAGCCCTCTCAGAGTGGCCATTTTTGGCCTTGTCCTGTTGTAGATGTTGTGATTTGAAGATATCAATGTTTACATGATTTTGAATAATTTGAGGGACCATGCTGGTGTTGGGCTCCAATAGACAAGTTAGGATCATGATATCGGTGGAATTGCACCCTCTTACCCATGGCCAGAACACCGTGAACAGTTAACCAGTGTCATGCTGGGCTACAAGATATCTTTGCAACTGTTACTCCCCTTCCGCCCAGACGCTATTCCAAGTGTTCTTGTCGGCCCCCTTGCACTGAGTTATCAGGGAAAACTTCGTCTGGTTGGCAACTAGCTCGAAGGTGTGGGAGTCCAAAAACAGAACATTTTGCTCTATGTACATTACCCGGAATACACCTGGTTACTGAAGTCTCTGACGGCATCAAGTACCACATAACAATGCCCGCAGGCCCCGGTAAGTTGGTCCGGCCTTGGGGACGGGTGATGTACCCCTAGAATGCCGCAAATTGCAACATTAGGATGGTATTTCCCATCAACATGCCCCTCGGTGATGGTTCGTACGATCTCGTCGATCTCGGATCTGATGGATAGTATCTCGTAGTACTGAGTCCGATTAGAATCTATCTATTTTGCGCTGCAGAAAAGTCTTGCCAAGGCAGGAAATTTTGATATTATTAGAATCCACTGTTTTACTGACTTATTTTCTACAAGAATCTGCGTAGTCACTATAGTCCTGAACTAGACGCTTTTGTAGAGCTTAAGAATTCGTGATTCATTCTAAAGGCCTCCCCCCGGCTCACACATAAACTCATATTGAGATGCGTACTTAGACAGGCGTTACCGGAATCGAGAACTCCCTCTGTAAGATCCTAGACACGCGTAGAACATCATCCCGGTTCGTCCTAGACGTAACAATAAAGAAAGCCCCAAATAAAACAACCCCTTGCTTCGGCTCTGGAATGCGCTGGCCCTTACGGAAAAAGCATACAGATTCGGTGATTAATCCTCGGTCCTCTGGCAAAAGGCGCTGCAAGAATTCACCACAGGCGTCGTCAGAAGCGCATAGACCGCCTTTATCGGCCCTTAACCACACCAGTTGACTCCATGCTCTGGCGTGGTATGGGATTGTTGTGTCCTGGTCGAATGATTTTGCTAGACCTCGGAATCGTTGGTAGTCTCCAAGGCTGGCGAGTAGGTGCAAGTCGTACATGTTGACGCCATAGGCGCCTGCCGATGTCAGAACGACCGGCATTCCTGGGGGCCTGGGGTTGACTTCGATGAGAAAGCAGCGTGGCGGATGGTTGTTAGCAGTTTTTGTTGGATGGAGGTCGATTATGCCATCTTTTTCAGTGAATTCCATGGAGGAATTTTGAACGCGAGCCTCAAGGTGGAAAACCCCCGTTCTGAGTCCCATCTTTAGTAATATCTGGTGAAGTTTATCACGCACAATGGCATATTCATTAGCCGGTAGCTTCGTAGGGAGGACATTTGTAATTTTCCCAAAAGTCGCTGTCAATATCCCCGTTATCACCTGGGCTGTGAAAGTCGTCGGAGATCTCGAAGAAGATGATTTCCCCGTCGAGAAGTACAAAGTTGACGTCGGATTCGGGTCCCTCGATGAAGGCCTCTATGAGCGCCTTCTTGCTTGACCCTTCACACGTCCGTCTTACTCCTTCGAGGAGCTCCGTTTCGTTGTCGGCTCTGTACACATGCGCAGACCCAGTTCCTGAGCCTGGCTTGACAATGGATGGGTACTGCGGAGCAAATTCCTTTCTTGTAGTCTGTTCCTCCAGCTCTGATGCAGATGAAACAAGTGTTGTTGGCTCAGCGCCCCCGATAAGAAGTCTTGTTTCGTACTTATTGACAGCACAAGCAACGGCCTCTGGTAATTCAGTCGGTAGGCCTAGAATAGTAGCTGCCTTGGCGACTGGAAGAAGACAATAGCTGGCGATAGCACAGATGCCATCCACGGGTCCATATGCTTTGACAGCTTCAACAATGCGTAAATAAAACTCTCCGTTCGGCGTCATGTCTATCGGTACAAAGTCATAATACAAATGTCGTAGAGAGGGATCTGTAAGCCAATGATCCGGCTTGTCAAGAAGCACGATTTTGATACCGAGGGCGGACGCGGAGTTGAAGAACGGGAGATAGGAAGGGAGATTCAGGTGGCCATCAACAATGGCGAGTTTTCTCTCTTTCGGTTGAGCATCAAGCAGCCATTCGAAGTTGAGCCGAGCATGCACTTCTTCGATGAGAGCAACTTCCTCGATCAAAGATTGATCATTGTGTGGCCGTACGATGAACAGAACAGAGCTGTCAAGTAGCGAGCGAAAGTCCTGGCTGTTCCCATGCTTGGTAGCTCCTCCAAAGACGGTTCGGTCATGGAACAACCCCAAGTCTGAACAGCCGATGAAACGCTGCTCGAAGATCCTGGTTCGTGCAAGATAGCCTGATCGCGCGGGCACGACAAGAGTAACGCGCCCATTCCATGTCTTCCCAGCGACAAGAGAACTGGACGACTTGACTGTACTCAGCAGATCTTGCAGACCGCTACTAAGTCTATGTTAGCCAGTAGTTCAACTGTAAAACTTCCCGTAGATAACGTACTTTTGCACATGTTCGATGCTCTCGCTGCCGACCTTCGATGATCCGCTGATACTAACATCCAAAAAGATCAAGAAGTAGTCTTCGCGGTGTGTCCTTGGGGAATCATCCACAGGTGACCAAGAGATCTTAATATCAACAGAATCCTTTACCGCATCACCATGACCAACGGACTTATCATGACTCAACCTGACCGTAAACGAGGCACTCAAAAGTGCCGCAGCGTCACCCATCTCGACAGCGTTCTGACCCTTGACTATAATTTTGTTTACTCCGACAATATGAAAGAAGACACAGCAGGGATAAATCAATAAATCAACGCGACAAGATATCATGTTATGGGTAATTACCAATCATTCAATCCAGTCCCAAGAATAAAGCGATCGTCTAGACAGACCTAACCCATTCCCGAAACGGTAACTGCTGCTTACTCCGAGGAATACGACGTTGTTACTCCGACGCCCCACAGTAAGTCCAGCCATTAACCAGAACCATATAAGACCTTCCGTGCTCCAGATGGCGTGTTAATTCGGCCTTTTTGTCTTGAGGACAAACGTGCCGAGGGTAAGAAATGTGATGTTGCGTGCAGACTGCCAAGGAGTTGCTTGTACACGCTTGTGTGCGCCTGCCCGAAGGATGAGATCTCTGTAGAGTCACATTTAGGTGTCCGGCGGTTAAAGGAGGATCTTCCTGTCCCGGTTTATTATTCTATTATACAGAGGACCTTGGTGGCTTACTGGGCGCCGTGCTTGAGGGACAGGGGCTGTACATGGCACAGATAAACTAACCAGAGCATAGTTCAGATGTCAAGGATAGTACGCGGCTCTTGTGCATCAACAATAATTATCCAGCTCCTTCACATGTCATACCCACCCACCCAAAATATATTCATTCTGTATTTGAGACCCTCATTGAGGCATCCTGGGGCTGCTTTACCGAAGGGAGCCGAAGGATCCCCCACGGGGATGGCATCACACTAGTTTTATGATCTTGGAAGATCCGATTATAAAACAAAATCAGTAGCAAGAAAGCCCAAACTAAGAAGAAAGGTTAAAGATCAAGAGTGCGACGGTGGCAATACTAGTCCGCGTTTGGTTAAAATGCAGGCGCGTCAGCCCGTGAAGACCCTGACTACTGCCGGCCTTAATCTGACAACCTCCACAATGTAGCATCGAAAATACTATGGTTATACCTAGACTAAACATAGGGAGCTCGTAATTGTCAAAGTTTCTTTACTTTCGCCACTGGACTTCAAGGGCTGGACGAGACAAACATGACTACTGCGTGTAATGACCGGACAGACATATGTAACCCTAACCTAATGCTTACAAGCCTCATCTCGCGATATACTAAAATTGCAATAGTCTAGCATGTGGCTCCTGTGTGGGAGTATAGGACAAACTTCTTATTTCTATTGCTTCAATGAATCCATTCGAGCCCACAAGTGCTGACGCTAGACGCAACCCAACGATGAGGTTGGTCAGAAACGTTGTGTGGCACGATTCCTTCATGGTCCGCTAAGTTTCTAGCAGCCACACTGGTGAGGGGGATAGGAATCCAAAGTTCAAGACCGTCAGCAGCGGAATTGTGCCGCAGGTTGGTTAAGTCTCGTTTCGTAGTGTGCTATAAAATATTGTATCACTGCGGGACAGAACATCTGAAGATAGCACCGCAATAGGGTCATTTCGCAGAATCATCGCCATGTCTGTAACCAATCCCCTCAACGTCTTCAAAGGCACCGAGTCCATAAAAAACTTCTTTAATCCAGATGAACAACCTCCCGTGCCGTTGGTTGAGCTACCCCCAAAGCTCAACCCATATCATGCAGATGGCGTGCGAATTTACGCGAAGCTGCTCACCTGCCTTCCAGCGCAGAATGTGAAAGCTTTACCGGGTTAGTAGATCTCACTCTATATCTGTTAACACATGAACATACTAACTCGATGACCTGAAATCCAGCACTGAATATGCTCCTTCACGACCCCTCCTCCGCAAACAAAAAGGTCGTGGAAGTCAGTTCCGGGTCCACTGTCACCTCACTAGCCATCACTGCTCGAGTACTCTACGATAACGACAACTCTACCGCCTACGTCTCAAATAAAGCCGCACTGGACCGTGTCTGCGAACTCCAGTTTTACGGTCTCAAGGTCGATCTGTACGGCGGACCAACATACACCGAGACCACTGATCCACGGGGACCAGTGGAATGGGCTCGCGGACCCGGCAAGCGAAGCGACAAAGTCGTGAATCTGGGTCAATACGATAACGAATATAACTGGAAGTCGCATGAGCGGTGGACGGGACCCCAAATCTGGAGACAATTGCCTGAGATCAACGTCTTCTGTATGGGGATGGGAAGTACGGGTTGCGTGACTGGCACGGGCAAGTATCTGAAGTCCCAGAAGCCCGAGCTCAAGGTCGTGGGTGTTTGTAATGCTGAGGCGGATATTATCCCTGGGCCTAGGGAGAAACCGATGCATAAGACGAGTCCCTTTCCGTGGAAGGCCGTGGTTGATTTTCTTGAGGTGGCGTCGTCCAAGGACTCGTACCGTTTGTCTTTGAGACTTTCTCGGGAAGGAATCATTGCTGGTCCTTCGAGTGGAATAGCGCTGCAGGGGCTGTTTGAGTTCATTGAAAGGGAGAAGAAGAACGGCACACTGGCAAGCTGCGCGGACCCGAGGACTGGGGAGGTCTCGTGTGTTTTTGTCTGCTGTGATCTGCCGCAGAAGCATATCGAGACCTACTTCAAGAAGCTTGGTCCTGAGGAATTCAAGCCAATTGGAAATCAGGTTAGTACAGAAAGAGGACGATATCAGGGGGCCCAGGGGTCTAACTGGCTACAGGAACTATTCAAAGTGGACCAGAACGTGTACAGCTTCCGCTGGGAGATCGACCCTCAGGAAATTCTTGACGTAATGCCCGAAATCGTAGAAGAGGTCAAGAAGGCTCGGCTTGTCAGGGGCGACGAAGCCCTAACAAACGGAGCAGCTGAATTGCCTTCAGTGCGCTTCCTAGATCTGCGCGCACAACCTGACTTTTAGTCTGTCCATGTCAAGGGCGCTTTCAGTGCACCACTGCCGGGTTTGACTGCTGATACCATAACGCCGTTTAATTTCGACGAAATCAACAAGCTCGTTGAACAGTACAAGGGATTGGAAAGCTTGCTTGAGGACCAGCAAATTTCAGAGTGGATCTTCAAGGAGGGACCTCCCGTGGTTGTCGTCGATTACAATGGAGATACTTCGCGTATCCTGGTGGCATCTCTGAGGGCCAAGGGTGTTGAGGCGTATACTTTCATAGACGGTGTCCCTGGGCTTCAGAAGTACCTTGACAGTTTGAGGTCTTAAATTGGGCGTCAAAAACTATTCTGTACTTTGTTGGTACGTTATGGACAGGGCTTGCAATCCTGGTAGATCTTAGAGAAGGAGAAGAAAATTACAAATTGTTGTTTAAGGGGGGCGAGGGTTCAACTTTAGCATTTATTAGGAGAGAAACGGAGATATAAGAGGCAAAAATCGAAATATAGCACCTTGAGTTGTATATAGTTCATCATCGACATATACGTATATAGATCAGCATAGAGAAGTCCTCAGAGTTCCAAATCCACAACCGTTGAAACATCAACACGAAACTCTCCCTTTGATGCGTTATCAGCCAGATCAGGCACATCCACGCTAGGTGAAAGCAAGAGTGGCATCGGCTTGAATCCCACTGCTCTTCCATGGACCTGCCCTGCCTGTGGGAAGGCAAACTTCAACTTCTCATCATTATAGATCGCCTGGTGAATAGGCAATAAGAGCCGGGGACGGTCCCCTAGCGCTGGTCGCTGCTGACAGGCCGTAAAAAGTCCGGAAGTTTTGCACCAGGTGCATCTTGGCTCGGATCAATGTGGAACACGGACTATCACGGATAGCTGCCAAGACATCAGCCAGGTCGATTTTCCACTTCAGGCTGAGACCGTGGTCAGCGCAGAATGCACTAAGCACGTCATCTGGATCCTGCGTTTTCAATACGACGGGTTCCAGGGCAATCAGTCGGAGGACCATGGTTGCCGTGGCCCGATGGTTACCGTCGATGATTACCGTTGTGTGCTTCCCTTTTCCTAGTGGCAGACTTGGGTAGGAGGCGACTGATATTGGGGCGATTTCACACGTGTGAAGGGCCGATTGCTCCGCACTGGTGAGCATTTCTTCGATGATGTGAAGGACGTGGCTGGGGATGCTGAACTCCGAACGCGGAAGTTGATTCAAGGCCACGTACACGTATGGCAGTTGCTGATGGCCCGAGAAATGAACAAAGTCAAGATTCTCTAGTATTGGATCGGAGAGAAACAAAGCTTCTTGTGCGGCTTGTGCAACTGCAGCGAAGGAACTAGATGGAGGTAACAAACTTGTATCTAGGGAAGCCATCATGTAGGCGAACAATGGCACGGCCCTGTCAAACGTGCTTTCTAGTCCTCCTAGCGGGTCTTTCAGAAAAGCGAAGATCTGCAGAAAGGTCTTTGAGTGCTCGAGTTGACCTTGAGATACTTGTACAGCAATCTCCGATAACGAACGGTCCCATAACTCCATGGCGTCCACTGAAGCAGACAGAGTTGTTCTATAATCAACTGGGGCTGTTATGAAGTCGGACTTCGCAAATTGTGATGAGATTGACTGCTGGCTTTGCATTTGATTGATGGTCCATTCGGACTCCTCATTGGCATGACCCTCCAGAAGATGGACGACCTTTTTCCAACTTGCAAGAACAGAGGAAGACGACAGGACCAAGCTAATAGTAGGGAGGCAACTCGCCGGTACGCCTCTCTCGGGCAGGTTTGAAAGCATGTAATTCATTCTTCCCATTGCTGTCTCCAAGTCACCATGCATGCGCCAGTCATCTTCCGTAAAGTATCCTCCAAAGACCGTCTCAGCTGTTGGAAACAGTCTTGGTGGTCGTGTGTCCAGACACCATGCTGCATCGTATACTCGAAAGAGCGCGAGTTCAAGTAGATCTTCAAACGTAGGAGAGGAGAGATCCGGCGGCATGAGCCTGCTTGCCGGCAGTACGTTGCGCTCTGTGTTGGAGACTATTCTCCCGGGCATAGGTGTCATTGTTGTTGAATCGTCTATATATACGTGATCTGAGCGATTAGGAACCGAATAGGGAAGAAGTGAATTAGTGGGCTTGTTAACGTTTTGAATGGTCGTTGCCGCTGTTTTATAGCAGAGTCTTTGTGGGCCTATGGCTGCATCGCATAGGAATCTTCCGGTGCTATGTCGAAAGATTCAACAACCTCTTTGAAGGTATTCACAAGGGATTGTAACTCTGGTAAGTCTCAAAGGTTTCAAAGACAGACAAATGCGGAAGTTACCTTTGTAGCCTCAAGTTCTTCTTGACAAGAGCAGCCGTCACTACATCTGATCTCATAGGTACAATGCAGGACCACACTTCAGGCCCCCACCCTCCACGACTGATATGGTAATAATCCAAGTCATGAACACCATAGCCATGTCTCCCTCCCATTAGATTCGGAAGACAGGACAAAGTTCATCACGATCCAGCCGTGCTAGAGTCGAGGGGTGTGAGACGGAAAGATTCCGCACACGTCATTGTGCTACAGCACTATGCTAGTAACTTTTGCAGACTCCGATCCAAAACCTAGATGGATCCTTTCGGTTGCCATCGGAGAACAGGTATACGATGTGGACCATGGAGCCTGATTGATGGTTGGTCTCAATGACAATCCCTTCTTTAGAAAGGGCTCTAGTAACAGAGACATCCATAGGGAGGCCTACCTTGATGGCAAGAATCCAATCTGATTAACATCGTATGACCTAAAAAGGGTTAATGTAGTGCAGGATCCGCAAAGCCTTCCGTTAACGAAGGCCTAGAGTATCGTAACTGCATCCCTGAAAAGTTGTACTGTTTAGTATGCCGAGGTAGCGCTGAATAAGAAAGCATAGAACTCTGTGCTAGTGATTTGCGTGGTTGAGGTTCAGCTCGTCGACCTCGTCTCCTGGAACCAATTGTGGGTACGAGTGAGAGTCGGAGAAAAGTTTATTATCACGAGATGACGAAGAGCGACGTGAGCGCGTTGAAGATTGATGGTCTAGATATATGGGAAGGGGGAGAAAGCCGAAAGAGAGAGGAAGTCCGACAAAGACAGGTGACATTAGGGTTAAGCCCGTGGGTACTCCGATCTACTCCGCGGAGTGCGGGATCCACCTGTCAGCTTTGGGATCCACTCCGGGGTAGTCCGATTACTCCGAGTATATCTCCAGCCTGGTTTGCGAGGTTTCCCTATACCGCTACTTGCACCGGATGATCCTTCCAATTGCTCTCTGTGACCTTCCTGTCCTTAGGCTGAGAAAGTCTTCCTTTTCAACTGCAAAAGAACTACACAAGGGCAAGCGGATGTGATCCAGACACATTCTATAGAAACATGGGCGTCTCCTCTGAAAAGCAAAGCAACGCACAATTGCAGCCAGCGGGCGACAGTGAAACACAAACAGATCAATCTATAAGCGACTCTATGGCACACTATGATCTGGTTGAGCCGACTCCGGAGGAAATAGCAAATTTGCGACACACGGGAAGCAAAATCAAAGCTACGGCATGGTTGGTTGCTCTCTTCTCTGGGGCTGAAAGATTCGCGTTTTATGCTCTTCAAGCCCCATTGCGTGGGTAATCCACCCATTATTCCATAAAAGTAACTAACACGTGTTATTAGAGAATTACATTCAAAACCCTCGGGAGAATTTCGGGCGTCCTGGAGCCCTAGATATGGGCCAATCGGTGGCCACTGCTCTGAATTCCTTTCTGAGATTACTCTGCTTTATCACACCAATCTTTGCTGGGGTGCTTGCAGATGGTCATTGGGGTCCATACAAGACACTTGTTGTGTCCTGTGGGTAAGATTCCTTCGGTGTTATGAAGGTCTCATACCAACCGTGGTCTAGGATATACCTCGCTGGTATACTATTGCTCATGCTCACTTCGATCCCACCAGCTCTTGACGCCGGTGCTGGATTGGGTGGTCTTATTGGGGCATTTGTCTTGATTGGCTGTGGCGTGGGTGGTGTGAAGTCGAGTGTTGCCCCATTTACAGGTATCTCTTCTGAGTCCCCGACGCTGAGTGACTATTCACTGACAGTAGTTATGTGGCAAAGCGGACCAAGTTGCTGAGGGTAAAAAGCATGTCGCTACCCTAGAGACTGGTGAACTTGTTATCGTGGACCCTGAGTTGACAGTAAGGAGGGTATACAGCATCTTCTACTGGTGCAACAATGTCGGCGCGCTATCCGGTTTGGCCAGCACTTCCATGGAGAAGTTCCTCGATTTCTGGACATCGTTCTTGCTGGCGCTAGGAGCACTGGCATTTGGAACACTGGTTTTGATCCTAGGACATCACAAATTCTGTCAGTATATTCTCTCGAGGAGCACGTTGTCAATGTCTAACCCCATGTAACAGTCCGCCGAAGACCCGAAGCAAGCTTCCGGGCCAAGCTATTGAGTGCATTGGCATGCGTTATCAAGGGTGGGTTTTGCATTGATGCCGCGCAGCCGGCTGAACAACTCGAGAAATATGGACGTGTTGTTCCTTGGGATGCACAGTTTGTTGAAGACCTTCGCCAAGCTCTGCAGGCTTGCAAAGTCTGGTATATTTTCCTAGAGCGCCCGTTCACAAGCCGCGCTAACATAGATCATAGGGCCATATACCCGATTGTCTGGCTATGCTATGACCAGAACCAAACCAACCTAATCTCTCAAGCCGGGCAGATGCTTACCCACGGGATCCCCAATGATGCCCTTGCAAGCTTAAACCCAATCTGCGTTCTCATCATCATACCAATTACCGAAAAATTTGTGTACCCGTACATGCAAAAGATGAAGCTGTCGCCTCGAGCCACTGTTCGAATGACACTCGGTTTCGCATTGGTTGCAGCATCCATGGCTGTTGCTTCTGGTGTTCAGCATGTGGTTTACAGTGCTCCGCCATGTTACGACATGCCCCTGCATTGTCCAGCATCTGAGAATGGAATGTACCCCAATCGCGTCAGCGTCGGTGTTCAGGTTCCGGTCCATGTTATTGGCGCACTGGGAGAGGTGCTATGGTCCGTGTCTGGATCCGAGTACGCGTATAACAAAGCTGCACCACACATGAAATCTACCTTGCAGGCTGTCACGATGTTGACAGTAGCTTTGAACTCTGTTCTCGGGCTGGCGGTTTCCCCTGCCGCTCGGAACCCATATTTGACAATACTCTTTGCAAGCTTTGCTGGGGCTATGGCCATTACGTCCGTTGGATTCGGTTGGTTGTTTTGGAACAGCGATTGAGTGATTAGATTTTGTTAGAATTTCAAGAAAGTGCCTTATAAGTTTTACCAGTAATTCCGTGGATGACCGCGTTCTGTTCTCATTATTTATCACACGCCGTCTAATATGACATCACTCGAAGCATAAATACCTCAAGTTGATCATCATTCATTGAAAAGCTATGTTCTTGTCTCTTCAATCTTTTGCAAGGTTAACTGATATCACTATGGCCAGAGTTTTCAATCGAAATAGGCGCCACGTGAATTCACTGCGGCAGTTCCCACGCGTGCGTGGTGGCTGCATTGTATGTGGATCGCAATTCTATAGTCCTCCAGCGCCTTGGAAGGAGGGTGGAGATTACATCTCTCCGCCCGGATGGATAGGGCCTGGTGGGAGTTGGGTAAGCACTTTCAATATGGAGGCCAAAGAATTGGAAGAAATGGAGTTTCCGGCTCATTCATACGTTCCTGAGACCTTCATCCGTGCAAGTAATTAAGTTCTTTCCCAATCCCAAGGGAAGGGATTATACGTGCTGATGACTCGATCCTATAGTCCTCGACAAACCCGGCCATCCTTTGTTCGTTTCGGGCATCACACAACTGGAATGTAGTTCGGGCCGTAATGACGAGGATCCAGTTCCTTATGACCCGCTCAAAGCCCGAGTCGGTGCTCCAGCGCGATTGGGGAACCAATACTTTGCAGAATATTTTGCAGCAAACCTGTGCGGAGTGGATCGAAATCGTGCCGAGGGCAGGCGGGTCGGTTACAGGATGCATATGCCATGCTGGGTGCTGCTATGCCGTCTAGTTGGGAAGCAACTGATAGAAGAAAACCTTGACTGTTTTGTCGCGACAGTGAAATCATTCTGGTGCTCGGAAATTAGCAACTGGAATCTAAAATCCGTGGAAGGCTACTATGGCACCTACCGTGGCATCATGCCCTGGTCTGAAAGACAATGGATTTGGCCAAGATACGCCGGTGGAAGAAAACCGTCTCTTCCAGAGCCCTGGTTGCGGGCTGATAGCAGGGAGAACCCAGGGGCAATTTCTGATATTCATCAGCTGATTAGAAACGCATCTCTAGTACCTAGTCAGCAATTTGCGATGCACGGAAATCATCCAGTGCACAATATTCCGTTAGACGTTGCGATCATAATCGTGGAGCTAATTCGAGAGGAACCAAACTACGATTTGAAAGGCGTCAGAACTACAAAGAACCTGCTCACTGCGTTTGGGTGGCGCCTACCCAATACTTACTGGCAGTCACATTGCAGAAACTGCTTGGTTTTTGAGGTCGAAGATCTAATACAGGCCGGATCCGAGGTCGACTGGCAATTTCTTTGCCTCGGTCTGGAAGAGCTTATTTTTGGTCACCGCAAGTACTTTAAGAGAGGACTGAGGAATCGGGGCCGAATCATGCAGCTTATTGAAAGGATCAAGGAGTCATTTTTGGTGAGATTGAAGGCTAGCAGCGCCAGCAAAGAAGAGTGAATGTCAATTACAAATTGAATCCGAGCTTTCTGTCTCTTCATCAACTGTCAGATCATACACCACTCGAAAGGTGAATATCCATAGTAGCCTCCCCTGTATGCCATCTCATCCCTCCTTCCATTTCCTACATCACACCCTCATCCGACCAAGACTCCTGGGTAACATCAGCTATTCTTGCCACAGGACGGTCCATTTGCCAAAGGCCCATCAAAAACGTTTCAGACAAGCCTCATACTGGCTGATCACGGGCACTCCTTTCGGTACCTACCCGAAGGACATGATAGGCTACATCGAGGCGTTAGAAGCCAATGGGAAGTGGAAAGACAGCCAAATCCTCCAGAAGTTCTCATCGGCCAATTTGAAAAGGCCGGGTAATGCATTCGACAAAACCAAAAATAAACCTAATCCAGACATTGATGGTACATTGATGTAGCTGAAGAGAATGATTATCGGAATTCTCATGATTCAGCAGCCCTATTATTATTAAGTCTACGGAGACAACGTACTCTGTATACTTCCCTACTGTGCCTGACGAATTCTTGAAAGATGCTAGCAGCCTAAAACGGGGCGTGGCAGGCGGCACAGGAAGAGGTCAATCGGCCAAGATCGAACCAGAGCAGCCGGTGAGAAGATCATCTGGGTCAAACATTGAGAGATTAAGAAAACGAGATACTTTCACGCGGTTATGGCGCATTATGGTTCTATGGCCCATGTCAGACTCTACCCGAATAACATTACAACTCGTAGACACGTGATGGTCACTGGATTTTCGACAAGACGCTCCCCTGCCTGAAGAAGTGTATCCTCTTAGGCGAAGTGGTCCTGTGGTGGACTGCAAGTTTGATTTACGAGCAACTGTAGCGCTCAGCGGGCTGCTTATATGACATAAAACCGCATGGTTTCGACATCCGACATGGACAGAGAGCATTGAATACCTAGATGGGCACCAGGAGGCAAAAGAATGGTACGAGATTAAAGCGGAGGCAAGAGAGGTGCATGCCCTCAACCACATTCTAAACAATCAGTAGCATCTCATGTGTCCTCAATTTATGTTCATTTCTATTCATGTCTTGTATCACAAGGATAAAGCCAAAAATGTATCAAAGAATACTGGCATTCGCAGTCTCTATGTGGCATATTGAGAGCGATAGCTTCACCTGCCATTAGGTTAATTAGGACTACTAGGCAATCAATGAATAATCAATATTCCAGTACGCCAATCGAGTTACATTTGTTGAATATCCAGCTATGGAGGTATATAGCCTTCGATCAATTCAAATACTGTTAGAACCGCTATACAACGTCTACCTTTATGATACAGTCTCCGTTAAGAAAATGATAAGAGAAACAAATCAAATTATTTAGCATCCTGGAAGGGAACTTTATCCGCTTTGCAAGTCGTATTGGCAGCAGGAAGCTGACCCGCCGTCAAGTAAGCCTGGATATTCTCCAAAAGGCACTTAGACGCACTGACGAAAGTAGTGTGCTGGGACAGAATCAGTTAGTCTTCGCTTGTGTCTTCGTTAGGAACAGGAATCACTTACTCCGACTGCGTCCTGCTTGAGGACCACCGACCCGGGAAACACGGAAGACATTTTATAGGCGCTGTGATAGTGTAAGCTATGTGTTACTTCTGGTTCAATTGAATGTACATACTTTCGCTTGGGGGTGGCTGGGTCACTCTGCTGGGTGAGAAACAAGATCGGGAACGAGGTGTTCTTGCGGTCAAGGATGGATCCTAGTTTTGTTAGCTAACCTTCTTTCTCTAGAGTGGAGCAACTTGATATAAGGAGTACCTACCATGTATTCTTCCAGTCTCTGGTGGAGTGACATCCACTGACCGGCAGGAAGCCGCGCCAGAACTAGTGGCAAAGACCTCTCCGAAAAATTCGCTCTCAGCGTTCAATGCCTTAACCCAGTTGCCGTATTGGCTGATGTTCTGGATCTTGTGGCCTCCATAGCCATCAACACATTCAATTAAGACAGAGGAGTCTTGAGTCGATCCGACGGTTCCGTTGTTGCACGGGTTGAACGGTAGGATAGATCCACTCGTCACTGCGAGTGAGTACGCCGTAGTATTACCCTGCTCCAAACCAGCAAGGATATCTGCTAGGAGAGGGAAGTTATTGAGAGGGTCATACAACACCTGCATTAAAAGCGTCTTGAGGTTAGAGTAGGTCGCCAGAATCGGGATGTCACAGGATTCTCCGCTGGGGATGGGAATCGGGTTATATCTGAGACCGGTCAAAATCTTATCAACACGATCGCTGATTTTCTGCGGAGAAGAGCCCCAGAATGAGCACTTCTCCTTCCCAGCCTCGAAGCAGAAGTCAAAGAACCCTTGGTACGCCGCGTCGGTGTCGAACAAATTCGCCTGCCACTTCATCGAGTAGTAGTCTTCGGTATCGACCACGCCGTCCAGGATCATCCTTTCGATCCGATCCGGGAACATATGCGCAAAGGTTGCGCCCAACAGAGTTCCATAGCTGAGGCCATAGAACATCAGCTTACCCTCCTCCTTTGGCTTGCCTGACGCAGCCTGTTCCGCTTCGACGTAAGTCAGCATGTCTCGGGCAACGGCCGGAGTGCTGATGTACGAGGCGTTTCCGTGAGATCCGCCGACCGTTGACGTGCAGGCCTTGCCATAGAATTCCGCAGCTGCATATTGATTGCCGAGAGAACTGGCAGTAGCATTGGAAGTCTCGGAGTAGTACAGCTTTTCGAACTGGGCCCGTTGCTCGGGATGATCGGGCCAGCAGTCCACACGCGGTCCACTCTGTCCAACACTGCGAGGATCAAAGCCCACAACGTGGTGCTGGAAGTTGACAATCCCTCCCAAAGACGGGCCATATTCCATGATGGTGTCGATACCAGAAATTCCCGGTCCACCTAGTATTTGTTGTTCAGTCAGACGGCCTTGTTCGATATCGGACTTTGTTTTCTTTCAGGCACTCTTACCAGGGTTGATGAGCAGACTTTGTGTATCCTTGGTGACATTCTTTGCCTCTATTCTGATCATGGCGATGTCCGTTCTACCCCTATTTGGATCTCCGTAATTGAGGGGAACTTCTAGTCGAGAGCACGTGTAGTTCTGAAAGCATGGCGTCCATTCGAGTTTAGAGGAAGGAACAATCTGAACTATTGTCAGCTCAAAGTCCAAAGGGAGTTTGTCAACTGAAGGTCAATATACCGCGTCCCAAGCGTCCAGCATATGTCGGGATCGTGGTACAGCACGAGCGTAGATACCCTGTATCGAAGCAAGAATAGTGGTTGTCAAAAGACATGACTTCGCAAAGGCCGGAAGGCTCATGATCTGCAACGAGTAGGTGAGCTGAGAGTGAAGCTTGTGTGAGTTATATCCTGCTTGAACGCAAGGCCCTGAGGCCATATAAATAACATGACAGATTAGCAGCATCATGGCAGCCTTGTTAACATTACACAGAGCACCTCAAGTCCATCATACTCTACTTCAAGTATACCGGCTAAGCCTTCCACCAGGCAGTACAATAACACCCAATGCGCAGCCCTCATTGGCGGGCTCGGGAGACAAAATCTGTGCTAACCTGGCTCGGCTTAGCTCCCTGCGGCTTGGCTTTTGGCTATTAATACTCTAAGCAGCTACCTACTGCCATGCGAGTTTGTTGACCGGTTGGTCTTATGAGGATTATAACGCTGTGTTCCATAACACAGGAGTGACCTGGTTACACTAAATACTCCTATTTTCAGTTATCATTTTGTCCTATTTATCCCAACACCTTCCTATTTTCGAGCTTGGCGCTCAAAGGATTTCTCCCCACATCCACCTAGGCAAGGTAGTAAATTTCTGTACCTTGCAGCTTCAGTGTAGTATTTAGCATGAGTCATCTGCATCTAATTCTATGTTTTGTCTTCAAAATCTCGGGTATCAAAGGAACTGTCAACCCTTCTTCTGTTCAGATTGCCTCTTTCTGGCTTTGGGGGGCGGGGGCGAAAAGAGCAAGCGTATTCCGAGGATGTAGAACCTTGCTTCGTATTGATAGTCTAGTTGATGTACGTTGTATGGGAGGGGGTTGTATGTACTGTACATACTCCCTGAATAAAACTAAATGAGGCGGTCATGAAAATGGTTGCTGAGGAAGAAGAAGCCTTCTAGGATGCATACATGAGATGGCCAGGAAGGGTAAGTGGAATGCTTGGCATAAGACAACCTCAGGCATCGGCGTCGCTATCTTATTAGACGGGACTAGACCCCCCAACTTAGCCCCACCTGGCGTGTGCCTGGGGCAGACTTGCGCCGTCCGGTTCCAAAAGGCCCCAACTTTGTCGGTCGTTTTCCTTCATCTACCGTTGCGTTGATCATCAAGGATCATCTCGGCGCTCCCGTCTGGTTTTCTATATGGCATCCGTCTACTCGATTCGAAAGCCTATCGTCCCTCTCCGTTCTCGTTTGGGGTGTAGAACCTGCCGGTAAACACCCACACACTCCGCTCATACCTCTACCAGACCTGAGCACCGACCAACCCACTGATCGTTCCATAGAATCCGCAAAGTCAAATGTGGACAAGAAAAACCACATTGTGTGCGCTGCACCAGCACAGGCCGCAAATGCGAGTATGATAGCCCTGTATCCAACACATTCTCCTCAACTCCGTCGACCAACTCTATCCTGGACCGTTCCCTCTCCTCTTCGCCGAACACGGTGTGGCGGGAGCGTCGCGCATTCGCTTACTATTCCGAGCATGCCGCATCGTTCATGGCAGGAGATTTAGATCTTGGGTTCTGGCGGAAAGTAGTCCCGCAGGTGTGTCGAAGGGAGCCCGCTGTCTGGGATGCCGTGAACGCCATCAGCGCACTGTTCGAGAGTCCCGATCCATGCCTAGATCCAGTTTTCTTGCGTCGAAATCCTGAGATGTTCCAGGCTCTCGATCAAAGCCACCAGGATGCGCTTACTTGGTACTCGCGGTCCTTATCCACGATTCGGAGCCAGATCGACCGGGGGACTGTCGACACGCACACGGCCTTGGTAAGCTGCGTGCTGTTTGTCTGCATTGAGACTCTCCAAGGTCATGTGGAATCGGCATTAGAGTTATATCGACAGGGCGAAACCCTCATCCTGGATCTACTCAACAGGGGTATCGGGAGGAGGATGTCTATAGCGGAATCGACCTTTCTCAAAGAAACAGCCATTCCTCTCTTTCTACGATTAGGGACCATTGCTCTTTCCATTTCAGGTGTTCCCCCAAGTCGTCTCATCGGCACTCACGATATTATGGTAGGAAATCAATTTGCTTCCCTCGACTCCGCCCGAGCGGCTCTCACACCCCTTGTTTCCGAAATTATGCTTTTCCAGCGGGCCGCAGAGGAGCATGTATTAGCTGTCGGTGGCGAGTTACATGTAGCCGGGGAACTTTTCGCTCAACAGAAAGCTCTGGTAGCACGAATTGAAGACTGGCATTGTGCCTTCCAGCGATTGCTTACATCCGCTCAAAAGCCACGGGATAGCGCAGCTGCCAACCTTCTGACATACTATGCCGCCGCCAAAATTCTCGTCTCGGTCTGTCTGGCATCAGATGAAGCAATTTATGATGCACACCTATCCGACTTTCAGACTATCGTTAATCAGGCTGAAATAGCTCTGGAGCTGTCGGCCGGGTTGAATGGTGCTCAGCCGCCATTTACATTCGAGATGGGAGCGGGTCTGCCACTTTTCCTAGCAGCAATGAAGTGTCGCCATCGTGCTATCCGAGCAAAAGCTTTGCAGCTGTTGCGCAAATCTCCCCAGGTACAGGGATTTTACAAATGCACTCCTGGTGCAGCTTTGGCTCAAGGGATTGCAGAAATGGAGGAGGGCCTTAGCAGTACTATGCTAAGCCCCGATCGTCACACAGACGCAATGAGTCCAGCCTCCACAATCACTGCAGATGAGAATGTTTCTAACACCCTCGGTCGTTCTTTGACAAAAACGCCAGATTCGGAACGTCCAGGAGTACCCAGGACCCCTCCGCAGTCTCCAAATAGCGTCTTTTCAAGCCCGATGATCATTCCCAATCAAGCTCGAATCAAATTCGTTGGCATGTTTAGACCACAAGACACTCCATGGCACGTGGGAAATCATGACCTTTCGAAGTGGAAGCGGGGACCAGATCAACTCTACATGAAGTTTATGCTGTATCGATATGATATAACCAGCGGACTATGGGAGTGGGTTGACGACGTCGTGCCGGTAGACTATTGAACGAATCATTGCTATTGAACGGGATGAACAGAGTGAGCTGGACGATGGTATGAAATCGTGTTTGATGTTATATACGTAGCGCGTTTCTATATATGGTCATGACTATTCTATCCCAGCCCATGAATGTTCAGCCAAGTCCTGCTTGCCGATATCATTGTTGCTCGGTCTGGTCTGTCATCCACACTCGGCCCCTATATTCCTCGATGTCCTTGAGGGATATACCAATGATTCCAGTCGTGGTCAGGGAGACAGACTGTTGTATCTGAGTCTCTTAACTCGGTCAGACTGTAACATCTGCATGCTCTGATTATCGGCGTCTCGAAGCAAGTCGTATGCCTAGACCTATCGGCGTAGTATTCCTTTCTCATAATACCAAGCTGCATTGTCATCTAGGCCATTCCGGAGGCACTTCGATCATCATATTTTACCCGAGCTTCACGAGCCATCCAGGCTAAACTTCGTAGACGCAGTTGCCGCATGTACAGTCTCTGCTCGTCGGACATTTCGCGCTCTTGCGGGTCGTTCTTGAAGTTGCCGGTGGCAAGGGAGTGGATGGAGTAGCCGATGAGGACGGAGACGATGCAGCCCAGGATAATGAGGACGATGAAACCTTCACGAGTGATCTTATCCATGATTGCTGAGTGTCTAGAAAGTTGACAAAGTATGAGTATTGCACATCAGACACTCTTGGACCAATCTTGTGACCACCTACCGATGATAAAAATGTCCAATAAGAAGTAATTGTTCAAAGTAACTGACTCAGCAGTAAGTTTCCCGGAATGTATGTATGTATGTAGATGCAAAAGAGTGAACGAAGAAAAAACGAAAGAATGGTGAGATAGATAGATATAACGAAAGGCCCGATTGAATGAATGATCTGCCTCTCTTCCACCTGCCACGCGAGTACATTTATATCCCTCTCCCTCACCATTCCCCTGAAAACTCTTCCCCCAAACCTCTTCTCACCATCTTTATTCTCGTCCCTCTCGACCGGTCTATCATTTTGCATCTACACCCCAAAACAGTCTAGCGCTGCATCCTCATCCGGGCAATGATGTCATTAGCGACCTGGCCAATCAGACGTTCAGATACAGACCTGCTCGGGGCCTAATGCAGTTTAGCGCCCTGCCGGTTATTGTACAACCCAGCCAATGAACACCGCGAGATCAAGAATAGATACACGGTGGACAATGCAGGCTCTACCTAGACCGGACTTGGACTGGGGCTGACAGTCTGATACTCTGAGTAGGTAGCTTACTATGTACCTAGATGATCCAGAATGTTTCACCTATCAGGGGCATGCAGGCTGTGACAGCGGATACGGCATGCAGAGTGGTCCTAGCCCAGCTTACCTTGGCCTTTGAACCAGCTTCCAAGACCAGGAGAGGTGGGAAAGACCAGATCAATCGTTTACATTGGACGGTCAGTCCAGACGCGCGCCATGTCTCGACCCCACTCTCCACGAACCGGGCTTTCATTTGTAAGGTACTTTGATATGAGGGGTCAATGAGGCTGTGGTACGTCTCACTCTCTATAGGGTACGAGTTGCTAGGAAATTATATCTGCTGTCAGCGGTAGAGGCAACGGGATAGAAGGGGGCCCATAATTTGAAGCGGATAATCTGCGGACACGGTGCAAATCATCAAGTGCATTCACTCTGTTAAACGAGAAGCAAGTCACGGCATATGCAGACAAACAATGCTGTCTACCTTTATATCTCCTCGTTTTGTCCGAATGCCAAGAAATGGCCGAGTTGTCGATGGCGTTGGATAAGGGATGACTAAGCCAATCTGGCAAACACGTTTATTGCCCATGTATGCTTGTCGGATTGTTGTGAATAAAAGAAATCTTATCGAGAATGGTACCGGTTCTATCTTGATGTAGGTAAAGGGAAAAGAAAAACAAACCTCTTCAATTCGTCTACCACTTGCCGTTCTATATTCCGGGTGCCGAAAAATATCGGACAAAAAGAAATGCTCACACTCGGATTCGAACCGAGGATCTCATGATTACTAGTCATGCGCTTTACCAACTAAGCCATGCGAGCTGATTGGTTGGGGTTGCTGTTTTTTGATATATAATCCAAACCAAGACAAAGTAAGTTGTTCCAACATCTACTTTCTCATCTTTCAAATGTCAACTATACACAAACTCTATGACTATGTCTTTCTCGAGATTTCCTTCAAACATGAGTATATTCTCTGTCTTCCCATGGATGCCTTACCTCTGGTAACGAGTCAAAAATCCCGCCTAAAGAACAAGAACAAGGCACAGACCAACCACTTAAACTAGTTATCCCCATAGTGACTTTCGGCACCCTTTGTTCGAACTCAATTCTTTTTTCAATCAAACATGTTCATTCACTCAGTTACCCGATGGAGATACTATGGCATCGGCGCCGGGAATGCAAATGAGGAGATATACATGTATATATACTTCCCGTGACGTCCCACGGACCCGAATAGGAGATGACGACATTATATATAAACGACTATTTCCACCCCTGACACCCATTTCCTCCTCACCCCACTTGAATCTACCTACCAGTATCTCAACAAAACCACACTCAAATCCAACCAGCAAAGAAAAATGACCATCACAATCCTCCCCGGATCAACCCAGACCGCGCAAGCGGCTATTCGCGCCATCCTCAACGACAGCCCCTCGGCGAAAGTCCAAGCCATCTACCGCAACCTCTCGAAAGTCCCGGATGAATTCGCATCTAATCCTCGCTTTCGCGCCGTGAAAGGCGATATCGACGACCCTTCAACGATCGATCTATCTGGCACCGATGCGCTCTTCGTGGTCACACCTCCGCGGTTCGATGGCGCAGACACGTTCGAGTGCGCGAGAACGACGGCCGAAAATGCTAAGGCTGCGGTTCGCAAGGTAGGTGTGAAACGGGTGGTTTATTTGTCGAGTATTGGGGCGCATTGCGAGAGTGGCACGGTATGTACTATGCTCTCTGTCTTTGCCGGATTGGTTCATTTTATCCTCGTGCATGGATGGGTTGATTGTATAGACCGCCTGAGCTGATTTGAACCCGACAGGGCGAAATCTTGGCAAACCATATCCCAGAAACGATCCTGAGAGACGCCGCACCAGAAGTCGTCTTCATCCGGTGTGGCTATTTCATGGAAAATTGGGCGACCGCCATACCGACGGTGAAGTCGGATCCGCCGTTTTTCTTCACCACTATCACGCCGTTGGAGTATGAGCTTCCGATGGTCGGTCTTCTCCCCACCCCCATCCCCCCCATTTCATATTTCCCAACAATCCCAAGCTAACAAGTTCACAGATCGCCGTAAAAGACATCGGCCAATCAGCCGCCACCCAGCTCCTGGGCACAGCTCCTCTCCCCGAAAGTCCATATATCTACGAACTGCACGGACCGAGATCCTACCACTCTCGAGACGTGCAGAAGGCGTTCCAAGATGCGGTGGGAAAAGAGGTTGAAGTGAAGCCAGTTGAGAAGACAGATTTAGGTCCGTTCTTTGCGCAGTTCCTGCCGGGTCCGCTTGTGCAGCCGTTTGTGGAGATGACGCTTTCGTTTCTGGAGGGTGGGATTGCGTTGCAGAATCCAGCGGAGGTGCCGAATGTGCAGCGAGGGAAGACGGAGTTGGGGGAGGTGATTTGGCGGTTGTATCGGGGGTGAAGCTTTGTTGGGATATGATGGTATTATGGATGGATGCACATGCTATTACAGTTTTCTATAGCCCCAGATTGTCAATTATTATGAGGTTTAATGGTCCAAATTCCCTCTCGTTCAAACTCATCCATCTCCCTCTTCCCAGACTGTAAAAGAACAAGGGTCCGGGAGTAAGAAAAATTTGATCTATGAAAAAAGCAGAATTGTAATATCTTCATGCTGGGAATCGAATTCTCTCGATTTCGAGGCCTAACATAGAACTAGTCCCATTGATTGCATCAACTGTATACAGAATCACTTTCAGGTGTCTAACCACCTAGGTATTTATGAATCAACAGCAAGGATCATGAAAGAGTTATTCAAACTATAGTTTAAATCTCGCTAAGGTTAGAATCTATCAAGACATGTAACCAAGCAATCTCTCCAAGCCACCAAAGAGTCTTCAGTAATGAGAAGTCAAGGACCCACCTCATATACTGCCAACTCACTCAGTAAACACAATAATCGTTTCCCCATCTAGCACTATGGCATCTGGCCGCACATGTTTTCTCGTATCTGACACCACTGACCGACGGTCTGCAGTAGAACAAGGACGCCTCGATATGGTATTTATCGGAAATTGTATTGGCCTCGGTTAATGCTTTTATAATATTACGTGAATAGTGTTCGCCTATATGGTAGATAGCAGTCAGGAAACCTAGACTTGGGAAGACTTGAGTAGATGAGAGATGTTTTATATCGAAACGCTCACATGTTTCCACCAGATCCCATCCACAATAGTAGAAATGGGCTTTGCAGTCATGAGCGCGGTTACAGTAGCCAGGACAGCAAATAAACTAGCGAGGATGACGACCTTCACTGTCTGAGCTGTTCTAGGGGCCACAGACTTTGTTATGGAGGGTGGTGGTGCGAATTGTTTGAGGATTCATAATTGCTGGATCAAGTAGCACTTTATATAGCAGGGATCTGTGTCTCTTGACGTCGTCTTGTTCTTCAAAAAAAGTGCCATAGCGGAGAGAGCTTCCGCAACTATAAGCTTCTGTAAACAAGGAAAAGGGTAGCTAAAGCCACCATATTGTAAGAATTCCCTGTGTTAACTCTCTGGATGTCATCGAAAGGTCTTACGGAGGTAGTTTCCGTAACCTAATAGGTTATAAACTGACTTGAATTAACATTTATTTCAATCCGATTAGTTCAAAAGATCGAGACAGGGAAGCCTTCAAAAGCTTTCAAGTACAAGGAACTCCAACAGATAATACAGCAAGAATGCATTATACTACACACCTGTTACTACCACAGCTCAATCTCTCCTGCCACACCACTATCTGCCTATCCCAGTTTAGCTTCGGAACACCATTCTGATAGGCTAGCCTATTTAAGTAACTCGACGCCTTAGTGCCTCACACAACCCACATGTCCAGGCCGTGGCAATACCAACCCGATTTATCCCGACACCTCCAAGCCCAGACTATTCCATGGAAATCTCGACAACAACCTTCCATTCACCAAACCAACCTCTAACCGACATGTCAAACCCACCAACCCTAATATTCATTCCCGGCTCCTGGCACAAACCCATCTGCTACGACCCCGTCATAAAACTCCTCCAAGACCAACATGATCTGAAATGCATCGCAATCACACTCCCGTCTACGTCGGGAGACCCCGCAGCTACATTCAAAGATGACGTCGATGTTGCGCGCGCCGCTATCGCGGATGAAATCAGCCACGGTCGGAATGTGGTTGTCGTGGCGCATTCGTATGGTGGGATGGTGGGGAACAGTGCTATCAAGGGGTTTGCGAAGACGCAGCATCATCAGTATCAGCAGCAGCAGGAGGAAATTCGAGATGTTGATGCCGACGTCGACGCCAACGCTAACAGCAATACCACTGGCATTGCCGCAGACAGCGAAACACAACAATCGACATCGGATATAACAGACACAAACACACACAACGACACAGCCCACGGCAACATAATCGGTCTAATCCTCATCGCCTCCGGCTTCACCCTAACGGGCGTCGCATTCATGGACCCATTCCTCAGCCGCCCACCCCCCAGCTGGCGCATAAACCCCTCAACGGGGTACGCAGAGCTTGTCACGCCACCCGAAGAGTACTTCTACCACGACCTGCCCCCGTCCTCAGCCGCGTACTGGACATCGCAGCTGACGACGCAGAGTCTCAAGGCCTTGTTCGAAGGCCGGGAGTACGCGTACGCGGGGTGGCGCGACGTGCCGACCTGGTATATCGGGACGGTTGAGGATCGCGGGTTACCGGTGTTGGCGCAGCGGATGCAAGTGGGCATGGCGAGGGAGATGGGGGGGAGGGTGCAGCATCGGGAGCTGCAGACGAGTCATTCGCCGTTTCTGAGCCAACCCGGGGCGACGGTTGGGATTATGGTGGAGGCTGTTGAGGCGTTTGTGAGGGAGGTGGGAGGGGATGATGGGTTGATCAGGGGGAGGAGAGAAGGTGGACGGGGCGAAGTGGTGGCTGTTCGTCCGGAGGCGACACTCTGGAGGCCATTATCTTGGTTCAAGTTTGGATTGCCACTGGTTTTGGGCCATGTGGTGGGAAGGGGTATTCTTGCATTTGCCTGGGGGAAGAGGGTATGGAGGTCAAGGCTTGGGTTGCGTAGTGTTTGATGTTAGAGGTGAGAGCTCTATACTAACCAGTCTCCACTCTACAGGCGTTAAAGATTTATGAAGGATTGTATGATTAGGAAGAATTAATCAAGAAACTGCATTGCAAGAATATTTCTAGTCAAAGTAGATGTTTGAGAATTCCTAGTTTCCTTCCACCGAACGGTGCTGGCCTACGTCAACTAGATGTTCCAGCAGATCTCCGAAAAAGATGTAGAAATTACAGCAATCATTTCCATCGCACGCTTCTCTGCTCGCTGGATAGGATCTGGTATACGCAACTCACCTGGTTTATTGTCATGTACTATGTCAGAACTTGCACGGACTGCAGGCCTCTTTCCAATTGAATTAACCAAAAATCCCAGTCCTGCACATACCACTGGCTTTAAGTGTCTAGGGGCGGAAATTATGCTCACCGAACCCTGAACACTCATTCGGCCCCAGACGTCGATCCCTTCTGAAGATATTAGGTCCCAATCCAATAGTTGAGCGCAAGTTGTGGTCAAGCCTAGACTAAACCAACTAGGCCGGGATGGTATGTCCGCTGCGCTGCGCTCGACCAGTGATATCGCAGATCAACGTTGCGCTCCGGAGAGTTATCGGGACGATCCCATCTAACCGAATTTCAATTCTGGCGTATCTTCACGAAGATCTCTCCCACCCAATGCGTGAGCTTGATATGAATTGAAATTATCCCCGAGTGATCGGCCCGTTGCCTGCAGAGTTGATGCAATGTAGTCGCGCTGAGGACCGAGCATAAGGTATAAAAGACCACTGGTTTAGCCCGGTTCAGGGTCATTATCTGCTTTCAGTCAACCATTGAATTTCTTGATATTCTTCTTCTCACCAGTGAAGCAATGTGGAAAAAATCTTTACTCTCCCTCAATATCCTCGCTGGTGCCGTGGTGGCATCGCCACGGTTCCCCGTCTTTAGGAGACAGGCCGATGTCGACTCATTCATCGAGAAGCAAACACCCATCGCCAAACAAGGGGTTCTCGACAATATCGGCGCCGATGGAGAGCGCGTCGAAGGAGCTGCAGCGGGAATCGTAGTGGCTTCGCCGTCGAAGGAGGACCCAGACTGTATGTTGAGGTCATAAACTTCGCCTGACTGCATTGCTAACTATATCAGACTTCTACACTTGGACTCGGGATGCAGGCCTTACCATGCTGGCGGTCATCGAGCAATTTCTCGCTGGCGATGACTCGCTTGAATCTCTAATCCAGGATTACGTCGACTCGCAAGCCAAGCAGCAAACCGTCTCGAACCCATCTGGTGATCTCTCCGACGGGTCTGGACTGGGAGAGCCAAAATATTACGTCGATATCTCGGAATTTACTGATTCCTGGGGCCGTCCGCAGCGCGATGGCCCGGCCCTGCGTGCTTCAGCGTTGATCGCATATGGCAACTCGCTGATTGCCAAAGACAAGAAGTCACAGGCACAAGATAACATCTGGCCGATTGTTCAGAACGACCTGGCGTACGTCGGTCAATACTGGAATGAAAGCACGTTCGATCTCTGGGAAGAGGTCCAAGGCTCATCTTTCTTCACGACCGCCGCCCAACACAGGGCCTTGGTTGAGGGCAATGCTTTCGCAGAAGCGCTGGGTCAAACCTGTGACTCCTGCTCCGTGGCACCTCAGATCCTCTGCCATCTCCAGGATTTTTGGAGTGGCTCAGCTGTTATCTCCAACATTCCAACAAGTGGCCGCAGCGGTCTAGATGCCAACTCTCTGTTGGGATCCATTCACACCTTCGACCCAACCGCAGCGTGCGACGATGCCACCTTCCAGCCTTGCTCTCCTCGTGCGTTATCCAACCACAAGGCTGTTGTAGACTCGTTTCGGTCGATCTACAACGTTAACGAAGGGCGGGGTGCGGGCAAAGCAGCCGCAGTGGGTCGCTATGCGGAGGATACCTACCAGGGAGGAAATCCATGGTTAGTATTTGCGCATCCACATTGGGAGTCTCGACCATGCTAATGGAAACTAAGGTATCTTACCACCCTGGCAGCCGCAGAGGTGCTGTATGACGCACTCTATCAATGGGACAAGCAGGGCAGCCTGTCCGTCACCGACACGTCCCTGTCTTTCTTCAAGGACATTGCCAGCAATGTCACCACTGGGTCATACTCCAAGTCATCGGCCGAGTATACCTCCCTCACCAAAGCCGTCAAGACATATGCGGATGGCTTCGTGTCAGTGGTGGAGGAGTATACACCCAGCAATGGCGGGTTAGCCGAGCAGTTCACCCGCGACAACGGGGAACCAACATCGGCTACGGCCTTGACCTGGTCATTTGCATCTTTCTTGACATCAGCCTCGCGACGAGCCGCCAAAGTCCCTGCTTCCTGGGGCTCTTCGGCATCAGAACTGCCAAGCCAGTGCAGTGGGGATACGGTGACGGGGAGTTATGTGACTCCAACCCCGGTTCATGGTAGCGTCGCAGGGAGGGGGTTGACCACGAGCGGCAAGGAAGATGTACCGACTATCGGAAAGTTAGTATTGAGCCACAATGTTGGTAATCGGAGTAGGAAATGGCGGACGTGTCCATTGCAGTAGTGTCAGGTGCTATTGGCCATGATTGGGTCTCATTGGTAGATCGTGTGTATTGTTGGAGAACTGAGCACATGCTTCTAAATCGCCGGTGCCATGTCCCAAACTCCTAGCGTCCATATAGCGTCTGAGATATATTAACGTCTTTCAGCTGACAGGAGACCGCAATGCACAATGCATCCAAGGCTGGTGTTCCACTGCACACCATACCGGTCTGATTGCTGCTGAACGCGTAATCCAACAACTGACAAATGATCAACGTTCGGAATCCAAAAATGGTGACCAACAGTTTGCACTGGGGATAAGAGAACGATGGACGGAGCCTCGCTTGCAACTGCCCATTGTTCGAGACGGTGTCATCGTTGACCCACAGGGCTGAGATAAGCCACCACGTGTCGCTCGGCCCGAACTAGCTGGAACAGGAAGGTCAGTAGTAGCCTGGAGGCCTGGGGCACAAACACATAAGGGCCCCGGAGTAAGGATGGAGAACGAGTGCCGGAGACCGCTGTTAGATAGCCAGGGGGTCCCATTCGTATGTACTAGAAGCACCCATGAGAGCACATATGAGGCGGTAATGGCAATAATGACTATGATTTTAGGGCAAGGCTGGATGCATGGGTTTCATATTGTTGGTGTCATTTCATAGGCCCAGACCAAAGGCCATTGGGTTACTACTTACGACTTAAATTGCTAGTACACTATAGGCATTCTCAACTAGACAACTACATAGTGGTGGCACACAATTACAAATAGTAGGTAATTGTCTAACATCGAAGCTTGTGCCTCCGTTTCGTGCCATGCCTGGCCGGGGTTGCATTCGTCTCTACTAGACCACAACTCGTTGGTGCCGGCGTCAGGATCTACGCCTAGTACCAGTCCATTGGCACGTCTAACAAGAATCTAATATACAATAAATGAAATCAAACTGCGAATGACCACTAGCACGGGGTCCCTTTTAATCTCCCCTTCTTGGTTTCCAAGTCGGCGGCCCGAGTAGCCCTCTACGGAGTACGTGGCCAAGTAATCCATGCGTATGAATGGAACAGGAAACTATTTTAACATATTCATGTACATACATGATAACTTCCGAGTTACAATGCCTGTATGTTGAATTGAGACAAACAAGTCACCTCTCCAAACACTGTATCAAAGATTGAGGAAGACAAGTCATCCACTCCATTGCATCATAAGTTAGTGGCGAGTGTTCGTTTCCAGTGATCATACGGACCCAAGAGGAACCGGGCACGGAGTCAAACGGAGCCATTGGGCTAAAATATTACGAAGAACAACAGATCAGAGTGCAATCTTGCCATTTGGGGACCCGTATGCAGTGGTCCAGAAATCCCTCTTCAACCCTTAGTTATCGAAATGCATGGCGATGGGTAGATCCGCTTGCTACAGTGATAAAATCACGGCAAATGCGGCTTAGCCTTTGAGCTATGCTAAGAGAAATTCACCCTCAACAAAATCTCACCATCTAAAGTGTTCTTGTTGTCCATGCTAATTCGGTTGAAAATGAAGGCAACTCAGACCCGAGATGGATATTTTAACCTCTCAATGCTTCTCCGTACTCCGTACATTCAAGATGAACTATAGAGTAGCGCAATTTCCGTACCTGTTTCTCGTGACATCTTCATTCTAATTTGGGTAAGGTGTGCCATCCTGTGATTGAAAATCTTGGGACTAGAGTAGGTTAACGTGGACAGCCGATTGACCCAAATGGCATACCGTGACGACCCATACTATTCCGACAAAGGACTTCCGGTGGATTAATGGCGGTGTAGACAAAATTGCTACCACCCAATGAACCGGCAAGATCATTCTCTTTCTCATTTCTTCCGGTTCTTTCATCCGAAATGACGCCGTCAAAACGAGGCTGCAAGTTTCCCCTTCAGGCCGAAGACATGACACATATCTGGTTTTGGCGCTTGGCATAGGGTTAGTTTCTGCATGTTTGCTTTTCCCGTTCGTTCAGCTGGCGGCAGGCAAACTTTGGTGTTATGCGAGATAGACATCACTTCGACTTGAGAGGTGAGATTATCTTGCACTTTCTCTCATCATATTCTCCACGGCGGACACAGATGTCAGCTCCGAGTCTATTCTGTTTTCTGTAACATGACATGAGACAGTCATACGGAGCTAGGGGAATCGGCACAGCCGATCTCCCATTGCTTATTTTATAACCGAGCTGTGCATTAATTTCCTTGTGGCCAGCACTTTCTTTTTTGTCAGGGAAAGTACGGAGTACCCCCACGATGATGATGTTTCCTTTTTTGTCACCGTCGGATTCAACCGTCCCCGCTCACCAACGAAGAAGAAAGGGGGACGCACTGCCACATGTTCACCACGCCGTGGCAGCAAAAAGCCGCCCCTTCTGTAGCAGCAAAAAATAGTAACAGGAGAACACGAAACCAGTATCGTCAGGCAAGCTTAGGCTATTCTTGGTGGTATTCTAGGGCCAATTTCCAACAACAGCCGACAGGAGCTCAATATTGAACTTCCCCCCAATGCAGGGCCTAGAATATTCGAGACGAAAGTAAAGATAACTGTGCAGGATGCATTTCTGCCCCTCGGCCCCAAACCCTTCGAAACTAATGGTGATCTCGGCTAGCCGTGTCGCCGTGAAGGCCTTGCAGCTGGTAGTTCAGTCCGAAACATTGGCAGGTATTTCGGCGTCTCCCGCGTCTTAGCAGAGTAGGGGACAATTGGCGGCGCGCAGATCCGTGATCATTTGATCAGATGAATGCTATGCCCGGAAAAGATTGAGGAAGAAGCGCACAAATAACGGGGCATGGTCAGGGGGGGAGGGGGGAAAGACAGCTGCAGATCCGCTCGAGAATCGGGGGAGCCAAGCAATACTTTGCTCTGATTTGGGTTCTCCTTGCACGAGTTCACTGCATGTAGCCCTGAACTACGCCCTAAGAGTCTCGCGTTGATCCGGGGCCGCTCATAGAACAGTCAATAGCTGGACACTAGAGCTGGAAGGAGGGTCGCATCACTAAGTTGGCACGTATCACACCGTACTGCATACTGTGTAGCTCCGTACTCCGTAGTATATGCGAGTCGGACCCGGCCCTTTCGTTTTTTCAATCTTCTCTTTTGTTAAACTGATTGACTCACTCGCTGCCTAATTCGTCAGTACTAATGAATAGAATAATAACTTTAGACGCCGACCACGCGAGCTGCCAAGGCGACGGACCCGATGAAAATCATCGGAGCGACACCCTGTCCCTCTTTTTGTCGGGATGGGGGGAAGGAAAAAAAAATTAAGGAAAAAAATGACAAAGGAATTATGCATGTTGCGATCCTCGTGGCCTTTCCAGGGTATTCCACACCACATGCCATGCCACATGGCGCTTGGAGTAGATGAGGGGGTGCCGGAAGATAGATTGGTAATGACCTTGTCTAGGGACCCATGCGAAATTGAAAGGGTCGCGCAAATGCTTCTGCGGGAATGGTCTGGCACCTTGCTCCGTCGGCTAGGAAGGGAGGGAGGGGCGCAGGGGTGTTAGTCTGTTAGACCGACTTAGTTCGGCGCTTGCAGGAGACGGTGCCAACGGTGGCGGGAATTGGGTGATTTTTTTGAATCTTCTTTTCCTTTCTAGAGAAGACACTTCGTGGTTAGCAAGAGTAGGCTCGTTCAAGGTCATGTCAGCATTCTCCACCCGCCAGGGTGCAACGGTATGAGTGAAGTCCGTACTCCGTTCGGGGAAAGACGGACTAAAAAGGTCACTAAGCTACGGAGTAACCAAAAAGACAGAGCCAGCAGGATCGATAAAAGTGCGCGGCACGTGGAGACCGGCCGATCGTTTGATCCTGGAAGGCTCAGCTTAAACTTTATAGATTAGAAAGAGGGAGAACAAGAAGGAAAGGAGGGGGGAAAGAGGGGGGGGGGAAATGCGTTATTGGTTTCAACTAGATAGACAGATTCCATGGGAGCGAGGGACTCCGGTCGAGGCGATCGGAAAGATCTGCAGTTGGGACGGTCCCGCATGTCTTTCGTTTGTCTCGTCTCGTTCTCGGGCTCTCCGGCTGTCGGTCAAATCTGTCGCTCGTGGCGATGGGGATGTTGGAAGATGGAGCTCTGGAGCGTCCGTTGCGGGCGTGGCACCTTTAGTTTGGGGAGCATCAGAGGCGCGGACCCATGGAGTTGACAATCCCAGATCATGGCGGCTTCGGAAGCGTGTCGCCGAGAAACGGCCCCAACATTTAATGAGGATAGACCAGGATATGTGTGGAGAAAGAAATGGCGCCGGCGAAAGTGGCTGTCATCAGCCGTGGTTTACGGAGTTCAGGGAGGGGAGTGAATTCAGAAGAGTGGAAGGGAAGCGTTAGTAGCGACGGAGGAAAGAAGTAGTGCGGCGCATCAAGTGACTCGGCGTCATGGGGTTTGCACCTCAACCGTTGGTTAATTAATTTATTCCTGCCGTCTCGATCGACGTCCTGCTTTTCCATTTTCCCTTCTACGTACTGCGTATCGGCCCCCTCCTTTTTTTTTGAATTTCAACGTTGCTGTTAGCTCCGAGTATGAAATGATTCATGAACGCAAAAAAGGGCCCAAGTCCTCGTTCCCATCCAACTGTTCAGCACCAGACAGGGTCCGCGATCTGACGGTGGCTGTCATCCACCACCCACTTGGCGCCTACCGAGTACAGGGCAATTCAGGCATCCTCATCGTCATCCACCGTATTAACCAAAAGCAACGACGTGTCATGCCCATGGTCTGACCGTCTCCGCCCGTCGAGACCGAACGAAACAGCTTTCCCGCCGGCGTTTCGACCTGGGTGTTGGCTTCTTCTTCCCCCCTTCGCCAATCCATGCGAGAATCAGTCAGAGCAAGGGCGCCCCCCAACGGAATATGACTTCACTGGGGACTTTTTTTTTTTAGCTCCTCCAGTCTTTCCCAGCAGATATCGTCATCACGATGGTGGGCTTGGGGTTGTCGATCTCTTTCTGGATCGATGTCAAGGGTCAGCCTGTGGGTTTATTATATTTTATTTCGCGGTTAATCTATTTTACGTGAGATTGTTCTTTTGACTCAAATAAGATCCTAGAGCTACTGCGTACTATCCAAAAACCGCATGAGATGCGGCGACCTCTATCTAACAAGAAGAGAAAAAAAATAAATAAAGTTGACCGGCCGAATTGTCCCTCATCCCCAACCTTGAATCATCTGGTTACAACCCTAATTCGGTCTCTGTTCTAGCTTCCACCTCCCCCCCTTATACCAAAATCCAGACCGAAAAAAAGCACACCATAACATCTGGCGATGCTGATTGCAAAGAGCGGATCCATTAGTGGCTGGCGTCAACTCTGCCAACTTAGTGGGGGCCAGACGTATTGACGTATTGGCCAAAAGTCCTGATACATCCGAACAAGATTCATTCCTCCCCTCGATCATCGTCATGTCATCTGCGGGAACCATTCCTTCCACTGTTAATCCCGAATGGATTCTAGGGTTCAGGCGCCTGTTTCGTTCGGGTTGCTCCCCTTTTTCCCCTCTCTTCCCCCCCCTTCGTTCATATTCCCCCTCTGTTAGACCGGATGGCATGGACAAATCGCATCCGTTCTTTGTCCTCTGGGGAAAGACAGAGGAAAGGGATTCCGATTAAACTGCCCATTGCTTATCGCCATGTGGTTCCGGATCTAAATTGTCCTTCTTCCTATCACGACGATCCATTATTGTTTGACTCCACGTATGTCTGGCCGTGTCTTACTCTTCTCCGAGTCCGGTACCCGCTCTGGCTGGCTCCGATATACGAATCGGGAATATCCTGGCACCTTTGGCCCCCAAATCACTAATCAGTCCATCGACCAAAGAAAATTGAAGGAGAATGGAAAAGACCACACTACTTGTGGCGTTTGTTAGCCTCTTGGGGCTGAAATGGAAATGAAAAATAAAATAAAATAAAAAAACGGAGACAGGGTGACAGGGGAAGGCGAAACGCCAGACACTGAAGCAACTGGAGGTAAGGGTCTGAAAAAATAAGAAAAAAAAATCCCGAAACTGAAAAATCACGAACAAAGAGACAGACCATCACCCTTCTAGTTCGGACTTCCCCAAATGCCGGGGCCAGGGGGGGATCGTGGTGGAAGAAAGAAGAAGAGACACTAAGGAAGACCAGCCTACTCCCCCCGGCTCAACGACGGCTCCAGCACCTTGTTTCTTGTTCACGGGATTCAAAAAGGCTCCGTCCTCAATGGGTCCGTCCACTCCACGGCGCAACCATGCTTTTTGCCCATTGACCAACGTCGGCTGCCTATTTCAAGCCCTGCGGAGTGGATCCCCCAGTCCATTTTCAGTCCAGGTGATTCCTGATCCCATTTGCAGACGGCTCCGTTACTGGATTGGATGCCCTCCAGGTCCCAGGAAGGCGAAAATCATTTGCAGGGCCATTCTGCATCTGGTATTCCGAATTCTCCCTCTAGCTCGTAATTATTATGCGCGCATCAACAAAAAAAAGGCACGCACAAATCGAAAATCAAAAACAAAATCCGTACCGCGAAAATCCAAGCGCCGTCTTGTAGCGTGGCAGGCCAAGGCCACTCCCGGGTCAAGATTAAGGGCCGTACCAAATGGACGAACAATAGCCGCCAGCGCGACCGAATCAAAGATGAAAGAAGACGAACAATGAAATAAATCAACTCAAACCAAAGCAACTTGGAGAAAGTTCCTGGATGGACCAGTCAGCGAGAAGTAGACAATGTTGGTTTGTCCTGAGTGGACTGAGCGTATGAGAGGGTTGAGCGTCGAAAATCGAACAAAATCCAGAATCCAGAATAAAAATAAAATGAAGACCAACTAAATTAAATGGAAATATAAAATAGAAGTGAATGAAAATAAATTCAAAAATCATTCCGAAACGATAACCAGGCACTTACGACACCAGCAATAATAGTAATGATAATAAGACTACCTAATAAGACTAAGCCTGGGACTAAAAAGAAATGCCACTGCCCATAAGCTGAGCTCCAAACTAAATCCCAGACGAACTATTCTCGGCCCCCCAGTTCATGCTCTTTGCCTTTATTATTTTTATTATTCTTCCTGCTCAGAATTTCCGTCACTCGAATTTATTATTTTTCGCGCCGTGTGTCTCCTGGTTTCTCACGTCCAGGGCGTTTAAATACTCTTTGCTACTTCGGCCTCTGGCTAAAAGGCCTCGTACCCTCCCATATATCCTGGACCGTGTCAGCATTAGTTCTCACTTGACGACCGATTTGTGGCTGCGGTGGCTCTTACCAAACAATATCAGACTACACTTTATAGACACGCACAGTATGTTTCTCACTGTCTCTTAAATATCCGTTGTTTTCTTCGCCCTTCTCGTGTCTCGGTTCCGATTGTTAACCCATATTTCCACCGCCAGTATCTGTGGAGAGCACACCACTCTCCATCTTCTTTACTGCTAATTGCCGAGTCCATCCTAAAAAGCGTTGGACTTGGTCTTTCCGCCGGCAACCGAATTGTCGGTCCGAGATCTGGACAGAGCTGGACAGCCATTGAGGCTTTTCTCGTCATTTCTCGCCACCACGAACTAATAGTGAGCTGAAGTTCAGCGACGCCTCAATTCACCTATTTCCTTGTTATCCTCAACTAGGGAAATACTCCAACCACACGAGCCTTTTTAAGATTAGAAGAAAAGGTAGTCAGAAATTCATGGTACGTGCATCAAAAACCGATTTCCAGTACCTCTAGTCCTATCATTCTATATCAGTTTCGGCAAGGTATTGGAAGAAAACTAATTTCATTCCAGTCTGTGTACGCAGCCCCCGGATCATATTTACCAGGAGCCATGGCACACAATTCACACAGTAAGGCTTTGTCTTCCGCGTTGGTTGCGGCTTCCATAAACTGACCCTCCACAGACTACGGCTGGCAAGGGCGGACGTCGCAGCCTTTTCATCCCCCTTCTATGGCTATGGACCAGCAACCATTTTCGCAACCTCCGATTTCATCAGTACCGGGGTATCATGTTGGATACAATCAACCTCCTCCCAGCACACAGAGCTACTACCAGCCTAGTGCTCCCGCTCCTCAGTATCTCTCCTCGCACCCATCTATGCCTCAAAGTCGGCATCACGCTCGCAGGTAAGCTTGCATTGTTCTATGGTGGCATTTCGCGCCCATTTCCTTGGTCTGATTGTGGATAGCTCTCCTGTCCCCTATTCGTACCCCAGTAGTCAAGTATCTAGCAGTCCTCCGACGATACAAGACCAAGCATTCACATCCCCGTAAGAGAAGACCAAGGAATGGATCAGTAGTGATCAGATCGCTAACGTTGACTATCTCCAGTCCCTCATCCTACCTCCTCAACCAACCCGACTACTACCTCGCCCAGAACTCCTCCTTCTCGTGAGTCATGCCTGCAGTTCACTCCAATCCGAAAACCAACCCAACCGAACCATCTCACTAACCCAATTAACTCCCTACAGCTCAAATCCCAGCTCCCTTGGCGTCAACCCACCAGCCCAAAGCCTAATCAACCCAGGAACAGTCTACTCGTCAACCGAATCGACACCGAACGCCGGCTCATCAGATCCCGAACAGCAAGTCCGAGTTATTAGCTTTCGACCCAAGCCCCAATGCTGGGACCATGGCTGCAACGGCCGCGAATTCTCCACCTTCAGCAACCTCCTGCGGCACCAGCGCGAGAAATCCGGCGTCGTCGCAAAGGCCGAATGTCCTAGCTGTGGCGCGGTGTTTACTCGAACAACGGCTCGCAATATCCACGTGGCTCAGGGCAAATGTAAAGGCGGAGGCCGCGAGACATCTATCGAGTAGATGGACCGATTCGATACGGATCGCCAGCACGTTGAACCTAATTCGACCTTATCTACCTTATCCGGCTAGGTTTGACGGAATTGAAACCCGACATGGGGCGCCAGAACAGAACCAAAGAAAATCCAAGGAAAAAAAAAAAAAAAAAAACCACATACGCATACTACTACCACTATAGAACAGACACTTATACAGACCGACACATGCTTACGTCCGCGACGATCCATTCAACAACCAGACTATTCACCCAGGGAAATTAGGGTGAATAAACCAGACCGAAACACCTCAGCCGTTACCTTTCGACTCCGACGATCACGAACACTATCGACCGATTTGGAAGGCGATCCATCCGATTCATGGAACCTGCACTAGCTTTGACTTTGGCATTGTCTCACTCGTGGCTGAAAAAGGCCTAGATGATCCTCCCGGGTCTGAGTGCCCCCTTCAACGGGATCGGTGGATCGATGTCTGACGGACGGAGAAACGCATGAAGAAAAAAATAATAATAAAAACCAAAAAAGGTCGAATGAGGGTGACGGAGGGTGAAATTAGATTGGGAACCGCTGATACCCTTCAACCGGAGTACCTAAGTTGTTTTTGATTTGTTACTTTGCTGATTTGATTTTAATTTACCAAAGACGGAGTTACTTCGGGGGTTTTATGGGGCTTTCTTGGTTTGGGCATTGCCATTTGCATTTTCGATTTCGTCGTTGTGGCTTATACTCTTTCTTTTTTGACTTTATTATTTCTTTACCCCTTTTTTTATGTTTTGACAGCCTTTGATTTTTTGTCGCTTTTTCCTTTTGTATCTGATTTTTTTCTTCTTTTTTGTTATTAGCATTTCTCTGGAACTACGGGATTTTGTATATAGAACGGAAAGCAAGCAAGCAAGCAGGGGATCATTGAACCATTCCAGGGGTTTTGGGTACAAAAATACCAAAGTACTATATTTAACCTTTTTAGTGGCTTTTCCTTCGATTTTGTTTCTGTTAGACGATTCCCAGCCTGCGAAGGGGGCCTTTTTTGGGCTTTGGTTTCGAGTTGCCTGATTTTTCCTTTTGTGGAATTATCGGCCTCCTATAGAGGAAGTTGGCGAGAGTGGAGGATGATGATTCACACTAGTTACTAGAGGGTAGATCTTAATGGAGTGTTTGATAGACATATCAGGTGCAGGTAGTCAGGTACGGAGTACGGAGAAGGTAAGTACTGTAGAGACTAGATAGTAGTGCCTAAGTCGGCAGTGTTCCGTTTCCGCAGCATTGATACATTAGCAGTAGTAATTAATTCATAGTAGGTATCGACAATCCACACCTTATTATCCTATACTCCCATACAGTGTAAAACTAAATGAAAACGGTATGACGCGACCTATGAGCACGAGATGGATAAACATGGGGTCCAAAAGCACAAAGGTAGGTAGGCACGAGGATACTAGTACTCCGTACGGATAACTCAGGAACGGAACGGAGTACCTAGACCGACCAGAGCATGGAGTCGAATCTGAATCAATCAATCAATCAAAGACGGAAAAGTCTGAGCGCTGTGGATCCCTCTAGTCCATCTTCGCCGTCGTCATCGTCATCGTCTTCATGTCAGCCCCGGCGGCACAACCACGTGTCAAAGTAGGTTTTAGAACGTTCGATACGGAGGACTACGGCTTGGGTTTTGGGGTGTAGTTTCGACTAGTTAGCGTTCTAGCTATATAGGATGTATGTAGCTACTAGCTAGTCTGGGTGATGGTGAGAGGGTTGGGTGGGAGGAAGGGAGGGAGAAGGAACAATATCCTTGTTGTTGAGGCAGCGCATGGAAGGGGGAGAGAAAAAGAAAAGAAAGAAAGAAAACCAGGGGTCAACTTGGGAAAAAAGGGGCCGTTTTCACAGATGTGCACTATAATTGGAATTAGAACTTTTTTCTTTTACTTTTTCTTTTTTGTTTTTTTGTCATCAATTCCCCTGCTGAGGGGTCTGGTTGTATGGGGGTGGTTGTGTCTATCTTTAGGGTTTCTGTTGCGCCCTGGGGATGGGGTTTGAAACGTGACTAGATGGGGAGTTATTACATGGTTTTATCTGCTAGAGGTCAGCAGGGAGAGCGATTTCCCGGTGAAAGATAGTTAGGTTGGTTAGTAGCAGATAGTAGCAGCAGATACGACCTACTCGAGAGTAATAGGAGAAGATATGCATTCGTGGTATGACGTGACGACGAATAGGAAAGAAATACGAGAAATGAGACATCTCCAGCCTGTCCATCTTTAGCCCGCTTTTCTCTTCCTCCCGTCATGTCATGTCACTGACTCGAGGCACTACCTACTTACTCCGTCCGCCGTCGCCCCTTCACTGCGACAGGTAGACTATCTCCCTCCCGTACGGAGTAGCTTGTCGGAACTCGCTCCGGCTCCGACGCCTTCCTCGTGGTAGCCCCTAAATTGGGTAAATGCACCAAAGGATTGACTGACTATTGAACTAGATGCTGGAAGGGGGTGGGGCCAGACTCTTCGAGAGAAGGAATCCATTGTTCTGCAACTTCTGGAAGATCTGTTGGGGATCATATTTCCGCGACACAGCCTTCAGCTTGGCGACGTTCTCCACGCCGTAGGAACCCAGCGGATTCTGGTCCCTTGCGGCGTCGTTTAGGTATACAAACGGGTCATGGAGTCCCCGCTTCACTTCAAGTTGTCTCCACCGCTCGGTTGTAGCAATGGAAACGGCTCTCACCGTCTCGTCGTCGCTCTCGTGCTCCCAGTCTATAAGGGTGGTCCACCCTACGGCCGAAGAAAAAGAAAGTTAGCTTAGACGTAAGCTGTCGTTTCATGATTTTCTTTTCTGTGGGGTTGATTGGTTGGGTATCTCGGAACTGGGGATGGGTGTAGGGACTAAGTGAAGAGGAGGGGAGGGGAGAAAAAAAGAAACGAAGGAAGAGAGGGGGCGCAAGTGGGAATATTCAGGGAAAAATGAAATAAAACCGACATTGCGCATTTTCCCGAGTGATTCCCATAGCGTTTCCACCCTTTTCGATCCCTTGGTCGATCATGTTCACCGAGATCGGCTGGAGGACAAACGTTTGCGTAGCGCTGGTGGCTTCATAACCGCGAGGGCCCGTTCTCTCCAGAAACCGTACATTTCTTTGTATAGTTGGGCATCGATTCGAGAACTCGCGCCCCGATAATCATGTCGTTGGAAACTAATTATTTTCGGTCCAACCCTGTCAGCAGAACGATCCAAATATCCTATGGGCTTTTTCTGTTTTCCTTTTCGGCGATTATCTCTAACCTCTAGGCTCCAGAATATCGTGTTGTGAGGTGTCATCTTACTCGGTGGGGCTATTAGCAAAGGAGCCACCCAGGATCTGGATTAATTCTAGCACAGTCCCATTTGCTGGGGGTATGGCGTAACTGAAGGGGGGAATATCTTTGAACGGAGCAAAACTCGCTGGCTGCTCGTGTGCGGACTCGGAGTAGATCAATCCGACCGTAGCGGTTTCCAGGTCGATTATCAGGGCGACAGTAGCCTTGACATCTGAGGCTCCGGTTTCATGCCATTTGGCGAAGGATTCAAGAAGAGCAGGCGCTTGCTCTACCTTGTATGTGCCCACTTGGCGCCATACTCTATGCACAGGGAGGGTGTAACAGTCGAATCGAGTCACGATTCCTTCGGCTAGTTAGCTTTGCGAGTCAATTCCATCTGCGATTTTGTTGGTAGAGTCACCAAAGTTGGCACCCCCGCCTTTCAGGGCCCAGAAGAGATCAGAGTACTCTTTCGTATTTGCGTCCGTAATCGTTCCGTCGGTCAATACAATCTGGTGATCTGGTTAGGGCCTGGGTGCCGGATTTCTGAGTGCCAATAGACCATACCTGGAAGTTCTTAACATTGTCAGCGGCCATTCCGTACTGAGCCGAGAAATGGAAGAATCCTCCTTTTACAGGGGACTTTTCGTCAGCCATTTCCTCGAATTCGGCTTTCTCAAGCAACGTGCGTACCCCCGAGAATCAATCCTCCAACCCCAATGTGCGGGATGCGTCCTCCGATTACACTGACGCGGTACGGATCCAAGGCCTTAAGACGTCTCCCCATCGTCCACCCGGTCCTAAGCTTGCCACAGATCTATCGTCGCTGACAGTCACTTGATCCAGTCTTTCCAAATCGATCAGAATACCTGACTGGTCGATGCTGGACCAGCCTGGGTTAGGCGAGTGACCGCCGCTGCGGATGGCAAATCTGATTTGACAAAGGCTGATGATTTGAAGGGTTATGGATACGTCTTGTGCTGAAGCTGGGAGGACAACACATCTCGAGGGCAATGAGCAAGTCGCAGACCTTTGGTATGGTCAGTCGTCTGATCGAAGGCGTCTGATTAGACTCGGTGCTGGATAGCGCCCTCACCAACTACCCTCGACTTTGGCTCCGTTTTGAGGTATTTCTACAGTTGCGTCCCCAAGTGCCTCTTGGAGCAACTTGCAAGCCAATTCGTTTCTGACATTCTGGGAGACCCCCTGGTCAGAGAGATAGTCTAGGAGCTGGGTGTCCTTGACAAGTCTGCTCTGCAATGCCTCAGACCGGGACAATGGTAGGCCTAGACCCTCCACAAAGCTGACAAGTTTACTCGACATGATGATCGTGGAATCTGCTCTGCCTGCCATGAAAACCCAACGGTTGGGAGGGCGCAGAGGATGGGATGTCGTCGGCGTCAACTACCGGTCACATGACGAGCAGGGATGTAGCAATTAAAAAGGGTCGCATTGCATGAGGTCAGCTACCAATAACGACCATTTCGACAGCCCAACCTCTCTAACGCATTCCAAAGCGGAGTTGTTACCCCATAACGGCCCCGGTCTTGTCTGGGATGGTGGGTCATGATGCCAATCACAACCCCTCTAGATTGAGGCCATTTTGATCACTAACCCATCTGTCACTAGGGTTATGCGCCCCATCTGCCCGGCGGCTCGGAGTGCGACGAAAGCGATAGCTTGAGCCGATGGAGAGAAGATGTTAGTCCACGACTGTTGCTATGATCGCTCGAAAAATTTGTTCTTGACCTTCTAGCAGAACCTGTTCACTCTCGTCACTTCTTCTACAGCCACGCTAAACTCCCGCTTGTCCCGATGTTTTGGGTCAGCACCTTACGGCTGCAGGGATAAATTCCACTGATATCACGGCCCACGGAAGGAATAACCTTAATAGCGTCTATCTGGACACTTTATTTGAACGCGGACACGAGGGGGCTATAATTCGACGCGTGCAGAAAGGGCGGATTCAGCACATAATGACTCCGCAGCGGGGCGTACTGGCTCGGTTTTTCTTGGCCATTTCTTGTCAGCAAGCTCGATGGAATTGTTGAATTACATGGACGATTGTTCGACTTTATCCAATCGCTGGCAAAACGACGGATGTGCATCTGTTTTGTCGAATCACGGCAGTGAAGGGACCAGTCGCTCAGCGGCTGAATTATTGATGGACGGGTCAAGGCAAGGCAGAACAGTCGAGTAGATAGAGGGAGAGGGAGAGAGAGAAGAATACCTAGAGCACAGGTCAATTCATTATTTTCGAGCACAATACATGCACGTGATATTGTTGTTTAGCGGCCTCTCGTGTAGAGTACATCCTTCTGCAACCATCTCTTCAATACCACCAGACCCAAAAACTCCGGACGATTGATCAACTGAATTAGGTGGATACTTAATCAAATAATTGGTAGGTATCAAGAGATATTATATCATCACTAACAGTTTGAAACAGAGAAATATCAGCATTCCCAACGCCCCTCAATCAATCAAATGTCCTTCAGTGCGCTATTCGCCCGATTGATGCCTCCCCATTCCAAGGTCTTCTTCCACAGTTTCTCCTGCACCTCTTCGTTGTAACTATCGGACGAGCTCTTATCCTTTTTGGAAAGGGTGAAATAGCCGCCCTCCCCGGGATTGATCTTACCGGTCGCCAGCCCAACGATATCGGCTGCCGCCTCACCAGCAGAACGCATGGTCGGGTCCATGAAGCGACGCAAAAGAAATGAGAACGGTCGGATGATAAAGCTCGACATAACCTTGACCTGCGTGGGGGTGTTGACCTGTAGAGCCCGCGAGTCTGTCAAGTTACCAGGATTGATGGCAATCACGGTAATGTTCTTGAGATCCTCTTCCTACACAAGGAGATATATTAGCTGATGTCATCGTCAGGAAGTAGATATGAGTTGCACATCCTTACCTTCTCCAGATGCCGATTTATCGCATACATCCACATGGTGATCGCCAGTTTTGAGACGGAATAACTCTGGAATCCACGCCCCATATGATCGACCTTCTCATAAGTCGGCGGCTTGACCAACAAGTCTAGGTCGTCCGGGATGACAGGCGGATACGTCTCAAGAGGGCTTTGACCGGGAAAATGGGTGTCGCTGCTGAAAAGCACAATGCGACCACCCTCCGGGCCGAAGTGACCCAGAAGACGAAGAGCAAGCACTGAATGTGCAATATGGTTCACTTGAAACGTCTTTTCATACCCATCTTCTGTCAGCTGGGCCTCCGTCACCAAGTTCCAATAATACGCGTTGCAGACGATGCTGGTGAGTTGCGGGAGTTTGCCCTCTGTGATCTCGGTCGCGATATCCCCAGCAAACTTATGAACAGAAGTGAGACTGGCCAGGTCAAGTTGACGGATAGATGTCTTCGCCGTGTGGTGGTGCGAGATGATATTGCGAAGCTTTTGAGTGTTCGGGTCCTCGCTGGCCGTGTTGCGCACGGTTAGAACCAGTGTGTGGTCGGGGTATTGAGTCAGAAGCTGCTCTACGGCAGGGATCGCAAGAGAGCCATTAGCTCCTGTGATTATAATCGTGCCCATGGTTTACCAAGATGAATGATGAGATGAGGAAGTTGAGATCAAAGATGTACTTTTTTGGTCCGGGAGACTCGGCTTTTTAATCAGCGGCGACCGACTTGCGCCCAGGCCCAATAAGAAATTATTACGGATACAGAACCTACAAGCTCCAACTCTCGATCGCCAAGGTACGCCCAACAGAACAATGATAAGCCAATAACATAGAATGGCTGCTCTGGGAGTATTTCCCTACCTATTGCGGATGGTTTTCGTTCTTTCGGCCCCCGTTTGCTGTTTTCTTTGCTTCATCTCGTTAATTCTTAGCTATAGTACATTCCAACATCCCCGCGCCAAGGCGACAGACTCAATCCTTCGGCTTACACGGATTTCTGCGATTACAGGCTAGGCTGCTACTGATTGGTATACTCCGTAAAAATCGTTGGTATTTTTTCTATGCTCCCTTTCTAACTATGCTGTAGCCTGTGGTTGTTCTGAGCATGATAACTGCATCCACCTTCTAGGTATGCCCAGAGAAGCACACTAAAATCTTTACGAGAATAGTTGGTCATGAACCTAGACAGCAACAACCGAACCGATGTACAGAATTAGAAAAAGACTAGCTGGCAAACACGCTAGCTTCCAGATACACAGAAGAGGATATCCGTTGGGGTTCGACCCTGGGTTTAATTAAGGAGCACAAACAACATAATTCTATGACTGTCCTGTCTGCAGAACGGGCTATAGCGTGTCTCCACTGATGGCATCTCGGGTGCTAGCTCAGCCTAGATCAAATATTTGGAAGATGTGATCGGTGATCTGCGCTTTGCACTCGCAAATCAAACTGGTGTAGATATGGAGGGTATTTTCTCTCATTGGTTTTGATGACAACGCTCTTCATAAAATCAATTGAAAATTCGGACTGCATTACTCGAGCCTCTGACAATTAACAAAAAACTATGTTGAGGGATCCTGAAAAAGCATATCATATCCAGACCTTAAGATAATGAAACATCGAAGAATTCAGCTGACGGGAAACCTTCATATGCTGCCTGAGGCATCGATGTATCTATCGCTTACGTCATGTATCACATGATCACCGCCCGGCCACCAGCGAACAACATTGGGATGCCTGGAATTTCAGGGACGCAAGCAGTGAGTCACCTGTGGTGCATCATGTCTTCTGTTTGCTTCTAAGTCACTCTGCATTGTCAATCCCCCTGACTGCATGATTGCTTTCCGTGACCTATTTAGCTGACGCGATTGTCCTCTGTCTTTCTGGCCTTTGCGTCCCTCGGTTTCTACTGTCCACGTTGCTACATTTCGTCCCCCGCAAAATGACTATACCAATACGGTTATACTGTACATGCCCGGGATATCACACATTCTGGGACTTGAATACTTTATTATTACCTCCTCACTTATTGTGTCTGGGGCTGGGCATTGTTTGAACTTGCATTTTCCGTCTGATTCCACCCATTGTCATATCGCAGCTTTCTCCGCACAATTTTCCTTGCAATTGCGCCTTTATTTCTCACGCCATTGAGCCATGGCGTCTATCTTCACCTACGATCCCGACCCTCCGCGGGTTTCTTCGCCATGGTCCACATCCGGGTCCTCCACTCCACAGCAAGCCGGGGGCGGCGGTACCCGCATGGTGATTCGGAACCGCTCCAACGCGAACCTGGACCGGACCGACGCCGACGTTCTATCGGACTACGGTATCACCAAGCTGGAGCCAGAACCCCAGGAAGGACCCACGGAGTACAAATTGCATCTGCTGCTACGCTCGCGACGATACTACGCGTCAGTATCCACCGGCCACCTCGTCGGTGGTTCGTATCATTCCCGCGCAAGTTTGTCGACTTCGGGTCCGACGCCTTCCAGCTATGAGTCGAATCCAAAGCTTTCTGGAAACCGCTCGACTCTCAGTCGTCAGCAGCGCTTACAATCCCTGACGACGCAGCTGTTATGGCGTCTGCAGCAGTCGTCGCCTTTCCATTCCTCTACAGCGGCCAACCTTGTGCTGCCGGTTCTTCCAGATGCTACAGACCTTCTAGGGGCTCCTCAGAAACCAGCTCGTTTGCTTCCTGGTCTCGAGGAAAGTCAGGGGGCTTTGTATGAGATTGGCGTTGCCGACGACGGAACCTTCGTCGGGCTGGCTCACGATGAGTTAGAGGAAAGTCTGTCTAATCTGCAGGCCATGGCTGCAAGCCTAGGTTGTAAGGTTGAGGTCCTCCGTCGCGTTATTGTGGGTAAATGCGAATGGACAGAAGGTGTTGCTGCGAGTAATGTTCATGAGGATGAGAACGTCCACACTGGAGATCTGTGGGTGGCCGAAGCATTGGTGAGTCCGGACTGGGACTTTTACAAGGTACCGTCGCCCAGGAGAGGTTCTGGGGGAGACAACTCTTCATCAGTCGAAGCTGGGCAGACCACTTCACAGGAAGGCAGCTTCTCGTCGACGGAGCAGATTCGTGTCTCGATTTCTGGGCCAAGCACTGCCGGGAAATCATCACTCCTGGGGACTTTGACCTCGTCCGTGCTGGATAATGGCAGAGGGACTAGCAGATTGAGTCTCTTGAAACATCGCCATGAGATATCGTCCGGCATCACCAGTTCTGTCGCCCATGAATTGATTGGATACGCTGCCGACGTCCCATCTGCCGAGGAGGTCAATGTTATAAACTACGCGTCAGGGAATGTCGCAGCATGGGATGATGTGCATGCGGCTGCGCAAAGTGGCCGTCTTGCTTTCGTTTCGGATCTTCCAGGCTCAGTCCGCTATCTGAAGTCTACATTGCGAGGGTTGATCAGTTGGGCGCCTCACTATGTTTTACTGTGCATCCCCGCTAACTGTGAGGATGACGCCTCGTCGGAGTCAAACAATAGTGCTACGGAGCAAACGACTGATATCAGCTTGGCCTTGTCGCATCTTGAACTGTGCGTCAAATTGGACGTGCCCATAATCGTGGTGATCACTAAGATGGATCTCGCCTCTCGTACGAGCCTGAGAAACAATCTCACCAGAGTGCTCTCCGTGTTGAAAACCGCCGGCAAGAAGCCTGCCATGCTCCCTGCACAGCCAAACACATCGGGTAAGACCGTGGATCTACAGCACATAGAGCCGAAGGACAGCCAAGAAGTCCGAAGGATTATACATTCCACCGACAATTGGTCATCTGTCGTGCCTATTGTTCTTGCGAGCGCTGTCGATGGAACGGGTATTGGAAAGTTGCACGCATTTCTTCGATATCTTCCAATCCCTACGCGACCTCCGCTCAGGTCCATCTCGATCCCAAGGTCATTACCAGCCACCCATCTTCCCGCCAATGTTTTCGACATTGACGAGGTTTTTGCCATTCCTCCGTCTAAGGTCTACTCTGCTTCTGCGGACCATCCTCGAAAGGAAAATCAAGGCGTCGTTCTGTGTGGACTGGTCCGTTACGGAGCGATCTCTGTCGGGGACGAGCTAGTCATTGGGCCGCTACTGACCAATACCTTTGTCGATCAAGGGGTTCAGAGGAGATCAGAGCCACGGTCAGAAATGCACACACACCATGATTTTGCTCAGAGTAGGCCACCGTCGCAGGAGTTCTCAGCTTCTTTCGTCCAAAATATTGTACCCGGGAAAACCACTTTCCCAACCCAAGCACAATGGCAGCGCGTTCGTATTGCCAGCGTCAGAAATCTGCGGTTACCGGTCCAGAAGCTGATCCAGGATCAAGTGGGCACGGTCGGAGTCGAGCCTCTCCCTTCTCAACCGAAGGAGCGATTGCCGCGACTCGGCAAAGTTCGTAAGGGCACTGTCTTAGCCAGCTTAAACAAGACATCCAGCTCTATCCCCAAGTCTCTGTTGTTCCATACCGGCTTCGTCGCTAGCTTTGCATCGAGTGAGTTCGCTTCTTCGCTCTCGCCTCCGTTGCTTCTTGGTGGCAATGCCATTGTATACATTGCCAATATCCGCTCCACAGTGAAGGTGACATGCATGGCGCTGGCCGAGGATGAGATTGTTTCAAGACCACCGTCACCAACCGAGCTTGAGTTCTTCAACTTTGACGGTGACGCTGACCGGGAAGGAGATGGGGGGTCCGAGGTGAATGACATGGTCCGTGCCTCTCGAGCATCATCTCAAGAAGACGTGAAGATAACATTTTCCTTTGTCACATCGGTTGAGTGGGTTGAAGTTGGGTCTCGAGTGCTCCTCATGCCCGGGGCTTCGGTCGCATTAGCCTCTGCACAGGATTCTGTGACACCGTCGGGCCTCGAGGGCTTTGTTGGAAGGGTGTGTGACGTGCTTTATTCTGAATCTTCCACTGCGTAACTGGTTCATGTGTTTAGTTGTATCTGATTTTGTTGTTTGCTATGTTCATTACTATTCTGTTATTCAAATGCATTCGATTCCTCATCAGTTGTCCAACGAATGGATATGATCGACGCGGCACGTGTAGTCCGGGGACGATCTGCCTCAGGCGACGCGGCCACTAAAAGGCCACTAGTCGCGGCCTTACTGCCTGAGGACAAAGTCATAAGTAGCCGCCATCGCCAAGAGGCAAGCAGCTCTGCCCCATGTCGCTCCTCGTCTCGATCCCTCAGCCCAAGTCGAGGATAGACTGAGGCCTGACTGACTCGACTTTGGTCTATTAATCTCTATCCTAACTCTTCTGGGTTTGTTTGTGGTTGATCATCTGTCGTTTTTTCTTTTTCCCTGTACCACACTCGTTTTCTGCCTGCGTTGTCCACGCCAGCCCTCCACTGCTCCTCTTCTCCATCTACCCCGGATCCGACCCGTCAATTCCGCTTTATCATCAGCGATCTATCACCACCTAGCCACTCGACTTAAATCCCTCCATGCTGCGCGCTTTGCCTTCTCTACGCATTGTTTGACACCACTGGTGATGTTCTGCCCTTAAATCCATATCAGGGAAATCATCGCGCAATGTCCGCCGTCAACAATATGGCCGAGTCCAGCAGCCTTTATTCCGATTATCGGTTCAGTTCCGACATAGGCGCATCGTCGGACGAGGACGATTTCGTTTCCAGTGCCAGCACGACCTCAGCTGCGTCCGACGAGAGATCCACGGAGAAACGGCCATTGCAGCGAGACTCCGTCACGGTGTCGAACAAAGATGAATTGGATAATCCGCAACCATCGACCTGCTCTGTTGCTGGGCCTGAGGCAGCCGATAATAACATTGACACGACATCTCTGGCGATGGAAACGGCGAATATTAGTCTCGCGGCGGATGAGAAACCCGTGGAAGTGAAAAAGCCGCTGCTTTTGTTGGACCTGCCCATGGATATATTGCAGGAGATTGTGAAAGAGGTAAATGGTGACACCGTCCAGTTCGTCTACATTATACCCTCTCCTTGCATGATACTAACCTAGTACCGTCCTGGCCATCTTGCAGGTAACGCATACGAATGATTTGACGTCGCTGGCTCTGACGTGCTCCACCCTTCATGCTCTGGCGATCCCTCAAATGTACTCTCGGTTCGACATTGTCTGGCCAGATACCTTGTCGTCTTCCGATCATCCTGCTGGCGTTGACGCTCTTTCCTATGGTTTGGCGACATTGGTCATGGGAGACGACATCTTCCATGAGCTTCCTACGCATCGACCCGCCGGTTCCTGCGCACACTGTGGCTGCAACACTCCCCACGACCAAACCCCTACACAGAGTCCGGTGCGGAGGATACGACGGGGGAACTACTATGCACAATATACGCGGAAGTTCTCGGTTGGGAATGGACCGCTGATCTGGGTCCAAGAATACTCTGTGACCAAGGAGACGGGGAAAATGCTGGGAACATTAGTCGCCTTGGCCATTGCCCGGATGGTCAATCTGGAGACATTCGTCTGGGACATGCCTACGGGGGTTTTAAGGGATGTGTGGATTGCACTCTCATCGCTTGCCAATCGTCCTGGACACGAATGCCGCCTGGAGCGTGTCTGGGTCCGATGGCACGATAATTCGGAGAGCCCAATACGCTCTGCACCGACTGCGTCTTCTTTTGCACTTCCAGATACGCAGAACGATTTTGCTCCTCTCCCAGCCGGCTCGCCATTGCTGCATAAATACGGGCATGTGGAGTATCCGTCTTTGTCTATAGTGCCGCCATTGAAGAGCCTGAGCATACTTGATATAGATGAGTCGTCGTACATTGAAGAAGCAGCTATACTCATCCGTCGTTCGTGGGATCGGCTGAAGGAGTTGCGCGTCGGCATTTCGTCAAAGGTCTGTCAGGCAGACTGGTTAAAACCACTGGGAGGCTGGTCCTCCCGAGATTCGACCACGGCCATGACTGGGTGGCCCAAGGCCGGGGGCGTGTTAGGAGTGCTACTAGGCCACACTGATGGCTCGTGCTCTCATGGAGTGGCTAGTGAAGGCTCCAAGAAAACGCCCAATACCGAAGCTGGTGGAAGTATTCCCGGGAGTACGAACCCTCAACTTGAGTCGCCTCCACCTGCAGGGTCACCAGAACCCTCACCAGACCAGCCAGTTGTAGTCTCAGAACCAAGGGCCAAAGAGCCGTCAAAGCCCTCCAGCACCGTCTTCAAATTATCTCCTAGCTCGCCTTCTGACGTCGAATCCAACCGGAACCCGCTCAGGTTGGAGACTTTGGAGTTAGAACGCGTGTCTCTATCTATTCCGGTGATACTACAAAGTCTTGATTGGACCCGGATCACGGCTTTGACAATACTGCGCTGCGAAGGCCATGAGAAGCTGTGGAGGTCCCTGCGTCGCCAGTTTCCTCCGTCATGCGCCCCTCGCTCTTCCAGAGCTGGAAAGAGAGAGGGTGGACAATCGGAGTACTCTTTGAGAATCAAACACATCCATACGGACGCCGTGTCTCCGTATCTGCTACTGTTCATCAAGGACACCCTGGCTCCTAACACACTCGAAACTCTCTTCTTGCACGAAGCTCCCATGTATGACTCGATCGTCCAGATTGATGCCATTTACCGAAATGTGATCCGCAACCATCGGATGAGTCTGAAAAAGGTACTCATTGATAGTACGGAGCGGTCCGCAATTGGCGTTGAGATCGCCACTAGCCGCTGGCGTAAATGGATGTTTACGCGCGATATGATTTCTTTTGTCACCAGTGGACGCATGCCTCGATTGCGTGAGCTGTCGATGACCGTACATTCCAAGGACTGGGTAAGATCTATTCTGTCTTTCCACAAGAGGTTACTAACCCGAACTAGCACTACTTCTTACAGAGGCTGCCTAATGTTCCACACCTTCGGGCCTTGCACATTCCTCATATCGCCCATCCCATACACCGGGATTCCAAGGAGCTTGCACTGCAAATTCTGGACATTGTCACCATCCGTCCGGATGTTGGAATCAGCTACGTAGGGATGCAGAACAAATGCTACGAGATCCTCGAAGGGAAACGAGGGGATAAGGTTGATCTTGACGATGCGGATGACAGCCATAGCGAGGGTCTGGGAGATGGCGAGCCCTGGTCGGCCAGCGACACGGATGACGACGAAGGTGACGATGACGCCGGAGCTGCCAGCACGGCGGATTCAACCTCGGTGCTATCGTCGGACCACGAATCGTCGAATGGAGATGAATCCGATCTCGAAGGCAGCCGATCACGTGTGACGTTTCGGCTGCGCGAGATTTTGTTTTATGATGATAAGATCGCCATTTTTAAGGCGCGACATGGAGTTTTGTGATTGAAGCCGGCATCGGCGGGGTTTAGCGATTTCTATTCTGTTTTGTTTCGAGATACCACTGATGATAGTCGAGATAGAATCCTGGTAGTCCTGGATATTTATTGCAGCATGATTAACGATTTAATATATCACTCTGTCTTGTAAGGATTGCTCATTGGAACTTTTCAGTAATCAGAACGTCATCCTCGTGATGAATATACCCGGTGTTGTGAAGACGGCGCTAGATCAGTGCAGTCACGTGCCGTAGCTCCTCAGCCTCTGTTGAGCCGCGACAACCACCCGCGAAGACACCAGCCTGTGCGACACTTAACGACCACCACCACCACCCATTCAACCCGCCAGATTGAACTTTCCTCCATCCTATCTATCTTCAGCACCAGCTCCGGTGCACCCGTGTCCACCATGAAGCTCGTCCGGTACGTACCCTTGAGTCGCGGAATTTGCAATGCAAGCTCCAGCAGCTATGCACCCATTCATGCAGCAACCGACTAACCGTGATTTAGATTTCTGATGAAGTGCGCCAATGAGACGGTGACTATCGAGTTGAAGAATGGTCAGTGCCTCTACCACTTCCTGAACCCTCCTTCATCTTGTCTCGCAGTTCCCTACCTACCTACCTCCTACCTACCTTCAAGCAACCCCCAATCTCCAAATCCATAAATCTAACACCCACTAGGAACAATCCTTCACGGCACCATCACCTCCGTCTCCCCACAAATGAACACCGCCCTGCGCACCGTCAAAATGACCCCCAAAGGCCGCGACCCCATCTCCCTAGACACCATCAACATCCGCGGCTCCACGATCCGCTACTACATCCTCCCCGACAGCCTGCCCCTGGATACCCTGCTGGTGGACGACCAGCCCAAGCCGAAGAACAAGGCGCGCAAGGAGGCCGACCGGGGTGGCCGTGGCGGCCGCGGTGGTCCCCGTGGTAGAGGTCGGGGTCGTGGACGTGGGCGCGGTCGTGGATTCTAGATTTGGGGAAAAGTTTCGTTGATAGATTAGGGTTTGGGAGTTTGTTCTTTTTTTTTTCTCTCTTCCTTTTTTAATTTGATTATTTTTCGATTCCATCGTCGGGATTTGACTTTGTTGTTGTTCTTTTGAGGTGCTATGATATGGGTGATATCTGGGGTTTCTGTTCTCCAATTTTGTTTGTTCGAAGGGAACCAAACCACCGACTCCCTGCTTGCCTGTGGCGGAGGAAAAAAAGGATTACTCGATGTTGGGTTTCCTGCCTATTCGCGACTCCGTGATTTTCGCTCTGGCGTGGAGATTCGGACGAAGAAAGGAAAGAATCCATAAGACCAGGCAGGGTTGGACGGAATCGAATCGACCGAGAATGTGACTTGCTCTCGACGCTCATTCGACGATAACCTATATGCCTTGGCTCGGTTCAAGCATATCACGACCCGAGTATTCGAAATTGAATGTCTACGATGGAATCCAGAACTTACAGCAGCCTCACCTTACCCTACATCGTGGATCGGGCAGGCTGGATGATATCCTGTACGAAAGAAATTAATCTCGACATGTGGGTATGACCCATGTCGCGTGTACAACGCAATGAGACTTGAACTGAATAAGAAGAAAAGAAGATACTCCCTCCTATACTCCCATGTACCAATCGTGTAGTTCTATAATCTATAACATATATCTATTCCATCATCACTCATAAATCATCCCTCATCACATTACTCCCTCTCCCACAGCACTCCAAACCCATCCCATTTCTCTCCGTCTCTCTTGTGTAATAGTTAATCAATTCCCTCCCTCCAAACCCTCAAAATCACCAACTTCTCCCACCCCGCCTGCACCCCACTATTCCCAACAAACTCGGCCCTCCACGCTCCTCCCCACCCCCTAATCCTCTCCCGAACCTCCCCCGGCCGATTCTGCGCACAAAGCAACACATACGCCACGCCGCGCGTGGGCTCCAACACTTCCGGAATCTGCTCAATCAGACGATCCGTCGTCTCCATCCCATCTTTCCCCCCCGCATACGTCAACGACAGGAAGTAGGATTCGCGATCGAACTTCTCAGACCGGGTGAGTCCCTCTTCGGTGGCACGGTCTTGTTCCGTGGCGCTGGGGATCCGGGGGAGGTCTTCTGTGGGGACGTAGGGGGGGTTGAAGAGGAGGATGTCGACGCTAGCGGGGCGGATGGAGGAGAGGAGGTCGGATGTTATGGAGGAGGTGTAGATTGTTTTGGTTCGTTGGTTCGGGGCCGGGTTGGAGGGGTCTGCATTGGGTAGAGGATCGGCCTGGCGCTCTTGAATCGCTTTCTGCACTGTTTCTTTCGTGGCGAGACAGGCGTTGCGGTTTACGTCTATCCCCAGGGTGAGGATGTCGCGACGGCCGAGGATCTCGTGGGAGTTGCCTGCGACGAAGCCGAGGACGACGCCGGAGCCGGTGCCGACTTCGATGATGAGGGGGGAGGCGGAGGGGGAGGATGTCGTGGGGGAGGGGTTAGTGGAGGGGTCGGAGGAGGAGCTGGTAGAGGCGTTGAATCGTTCTTTCAGCCATGTTGATTCAGAGGTCGATGAGAGCGTGTCCAGGAAGAGGTACGAGTCTTCGGAGGGTTCGTAGATGGTGTCGAAGGAGACGTGCGAGGTGCAGGGCGTGGGGAGCATCCTGAGGATGGTGGAATCTGAGGATGGTGGAATAATTTGATTGTAACAGGCAGACGGACACGTAGGCGACTCGTGTTTTCTCTTAGGTTATGGCTTCGATTGCAATCAATGCATACAGACCATGCAATGCGCGCAAATCCAAATCCAAGATAAGAAGAGCATTGATACCAAATGCCCACCGGAGTAGATTCCCCTCACCGCCCTCATCCAGACTCCCGCCCTCGGCCCTCGCTCACTTCCGTAGTTCTAGTTCCTAGCATCTCCAACCCCAGTCCAATTCCAGGCCCAAACTTTCGTACTTCAGACAACAAAATGCGCCCCGCCCTCCGCCTCCTCATGGCGACGCCCGCCACGATGGGCTCGAAATCCAGCCTCAGCGAATCGCTCGCCCTGCTTCCGCCGCTGCAACTCTACCGGCGCATTCTGCGCGTGCATCGCAAGAAACTGGAGCCCGAGATGCGGCTGCTGGGGGATGGGTACGTGAAGAGCGAGTTCAGGGCTCATAAGAATGTCGAGAATCCGTTGCATATTGTATGTCTTTCCGCTCCCTCGTTGTGTCTGTTCTATGGTCTGCGGTTGGGAATGGGATGGTGTCTATGGCTTGGTTGTGTTAGGTTCCATATCGTTGGTTTTAAGATGAAGAACACAGAGGAAATGCTAATGACTCCTGACTGGTGTGATGTAGATTGGCTTCCTCACGGAATGGCAATTATACGCGCAAAAGCTCGAGGGAGATACCTGGGTGGGGGATAAACTGGACAAGGCGAAATTGGATAAAATGAGCGGTTCGTCTCTCTGCTCTGGACTCCGGACTGGCTGGACATGAAGATACTCGAAGTGGCCATTGTGGACGCTGACCGGAACAGATCAACAACTCGGCCAGCTGTATGAGCTGATGCAGGCGATTCGGAGTCGGGATGGTGAGGAGAATGAATAGATGGATGTGAAGGATTGTTGTTGGTTTATGAGATCTCGAAGGTATTTGGTCTCTGCTCTGGTCTCTCTCCTTTCGATCTCATGGTGGATGAGATGGGTATCCATCTACACCGCACGGAGGATACAGTCATTGACGAACTGGCGAGCCAGACCAGGAAAGTGATAACCGGGACATACTCAGAACCCGTGTAAATAGTATATAACGAGTCTGTATTATAGATTTACTGCAATGCACGTGTACAATAATATAAATCATGCATACGAAGTACTGGATATAGATCTAGATAACCAGGACCCGACATATAAAAAAAGCGGAATATCTCCGAGATCAGCAAACTCCAACGTCTGTCAGTCCAAGCCAGTTTACATTCCACATCAAGCCACTACCAGGTGTAGAAGATAAGAAACCAATTCCTCGAACCATTGACATCACCACTAACCCCAATTCAGGACCGAACCATAAGAGTAGCGCGCCCTATGGCATGCATGACTAATCTACTACATCACTTTTAATTCCATTCCACCCCGCAACTTCATACCTTTCCATACTGACACTACCATCCAATTGCCACACCCCCACTCCAAGAACAAGAGAAAGAAAGAAATCAAAAGGAAAAAAAAAAAAAATGCCCTCCCTCCTCGAAGACCCCACAACCTACATCCCACCCCCACCCACCGCATCAACAACCTCACCCACGCTCACGCCCATCACCAAAACCCTAAAAGACTCCACCCGCGTAACCCTCTACCCCGTCGCGCACGGCGCATCCTCCCTCCCAGCCTCGCTCGTGAAGGTCCTGCACCGCGAATTCAGCGAGGAGATTGCGCGCGGCGCGACGTATCCGATGGAGGAGGGGATGGGGTACGAGGCGTTTGCCGGGTATTGGTTTGGGACTTTTGCGGTTGTGGCTGTCATCGATCGTGAGGGTCCTGGGGGGAATGGGGGGAATGGGAGTGGGGATGGGGAGCAAGGGAGATGGTTACAGGGTCAGGAGGAGAGGGATTGGGAGAGGGATTGCCTGGGGACGTTTTATATCAAGCCGAATTATCCGGGTATGTATCCTTCCTTTTTCGTTTCCATATTGGTGGTTTGGGGGGCTGTAGGCATGGGAGTAAAGAGTAAAGAATGATGCTAATATCTGATTCCCTGACGGTAGGCCGCTGTTCGCACGTCTGCAACGCCGGATTCCTAACAACAGCCGCAGCGCGCGGTCGAGGCGTGGGCATCGTAATGGGCGAGACGTACCTAGAATATGCGCCGAAGCTGGTAATCCCCCTTTTCACCTTAACCCACTCTCCGCCTTACATCAGAACTCGTGTCTAACAAGCTGACAGGGCTACAAATATTCCGTATTCAACCTCGTCTTCGAGAACAATGTCGCCTCCGTCAAGATCTGGGAAAGGCTGGGTTTCAAGATCATCGGACGAGTGCCTGGGGCGGCGCGACTAGCGAACAGCCCAGACCTGGTGGATGCGTTGATCATTGGGAAGGAATTGGTATGATCTGGTTTCATTTCTCTAACCAGAAAGAGAGTTGTGGATAAGAGACACAGAGAGAGAGACTGTAAATTAACTCCATGATATAGATTCCATAGACCCTAAAAACATACACAAATCAAACAAGAACGCTAATCACAATGCGAGTGGGGAATCAAGCGCAATCTGTCCTGCAAACGACTTGGTATATGACTCCTCAAATCCCGGATGCTGATAATACATGCATGCAATGTAGTAAGAACGGAAACAGAATCAAAAGAACACGGCCGGAAATGCAAATACAAGTTCAAAAGAAACTACCGCCACCGCGGCCGCTCAGCAAGTTTGCCACGATTCTCCGCAGCGCTGTCGCGTCCGGAACGGCCCTTAGGCAGAGGAAGTAGGCTGATGCGACGACTGCCCGAATGACCCAGGGCGGTACCTGGACGATCAGCCTTGGTCGGACTGAGCAGCCCGTTGCTATACTGCTGCGAGACGCTGCGGTTGAAGGGCGTGCCGGCAAAGCTTTGCCGGTTGCGCGGCGTGTTGACCAGGTGTTCTGCACCTGCCGGTCGTCGCAGCTTGCTATACGGCGGAGGATCCAGAAGAGAAGAGCCGGGAGAAGGAGACGGCGGAGGCACCGGGCTGCGCGATGTAAGCCGGCTAGAAACGCGGCTGGCAGATCGACCGGCCGAGGGCGCCGGAGAGGCGGAGAGATCCCGTCGCGTTGACCGGGAGAAGGGGAGCGTGGAGGAGGGCCGCGGGGTGCGCCCGTTGGTGGTGTTAGGGGCAGAGGATTTCCGAAATGGAGTCGGCTTGTACTGGTCCAGATCGTTGGTGTTCGTGGCGATGTTCCATCGCGGACGGTTGGGGATGGGAGGTGCCGCAGGACGCGCCACCGGTTTGCGACCCACAGGAGTCGGCGTGGTCGAGCCATTCGTCTTAGTGGTTGAGCCATTCGTCTTCGTGGGAGATCCAAACGAGGGCTTGGGAAGCGCCGACTTCTTCCCCGTCAACGTGGACGTAGCCTGGGGGAGTCCAGAGTAGCGACGAACCTTGGACATGGTCGTGCGAGCCGCCGAGCTGACGGAGCTGCCCCGTCGACTGGACCCTAGCGGCGTCGACGCTCCCTTGCGCGGGTTGGCCGGCGTCATCACCACCGACGAGGCAGGCGAGCTGCCCGGCGTATCGACCACGCTGCCAGTCGCCGGGCTGTCCATCGTCACGATGCTCGAGATCGAGTCGCGCAGCTGCTGGCTCCGGGCGACGTGCACGTCCTCCAACGAGGCGTCCATAACTTTGATACTCGCCTTCAGCGCATCCAGCTTGGACGTCATATCCGACAAGAGCGTCAGAGTTTCCCCGTTCAGGGTCAGGCGGTCCTTGACCCCCTTCTGAATGATCGAGACCACACGCTCGATCGCCGCCACGTAATGCTGTTTCTTAGCCTCGTAGCTTTCGATGCGCTTGGCCAGCCCGGCGGGATTGTTGTACACGGCTCCCGACTCCAGCGCCTCCTGCAGTTTGGCGATGCTGCGCTCCACGGATTGGAACATCTTCTGCGCCTGTCCACCGGCGTTGCGGAACACCAGAATCCACCGGTCCTCGCTGAGCTCCTTGCGCAGGTCCTCGGCTTCCATTTCCAGCATCTTGTAACGCCCTTCCAGTCGTTCGATGCCCTGCTGGAGATCCTGGCAGGCGCTGGGAAACACCGCCTCGGCCCGTGACTGGAACATGGACAGGCGCATGGGCAGGAAATCCAACGAGGCCCGCAGGGGCTGAATACGGGCGAACAGACCGATCAAGTCACCGTGGAAGTTGTCCTCCTGGGGCGTCTGGATGATGGGAGTGTCGAGGGTGGGCGGAACGTTGAAGATAGGTTCCACGCTGAGTCGTTTGCTGGCGCGGTTGCCGCCCCCGGGCGTTTCCTCCACGATCGTCTCCAGTTCGTTGATATCGACACCTCCGTTACTGCCCGGCGACTGCGAGCCCTCCATGACCAAGTGCCGTTTCTCCTCCATCTGGAAGATCAGCTGGGCGAGGTTCCCGACCTCCGCGCCAACGTCTCCGAGAATGTTGTTCCACAGCTCCTCCCACTCCATGGCCAGCTCCACCTGGCTCTTCACGGATCGCAGGCGCGATTTGATCTGCGTCCAGTGCTGAATGATAAAGTCCATTTGCGTGACGATCGTCTTCAAACTTTCGGGCGCCACGCTTTCGATGTCCGGTCGGAGTTGCACGTCTTCGATCGCTTTCACGTACACGTTGATCAGGCCCTCAAAAGTCGTGATGGCGTTGTCCACGTCGTCCAGACCGTCGCGTCCTCCGGCGGCCGCCCACTCCACGTCGTCATCCGCGTCCAGGCCCTCCAGCACGCTGGTCGCCTTTTTGATCCATATCTGAATCTGATCGGCGGCTCCCGTCAGAGACTTGACGGCTGATGGCGCGTTGGGAATGGCGGCAATGCTCGACGCTAACGACGAGGCCTGTGGCAGGGAGATGGAGGTGAGTTGGGAGAGTTGGTTGCTGAAGGAGGCTCGCGAGAAGGAGAAGATTGAATCGGCGCGGTGTAGGCTGCTGGGACGGAAGTAGGCGGAATTGCTATCCGATTCGGGCGGGGAGTCTTTGGGAGGAGGAGGCGGGGGGTTGTCGGATTGTTTTTCGCTGGTGCTCTGGATGTACTTTTCGAAATCCGTCGGTTCTTGTGTGGCAGGCTCCGGCTCCGGCTCCGTCTCTGGGATCGTTTCGACGGGCGTAGGCAACGTCGACGCCGGCAAAGGTTCTGCGACCGACATGGCTGGTGGTGAGGGTTGGGCTTCTGGTTGGGCGGGTGAGGTCTCCACGGGATTCCGCGTCTCGGTGGTTTCTATCGTAGTAGTAGTGTGAACTGCGTCGACCGGTTCGGCGACTGGTGATTCAGCGGCGGCGTGCTCAACAAGCTGCGCGTCAGTTTCCGACGGCAATAGCGTGAGTTCGTCCAACGCCTCACGTTCGAACGACTCTGTCACCGGCACGTCCAATAACTCCGGCTCGATGACTTCCAGGAGGTCAGACGAGCCACCCTGATGTTTCTTGTCCTTGCCAATCAAATGCAGAGCATTCCACGAGCGACCTTTCTTCTCGACCTTAATCGACGCCGACAGGTTCTGGTGCAGAGTATCCAGCTCTTTAATATGCTCTTCGGGGATGCGGCCCACGGCGCCGGGGCTGCGAGAATTGGTGGCGCTCTTGCTGTGACTGCCGTCTAGGAGTTTGACGCGAGCTGCCAGGCCCGGAGATAATCGTCGCAGGATAGACGGACGAACGAGGGATTTGTCGGAACCGGGCTGTTCGGGCGTCTCATCGGAGGGATCTTCGTCGTTTAGACTGCTGCCGAAACTCCGCACGCTGCGTAGGGAGGATTTGGATTTGATGCGTCGGGGGAGGGAATCTTCTGGGGTGGAGACGGACAGAGCAGGAGGAGGGGGCGGAGGAGGCGAGGAGATCTCGGGCTCATGTGCTGGTGGTGACTGTTGTTGTTGCTGTTGCTCTGGGTTCTGCAGCTCTTGCGACGTGTTGAGACCGGAATCCGGAGGGTCAGAGGTAGTCGACCCGGCGAACATGGCAAGCATGGGGGAGAATGCAATGCGCGAGACGACTGCCCTATGGCCGGAAGAAAGAAGGCACAGAGAATGAGTGAAGTAATCCAATAAGAAAAAAATGCCTGAGAGTTAGGCAAGAAAGAGGGGGGGAGGAGAGCGAGTGAGCGAAAGACAGCGAGCAGGAAAAGGTGGGCTGCGGAATGTCGGCTTGACCAACGCTTCTCCGGGGCGGTTCGCCGGAATGCTGGACGCCCCTTTCTTTGAGGCCCGTGAGGCACTAATCACTCGGTATGTAGTCACAGAGTTAGAGACCGTGGTCACTGATTTGCTTTCTTCTTTTTCTTTGCGTGTCTTTTCTCTGAAAGTGGAGTCTCAGCAGTGAACAACAAGAATGAGTGGATTCTACCTACACCGTAGTTACATGATCCGGTGGTTGGGCAGAAAAGAGCAACGAGTCTCGAATTAAATTCGGCTGGATCGACGTCGTACAACTAACAGGCAATCAGTCTTGATGCTCCGTTTTCTCCTTTTTCTTCTTTCTGCCTGCCCTTTGGCCCTGTCGGCGCGCGTCTTCTACAGCGTCACTCTCCTAGCCTGGGGATGGTCTCGATCCCTGGAAGCGTCTACGCCTGGGTAGGGATGAATATTGATTTCTCCTTCATTCTTCTTTGGGTCAATATGGTTTAATACGAGTAATGAATATGTACACCTCATCTGCTCGTGCCGGGCCCCAATTCCAGCCCAATCATAACAGACTTCCGCATCCGGAATCATCCCTTCACTAAGATAAAAATAAGAATAACAGACGCGCAACAATTCACGTCCAAATAAAATAGAAATCAGATATAGTAAATAGTTCAAATCAGATCAGGTCAGGTCAGGTCAACCAAATAAATCCAAGTAAATCAACCAGTCTGCCACTCCTCAAGGGGATGCGATAGACTCAAGCCAAGTAAGGGGGTATCTAAGGGAAGGGCTGCAAACAACGAAACGTAAGAGCCAGTAGGAGAAAAGAGAACCAACTCGAAAGAAAACCAAAATAAGAGAAGTAAAACCAGGACAGTTAGAAAGAATACGGATCATACGTGGTCCAATCTTCGGAACCAGACGGTCCTGTTCGCGCTGGTCAAATGTCAAAGCCGTCTTGAGTAGGAGGCCTTGCAGTGGACGGCCGGCGCGGCATCTCCTGCCAGTCACGGATCAGCTCCTCGCGTACCGCTTGACACCACGTTAGCAGTGCGGCGTCGAATTTCCTCCATGCCTCGTCGCTGTTCCCTTGCACCACGCCCATGACGTCCACATCCAGTTTCGTCTCCCATCGGATCTCGGCCGCCTTGACCCAGAACCGGAGATTTTCTGCCCGTCGGTACGGTTTCGCAACGTCTTCGTGATACGATTTGATCTCGCAGAACGGCCGCTGAGACTTTCGCACCGCCTGATTGTGGATTCGCACCAGGTCCCGCCCGTCTCGCAGCCGGTCCAGCATGGCGCTCGGCAGGGGTCCCTCGTCCGGTGCCGTCCACGAGGGCAAAGGAGAGTCGGAATTCGTCAAACTGCACATGAAGGCTTGTTCGCGTTCGCGCTCTCGTCCGGTCCAGTCGCCGACGGCCCACGACCATGTCCGCCGCTCCGCCGCTTCCTGTTGTTCCAGTTGAATTTCTTGGGCCCGCAAATTCCGCACGTTGGCAATCCACCCGAGAATGGACGCTTCTTCGTCCTCGCGGAGTCCGCCGGAGAAATTGCGCGAGGCCCACCGCTTTAAGACCTCCAGGACGTTAAAGAGCTCCTGCCGAATCTCGCGCTCACTTTTGATCGACGCTAGTCGCTCCGGACGCTCATGAGCGGTATAGTAGATCTTGGCCGCGCGAATGGCGAGCGTGACCGTGTCCAGAATGCGCATGCCTCGGATCTCCTCCCAGCCTTGAGGAGTAGCCTCCGCGGGAGGAGGCGCCGGTTCGTCGTCAGGGTCGGCCAGCCCGTCCGGCGAGAGACTGATGCGCGGAGGGTTCAAGTCGGGCGGCGGCTCCTTCTGGGATCCAAGAATCTCGATACTCTTCTCGGCCTTGTCCAGCGCTCTCCGCAGGTTCTTGCGCAGCGCTGGTAAATCGGGGGGCGGTGGAATATGGTGGGTCTTGATACTATAGGTGCTCACGGTGGGAGGCAGCATCATCTCGTCGGGCTCCTCCAGGCCGCTGTCCTCTTCCGCAGAGCTCAACCCGGCATCGCTCGTGGGGCTGGCCGTCAGATCGTCGATGAACCGTGCATTAGGGGTCATCAATAACCGAGGTTCCTCCTCCGGATTCTTCTTTTTCTTCTTGTATTCGCGGGCATGACCGCCTTTGCCATCCAACAGACCGGTCCGGGCAAAGTAGTACTGCAGGTGGGCGATGCTGCCCAGACTCATCACGCTCTCCCGGTTCTTTGCTGATTCGGCGAATTCGGCCCCCTGGGGCCGAATGTAACCACGGCGTTTCGACGAGATTGACACGGAGGATCGAGCATCGGCAGAGGTGGCGGACGAGGCGGAGAGCGAAGAAAGGGTCGAAAAGGTCGAAAAGGTGCGGTCCGGTGATGGACAGGAGGAAATGGCCGGTGTCGGACAGATGGACGGGGAGGGTGACGACGCACGGTGCGGAGGGGCGGCGAACTCAGACTCGACCGATTCATCCATGACGGCGGAGATGAATTGCCTTGACTCGTTTTGATCGGACAGAGGAGAGAGAGGGGGGAGGGGAAAAGAGAGAGAGAGGAGACAAAGGAGCCAGGAAGAGGGGAAGGAATGAAGGATCTTGGGGTGGTCAGATTCTCGCAGGAGATAGATCGCGATGATATCGCCAGAAAGTATCAGATATATCGGGAGGACGACGACGCGACAGGAAAGGACAGGTGGTCGTCGGCTCGATAACCGTTTCGGCGAGGCACAAAATAGGGATGCGTCACCGATGGAAATGGAAATGAATGATCGATCGACGGAGCGAGAATAATCTTGGGAGGTTCGAAAGGGGGGGCTTTTTTTCCCACTAAAAGGGGAAGCGGGTCGATAGTCCGCCTGCCAACACGTCGGCCATCACGGAAGAAGTGATTTAATTAAGGATAGAACGGGTATTAATAGAAATTGGCCGTCGTTTCTTTTTCTTTCTGTGTCTGTCGAGTTCCAATTTCCACACTGCCGGGACCTGCCCCTGAACAAGTCAATAAGACTAGAGGCCCCTCTCCGATCCGAGATATCCAGGCGAGCTTGGAGTCCGTCCAGAACGTCTTGAACAGTTGAACTCCTGAGTTTTTGACGCTTAACTGCCTTGTGGACACTTTCCCGGTTCAGGCTTAGCGTACCCCCCGTGCCTGGCCGCCCCGCATTTTAATTTGACTCTGGATTCTTCATGTTGATTCTTGAGGTTATACATACTTAGCAGTAACTGTCATATGCAAGGGCCACACCATGCATACAGTCATGCACTATGAACATCATGAACACCATAAACACAAAAACGAGAGGAGTTGACATCTATTGTACATTTTCATAATCATACAAACCCAATTGCGCCCATGCGGAAACCCCACCGGGTTGAACCAGCAACCGACGATGAAACAACCTCGGAAACTCCGTGCTGACCAGAAAATCCCCCAAAAGAAAGAAACTCAAATATCCCCGATCAATACCAATCTTCAGATAATATCTTCCCTCTCCCAGCCGGTGGGTTTCAGATTTTCTATGCCTTTGCCAGGATGCGCCTTGGTCATGTCCTTGTACTTGGCCGAGTACGGATTGGGATCGGCCCCTTGCTTCAGGTTTCCCAGGGTGTGGTTGACTTCTCGGTGTTTGGCCTCGTCCGCCCGAACGTAGAGAAGGAGGTCCTTCATGCTGCGCTGGCCCTCCGGCATTTTCCAATAGGAGACGGCAATATTGGGGGCGTCCAGCTTCTCCCACTCGGGGAGCTTGCCGTCTTCGATCTCCTTGATCGCCCGGGTGTAGGTGATCACCGCCTCCTCTTCCAAGTATCCGACGAATCGGTGGCAAATGCGCGGCGAAATCAAGTAGGAGAGGAAGAATCCGTTGAAGAACACTCCTTGGGCGCCGAGCACCATCATCCGCATGAACCATCCGGGCTCGGCGAGTTTGAGGAAGGTGAGCAAATGCATCCGCTCATTGAACGCTTCTTCCAGCAGGGTCTCGATCCTATATCCTAGTCAGCCTCTTGGATCTGATATGGTCCGCATCGACGCGTTGGTCTACTCACCATCCATTGTCTCTCTTCATGCGCCGCAAACTCCTCAAGTGTCGCAACATTCCCCCCACCATCCCCGGCACCCCCGCCACACTCTCCAGGAACACAAAACGGGTGAGCCACTTTTTCTCCGTCATCTTGAACTTGGCCTCGTTTTCCCTCCCCGGGGGAGGATGGTGGTATCCAGTGACCAAGTCCATCCCCCATCGCAGCAGTCGCACGGTTCCCAAGGCAACCCAGTCGGGCCAGTCCTTGGCTTGTCGGTGGGCAATGGTGACTTGCTTCATCTGGTCTTCGGTGTAACTGTGATTACCCGATCGTCAGCATGTCTGTGGCACCAGAAAAAGGACCGAGCACGGGAATGGCTTACACTGGGTGATTCCAGGCCGTTTCCAATTCTTTGATATGCGGCGCTTCAGGAGGCGGGAAGAACTCCTTGATCTTGGTCGGGTGCGGAGTGGACGAGATCATCCGCTTGGGATTCGTCTGGTGGTGACGAGGGTTGGCGTACAAGGGACTGCCACCACGTAGCCCTGTCGTGGCAACGAGACTCGTATACCCTCGCAGCGTGAGGTGTAGCTGGGATTTGGGCAGGTGGACGGCCCGCATAGGCGCCGTGGCTGTTATGGAATTCATCTTGGTAATTGTTCCCAAGTTGTTCAGGTTGTTGTGGTTGGTATGAAGGTAGGTAAGTAGGTAAGGAAGTATAGCCGATGCTATATCTTGTATAGGAAGAATCTTAATGATGTTGTCTATGAACAACCACAACCTCGTCCACGGCTCCTGCCGTATTTATACCAAACTAACATCACTCTATTAAAAGAACGAGAATTAAGAAAAAAAAATCGATCAGATCTATGGCAAAAACCGGGAGCACACCGGGACCAAACAAAGACAACCAGCGAAGAAGCAGTCAGAGCCAAACCCGGTTTGCCTACGGATCCTCAGGCAGGGACCCTCCGCTTCCTACTTCCTCCCGGACAGGAACCACTCTAGAACCACTAGAAGGCTGCTCAGTAAGGTACTGTTCAGGCCTTACAGCATTCCCTCCCGGCATGTCGCTGCACGCCGGCCCTCCCCCACAATAATCGCCATCTGGGAATTTCCCACCCGGTTACCTGATGTCATGATCGTCCCCGTCGAACTGGAAGCAACTCCAACACGCTCCCCATTATCCCCATGGCCATCGATGAATCGACATCGCTATCGGTGTAAGCTCGCGCATTTCACAGGAATACGAGACGTGTAATTTAGGAAACACGAAGGAGCGGCAGGTGACCGCGGAATGAATCGGGAGGCAACTCTGAGTCAGACCCGGGACACCGATGATTTCTCGGGATTGCTGGGTTTTTTCGGGGTTTCCCTAGTGAACGTTCTACCTTAATGTACACCGTAGATTCTTTCAGTATTACTCATATGGACTGGGTCTATTTTGGACTTTTTTTTTTCTTACAAACTGCTGTACGATGATTTCCCGGACTGCTGGAAAAGCGTTCATTCTTACGTCAGGCCCGGCTCTCTTTTCCTGCGCCATGTTTGGTGGACCAGATCCCGAACTACCGTCTACTAGACTATCCATAGCCTATGGAGATATGGTTCATGAAACCGGCCGAGAAACTGCAGATCCTGAGACCAAGGCACGACGAACCCTTCTCTACTCCGTATGCAAGGGTTTCTGTTCTTAAGTGACGTTGTCTTTCTCTCCCTGGCTTTGCAGTCCAGTTCTTTCTAGGATCTATTATCATTTATCACTGTCAGGATGAGGCCTACACAGCCTATAATAAGATCTCTGTCTGGTCAGCACGGGTTTCCGTCCATGTATCAACCCTACTTATTCATAAGTCCTTCAGAGCAGATCACAACCCAAGAATCTAAACCAACCCAGCTCACCGGTTATTCTGCTCAAATAATCTCGTCCTATTCAGTCATTATCATATGTATACTCATCCATACTATCGTGAATTCCCACCCAGTCAAGCAATCGGCGACTGCGGAACCCAAATCAGTCAAGTCGTAGCATCAAACGCCGACTCCGAAGTCCGTTTGACCCCGAATTGACTCTCGCCTTCTTGCAGCGCAATCCCCTTCTTCTCCACTTTGACTACGTGCGCTAGACGCGGCCCGTTGTTGATTTCCTTGAGCAGGTTCTGGATCGCCTCGTCGGGGCCTTGGGCTTCTCCTTCGACCTGGAGATGAGTGTTAGTAGGGGTTCGGTGTACGCCAAGGGTGAATGCTGCTGTGTGTACAGTGTACGGAGTACTGGGGGTGATTCATTTGTAAGTGGCGAGTAAGGAGAGATATACGAACCCTTCCGCAGCTGGTGTTCTTTACCCAGCCTTTCAGATCGAACTGGGTGGCTCGTTTTTGGGTGAAGTCGCTGTTCACATAGGTAAGTTTTCGCCCATCGCTTAGACACAATATATAAAAAGTAGGCGCAAGACGTACCGGAACCCGACGCCTGAATTACAATGCTAATATTAGTACCCGCACTCTAGATCTAGACAAAGTATGACGATATAGAACATCCAATATTCTCCGATCCTACGAGATCAGGTACTCGCCTTGTACAGTGCCATGCACCTTGAATGCAATCTGCGGATCGATTAGACAAATGTCCGAGATGATGTGGTTCCCCTGATCTGAGGAGAAAGACCCTTACCCTTTGCTGTGCCATATTGTTCTCTAGATCTGAATCGGTGACTTTAGAGGACATGAGAAGACGAGGATGAAGTACTGCCTCATGATGCAACGAGAGGCAACGTGGATGACTCAGCGCATGTGATCGTTGCCCGATTGGGAAGGCTCGTCCCGAAGGGGATAAGCGGCTCAGGCACCTCAGGCACCAATCACAGACCGGGTGTTGGCCTTAGTCATCTCTCCCCAAACGGGCAAGAGGGCATTCATTCAGCATCGTTGAATAGAGAGATTCGTGAGTCGATTTTCTCGGACATTTTAAAATTAGAACACATTATACAGCTTCGTGTTGCCGTGTCATGAACTGCATGTCAGAGTGTATCGTCGATTAGCCCCTCGACTTACCTAGGCCATCGTCTAGTCTCCGCCCCTGAGCCGACGAACCCCCGAGTTAATTGAACTCTCTCCGCATTGATCCCCTCCGCGCTTCTCTGAGGAGCTCGGCCCCGTCATGCTGGCTTGAAGATGCCTCCCTCGATATTCTCTCGGCTACGACAGCTGTACACTCTCGATACTCTCGACACCAGATTAACCGTTCCCGCCACGACTCCGCTGAAGGCGGCCGCTGACACGCGACCTGCTACGGCCAAAGATGCCCGCGCCCAGGCAATCGCCAACGGTGCTGAACCGTCAAATTGGCGCACACCTGAGTTCTACGTCTACTATTTGGTTTTCCTGGTCGCTGTCCCGTTGATGTTCAAAGCGGTCATTGAGGTGTCCCAGGGTATGGCTTCTCCGCATGCCGAGGTCTTACGAGCAGTGTTGATGCAAGCGCTATAGAAAGCCATCCGAGTTATTCGACCTACGCCGACTTGCTGTCCCCTGGCTGGGTGCCGGGTCGGAAAGTGGTATGCTTGAGGTTGCTGTCCCTGGATGTTGGCGGACCCTGGCTAACGTTCTCGCGCGCGTGAACAGGACAACTCGGACTCCCAATACTCTACTTTTCGTGACAACATACCCTACCTGCTCGTGCTGCTGATCGCCCATCCGTTGCTCCGTCGCGTATACGAGAAATTCACCAGCTCCTCCGGCGCCGAATCTACACCGAGACCGAATGTAGCTGCGGCTGGTGAAGCACGGCTCAACCAGCGAATCCGTTTCGACTTTGGCTTTGCCTTCATCTTCATAACCGCTCTTCATGGCGTGTCTGCGATCAAGGTCCTCGCAATCCTGTATATCAATTATAAGATAGCGAAAACGCTCCCTCGGCAGTATATCCCTACAGCTACGTGGGTGTTCAACATCAGCACGCTGTTTGCCAACGAGCTGTGTGCCGGCTATCCCTTTGAGCGCATCGCTGCTTTATTAGTGGCCCCGGCAGATGGGACAGGTCAAGAGGCTCCGTTGGTGTCATGGGCCCGGTATATTGATGGCTTTGGAGGGTTGATTCCTCGATGGGAAATTCTCTTCAATATCACGGTCCTACGGTTTATCAGCTTCAACATGGATTACTACTGGAGCCTAGATTATCCCGCTGCCAGCCCCATTGAAGTAAGTTTGAGTAGTCTCATCCGAAGCAAGTCGATATCTGACAGTCATAAGAAGAAGCAGCTTGATCCTGCATCACTCTCGGAACGTGATCGTGTTAGCATTCCGGCCGAGCCTTCGGCGTTCAATGGCCGCAATTACGTCGCCTACATACTCTATGCGCCGCTATATCTGACCGGCCCCATCTTGACATTCAACGACTATATCTCTCAGCAGAGGTTTCCTCCCCCTTCGATCACCCGAACCCGCACCATCCTCTACGGGACTCGCTTCTTCCTCACCCTGCTGTCAATGGAGTTGGTCCTTCATTACACCTACGTCGTGGCCATCTCCAAAGCCTCTCCCAACTGGTCCCTCTACTCCCCCTTCCAGCTCAGCATGCTCGGCTACTTCAACCTGCACATCATCTGGCTCAAGCTCCTCATCCCATGGCGCCTATTCCGCCTCTGGGCGCTGATCGACGGCGTCGACCCACCCGAGAACATGGTCCGCTGCGTCTCCAACAACTATTCCGCCTTCGCCTTCTGGCGCGGCTGGCACCGCTCCTTCAACCGCTGGATCGTGCGCTACGTCTACATCCCTCTCGGCGGCGGTGGAGGCCGCGACCGCAAAGGATCTAGCAACAGCAAGCCCGCCTCCGCTTTGTACATCCGAGCCCGCCAGATCTTCAACTTCCTCGTCGTCTTCACCTTCGTCGCCCTCTGGCACGACATCAACCTCCGTCTCCTCATGTGGGGCTGGCTCATCACGCTTTTCGTCCTGCCCGAAGTCATCGGCACGTTGCTCTTCCCTGCCTCGCGCTGGCGGTCCCGTCCGACCGCTTACCGCGTCATCTGCGGCGTCGGCGCCGTCGGCAACATTCTGATGATGATGATCGCGAACTTGGTGGGTTTCGCGCTGGGGTTGGACGGTCTACGCGGTCTGTTGACCGAGATGCTGGGTTCGTATTCCGGGATCGTCTATCTGGTCGTTGCTTGTGCGGCGCTGTTCGTGGGCGTGCAGGTCATGTTTGAGATAAGGCAGGAAGAGGCTCGTGCGGGGATTTATTTGAAGTTTTGATCGATCGATGATCTAGATGGAATGTATGTATACATAGAGTAGCTTTGTATCGGAAATATTTATTTCGATGGGTTGGAGATTATGTTTCTTCATTATGAATGTTGTTTGTATAGCAAGGGGGGTATATAAACTATTAACTAGAACTTGACTTCGGGTTGTTGTGCACCATGGCTCTCATTCACCTTCTATCCGGCGTGGTAAGCCACGCGCAGATTTTGCCTCATGCCGTTGACGGTAGGCTGGCAAGTTCCTCGGGGATCGAGCGCAGCGAGAGAAAGATATTTCTGGGAACGAGAGGAAGGTTCGATGGGCTTGAACCACGAGGCGAGATCCTTGGCCTGATTGTCTTGCGGGTCTAGAGCATCTCCAACGTAGGCTCGTGAAAAGAAATTGAACCTCATAGAGGATGACAGTGCAAGCTGAAGAATGTGTTGCAAAGCCGCAGATGCATTGAGTCGACATCTCAACAGAACCTGGGGGTGAAAGAAAGCACACCCACTAAAAGAAAGCCCCACACCTCGAATCCTCATGCACCTTATAACAGTCCAACCCACAAGTCCTAAGATGACAATTCTTACACCGAATCTTCCCCCAGTATCCACACATGCAGCAGAAATGGCGCTTCGATTTAATCGTCATCGGCGGGCCCGCTCGCGACGCATTATATGTTAACGGGGGCTCGGCCAAGAGCGCCTGCATGATGCGCTCTGACGGCGCGGAGGGGATATAAGATCGTAAGAGCGGGTCATTGTCGTGAGGGGACTGGATGAGTTCGTTATTGTGTTTGAGGTCGTCGTCTTGTCCTTCGGGTTGGGGGTTTCCGTCGTCGTTGCTGCCTCCTTCTCCCGATCCTCCTCCTCCTTCTGCCGTCTTATCTGTCCGTGTCTGTGTCTTTTCGTCCGCGGGAGGAGCATAAGGCTGCACCGCCGGCGTCGTTGACGTATTCCGTGACGCAGACGACCGCGCAGATGATTGCTTATTCTTCTGTCGGGCGGAGGAGTCTGCGCCTTTCGGCGTCGTCGTTGTGGCACCGGTAGCAGGCGTTGAACTTCTTCGTAAAGACGACGGCTTAGTGATTTTGTTAAGGCCGTGGATGGATGGTCGCTGGGCGTTCGAGGACTGCGTGGTGGCCTGCGCAAGAGCGGCTTCTTCGTCGTCGAGGTAGTTCCGGAATGTCTTTTGGGATTGAAGGATGCGGCGCACGTTGGATGTTACTTTGCCTCGGGTTCCTGGGTTGGGATGTTGAGTTAGTCGGTGTCTTTCTATGTGTTGTTTTCTCCGGTCTTCTTTTTCTTTTGTCTCGTAGAGGAAGAAGAGTTTCTGGTGGAAGTACCGTTGGCGCAAATGACCAGCCAGGCCAGGGTTGAACAAATCCAGGACATGGAAGAGGGGGATTGGATTTACCTCTACCAGAATCCTTCGATTTCGTCGGGACAGGAATATGCACGTCTCTATGATTCTCGCGATCTAGCTCCGCCAGGTGTCGGACGATGGCGTTGGTCTGTCGCGACGAGAGATCGGCACGGCCTGGATCGCGAATGCCCCGTTTCCGACCGATGGCGGGCGTGATGGCAGCTTTGGCGGGATCGAAGCCCCGATCAGGCACGTAGGTCCATCCCGGAGTGAGATGGGTCGACGAACTCGGTAGCACCTCGACGGAGTACATGGTGTGGTGATGGCGATTATCGGGTTAATTCGGACGGTTCAAAAAGACGGATTGGATCAAAGGCCGCGGGAGGCGGAAGGGAAGCGCCTGTGTTTGCACTGTTTGTAGTCTTGGCGATCGTATGACGCAGCTGGGCCTTTGGAGGTAGGAGGGGAAGCTATGAGTTCTGCAGTGTTGGCTTTCGTGGATTAAAAGTGGGTTGATATTCTTTTTAATGGTAAGAAGAATACTGTTACAAATATAGATATTGAGAGGGCACGTGTTGGGAGGGAAAGGGCCACCCTCATGCTGTCATTCCTACAACATTCGCCCATACAACACAGATGACTGCACTTATAGATGATAGCTTGCTCAAGACGCCGAAAGAACTCAAAAACAAGACGCAAGAAACTGGTAAGGAAACTAGGGATAAAGACCGTAGGATAGCGTATGTGTGTGGGGTTCTCATTTCTTCCTGAGCTGGTCGACTTTCGATTCCAGCTCTCCGATGTATTTCTGCAGTCTATGCGTAGCGGATTGGAGTGCCTGATAGTGCAAGTTAGCAATTTTCTCAAGGGTAAGTGGGCACATAAAAGATATAACTGGGGCTATTATCATCCAGGCCCAGCAAGCTCGCCGCTAGACAGTGAGGTCCAAAAACACACAATGAAGAGATTAGGACACAGAAAACGTCACATAGAGAGTGGGAAGAAGATGAAAGTTAGCGAACAGAGCCAAACCCAAACTTACACTTATATCTTCAGTCAACATCTCGTTCGACACGCGGTATTCTCCCAGGATGTAATAGTACACGGAAGCGCCGGCAGTGAGGGAACCGGCGAGAAACCCAACCAGTCTGCAGAAGGAGGTCAATTCACGCCGAGTGATATATGTGGGAAACAAGGACTATTGATACTCACCCTCCACGGAATGCCCCAACGGGCTTCTTAGCGGGCAGCGACGAGGTGGCGACGTTTCTCATGAATGCCGAGCTGGAGAAGCTCCGTGCGGAGACAAGTCCGCGCGTCATTGCGACAGAGCGCATTGAAGGTAGCGCCGTCTTGAAAGCAAACATTTTCCAGATCCTTTTGAATGGAGTCTAAGAGGGTGCCCAGTTAGTCAGAGCATCTCGCGGTGGCAAGGAATAGGGACGTTGATCACCTTACACGGTGGAATCGCCAGAGGGAAAGGAGAGGGCGAAGGCGCAGTGACGTTGGCGGCTCCCATGGGGAAGACCTTATTAGTCAGCGGGAACCGTTGCAAGCTATCTGGAAGGGGTTAGCGCCGACTACCCACGTTGGCTGCATTACTAATATTCTGACATCCTGCTATTTGACTAACTACTAGTTAAATAGTTATATTTCTCCTTATGTCCTTTCTGATTCCTTTCATTGTTGGAAAAGCTCTATCGCCGGATCGAAAAACCAATCACCTCCCTCAACAGCCACCTGTACTTCTCCAAAGAGTAAAAGGGAAAGGAAAGGAAAGGGAAAGACGAGAAACAACCGAAAACTCCCAATCAGCAGAACAAGAATGCAAACAGAAGCGTCGATTATCCACTTGCCGTTTGCCGGCTCTACGTATGCCTTGTCTGAGACCTAGGCCTTCTGAAACTTCTCTCATCCAGAACAATCCGTGCCTAATCTTTGGACCACTTACTCAGGGAAACCGATTTCGTGCACTATTATTTTCGTTATATGTAGTGCTATATTAGGGATACACCATGATTAGATGAGAAATCTATTCGCCTTCAAGTCTTTCCTCCCCTCTATTTTTCAATGATTTTGGTTAACATTTGACTTTTGGGTAGGTTCAGGACAGACATCGGGGAAATCTGATTTGGAATACGGCCTTAACTAAAAATAACAAGAACAACAAGACAACAAACAAGAAAAAAAGACAAAACAAGCCATTCCAATGAATAGATGGAAACTGCCACAAGCGATCAGGGCCAGTAATTGGACAGAGTGTGAGCCCCATACTTCTCATAACTCTCAATTTGCTCCGGGCTCGACCATTTGCGAGTGTTTTGAGGCGGAGGCATGCTATCGAGCATCATTCGGCGAAGCTTTGCAAGCTCCTCCTGTACATCTAACCCCAAATTCCGTCCAGGCACCGGCTCGCTGTACAAGAGACGGTAGTAAGTACGGAACTGCGGCTGAAGATCTTCGGGTTTAACCCACTTTTCCTTCGCATGCATTACAGCGTAATTCTGAAACCGTAGCCAGCCACGCATTAGCTCATTTGGATGATACACATAACGACTGGCCAGAAGGATTAAAGTTTCGGTCATTGCTACAGGCGTGAGGATTTTGGCCGGGTATAAGTCCGCTGCCCAGCAGGGTGGATCCCACGGATTATGAGCAGGTAGGCGAGGATCGTTGGAGAGCATGAAATTGGGATCATTGGGCTCGGGATGCTCGATCGGAAAGTCCGGCAGTGCCCAGTAGATGTTAGATTTCTTGTAAACCCCGAGGGCGATGGACTCTGGCCATTGTGAATAATGGAAGTGTGTTTCCGGTATCTGGACGGGGTTGGACGGTTGCACGACGCGGCACTCTTTATCGGTACACAGCGTGTACCCTGCGTTGGTGATGAGGTCGACGGCGTTGAGAAAGTGTTCGTCATGGACGATGAACTGGACATCCTGTAGGTTTGCTTTTGTTAGTTAAAACGGCCGATGCTATCACCATGTTGGTGGTTATGGGTATACACTCACATCCAAGCACAAGGGCGACTCCCAAAGGATAATGTTCATGTCGAATCCAAGAACATGTCGAACCTGATTCTCATCCAGGATGGCCGCAAGCCGTGAGATTTTTTTTACCGGATAAGGCATATTTGTCTATATTGTTAAGAACGACTTCGTCTGTGTTGTTAAGAATGACTTCTGTGTGTTGTTGAGAACGGTTTCGACTGTGCTCTGTGGACCAGGAAGGTGGACTAGAGCCCGGCTTTTATACCTTTCCCAGCACCTAGTCACCAAAAGAGTTTTTCACCAGCAAAGTGCGTGTTCCGGTTCTCTCTCTCTCATCTTCCGAATCAATCCTGATAACCGCCGGCAAACCCGATCAGACGGCACGGTTCCATTCACTCCAACTTCGACCGCCATCCATTATTGTCAAGTTGAGAAACCTTGGATCCGGCGAAAGTTTTTATACCTGGGGGAGCCGTAAAGAAACTCGACGTCATGGCTCTTTGAAGATGCCTCTGACAACGATTCGAAATTGTCGGGCATGCCGAGGGCTGAGACCGTTGGAGAATCGGGGGAATCCAGAGCAGCCTCGGACAGACAATGGCAGGTCTATAAATGGAGGGCTCGGGCCGTTGAAATTCATCCATCCTTTCATAGTTCTGCTTTGTTGATGGGTGGTGCATCTATTGTCCATTCTCTTCCCATCTCCCCCCACCCGCAATACTCGATCTCCCTTTGTTGCCTCGGTCTTTCATGCACTTTGACCACCCCATTCTTCTACCAGAGGAACTTGTCAGCCATAGTCCTCAATCCAGCAAAGCCTTACCTTGGGTATCCAGTCACACATGGCGTGAGATGGGCTGCGCAAGGCAGTCTGGACGTGAATGCGAGTTGATGTGAAACGGTGCGTAGAGAAGAAATCCATCCCCTCATCCGACAAGTAGATGAACTCACCAAGTGAACAGCCAGACTCTGGGGACGGCTGATATCCTTGAGTAAAGGGATGTAAATGCATCCAGGAAGTACTCCGTATTGCTTGTCGACTACCACACCAAGTGAGCTCGTGACGCGTCATGTATGTCTCATTTCGACGCTATGCCTTATCAGTAAACCTAGTCTGCAAATCTTATTAAACATATAGGAATTTTGTATATACATGCATATATTCATATAAAGTGCACACACGCTACCTACAAACTAAGAACCAATCGAGTCTACCTGCCAACGAAATTCTTAAAAAGAAGAAAAAAAAAAGTCAAATCGCTCAATTGGCCATGGTGCTCTCGTTAAACAGGTCCGCCAGCAGATCATCCTGGCATACTTCCAAGCTTGGACTACCCATACTGTATGTGCTCTCGAAAGCATGGATGCTAAGCTGATCAAACCATGGACGGAGGACGCGCTCGATAATCTCGTCTTTGGCAGTTTCGCGGATCCAATCCGCCGTTAGGCCCGGTTTCTTCGGATCGTTGTCGGTCTCATCCGGATTCGTGGGCGTGCGCGGAGATGGTGATGCTCGTACTCCAATGCCCTGAGATATCTCGTCGGCAAGGGCCATAGATTCCCAGCGATCAGGGGGATATATGGCATCAATTGTATCCGTGACGTACAGCCACTCGAGAAGCTGGAAATCATCGGGCGCAAGAACCAGCAGCGTGTCTAGCAGTTTACACGCCTGCAGCAGCGAGCACGGATTGTATACCTCTTGATGGAGCCCGAGGGGTATGGCCGCAATGGCTTCTTGTAGCTCGGTGTTGATAATTGGCCAAAACGGTGCTAGTGTATTGGTCGAGGTCTTGAGGGTAAGCGCCCGAAAAACCATAAATATTTCGGCTCGCGTGTTCGACGAGGGAGAGGATGAGATGGTAGCTCCCAGTAAATCTTCTAATTTCTGGAGGAGACCTGGTAATTCCCCAACGAAGTAGTCATTATTTGCACACAAGATAAGCAGCGCAATCCTGCGAAGGTTCAGCTGTGCTTTGCGGTCGGCATCCAGGCGCGCGGCGGATGCGCCTACACCAAACATGATACCAGCAGTGCTTGGTGGAGGAAGACGAGCCATCAACTCAGACAGTCGATCTTTGTCGGCGAGAACCCATTGCCGCAACAGAGTCATCCAACCATCTTTCACCAAGTCGACCTGTGAGCCGAAAAACCTGGGATCGTTGAAGGCATCAGATATATCCTTCTTCCAGATTTTGGCTGCAGCGGGGGCTTTCGCTATGTGCTGTAGAAGAGCCATGAAACTGCGGTTGACGTTGTTTGGGAAAAGACGCGACCGCAACAGGGGAGCAATCACATTGGTCGAGATGCCAGAAACGGCCGAGTTGATACGATCCGAATCACCCAAGGTAGTTGTGAAGGCAGGCATGGATAAGGAAAGAATGCTTAGCATATCATCAGGTCCCATGTGAGGTACGGACGAATTATCATGGTCCAGAGAGGCTCGACTCATTAGGCCGGATTCCTGAGACAAGCCCAGAGGCTTGCTCGTGAAAATGGCTGTAAGTAAGCGAAGTAAGACATCCTAGAGAAAATTGATATTAGTCGAAGCACTCGTGTGGTGGTAAAGGATCCATACCCCAAGCTCCCTTCGCATTCGCCGGTCATCGCCGAAGCTTGTATTATCTAACTTAGCTCCTAGTATGGCAGCAAACTCAACCAAGCGAGGAAGAATCTGCCGATGCGGGAATGGGTTACTCAAAACATCACGCAAAAAGGTAGTGCAGTCAGCCCAAATCTCGTCCAAAACATCATCGTCAAGGGATTTGGCGTATGCCACTAGAAACCCGGCCAGCTCCGCCTCCGTCAGGGAGGATGACAGAGTGGATTTACGGCTTGGATCCAGTGCCGATGGATTAGTTCGCGTATAGATTGCATTGAAAACGGCCGGTATTGTGATCTTGGGTCTAGACCCGTCCAGGGTATGGATAAGACTGAAGATGAGAGATGAAGTATCGGGATCTGACTTAGTCCACATCTCCACCAGAGTCTCGAGACATTCAAGAGCTTCCGCGGTGAAGAGATGTTCCAAGATTCGTCGGGATCTGTTCCTCATGCGCAAGGATGTATACTGGAATGACGCAACAGACTCCGCATCTTGAGGGAGAGTACTCCGTTCCACAGCGCCCCATGACCAGATAGAGAAGCATAATCGCACAGCATCTTGGAAGCACAGCAGCACTGTAAGTCTGTTATTGGCAGCCGACGGTCGATTGTGACCAGCGTCCGAAGAAAAGACACCTGACACCATGTTTCCAAAGAAACTATGTGTTTGATCAGGACTTTTTGCGGCTGGTGTATTCGTTTCTTCGAAAAGAAGGCGTTCGTGAGCAGTTGCAATACAGGTCTCAAGACCGGCTAATAATGCAATAGTTGCATGCTCGGAGCGGTCCTCGCGCCATTTGATTGTTTGCTTGAATGCGAGTTGAAGACTGGCGTACGAGAGTTGGATCTCCTTGCAGAAGCATTCCACCAGCAACAGCAGGATCTGGAAAATAGACCCTGTATACAATGGGAGCACCTCGCAGAGAAGTACAGTCCATCTTTCCACAATCTCTCTGGACTTTGGCGAGCTGATACCCTTGAGAATGCAGTCGAGCAGGTGTGGCGGAGGCTGTGGTAAGATTGACACCGCAGGAGGCCTTTCAGCTTTATCACTCGTAAAAGACAATATAGATGGACTCGTTAGGCGTTCTCGCGAGCTAGCTCGCTGATGCTTCGGCCTAGGAGGCGGCGGGGGTAGATAGGCCTGAGCAAAGCGAACCTTCAATGCTGCAAGAAGGGTGTCGATAAGCGCCCCTTGTATGGCAATGTTGCCCCCCGCATCGAGGACGTGCAAGAGTCGGTCAACAAGAAAAGCGTCAATACCGGACTCGACGATGCTTTCAGCGCCGGGACCCAGCAGAAGCTGGCGCATGACGAGAAGGGCGCTTTGCTGTAACTTGACCTCGTCGAGGGATGTCTGTTCAGCACTGGTAATCTTTCCACTGACTACCTTCAAGGTATGCTGGAAGAAGGTTGAATGCAGAGATTCTGTTTCGGCACGGTCCTCCGAGGTGCGAGAGTCTTTATGTTTCTCAACTTGAGGTGGTGTATGGGTCAAAAGAGCGACCCAGCCATTGTGCGAAACGGCAGATAGAGAGCTATGAAGTGTTTCCAACAGATAGTTACCTTCTTTGTAATCATCGGGAGATATCGTCAAGCCCTCTGTATCAGCTTCAGATTGGTCAACCCGTAAAAACAAAGCTTCGAGCCTCGAAATGAGTATAAGGAAAACTTTGTGTATCGATGACAGATCCTGAAGCCACTGCTCGACTAGGTGAGAAGCCTCACTCGGGCCCTGGGATAAAAGATCTAGAACAACAAAAAGTGGCCGTTCCAGTATCGACGATTGGAAGAGTAAATGGGGTGGTACTGATTCATTCTTGTGTTTTGGTGGCGGGTCATATGTCCCATGATGACTGTGATTCCATAGCACAAAATATCTGCCGATCTGCTCTTCAGATGATAAGTGGCGAGATGCAGCTGACGATGAGTCAATCATTAAAGATGTTATAGCAGCCTCGACAATGTGGTCCGGCCAGGAGACTGAGTGAAGGCGCCACAAGCAACGAACCGCCTCAACGTGATATTTTGGGTTCAATGGCGAAAGGAATTGCCACAGCTGCTTGACGAGTGACGGAATCAGATCAGTAAGATCTTCATAGCTGACATAATATCCAGGAGAATGAATGGAATATAAGCTTGTCACGGCAGACGCAATCGCCGAGGTGGATGAGAAGGAAGAAATAGACGGATCGGTTTGATCTATGTTCGCTCGGTTGCAAATCGCAAGGTAAAATCGCCGATCGCGTAGAACACGCGCCTTCGGCAGTTTTCTTAACAATACTATAAGAAGATTGACCCTGTCATGGATCGGCAAAGCAACATCATGATGATCGAGAGCGGAAATAGCGAGTTCATGGGCTTTGCTAACGATGAGTCCACCTAGAACTTTAGGGGCAAAGGGCAACGGTGGCAGATCCAGGCTGCCTTTGCTTTGATCGTAGAATCCATGAATTTTGCGTAGGGCCTCAGAGTCATCAATTTGAGATGTTGACGATTTGTTCGACCCTTTATCAGAGGTGGTCTTCCTTGAGAAAGCCCTTTCTGTAATCAGCCCCGTCAGAGCATGCATCACCCTCGAGAGGCTGTTAGCCAAAAGCTGCAACTGATCTTCCGTCATTGAGGAGACATCTTCTTTTGGTAGCTCACGCATTTTGACAAGGACCGACAGCGTTAGTAGCGGAACATGGGTAAGCACCATGTCTTCCTCTCGCACATTGAAATTCTCCAAGATGAACTGGGCGAGCTTCAAATTGCTCAATATCTGGTCATAATTGTGACTCAATTCACCCGACTTCCAGTCAACTAGACGAAGGAGTTCAGAGAAGATAATGCCACTTTCGACTCCATCGAAGAAAGCACTCGCGCTACGGAATACCTCGTCAAATTGGGGTTTCGGCGCTCCCGATTCAAAGGCCTGGACGCTCCGAATGATAGGAAGAAACACTGCTGGCACGATGTATCCTCCAACCTCCCATCGGTCCATCAATGAGAGTGATATACGGAAGGGTCTTGTCTTCTCGGAGGGAATGCGTGTGTCCTGCTCGATCATTTGGAGAAGACCTCCAATCAGCGGGTTCAGACCAAAGCGACTAAAGTATTCCGACTGTGAGATCTCCTGGCTGCCGACCGCAGGTGTTTGCCTTTCAGATGTCATGCTGCTGCCTTCAAAAGAAGGCCTGTCGTTGGCGGGTTCAGGTCCCATGAGCCAAGCCCATAATCGTCTATTTAAACTCATGTCACGTCGCCAGACAACGCCAACGGCAGCAATAATCAACCTGCGAAGATCACTGTCTGTAATTCGACCCTGCAAAATAGGGGAGCTGAGCGGAAGATGCGTAACAAGCAAGTCGAGGAAATTCCTCTGGACGAGGACTTGCTCATCTGATAGTCCAGATGCGAAGCAGCGGATCAGTAAGCCTGGTTCAGGAGAAACTACTGAGTCGGCCGCTATTAGAACATCTTGGGGCATGTCTTCGCTTGCCTCCGTCTTGCTCGGCCTACGGTCTGTAATGCCCAATTTTGGGAGATAGCGGTTCAAGTAAGCCAAAACACCAGACCGTCTGCTGGGGCTGGTGATTGAAGCAAGGAATAAGCATTGCCAAAAGTATTGGCCGCTTGAAGTTGTTTCCACACCTGGTCGGTTGGTGTCCATCTGGCTTGAGATATCACGGAATTTATTGACCAATCGAATCGTCGGCTCGAAGTCGTCGCTCGTCTCCTCCTCAAGGCCTGGTAAAAGTGCCAAGATGATCGCCTTCAAGGCGGGACGAATAGCCCATGGCTCCAGGCCACATACATGTGTTTCCACCAGGGACAAAAACAGCGGACGGACAGTGAGAGAGGCAAATGTCAGAGTCGGCGCGATACCCGGAAGGTACAGAGGTAGGTCCTGCGACAATCCATCGGACTATGTAGGTGAGACAGATGATTAGCAGAGGCGCTTAGAAGCAGACACCACAAGGAGGCGCAAACCTTTATCAAATCAAATATATATGTGTACACTTCAAGCGCCTTCTGGTGGACTCCAGAGGGTAACGACGGATTCAAGCATTGTGCAAGCCGTTTCGCGACAAGCACCTTGTGAGGGACGATTGGTAGATCTGGGGGATGAGATTGGAGGGCCTAATATGGAGAGTCCATTAGCAAGCTGAACAATTCACACTGACCGAGTGTATGCAATCCTACCTTTAACAGCCGACTAAGAAACGATATGTAATCGGCCCATTCTTGCAAGGTCGTGTCAAACAGCGACAGGGCTCGTTCGACGCTCGACGCATACCGACGATAGTTCTTATCCTTTCGCAGAGGCTCTATCTCCATCGGTCAGTGCTCTGTTAAGCTAGTGCAGGCGATAACAATAGAACTTGTTTCAGGGCCAGTGATTCCAGACCTTCTTTGGCACGTAAGCGGGAGCGCGTAAGGGAGCTCTCGGAGCTTGCGGGGGAGTTGGACCTCGGAAACGAGCTTGGATCAAGGCTCATGGTGCGGATTTCGTGTGGTCGACAGTGAAGAGAGTGTCAGTAGGCCGCACTTCGTCATATTTCGCGCATTGGAAGTGTAGTTGCTGCGGTTGAGATCCAACAGCCAGTCGGTAGTTGCGACGTGAAGACACGCAGCCGCAAGGACAAGGCGGAGGTGTTTTTGGCGGCCGCCTTTTCGGCCTTAGTTTGGAGGAGCTCCGCAGGCACTTCCATTCCACCTCCGCGGCGTTCGGGTTGATTCCCCTCAACCCACTTCCACTCCCCCACGAACGATGCATTTCTCTTCCTTCCCGGCTATTGGGACGATTTTCTCTTCGATGAGAAGATCTTGCATTACTTGAACAAACCCGATCAGCACATCGACCGGCCCAGAGTCCAATGCGGACAAGCTGAGCTTTGGAACATGGACTTGACTGTTCAGACCCAGTCGCAAAAAACCCCCAGCGAAGACCCGACCACGCACAACGATGATGCTTCACAATCCTCCTCCTCGAATCAATTTGTGAATTCCAGCAACAGGGGCCGCAGCGTCAGCCCCGAAGGCCCACCACCGCCGTTACCCCCACGCCCCGGTACATTGAGCCTGTTGGATGAAGGGGCGGCGTCCTGCCGCTCGACACAAACGGTCCTCCAGTCCCGTGCTACTACAGCTATCTCGCTGACAGATATCGCTTCTCGGGAAAGTGGAAAGGAAGGCCATGCTACTCTCAACCCCCAGGGGGCATTGAAGGCTAAGGCAAGCCTTAGTCACTTGGCCAGCTCGCGGGGGAGTGAAACTGGCGACTCCGCCAGTATCAGAAGCTCTATACCGTACGCGGAAACAAGTGACGTGGAGAATGTGTTCAGTGATTTCATTGCAACAGAACCTGGGGCTGGCCAACAGGAAAGCACCGGACTGCTTCAGTTCCCGGAATTTCAGGCTGATGATGTCAAAGAAGGTTTTGCAAGTGAATTTGAGAGGGTTGGGGAAGTAGGCGATGAAGGAGAACATGAAGGTCGGTAATGTTCCTGTCGCTGAGATGGAAGCTTCACTAAACAGTTGCGCTCAATACAGAAATGGTTTTAGAAAAATGGAAAGCTAAGAGAAAGCATTACCTCATCCTATCCGCTGCTGGGAAGCCGATTTGGACGAGGCATGGCGACGGGGGACTGATATCAACATATGTTGGTGTCATCCAAACCATTATCTCTTTTTATGAAGACTCCAAAGACAGGTTGAGCAGCTTTACAGCTGGCGATACCAAATTCGTGGTCTTAACCAAAGGACCATTATACCTGGTGGCAATCAGTCGATTTCTTGAGAGTGACACGCAGCTAAAGCTCCAACTCGAAGCCTTATATATGCAAATTCTATCCACTTTGACTCTTCCGTCTTTGAATCATTTATTTTCCGTCCGCCCGTCAACCGATTTGAAACGACCGCTCCAAGGATCAGAGACTCTATTAGCAACCTTGGCAGACAGCTTTACAAAAGGATCTCCATCAACTCTGCTTTCGGCGTTGGAATGCCTAAAGATTCGCAAATCCCACCGCCAAACAATCAACAACACATTGCTCAAGACCAAGGTCGCTGGTCTTCTTTACGGCTTGGTCGTTGCCGGAGGTCGACTAGTCAGCGTGGTACGACCCAAGAAACATTCTCTGCATCCTGGCGACTTGCAGCTTCTGTTCAATATGATTTTTGAAGCTGAAGCTGTCAAGGCTGGTGGTGGCGAGAGCTGGATCCCAGTCTGCTTGCCCGGATTCAACAGTGGCGGGTATCTGTATATGTATGTCAGCTTTCTTGACCTTCGAGAAGATGCTGGCAACTTTGCAGACGATAGTACCACAAAGGAAGAATCGGTCGCTATCATTTTGATCAGTACAAATAAAGAAAGCTTTTTTGAAATGCAAGAGATGCGTAACAATTTTGTCGAGGTAGGACCAATCACCTTCCATTACTTCTGTCTCCTAGACCCAACATGTGCTAATTCATACACCTACCACGCAGCAAATGGAAAAGAACGGCAGTATCAAGATTATCAAGGAGGCTATAGATAAAGGCCGGCCAACCACCACCGACATCATCCCCGGAACGGTTCTGCATCATTTCTTGTACAAGTCGCGGGCGAACGTACAATTCACCATGTCATCCTACCACCCTGAATTCATATCTGCCACACGTCGCCGAAGGTTCGTAGACTATCTCCGCACTGGACGATAATCGATACCGAGAAACTGAGAAAATCCTGCAGGCTTTTATCAACATACAACAATCTCCATGCAAGCATCCACGCCAAGCACTCCCATGTCAAAATTCACCATTGCGTGTCCCAATCGTCTAGCTCCTTTGCATGGGTCACGCCAGTGTTTGAACTCTACTGCGTTGCTGTTCCCAACGCCAATCGAAATGCGCTTGCTCAGAGCGCAAGCCGAATCGTTCAATGGGTACAGCAGGAGGAGGAAAGATTGTTTATCATCGGTGGCGCGGTAAGTTCTTCTATCAGCATTTGGACATGACTCGTATTGACTCGTTTGTTTGAAGGTCTTTTGAATAGCGATCGTAATATCTTTATTCTTTTCTACTACATAAGCTCTATACCTTCTTGCTTTCTTTGACACCTGCGTTTTTTTCTTTTCTTTATCGTTTTCTGGGTTATGGTTGCATATTATGATGTTCGTGGCCTTGCCACAGAGATGAATTGTAAATACGAGATTTTAAACTGTAGAATCATATACGTAGCTTTTTGGCTCATTTATTGGCGGGATTGGGGCCTGTAACGCCCCCTAGCGTATTGAATGCAGCTGATAATAGACACATGCCATTTACGTACAAGTGATAACGACGAATAACTAGCATAGCTCTCTCGCAAAGCATGCGAGAACATGAACAGGCTAGTCAAGGGTGTCGTCCCTGAGAGCAAAAAGCTGCTGCAGAAGCTCATCCGGCTTGCTGCGGATGGCGTTGTGGTACATGGTGTTCGTGATAAACTGCTTGATGCCCTTGATCTTGGCCGCTGTGTTCGAGGCGTGGTGAAAATGCACATACATGTCTTCCACGTAGGACGCGGCGTAGACAGGGACGGTGTTTTGTGCCAGCTGGGCCTCGTTGTAGAGCGCGGGCCAGTCGTTCGTCGTGGCGAGAATGTCGGCTGTTTCTTTGACTTTGTTCAGCTCGTCGTAGGTGTCGAACATATCTTTGAAGACCTAGATGAAGTTTTTTTGTTAGCTCCAAGAGCGAGAACTGTGGGAAAGAGACATACCATTTCACCAGTAAACCAGATTTCTGGCAGATCAGTGTTGATGTGGAATCGGGAATTGGCCGCACGGTACCTATCGGAAGACCAGTTCGAGGGTTGTCTTGAGTTTGTTAATGAGAAAGCATGGTTGTGATTGATGAAACGGGAAGTAATTCCTTACCCTTGGCAGTAAATGGCTTCGTGGAGAATAGCATAGATGATATTGCTGTCAAAGCCGCCATTACTATCGATTGCGTTGAGTGTTGGCACAGTCAAGAAACCGAACAACTGCAGGTCGTTCCAAGCACGCAGCACGAGGTCTATTCCTTGTCAGCTTGGAGAATTTGGGCTGGAAAGGTCTGTCATACCATGGACACTGTCGAGCCCCCCTAGTCAGAGTCAGCCTTATGTATCGATGTTGTAGGATTTAGGTTCATTACCGTGCATGCCAAATATGATACCCAACTGCTGAAACCGCTCCGGAGTGAGCGTTCCAGATGGCACGGTCACCTGGTTATTTTGCAAGTACTTGACGATCTGCTTGACCCTTTCGACATCTCCGGAAAATTTGGCGTAGTAAGCCTGGTTCCTCTCCACAACCTTTTCTACTTTTGATTAGCGGGCAATGCAGGTGGTTGGCATCTGATGTTCAGCATACCGAAGGTCAGCGCGTAGACTGGATCCGGTCCGTCGACCAAGGGGGGAAGTCCACCGCAAATAAAAGCTTCATTCAGACCCTCGGGGCTTCGAAGAGATTTGACCGTTAGAAGGGCGAATGGAGTGTAACATAATCATTACAAGGACTCTTGACTTACAACAGAGAGAGGTACGTCACCGCACAGAAACCGCCGAAGCTCTGCCCGATAATGCTCCATTTGCGCTCGCCTTCGGGATAGTCGGTAGTGAGACAGCGTCGGACCGCTTCGCAGTCCCGGACAATATTGTCCGCGCGGAAATGCTTCAGGTACTCGGCTTGCTTGACTGCGTTTCCCTGCAAAGCAAGGGTGCCAGCGGTGATAGTTGAGCTGAGACCCGTGCCGCGCTGGTCTAGAAAGAGGACCTGATGCGAATGTGAGTCAAGCCGATCGCGAGGTCGATTGAATTAATTACTTACTTGGTAGCCCTTTTCAAGGGCCGTTCCAATCCAGCCGTACTCCTGCGGGGGTCGACATCCCATTCCAGGGCCCCCTTGAAGGTAGACCAACCACGGAAGGCGTTGGTCATCTTTTGTCGGCTGAACTGGCTTGTTATGACGACGAACGCTGCGAGCAAAGAGTCTCAAGGTTCCATCATTGGGCTTGCTGTAGTTGATGGGAACATCGAAGAATAGTTCGGCCACTCGAAGCTTGCCTTCCCCGCTCGTCAGGATTTCACTCTACCGACAATAGGACATTCCAGATGACTGAAACATACCTGGAACGTTGTGGATTATCCGGTCGACTAATTTGGCAGCCATTCTCGCGCTTGGTCTCGCTGCAAATTATAATCGAAGTGTGCTGGTGGGCCACGGGGGGAAAACAAGAAGGCTGGTAAAGACGGGCGGACGCTACCTGCATTTATGGAGACCCCACCCCGCCTCGTGTCATCCACCTCTCTGATCTTTCACACACCCCCCTGACTTATTAGTTATCACGCAGGTCAACTTGTTGATGACTGACGAAGAATGTTTTCTTCTGGACCAAGCGAGTCTTTGATTTACAATACAGATAAGACACTTGCCTTTAATATCTTGGGAGATAAGGAGAAAACGTCCAATTCAACTTTAACAATTACCCAGACCAAGCAATCGTGGTTAACGATACAAATGATAGGAAAAAACTATCTGGGATCAACAAAGATGATCATTTGCAGTGAGTCAGCCAAGGCCTGGCAGCCTTTATAGCTGACTTCGACGAGCTGGATCTCATTTGACTGCGTAAAAGAACTGATTCCACCAGACCTCCAATGTTCTGTCATCTGGCTGATACGGCCCACGATGAAGTCCGCAGTAGCATACCCTGCCGGCGCTGGAGTGACGTCTGAGCCCCAAAGCCATCTGTTCACCCATGTTCTCCAATAGACAGAGCTGCTGAGCTGCCATACATTGACGCTGTCTATATCTGGGTCTTTGAATACCATTACAGCCGCAGCGCCCGATCCAATGTAATACAAGCTTTCCCCTAAGCTATCCGCGGCGTATATTCCGGGTCCAAAGCCATGATCTCGATGGCCTTTGGCTGCTTCTGGGATGAAAAACGCCTAGTTGCGTTTGCAAACGACCGCTTAGATCAATCAAACAAGCAATCCTTCAGGTTTGGTCCCTATGCAAGTTTGCCAGTGTTGCGACAAAGACAGAATGCTCCACGCCTTCAAGTTGTCGCTTTCTGTCATGATCTGACATGTCGTAAGAGAACTTCAGGAAGAGCAAAGGGGGCCCTTTCTTAGTTTTGAACATTGAAGGGCTTTCATCTCGTCTGGAAGTCGAGACAGCGGACACCATATTCTAAATATTTCTGCGTAGTATTGAGAGGCCACAAGGCTGCTTATCCACTCGGTAGATCACATATACTACTAATCGAGATGGTCCTACTGCGTGTCTGCATAGAACACTCAACACAACTCCTGCGGGTTTTCCTGCATTGATGAACAATAACACATCCAAGGTGTTGTGTCTACGGCTGCAAGTACTGGCGAAAACCAACTCTCACAACCAAGACATCTACTCATCTACTCATCAACTGGCCTTCTACGCTTCTTGGATTCTTACGCTCTCGTCCTCTCTCTCTCACATCGCTTGATCGCTCCATCTATCCCAACCGTCCCTGAATACATGAGCTACTACTTCGAAGGACAAATCTTCATCATCTTGATCTATAAGCACTCTATGAGCCTCTCAGTCTAATCGAGTCCCAGTGCTTCTCCTACGAGGACATCGAACGAAGGCGAAATGGCAGAAAATCCATTTTATGAGTGAGTTTCTTCCAGGCTGCCAAGTGACTATATACAGAATCCACCTAACCGTCCCCTCACAGGCACATCTATTCTGAGATGGTCCACCTCCGTTCATCCGATTCTGAACGCCAATTCAATGTCCACAAAGCTCTCTTGGAGTCAAAATGCAAGGTCATCCACTCAGCTTTATCGAACTTTTCGGAATCTAAGGAGGGGGTGTACACCTGCACTGATACTACCCATGATACACTGGCACTGGCGGTTGAATGGATGTACACGGGAAGTTATACCATGGCTGCTCATATGCCGCTCGAAGCAAAAACAGGGCAGCCTCCGGAGACCGAACAAGGGGTGAAGCCTAGCAACTTGAGCGAACTAGCTGAGGAGATGAAGAGTGATCCGATCATCACCCACCTGCGGCTGTACACTTTCAGCGACCTATATTTGATGACGGATCTAAACAATCTCGCATATAACAAGCTCACGCATCATTTAGCCAATGTGGACAGGACTACAAAGCGTGTCGAGACACAACGAGCTATCATTGCTATGTTACATTTGGCCTTCAGCAAAATCAAGCCGGGTGACAAACTCCTCAACTGGTTGGCACATTTTGCATCGTGGAACCTCGAAGTGCTACTCTCGCAAACTCTCTTCAACGACCTGCTAGTTGATGTTCCTGCCTTGGGCTCTCTTATGATGACTTCCTTGAATCCAGCCACGTCCAGCCCCTGGGGCTCTCGCAAAGCCAAAAGGGTTAAACTGCACCAGGATGTCGATTAGCAAGACCGCGCAAGCAGCCTTTAGCTTTTGCTTTTTGATCTTTCAGCATCTTGAATTCCGTCTCTTCGCTTTTGGTTCTTGTCTCTTCGTGTCTTCCTCTCTGTTTATTGGCATTAGCAAACATTTCTTACCTTGAATTTTTCTTCCATATTTTTTCGAGTTGATCGCTCCGTTATATGCACATTCCGGTTCCGTTTTGTAGCATATGAGAAAAAAGAAATAAGGACTGCAAGCGCTCTGGTGGAAATTGGGAAGAGAACGTCTGGAATCAACAGGTGGAAACACTTTGTTGAAGGGGTCTGTTTACTACCTTGGGCCTATTGGACATTAGGACTGTTGCTCGTTTGATCTTTTTACCTCAATATTGAGAATTCCATGGCTGTAGTAGATTGCAATAACAAAGTCTCGAGACGTGGACTAGAATTTATGTTTACACACTCATGAATGCACTCATGCACTCTCTGTTATTTTGGGGGCGGGCAATATCGTGACTACAAGTCCTGAGTCACTATCATGATGGAAACTACACCGACGAACGGCTGCCTATTGTCCTTAATATATCAATAACCTTCCCGTTCCAAATTTCCATCAATTCTAAAGTATTCTCCATTAAATCATCTTTCTTCCATCCACCATTCCAACATCCTCGAAATGGAGCTCAAAGACATCGAACAATCGTCCCACGACCGGGTTCGTCTGCAGCAAGATCTCTGGGAGGTCGCCCAAAGCCCGTGGAAGACCGGCGTCTTACCAAATCCCGAGGTTCTGTCCCGCGCGAGAGAATCGCTCCCTCGCTCACTTCCTGCAGATGGGATCGGGTTTGACTCGGCCAAAAGACACATTCTGGATGACATTGTGCCAGCATTCAATGGCAGCAGCATCAGCCCTAATTACTACGGCTTTGTCACTGGCGGGACCACGCCGGCTGCCTTGTTCGCAGACAATGTAGTGTCCGTCTACGACCAGAACGTCCAGGTCCACCTCTCCGAGCATTCCATTGCTACAGACGTGGAGTCTGTCGCCTTAGGTCTCCTCGTTGATCTGTTTAGACTAGATCGAAATGAATGGCATAATGGCACTTTTACCACCGGGGCTACTGCAGCTAATCTGCTTGGATTGGCCTGTGGGCGCGAGTTTGCAGTTCGAGCTGCTGCAGACAAGAAGGGAATTTCCAACCACAGCGTTGGCGAATGGGGTCTGTTCGAAGTCATGCATGCGTCGGGTCTGTCTGGATTGCAGGTTTTAACAACACTCCCTCATTCGTCTATCGGCAAATCGGCGGGGATTCTGGGATTCGGCCGTGCCAATGTAGTCAATGTCTGCCGGGATGGCAGCACCAATCCCCTCGAATTTGACCTTGAAAAGCTTGAACGCGAGCTATCGAGACCAGACAAAGCAAGTATCGTCGCCGTGTCTTGCGGAGAAGTGAATACCGGTCGCTTCGCGACCGCGGGCACCAAGATGCAAGAGCTTCGCGATCTTTGCGACAAGTACGGCGCTTGGTTACATGTTGATGGCGCGTTTGGGTTGTTTGCGCGTGTTTTGGATGATAGTCCAGAATTTGCTTCCATCCGAGCTGGTTCTGAGGGGCTAGAACTGGCCGATTCTATCACTGGTGATGGGCACAAATTGCTGAACGTTCCTTATGACTGTGGCTTCTTTCTTACGCGCCATCGCAACGAAGCAGCCAATGTGTTTACCAATCCGAATGCAGCGTATCTCACCGGGGGTGCCGGCTTGTCCTCGATTCCTTCCCCATTGAACATCGGCATTGAGAACTCGAGACGCTTCAGAGCCTTGCCTGTGTACGCCACGCTTCTGTCATATGGTTCAGTGGGTTATCGATCTGTCCTTGAGAGGCAGATTCGACTGGCTAGAGAGTTGTCGGCGTGGTTGTTGGACCACCCTGAGTATAATATACTCCCCGAAACAAGCAGCAGGGAAGCTCAGCTGGATCAAACATTCATGATTGTTCTGTTCAGCGCTAAGCAAGATGACCTGAACCAGAACCTCGCTTCAAGGATAAACGCAACTTCGAAGATGTTCGTTTCTGGGACGTCCTGGCAAGGAAGACCGGCTTGTCGAATCGCCATTTCGAACTGGCGAACTGATGAGCAGCGTGATTTTGAACTTGTTACTGGCGTTTTGGATGAAGTGGCTAGACAAGCATAAGCGGCTGAAGAGATACAAGTCTATGTTGGGGTTTGACGTATAACGATATATGAGTACATATGCGTTCAATTTTGTCTTCTATTTTGATCGCCGAGTGGATCATTCGTTAATAAAGTCACCTGGCATATTTCTTTTTAAGTAAATACCTGAAATCACTATCGGCGTCTTCCAGCACCTCCAACATTCTCACCCCGGTCAGCAATGCTGACCACTTCGCCAATTCCTGACGCTTCTTGTTCATCTTCCAAAGCCATGATCTCTTCTCTGCTATCCCACCATCTCTCCTCGGCAATGTTGAACGCATCCTTGCGCAGCTCTTTGATATTCTTTTCAGCCGCCAGGCCCTTCTCCCGCAGGGTCTCAAGCAAAATCTTCTGCCACTCCTCGGAGGTACGGCTGAAGAACTCGCGCAAGCTCTCGAACGGTCGAGGAAGAGGTCTGCTATCCTGTACGGATGGCTCGCCTTCCGGCTCCTCAACTTCCAGCTGCTCCATTTCTTGAGTCACGGACGGCACGGTGACTTCCGTAGGAGCGGGGGAGGCATTGTCCACAGACATTTCATCTTCCTCTTCCTCCTCGTCATCCTCCTCGTCATCTTCGTCCATCTCATCGTCGCTCTCGGCCTCGTTGAGAAGGTGCCAGTTTTCCGGTTCGTTGTAGAAGATCTCCTTGACACCGTCGAGCTTGACTAAGTCGATCGAGTACATATCATTGAACGTGAATTCGCGGTCTCCCTTCTCGAAGGTTCCACCGAAAATGAACAGAGTGTCGTCTTGAACCGCCAGATGAGCATTGAAGCGACGGTGGGGCATCTCAAAGCGCACGACAGACGGCTTCTCCGGCTGAGCAGGCTCTTCATCCTGCTTCGGCGTCCTCAGATCCATTTCATCATCATCCTGGTTATTGATGCCGCCTTTCGCTTCCAACGCTTTCAGGTTCTGCAACAGCTCCTCTTCGTCGGCCTTGCTACGGTCCCGGGATTTAGATGCCTGGTTGGCTAGTTGCTTCTTACCCGGAGCTCGTGGGCGACGAAGACTCAATGGGAAAAAGCGATTCCTATCGGTATTCCAAGCGAACAGAGTATCGAAGAACTCGCTGTCAATACCCTCTTCGCTAAGTTCCACATCATGGACACCGCCAAACATGATACCACGTCCCTTGTGGTACGCCATGGTGGCACCGGCTCGAGGCGGGTTGGGGGAGTTGGCGGGCTTCTTGCGACGCTCCCAGCGAACAGTGGGAGCAGCAGTCGCGGGTGCGTCGGACTCCGGGGGCGTGATCCGGAGGAACCAGGTATCTTGATGGACCATGGGCTTCATTGTGACTCGCTGGGGTCCACCTTTCGACGGCTTGCCTCCGACTCCCGTCGTGGCCTTAACGCGGGAGTATCCACCGTAGATGACCGCGCCTGTTTCGTTAGGCAGAAACGAGAACGAGGATCGAGGGTCGGGCTTCTGGGCTGCTGCAGACAGGGTGGGATTGAACCAGGTATACCGTGAACAATCGTATACCCACAGGTCCTGGAGATACTTTGTCTGCTGCGAGGTATCTTGGAAACCGCCAAAGAGTATGATGTAGTTCTACGTCACGGTCAGCACTGAAAAGCAGATCAGGAACGACAATCCTGGGTTCCAACCTTGTAGTAGGTCATTCGGTGGCCACTCCTAGCCGGGGGTCCCTTTCCTTTGGTCTCGATGCGACTCCACTCTCTCGTAGAGGGATCAAGATGCCAGAAATCATTGTAATGGTAAAATGTACCTTGCTTTGGCGAAGAAAATTCTCCTACACAATAGTTGATTAGTTTCCACTATCCCAAAATAATAAAGAATCGACCAGATATTCCTCACCTCCAAAGAGATAGATACCCCCGGTATTCCCGCCACGACACCAAGCATGTCCACTCCGGGGAAGGGGGCTATTCGGACTCGTAACCTCCCTCCATTCACCCCGGTCGATCAGATAAACAAACAAGTTGTTAAAGAACGACGCCAAGTTACCATCGAAGTACTCGCCGCCGAAGATCAACAACTCATTCCGATTCGACGGAGACGCTAACACCGTTGCGGAGGTTCGAGGCGATGGCGGTCCTGACACAACCTCGGTGACTTTGAGGAATTTGGCCTGTTCCTCTGCGTACTGGGCGAGAATGGCGTCGAGGTCCGCCTCGTCCACGTCGCTGTCCGCATCTCGTCCCTTGTTCTTGGACTTCTTTTCCGTCTTTGCGGCCTTCTTGGACTGTTTGGCGGCCACTCGGTCCTTGTGTTCGGCGGACTTCTTGTTTTTCTTGCCCATGTTTTCTGGGGTTCTTTTGGATCTGGTTGGATTTGTTCCTTCTTGGATTATCTGCTTCTACTTCTGGGGGACTCAGTTCAATATCATTCGTATTCAATGCGTGGTGGAGTCACCGCCAATATCCAATATCAGTTTCTACGGCCGCGGGGTAAAAAAAGGAAAAAAAAAAAAAGCATCCCCTCGTTTTATTACTGGTAATACAGTTACCACTATCCCAAGATATACCTGTATAGATCTACATTGCGGTACGTAAATAAGAAACTAATATCCAGATAGTAGACGATGATGAGAATGGTCAAATTGAGGTTGATCCCAGTCCCAAGTAGTATGCAGAATCAAAGAGAAGATAGCAATGTATACCATAAGAGCACGTATCAGAGCAATACCAGCGATACGCTCTTCGGTTTCTGCCGGAATCCCCTCACCGCCCACATGACGACGCGCAGGGACGCGTTCCCGATGCGGAAGTTCCACGGACGGATTGACGCTGTTCAGCGGCACGAATTGTTCGCTCTGTGCTGCCCAGCAACAACGGGACAACCAACGCTACACGAATGCCAGATTTTGAGTCCATCTGCCGAATCATGAAACCAAAGCCACGACTCTATGACTAGACACAATTTGGAAGTCCATCTCAAATGGCTTTTAGATCAAGGCCCGTCCTCCTACGCTTCTCTATCGCCGTCTCCGCGCGTCCCTAGCGACCTCTCCGCCAGCCAGCGTCCCACGGGAAGCCCGTCAATCCCAACACCAATCGCCCCGGTTGGCCAGACTGTAACGAGTGCCGTAGATGATACGGAGTCACTCCAGGATACCTTTGTGGACGATGATTTGGAAGCCGGCGCGGGGACCGATTCGGACATAAACATGGCACGATTACTATTTGCTCCGCAGTCGACGAGAAAACCTCGTTTGCTCAGTCACTCCAAAGATCCAATTCCTGGCTTACCAAAAACTCCCAATGGTCGCTCATCTCTCGACAGCCCGCAGAGTAGTCGCAAGGTTTTACCGCAAACATCAGCCAAAGGTATTTACATCGCATCTGCTTTCTTACATGAGCCCAGGCATAGACTAAATAGCCATTAAATTCGAAAAGGCAGTCAAAGCGCGCGTCCTTCGTCAATTCGCGCCCCCAACCCGCCAGTGGCTACGCCATCAAATGTGAATTCGCCGTTCGACGATTTTGATTCTCCGTTTCTTGATCTCGATACGATCGACTTAACCGGCGACTTAGACCAGACCACCTCGTCCGCAGCGGCCGATGAGTTCGGTGAATCTCGACGTGTATGGACCGAGGATGCTGCGTTTCGCACGGATCCCGTGGAGAAGCGAGGCAAGAAACGAAAGAGTGACGAATACACCTCCGATCTTCGCTCACCAAGGAAGCATGCTCCGAAAGTGCGGTCGCCTTTGAGCACAGTGGACGACGTTCCTTCGCACTCCAACTCAACACGAACTGTCAAGAGCCCACTCTCGCGCTCAGTTAAACATGACTTGAGTTCTCCCTCGAAACGACCTACACGCGAGCTTTTGCAACCTCAGAGCTCCCTTTCAAAAGATGTTATTGCCGATTCCGACGAAGATGGCGATGAGAATTTGTTTGATGATTGGGAATGTGATGATGAATACACAGTACCTGCTACTAGCGAGGTCTTGTATCCGATTCTGCCCAGAGACGAGGATATCGTTGAAGCTGAAGACAACAAAAAGCCCGCAACGCGACGAATGCCTAAGTCTCCGGTCAAGCCGGTAGATACTAGTGCACGTTCAAGCAGTGAAGGGGTTCATAGTTTTGGGAGGCCTTCCGATGTGCCCTCTTCCAGTAATTCGGCCCAGCCTAGGAATGAAGATGTCGTCAAGTTCCTAGCTTCCCCCGTGGATTTGCTAGACCGCCAGATAGCATTACTAAGGGATACGCTTACAAGAAATGCCGAAATTGTGTACGAGCAGGCGATGAGAGGTGAAACTGCACCCGGGTTGATTGCTGCAAACAAAAGCATCACCGACCGAATCGAGGCGATTGAGTCGTTGAAACTGAAAAGGGCTGAATATGAGGCCTGCGAATTAAAGAGAAAGGATCTCAAGAAGACCCTGATGCAAGTGATATCACAAGGTGGCAGTCCGGAATCGTTGCCACAGGAATTAAAAGAAAGTCGGGAAATCACTTCCCGCGCTGAGCAGATGGAGGTAGATATACAGGGTCTCCTTTTGCGCGCTGGTGATCTACCAGCTCATTCCGTGCCAAATGACAACATTATTGTGCAGCGTGGTCTGGACCGGAACGATCTATCACTTCGGGAGACTAAGTCTCCTAGCATTGGAAAGAACATTGAACCGAGGCACTCAGAGTCTGCTGGCAGCTCGTTGCTTCGGCCCTCTGTAGGATCTACCTCTAACTACAACACCTCGCGAAGCGAGATTTCAGCACCTCCTCTCAATGCACACAAAAGGCCTACCAATGGGAGTGCGGGACTGGGTATTCTTGACTACGACGAGCCAATGATGGATGATGGTGATGATGCTTTCACTCGGACCATGGGTTCGCCAATTTTTCAAAATGACCCTACCGACGAGTTTGACTTGGACGCCGATGATGACGAGATGCTAGAGGCTGCAGGCTATCTAGAAGTCAATCACACAATCCCATCTCACAGTCATGAGCCCCCTCCCCGGAAGGTTTTTGCCGAAACATCTGCAAACGCCCTTCGCCTTCCATCTCCTCAGAAGTCGCAAAGCCATACTGCGTTATGGGACCAGCACCCGTGGTCCAAGGATGTGAAGAAGGTTTTGAAGGACAGATTCCACCTGCGTGGTTTTCGGCTCAATCAACTGGAGGCAATAGACGCAACATTAAAAGGGAAAGACGTCTTTGTTTTGATGCCCACTGGTGGAGGCAAATCCTTGTGCTACCAACTGCCTTCTGTGGTGACCAGCGGCGCCACTAAGGGAGTGACCCTAGTGGTTTCCCCATTGCTCAGTCTCATGCAGGATCAGGTATCTCATTTACATCGCAATGAAATTAAAGCATTTGTGATGAATGGGGACACCCCAGCCGATCAGCGAAAATGGATTATGAGCACATTATCTAGTCCGAGACCGGACAGGCACATTGAGCTCTTGTACATCACGCCGGAAATGCTAAGCAAGAACCAAATTTTGACCCGGATATTGGAGCGAATCAATGAAGCGCACCGACTTGCCCGTATCGTTGTCGATGAGGCACACTGTGTCAGTCAATGGGGGCATGATTTTCGCCCTGACTACAAGGAGCTTGGGGAGATCCGAAATCACTTGCCCGGGGTACCAATGATGGCTCTGACTGCCACCGCCACGGAAAACGTCAAAGTGGATGTGATCCATAATCTCAAAATGGAAGGCTGTGAGGTATTCACGCAAAGTTTCAACAGACCAAACTTGAACTACGAGGTGCTGCCAAAGAAAAAGGGTACCGGTCTCTTGGAGAGTATCGCAAATACTATCAAGAACTCTTATCGAAACAAATGTGGGATCGTTTATTGCCTCTCGCGTGATTCTTGTGAGAAAGTTGCGGCTAATCTGCGGGATGACCATGGGATCAAAGCCGAGCATTACCACGCGGGCCTCAAGTCTCAGGAACGTACTGTGATCCAACAACGTTGGCAGCGTGGACAGACTCATGTCATCGTCGCAACGATCGCTTTCGGCATGGGGATTGACAAACCGGATGTGCGTTTCGTTATCCATCACAGCATCCCGAAAAGCTTAGAGGGCTACTACCAAGAGACTGGTCGTGCTGGTCGCGATGGCAAGCGTTCTGGATGCTATCTCTACTATTCTTACGGAGATGTCCACCCCATTATCCGGATGATTGACGGGGGCGATGGGAGCAAGCAGCAGAAAGATCGACAACGCCAGATGTTGCACAATGTTGTCCAGTACTGCGAAAACAAGTGCGACTGTCGACGGGTGCAAATACTTGCCTATTTCAACGAGTATTTTCGTCCTGGGGATTGCAACGCCTCTTGTGACAATTGCAAGTCAGACGCCGTGTTCCAACTCCGCGACTTTTCTCAGCATGCGGCTTCTGCAATCAAGGTTGTCAGGCACTTCGAGAGATCAGGCGAGAACGTCACTATGTCATACTGTGTCAATATCTTCCGCGGCAGCGTGAAAAAGTTTCGGTCTCCTCAGCACAGGGAGGCTCCAGGATATGGAGATGGGTCCTCATTGGAGATGGGAGACGCCGAGCGACTATTTCATCGTCTTCTCGGCGAAGGAGCTTTACGTGAAGAGAATGTGGTCAACGGTAGCACATTCGCTAACCAGTATATCAAGCCGGGACGGCGTGCTGCTGAATTCGCAAATGGTTCTCGCAAGTTGCAGCTTCATGTCAAGGTTTCGTCAAATGGAAAGGGGAAAAGACCTCGAGGTGATTCCGGGAAGGATGATTATCCTCAGTCAACCAATATCTCATCGCCTGTACAAGCGGGCAACCGGCGCAATCTCAACCGCTTTCGATTGGACAACTCGGACGGCGATGATTCATCTGATGACGATGGCTTCGAATCCATTCGAGTTGCTGGAAAACCGCAACGACACAAAAAGCATACGCCAGGCCCACCGATCACCCAGGATCATAGGTTTGAGCAACTTGATCCTCTTCACAAGGCCGTTGCAGAAGATTTCATGGTCTATGCCAAAAATCATTGTCAGGATGTGAGTAATAGCCAATATGCACCAGCAGCAGTTCAACAGATCACTGACACCTCAAACAGCTGGTACTCAAGAAGGGCCTCCGCAATCAGCCTTTTACCGATGGCGTTCTTCGCGAAATGGTTATTGTTTTCCCTCAAAGTGAGTCTCACTATACTTTCTTTGGCCAATGACAATCATGCTAATGCAGAAGCAGACATGTCGGAGCTTGCTGCAATTCCCGGGATTGATCCAGACAAAGTAAACAGGTACGGCGCTCAGATACTGAAGCTCGTGCGAGACACCCAGCGTCGCTATGCCGAATTACGAAAGGAGCGTGATGATGCAGATGGTGTTGTTCCTGATCCCAACCACCACAATGTCATTAATCTCAGCAGCGACAGCGAAGAATACAATGACGGGGACATCTTGGATCAGGCCTCGAATCTGGACATTGATGAAAATGTTTCCAGCCGATTCTTCATCACGCAGCCAGTCCCAAGCAATGACTCCGACGATGAGCAGGCTGGCCCGTCGGGCGCGAATGGGTTTAGGGGTCGGAAGCGTCAATCTAGCAAACGGCCTCGTCGGAAATTTCCCACTACATCCCGCTCTGGAACAAAAACGCCGCGGCCCAGGAAGAAAGCTAGCAGTAGCCGCTCCGAGAGTCGTCCGTACTCTCGGAAGACTTCGTCGAAAGGGAAGGAGCCGACGACCTCCCGAATAGGGATGATGCCTATCTAAAAGGGTTGTTCTTTTCATGTTCAGCAATCGCATTATGTCTGGATGAGGATTTCGGTGTTATATGGTGTCGATACATAGTATTATTATTGGATGACTTGATTGCATTAGCGGGCGAATTGTTGGACCTCTCGTTCGGGGGCATAGGTCTTTGTTGAGATATTAATGATTGTAAACCCACGTTACTACATTACTTTCGAGCAGCTCTTTTTTCAATTGAACATACCGGTTGTCTATGTCCCAAGAGTTCTTATTACAGTTTTCTCGCTTGGCGTATTTAATAGTTGGCCATCAATGATTCATCTATTGGTTGGCAATCAAAGACGAGCCATTCATTCGCTCAACGAACGTCCAAAATCGATCAACCTTAGCTTTCTGGCATCCCGTGGATGAAATTGAGCAACCTTGGCTCTTACCAGAAACCTAGAAGCAGCTGATTCTCGCGGGAGATCGATGTAGGAAGAACCCGCTTGAAGTAGGACATCAAGAAGGTCGTGCATTTCAGCCCCCGCCGCCTCTCTCTTGTTGCTTCTTCTCTCGGTGTCCCCTTGCCCTGCTTGACGGACCATTTCATCAATTCGCCGTTGATTGCTACCCCCTTCTGTAGATTCCACGGGCCTGGGCTTTTTGGGTTTTCCATGGTTCGTATAACCCCTCTCTAGCATATCGTCTGAAATGTCAATCGTATCTCCTATAGTCGGACCTCCCAGACTCTCAGCAGCGAGCATGGAAGCGAGATTTTCATCGATAAAAGTCCGCAGAGAGTCTTTCAGCTTCTCCGTCTCAGCATCGAGATTCTCAGTTTTCTGCTGTTGCTCCACGAGGAACTCCTGAGCGAGTTGAGAAGGCGTCTTTTCCTCCTTATGTGACTTTTCGTTCCGGATCTTCTCGAGTCGCTGTTCCAAGCCGTCACGGATTGCTTGAGCGTCACGAAGATTCGCCTCCTCCGCCTTGAGCCGTTGACGATCTGACGAAATCTTCTCTGCCGTCATTGAAACCGACACTTTCGTTTCGTTGATCAACCGAGACGTTTCCTCAACAGCAAGGAGAGACGGCAACGGGGACTCGGGGTTCGGCAGCTCCGTGCGTGATTTCAGAAGAGAATTATAGGCTTCCTTGGCTCTTCGCACTTGAGAGACGCGCGCCCATGGATCCTGGCCTATTTTGGAGAGATCGAGGGAGTTGACCTCGCGAAGCTAATAGGCGCATTAGTATTTGGGCTTTTTTTGATCGGGTTCAAGGGTCATACCTTCTGCAAGTCATTTTCTTGGCGCTTGACTTGGTTTTGGAGCTCCCTCAGCGTCGAGTCAAGCCGTTTGTTGTACTCGCGAAAAGCAGCAGCGCTAGGTTGTTCTTGTTCATAGAATTCTTCTGTTTGTTCGCGCTTCTCCACGAAACGCTGGACGTTGTCAACAGCTTCTTGGGACATGTCCGTTGAGGGTTTTTGGTTTGCTTGGAGACCTATTATGCGACGGTAATCTGGAATAGTAATGTGCAGATCTGATATCCTGTCAAGTCACACTCGACTCTGAAATGGATGTCCTCTCGGAGACGCTCCTTGTTCGGGGCAACTAAAAGATGAGGGCGATTTGGGCGCGCATCCATGCGGGAGGCACGTGATGTGGCCCGTGTGACGCCGGTCCCGAAAGCGGACTAGCGCGACCCCGTGCCAGGTCTTCTTGCAACCTCAACTCTTCACCGCGACGACCTCACCTTGTCCCTCCATCCATCTCCCTCCCCTTCTCGCCTCCATTTTGCATCTCCGTACTTGTCGCAACAGCAGTACCAGCTGTCTTCTTGCCCCTTGTTTGGCTCTTTGGTCTTGATTATCGCTTTTTCAGGCCCTTTTCGGACCAGTACGCGACGGACCCTTTTGTGGTGTACATTCCACATATTAACGTCGTCGCGTTGTCTAGGAGGAAGTGAGGTTTGAGCGGACTAGGAATTTTTACCTGGAATCATCTTTCTTGCTCTCATATTCTTTTTCTTTCCCCTGGCTCTGAGGCTATCAGCTCCCAAGCACGTCCGGTTCCTCATCAGCACTGCAAACCACCTCCTCTCCCGATTCGACCCATCCTTTTCCTTACTTCCTTTTCCTTAGCACAACTTTGCTCTCTGCAAAGTCCTCCGCTGCAATTCAAGGCCCGTGATCACCCAGCTTCTTCACCTCCTCCCATCGACTGTCTTTTATCCAACACCACCTCCTTCCACTGTGCACGAACACCAATCTTCCCAGTCATTTCACGCACCAGATTCCCTCTCCAGTCGATCGCCAGCACCAGCAAGTTTTATTGGGAACTCCTGGTGTACATAGTCGATCAAACAAAATTAAAGCAGAAGACAGAAAGAGAAAGCTATTCTTTGACACTTCGACTTCCTGCGTAAGTGAAGCAAGAGCTGCACAGCTGAACAGAGAACAATCATGTCTGCGTCTCCAACCGGTTTACAGTCGACCAAGCGGCCCTTGGAGGATCCGTCCTCGCCGTCTGGCCCTAATGATCAGCCGGAGGCCAAGCGTCCTGCTCTGGATAAAGTAGTTAAGGGTGATGAATCAGAGGCGTATGCGGATGTTAAGACAGACGCGCCTAGTGTGACGGCCGATGGCCAAGGTGATACCGTTGTTCCTGATGCCCCTAACGCGAAAGGCGGTCTCGGTGAGACTCAGCCCATCCAGTCCACGGCATCCCATTCTGAGGCTGCGGGTTCCCAGTCCGAGGGCCGTCCCCAGGACGAGTCCAGCTGGATTCACATTCGTGCCGTAATCTCCAGCCAAGAAGCTGCTACGGTCATTGGTAAAGGTGGGGAGAATGTATCTCAAATCCGTCGTTCGTCGGGAGCCAAGTGCACCGTGAGCGACTACTCTCGCGGCGCCGTCGAGCGTATCTTGACCGTCAGTGGTCCACAGGATGCCGTTGCTAAGGTTAGTGTCATCATATGTGTGTCTAGGATTTGCCGTGGAGTTGGTTTGCTAACCAAATGATAATAGGCCTTCGGTTTGATCATCCGTACCCTGAACAATGAACCCCTTGATGCCCCCTCCACTGCCCAGTCCAAGACATACCCCTTGCGTTTGTTGATTCCTCACATTCTCATTGGCTCTATCATTGGCAAGGGTGGCGGTCGTATTCGTGAGATCCAAGAGGCCTCCGGTGCCCGACTCAATGCCTCCGATGCCTGTCTTCCCCTGTCCACTGAGCGCTCCCTTGTAATCCTGGGTGTTGCGGATGCCGTTCACATCGCCACCTACTACGTGGCCGTCACTCTTGTGGAGCAGCTCACAGAGCGTTTCGGTGGCCCCGCCGCTTCTGCTTACGCAACTCGCAGCGGTGGTCCTGCTGGCGCTGTGCCGGGTGGCATGCAAGTTGTCCCCTATGTTCCTCAGCCCGCCGGTGGTCAATATGGCCATCCGGATACCTTCAAGCGTCATCACCCTCATCCCAACCGTGCTGGCACCGGCGCGTATGGCGTTCCCTACCTCCACGGCCAGGCCGCACCTGCCCCCGTAGCTCAGCCTGCCATGCCCTACGGAGCCACTCCTCACACGCCTTACGCTGGAGCAGGCCCTCATCCACCTGCGCCCTATGGCGGTCCCCAGCCTGCCCAGGCCCGTGGTGGTCCTGCCCCTGTTGCACCGGTGGGCGGCGGAGCCATGCCCGGTCAGCCACTGACTCAGCAGATCTATATCCCCAACGACATGGTCGGTGCCATCATCGGAAAGGGAGGTGCTAAGATCAACGAGATCCGTCACCTCAGTGGCAGTGTGATCAAGATCAACGAGCCTCAGGAGAACAGTAACGAGCGATTGGTCACTATCACCGGTACCCAGGAATGCAACCAGATGGCTCTGTATATGCTTTATTCGCGACTCGGTATGTATTGGACCTGATCTAGAAAGCGACAACATCACTGACCCTTTTTATAGAAAGTGAGAAGCACCGGATTTGAAATGGGGGTGAGTGAGATCTGCCATTTCAACGTTCTGTTCCCTATGAGCACAAGGAATCATTTCTTTATCTTATTTTCTTTTGTCTGTGCGTTCGGGATCCCAGGGGAAAAGCAAGCTGCTTCTGGTTGGGTGGCCTGGATGATTTTGTGTTCTTCCTTGTTAATTTTCTTTTTCGACTTTTCGGGATTATTTACTTCATGCTGTACTCTATTGAAAAGCGTCGTTCATGAAGTTTTGCCGTCAGACTGGGTTTAACATGACCCTGATTTTGTAATTGGATGTTTTATTCATATCCTTCATCTTCTCACGTGTTGAGTTATAATTGAATTGCATTGATGTGTGGTATTCTTTCCAAGTTATTATTTCTTTATCTCATTCTGTGTCCTTTGGAAACCGGCATAGTGATGAAGCAATCCATACCCAACAAGACCAGTCATGCTTCATTTTAAACCCAGGCCCTCAACTTCTCAGCCCAATTGCAAATACAATTACCAGTAAGACATCATATGTTCAAATTCCCTCTCCACTAATACATACAAAATAGCCCACACCCAACCCCAGAACATAGTCAGATAACTAAACCCCCTTAAAACTAACATGCTTCATCCCCAACCCAGGCACAGGGGAGAGCATCTTCTCCCGAATCGGCTTAATCGCCCCCCCAAACTCCTCCGTGCCCTTAACCTCCATATGCCTCTCCACGCTCTCCCACCCCACAGCCAACAAATGCACAAACGCCTGCCCATCGGCGCTCTTCTCATGCTGCAGCGTCCCGGGCCGTTCAACGTATCCCATCGCCCAGGACGTGGGCCGTGACCCCTCGGGCAGGGACTCTGTCAGGGTGGTGCGGAAATTGATCAGGTCGTCGGTCAGGGCTTTGTGCTCGTCCGGGGTCATGGTGTTTGGGAATGCGAGGGCGCAGAGCTCGGTGACGGGGTTCTTTGTAAGGGTGTGTGTTTTGGAGGTTGGTGGGTTCAGGGTGCTGAAGATTATGGTGGGTTGGGTGGAGGGGGCGAGGAAGGGGGTTAGGAGGGCGGGTTGGATGCCGTCGTGGGCGTCTTTCCAGTCTGGTTTGGGTATTGTGGTTAGCTTATCTGGATGTACAGTATGAACGCTTGACCAAGGTTGGGGAATGGGGGAAATTGAATGAGGGAAATGCAAGCTTGCTTCCTCGAGTGCACTACACGAGGGCAATATGCACACTCACCAATGACCCAGACCACGATGCTCTCATCTTCTTTTGTGCGACCCCATGCTGAGTTCTGATATCCGCTTTGGTGCTTGGTGTTGGTGAATAGGTTCAGCAGGGCCTGCCCCTCCTCGTTGGCGGGGTCTTCGGGCTTCACGGAGGATTTGAGCTGGAAGTAGATGAATTCGGTGACTGGGAGAGCCATGGTGAAGGATTCAACTTGGGACTCTGGAATGGAATGGAGTAGGGAAGAGAGCTTGGGAAGAGTAGAAGAATTATTGGAGTAGTTAATGATAATATCCAGGCTGGTGAAGGAGGTTTGTCAGGATGATGTCACTTGTTGCCTGACAGGTAGTCTTCACTGCCTGAGGTGTCTAGATAGAGTCTATATTCCAGTGGTCCACCACCTATATCATTTTAGCCACTTGGGCACACAGTTGTACTGTACTTTTTCTTTCCGCGACTAATGTATTGGCGTAGTCCTGCTCGTCGAGGGGAATAGATTCCGCTGCTTTTTTACCATGATTTGCGAATTCCCTGGTGAATCTCGCCGTCGATCGCAATTGATGATACCGATATCATGCTAGTTCTTGTCTTCATCATATTCGTCATGACTGTATGCGTCATCAACTATGCTCAAATAACGGCTTTTAAATCCTCCCTTGCCTACTACGCACTAGGCTTGGGCTCCCAATTCAAAGGCGTATCGAGTCAACCGTCATGCCAAACCATCTCCTCAGACCGCAAAATTTCTCCTCCTCACTCTGGAACGAATCGATGACTCGTGTTCTCCCTCCCATATTCAGTTTCACCACCCCGTTGACGTACATGAGTTTCCCAACTATAGGAACCGCGCCTGTATCCGCACAGACACCCTCGCCATCAAGCAGAGCCAGTCCCTCCGTCTCCCCACCACGTATGAACTTGACAACCCAGAAATTGCCTCTGTCCCGAGCTTCCCAGCTTGTATACCGATTCATTACTTCGAAATCCTCTTGGAAGAACTCCAGCTCTGCAAAGGCATAGAACGAATTCCACTCCTGTGCGGGCCCATTGCGGTACTGGTAGACCCAGAGCTTTTGCTCCGGGCGTGTTTGTTTGGGAATGTTTCCGTAAACAAGTCGCACCTCTTGCCTTCCGAGATTATGAACGATTTGTCCTGAAACTAGTCTCAGCGGTCGTGTTGGTCCATCGCCCCCAAATGCGACGTCGACATGGTATTTCTCCCCGGATGGAAGTTGCACGATAGTCACGATGTGTGTCCTGCTTCACTTGTCAATTTGGCTTGGGGACACCAGGGCTTTAGAAGAGAAGAGTCTTACGTACCATCCCCTGTATTCGCCTTGAGGCACGCCATCAATCCGCGCTCGGTTCCGGACTCCCGTCGTATAGGCCGAAAACCCCATGCCCAGGAGAGCATGGTAGAAAAAGAGACTGCACTCTAGGCAATAGCCTCCTCGCCCAGATGGCTCTGAATCCTCGGGGCTCATAAACTTGGCATAGATGCTTTCCGGCTGAATGTCGATTACATCTGCATTGGAATAATGTGCGGACAAGTTATCGTATGGAAATCGTGTGATTTGACCCCGGAAAAGAGTAGTCAGTCCTTCTTCCGTCTTCGGGAAAGACTGCGGATTGTGGATAAATTGGTCATATTCAGGGGGAAGTGCGAGGTGCTTAAGATACTTGCCAAGCTGGGGAGTTGAAAATGCAGAGGTCATCTCGTCTCTCTTGCAGTCGAACAATGTTTTTCGATGAGATTGAAGTAGTGTAAATGCTATAATCTTTTAGATGTCGGTATCGTCTCCTGTGGTGTGAGTCATCGCAACTTGGGCTAGTTACTTACGTTCATCAATCCGGCAGATCACCTCAGGCTTTGGCTAGCTACACTTATCAGCCCACCTTCCTTAGGATAACAGAGTAAGTGCAACGATCATGATGAGTTAGTTATCTTGGGAATCATACGTCTTTTGCGAATATGCAGCATACGTAGCTACTCAATAACCTGCCCGCAAAAAGAAGTAGGAACAGAGAAACGATGTCATTAAGCACACATCTGGAAGATATTCCAGATAAAAGATCGGTCATGTCATTCAACAGCACTATTTACATACAGACAGATAACGTGCCACAATGGGAGTTTAAAAAATATAGAATAGAATATTGAACATACATGCGCGCGCAAACGTGGAATACAAATTGATTCTACAAATCATCAGCGCTTCGAACCTTAAGCTCAACCTTTTTCTCCTGAATCGCCTTCTTCAAGTTGTCGACCATTTGTTTGCGACGATTTCGTTTTGCCTTCCATTGGTCGAGTTCCTCTTTGCTCACGAGGTCGTTGACGCCGTTGACATTTCGGAGACGACTGGCACGGGCCGAGCCGCTGATACTAGATCGGAAGTTGATAGCTCGGCCGGCAGATTCAGGGGTATGATAAGAGCTGACAGGCCCATCGCGAGATGCAGTGGAGCCTGGGGTGGCAGGGAGATTGCTTTTGCCCTTCCTTGGGGTCGTAAAAGGCGAACCTTCCCGGCTAGAAGGCGACGCGGCAGTGTCGATTCCCATTCTCTGTAGCTGAGCTTCAAGAACATCAATATTATTGCGCTTGCTTTCGGCCATGTTCATCATGGTTGAAATAGTCGAGGCCACCGCCTCCACGGTGGGTCGTTTAGATGGGCGCGAGGCACCGTCACGGGGCGCATCGGCAATTCTGGCTCGCAACAGAGACACCGCAGACTCCAAGTCGGCAAGCTTGGCCTGGATATCAGTGGAAGTCTTGCGGAGATCCTGCTGGAGAGCCAGTTGTTCGGCGGAAAGCGGAGCAGACACGATTGCTGCGGCATCGGTGTGAGCGTCCAGGGTCTTCTGGATGCTTGCACATTGCCCACGCAGAGTGATGATATCTTTGCTGATCAATGCATGACAATCCTCCAGCTTCTTGTCTACACCCTGGAGCCGTTCCTTTTCGAGTTGTGCCGAGAGCTGATGCACAGCATCGTCAAACTTTTCGATTTCCGAGAGACGTAAGTTCTCATCGCGAGGTTCAAAAGGATACTCTCCCTGCAGCTTTTCAATCCAGTCCGAATCTGTTGACAACTTCTGGTACAGAAGGTAGGAAGACAAGGAACGTGCATTGATTCCCAGAGTATCCACCATGGAGTTGATATCGTGATAAAGTCTCTCGATCTGGCCAGGAATCCCGGGTCTGCTGGGCTGGCCTGAGTAGTCCTGGTGGGGAAGGAAAGGATCCAGAGTAGGAACGGGTTCTAAAGCTGAAGCCAGATCGGCACGGAGTTTCTCCTCCTCGTCGTCCTCTGATAATGCTTCGGCTTCTTCTTGCTCTTGCTGCATCTTCTTTTCGCGGGCCTTTCGCTCCTTCTCCTCCTTTTCTTGGAGCTTCCGCTTTTCTTCCGCGGCATGTCGAGCAAGCTCAGCCTTGCGGGCTGCTAATGCGCTGCCAGGAGCATGTTCAGAGGACTTCCTAGCTCCGTTCCGTACTGGGCTAGGCGATCTTGGAGACTCGTGATGGGAACGAGGCGCAGGAAGTAGTGGCTGAGTAGGGCCTCCAAATAAGGAGCGAGGGGGTTGCTGCTGTTGAGACTGAGGTTTCTGGCCGGGTTTAGAGAGGCGCGAAAACAATCCTTCCGTGGAGCTGGTTGTGGAGAATTGAGACTCAAAAGAGCTTTCTGGGGTTTTCCCGAAGTCTTTCTTGAAGTCTTGGGTCGTGGGTGTTTCTTCCTCACCCTCGTCTTCATCCTCGTCCTCTTCATCATCCCCATCCTCATCCTCGTCGTTATCTTCATGCGTAATCTCCTCGCCGCTATCATCAAAGTCGGAGTCTCCCTCCTTCTCCGAATCGTCCGCATCCGAACCGTCAGGAACTGGGCCGGGTTCGTCCTTTGTTGGAGTCGCAGAAGATTTCGAGGTTACTGGGTCAGGTGGCAAAGGTGCCTCCTCCGCTTTCTCAGATTCTTTTGGCTTCTGCGTGAAATCAGGGGGCAGCGGGGGTTCTCCAAAGAGATTCGGGGATGGCTTGTTCTTGGGCGGTATGGTAAAGTCAGGGGGCAGGGGCGCATCTTCAACTGAGCTCTTGGAGACATTGGAAGAAGCTGAAGTGTCACCGGGCCCATATACGGTCTTGCTGGTTGGGTCCGGAGGTAGCGGAGGCTCGGCCATCGAGGAAGGAGGTGAACTCTTTGCGTCTAACTCCTCTTTCGACTTTGAAGGCGTCACCGTCTGTTCTGATTGCGGTGAGAGGGGACTAGGTTTCTTTTCAGTGTTTCCGAACAGGGAGAATGGTGATTTGTTCGTCTGAGGAGCTCCAAATGGCTGAGGTGGCTGAGGCTGGGTTCCAAACGAAGGCCCACCAAATAACGATGGTGTCGCTTGTTTGGGTTCAGGCTTCTTCTCTTCTTCTGCGGGAGCTGCTGGGGCATCTTCCGCGTCGTCCATGGACTCCGCGGGTGTGCTAGGTTTGTTAGGTGAAGAGACCATATCATCCATGGAGGCCCCCAACGAGAACAATCCTCCTGATGGTTTGTCCGGCTTTGGACCATCGTTGGCAGCACTTCCGTCGCCCTTCATTGTAGACCCAAGCACGAAACCACCAGATCCAAGGCCGAAGGTGCCTTTGGACTCTTCTGTTTTCTGCGAACCGAAGCTCGTAGTTGTTGTGCTTGTTTGACCGAAAGGTGACGGCGCTGAGGGTTTCCCGAAAGGATTTGCGGTGGTGGGTTTGCCAAAAGGCGATTCGCCCGACGCCTTAGCAAATGGCGACTCGCCTGATACTTTGGCAAACGGGGACTCATTTGACGCTTTGGCAAAGGGTGACTCGGTTGAGGTCTTATTAAAGGGCGATTCTGCAGCAGGTTTAGAGGCCGCGAATGCACCGAAACCACTCGATCCCGCGTTAGCGAACGAGCCAAAGCCGCCTCCAGCAGCGGCACCCGACGAGGCGAAGGGGAGAGAGCTGCCTCCGTTTCCAGCGGTAGACGATTGTCCGAAAGGTGCCGGCGTACTCGAGCCGAAGCTTGATTTGCCAAACTGGGCTGGGCCGCGTTGGCCCAAAGCACTAGGGGCGCCAAAAGAAGACCCCATTTGTGAGGGGGCACCGAATGTTGAAGCACCTGGGAGTGATGGCGCCCCGAACGAAGGTTGGGAACGTCCACCCATTGCTGATAGGCTGCCAAACGATGGTGTTGAAGATGGCTTTGCAAACGCAGGGCCAGATGGGCTGCCGAATCCTGACTGTCCAAATCCTGATTGCCCGAATCCTGACTGTGCGAATGCTGGCTGTTTTGGAGCCTCCGCTTGCATTGGCTGTGGCTGGGACTGAGGCTGGGTTTGGGTCTGGTTTCCAGTCCCTTGGCCATTATAGGGCAGCTGCTTACGAATAGCCTCGGAATAGATGAACCACCAAGAAGCGAGGATGCCTTCGTTATTGAGAAGGAGGAGGTTTGGCAGGGGGGTCGAGCTCTCCGCGATGTCTTCTCCTGCAATTGGGGCGACAACATTTTCCGTGCTAGATAGGTCAACGCCCAAGCCGATAACTGAGGTTTCGCCATCGGTGTCTGACAATGGCAGCGATGCCCTTTTGGTATCATCGCTGACTTCGGTGGTGGTGAAGACATCCGTAGTCTTCTTAGCATCTTCATCACTGGCAAGCGGTTTAGAAGACCTTGTGATTAAACCGACATCAGTAGATGCAGTAGAAGAAAGAATCAAAACGTCCTTGAGGTCGGGCTCGTAGTTCCGAAGTCGCGCAATAAACTGATATGCCGGGGCCCGCTTGTACCCAAATGGCAGACACAATTCGGGAAGTTTCTGGATCAAGAAGGGTGCTTGTTTTCTTCTTGTGATAAGATAGTATGAAGAGGGCGGTGTTTGGCCTGTCTCATCCTCTGCGGTGTTCGGCGTGTAGACCATTAGAAAGAGATCGTTCTCAAGCCACGAAATGGAGGACACTATAGATGAACCAAGGTCAGTGAGCGAAACCCATCTCAACAATTGAATCACAACTCTTACCATGACACTCTCCCTCGAGATCTGGGGGACGCGGAATAGTAGCCGTTTGTTCACCAGTTGGTTTTATCTGACGCGCCGTTCCATCCGCAAGTCCAGCGACGAGTTGTTTGCCCTTGTTGCTCCAGCAAACCGAGCTCACTCCGGATTTCATGGCTTGGCCATTCGCTCCCGAGAGCAGTTGACCTGTTTTGAGATTTGCAATGAGAAGCTCACCACCGCCGGTGACCAAGGCCACAAGTGACGACTCGTCGACATTTGGAGGCGCAGGGTTCGGTGCGACAGCGCGGAAGGGAGCGCCGTTGACCGGCAAGGATAAAGCCGGTTGGCCATTTCCTGTTAACAGACTGTCGGTCTCATAAACAAACAGCTGCGATCCAGTCTCCGTAGTCACAACTAACGCGCTGTCGCCGGATGCGAAGGCTACGTGGGTCGGTCGTGCAGGTAGGGGGATGGTTGTTTGAGGTTGGAACGGCTTTGTTTTCACTTTCCCATCGGTGGGCGCGGAAATTGCTTTTCTCACTGAATCGGACGAAGCGACACTTAGACAGTCGGGACCTGCACCGACCACTACACCTTTTGTGGATGCGACGGCGAGAAGGGTGGAGGTTGGCGCCGGGAGAGCATCCTCGGGCCAGGGGGTCGGTAGTAGTCGAATGTTGCAGTCACCGGAGACGCCTTTGAAGCCGACTTCCTATAATTCGAGAACTGATTAGAATTGGCTTCAAACAGAAGTGTGACAGGACAAAGAGCAATTCAACGTACCTCAGCGTAGACGTCCGGGAGTTCAGGTCCTGCTTCCACTGGAGTGACATCCCCAGTGGGGGTTGGGCCACCGAAACTGAAAGCCATTCTGAGTTTGTCGATATCGGAGGATATGGATCGAGGACGGTCGCCTAAGGATAGCCTAGACTTTTGAGCATGAGGAGAGGGCGGACTTTGAGGAAGAGGCGAAAAAGAGCGACGTTGGAGTGCTTTGGGACTCCGGTTAAAGAACTGCGCAAAAATCTTGAACTCCTCCCCTCGAAGGAAGGGAGCGAAGTGAAAAGAAAAGACCCAGAGCTCTTCACACCAGGAAGACTAAGTGAAGGCGGTCAGGAAGAGTAGATTGACAGGGTCCGAACGTAGGCAGTCCTGTCGAAGACCGGATGGAGGCAAAGCATTTAATTTGCATGAAGCAATGGCGATCTCAACAAAAACAGCGGAAGCTCTCGTGGCCCGTGCCGGGTGTTGCCGCCTGAGGCACCCAGATCAGGCGGCGGGAGCTTCGTCACTCCAGCTTGCCATCACCGACTCCCTCCCCTTCTCGTCGTCTCCGCATCTCCCCTCTGTGTCTTGATTCCCTCGTCCGATCGTCTCGATAGCTTCCGAGTGCTGTAGCTTGCTCTCTTCAACCTTCATCTACTTTTCTCTCTCTCCTCCTCAGCTCCCTCATCCCACCACGCCGTCATCATGACAGGCTTCGACTTCTCCAACTACAACCGCAACGCGGCTCTTCACGCCAAAGGACTGCCTCTGCCCAAGGCCACTAGCACCGGTACTACCATTGTGGGCTGTATCTATGACAATGGTGTTGTGGTACGTTCTATCCGAGTTGATGGAGAACCTTTTTCGTGCCGATATCATGGCCACTGTACATTCGATACTGACTCTTCTGGTGATAATCGCAGATCGCAGCAGATACCAGAGCTACCAGCGGACCCATCGTCGCAGACAAGGTACGTCCCGGGACAACGTCTCTTCCACCTTAATGACCCTCCATGAGCCCCGACTAATCCGATCCGTGATGGAAATAGAACTGCGAAAAACTACACTACATCGCACCCAAGATCTGGTGCGCAGGAGCCGGCACGGCCGCCGACACCGAATTCACGACCGCCTTGATCAGCTCGAACATCGAACTGCACTCTCTGTCGACGGGCCGCGACCCGCGAGTAATCACCTGCATGACGATGCTGAAGCAGCACCTCTTCCGATACCAGGGACACATCGGCGCCTACCTGGTCGTGGCGGGCGTTGACCCGACCGGCACCGGACTCTACACCGTGCACGCCCACGGTTCGACGGACAAGCTGCCCTACGTGACTATGGGCTCCGGATCGTTGGCCGCCATGTCGGTGTTCGAGTCGACGTGGAAGTCCGGCCTGGACCGCGAGGGTGCGATCGCTTTGTGCGCGGAGGCCATCAAGGCCGGTATCTTCAACGATCTGGGATCGGGTAGCAATGTCGACGTGTGTGTGATCGAGAAGGACAAGCCCACGCAGCTCCTGCGCAACTACATCAAGCCCAACGAGCGTGGCCAGAAGGCGCGCGACTACCGCTTCCCCCGCGGCACGACGGCTTATCTGAACCAGAAGATCATCACCAAGGAGGATATGAAGAAATATGTCACTGTGGAGGAGGTCTCTGGGGATCCTAACCTGATGGAGGTGGACTCATAGAGGGGATCAGACGGAGTAGAAATGCTTCGACATAATCTTTAGTTTTCTCTTTTCTTTTACTCTGGTCACGCATGAATAAAATATTTATGGATTACTCGTATTGCGAAGACTTTGCTTGTGTAGTATTCAATAAATCAAACCCAAAAAAATACTGTCACTACGACTACGGTCAGGGGATAACGCCAAGTTATTGCCAAGCGCCTGGATGATTTTCTATACAGAGGAATGGTAGGATAAACTGAAGAATATGTAGACAATAGGTACTGTACATTGGGTATTTGAAACGACATTGTACACAGATACTGTAGAGATTTTTATACAGCGCTGATCCATAGCCCGCACCGTAAAGCTCTATAACCCACGAATGAATCACGAGACCTGCTCGATCTTATCCGTAAATATAACCATCCTCTTCAAAATCGCTCAGCTCCTCATGCGTTGCGCCTACCTGCGGCGCATCCACGAGAACATCCACGAATTCAGGATCCTCATATTCCTTAACAATTTCCATGATGTACGCATACTGCGTCGGAGAAACGCGAAGGCCTTCCCTTCGATATCGCACAACACCAGCATGGTACATTGCTCTCGCGATAACCGGCTTCACTGGGGCGCCATGCTTCAAAAGAAAAACATAGAGCCAGTGGACCAAGGAGTAGGCGCGGCATGGACTCAGATTCCTGGAACATGAGATCGAATTTGCCAATGAATGGATCATTTCCAACGCAGCATGGGGGTCCGGACATCCGGCACTTCGAGGCTGGTCGTAGTATCGCACAAGTGCTTTCTCGGACGGGGCTGGAATCGGTAGGAAGGATTTGGACAGCGAGATTTTAAGTGGGGTGTGGCTTCGAAGGAGGCGAATTAATGTCCAGGTATTCCGAGAGTTTCCATTTCGTACAATGTGCAGCATGTGCTTGATGAATGAAGGATCTGTGACGTCAGTTTGCCGCACGTTCTTTTCGAAAGCTGAGAATATGTGAGGCTTCATGGCGTTGTATGTTTGAAGGTCTGCAAATGAGTCCTCAAGAGGTATGTCGGAGGTCTCTAGCCTCTGAAGGGTCTTTCGCGCCGCTTTGGTCATCTTCTTTCCGAGTTTGAGTTCAAACAAATACATGAGTAGACCGTTGAATGGCAGACCCAAATGATGAATTGCTTTCCTCATGCTCTCCATGAAGTCATTGGGATTAAGCCCCTTTCTGGAAACCCCGTAAATGTCCAAGAGGCTGTAAGCAACATAGTCCGTCCATGCTGTACCGGGTCTCCAGAGTGGTCCTCCGTCCAGGCTGTTGCTGAGAGCCCTCAGTACCCAAAGACGCAGGATGATCTGATGATGAAAGGAGAAATGGGATGCGCTGGTCGGATCTTGGATGGCTCTGACATTGGTCCAAACCTGCGGTGAGATCATTTTTTGGGCATTCTCCAAAGCACACAGGCAGTCTTGCCATCTTTCGAGTAGATGATGCTTTTTCGAGGCTACCAGGAATTCCGTAACCTGGATTATATTCTGCAGCTTCGCGTCTCCTGTAAACTTCCTGAAGAATGTGTTGACAAACTTGCTGTCTGTTTCGTGAGACGATGCCTCCAGCTGCTGTGTAATGAGCAAGGGAGTCCAGGAACAGATCGCTGGGTTCCGCCTGTGTGTTGCGCTTATAATGCGTCTTGCCAGACGAAGGGCGTCCGGCGTGTTTCTATCCACCAGGACTTCAAGCCACGCGTCAGCGATGACCTCGTCCAAGTCGTTGTGCCCGTAAACACCGCATTTCCCAATCGCATCCCACATCTCCTGGTACAGAGCGATTAAGACGCCTGCACCATTGCTGTCTTCGCCAACTTGGTTTGGTAAAACTTCGACGATTGCTGCAAGTTCATCTGAGCGAATGAGCCCAAGCTCAAGCGCCCTAACCACGATATCCCAAAGAACGAGCGGTTCTGTTAGACCAGTTTCTCGAAAATCCAGGTCTTTGACCGCAGTCAGAAAATTGCCCGCTCCCGGAATATTCAAAGTTATGTCGTTCAGGAAGACGATGAGTTCTTGCTCGCTAGAATGCGACAACAAATGCTCGAATATCACGCGGCTGGCGGCTGGGTCCCTCTGAGGATCCACGCCCAGTCTCTGAATCACATTCTTGATAGCAGTCACGGTATAGCAGCCCCGCAAGGACTCTTTCAAACTTATTCCTCGGGGGGCTTCGTCTGTCGGCGGACCCGAACCTCGCTGCCAATGAGGCTGGCCGAAGGACTCGCTTGGATCGATATTCTCACTGTAAAACGGTAGAGGAGACGCAGACGAGGAAGAAGCGGATCGATAAAAGTCAGAATCTAGAACATGTCAGCCAGATTACCCCTCAAATCAAATTCAAACCAAAAGCCTTACTCGGAGCCTCGGAAGTCCCTCTTCCCAATTGGCTATCGCTCCATTTCATATGTTCCCGACCATTGCGCCCAAACAAACACGCAACATCATCCAAAGCTCCCGACCCAGCTATACCAGCGAATGCCGTATTCCGCCGTTTGGCCAACCGCCTCTTCGCCTCCATTGGACCCGGCACTCGGCTCTCATAGCGTCGTTGACCGTTTGCGAACCGCCGAAAGGTAGACGACAGGAGATCTTCGCTGATCCATATATGATCAATTAGCACATTGGACGAAGGCTGGATAGTGCGCCTGTAGGCATATCTGCCGAAAGACATGAGGCATGAGGTGCACGCGGCAGCAATTGAGAGGTCCGGGCCTGTCAGAATTGGATAATTAGCAAGACGCGGAGTTCGACGACGCTATTCAGGATGACTAAGCGCATGCTCGAGTTGTTACTGCCTCAGGCATCAAAGTCATTAAGGCATCAAGGCATCAAGGCATCATATAAGATATCGTACCATTGAGATGCTTCGTCTCCTAATTTCCTTAGCAGAGAGCAACAGTGTTTTTCTTCTACTAACTGGGCAACGGTGCTACTGTGATTAGTACATTTCCTCCACTGTTCAAAGGCCACACCCTTTCTACCAAACCTCTGAAGACGTTCCTCGACTCGTACTCAACTGCAACTCGCAGCACCAAAAATGGAACAAATGACTTTTGAAATTCTGGGTATTCAAACCCAATAGAACTTAAATATATATATATATATATATATATATATATGCAAGGACAAAGGAAAGAGAGTAGGAAAAATTCTCCGATGCACGCCTCCCCATGCATTTTTCTTGTCAATGGTATCTTATGCTAATGCAATCCAACAAAGCTAACAGAACGAAGCAATGACCGCAAGAATTCGGCACAATCGAAAGGAAGATGGTCGTGAAAGTATTCAGTCATAACAGTATGGGTTTCTCTAAGAAGCCTGTTCCCCCTCGTGAGGTTTCCTCCCGGTCACGATATAGTAATCTGTGTAGCAGTGGACGTCGCGGTTCTGGATGCTCTTTCGAACATCAACGAGGAAGACTTCAATTTCGGGTTTCGACCACCCCAGAAGACTGAGGGGCTTATATGACCAGCCAGCTAGGGCCTCGAGCCAGTTCGTTTCGCTCCAAGCACCAATGGTTCTCAGCTGCGGATCGGTCGGCCAGGTATTCGTCGGGACTTTATGGATTTTTTGTTCAACATCGACGAAACCCACTTCTCTCATCCATCGCGCAAGTCTATGAGCTACTCGGAATTGCCGGGGAGGGTCGGAAATCTGACCCGATCGGATTTCTAGATCACACCAGTCCTGCAGGGCGAATTCGCTGAAGCTGTCGGGGTCCTCGGGCGGCATCGTTCCGTCGTCGCATCTCGGTTTGGGATCGAATTCGTGACACTCAATATAGCCACCCGGTTTCAGATGTTTGAAGATTTTCCGCAGCAGATCCTTGTATGAAGGCAGTGCTCCTACCAGGTGTGCCGTGTGGATGTAGTCGAAGTGCTCGGGCTCCCATAGCCAGTCATCCTCTGTGGCATCATCCACGAGAAAGTGAACATTTTCGGGAACTTCGGTTGGTTGAACGGGGGACAGATCCGTACCAACAATCTGAGCATTTGGAAACTCGGTCGCTGTGCGTGATGATTGTCAGATTTTGCCACTGGGGTAGACGGGCAAAGTGCAGGGGGCAAATCGTGAGGTACTCACCCATCTCAATGGGCCATATACCAGATCCAGTTCCGATGTCGAGGATTCGTTTTGGGTTCTGTATGGGAGCAAGGAATAGTCGTCCATCGTTGATGAGTTTAATCATATGATGTTGCATATCCAAACGGTCCAACTCCTGTTCATCATTGGGATAGAGATATGCTATGCACTGTAATCAGAAACTTTTCTCTCAGCATTGAAGACATCAAGACGACATACTGCCCTCGTGGTATTTGTGGTAGCGTCTTCCATTTTCCATAGGATAATCGGTCACACTTGCAGTCAAAGACTGCGTGTCACTAATATCAACCTTTTAGCTCTAGCATCACCTAGACATGCCAAGCACCCTGATGCGAGGTCTAAAATGGTTGAAAAGGAGCGTTTCGAGTACTTACAGGTCACGGCCCGATGGCTTGCACATTCTTCGTTAGCTTGGTTGCACTGATAAGATAATGCGAAGGTAGAAAGATGACAAGGAAAAGGGAAAGGGGAAAGGCCTAATGGCATTGCTCATGTACACGAGGTTTGTGTCGGACAGGAGGTAACTATGAAGATAGGAGCAGCCGAGGTGACAGGCCGGGGACTACAACTAGGGCAACAAAACGGGGGGGAAAGAGCACGCTTACAGCCGACTTCCCACCCATTGTTGGTAGCTGCTTAGGTAGATGGGACTTCCGAAGCGAATTTGAGTGGGGGGATGAAAATAGTGGTTGCCCAAATGAACGGACCCTCCTGCAAACTGAAGATTTTCGTATGGGAGAATAAAGTATTATAAGATGGGAAGAACGGACGAGCAGAATGACGGAAGATAAAAATTCAAATAAAAAAAAAAGGGCAATGAGGGGTCCAGTTTTAGACTTCTAATGTTGAAACGATATTTACAAATGATGACGACGGCCACAAATAGTGATGAACAACAACCTCATCAATTCCGCAGCTGCAATTATAAAAGTAAATCGGGAAGAAGAAAAACGTCAGATGAATTAAATATAATCAGCACGGCACCGGGGTTTAGCGACTTCTGTCATACGGATCTGGATAGCGATATATTTAAAGTACTTGCAAGGTTCATTCCCACTCTAACCAGACAGCCAGACAGGGGGGGAAAACCGAGATTGTGGGTAGGATTAGGGATACATAGAAGAAAGAGGAGTAGTCGGCTGCCTGTGCCTTTTCTTTTTTTCTTTTTAATTTATTTTCTTTTTCTCTGAACCCGACAGGATGGATTAAGTTTGATTTTAGCTGAGTGTGGGATTATCCTAACCCGAAGGAGGTGAGGAAGGTGGAGAGAAAGGCCAGTAATCATGAATTAGGGGTCATTCTTCTGAGGCCATTATTGGGTGGGTGTCCCGGTTGTACGGAGTATTGTTCAGAAGGGGGAAATCCTTAGGTTACCCAGCAGTCCCGTCAGCAGAAGTACAAAGTACTGTATTAATTTCCCCTACAACAGTTGACTTGCCGTGCCAAAGAAATTAAAGAATAAACCCGAGTGCGCGGTTCGGGCGGTGGAAATGGAAAGTCATGCAATTCAAAGTTCTGACTTACGGATCATGGGTTTTCATTTGGGATTTGCTGAAGGAATCAACCGGCATTTAATTACATCGAATACCAGGAATCTGGATCAGATCCCGGTTGGTTTGAAATTTAGCGACAGGCAGTCCGGAGCTTTGGTTACGCTCGGTAAACTTTGTCTTATTTTTTCCTTCGTGTTTCCCCAAAGGATGTTGGATGCAAGTATGGTACGATCGGAAAACTAATGGTCGTTCCCGAAAAAGTGTAAAGGAAGAGTGTTCCGTATACTTGCGTAGGGGTTGCGCTCAAAGTATACATATATAACTACTGGTAACTTCTCGGTTGCAAAGAGGCGAGAGAGGTGAGGGAAGCGAGTCCATTTGTCCGTACGAACGCCCATACGGCTTGTCTCGCTTTTTCCCTCCCCCCTCCCCTCCTGCTGCAGTCTGCACTCTGGCAGCTGAGGCTAAAAAAAGCACGGGCGTCCCGGAGTGCCGGGAGAGGCGTGGACGGGACTAAAATTTCGACTAAGGATGGCACTGAACCTGATAGCTCGCGACTTGTGCCCGCCAGAGAGGAGCCCAGAGAGCGCGAGGGTCAAAGGAGAGGAGTCCACACCAGTCAAATAGTGCAAGAAACAATTGTGGACGGCCCGTGTCTCGGGCTTTCATCCTCTCCGGGGTTGTGTTTTTTTTTTTCTTTTCTTTTCTTTTCTTTTTTCCCCCTACCGTTGGATTCATGTGGAATTGGTTTCTCAACAACACATAATATCCAGTTAATTAGCCTCGAAGATCAGCAACAAATGCTTACGGAGTAATGATTACTTACCTCGGCGACGGTACGGTACAGCTATCATACAGTTAACTCCCAAGTGATCAAAAATCAAATAAATAAATGATCTTCAACCAAAACCCGGCATCCAATGACTGTTGGTGCCAGAGTACTGGAAACACCCATCCATGGATCACTCCCCTATTATCCGACGGGGCTGAACTCTGCGGACGACGCGATGCATGCATGTTGCATGATCCGAGTGCAATGACTTGATACTCCATACTCAATAGGCTGCAGTAGACTCCGCATCCAAGTCTGATTAAACGAAGCAAACAAAAGTCTAGGGCCAACCCCTCGTATGTGACCGGACACCTGGACAGGTTCGCGGCACCTGACGCACAAACTGTCACAAACACGCAGTCCGTAAGGGTGTAAGGCCATCAAAGCTGGACGGAGATGCCGCTGTATCCAGTCTGTCGGATCCCCCGACCCACCCGGCTTGAACGGAATTTTCCTCCACTTTGTTCGACCCGCACTCCAATGAGCTTTCCGGACCATCCTTTATTATTCATGATTCCAAATTCATTTCCAGACTTCATTCTGTTGGCGAAAGTCAACTGTGTTATTAGAAATTGTTACGCTGAGCTTGTCGCTTACTGGACTGCAATGTCTTGATTCAATTCATCCCGGAACACGGTGGGATCATAGCATCATGCATGGACCAGCGAGCTGTCGTGCCGCGAGTCCTCCGTCGCCAACATGGGTTAAACTCGATTTCATCTTTTTTTCTCTCTTCTTTCGAATTCCCATTTATTACCCAATAACGGCCGCTACCGACGCGTAAACGGGGATCTAGTCCCAAGTCGGAAGACGGTCGCATATTATCACAAAATATTTGTTTTTCGGGTCACGATATTGTACTTCGATCGTCGCCCCGCAGGCATCCTAGAGACAACACAAGAAGTAGTTATGCCCCGAGTGTAGGGAAATTCGAGGAGGCTGGAAGGTTGTCAATCACAACCACAAGGGGACGTTTGTCACCCAGATGTAGCACCAAGTGTTCCCCCTGCATGCGCCACGATCATTGACATGTTGACCACGCGGGCTGGTGTAGATTTGGGTATACGTTCGAGATACGTTCTGTCTGTCTCATAACCAGAGAACATATTCATTTCGGTGATTTCTTGAGTGTTGGTTCAATTGAACATCCTTCCATACGCTCTCCTCGGTACCCAACACTACCTAGCTAACAGCGGTTCTCCACTGGAGAGGGGTGGTGGGCTCCTGGTCACTTCTGGACTTCTCAATCAAGTGTGTTTGGATGACGAATCGTGATAGCAACTAGGCTCTCTCCGTGACTGTTTTAGCTATTCTCCTGGGTGGTCCTTCTAATTCTGGAAAAATACCCACGATACCTCCAGTACCAGTGCCTACCTACTGTACCGTTGTGCCCCCTACATCTGCACGTCTGTGCACAATATATGCTACCGAGTCCACATTGTTGCACAGCTATCTTTGCTCACACTGTGTAGTGTGTACCAATTTGGTTTTAGTTCTGGCGTTTTCTGTATAGACTGTTGACGATCTCAGTCCTCCCCCACAACAGTTAACTCGAGTTGGATGACTTGTGAGTTAAATAAATTAAGTGAAATGGGCTGAAGAAGGGCCTCGACACCGAGAAATAGCATTACCAAAGTACGTCTTCCGCCATGACAAATACCTGGGTAAATACAAGCTCTACTCAGTAATTCCGACGTACTAAAAGTGTTTTCGGTCATTGTTCGGAAGCAAAACATGTGTTAAGAACTAGCACTAATGGCTGGACGCGAAAATGCTCCCCATCAATAAGGTCAAATTAACGAGTTGCTCTAGAAACAATGACCCCAATGCTTAGTCTCCTAGCTGATCCAGAATCCTGGTCTCGATTCACCATGATGCCATCGCGGATCGATGGCAGGCGATCGGGGACTCCGATAGAAGCATCTGAACAGGGAGAAAGTCACTAAGGAATGCTTGAGAAGAGGAGCCCGCAGAAAAAGTTGGACACCGCAAAAGTCGGCGTCATGTGCTCTAGCAGCGTTCGGTTTTCGGGGTTTGGAATTTTTCCCTAGGGAGGAGCCCGTCCTCGCCAACCCTCGCCAGTCACTACGGAGTACATCTAACTACTGTGCCTTCTACCACTAGGAGAGGGTTAGCGATGCTGGCTACTGCAGCATGAGGACATCTGGCATGTCCGAGGGAGAGACAAGTCATCCCAACGGCCCAATCCCTGTCTCCTGTCCCCTTTCCCTCCCTATCGTCACTAGCAGCGGCACTATCGCGTCCATTCTCTTCTTCCCTGCACTGGCCACCCGAAGAGCTGGGGCTTTTTCGTCATGTTTTGAAGGCTTGTACCTTCACTTCTATTGGTTGTTCGGATGCAAATTTGAGTGGTAGGAAAAAAGCAACAAAAATAAACAATCAAACCTGCGTTTTTCACTGGCAAAGACCGGGGCTTACTTGCATTACCCCCGGCAAATACCAAAGTGATTGACTCCCTCTTTACTATCTTTGGAGGATAGAGACCGTTCTCTCGCACAAACCTGTTTCACGTTGATACCGCGGCACAAAAGACCCTGGTCGTCACCAAAATAGAACATCATTCCGTAGTCCCCGTCTATTAGCCATCATTAACTGGCAATACACAACCCCAACGTACGTGATCCTGGAGGATCGTTGTTTCAAAGGAAACAGTGTATTTGTAGTGGGGGTACGCCAGCCAAGTAGTAGTGGTTTTGGAAGGATTCCCAAGTGTTGGTAACCTGGTATACAGCAAAACACCGTTGTTGGCCGTAGTAAGCGACGAAGCGTGAAATTTTTAGCGAACAAGCCCAACCACAACCACCCTTACTATTCTCCCAGGGGCACGGATATTCCAACCAAGACTCTCCTCGGGTCGACCGCAGCAACGATCTGTATCCCGTCTTTCAATCTTCGATTACGATTACGCGATAGTTCCTCGATCCTAGCTAGTCAGACCTTAAAGGGGATGGCAACGAAGGACCAACTCGCCAAGACCTGCAGGCCCAGGATCTTCGTACGCCTTCGACACTAACAGGTGTCTTTTCGGGCCCAGGGTGAAGTGGATCTCCGCATTCCGGCGGCGAGAATGCTGGCCACGGTATTCTTGATTTCGTGTAAGTTTGCGTGGTGAGTGCTGCTTAATCCGCTGGCAGGAGTTGCTGGCTAACGGTCCCGAGCATGGGATACATACCAACCGATTGTACGTAAATTTCCTACAACCATTAAGGTGTACAGAGGTCAAGAGAAAGGGAACGTGGCGTACACCGTATTTGACAAACACCATGGGGTGATCGGGCTTGAATGAATCATCCTAGATCGGCCCTTTCGCCACGATCCTGTCCTACATCGCTTGCCAAATCCCAACTCTACGGACCTGGGGAGGTTAACACCGTCACGCAAGGCAAAAGCCAAGTATCCCTGGTGGACCCCGGACGCGAGCCACACAGCCAGCGTCCACCGTACGCCGTAGACAAACCGACAAAAAGTAAGTGTAACGGACTGCTAACTAACTAGTGCCAGACCGCTAGCAGATCCAGCGTCCGGGAGGGGGGAACCCACTAGACTCCCTCGGCGCATATACCGCATGCACGCTGTACAGTCTAGTGTAGCAGCTGGTGTGCCTTTGCCTTTTGCCCATCTCTTGCGCCAACAAGATGTAATCTCACCCCTCCTCGGGGGAGGCACGTATCACCAGAAGTACATGCAGTAGCCAGACTAGTAGGCAGTCAGCAGCCCATCACCGCATGTGTATATCTGCCTGAACCCAAAAAAAGAAGAAAAATCCCCACACAACGTTACATTGCAGATGTGGCCTTGGCCGGTCTAGAGGACTTCTAGGTGAATTCGGAGCCTTGAGCCGCCCTATGAAGCCAGCCAGGCTGAGACCGGACTAGAACAACCCCTCCCCATTCCATCACATTCCTCCCGACGGCCGACGATGCCTAACTCCTTACGCAGTACTTCCCGCAGCTGCAGGTTGTAAAACACTGCGACCACGTAGGTAGTATTGGTTTCAGTCGTCTTTGACAGATATGACAGGACAAATCCCGAGAGGATGGTAACATCAACGCAGGCGATAGATTCGGTTAGATGAAGAAAAGGTAGAAACAGTAGAACGAAGACTATTGTCGTCTCCGACTCGGGGCCGTAGCCAACTTACGCAGACTGGAGCCGGGAATTCCAAACCCCTCCCTGGATGATGCTTTTTTTTTCTCCCCTCTTTCTTACCATTTTATGCCCTTTTTTTTGCCCCTCTTTACTTCGCCGGACACGCTGGCAAACTCAACTTCGGACCCCTGTCATTGTTAACAGTCATTATGATGTCAAATAGATGTAAAGATAGATAACGATATTCTCACCCTTTATATTAATAATTTCCGTTAAGAATTTGAGTCACAGTCTTGTGGTTCGTTGATAGTGAGTGGCCGTATGGCAAGGGAGTGAGGAGATATGTTGGTGCTGAATAAACAAGTGTATAACTGAACCTGTTGTGCATCAGACACCATAGAGAGAGAACTATGCAACAAAACAATCCCGTCGATTAGTCTTTCATAACAAGGAATCCAATTTATCCTCCCTTTAATTCATAAGATGCCCTGAGCATTTTATGCTTCTATGCTCTTTGAATTTGTCTATGTTTTGTCGGCAAAAATGTGTCATTCAAAACATGCCATGGCGCCAAACTATTTGAGAACGCCAAAACATATGTCTAGCCCTACCGACTGGAATGCATACAGCGAGCAAGCTTTCAACTAATATGCTAACGTTGACTGCATAGCTTGACCCATCTGGTCCAACTGAGAGCGTTCGTGATTTAAACAGGGATATATGGTTTTTCTTATATTCTTATAGGTGTTCATGTTAATCTCTTTGTGTATCGCGGTTGGACTTCTTATCCCCTGACTAAATGATCTCTACTTCCAACACACACAATATTTATATATCTTAGATTTGATAGCGCGATAATTGGTAGCTACTCATGTTAACCGGTGAATTATGAATATGACGTCCTCGCAGGCGTTCGCGAAGGTAATAGTTTCCTTAATTAGCACTCTAGAAGCTATTTCCTTTAAGCCTAATTAACTCGAATGGGGGTTCATAAAAATTGACAAATGAGGACATTGTAACCAAGTTTTTTCCCCTTTCATGCTCCGGAAGGCTCAGTTATTACTGTCCCAAATCAAATTTAACAATGTTCAGTAGGTAGCATTCATCATTGAGCCTGTGGGACCTAAGCCGTACATACCTACAGTACCACCAAGAGACCAAGCTGATACTAGTTCAAATCTAGCAAAGTAGAGTACCTTCTGTTCTGGTCATGTGTTGAGATGAGAGGTTTTCTCGTGTTTGTTCTTCCCTTTTGAGGAATGTTGTAGTTATTGTATCACTTGATGATGATTGATATATACTATGTGAAGTCCCGGAGGCATTCTCTACCTCGCCAAGTCCAGATTCGCGCAGAGCTTCCCTAGCTTCTGATATCTTATCATATCATAAAACTCAGTCTAAAATGTGTCTGTATTCTCTTTTCGCTGTAGACTTCGAGTATTAAAAGCCATATATCCAACTTCGGGCTTATACAACTAGAGAGGGGCGAACAAATAAGACCTTTAACCTGTAGATCAGGTACCATGACGACAGAAACGAGTGGTTTGTCGATCTTTAGGATCGACAAGTCATGGAAATCCCAGACGATGATAATCCTCCCTTTGTTTAAGCTTATTTCCTACTTTAAGAGTGTTCATCATTCTTCTATCAACCACCATGGCCCTGTCGTATCTTCCCCTTAGTCTTCCGGAGCCCAAGGGATCTTATAACTTGGGGATCAAGTTACCTGTGACTTTCATACATGCAGTCACCCCCAAACTCATGAAGCAATGCTTCCAAAACTTTCTGTATCATTAGTAAGTGATCATTCAATTATGGAGATCAAAGACAGATATCTTGTATGATATCATAAAACACAGGACAACACGGATTCTCCGCAAAACACCATATTGTCTGAGATGGAGATCCAGGAAAATGTGTGGGAGAACAAGTGTGCGGTGTCCATAGAGGTCAGCTGGTCAGCACCCACTGTCTTCGTTACCACTTCACCCCGCCGTTTCTCGCCGAACCAACTCGGTTCGGCATATTTGAAAGCACTATGAAGCAACGTATCACGCCAACCAGCTCTCGGATCGAAGAGGGGAAATGAGATGGTGGTCATCCGACCATCTTGAAGGATGACTAGTAAATTATCTGATTGACTAACGGCAGCGACGAGAACGTCTGTGATCTTTGGAAGAAAAGACTGCTTTGACTGATCAACAGGCTTCTGTTTCCTATATCTGCGTCGATTTGCTTTCTCTATAATCTCCTCGTTCTTCTTTCCTCTATGGAAGGTTGCGTTTGTGGATTAATCAAGGCGTGCGCACTCTTCAGTCCATCCCACCAAGCAGTCCGTGCACATCGGCTGAAGAAGCGATGTCAACAGCCGGTCTCCAAGGTGGACTCTCTTCTCCGCATCCAAAACGTTCCGATACTACCACAAATGCGCCATTAATATGCGCCAACAAGCAAAGAGCCCTGCGAGCAATCTATTTTCCATCCAAGTACCGAGCATCGTGGGGAAAGAATCCACTTCAACACTTGATAAAGCCATTCAAAGCTGCCCGTTGTTCCTGCTGCCTCGGCCCAAGACTCTCAGGGCACGCGGAGCTTTCTCCGGGAACGAATACGGAAAGACCAAATATATTAAATGGCGTTCGCCAAGTTCTGCACTGCACGGTGGAGGGGTTTCCCCAGAAACTGCAACCCTCTCTCACGCTCGCCAAGTGATATTGCCAAGCGGTGTTCCATTGTCATTTGGATGACTTTGAAGGTATATCGAGGGCGCCCAGCTCGTCGTTTGCTCTCGGGGACCTGACTGCCTCGGTTTGAATCCTACAAATTTCAACTACCGGCAGGAAAGCCAAGCCTACTTACTAGGTTTGGAAGGTGACTTGCCAGTTCTTAGTCCTCCGACTGCGATCCAATGCATAATGCAGCTATTGAGGGACACACAGGCAAGAGGGGATGAGAAGCCGAAGAGGTGAAGGTTTTACAACTGCCGAAGAGAAGAGAATATGGAACCAAGGGAGTTGAATGCCTATAAGAAGGGGGATGTCGTCGCTTCAATCTCGGCTTTTTTCTTCAGCAGCAGGGACAATCAGCAGATCAAAACCACTTTCTTGACCAGCCTTCTCTTCTACAGACTTCTGTCTCAGACGACATTATGAAGCTCCAATTCCTTGCAACCATCTTGGCCGGTCTTGCCGCAGCCAGCCCGATTGATCTCGAGGCTCGCCAACGTATGTCATCTCATTCCGCAATCACTGGAGTGAGCTCCAGGTTAACAAGCACAGTTGCCCCAATTGGGGAGAATGAACTGCGGAACGGCGACTGCAAGGATATTACCTTCATCTTTGCTCGCGCTTCCACCGAGCCTGGCTACCTGGTAAGCGAAATGGGTGTGGCCATCCTTAGACTGTACTCAACACTAAGACTTTGATAGGGCATCTCAACCGGCCCAGCTACCTGCGATGCTCTGAAACTTGCAAGAATTGGCAAAGTTGCCTGCCAAGGAGTTGCTCCTCGCTACACTGCGGACCTGGCGTCGAACTTCCTCTCCAAGGGTACCACGCAGGCTGCAATTGACGAGGCCACCGAGCTTTTCCAGCTGGCAGCGTCCAAGTGCCCGAACACCAAGATTCTGGCTGGTGGCTACAGGTAAGCCCCAATAATTTGATACACATCCACCCAGTCATCAGTCAAACCTTGCTGACGGTTTAATGAATAGCCAAGGAACTGCCGTCATGCACGGCTCCATCTCCGGTCTTTCGGACAGCATCAAGAACCAGATCAAGGGTGTGGTCCTTTTCGGCGACACCCGCAACAAGCAGGACAATGGCCGTATTCCCAACTTTGACACCGGCAAGACCAAGATCTACTGTGCCCTGGGTGACTTGGTGTGCGAGGGCACCTTGATCATTACGGCTGCACACTTCACCTACGTGGCGAATGTGCCCAGTGCTGTTACCTTCCTGTTGTCGAAGACTTGAGTTCAGTATGGAGATGGCTCGTCTGGTCAAGAAAGGGGAAATACCTGCTGTCAAATACTTTCGGTGGCCAGAAGGGGTATATATAAGGAAGAGATTCGTTGGCTGAAAACGGAAGGTCTAGCATAGGAAGCTATGAGATGAGAACTTGAACACTGGCCTATTTGACTTTGGCAATTCAGAATCACAGACCCTCCAACATGTAAACGCTAGGTGATAGATAGGGATCTGCATACAAAAGTAAAGGCAGTTAAACCATCGCTTTGCTATCAAGAGCTAGCACAGTAATCTATCATTCACCTGAATTAATTTTTGGTAAATGGCCTACATACATGACGAATATGCCGAACAATATTACAACCCTCTGTCCCTTGAGTAGTCAAGATGAAACAGACCACACATTCATTAAACCATTCTGATAGACCTATGCTTTTAGCAACAGTAATTACTCAATGCACAAATTAGGCACGAAAGGAGTCCCTCGCAGTACGCCTACCTCCCAGTCCGTCAAAACCAACCATAACCATAACCAAACTCATACCCCTATGCAACCCAACTTCAAGCCGTGAGGATCCTCTCCACAGACAAAATCTCATTCTCCATCGGCTGATCCTTATCCGTCCTGTGTTTGTGAAAGAAGAAAACAATCAGCTACGTTATGACCCTTCCAAAGATACATAGCCATTCCCAAACTATCTAAACTCGCAAGCTCACCTAGTAGTCACCCGCAAATCCGTCTGGATACGCGCAACTCCACGCTTATGAACAAGCAGGTGCGCGTGGCCGATCACCTGAAGGACTTGGTCCCAGGGTCCCTCTGTAGTTTAGTATGTTAGATGTGTAGGTTCAAAAGTTGCTAGCTAGGGCTAAATGTATCTATGGAAGGTTTATTTCGAGGGTAGGTCTTATTCGAACTAACTTACCAACGGCCGTCCCGGTACAGGTCATTTGATGCTTCAGGTCGCATCGCTGAAGCAGGCGTTGAATGTCCGCGATTTCCTGCGCGTAGGACGTATTCTGGGTGCCGATCTAGACCCGTATGTTAGTGGGTGTCAGTATGAGGGGATTGTTTCGGCTGTGGCATACTGGGACTAGAGAGAAGTCGGCAATGCAGTGGGTGGGGGTCTCGAGGCGTTGAGTAGTGGTGGATTCCATGGTGTTTTGCGATTGTAATGTCTGTGTTTGGACCTTGTAGATGAAGTTTGTGAAGTGAAATGGTTGAGGTTAGTTGTGCGAGTTGTATCTGTGGGATAGGTCTATATGTATGGAGGGGAGGGGTTACACAGTCAATATTTCATGGTGACGTTGGCATATACCATAACTAGATCTACGAAGAACATGTCCACCAATGTGAGATTGAAGAGGGGACGTGGCTGAATTAAATAGTTATTATTTGTTGACATCGCTTTCCCGAGCTCTATGTACATGTGACAACTAGATACTAATGGTGGTATCTAAGCTACCTTAACCCTGGTAGTAGGTTTCATCAATAGTCCGCCCACGCCTTTGTTGAGGCTCGCTCCCACGCATGTAAATGTCCTCGTATAAAATATCCATCCGGGGCTCGGGCTCGGGCATGTTCTCAGCCTCGGTCTTCGCCTTGTTGATCTTCTCTCGCACGTCCTTGTCGATGGATTTGGCTTCCTCGTGAGTAAATACGCCCCAATCGATCAATCTGTCCCGGAAATTGGTAATAGGATCGTTCGATCGTTGAGACTGGAGTTCATCTCTACTCCGGTAGGCAGTTCCTGGATCAGACATGGAGTGTCCTGCGTAGCGGTAGGTAACAAATTCATATACTAGAGGCCCGTTTCCGTCTAAGACAAACTTCTTCCCGTGTTTGATGGCGGAAAGAACAGCAAGAACATCCATTCCATCGATTTGCAGCCCTGGGATGTATTGGCCCCGCTTGTAGTACTCGGTCATGGCGGATGCTCGGTCAGCGGAAGTGCCCATGCCATATTTGTTATCTAGATACGTGGTTAGCATACCGAGGAGGTGGCCCCGAATGGATTGAGCCAACTCACTTTCGCAGCCAAAGATGATAGGCAAATTCCACAGTTTAGCCATGTTAAATGTTTCGTGGACCTGTCCCTGGTTCGCAGCTCCATCACCGTATAGATCGATCGTGAGATTTTTCGCTTCATTGTACTGCTGAGCCAATGCGATGCCAGCGCCAACAGGAACATGAGCTCCCACAATTCCATTGCCACCGAAAAAGCCCTCGCTGAACATATGCATCGAGCCGCCCTTGCCATACGAAATACCGCCTCGTCGTCCGAGAAGCTCCCCAAGGATGGACTCCACGGTCCCTCCACGCATCAATGTGTTTCCATGGGAACGGTATGCCGTAATTAACTTGTCACTCCTGGTGATTCCATGCTCGATGCCCACGGCGACCGCTTCCTGACCGGTGGAAAGATGGCAGAATCCTCGGATCTTTTTCTCCTTGTATAGGCCGTCGGCGGTTAACTCCATACGTCTGTTATACGTCAGCGTCGGGCTCGATTGGTCCGTCGGAAATGATTGCCAGCCAACCTAATCATCGACATATCCCGAAATAGTTGTTTGAGTTCATTTTTCGTTGTCTCCACATAGTATGGCGGCGGGTCAAAGTTATATGTCGAGTAGCTTTCCTCTGAAATTGGGACTCGGAAGGACCGATCGTCTTCCTTTAAACCGGGGCTTCGTCAGTGCTGTGATCGGAGCATTGGGACGCATATCCACAACACCACGTACCGTAGGGATATCGTCCAGATTAGCGACGCTCGCCATACAGCGACGTCCAGGACGGGGTAGCGACGAGCGCACCCAGGAAAGGGCACCCGCTCGTCTAAAGGATCTCGAAAGCATGATCTGGTTGGCCTTCCTCAAGAATTATTCAAAATTGATGAGTGCGATTGAGCAGAATTGAGAAGGACAGTAGCATATAGCAGTTAATTGAAGATTTGTTGGCATGTAAAAGCCCCGAGAGCTGCTGCGTTCAACAATGCATAACGTCGTTATGACGCAATGGCCGATCCACCGTAACAAGTCACCGCGCATGTCTACGGAGTAGAGATGCTCTGTCACTGCACTGTAGTAGTGATCGCCAGGAACATCAACCCAGTGACCTTCACGAGAATGGACACCTCTCTGTACGGAGTAGTCCCGCCAGCGAAATCAGTCAAGAGCTCATGCTAGCAGTACCTAGCTCCAGGGCGTATTGAGCGCGACGCGGCATAGTACATCATCTACCGTAGCATGGGACGTGTAGCCACGAACACGCTTCATCTGCAATGGTACTGATCCAGCGAGCCATATCGCAATCTTTTCCTGTGGTACTCCGGAGTAAGGTACATACATCAAAGAAGGAGCAAGGCTGCTGAGCCTCAGGCCGTTGTTGCCTATTTCGGAAATGACCCGGCCACTGCGGCCGAATATTGTTCCGAACCGGTATGACGCATGTTTTCGAAGTGGCTGAGCCTCTCTGGGCTGAACCAGTTGCTACATAGATCCGATCCCCCGGTTCGCGCTATATCTTCATGCCCGGTGCGGACTACTAAACCTACCTGAAGGTCACAAGTTGTTGTGTGACTTTAGAAAATATGTTGCATCCTACTAAATGAACGCTCATTTTATACTATACTAGCTGGTGTGCGGCAGCCCTGATCTCACCCGCATGAACCTCGCGTCATTTGGAGACACCTGGCAGGCATTCATGTTGCTGAAATCAATTTCCCGGCAACATGCGCCGATCGAATCGTTCTCGCTCTAGAAGGAGCGGTCCCTCCCGCGGGCGCCAGTCACGGCAACATGACGGGTCAAACGATGATGAGATCCCTCAAGTATACCGGGAGATGCTGGCAGAGGCTGAAGCTCGGGATCCTCAGGCGCAAATAGAAGAACGACCAATTAAGAGGCGCAAGGTGCAAGAGCAACCAACTATAGCAAGTGCCTCACAGGTTACAAACCAAACAGCACAGTCTCAAAATAGTGCCGACCAACAATATGGCCGACAGGTGCAGACGGTGTATGATTCTACCACATCTGATGAATCAGATATGGAGTGGGAAGAAGTTGATCTTCAACAAGCTCCTACTGTTCCAGCCGGTACAACTCCCGCTGCTGAAGACAGCGGGCCCATGGAGATAACACTGGGCAAGCTCGAGGACCAAAAGCGAAGAGTAGCACCAAGGCGAAAGCCTATCACTGCGGCCGAGAGAAACTTGAGACTGGACATCCATAAAGTCCATTTGCTCTGTCTTATGCGCCATATTCAAATACGTAACTTGTGGTGCAACGATGAAGAGGTCCAGGTTTGTCACGCCTTTTACAGATACTTCAGTCTTCTGCAAGTCCCGCTTACCAAGTCCACCAGAAAGCTCTTAAACGAATGTTGTCGAGAAATATTATCTCTTTATTGAACCCCCCAGAAGATAAGCCGCAGAGCACAAGGTCCACAACATTCATAGATGGGTTGAATCAAGCTAGTGATGCTTTTCTTAAGAGATTCAGAGTGACCTATCCGGGATTAAGGCGTGCTCACTGGGCCGAAGACCCAGACTCCTTGAAGAAGCGAGTGGTATTATGTCCTTCCATGGTTCCGAGTGTTTCTCCTCTGACTACTTGGTAGGAGCAAATAATGGTGGACCCGGAAGTTATATTGTCAAAGGAGGACTTTCAGAAGCAAGCCAAGACATTGCAGGGGTCCCGCGATTTCGGTGCCCAACTCTTTTGTGCCTTGCTACGTTCCGCCGCTGTTGAGGCAAGATTAGTCTGCTCGTTGCAACCGTTGCCATTCTCCGGTACAACGAAAAATATGACCCCAGCAAAGCCTAAACCGCAATATATTGTCATCTCATCAGACAATCCCGATACATCCACCGACGAACAAACAAGATCTCAGGGCTCTCCAATTCCACAATCTAGAACACGAAGACTTGGTCGCCCACAGTTCAAACCATCTCGCCCCTCAAAGCCGACTGCTACTAGTAAGTACCCTACTTCGATGTCGGAAATACCGCGGTATCTGACCTTTCAAGGTCCCCGACCAACCACCCATCGAGAATCATCATATCCTGTTTTCTGGGTCGAAGCATTTAACGAAGCGGTTCAAAAATGGATTCCCGTCGATCCCCTGGTGACAAAGTCCCTTGCAAAGTCCTTCAAGTTTGAGCCTCCATCAAGCGATCCGTATAACTGTATGAGCTACGTGGTTGCCTTCGAGGAAGACGCTTCAGCGCGAGATGTCACTCGCCGTTATGCGAAAGCATTCAATGCCAAAACGCGCAAACTCCGAGTCGAATCCACGAAGAACGGCGAGAGATGGTGGCAGAGAGTGTTGGACTTCTACGAGAAACCGTTCCTTGAAGACCGCGATGAAATCGAAATCAGCGAACTGACGGCCAAAACAGCCGCTGAGCCTATGCCCCGGAATGTGTTGGATTTCAAAGATCACCCAATCTATGCTCTGGAGCGACATTTACGTCGCAACGAAGTTGTATTTCCCAAACGTGCTATTGGCCAAGTTAGTTTGGGCAAATCAGGCTCGAAGCAAGAAAAGCTGGAGCCTGTCTATCGACGTTCTGATGTTCATTCTCTCCGCAGTGCGGATAAATGGTACCGTTTAGGACGAGATATTAAAGTAGGGCAGCAACCTATGAAACGCGTCCCGGCCAGCAGAGCTGCCTTTATTGATGATGAAGACTCTGAAACAGCCATGGAAACCCCCCTATATTCCCTGTCTCAAACGGAGCTATACAAGCCACCACCAGTCGTCCAGGGCAAAATACCAAAGAATGTTTATGGGAACCTAGATGTATACGTGCCGACAATGGTGCCGCCAGGGGGAGCTCATGTCGTTCATTCCGACGCCGCGCGGGCTGCCAAAATTCTCGGCATTGACTACGCAGATGCCGTTACAGGTTTTGATTTCAAAGGTCGCCACGGCACTGCCGTATTCCAAGGGGTCGTTATCGCCATCGAATATCATGAAGCACTCGAGGAAGTTATTCGAGCACTGGAGAATGAGAAGGAGCAGGCTCTATTGGAGGAGAAGTCTGCCGAATCTCTCCGACTTTGGAAACACTTCCTGCTCAAGTTGCGCATTTCGGAAAGAGTCAAGGGATATGCCATCGAAGGAGAAGAAGCCGATAATGAAGGAAGCGATAGTATGAATGGTGGTGATCACTTTGGGGACGCGGAAGATTACGGAGGCGGTTTCATACCGGAGCCAGATCAAGCAGATGCGTCTCCTCATGCTGGGACAAACATTGGGAAATATGCTACACAAGTCCAAACAGCAGAGCATGTTTCGGGGTACCCATCAGATGCCGACGACACAGCTGGTGGAGGATTTATGCCCGAAGAAGATGACAGCACTACAGTCCCTCTGCCCCAACCAGATATAAAGCCCAATTATACAGATCGGAATACAGCAGACCGCTCGCGCTACACTCTTGTTGTTATGCCGAATGATGACATCGAGAAAGGAAGCGATCTGAGCGTTGCTGAAAATAAATTTGGTTCGGCAACCAACGTATCCCAATCCAAACTCAACACAGAGGCAGGCCCTTCGGAGAATGTTCAAGCCAACCAAGGCTCTTTGGAGGCACCGATCACGGTCGAATCATCTACCGGAGCAGATTCCAAATCTGCCAGTGTGGAAATCCTATCACGAGCGCCCTCACAGCCGGAGTCACGAATCCCATCTCTGGAACCTCCGGAAAGTGAAGCAGGGAGTAACGATGAAGGGTCGTTGCTATCTGAGGATCCTGAAGATGAAGATGCTATCCCCGAGTGGCTAATGTCAGATTAGCCTTTGGGCCTGTGTGATAGAGTTTTTGTGTATATTTAATTTTTTCCAGGGGATAAGTTGGTCAAACAAACAAAATAGAAGCATCATTAGTATTGGTAGATGGATGGAACCCTAGCCCTGAAATTCAGGCATCACAACTAACCGTAAAGGTTAAATAGGCGCGCACGGACCACGGGGTATGTCATGGTTCGACGCGTCGACGCGCCTTTGCCTAATCCAGGCATCAGTAAGCAACGAAAGCCCCCCATCTTTGCCACTCTTGCGAATCCCATGGCTTCTTACGAACTTCCACATGCTTTTCTCCATCTAGAACCGCGATGAGGCGAGGGGACAGAGCCGGTGCAACGTCCAGACCCAATCCGGAACGATTCCGCACGCCAGACAAGCCTGCGACAGGACGCTCCTCAACGGTGTCGGACAAATCAAAACGAACTAGCCTTCTCTCGAGGAGAAGCAGCAATGGAACCCCAGCATCGTCCAACTCGACATTCCGATCGTCCAGAAGGGACACAGGGCCCAGTGAACAGGACCAACCGACCCTCACCCAGATCGACTTCGTGACTCCCGTGTCGCAGAACATCCCATCCAGCGACGATCTTGACTATATCGAGGACCATGGACAGCGAAGCCATGCGCGGAAGACTCACGAGGTAGTTGAGTTAGACGACGACTCCGGTCACGATGCCGAATATAGACCTTCGAATTCGGAAAAGAGACGAAGCCGGGGCGTTAGATTCGACACAGACACAGGGAGCAACAAGAAGCGGAGGAAGAGCGATTCTGCAAACATAAGTGGTCGGGATGTCGACCGGAATCGAAGAAAGAGTGACGATGGCGTTAGGGGGAAGAAGAAAAGCAAGCAGCCGCAGTCGAAAGAACGGCATAAGACTCTTACGCAAATGGATTATGTGCGCCGTTACCTGAAGATCGAGCCGGATGATGAAGTGAAGCTGGAGTATACGTATCAAACGCCCAAGAAGCAGGATGAGCAGAAACCTGACAGGAAGCCGACGCCTGCTTCGGAAGACGCACGACTGGGCCCCGGTCTTGGGCAGGAATATTCAAGCGAACTGAAGAGAAGAAAGCCAAACCATGACGAGTTAAATGAGAGTTCGGAAGCTGTGGCATATCGGAAAGATGAGAGGTTGTCGAAGCAACCAGTCACTCCACAGAAACCGCGGAGGTCTGAAATACCCTCCTCACAATCACCCGAAAGCCCCGGACTCGCTATCATCTCTTCGTCGCAATTTCGCAGTGCAACCCGCTCTCCGTTGAAAAGGCCACCTTTATTGGCCGCTGAGATGCCTATAAAAGAGGAATCACCGAAGCACGAACATAACGAAGAGGGGGACATTCTTGATGCAGACCGCAATCCTTCACCGTTTCACGACACGCCGCCACTCATGATGCCGGATTCACCGCTATCACAGAAACACGCTATACCCGAAAACCCTATCGTTAATGTTTTCGACACACAACCCAATCCTACAAATGAGCAACCTCCCGAGAGGGATGACCTTGGAAACGATGAAACGAATAAACCCCCTTCGACCACACAGCGCACTGTGGTATATGAAACGGACGCTGAATCCGACTACGGCGATTTCCAAGACAGTCTGTCCAGCCCACTTGGGACTCCCACGAAACGACAGTCTGTTGATCTTGTGCCCAACGAGAGCAGGGAAGATGACGATCTGGAAAATGACGATTCACAATACCTCCCGCCCCCGCCCGTCCCTCCTTTCGGACAGGAAACAGACTCGGGTCTACTAAATTCGGAGAACAACTTGACGTCCGATGCATCTGTCTACTACCAAAGAGTGCAACCTGCCACCCAGTTTCCGCTCGAACCGATACCTACTTTGAACACACAGAAATTGGCTGAACTTTTCCCAAACGAATCAAGTCAACTGCGGACGCCTGTGAAGAAGCCGCGATTACTTTCGGACCCCGATAACTGTATATCTTCTACACAAACACAGACGCCGACTCAAACCCAAACCCAGACTCAATCACAAACTCAGTCTCAAGACGCAGATAAAATTCCGACCGAGATCGTTCCCGAATCTTCACCCATTGCCCGACAGGAAGATGGCAGTGCGCACAGTAGGGAAAAGTGCTTGAAATCCAGGCTCCAGGACTCGGTGGTACAGGTCGAATCCTCGCAACCAGCTGATAAGCTTCCCCGAGGGAAAAGCCGAAAGCACGATTCATATCAGGGAGGCATATTGTCAGAGGGCCAGATCCTCACCTCCAGCGTGATGGAGAGCGTGCCTATGCCAGGGTTTTGGCTAGGCAGTCAAGACAGTGTGGGAGAACCGTACGAAATGCCAGATACATGATGATACCTCTGCTAGATTTTATGACTATATAAGCCAGACATAGACAGATAATATGATACCATTTGCAGGATTTATAATGATAAGCAACGTGTAGATCGGCGGGGCTTCGGGCCGTCGTAGCCCCGGGAACGGAAGCGGAGAATCAAGCAACGCTGACGGTCCCTCCGTCATTCTTCACGTCCCCCTGCTTCTTTACCTCGAATTCCAAGCTCCCCGACCGCAACGTCATAGTTTGCCCCCACAAATCATGGATATAGCATATGACCACATCCAGGAGGAGATCTTCACCTCCAACGATGCCTCCAAAAAAGAAGACTCCAAGGACCAGTCGACCCCCGCCGACCGACCCAACGTCGACCTGAACACCGAGCTGCAGGAAACCTTCCGCGCATTCTCCGCCAGCCCCTGGGGTGCCCGCATCGGAGGATTATGGGACAACGTTCGCAAACAGGGCGAGAGCTACTACGAAGGCGCTAGACAGGAGTATGCCGCTGCCAGCGAAGAGGCGGTCAAGGGCTTCTCGGACCTAAGGGAGACTATCGTCGGACGTACGCGTGGGCTGTCCCTGAGCACACCCTTCGCTGGTACAGGAAACGCCGAGAAGACGACGGATGAGGCCGCTACGCCTACTGCGTCCCGCGCGGGAGAGGGCCCGGCCGTGGAAGGAGGAGAGACCAGCGAGAAGAGCGTGGATGGTGCGGGCGCAAACGCAAACGCGGGCGAGGGGTTCCTATCCCGCTTCAAAGCCGAAGCAGGCCGACGGTTGAAGGAGCTCGAGAAGGCGGAGGAGGCAGCCGACGAAGCCATCTTGCGGTTTGGACAGAATATCGGCCAGAGGCTGCGGGATGCAGTGAGCATTGTGCCGCCGGGTACGGATTCCAACAAGGTCTTGTTCGAGAGTAAGGACTCGGAGGGCAAGCGGGTTATTCATGCTACGCGGTTCGAGGCCCAGCTGCATGTCATCCACTCCAACCTGGACAGCTTCACCAAGGACCCGGTCAGTGATGAGTGGCCTGCATTCCAGAAGGAGTTCAACGTGGACACCAAGACTAGCGCCATTGCGGCCGACCTCGAGAAGTACCCTGAGCTCAGGGCTGCCATGGAGAAGCTTGTGCCAGAGCAGGTGGAGTATGCGACGTTCTGGTCCCGGTACTATTTCCTTCGTCTGGTGATTGAGACCGAGGAGCAGAAGCGCAAGGAACTCCTTAAGGGTAAGTTTCTTCCTCACTTCTTGCGGGTTTTAATCTTGCCGTGGAATCCAATAGCTAACCGTAATTCTATAGGTGCCAATGTGAACGAAGAAGAGGAGGTTGCGTGGGATGACGACTCTGACGACGATACCGACTCGCCTGCGACTCCCCAAGGCAAACCCACCAAGCCCACCGAAGCTCAGAGCTCGGCTCCCGCCACTGAGAAGAACAGCCTTCTGAAACCCAACGAGCCCCGCCGCTCCAACGACCAGCAATCCCAGGCAGACAGCGAATCCAGCTATGATGTCGTCAGCGGTGCCACCAGCCGAACCCCCGCGAGCCCCAAGGACAAATCCAAGGACGACGACAGTGACGAGGACTGGGAGTAAAGGGGTTAATTGACTTTGTGAATGCGGCATATAGAGCAAATGATCGATTTACCCAGGCCATTTGTGAACAGGTGCCATGTGGACTATTCCCTTTGACCGCTGGCTGGTCCAAGAGAAGATCCAACTGGACGTGATGGGGTGACGTTATACGGAGTGGTGTTCTACGGCGCTAGATTTGTCTTTTGTTCTTATTTTCGGCGTGATGGGGATTCCTCTCTACTTTTCTTTATATTTGTTCTCTAGCGAGTGAATGTTCCTTCATTGATATCGAGTGATTGCGTGTATCTGGTCGTGTCTTCCTTTGTGATGATAGTCATCTGATTTGAAATTGAGTCTAACTACAATCATGAACATACTCTAATTTGAATCATTTAACGATACCGCTAATTCGTCGCATAACTTACAAACTCACCTGTTTCTATTGAGATGCGTGCGCGCACATAACTTCATTCATGACACGTCCATTAAAATCTATGCTTTTGTGTTCATTCCACCCAGTGTCCTTAGCAAGCCGGTAGCACGCCAGCAATCACCGGTCCTCCGCTTCCTCTGCACGAACCGACGAACTACGCAGCGAACTCGGCTGACGCACATCCGGCCGCGCCGGAGTAGAGCGTCGCGACCGCAACGGCGTCTCCGGCGTATTCTCCCTAGAGCGGAGATGGAACCCCCGCATACGGTCACTAGGCGAGTAGGGATAATCAGGTCCATCGCGCGGGTATCCCGTCGGCGTGCCATCCGGGGCCCAGGTGTACTGGTAGTCCTCGCCGCGTCGTTTGAGGGGGCTTTCATCATAGGGGTCCCAGCCGACTCTGCGACGGGCGTCAGCGCGAAGACGTTGTCGGTGTTGTTCGTCGCCGCCAGCGCCGGTGGTTGCGGACTCTTCGAGGAAGAAGTTCAGGAGTTCGTCGCTGATGGAGAGGTGCGATTGCTGTTGGAATTGCTGCAGGGACATCAGGCGGAGGAGGGTCTCGAGGAGGGAGAGGGAGGTGCGGATGTTGTTGAAGTGGGGGTTAGAGACAGTGGCTGTGGCGATGTTTTGGGACGAGGAGGAAGGGCGGGAGATGCCTTGGTGTTGGGGACTTGATTTGCCGCTGCTGGGGTCGAGGGAGAGTTTGGCCATCATTTCCGGGTCGAGAGTGGTTGATGACTCTTTGGCGGGCGTTCTGGGAGTTTCATCATCGGAATCGTCGTCGGATGATTCGTCTTCGTTGTATACTTCGAAGGCGATCCATTCGGGGTCGAGATCCTTGGGTAATCGCCATTCATCGGGCACAGAGGTCTCGTGGAAGCTGGCGTTCATGGAAGGGGCAGATGCTCCATTTAATTGGGCGTCTAGTTGCGCTTGATCCTCATCTCCTTCTTCGGTATCGGAGTCATCAGAAGGAGCGCCGTAGGCGGTCTCTTCGCGCTCCACCATCCGTCGGGGAGGGATAGCGTTGACGTCCCGCTTTAGAAGTAACACGGGGTTGTTCGTTTCGCCTTCCGTGCTGATATTCAAGATCTTTCCCGTGTCGGCATAGAATATCTTGGATATTTGGTGGATAGGAAGTATTTCTCGGATTCCGGCAGACCTGACGTCTTCGTAGCTCTCTGGGCGAGGCTCGTCGTCATCGAACGTGTGAACTCGTCCGTCGTCCAAGTCTTCGATTATGAGTAACTGATAGGCGAATTCATCTATCCTGGCCTCGGCGGGGTATAGAAGACGTTTTTGTGCGGCCTGTGGGTTGGTGGCCAAATCCATAGGCACTCGTCGGAGCTTTAGGCGGGCTTTGTGCATGACCTCCTTCCAGGTCGTTTCACGAATCCCCTCTTCGTCATGAGGTCGAAGATGACTCGCATAAAGCATGTACACTGACAGCGTGAAGGTGGGCCCGATCTGAACGGCCTGTGAAGGAGACATTGAATACTGCGTGTCACCAGCAGTAAGGAAAGTGCTAGCTTGTAGTAGTCTGGACGGCGAGATGGATGATGGTAGGTTAGTTGATAGCTTAGCCCCAGAGGTGGTGATAGCCAAATTCATGAGCGGCACTGCATCCTCAATTCGTATCAGGAGCTTCCTGATATCCTTGATAATGAGTTTGATCTCCGCATCGTTTTGGGTGCGACTGGCGGTAGACTTGCTTCCTTTTCGGAATTGTTCTTCGGATGCAGCCGCATTCGCCAACCGTTGGCCAAGGGCTTGGATGTCCCATCGTAAAGCTTTGGTAAGTGATACAGCAGATTCTAGAGATGTGTTTCCACGCGCAGCACTAGAGAAGGTCAGCAAGCCTTGTTTTGATGATATCATCATATCCGATTACTTACATCAGCTCGATCATGTCAATGGCGGGGGAAATGACCTTTCATTCGGGTTAGCACACTAGGGATATTCAACTGCAAACAATTCAAAAGCAAGCAGCATAAGACCTACCTGAATCTTGCTCTCAAGTCGCTGCTGCAAAGTGTGCAACTCATCTTTCTCCTCGCTGTTGTCCACATTCTATTCGACATAGCGCAATGGTCAGCCGTGCTTGCTCCAAACTCCGCCAGAGATACAGGGAATACAACAAGGGTCTGCCTACTTTCAATAAACGTCCAGATTGGCTGATAGCATACTTGGCGGTTATAGCAATTCCCGAGCTAGATACGTTCAGCTTAAAATCCTGACTGTCACATACTGGAATTGGTGGGGTTTACCGGATGGCATAATTCGTTGCCTGCTGGGTCAGCTATACCGGCCGTTAGTGACATCATTCTTTGACGTTGGGAGACAGGACTCATACTCGGGCTAGAAAGGCATCCATCTTGCCACCGCAATCAATACCAGGATGTTTGGGCAGCAGAAGAGCAGAGAATCCGAGTGCGCTGAAACAGTGCGGTGCCTGATTCTTATCGATAACGTGCCACCCACCGTGGCTGGCGGACGCAGAAGAAGCCCATGTGCAAGAGACGATGAAATTGAGTCCCGGAGGTTGTGCACTCGCCGCAATCCAAGCTGGAAGAGACAAAGAGAAAGAGAGATGGACTGTTTACTGCGGTCTTGTAGATACAGGACAGACAAAAAGCGCCGCTGCATGACAAGCAAACAGTGCAAAAAGGAGGGTCAGCCGCCCGAGACGCCACAGACGCCCAAGGCGGGGAAGGGCTGAGTCAGCGGGTGCAAAATCAGGCGCAAAGAATCGAAGCGCCCCTCCGCCGCCGACTTTCAAGCCGGCCTGTTCTTTATTTCTCTCCTCCTTCCCTCTTTCTTTCCTTTGGCCCTCGTCCTTCATTAGTTGTCCTGCTTTGTTCGCGTGCTTACGTGTTTCTCTTACAACATGGCCGACCAGACTCCTGACTCGTGGGAGGATGAACTCTCCAGACAGACCGAGGGCGTTAACCTGAATCAGAACGCACAATATCGCCCTCAGGCTCAAGCGCCTACCTTCCACCCCGGCGCTGCTTCCTTCCAGCCTGGTGCCGCTACTTTCGTCCCCGGCCAGTCCTACGGCGGGTATGGCGGTTTCCCCCAATACGGCCAGCAGTACGGCCAGCAGGCCTACGGCCAATACCAGGGCTATGACCAGCAGCAAGCCTATGGCCAATACGGTGCCTACGGTCAGCAACCCGGTGCTTACCAGCAATACCCCGGTTTCAATCAACAGCAGCCTCGCCAGGCTGCCCCGGCCGCTCCTCAGCCAAAGGCCCCCGTGAACACCCAGCCTGCCCAACCCGCTCCCAAGCCCGCCGCCGCCCCCGCCGCTGCTCCTCCCAAGGCCAAGGTTCTGTCGATCGGCGGTGCCAGCAACTCCCCCGCCGCCCCCAAGACGAAGGTCCTCTCGATCGGCACCCCCTCTCCCGCTCCTTCCTCGAACACTCCTTCCTCGGGGGCCGCTACTCCTGGTGACTCCAAGGGTCCCCAGGCTGCCACCGCTGCCAACAAGGTGACCGCCAGCAAGGCGATTGATAAGACCGAGAAGAAGGCGGAACAGAAGGCTAGCGGCAAATCCTCTCCCACGCCTTCGGGCCGCTCCAGCCCTGGTCGGTCGAGCCCGTCGCGAGGTGAGGCCGCAAAGGCTGCCCGTGACGCGAACGCCGTCGCGATGGAGCAGCAGGCCGATGTGGATGAGTCGACATTGAAGGAAATCTACGGTGAAAAGAAGGAGCACGTGAACATTGTGTTCATCGGACACGTTGACGCTGGAAAGTCTACTCTGGGTGGATCCATCCTCTATGTCACCGGTATGGTGGATGAGCGCACTCTGGACAAGTACAAGAGGGATGCCAAGGAAGCCGGTCGTGAGACCTGGTACCTTTCATGGGCCCTGGATCTTACCAATGAGGAACGTGCTAAGGGCAAGACTGTCGAGGTTGGTCGTGCTCACTTCAAGGTCGACGTGCCGTCGCCCGAGGGAACCATTGAGCGACACTTCTCTATTCTGGACGCCCCCGGACACAAGTCTTACGTTCACCACATGATCGGTGGTGCTTCGCAGGCCGACGTCGGTGTGCTTGTTATCTCGGCCCGTAAGGGTGAGTACGAGACGGGTTTCGAAAAGGGTGGTCAGACCCGTGAGCACGCTTTGCTTGCGCGCAACACGGGTGTTAAGAAGCTGGTCGTTGCTGTCAACAAGATGGACGACCCTACTGTCGAGTGGAGCAAGGCTCGTTTCGATGAGTGCACAGTCAAGGTGTCTAAATTCCTTGAGGCTCTCGGCTACAAGAAGGACGACCTTACCTTCATGCCCATCTCCGCCCAGCGAACCCTCGGTATCAAGGACCGTGTTTCGAAGGAGCTCGCGCCCTGGTACGATGGCCCCTCGCTCATCGAATACTTGACAAACATGAAGATGCCCGAGCGTAAGATCAACGCACCCTTCATGATGCCGATCACGGCGAAGTACCGTGATATGGGTACCATGGTTGAGGGCCGTATCGAGTCCGGTGTTATCAAGAAGAACGCGAACTGTATCATGATGCCGAACCGCACGGAGATCCAGATTGCGGCTCTTTACGGCGAAACCGAGGATGAGATTCCTACCGCTACCTGCGGTGACCAGGTCCGCATGCGTCTCCGTGGCGTGGAAGAAGAAGATATCCTTCCTGGATTCGTGCTGTGCTCGCCTAAGCGTCTGGTGCACACCGTGTCCAGCTTTGAAGCCAAGATCCGTATCCTTGACCTGAAGAGTATCCTTACTGCCGGTTACAACTGCGTTATGCACGTGCACTCTGCCGTTGAAGAGGTTACCTTCGGCGCCCTCCTGCACAAGTGTGAGCCCGGTACCGGACGTAAGAGCAAGCGTCCCCCTCCGTTCGCCAGCAAGGGTCAGACCATCATTGCTCGTCTCGATGTCACCAGTACCGCTGGTGCCGTGTGTGTTGAGCGCTTTGAGGACTACAACCAGATGGGACGATTCACTCTTCGTGACCAGGTAAGCCTACTCTTCCGGGTGTTTTCTTTTAGAATTACGAGGCTAACACATAACTATTAGGGACAAACCGTTGCCATCGGTATGATCACCAAGCTCATTATGAACGAAGACAAATAAACGTGCATGAATTAGAAAGCCCTTTGGCATTTTCGATACCATGAATCTACTATTTTGAACCATCTTGCGGAGAGTTCACGTTGCAGCTGTGGACAGGAAGGGATGGGTGGGCAGAGGCTGGGTAATGATATCTCAGGACTAACCCTGCCTTGGTTGACGATGATGAATTCTCTTTTGTTTTACGCTTGCTTTTCGTATAGATATCAGTCCTTGCTTTCGCTTACTTCTGCTTGGAATTAAAAAGTGATTGGTTCTCACATTCAAAAGCCTTACACTGCCTGTATAGATTAAACTGGCATATAAACTCCTGGTACATCAATCATGAGGTTCGTAAGGAACAGAAGTCTTAAAGAATAGGTATCCATACATGCAGTCAAATGTCTATACCGACTCCTGAGACAGGATCTAAAATCCCAACTTTTTAGCTTCTCCCAGGTTGCCCAAAGCTAGACAGACATGGAAAACAAGGAGAGAAAGAGCGCGCGAGAGAGGGCGAGCAGGTAACAGAACTCAATCACCGCTTCTTCTTCCCAACCACCTTCGTAAACCCATCCTCATCAATCTCCGGCTCGACCCTCTCCCTCGGAGCGCTCACCAACGCCGGCGCATCACCCATATGCTCATCGTCCTCATCGTCATCGTCATCATCATCACTCCCCTGATCCTCCCCCCTCTTAAACCCCTCCACCGCATTCGCCGCACCCCCCTTCGCCGCGATCTTCTGCTGCCACGTCTCCCACATCTCCTGAATGACGCCGAACTCGCCGCGCGCCGTCTGGTCCCTGAACTCTATGATCTGGGCCGCCACGGGAACCGCGCTCTCGTCGTCCACCACCACGTCGAACTCGTCGTTCATCACCTGCTCCAGCACGTCTTCGAGATCTAGGGCGTCCGTCTCGGGTCGCTCCGCGAGCATCTCGGAGATCGCGCCGCAGAGCCAGTCTCGCTTGTCGGCTGATGTCGGACCGCCCCAGTTCGATTGGACTGCGAGGTTCATGGCTGGCCAGTTGTTTACGGCCAATGTGATGCCCATGTCGAGGTAGGTGGATGCGGAGGTGGGTTGAGGGGGTTGTTGGTCGGTCATTTTGGCGGGTTTGTGTTGTTGAATAGATTTAGGTAGGTAGATAGTAGGTGGCTATTGGTGAAGCAAGGTGAAAGTTTCTTGCTTGACTCGCTCGTTCGCTCGGGATGCGTTGGATTGGCGGGGTCAATTCTGATCTCTTTCAGATTCGGTCGGGGTTTTCGTTCCTTTTGTGTGTGGAGGAACCGGTTGAATAGTCTGGATCAATTCGGGGCTTATACGAAGCGCTATCGTAGTAATGATATAGGTTTAAATAAGAAAGGGGAACAAGACCAATTGCGAAGAAGAGGATGCGTGGACCTTGGAGGTTGATTTGATCTGAATTTTTTTTTTTTTAACTCGATGCTCCGAGATCGACTTGCTTATCGATGGGAGATTAGATATGATAAGAGAGGTCATGTGATCTGGTGTCTCAGACGGTCTGGAGGGGGGCTTTCCAGTTCGAGATCTGGAGGAAATTTCTGATTCTTTTCTAAATAGGTTCGGTATATCTAAATGACCCAAGTATGTTTGATATGCGAAAATAAGATAAGTTGCTTAACTCCCATAGTGGTGGCTGGGAGTCCCGCTTTTGTGCTAAGTCTCCAGAAATATATAATGCCCAGAGAAAAAGAATGCCCACTATTCACAAATGCCTCACAAATGCTTCAAACTATATGGTCAAGACAAGGCCCGAAAAACGCCTGGTATATCCAATCTTGTATGCGCCACACAAGAACCGCCTTATGTACAACAACAGAACGAGGGGAGGAAAAAACGGTGGTATTGTAGCAAGAAAGGAAACACCACGAACACCACTAATCTACCCTTGATATAGTTCCCAGAAAAATACAATCAACAGTCGTAGATTACAAGACATAACTCAACAGTTCCTGGGCTCGAATGGCCGTGGCGATGTGCCAAGGCATCGTGCTGCGCTGTACAGCACAGGTCCCCCTGGCGCGGGCCAGGGCGGCCAGATCGCGATACATCCCCAGTGCTTCACGAAGGAGTGATTCGTGAGTTGAAGGGTGTCGTTGTGTGTATATGAGATTTACCGTTAGCGCGTACAAGCCGTCGCCATCGGTGGCGCCCTTGCGACGAAGTAGATACCCACTGATTAAGGCTGGGCGGTACTCGGTGAGGTGCGGGGAGCTGTTGAGGCGATGGGAAAGGATCACACCCCAGGATTCGTCGCAGATATCAGTGAGCAAAGACTCCGATTCAGCTTCTAGTGTGGACTCCGTAGGCGTGGGGGCATTGGCTGCGCTTGGGGGAGTAGGAGCGTTGCCGGTTTGATCAGGGGAGAGAACACTGGGATTTGGCGTGGCGACGGGCGTGGAGCTCGTTTGCGCATTGAAAACGCTCATGGGGATCGGGAGAAATGGAGGTTCAAGGTAGAGATCAGGTGTAGTGTTCACGTTCAAGACCGTCAATTCCGAAGGCACTGTAATAGTCTTGTTGTACTGTTCAACAAAGTTTGACCATGCTATCAAGTCGTCAGCTATGTTAAAGGACTGGCGGTTGCGTCCAAGTATCAACTTACAGTCAACCTCCTCCTGGTCCACAGGTCCAGAGTACACGATTATGAGTCTCCAGCGTGCCGAAATCCGATCCATGATGTCTTTCGTCGCTCCCCAGATCTCGCCTCGTATATCATGAACGGTTCTAGACGCACTACCGCCCCGAAAGCGCAGGTTATATGACATAGTCCGCTGGAGTGATCCGGTATTGTCGGACCAGGCCACGCTGATCCAGCGCTGATCTTGACTCTTGGAGTATGCAAGGTGAAGGCATTTACCTTCCTGGAGGGGCGAGGATTTCTCAGACGCGAGCCGGAAATGAAGAGTCCTTGGAAGAGGTTCAGCCAGTAGCATTGGTGGTGCACTGTTAACGAGACTGGGCTGTGCACTCTTCGGTGGACATCGGCTGTATACTTCTAAGGCTAAGCTCAGATACTCAACTTGTGGAGGAACAACCAAGGATTCGTTCGACACGATAAAGTCCATGGGAATAATCTGTAGCACCACTTCGTTAAGTAAACGGCTTGGCTGTTTCTCGGGATCAGTTGCATATTTCTGGAAGAGGCTCCAAAAAGCAGAGCACAGGTCCACCATTGCCGCAGCATGGGTAAATGGATTTATCATATAGATGACAATATTATCTTTGCTGGGCGGAACATTTTGAAGAGAAGCCCCTGCACGTGGTTAGTACCCTGACTGTAGGAATAAAAAGATATTCGGGCAGTGCGACGTACCAAGTGATTCACATATCCCTTTCAGAGATTGCATCGCGGAGAAGTAATCCGATGATAAGTTCCATGAACCTAACGTCTGATCCAACCCATTAGGTTTGTCTCCTCGTGCATGTACACCGAGGTTACAACTCGAGTAAAGTAAGCTGATCCGCTCTAAAAATGCATCGGCTGCCTCTGTCATACTTGGCGGACAAATGCAATAGGCCGCAATGTCCTTGGAGCCAAAAGCAGGTTCTAAACCAAAGGTTTCCCAGAATGTGATCGCAGGAGGCAGAGTTTCTAGGAATTCCTTGCCTCGGCGGACGCGCACATGAGGTGGATGTAGCTTTGATATTGAGCCTTTCCCTGTCTCCTTACGTTGCGACGCCTGGCGAGAAATGGCACTATTGGCGGGCGGAGGTGATTGGTTATTATCCTGCAAAGAAATGAAACCGTTCAAATCAAGTCTTTCCATGCATTCCATAAATTCGGTATCCTCAAGAAAAGACCGGATTGAATATGCCCCGTCACCAATATCGGAAATCCCGGAGCGTCCATCAAGTTTATGATCTAATGACGATTGCGTAACTTGGTCCGCTAGTATTTGGGCTACCTGGACCTGTAGATCTCTGCGAGCGAGCACGGGGAAGGTTTGGTTTTCGGGGAACGAGAAATAGCCCGTCATCGACCAGTCGGAAAATGTGGACAGGAAGTTCCCGAGGAAAATTGACTGCCCGGCTTTGGGAACGGACGACTCTTGATCAGGTTCTCCTACTGACTTTTCCTGAACAGGCAAGCTACCGGAATTAGAGCGAGCGCGCTTTCTTTTGCGCGTTGAAAATGTAGCGGGCGAAGCGCCCCTTTCTGAGGCAGCACTGTCGCTTTCATCGCTTGAATCACTATCGGAGTCGGAACCTTGCCATAGCTCCAGGACTTGGTCACTCGGCGGGCTGGCTTGGCCATCGTAAGATTTGGAAATGCCCTCCGCCGTCGAGACCTTTCTGTGACGCCGAGGAATGCCAATGGTCGGGATGTCACTCTGAAAGTTAGTAGGTTCCCTGGTGGCTCCTGCATCTGTGGCTGTAAACCAGAATTTTCCAGCAGCGCCATATTTCTGATCCCAATTGGACATGTTCTGTTTGAAAGCGACGGGATTGTAATAGCTCTGCCCTTGCACATGCCTGGGAGGAGACTGGCTTTCCCCATTCGGTCCAGGTAGCAGTATTTTCTTGATTTCCACTGGACTGAGAGGAGGACTGATTGTTTGGTTATTCTCATCGGATGAGGAGGGGCCCGCCAAATTGTCGTTCACTGGAGTCTGTTGAAGCGTTGGTTTTGGTGTCTCTTGTAACGGACTCATTTCAGGGATGGATGCATGCTCAATCGGTGTTTTCTGCGGTGCAGAGACGTCTGGTATTATGGTTTCAACATGATCAAGCTGCATTTCTGGCTCGCTCGGTTCTATCACATCGGGCATGTCTTGAACAACATGCTGTGCACTACCGGCCATACGATCAAATCCAGGGTCGTCAAAAAAGCTAAAGTCGACATCGGTGATCCCTTTGGCTCCGAAATCTTTCTCATTCATGTCCCCAAACAGATCGTCATCGTCGTTCGTGTCATATAATCCCGATCCAACCATGAGCCCAGCGGTTGGGCCGAACCCTGTTGACACATCCACATCAGAACGATCTTTCATAGATAAGTTGTCTTGAGCTTTTTGCTTGTTTTGGAGATGTGAGAAAGGTAGTCCGAGATCTGCGTCGTCAACAAGGCCGTCCGAGGGGGCAGCGGCGTGCAATCCCATTCCGACCGCCCCATCCGGCGGCGTCGGGTATACAAGACTCGCAGTTTGAACCTCGGGATACTGGGAGGCACGAGAAAGGCTTTCGAGCGCCTCCGGGGGATCAGTGAGCCCCGCCAGAGGAATTTCTTGGTCTTTGGGCTGTTGTTGATGATTAGAAGCTGGTTTAGGAGTCGCGTTGTCATCTTCGGGTATGTCCATCCCACGCCATTTCTGCGCAAAGTCTAGAGGATCCTCCGTCATGAGATGATCGACTTGCCTGGGCTCTGAGATGGTAGACTTTACCCTCCTGAAGCAATATATCGCAGGCCATAAGATCCGCTTCAAAGGAAGCGAGAATGTGTTTTCTTCATTTGGACGCAATGTCTCTCCGGCCAATCTGGAATAGAACGGTTCCCAAACTTCTACTTCAACCCAGACGGTTTCCTCGATCGATTCAACTGCGAGCCCGAAGTTCTTGAGCCATTCCAGAACAGTGAGTTTCCATTGCTTGCGCTGGGCAGTTTCATTACCGTCAAATGCACTGCCGTTGCTGGATGGATATGGAGAGAACGCATCCGTGGAGCCGGGCGTAGTAGTTACGAGTCTGGCAACTGATCCACTAGGTGACAACCAAAGGTCTACACCCGATGGTACGTTTTGGAGGCCAGCGATATCGTCTCCAGGTTGGAGTAGTCGCAGGATACCGGGTTGGGAGATCGTTTGCAAGGTGACGGTTAACTTTCCCGCCGAGGTTAATTGAACCTGCAGCGTAGTGAGGGCGGATGATGAGGAGGGGTCATTGTTGGCGGTCTTGAGGTTTTCGTAACACTCTCTATCCACCATTGTGAAAAGACTACGTGATCCAAGAGGGATGACTTTGTTGCGTCGTATTAACTGGAGATTTAATGCACCAGTAACGGCCGATATGAATGAAGCATAGATAGTCGCCGAGCTGCTATACCCATCCATGCGCCGAGTGGGTGTACCGGCCGCATTTTGGGGGCGTTGCGGGCCAGCTGGAGTCCCACTTGCATTCTGGGGGTCATTTGAAAGGTTCCTGACAATATCCCAGGCGGCAATATTGCCAGACGCGGACACTGAGGCCACGACGTCAGCGCATTTCGCATTCCAAAGCCAATGCATAAGTACCAGCGCGGGGAACGACGTACCTTTCAACGTAGTTGGGCCAACGAGAAGGCGATACTGCTCGTCTTTACCTTCGCGTGAGCAGAGTGGGCCCAGACTCTCAAAATCCGGAGTCGCGGAAAATACCCATAGACCCAGCCGCCTCGGATAGCTCGACACCAAGCAATCTAGATTCCGCAGTCGAAGTTCGAGATCCTTTAGGCGGCTGAGATGCTTTAGAATAGTGTAACCATTGGCAGGCGCTTCGCCTGGCTGGTTTGTGATACTGGGCTCTTCCGTATATATCCTCCAGTATATGTTGGAGAATCCATCCTGGGATGCCACATTAGAGATTACCGCGGAGATGCGACGGCGAATTTACGTACAATAACGCGTATGTTTGTGATGGACCCTCCGGGAAAGTCCATGATTTAATTACCTCTGGACGCCAGAGAAGAGGGGACAGTTCTTAACAATAGCGAGGGCAGACTTAAATTCTGAGAGCGAATTCATTTCCAGGAATGTCTGGAGAGGCAACCATATCCCATACCCATATAACCCAAGGAACTTATCGAGGTCAGCAGATTGGTCAGCTTTTCGACGTCATCGCGACCGCCGAGATCGGGTAGCGCGGGAGTACCGGAAGAAAGATATAAGACAGATAGGAAAGCGAAGCGATCAAGGCCGCTCGGGAGGGAGAAATGGCCAGGAGGATGGCGATAACATGTCCGAGGGAATGTTGTTGCATCGCAGACCTTCGAAACCCAAACGGAGGTTGGCTCGGCCCGCGTCGCCCAATCAGCGCCGGGTCACGCACACCGGGTCACGTGCCCTTCCCTATCGATAACTTTTTTTTTTCCTTAGCATTTTCTTTTCTTTTCGGTCTTGTTGATCGCGACTCCAGGAAAGTGCACCAGCGCCGCCATGAAGCTTTCCAACCAGTCCGAGGTGCCGGTCTACACCATCTCCGGCTCGAATACGGCTCGTCCACTTCCAGAATGGCTTGCCAGACGACGCAAGCGCAGTTTGAAAAATGATCCGGAGTATGCGAATCGAGTCGAGCTACTCCAAGATTTCGAGTTCGAAGAAGCTAGCCAATGTATTCGGGTCAGTGAGGATGGCGAATGGGTCATGAGCACGGGTGAGTCCTTCTAACTGCCTGCGTTGTCTTTAACTTGAAATTTGGGGTTCTTTGCGACTGACCAAATTCGTGCAATCCAGGAACCTATAAACCTCAAATTCACACCCATCATCTCCCGCAGCTGTCGCTTTCATGGGCTCGTCATACGGATGCCCTGAACACAACCTTTATTCTCCTCTCGTCCGACTATTCGAAATCCCTTCACTTACAATCCGACCGTTCCCTTCAGTTCCATACACCCTCCGGCTGCCATTACACCACAAGACTTCCCCGCTACGGTCGTGATCTGATCTACGACAGATTTTCCACAGATGCGCTGGTCCCCTCTGTCGGCGTGAACCAGGATGGAATGGGTGAGGTGTTTCGACTGAACCTCGAGATGGGTCGTTACATGCGCAGCTTCGAAGTCGATGTCGGTGGTGACGATTTCACCTCAGCCGGTGGAGGAGCGTTGCAGGGTGGTATCAACACCGGAGCGGTCAACACGGGAGCCATCGCCGAGGACAGTCACGGTCTTTTGGCCTTCGGTACCACGCTAGGAACCGTGGAGCTATGGGACCCCAGAGCCAAGGGCAGAGCGGGCATTCTACTCCCACCCACACAATCAGCACCCGACGATCTGCGGTCAGAGATTACGGCACTAGAGTTCCATCGCTCGGGGTTGACTCTCGGAACTGGCTCTTCCAACGGTCTCATTCACCTGTACGATCTTCGATCCCCGGTTCCTCTTCTTAAGAAGGATCAAGGGTACGGCTTCCCCATCCACACGCTCAAGTTCCTTCAGCCATCGACATCCACCCGTGAGCAGACTATGGAACCCAAGATCCTCTCGGCGGACAAGAAGATCATCAAGCTTTGGGATCCTCGGGATGGCACTCCTTGGACGTCTGTGGAACCTGCTGTTGACATCAACTCCGTCGCCTGGTGCAAGGACAGCGGAATGCTCTTGACTGCCAACGAAGGTCGGCAGCAGCATGCATTCTTCATCCCCCAACTTGGACCCGCCCCCAGATGGTGCTCGTTCTTGGACAACCTGGTGGAGGAGATGGCCGAGGACCCCAACGATCCCAACTCTTTCAGCACTGGCCAGTCTGGCTCTGTTTACGACAACTACAAGTTCTTGACTGTTCCTCAACTGAAGACCTTGAACCTGGAGCATTTGATTGGCCGGACCAATCTCCTGCGCCCTTACATGCACGGTTACTTTGTGGCTCAGCGCTTGTATGAAGAGGCTCGACTGATCACCAACCCGTACATCTGGGAAGAACAGCGTGCCAAGCGAGTCAAGGAGAGAATCGACCAGGAGCGTGAGAGTAGAATCCGCGGCAAGAAGAAGGCGGCCGTCAAGGTCAACAAGAAACTCGCCGAGAAACTCATGGCCATCGAGGACAAGAACGAGCGTCGCAAGGCACAGCGCGTGCTTAACCGTGGCGGCGACGAAGACATGGTCGATGCCCCTGCAACAACCGACAAGCCCGAGGCCGAACAGAAGGGTCTGCTCGGTGACAGCCGTTTCACCCAGCTGTTCGAGGATGAAGATTTCGCCATCGACGAAACCTCTCGCGAATTCCAGCTTCAAAACCCCAGCACCGTTCCCGACCAGTCCACCAGGAAGGAGCGAGGCCTCACAGCCGTGGAGCAGGAAGCAATTGACGACGTGCCCGGCTCGAGCTCTGACGATGATGACTCAGACTCCGACAATGAGCAAGCACGACCCGTCCAAGAAAAGCCCTCCAACAAGATCTCCACCTCGTCCTACAAGCGCACCAATCGTCCCCAGCCGCGCATGCAGGTTTCCTCCTCCAACGCCGCCAACTCCTCCCGCGATCGTTCTTTCGGTTCTCGGGCGCAGAATATGCGCACTAAGCAAAAGCCTGCGCGCCGTGGCGGCGGCGTGGTCGGCGAGCGAGAAGTGACGTTCGCGCCGCGTGTGGCGTCCAAACGAGCCCCGGAACCACAGTTTGACAAGACCAGTTTCAAGGCGAAGGAGCGACGAAGCGCTTCCGGAAACACGTTCCGAAAGATGTGATTCATCGGGATCTGTGATACGAAAAAGTCTTGTTTCTAAATCGATACCCCTTCATACCTTTTGACGCAAAAGCAAACCCAAAAAACAACAAGGCGTTTAATGAAAAAATCAAACCGAAGAGGGGAAGGATTCCCCAGCCCTTCCTCTCGTCATAACGTATCGTTCCCGAAATCCAGGCCTCCCTGGGACACTTTTTACCTAGAAAGTGTACGGAGTATCTGACTACCTCCGGTCCTGTGAGCATCTATCCTGTATCTTGAGCTAGACTTGGGCTAGCTGAACATGCAACGTCACTGTTACGTGCCGTCTTACTCGTTCAAGATGGTTGGGAAAGCGGTCCCTTCGCCTGGATACGTTGGTGGCGTCGGACATCCTATCCCGAGTCCCCAGAAACAGGGACACTCAGGCCCACCCCTTGAACGGTGAATGGGAAAGGCAAGAGGAGAGGAAAGCTGGATGCTGTGTATAATGTACTGTAAATATGACCTAGAACCAAAAGAATTGCATTACGTCTTGAAGTATTCACAAGTAAACCGGATTCGGCTTATGACTATTTATCGGCCAAAGCACAAGAATAAGAATCCTAAGATGAAAGAAATTTGATCAATATTCTCAAATTGTGTCACTGTTTCTGACTAGATCAAAATAGATAGATAGTAAATAAAAAAAAAGACAAAAGCCCATCCAACGCCTGACCTATTAATAGGGCATCATCGTAAACAAAAACCAAATCATACTCATAGGGATGCTGTAATTACATACCAAAAATGCACAGGTTGAAATGAGAAAATAACAAGAAAAGATAAGCGCAAAAGCATTTCACAAGAATCTAAAACAAAATGGAAGGGCGTCATTTGACTCCAAAACGCAATATGCCCAGGCAAAACGATTTTGAGAACAGCCAAAAAGGAAGCCTCCGTGCCATTTCTATTCTCCAAACCTTGTTTCATCATGGTGTTGCTCGCATGCGCGTATCAGTCTATAAGAACAGCTGCCCTGGCTTAAATGGCACGAGGAAAGAATGAGAAGAAATAAAATCAGAAACGTGGTATAAGATGAAATGCGGCAGTAAGATGAATCCTGTTCAAATGCCGAGAAGTAAAGAAAAGGTAGAGAGAAAGTAAGAATGTGAGAAGGGGCGGAGAGAGATGACTTCGAGAAAAAGCGGCGTATTCACATTCAGGACTCGATCTGGTATCTCCTACCAGACGTGAAATCCTGCTAATCCTCCTCGTCGACCGCTGCCTCGTCTAGATGCGCTTGAACCACTAGTATCCGCGGAATGATTGCCATGTCGGCCCTCTTCGAAACTGCGACGAGAGGCGCCGAAATCGCTCATTGCAAATAGCAAGGGCTCGTCCTCTTCTGCCGCCTGGGGAGGGCCACCACGGCCGGCACTAGGTCGTCGTCCAGCTCCGCGGCGTTCATCCAAGGCGGAAGTTCCGCTATTGCTACCGCTCCCAGTCCCTTCGCGGTCATTGTCACGGTCTGCCGCGTACGGCGGGACCGCGGCTCCACGCGCGAGACTGCTCGAGCCTGAACTGAGAGAATGAGGACCTCCAGAATACCCTCGGCCACGGGAACTGCTAAAGCGGGGCTGGTACACGTGGTGATGGGTCGACGATGTAGAAGTTGCCGCGGCTCCGGAGGGCAATGAGCTTCGGTGCTGAGCCGGGTCACGCGCCGTGGAGGATGGAGGCACTGCTGGGTTATCGTTCAACGGCGTAGTACGCAGCTGCTCCTGCGCTTGGTCCACATTGGGTTCATTGCTCTCGTACTCATGTTGCCGATGAAGTGCACTCAGGCTGAGGTTAGACCTCTCTTCAGCTCCCAAGCTCACGCTTCGCATGTTGAAGGGGAAGATCTCGTCTTCGTCAACAGCGATGGTACGGCGGCGGTGTGCGGCAGAGCTAGAGCGACGGTAGACAGGAGGGAAAACCCTAGGCGACGTGGGAATATCGATGGGGTTCACGGCTGACGGCGTTCGCTCTGTTCCATCGCTGTTCTCGTCGAGGGAGGGGTCATGCTCTCCATGCAAGGGCCGTTGGCCGGTGTTCTCAGGGTCATTATAATCGACGATACTGTTGGAGCTGAGGCGAGACGGGATGGCCGGAGTGTGTGGTGTATGAGGGGATATTGGCTTTCCAGGTGACGACGCCGTGGAGATGGATGTGCCGGCCACCATAGGGGGGACGCCCGAGAGCTGCTTGCTCGAAGAATTGGACGAACGCTGCAAAAGCAAGGACGACGACATTGAGTCTGAAAGAGCTGCATTGGAATCTCTCATGCGCTGGAATCGGGTTAGAGCCGCACTGGTGGCAGTGGTTCGACGCGCAGCAGCGTCAAGGGTGGTGGGCTTTGAAGGGTTTAGCAGATCCTTTTTCAAATCGAGCATTTTTAAGAACTCAGAGATATTCTCATCGTCCGCATGGATGGATTCTGCACTCGTGCCCGTTGCTTCTGCGAGTAGGCCAGAGCCAGGTTGGGCAGATGACGTCGCACTAGCTTTGCCACTGGAGGTATCATCCTCCGCCTTGATTCCACCGGAAGAAGGCCGACCTCGACGGTGGCTGAAAGCGCTACTATATCTCGAGATCGGAGCGGGTCGCGGAGACGCGGAATTGGAGGAGGCAATCGCATTGTCCGGGGCCGCGGTTAGGGATCTGCGCGCCGACGCGGCCATCGATGGGGGAGGCATAGTTCGAGCCTCGGTGCGAGGCCCTGGGCCCGAGCGCGGAGAAACGCCCAAGGGAGGGTCGACTAACGACGGCGAGGCGGATAGCGGCGGGGCTTTGAACGGTTGGAAGGAGATGGACGGTCGTCTGCCAATCCCAGGACTGCCTTCTCCGGCGAGGGCAGCGGCGCGGCCGGCAGGGCTGGCCTTAGCCATGGACAGAGGTCGGCGGGAAGAGGAGCCAGGCGGAGAGGGAGACGACGTTCCTGAATTCCTTGCAGCCCGGAGAGCGGAAATTGGGCTTGCACCGGTCGTAGGTCCGACTTGGTGGAAAGTTGAGAGGCTCCCGTATGCCTGGCTTGGGTCTGGATCGTCGACGGTTCTCTTCTCTAGCGGCACCGACCCAATCTCAGGATTCGGCGCTTTGGTGTGCAGCTCTTTGTTTGGTAACGATGGACGGAAGATCTCATCGTCGGCTCCCATGAAACGTGAGCTGAGTAAAGCTTCTGCATCGTCCACTCTAAAGTCACAACTGGTTCGGTAGGTGACTTGCACTGAAAATGGACCCGCAGGCGATTCTGTGACTCCGAAACTATACGTCTCGACCACCTTGTTGTTTCCTTCAAAGAGCGGGATAGTCAGGTGATCCGGCTTGGGGGTTTCTTGAGGGGTTTGTCCGCTGAGGACTCTATATTTGATGCGTAGAGCCGGGTTGGCCCGCAGCCGCCCATTGCGTTTGGCAAACTTCCAAGCGGGCAGGAATTTCGAATAGGCGAATAAGGATCTGAAGAGCACGATGCTCTTTTTGTATATCGTCGGCAAAATAGAAGCAAGATCAGTTGGGAGCCGGTTGGACGTATCTCCCAACTCAACTCTCCATCGTTCCAAAATGACATCATCGGATTTGGAAGATGGAGGGCGAACGGGCTGTGCCTCTCGTGACGTTGCGAGAGATTCGAGCACGTCCCATCGCTTCCCATTCTCATCTAATGCCACGAGACTCTGGTTATTTGTGAGTCCTGCCGTGTCTAGGTAGGTTTCGATGATTAAAGGAGGGGGCCGATTCTCGGTCGCATCACATATCCTCCACGTCCGCAACTGCTCTCGCAGAGCGTCCGTATCCTCCATCTCGACATTGAACTACAGAAGCAACATCGGTGTCAGTATTCTGCAGAGTATGTTGGAAGAGAAGAGGCGTTCTGAGTGGGTGGACAAGCATGCCGCCCAGGACGTAGCCAGCCTCGGGATATGGGGGTACGTACCCAGCGGTTCACTTTCGGGGCGTCGGAGCCCTTGACAAACGACGGCGGGAGTTCGACTCGCGAGTGTAATATGATCAAAGCGGCTTTCGTGTGATAATTCTGCCCGGGGAAAGAAGGAAGAGGGTTGTTAGCAGACGGCTTATCCATGGGTCCAAGTCCAGGGTCATACCGAGATGATCTGATTGAGCTTTGCCAGCGCCTCCTTTCCAGGCGGCCTACTCTGCGACTGCTCCGAGGCAGGCTCCGTCTCAATGCCCAGGCCTCTGCTATGTTGTATGCGGACATCGGCTGTGGGGGAGTTCGGGCGGAAATCGGGGTCTCTGCGATCGGCAGAACGAGATAAGCTCGACCTGCTCGAGGCAGGCGCTTGCGGCGCCGGCGACCGTGGATGTTGATGCATGGTCGATCTGTAGAAAGGACCAGTGAGGAAGAAATGTAAGAGAGTCCCTTGTAAGAAGTGTGGTGGTGACGACACCAAGGCCGGGCTAGCACGCAACGGATCTCTCGATCAGGAAGGAAACGGAGAAGCGACGAATGCGCTGCCGCGGTCCATGCTAACGAACCCAAAAGAAAAGCGTGGAGACGGGCGATAAGGCAACAGAGGGACAGATGGGGTTATCTAGGGTGCTAGATAACAGGCATACACAGGAAGACTGAAGGTAGACGCCAAAGAGCTCAGGCAACAGGGCGTTGGAGCATTCGGAGAGCATGCGGTCTAGACAACCTTGCGAGCTTCTCCGCATTAACGACTAGGCGGGAACCAGTCGTCTCTGGGGGGGATGGCGTCCTCACAGTGTGAGAGGAGGCAGAATTTAGGGAATCATGATACCAATCAATCATGTAGGATTCAAGAGAGAAGAAAATAAATAAGAGGGGAGAGGAGAGAAGAGGAAGAGGAAGAAAGAAAGAAAGAACGAAAGAGAAGGGGAGGATGAAACAGGAGGGAAGAGATGGAAGAGAGAGCGGTTACGGGGGCAAGCAGGTCTGTGACGCACACCCGGTGACTCGATGGTTCGTGTGCAAGCGGTCAGTCAGTCAGCCTGACCAGAGGTGCCACCGATCGGTCCAGAAAAAATATTAAAAAATAATTTAATATTATAGGAAAGTACTAAGTAAATTCATACTAAAGATGGAATTCAGTCACCACCAGTAAGGGATATCTACTGTGAGTCTTCCAAGGTTGTATACTACAGTCGACTAATCGGGGTCGTCAAAGGCGGTAAAGGAAAGGCGCGGCACCTGCAGTAGTTCTGGTATCGTTCCGTATTTACCGCCTCTAGTTCAGGTACCTCTGAAAGCCTTTCGATCTGGTAGGAATTATTGTGAATTCGAGTCACGTCTGAACTCTGAAAGTCCACCTGCCTGGATGACGTATCGTCACGTTATCGTGCCCTTATATAGTTCATTCCTGACAACTGGCACGGGGTCTGGTCTTACTTCCATCCTGTACTCCGTACGGTACAGGGGATTTCCAACTGACTCATTATTCTTAGTTCTTACTCCGTACTTGATAGCTCTCAAAAAAAAAAAAAAAAAAAAAAAAAAAAAAAAGAAAAAGAAAAAGAAGAAAAGAAAAGTTACCGCTTGCGCCAGGGCGATCAATCCACCCGCATGATAACCTTTGTTACCCGCCGTTTTCCTCTTTCTCCCTTTCTCTTTCTTTCTTTTTCGTTTCCGGCCTTCAACGGATTCCCGTTTAGGCTCTCCCTGGTGACGGAACAATAATAACTAATCTAGGAGATTTATCTAACCGTCAAATTAGACACAACGTGTGCCAGTGTCAAACCCCCTTGAAATGGGGGGAGACCCATGGGCCATCGCCCAAGGTGCCGGGACTGGTCGCCTCACTGTAACGAAGTGGAGAATAATGGATAACTACCTATACAGTAAACTACGTTTCCAGGTCAATCCGGTCCCATCAAAGTTACACGGAGTGCCGGCGTGCAGCATACCAACTCTGCGATCTGGGAGTGGTCAAACCCGGGCAACAAGCGCCCATGCGCTGCACCGCGATGGCAACGCCTGCATGAGACCTCCTAGTACCAGGTACTTCCCTGGGTCGCGGAAGATAACAACGCAGTAAGCGACCTTGCAGAAGGGCGCTTCAGGGACTTCCCCGTCTAGGCTTCTGACTCCTTGACCTCCTTTGCTCCACCGCCAACCTCCAATCCCCGGCCGTCTCCCTCTTTTGCGGCGCTCTTTGGCCTGGGATGGCCGTTCTGGAGTCCCTCTACGTCGTGGGAGTAGAGGACTCGGTAGGGGCTACAATCGAGCCCATCTTAATAACGCCAGTGACTTGGACACGCTTGTTTGGCGCCAGCTGGTAATGCAGCTCAGCTGTACTCCGTACCTTTGTCTTCTTCTGCTGCTTCCTCCTTTCCGGGGTTTGGCAGGTGAGGGTTTTGTTTGCTTGTGGAGATCTAGCCTGTCTTTCCATTGCTTTTTCCTTAATTTATTTCACTTCTTTTCTTGTCTTTTTTACATGAAGTCTTCTCTATTCTTTTCTCTCTTTCTCGCGACTCCTTGTTGAACTATTATTTATTTCCATGATTTTCTGGTAGTTTTTTTTGGCTTCTTTCCTAATCCTATCTTGTGCATTGCCTTTGTCGTCACCTGCCTGGTCCAATTCTTCGCAATGGAAACCGACCGTAGAGCGTAGTGGACGATCGCCAGAGTCCAGAACTCTCTCTCCACTGCTGCAGAGGGTGCACTACTCCGTAGAAAAACTCTCACCCCTTCAACTCCCCGTCAATCAGAGAATCAGATCATAATAGCCGTGATGACGCTACCTGTACTTCCACTTGTCACTGCCAAATCATTCGACCCACTCGCATCCCCCAGTGAGATAAATAAATAGGCTCTGCTATACTCCGTCGCCATCACGGGACCGGACCGGATCATGTGATGCCTGGATCTCCTTCCAGCAGACTTAAATCTAAATGTGTAAATCCTGACGAAACTCCCAGAGGAACAGACCTTATCCCCGATGAATGCGGTAGGAATCTTCTTCTCTTGAAAGGGTTCAAGACACGATTAGAATGACCGACAGCCAACGTCCGCCTCTCGTCTGGGGGCATGGAGGGGTGTATCGCCACCGATTGGCTGCCGACCGACCGAGCAGATCCACGGGCATCGAAGTCCTTCGGCAGTCATTTCTTACTCTTCCTCTCTCATCCAAGGAATGACCGAAATAACGTCCTGCCGTATTTAGAGAACTCCCCTCCCTTCTCGTCCCCCGTCGTCCGTGTCGAACTTGTCGCCTGTTACGCGCGAACCGTCCGCTTCTGTCGAACCCTGCTCTTCCCCGCCATTCGAGATCGAATTTCGGAGATAATAATCGTGCTCCGTTACTAGTCACATAACTACTAACACATCATCGCCACCACACATTCGAATTCACAACACGTTTCGTTCCTTCCCTTCGCGCGTCCTCTCCTATCCGTCATTTCAACTCCAGCCGTTCCAGTTTTCGAAATTCGTCCTACGGTACTGGCGACGCGTTGATCACCGCCACTTCCGTTTCTCATCCTCCCCCACTCGGTCAGAATACTCTTATCTCCCGCAGTACTCTTACCAGTGCGCCGTGAACCCTTGGCGGTTACCGCGACGCTCCGGTCCTGGGTTGATAAGAGATTCTGACACCCGATAATCCTGGGCACATGAGTAGCAAGCTTTGGGAATTTTTCCTGCGCGATGACGTCGAGAACTTCCAGCGGTTCCTGGCGACCGCCAGCTACACGTCGGGTGGCCAGCGGACTCCGGGCTCTGGAGGTCCTTCTTCGTTCAAGATCGGGGCATCCGGAGCTTTAACGCCCTCCTCCCCCGGCGTCTCTTCTAGAGCCAAGAAGCTCACCGGCACCTCTCCCGGTACTCCCGTCCCCGAGCGAGGCGGTATTTCGCGACCGGGCAAGACTTTGTCTCGCGAAGAATTGAATGCACGGGACCAGCATGGCAGGACTCTCCTCCACCATGTGGTGTCATCTACCAAACCCTCGAGTGCTCAATTTGCTACGTCGCTTCTCGAGGTGCCGTTTCTGGATATATATGCACAGGACTGGGAGAGTGGGTGGACTGCACTGCACCGGGCCTTGTATGCGGGGAACGTCACGATCGCCCAGGCCTTGATAGTCCGGGACATGCGTGATGCAACGGATTTCAGTAAGCAGGGAACCTCGGCTCATGCTGGAGGCTTGATTAAGATCAAGGATCGGGAGGGGAATAGCCCTTTCGACGTTTATGGTGCCACGATCACCTCCCGCGACATCAAGCAGACCGTGTCGTCCCCCGCCCAGGACTCGATTTTTGCGGACGTGGATCATAGCGATATGGCATCTACTACCTCTTCCGAGGCAGACGATTCGGACGACGACGGCCACATCGGAAGAGGTCTTTTGAAGCCACGGATAAATTTACTCGCTGATGAAGTGTTCACATTTGGGAGCAACAAGAACTTGAATCTTGGCGTGGGTGACCAGGATGATCGTCAATTTCCAGAGAGAATCGCCTTGACACGCCCGCAGCATCTCTTGCAGCGATTCTATCGGGATTACCAAAAGAGAAAACTGGGTGGCTATGGTTCCGATCTGCACCATGAGCAGAACCACCCCAATGAGCTGCCCGCCTTGATCAAGAACAAGTCCATCAAAATCCAAGATATTGCCATGTCGAAGCTTCATACGGCCATCCTTACAAATGACCCCGAGTCCAACCTTTTCTTGTGCGGATTCGGACCGGGAGGACGATTAGGCACTGGTGACGAGTCGACCAGATTTGGTTTTGTCTGCATTGAGACAGGGGGGCTAGCCAATCGAAAAATTGTGGCCGTGGCCCTTGGACAAGATCACACTCTTGCCATCACCGATCATGGGGGTGTCTTCAGTTGGGGAAGTAACAAATGGGGCCAACTAGGGTACGGTCTTCCCAGGACCAACAACAAAGACGATGTGCCGATTCAGGACTCCCCTCGCCAGATATTCAACCCCTTTAAGAAGGAACTCATACTCGGCGCAGCTGCGTCATCGATTCATTCAGTTGTCTTTAGCCATGCGGGTCTTTACACATTCGGTAAAAATGAGGGCCAACTAGGACTCGTCGATTCGGATGCCCGATCGCTCGAATTTCAAACAACTCCTCGGCGTGTTGGTGCCTCGCTGTTCAGCTCTGTCATCCAAAGCGTGTCTGCTACCGACCAAGCTACAGCTGTTCTCCTCCAAAATCATGAAGTCTGGGTGTTCTCTCAATATGGCTATTCAAGGCTCTCTTTCCCCTTGGATGTCAGCTCCAGTTTTATCAGGAATAGCTTCATGACCACTCGTTACGATGCGTCTGTTAACCACATCACCAAAATCAGATCCGGTGGCAATACTATCTGTGCCTTGTCTAGCTCCGGTGATGTCTTCACAGTCCAAGTTAACAGAACGGAGAACCCACCAGCCTTAACATCCACAACGAATCCAGCCAAGATTCGTAACTCGCTGTCGCAGCCATCTCGCGTATGGTCTGTTAAAAAGTCCCATATGGCCGTCAGGGATGTCGATGTCGGACAGGATGGTTCCATAATAATTTGCACAGCCAACGGCTCGGCATGGCGAAAAGAAAAGCGTCGAAAAGCGAAAGGCGGATCGTCAAAAGAATACAAATTTGCTCGTATACCTGGGCTCTCGCGAGTCGTGGGAGTGTGCAGCAATGCGTTTGGTGCCTATGTAGTTGCCCAGCGTGACTGTGACGTGACCAGGGAACAAATCAACATTGATCCAACCACCTTGTCGAATGACTTATTGCCGATATCTCCGTTTAGCTCAATTATATTGGCAACCGACGGAGCCGACTTGGGTAGCGGTGAGGGCGGTCTATTGGGCTTGGAACCGGCCATGTCTATGAAGACTGCCCTTATGTCGGCATCGGATATTGAGGCCTTCACTCGACCACTCCAACATGAGAACTCGCCGGGGATAGTTTGGCTCAAAACTACTGTTTCGGACGTGCAAATACCTGTGCATGAGTTTGTCCTATCGGGGCGCAGTCACGTCTGGAGGAAAGCATTCCATGAGTTTCGGCTTGCTGGTTTCTTTTCCGTGCCGGACGTTCTAGACATACAGCACGACAATGGGCGTACCCAGATTCAGTTGCACGGCATTGACATTCTGACAGTCTTGAATGTCGTGTTTTTCTCATACACAGATACCGCGTTAGATATTTGGCAACAAGCTCGACACACACCGGGAAGCGCCTCCAGGTATCGCCAAGTCCGGAATGAGGTGATGCGCACCGCTACATTCTTAGATCTACCAGCATTGGAGCGAGCTGCTCGGCTTATGATTGAACCTACTAAATCCTTGAGAAGCGACATGGCACTTGCGATACTCGACCCAACATTTTTTGATAGTGGCGACGTGATCGTCGAGCTGAAAGGCGGCTCCCTGAAAGTTCATAGCCAGATCATCTGCCAAAGGTGTCCCTTTTTCGACGCTTTGTTCAACGGCCGCTCCGGTGGTAGATGGCTGGCATCTCGCCGTGAAAACGCGACAGGACACATTAACGTCGACCTGAAACATATCGAACGGCCCATCTTCGAGTTTGTTCTTCGATACATGTATGCTGATACCGAGGAGGAATTGTTTGATGAAGTGCGGACGAGAGATCTAGAGGACTTTATCGACCTTGTACTCGATGTTGCCTTTGTGGCTAATGAATTGATGATCGATCGACTGGCCCAAATATGCCAGAAGGTGCTTGGCAGATTCGGTAAGTTGTCAAACGTCCTCAGTACCACTTCGAACATATTGCTAAGATAAACCAGTGAACACGCGCAACGTGTGTCATTTCCTCAATTCCGTTGCCCCCTGCTGTGTCAACGAATTCAAAGATGCCGCATTGGAATATATATGTTTGAACCTGGAGGATCTTCTGGCAAACAGGCAAGTGATGTCTGTTGGGCAATCAATCTAGTAAGTACTAACTAGATGCCTAGGTTTCTGTTGGACCTTGACGAGCATTTGCTTCGTGCACTCGACCATGTCTGTCACGAAAACCAAACCACCAGCTATCCCGTTTCCCGAGGGCGCAACTCAGAGGAGTTCGTTTTCGAAAGGTATCCGGAGCTTGCCTCTGAGATAGAACACGATAGGCGCCAGCGAATTGATGCCATGCGGATCAGGTCTCATATCAATCGAATCGAAGCCCTTGAAGGCAAACTGCGAGCAATGAATATCGAGAAGGCAGCCGAATCACCACTAGCACAAAAGGCTAAACCTCATGAATTTGGAGACAACCTGGCTATTGTCGCCCAGAGTCCAGCTCTCAAACCGAAGCAGTCAAGCAATGATCTCATGTTCCAAATGGATGATGACAACATACTGTCACCCAGTGACTCAATCAAAGGCAAAGCAGCGGTGCGAAGTATCCGACAGAACGATGTGAATGAGAGTCGCTCACGCTTGGACTCGCCGACCCCGCGAGCTGGGATGGTGGATGCAGGGTCATTTGGCGATCAGAACTATCTGGACAGGCAGATGGCTTCTTCGCAAGAAACAGCTCTCGGCGAGTCCCCAACTGAGTACCGAGCTGCTGCCGTCAAGGATAAAAATAATGGACTACCTCCAGCGACGTCTTCCCAAGGAGCCTGGACTTCATCCGATCTCTCGACCTCGAAGAAGAATCTCAAGGACATCATGAGCGAGGCTTCCGAAACTCGGGTGTCTAATTTGAGTCTAGGCATGTCCGATCGCCGAGAAAACAGTAGCAACTTGGCTCCAAAGCTGTCGCAGAAAGAACGCAAGAAGATCCAACAGCAGCAGATGCAGGAGATGCTTGCTGCGCAGCAAAAAGCCAAAGAAGCACCCCAGAACCCCTGGAAGCTGCCTGATCCGAACAAGACCCCAAGCAAACCGTCACCTTTTGCCAGCACTAATGGAGAAAGCCCAGCCTCCGAGGCAGCCAAGTCATCTCAGAAGTCTTCGATGACTCTTCGCCAAACAGTTGCCGGAACACCGCCACCCCCGAGAGCAAGCCCGGGGGCAACAACGCCGGTTCAGATCCAGGGCCGCAGTGCGTCTGCCAGCGCTGGGCCGCCACCGAGATCATCAATTTCTGGCCCCTCAGCGGCACAACCACCCTCGTCGTCTCCGAATCCATCAGCCAATCCCCAGCGTGCCCCCAAGTCAATCCGACACATTCCACGTCCCGAGCCATACAAAACGAGCTTTCACTCTGACTCGCCCAATTCAATGTCATTGGCCGCCATCCTGATGCAACAACAAACCGAAAAGGACGAGATTCGAGAAGCCGCCACCGCCAAACACAACCTGGAAGACATCCAAGCCGAGCAACAATTCCAAGAATGGTGGGACAAGGAAAGTCGCCGAATCCAAGGTCTCCCTGACCCGGAAGACCCTGTCCCTCAACAAGAAGGTGAAACTCGCGGCGGCGGATCAGGTCGAGGAGGTCGAGGAGACCGAAGTAAAGGGCCATCCGGACAGCAGCGCAAGAGACGCGGCAAACCCACATCCACACCCCATCCCCCATCTTCGACTCCTGCAGGAACTTCCAGTCCCGGCGTCTCTGCCTTATCTCAACAACTTCCACGGAACCCTAAACCCGATGGGTCTGCCTCCCAGAAACAAAAACCCCCTTCTGGACCCCGTCGGGAGAACAAGCCCCGCTCAGTATCATCTGGCGGGAAACAACCCCCCGAGTCTACTCCCCCTGCTGGTCCTGCTGCCGCTGCTACGGGCAACCATCCCCGTCGTGGTGGTAGAGGTGGCGGCGGTGGCGGCCGAGGTCGAGGCAAGGACCGGGGAGAAAGACATGGTCATAATTCCCAGCCTGCTCCTACTCTTACGCCTACCTAGATATGATCACGACTACTTACTACCTTCCTTTCTCATCTTGAGATGTGTAATTTTGCGTTCCGAACATTCTGCTCTGTTTCTTCCTTCTTATTCTTCTGTTAAATACCACTGGTTTTATCATGTATCTATCTAAATGTACACCGACGGACTTCTTCAATCCGACCCATGATATAATATATCCTTGTGTTTTGATAACGATGAGGTTTCACTAATAGATAGACCAAGGCTGAATCAATTTTCTTCATCTGATCACTAACTTAACAACAAAGTACACTTCGTAAGCCTTCTGAGCGAAGCCTGAGGCAACGCCGAGGCAGGAAGACATCTGAGACTAGCCTCGTTGCACTGTCAGGCCTACACCTCGCCTGCCCCTCCATGTCCCGTGGATGGGTCATTCATTCGAAATGGAACAATGAATGGAAGCGATTCACGCAGTCATATCATTAAGTTGGCACCGTATCCTGCCCTTCCGGATTGTACACAATTGATAGGTGTGTGCGTGTGCGTATGTGTGTGTACCAGTAACTCAGTCGGATTTAGCTCAGTTAAGGCCAAAGTAACCATCTCAGAAGAGGTGAAGTTAATTACAATATTAGAAGAATATGTAGAAAGCCCATCTATACTGGTAGGCCAAGAATGAGCAAATGGCTGAAAAGGGGAGAAAGAAGAAAACACGTAGATCCAGAGCGTGGAAAGCAGACAAGACAGGCAAATTCTTCTGGAGACGGGAAAGGGGAAAGGGGGAAAATTAATAAATGATACTTTAGCCACATCGTGAAGGGAATTAGAGACAGTGTGAATGGGAAGGCCGGAAAATCCGAAATAAGAAACGCCAGAACGACCTCGTACGCTAAGCAGAAGAATAACAATGCAAATTGCGGTATCTGAACGCCAGGTTTGCTGGAACATGAAAACGTATGAATAAAGCGAAGGATCAAAGTCGAATATGTAGCTTGCAGAAAGGTAGTGTACAAATTAGGAGGGAAGATTCCCTTAGCCGGATTCAGCGACTTCACGACTTTCCCACATGCGACGGATCATCATTTCAGTCTCGTTGCTGAAGTAGGGTGGCGGTGCTGCTTCTTCGGACTCCTCTTCGCCCGCGGGATTATTGTGGGCGGCTTCATCGGAGGTCGAGAGAATGCGGTGAGAGGGATGCTGCGGCGCCTTCGCAGGCTGGCCCGCCTCGGTGGTATCATTAACTAGCTCTTCGGGATCTTGAAGGTATGTCTGTGAGACCGACGTGCGTATAGGTGCCTGTTTCCGGCCCATGAGCTGCCTGGGCTCCGGGCTGGGACTGTTCTGACCAAGCTTCTGCTGTTTACCATCTTGCAAATGGGTCAACGCGGGAGCAGACTTGATTGGTTTACCGAGTGAGGAGTGTCGCTGATGACCAAAGTTCGGGCCGTTGATATCGTTGAGGATGAAGTTCAACCGGCGGAAGCTGTCTCCCGTGGGGGACTGGAAACGTCGAACCACCGTCAGCTCTAGCGAGGTCTTTTCGTATGCCTTGCGAATGTGCTTGGTCTCATTGTCATGGACCGCGTTGCCAGACCGGGTGGACCCATTCACCAGGCCACGTCCGGGGTCAAACGGACCGGCACCCTGGCGCGTAGCCATGTAGTTCGGATCCATGGTGGATGGGGACACGGCCGTGGAGACTCCATGGGCATCGGGAGGGGAGGTGTTAAGAGCCGCCGTCCGCTGCAGCCAAAGTTTCTGTTGCGTGCGGGAGGGCGGTTCGGTACCTGGGGCCCGGGTCGGAGGAGACGCACGAGATCGCCTCGAACTCGAGGCACGGTTCGGCGACGGAGGAGTTTGCGGGTGATAATGTGGTAAGAACGAGGAGGGGGTATTGGGGTCCGAATCCGTGCGGACCGAGGCGTGGAAACCAGTCTTGATGAACCTGGAAACACCGCCTTCGATCGAGGACGAGGTTGCCTGGGCCGGGGTGCCGGGGGTATTGGCCATGGGCGGGTTTGAGGACGATAGAGGGCGTCGAAGACCATCCGGACCGGTCGCGATGTTGGTCAGAGAGGCATTACGGGAGATGGAGTCGACGGCGGTCGGTTTCACCGTGGCGGAGATGGACGACATGGCGGGCGGAGCTTTGGCGGAGTGAGACGGACTCAACAAGCGATTAGCGATGTCGGCGTGGTCGAGAGTGCGGCCAGCGGCGTCCTCTTGCTCTTCGGTATCCTGGGAGGGGCGTGTTGTTTTGATGTCAGAGTCTTCGTCGTCGTCCTCGTTGTCGTTGTCGTCTTCGTCGGGCGAATGACCTTCCCCAAAACTCTTACTGGTCGACTCCGGAAGGCTGGTCGCTCGAGGGAATTGTGGGTAGGGGCGTTTGACAAAGGTAAGAGGATCCACCAACACTGCAGCGTTCTCCACGCTCTCCTTGGATTGGGCGACCGAGCTCCGTCGCGTGCTTTCTGGCGACTGAGTGGTATCCTCCCAGTCGCCGTCGTCGTTGTCGGAGTCCGCCAGCTCGAAGCCTACGGTCTTCTTCTTGCCGGAGCTGGAGTTGGGGCGAGACGTCACTAGGGCCTTCTTGCCGACGACACCGCCGGAGTTGGTTCGTCGAAGAGCGGGGCTAGAGTTATTCTTCTTCATCGAAGCCGTGGTAGGATGACTATCCACCGCCCCATCCCAACGGACGTGATGTTGACCCCGAGGGCTAGCGGCGGGCGTAGCAGGGGCGGACTTTTTGCGTTGGTGATAGCGACCGGTCGTCGTCGTAGTTTCCGGCAAATGATGAACCGAGGTATGGGAGGTATGACGCTGAAATTTGGCGAGATTCTTGCCGTGGGAAGGGTTCCGGTGATGATTTCGATGACCACCGACGACGTGTGGGCGATGAGGACGAAGAGGAAGTTTCTGGTGGGAGGAGTGCGAATTGGCCAACTCGTTTTGCTGTTGCGTGGAGCGCGTGACGACGGCGTGTGAGGAGACCGCACGGCGGCCCAGACCGGGGCGCTTGACGGGCGAAGAGTTGGAGGTCGGCATGACGCTAGGGAGAGAAGGGGAAAAAAAGGATACGCAAGGGGACCAAGCAATGGACGCAGCCACACAGGTGTCACTGCTGCGGGAAGAGTCGGGGGTTGGGAGGTAAGGGTATGGAATGGACAAGAGAGAGAGGAGATACAATTGGTGGATTTCCAAGAATACGAATTGATTGATTGATGGAAGAAGAAAAGAGAGACGGGATGGAAGAGGGAAGGGAAAGGAAGATAGAATGAGAGAGGGGGGAAGAGGGGGGGTAGTAAGATGCAGGAAAGGAGTGGAGAGGAAGACAGAGGCAGGGAAGAGGTGAAGTCCCCGCAGAACAATGGAGAGAGGAAGAGAGAAGAGAAGAAAGAAGAGAAGAAGATGGAGATGGAAGAAAGGAAAAGATTCCAGACCCGGCCGGTAATTACCGGTTACCGTACGGTATGGTCTGGTCATTTTGGGGTAGATCGCGCCTTCCGCTTTGGAGATCTCTTCATCCTGCCATTTCCCGTTGATTCTTTGTTTACCTACAAAGTACTCGATTCACCTCCCCATCCATCCTCCATCTACCGTCAATACCTCTCCCGTCACATACCCACTGCCCCGACTCGCTAAAAACACCGTCACCCCTTTAAAATCCTCCGGACTGCCCCATCTGCCCGCTGGAATCCGTGCCAGGATCCCAGCCGAGCGTTCTTCGTCCTGCATCAATGCGGACGTCATATCCGTGGCCACATATCCCGGGGCGATGGCATTTACATTGACCCCCTTGGCCGCCCACTCGTTGGACAACGCTTTGGTCAACTGCGCAATGCCGCCCTTAGCAGCTGCGTAGGCTGGGACCGTCAACCCTCCCTGGAACGAGACCAGAGAGCCAATATTGATGATATTTCCACGCTTGCCAGAGGAGTCGGGAGTACGACTGAGCATATAGGCGCCAATATCCCGACAGAGTGTGAAAACCGTCGATAGGTTGACCTGCAAGACCTCGTCCCAGTCCGAGTCCGGAAAGAGATGACTTGGGTGTCGGCGTTGAATCCCTGCGCAGTTGAGCAGGATGGAGATGTCGTGGCCATCCTTGAGAACAGAGGATACGAGAGCCGAGATAGAGGGACGGGATGAAAGATCCGCTGTGTATATGGTTGCAGTGCGCCCGAGAGCTTCGATCTGTTGCTTGGTATCTTGGTTGCTGGTGTCTCGCTGCGTGCAAGGGGTGGTTAGTGGTGCTGCTGAATTGGTCTATAGTGAGCAAAATACCTGGACAAGGACGATGTCGGCGCCAGCCTCGGCCATGCCAATGGCCATTTGCTGGCCAATGCCGCGCGTTCCGCCGGTGACGAGTGCAGTTCTACCTGAGAGAGAGAAGAGGTCCATCTTTGCTTAGTGCTTGATCACTCAGATGAAGATACCCCGGGAAGCTGGTTCTATAAGTACCTAAATTGCCCATGCATATGACCTACGCTAGACCATCGGAGATTATTCCGCATGACCCCCACGCTCCCCCGCATTGCTTGCGTGGATGTTGACAGAAAGCATGGGGTAGTCGAGTGAGAAGGTGGGAAGTCCAAAGTTGAAACTATTCGGAGTCTTTTGATGGGCAAAAGTTAGGGCTACGAAGGAAGTGCGCACTCATTCAGCCATCTATATTGATACTCGATGATGATTCTATTCACAGTCTACCACTCACGGATCGCTCCATCTGGTCCATAAAACTCCTTGGGGGGCCAGGGCTCCGTCTCCTTGCTAATGGCCCTCACCAGCTCCTCGTCAATCTCAATTCCCAGTCCCACGCCCGACGGCGCTTTCACGAACCCCTCCGCGATGTCAAACACCGACTTGTCTACCAGATAACTGTTCAGATCAATATTCCCGGCTTCGACGTTGTAATGCATTCCCAGGCTCATCTCCTGGATGACGAAATTTGGCGTCGAAACGGCCACCTGAATCGATGCTGCCAACGCAATCGGGCCCAACGGACAATGCGGCGCGATCGCCACATCGTACGTCTCTGCCAAGGACGCAATGCGCCTCGTCTCCGAAATACCGCCTGCATGCGCAATATCCGGCTGCAACACATCCACTGACCCGTCTTCCAGGAATCGCTTCACGTCCCACCGTGTGAACAACCGCTCTCCGAACGCAATTGGAATCGTGGTCAGCCCGGAAAGCTGCTTCAGTGCTTCAGGGTGCTCGCAAAGCAGCGGCTCCTCGATGAAGAGCGGGCGGTACGGCTCCAGTGCCTTGGCCAGCTGCTTTGCCATGGGTTTGTGCAGTCGGCCGTGGAAGTCTAGTCCTGCGTCGAGGCCGAGTGATTTGACTGTCTTGAGGCGCTCAACGCACGAGTCCAACACGGCTGGCCCGTCGAGCCAATTCACATCCTCGGTGGCGTTCATTTTGATGCATTTGAGGCCTTGCTCAATCCGTGCTTTTCTGTTCGGTGTGAGTGGGCTGATGTCCTAGACTCGGAAAGACAAGTAGGAGGTATAGGGAATGTATGGACGTACGCTGCAACCTCGACATCGCTCGGCCGATCTCCCCCAATCCAGGCATAGACCTGCACTTTATTCCGCACCTTTCCTCCAAGAAGCTGGTACACGGGAACGCCCAGCGTACGACCTTTGAGATCCCACAATGCAATATCGATACCTGAGATAGCGGACATAAACACGGGCCCTCCGCGGTAGAAGCCCAGACGCCAGACAAGCTGCCAGATGTGTTCGATGTCACTGTAAAGGTCAGCCGCCATATACTAATAATCACACGCGGAAGCATGAGCAGCTCTTGGAAAGTAGAATGAAGGAAGGAAGGAAAGAAAAAGGAAAAGGTAGGGACATACTCCGCCTCCAACCCTACAAGCCTCACGATGATCTCGTCAAGCGCGCCCTCGACAGCTTGGGTATGACCCTCTAACGTGCCTTCGCCCCAGCCAAATCGGCCCTCGTCGTCGGTGACCTTGACAAAGAGCCATCGCGGCTTGACGCGGAAGTATTCGATGGATTTGATTTTGCCCATTTTGTTTTCTGGTCAGGTGTTTGGTATTGGGTGCTTCCGGATAAACGGTAGGAGGTCGGCGAGTGGAACAACTAAAAGAATAAGCCGAGCAAGACATGTTTATCCCAAGGTCCATATATAAGGCGAGCTTAGTCTCTCGCTGAGAGCTTCCCCGCGTGGTGCTTCCCCGCGTGGGGGTCGGGAGAAATCCGGGCGAGCAAACAGGAAGCCCCCACGCTTCAATCCTTGTACGCAGTGGGGGTATCACGCCGAGGACGATCTCGCGGATATTGAAGAAAACCTTTTCCGACACAGCTATCAGTAAGTATTTGGGCTTTCTTGTGGAATGCTTTGAGGGTGTTGGCTGTCCTCGGCCGGGGCTACCGACGGGACATACCTATGTTCAAGTTTAGGCGGCCTACCAAGAGGTTGGCTATAAATGTCATAGACTTTTCGTCTGAGACAAACAGATAACTTCATTGAATTGCATTGGAGTGACTCCCGTATCTCATTATCTGTGAGAGTGCCAAACACAGATGCAGGTATCATGCGACACATTGTCACTTCTTTTCGGATGGCCGAATAGCCTAGAATGGCCCTGCCAACTGTATAACTTCATCCCAATAAGGCATTTGACACTTATTTCAGCACTGGCACCCTTGATATGAATAAACCTAGAGAAACGCTAACTGGCAATGTTGCCATAGTGATGGCTATTCGACCCCCGTAGTCTCTAGCTCCAGAGACTGGGTCGTCGAAAATGTGGAGGGTGTATTCACAGCGGCGAAGGTGCCCATGTGCAAGGCCCATACCAGTTAAATAGGACATGTAATTGCAGAACGTCCCTGCTGCTTGAGGGCATCTGTGATATGCTTCTTCAAGCTGGTCTAAAGTGGTTAGCATGTCCATGATCTATCCATGACAAGTCCGGGTCGAGTCGGTGAAGAGCAGTCGTTTGGACTTTGCATCAAAGAATAAGCTTTAACTATTTGTGATTATCGTGACTGGAGTTACCAATGACGAAACAATCGTCGCGCTGGAGGCGTCACTCGCATGAGTACTATCCGCACTTGGTATTAATTTGGCTTCAAACGATAGGTTTCAAGATGGGATTTCATGCAATTTAATTGTCAATATGCCACTATATCTCGGTATAGATCTGTTCTGTTTTCCCCAGTGACTCAGAAGTGCCCCAAGCAGCGGTAGTCAAGTACTCGAATGCCAGCCGAGCATCAACGGAGGATCTTGGAGATGATCATTATTGCAATGCGTTTGGAGGAAATATAGAGGAGAGCTGGTGGGATTGAAGTGCCAAAGATTGCGCCAGAAGATTATCTACAAAGAATTCGGCATGTCACCGGCTGCAGTGTCATCCAAGTCACTGTTCAGAAAAGCAAAAGTATTCCGCCAGATCCCATATCTACACATGCCGCGGAATGTTCCCAAGACCTTTTTGCAAGAGTAATGTTTCTTGGACAGGGAAACAACCGAGATGAGTGCGGAAGTCCGTCCATGGGCCCGCAAAAAGTTGCTTCCTGACAGGCACAGTCAATTCTGGGACTTGGAGAAGGACATTTCAAAACTGTCAGCAAGCCGATAAAAATATCTTCCGAGCGTCATACTGATCCAGGATCTAACTTTTTATTGATTATAATCAAGGAAATACGTCATCCGGTGATTGTTTACAACAGCACTTAACCCCAAGCTCGTATTTTCTCCAGGTATCCTTGTTTACGAAATGAATTCCTCTGTTTCACTAATATGACCTGCCAAATAGAGTCCATTTCGCGGCCATGTTCTCACAACCCTTCGCCAGACATGGCGTGTTAGTTCCCTCCAACTCCGTGACCTGCTTGAAAGGAATACACAAGCTCTTACCCCCCATACTTGGCGCTCTAGCATCCTGCTGCTCACCCTCCAAGGCGCTCGAACGCTCACTCATCTTCTTAATCTGATCTTCGCACTCCGGTCTCAGACAAAACGGAATCAGACAAACGTGCTTATTGTTGATCGCAGGCGTGAACCCTTCCCAGTCGGTGATTACTTTGACGTTGTCTCTGAACTTTTCCAAGGCCCGCGCATACATGTCAGACTGGATAGTCTCCAACAATGCAAGGACTTCAGTTGCAGCGTCCGTCAGCAAGATCCGTCCTTTCTCCAAAGTGTCTCGACGGGATGTTGAGAGGAAACCATTCTTAAGCTCCTTCGGACCAAATTCCAGACGAAGAGGGACGCCCTTCAGTTCGTAATGGTTGAATTTCCATCCAGGTGAATATTCGGTCGCAAGATCGGTCTCGACGCGGATTTCTGCATCTAGGAATGTCTTCTCGAGCTGAGCAATGTTGTCGTAAAGACTCTGTTTCTCCTCATCGCTTGTGTTGGCTGTGATACCCACTGGAATGATGATCACTTGTGTGGGAGCAACCCGAGGAGGAAGCACCAAGCCTTTGTCGTCGCCATGAACCATCACCATGACCCCAATGACACGAGTCGAATACGCCCATGAGTTCTGCCAAACAAACACGCGACTCGAGTCCGACGATCTGTCTTTCTGCGGGTTCTCCACCGAGATGTCAAAGATCTTGCTGAAATTCTGACCCAGGGCGTGAGACGTGGCTCCCTGGATAGCACGCCCAGTCGAGGGAATAAACGCCTCCACGCTCGTCGTGTAGTCGGCGCCTGCAAAAGCCTCGTTCGCCGACTTGCGGCCCGGGATTACCGGCACGGCGAGGAAATCCTGATAAATGGTTGTATAGAGATCTAGGATTTCAAGGACTTCTTGATCGGCGCCGGCCTTGGTAAGATGGGCCGTGTGGCCTTCCTGCCAGTAGAACTCCCGCGAGCGCAGGAAAGGCTGAGGGTTACGGAACTCCCAGCGTACGACCGAGTTGTACTGGTTCAGCTTCACTGGCAGGTCGCGGTGGCTGCGGATCCAGTTCGCGAGGTAGGGGTAAATGATGGTCTCAGAGGTTGGTCGAATGGCAATTTTATTGTCAAGTTTGGTTTTGCCCCTACAGATGAATTGTCAGTCATCAAAGAATCAAATGTGTAGCTTGAAACCCCAATATGGTCATCTTAAAGGTCAGGACAAGCCAACTTACGATTGCGTCACCCAGGCCACTTCAGCGGAAAACCCTTCGACATGACTCTCCTCCTTGCCCAACGCCTTCTCATTGACGAACAGCGGAAAACTGCAGTTGCGAACCTTCATCTGTCGGAGTTGCTTGTTGAACCAAACCTGCAGTATCTCCCAAATTTCCCAGGATCCTGGGCGCAGGATGTAGCAGCCCGAAATGTCGTAGTAGTCGATCATCTCGCTCTTGAGCAGGACTTGCTGGTACCAGGTTGAGAAGTCATCTTCCTTGGAAGCGCCAATTCCGATTAAGGGGGCTTTTCCCCCTTTGCTTTTCTTCTTTTCCGTGTTCTTGGGATGCTGCTCTGGGCCTCGGGTCGGTAGGGTAGGGGAAGGAGTGAAGACGTGCCATGGAGAATCAAGGCCTCCGATGACTTCGCAGGTGTTTGTCATGGTGATTACATATGAAGAATTTAGAGATTGATGTTGGCAAGCAAAAGAGAGAAGGGAACTGGCAGGGCTATATAGAGGACTGTTGGGAGTAATATTCGACAGAGAAGTATATACGTGGTGCTCGGATATTAAGCCGATCTGACATCAACGCTTATTGCATGATCTAAGCAGTGACTACTGACTATAATGAAATTTAAAAATGACATCTCGGCATTCAATCACCGATAGGGCGCCCTACGCTAACATCTTTCGCACCATCTCCACCCTGCTCGTGTGTTAGCCCGTGTCTGCCAAGAGGCATACTTAGTAGTGACCGTCAACTTACGTGGCAAATGTACCTGCAGAGACCGGCATCGCACGCAGCAACGCAGGCCCCAGACCCTGGAATAGCCCTCGAATACCCCCAACAGCCCACGTCTCCTGGAACGCATGTCTCATGTGGCGATACTTTTGATCCGGACCAAACCCATCACTCTGCATCTTACTCTTAATCACGTCCAACGGGTGACTCAGAAGCCACAAAGCTTCACCCGCTAATCCGCCACAGACAGCGATCTGCCAGTTCGGCAATTCATGACGTTTCATCTGGGTCCGATCTTGCAGGATTTTCAGAAGTCCTTCATACGCGGCGAACCATACACCGTAGCCGTGGAATTCGCGAAGGAGCGTCACGACTTGTCCGCGGTAGATTCCTCCAGGACCGGCCACCTGGATGATCTTTCGTGCGCAGTCCCAGGGCCCGTTGTAGAGTCGGGTCGTACCGTGTGGCTGCGTTTGGAGCCGAATGCGAATATGCTCCACGGGGCCGGAAATGACGCTGTTTGTCACTCCGGCTAATCCACCAGCCAGGTAGAACTGGGGGAGGGAGAGACTTTTGTCGTGAACAGGGCCGTTTCGGTGGTTGTAAGATTCAATGAGTTGTCGGAAGCCGTGGAAGGCGCCGAACTGAATGCTAACCTATACTGCCTATTAACGGTATACAAGGCAGTACGTGAGTAGATTGACCTACGCAAGCGCCGACGCCCAGTAAGGGCACTAGCGTTCCCTGACCAGAAAAGTTAGAGAATTACTGAGTGGTACTTCTAGGGGACTTGCGAACCTTATAGAAGGCCGAGGGGCCTTCCTTCGTCCAGATATTGCGCGCTGCTGAGAGCGCTGAACAGCCGGTCTGCGTCTGCAACCGCACCTTGACGATATCTGAGGAGGTTAGGAGCATGAAAATTGCCCTCCAGCTATTTATTACATACCGAATGGTTGGCCTGATTGATTGTTAGCAATATCTGTAGTAGGAGTAGCCATTCATCGAGCTGTCTCTCCATACCAATTAACACCTGCGCTACACCTCCCGCAGCGCCGGCAGTGAGATCTTTCACATTCTCTTTCCAATCCATTGGCGGCGCAGCTGCCTCTGGGGTCACAAGTTTCGCATCTGTAGCCATGGTCACTTCAAGCACAGGACGTTGGCTTTCTGGTCGCAGGTTTCGCAGGAACGCTCCAAAGATAAGAGCTGGCCTTATCTGCTGGTGCTCTCGGATGTCATCCGAGACTTCGGCATCGTCACCCCGAAGGCCCAGCATTGGCCACGACTTTAAATATGACGCAAGGAAACTAGGGTGATGGCGCTGTTGTCGTTCTGATTACCCTCTCACACAGTCTGACATGAAAGCTTGTCAACATGGTGTTCCCTCGTCGAACTTGTGCCCTCCCTCGCAAGTCTGCTGTCAGCGTTCCCACGCGGCGGAGTATAGGGGGATTGGCCAGTTTTCGTGTACCTCCCATTCGCAATGAGCCAAATGTTAGTATTCCAAGAAGGAAATATGTATAAACGACCAAGTGCATTGAAGGTTCTGACTCTTCTCCTAGCCGACCTATGCAAAGGGTTCTGTTGAGCGCTCGAAGCTTCAAGCTGCCTTGAACAAGCTGAAGAGCCAGGTGCCCATCCAGGTGCCCCTTTCTATTGGCGCTCAAGAGGTATATTATTTGTTTAACCTGCCAAATTCATCAGCAAATTCAGAGAGCTCACCATTCCCTTCGCATAGATTCCTTCGAGCTTAACCCACACCCAAGGCAACCCATCGGCGCACTCAGAACCCGTCGCCAAATATGCCCAAGCATCAGCCGAGCAGGTCAACGAGGCCATCGAAAAGGCTCTACAAGCCAAACCAACATGGGAGAACATGTCATTCAACAACCGTGCCGCGATCTTCCTCCGCGCCGCCGAGCTCGTTGCAACCAAGTACCGCTACGACATCATGGCCGCCACGATGCTCGGACAGGGCAAGAACATCTGGCAGGCTGAGATAGACGCGGCCGCGGAGACGGCTGATTTTTACCGCTTCAACGTTCACTACGCCTCGGAGCTGTATAAACAGCAGAATACCATGAATGATGCCGGCATGTGGAATCGCCTCGAATACCGTCCCCTGGAGGGCTTCGTCTACGCGATCAGTCCCTTTAACTTCACGGCGATCGGGGCTAACTTGATCGCTGCGCCGGCGATTATGGGGAACGTTGTTATTTGGAAGCCCTCGGACTATGCGGTCCACGCGGGTTACCTGCAAAAGAAAATCCTCGAGGAAGCTGGTCTTCCAGAGAATGTCATTCAATTTTTGCCCGGTGACCCTAAGACGGTCACGGATACTGTGTTGGAGCGTCCGGAGTTCGCGGCCTTGCATTACACCGGCTCGACTGAAGTCTTCCGTGACTTGTATGGCCAGATTGCCGACGGTGTCCGCGCCGGCTGTTACGATAGCTACCCTCGCATTGTTGGCGAAACCGGCGGAAAGAACTTCGCAGTCGTTCACTCAAGCGCAGATATTCGCAATGCGGTCGTGAACACCGTTCGCGGAGCCTTCGAATACCAGGGCCAAAAGTGCTCTGCAACCTCCAGACTCTACGTCTCCGAGTCCGTATGGCCGGAGTTCAAGAAGCAACTCGTTCGCGAAACTGAGCAGATCAAGATCGGTCGTCCCGAGGAGTTTGAGAATCTCATGGGTCCGGTTATTCATGAAAGATCGTTCACCAAACTCGCCAATGTTATTGATGACGCGAAGAAAGATCCCTCAGTCACTCTACTGGCTGGTGGCACGACATCCCGCGAGAAGGGCTGGTTCGTCCACCCGACGATTTTCCAAGTCCAAGACGCTTCGCATTCACTCATGAAGAACGAGTTCTTCGGCCCCATTCTATCCGTGTATGTCTATCCCGACAGCCAATTCGAAGAGACTCTGGCACAGGTAGACAAGGGTACCAAGTTCGGTCTCACCGGCGCGTTCTTCGCGAAGGATCGGTCGGCGATTGAAGTCGCGGAGAGGCTACTGCGTCATTCAGCTGGGAACTTCTATATCAACTGCAAGAGCAGCGGAGCGGTGGTTGGCCATCAGCCATTCGGGGGCTCGAGGGCTAGCGGTACGAACGATAAGGCGACGAGTTCAAACTTGGTTGCGCGTTTCGCGAGCATCAGAAGTATCAAGGAGGATTTTCAGCTCGCGGAGGAGGTTGCTTATCCTTCTAATGAAGTTTAAAGTGTAAAATGAGGGGATTTGAAGGCTAGACTAGCAGTCTGGCGTCTCTTTGTGGACTACGTATTGGGCAGCAGCCCTCTGTTGTATTCATTGTTAAGATCTCTTGTCTAGGGAATTATGAACCTCATGTATGTACATGCATAATGCACCGTCATTATATCATGGTCATTGTTTGTATAGATTATCCACAGGGTTACATTCACCGGTTCTCAAACATGCATTAGGTGGCATCGCATCATTATGTATGATTCAGGAGCTGAACATTCACTACCTATATTGGCCAAGCAAACATTCACAGTTTTCTGGCTGACCCTTCTCTGCCCTTTCTCTTCCTAGGTGGCAGCCAAACAGACCCCATTTCATGTCGCCATCCTTACCACATACCAATTTCGCTTCGTCGCCTCCCAGTACAGTAGGACTCTCCGTCAAAATGAGATGTGCCATTCAATAGAGCTAACAACTTCAACCGAGCCAGAAAGGGAAAGAGAAAAAGCAAACATCTATCCTTGCTGATTGGCGCAAACATCTCTTGGCCAGGGGCGGGGCACTCGGTTCAAGAGAACTACTTATCTACATCTCACTTTTGTAGAAGCTTCATTCTGCTCTGATGGCTTCAGGCTCCAAAATTCAGAAAGCTACTACAATGGGTCCCAATGGAGAGGACAGCTCCGCTGAGGTTACAGTGGCTGTTGGTGCTGGTATTCAACCGGCACATCCTGGCCTTTGCTCTCTCAAATGGGCTGTCAGTGGAGGATGGTGGCATCGCTCGAGGTAAGCATAATGATATCCATAGAAACGTCTATCAACCAGTCTCATATATGTGCGCAGCTACACAGGAGCTCTGCTGTTCAACATCGGCGCTTTTACGCTTCCTGCACTGTACGCCACACTAGTCAAGGTCTGGATTGCCAACATCGACTCCTCCCTAGTCGTCACCACAGACGTGTATACCTATATCGGTACTATTGCAGAGGTCCTCAATGAAGGTCTTCCCCGTGCCGTCTGGGTAACGATTGCCGACAAATCCACGCGATCGTATGAATCTCGTTTGGGCCTCGCGTACACTCTAATAACGATTCAGACTGTACTAGGGCTCATCATGAGTATAACCTTTACTGGAGCAGCCAGGGCATTTGCAGCAACGTTCGTTCCGCGTGAGGCCCAAGAGGCTAGTATCACCTATGTCCGAATCAGTGCGTTCTCGGCTCTGAGCTCTGCTATTGAGGTTGCGGCATCGAATGCGACAAGGGCTTTGGATAAGCCCGACGTTCCCCTCCTGATAAGCACTGTCAAGGTCGTGGTGAACATTGTGCTGGATCTACTCGTGATATCCAAGTTCCACGTAGGCGGCTGGACCCCAAACGTCAACATACAGGCCGTGATCCGTCTGAGCTGTGATATGATTGCTGCTGTCTCGGGCTTAGTCTATTTCATCATAACTACGAACAGAACCCAGACCCAGAATAAACGGCCCTGGAGCAGAGAGATGATTAATTTGTCTGCTCTTTTCACACTCCTTAAGCCTGGTTCTCTCACCTTCGTGGAGTCAGCCATCCGGAATACGCTCTATCTTTGGCTGGTGGCCGGAATCGTCTCCATGTCAGCAGATTACGCTACAGCCTGGGGTATCTTCACTACAATCCGATGGGGACTTGTCATGGTACCGGTTCAGGCCTTGGAGGCGACATCACTAGCTTTTGTTGGGCATGTTTGGGCCTCATTCAAGAACAACGATATACAGTGTGGGAAGTACAGGAAGTTCTTGGGTATGCAATAACGCCCTCAACGTGTGTGGCTTCTATTCCTGAAACACTTACCTTTTCTAGTGACCACACGACCAGCATTACTTGCTGCTTTTATTGCCATGGTTATCGAGGTACCGCTTTGCATCTTCCTCGCCATATTCGGTTGTAAACCATTTGCGTTCTATCTCAGCCAGTCCGAAGCGGTGGCCGAGATTACAGCGCACATGTGGAAAACGATAGATTGGTGAGTGAGTTTACAGTAACAATAGCGACCCTTGACTTATACATACTTCACAGGTGCTATATATTATACGCAATATCCACTCAGCTTGCGACCATATTGTTGGCCACTCGCCCATTGTGGTATCTAGGACAGTCTCTAGTCTCCAACCTTCTCTATGTCCTCCCTTGGGCTATTGTGTGCCAAGTTGCCAACCTTGATCCCAATAACGCGTGGACGTATCATAGTCTTGTCTTTGGTGGTAGCTTGGTGTTTACTTTTGTGGAAATTTGCTTCGTCATCATGTTATGGGCTCGGAAAGTGATATGAAAGGAGCTAAGTGCACGAATTTAGGTTAGGACCGTAACTTCCTAACAGAACAGGTTCCAGGATATACTACCTGATTGGGGCGCTCTGAAACAAAACTGATCAATTGACGCGCCATCGGCCTTTGGAGGCTATCGAGCAGATGAAGAATTACCACCAGAAATCTGAATCATTGGCACAATTGAACTATAGGCTCCTGATAGATAGTCCAGAAACATACAGCCCTATTCCACACGATGGCATTACAAACATAGAGAGACATGGAGCCATCAATATCTTCCATGTGAGTGCCAAAGATCAACCGAGGGTATACCACTAACTATTCATCTGTAATTAATAATCATTGATCGGTCATGCATGTTCACTGTCATCATGCATTAGATGCAATCATTCGGATAATCCGATGATCACCCACTTCTGCGCCCTTCCGGAGACAAGACCCGGGCTTGGCTTCTTCGGCTCACATCCGAAGCCCCGGCAATGCATCCCCGGACCCACTCCAGGCGATAAGGAAGAACAACGATCTACAGGTCTTGTTAATGACCTCGTAGAGGTCCTGTTTCTTTGCACTGGCTTCAACCCTGTCACAACTCACAAGTCTTCCATCTCTAATTCAGGATGCCGGTCATCAAACCATTCTGTTCTCAGCCTAATGCCCGATTGATTCTCCGGCAATCAAGGTACCGAGCGATTACTACCACATCATGGAATCGCACATACAAACCTACAGTCTCAGCTTCCTCAGCCGGCAGCGCGAAGACTGTAGTTAACACCTCCCCGCTTCCACCGCATTCTCTGCTTCCGACCAAAATGCTAGTACGATCTTTGCTCGTCGCAACGGTCTCTTCGCACCGATGGCTACTGACGCCTGCGCTTTGGTTTTTGTCGTTGATCGTGCATCCGCGCATCGCTCTCTTGGATGTGAATAAGAATCCCATTCTACGAGGCATTCTCAAGCCGATCTTTTACAACCATTTCTGTGCCGGGGAGAATGGCAATGAGGTTCGATCCACAGTTAGGAACATCAAAGACATGGGGTTCAAAGGTGTCATTTTGACCTATGCGCGAGAGGTTGTGGTGGATGCTTCCAAAGAAAAAACAACGAGCCCTGAAACCTCGAGTGAAACTGGAAACTATTCGCCGACTCCTTCGCATAACCCTGACATTGAGGCATGGAGACAAGGCGTTCTCGAGACGGTCGAAATGGTCGGGAAGGGCGACATCTTAGCATTAAAGTGAGATACTACGCCTACTCTAACTTCCGAGAACCCAGCATTGACTGTCTGCGACCCTATAGATTGACCGGCGCGGGCGAACCAGCCATGCGCGCCTTGCTGGCCAGACAGCCTTTGCCCGAACAGATGACGCTGGCGCTCCGGGAAATTTGCGCGCGAGCCGTAGAGCGCCAGGCTCGGATTTTCATCGACGCAGAGCAACAATCTGTTCAGCCAGCAATCGATGAGATTGCTCTTCAGCTGATGGAAGACTTCAATAAGGATGGCGAAGCCGTGGTCTACAACACCTACCAGGCGTACCTCAAGTGCACTCCTGCCACCGTCCTTGCTCATCTCGAGGTGGCAGAGAAGAAAAACTTCACTCTAGGAATCAAATTGGTACGAGGGGCGTATATTAACTCAGAGCCTCGGGGAGTCATCAATGATACGAAGTCGGATACTGATAGTTCATATAACTCCATCGCGGAGGGCGTCATCAAGCGCCAGCTTGGACCATTCGGCAAAGGAAAGCAGACATTCCCGTCTGCCGAGCTATTTCTAGCTACTCATAATAAGGATAGTGCTCTGTTGGCCAATAGATGGTCCGATGAGCAGGTTCTAGCCGGACTTCCTGCCACCAAGGTTCAGTACGGCCAATTGTTAGGCATGGCTGACGGGGTGAGTTGTCGACTGTTGCAAATTGGAAATGACGGCGACAACACTGCCGGTCGAGCAGCCCCGGAGGTTTTCAAATGTCTCAGCTGGGGGTCTCTAGGGGACTGTCTGTCTTATTTGCTGCGGCGTGCTGTGGAGAATCGAGACGCGGTTGAGCGCACAAAGGAGGAATATCTCCAGGTCCGGCGAGAGGTTCTTCGTCGGATCCGAAAGAGTATAAAGTGATGTACTGTACCTATTTACCTAGAAATGGATTTATGTCGTAAGCATAGTGCACAATGAAGTCATCATAAGTTCATAATTTTGTCTACCGTGGTCCAACGAAGTATATCTCGGATCGTTTCTGCCGGGGTCGGCATGACGAAGCCGACAGTCTCGCCCACGGCTTGCCGGACCGACTGCCCGAACACAACTTTCTCAATCCACGCAAAGCATCCACGATGGTCGCGGGACACCCCCGATCTGCTAATGCGTAAGTCGATGCTGAATTTCAACCTCTGATAAACATGATTTAACACCGATATCGATTCAGATGTGAATCATGTCGGCGACGCAAGGTGAAATGCTCCGGCGAGCACCCCTGTGGCGCCTGCGTGAAACACAGCTGGGAATGTGTCTTTGGACGTCCCGATCGCAAACGATATTCTGAGGCGTGAGTTATGCATGCATCTTGTTACTCCACTCGGCGACGTACTGACTTTGCTGCAGTCAAGTGAAGCGGTTGTTGAACAAGATTCAATCGTACGAGGAGCAACTTGCTGCTCGGAATCCCGGCGATGAAGCTTCCCCCCGAGGGACTTCGCTACATAACAGTCCAGTCCCAAATTCGAGCCCTGTAAATACCTCACGACAACCACAGCAACCACCGCAACCTCAGCACTCAAGTCCAAGAGACTGTGTGGGAAATGGTCTGCCTCAGTCCCTAGATTGCAGTGATGGCGCTGCCGGTATCAGTCCGGGTAAGAGCATGATATCATCACTCGACAACAACGAAAACCCACTTACAGGAGAACAGCTACAGACTTGACCTCCGGTCCGGCCTTCGAGTCCCAAGTACGGTCACTCTTGACCATGTCTAACCAGCGGACCCCTCGACATGTTGAAAGGGATAGGCAAACGTTTACTGACGATCAGTGGGGCTCACTGGAAACGTTAGCTGACGATGCGGATGGCCCATCTATACCGTCCTTAGAGGCATCACAGCACCTATTAGACAAGTTTCTCTTCTACCTTGGCGTGAGCCAACACTTCTTCGACTCGCGATCTTTCTCAGATTCTATGATTCTGCTCTTCCAATCTCCAGCCACGCGAGAAACACAAAAACGCACACAATGGTATACTGAGTACCTTTTGGTCATGGCGATGGCAAAACTCATGGACGTTGAACAGCCGACATCTCAACCGCCTGGATCCGATCTATTTGCAGAGGCTATCAAACGGTTGCCTCCGTTGCATCAACTCACCAGAGAAGGGGTATTGGCAGTTGAAATCTTGACATTGATCACAACATACCTACAATGGTGTGATCGAAAGCTTGATGCTTATCTTCATGTATGTTATGCTAGTCATTCAGCTAATGCTTGTTTGCCGACCACGACCGTGGCTTATGATTACCAAAAAGATCGGTCTCGCTATAAGGCTATCGATTGCTCTGGGGTGCAATCTACCCGAACACGAACAGAACTGTCTTCCATCCCAAAGTACGCATCGACTAAGACTTTGGTGGACGGTATATATGCTCGATAGGTATACATGATGTCCTTCAACTAGCGATGTGGCTGGGTAGAAACTGATGATCAATCTATGAGCATGCAGACGCTTATCATCGGGCATGGGACTCGCCGCTGGCGCCGATGAGCGACAGCTCCGAGCAGGATTCCCAAAACACGCCGTGGGCTTTCAATCGCCAGTCGCAATGATAATCAACATCAGAATCGCTCGCGTCACCGACGATATCATGTCCTGTGGGATTGAACCTCTGCTCACAAATTATCACAACGTTCAGGCTAACCTACCCAACCAGCGCTCTATGGAAACGCCACGATCACTCAAATCGAACTTGTTAGAAAGGTCCAGGACATCATTCAAGAGTTACATGATATAGGCCGATCATTTCCTCAGTCCCTACTTCTCGATTTCTCGCGCCCGTTGCAAACGGTTTCGCGGACAGGGTCGTCGCTTTATCTAATGCTACTCCAAGTGTGTTCAAAGTCCCGCAAGTTGGGGTTCAATTTTATCTAACATATTCCCCAATGAACAGGCTATTATATTATGCACTCGACCGATGCTCCTACATAAAGTACGAGTGGCAGCACAGGGTCAACAACCGCCCCGACCACCAGAATCCGTCCCGGATAGCTTAGCACGACTCTGCGATACTTGCAACGAGGCAGCAACCAGGAGTCTGGCCATACTATATGCTCTTCGTCTCCAGCAGATTATTCGTTAGTCACCCTCCTCTCTTATAGTCTTTATACTATGCCCTTCCAATTGGCCATACTTCTTGTCTTCTCCCGGTACTTCGACTCGAGCTGACCCCTGTATTCATAGCACGATATGGCTTCTTCGATCTCGACGCCACCTTCTCAGCCGCTTTTGTTCTCGTCATGGTGGGATTCACAAACCCATCACAGAAGAACCCGCCCGCGGCATTAACCCAAGCATTCGATGTCTTGCGGTTTTTGTCTAGATCTGGAAACCTCGCCGCGGAGCAAAGATTTCAAGACATTGCCCAATCATGCTCGCATGTCTGGCCGGATTATACCTTCGATATCGATGCGTCTGATAGGCCAGTAGGTGAAACCGAAGGATCGGCTTCAGAGAGAGCGGGAGAGGGAGAAGGAGGCAACGGTATACCGTCTCATCAACCAGGTCCACCGACACATTATATGTCTGTAGGAGGACAGCCATTCCACCAGGACGAAAGTCGATTCTTTGAACCGTGGAATTACTCTGCTCCGTCAGACGGGGCGTTTGATATGCAGGGTGAATTGGATATAGACTTCGCGGAAGAGGCGGAGGGAATTTATTCCAGTTTCCACCATCCGACGTTGCCGTTGACGGGGGTGGATTATATGGATTGGCTTGAGATTGAGAAATTGTTGAATGCACCAGTGGGGTGATCATTTAATCAGGATTGGTGGGTTGTTGATACTATAACTACAGTTCATTGTTGATTTTTATATGATCACTTGCTGCTTCCGCTGTTAGTGCTGCAAGATGCATTTGAACTTCTAGTGGAGCGTAGCTCTACTAGCTAGTTGCTGTATTTATATAAACGAAGACAGCATAGCCAAACCCCTAACCCTGCTATTCATGTATATTAAGCTAGAACAATATCCGAACATGTCCAAAGAACAAAGTCAACCCTCCTTTACAATATAGTCAATTCAAGTCTTCTTCCAATCGTATTCCTTATTCGTAAGGGGCAGCTCATTTTGTGTGAGTGTATTTCCCCTAGTAGTATGGGAGACTGTATGATTTGTAACCATCTTTATGCTCTTTGAGCTTTATCTCAATATGCACCTATGCATAGCTAGCTAATAACGAATTCCATTATCAAGATGTTATACTCAAAATGTTCATAGCATGCCTATACTATCAAGATTTTGCAGACGAAGTATAGGATCTCCCAACAAGTCACCACATTGTCCATCCCTCTCGACAGCAACATCTACCCACCAGAATCTCTAGCCTGCAAGGCTCCCATCTAATAAATATACCTAAAATTTAAATTCTCTTTATCCGTCAAATCGCTAAACGCCGTCCTCGCCATCTCCGCCTGCCTCACCTCCTCGCCCTCCCCATCCCTCCCAATCCCCTGCAGTCGATCTCGTCTCCGATTCTCCCACGCCAGCGCCATCCTCAACATCACGACCAGGACAATCTCCACAAAATTCGCCACAATCATCGACCAAATCCCCAACGGATACCGCGGCGCCTGGTCCCCCTTATAGAAGAAGGGACCGGCAATGTTCCCCGCACAAACACCCAGGAAGATCATCGCGTTAGTGACGACCTTCTTCGTGTGCCCGGCGATATTGGCCGTTAGGATTGACAGGATGATCACGAAGGAGGCGTTGTAGGAGCCGGTTAGGTAGTAGCAGATGAGGCGGCCGACGCGGTTTGATTCGGGGAGGTAGCAGAGTCCAAAGGAGCCTGCTACATTTGGGAGGAGGAAGAGGATTGTTACGAGGCAGCGGTTGTTGGGGGGGAGGCGGTCGTTAAGCCAGACGCTGAAGAGAATCATGATGGCAATGAATGTGCCGTAGGGGATTTGCATGAGGGTTGTTACCACTGCGGTCCAATCCGATAGGAAAGGAAGGGTTGGTTAGCTTTGATGTTCGACATGGGTGGCTATATAGATAGTAGGTAGGTACGGATTTGATATGAGCAGGCAAGGCAACTTACACGTGGAAAAGCCAAACCCCTGAATAATCAACGTCCCAAAATTCGAGATCCCACCGTTCGGAATGTTCCCCGAGAAACCGAGCAGTAAGAATAACCAGACCTTCCAATCCAGAAACGCCTCCCAGACCTGCGCCAGCTTGAGGGTCTTATTCTCCACACCGGTCTGGTTATCCCGCAGTCGTTCGACAGCAAGGCGCTTTTCTCGGTCCGTTAAGTATCGTGTAGACACGGGGGAATCCGGGAGGAAGAAGATGATTACGATCCCCCAGACCGAGCAGAGGGCTCCGATGATCAGAAACTCGTATTTCCACGATGCCAGGGCACCTTTGATCTGGCCGATGCCGTAGCCTAGAAGACCACCGAGCGCGATGCCGGCACCGTTGGCTGTGTACCAGATGCCGATTCGGATGGGCTGTTGGCGTCGAGTGTACCACATGCTGGTGATGAGCATGAATGCGGGATCGCTGGTTTGAAGTCAGCATGTTTGGTTGGGGGAAAGACAAGGGCTTGGTGGAGTGGATGTAAGTATACCTGCATGCTTCCGCAGCGCCGGATATAACACGCAAAACGGCAAGCTGAGTAAAGTTCTTTGCAACAGCTTGGTAGGCGTCAGCATACATCTTCAGAAGCAAATAAAACTGAGGTGATATACATACCTTGCAACATGAGAAAGAATCCCCAGAGAAAGATATTAAAGCCCAGATATTTACCCACGGGAAACTGCTGCATCAGGAAGTTCGTTGGGAGTGCCCAAACCTATTGATCATAATAGCCATCAGCCTAACAGTCTAATGCAGACCATGAACCTCCCTTCTAGCCAAGACATACCAAAAATCCAAAGTAAAAAACACTCGACAGCCACGAATACTGCTCGCCAGAAAGCCCTAAATCCTCATTAATGCCAAAGATAGCCGCGTACGAGAGGGTTGTTTTATCGATCTTGTATCAATTAGCAAAAGCACTTCTAAAAGAACCCTCAGATGATAATATTAACGCACATAGTAAAATGCATAGCAAACGCTCAGGAAAGGCAAAATCATGAGATCAATCTTGCGAACCAAGCGCTTGTTCTCAACCGGATCGATAGCCCCTTCTAGCTCGTCGAAGTTGTCGAAGAGAGCCAGGGCCATGTCGCCATTGTGCACTTTGCCTGGCTCTGCTGGAACATTCTCAAGATGGGCCGTGCCATGCTTGTCTGTTGATTGCTCGATGGCTGGAGCAGGTGCTGGCGCTGGCGCTGATATTGGGCTGTCGGATTCGACTGTCATCTTTCTAGTAAGTACCAAATAGTTAATGATAGTTACAATGATGGTAAGGTAGGAGATAGATGAAAATCACCAGATAATCGGATTTATCTGGACGGGTAAGCCAGGCATGTCTTGATCTACATGATATGATGTTTTCACCCGCAAAGCATCGAAGGAGGCGTGGGGGCATTCAGAAAACATGGGGAAGTGGCTCATCCCCGCATTCTGTCCGTGGGGGTTGCGACAAGTGATGGATGTTGGATAGTAATGGGGAGGGGGGTGTAGGATCACCCTTATTCGGAGGTTCTCCGTAGTGTTACCGGGGTACATCGCCGTAGGAGAAACGAGTTCATTTAAAAAAGAGGAGAATGCTAGAGATTTGATATGCCAACTTCAATCCAATCATTTGACCTACTCATACCACTCTCTCCGTATCTATATAGCCTGATATAAACACTACCTAGAAAGTCCTACAACGAAGCCCTCAACCTCACATCCACAGCTCTAACCAACGTATGAATCGTCTCCAAAATCGGCGTCTCAACCCCCAACTCCCTCGCCTTCTTCACCGGAAATCCCAGGATCACATCAATCTCCATAGGCCTTTTATTAAGACAGTCCGTCTGCATACTACTCCCGATCCCAGGCATAGCATTAATCTTATCCATCAGACGATCAATCAGCCCGTAGTCCAGGTCCACACCACACTTCCTCCCCACGTCGATGACCTCGCGCATGAGTTTGCGCGTGAGAGGCGTGGCGTCGGGCGAGGAATTCAACCAGCTCTGCGTATCAAGCAGGGTCAATGTCGTTAGGGAATTCCAGGCTACGTTCCACACGACTTTCTCCCAGCGCTGGAGCTGCATGTCTTCGAGGACTTGAAATTTGGTTTGCCCGTGCTGAAGCAGGGCGGCGAAGGTGTCGAGGCGGGATTTTTCGAGGGAGGAGGGGACGGAAGGGTTGGTGAAGAGTCCAATTTGCATGTCTTCGGATTTGGTGTGCGTGATTGTTCCGGGGGTGGATTGGCGGGCTCCGACCCATGTCTTTTGTTCATTTGATATTAGATGGATGGTTAATGCTGAAGGGGAGGGGTTATAACATACCACGCAAGTAATGATAGACGATTGAGGATATGAGTTGCGGAACGCTTCCTCATTCCCCACCCCATTCTGAATGATCACGATGGTCGTGTTCTCGTTAATCGCGGGTTTGAGTCGCGCGGCGACAGATTCCTGATCGATTGCTTTGTGTGCGCAGACGACGTAGTCGAAGGAGCTGGTGACTTCGTCCGGGGACTTGATCACTAGACGACAGGTTAACTTCCCCTGAAACAAAAGCTATAACAGAGCTGACAAGCGGCTAAGCAAGCTCACCATTATGAGGTCGAAAGCGATGCTGGCCATGATTTTCACTTTCGATGAGAAGGCCCTATAATGCTATGGTCAATCCTGTTGCTCGTTCCCAGGCAAGTTGATGCAATGCTGAACATACATTTTCCTTGACAGCGTCGTAATTTGACCGCGCGACCACCGTTAGGCGCACATTTTCAGACCTGTTGAGGATGAAGGCGTAGAAGGAACCTATGCTGTAAATCTATTGAGTTAGGAAGATAGCTCCTGGCGTCGAACCTGTGTACATACGCTCCCAAGCCGTAGAGAAGGACTTCAATTGTGTCACTCATACTGGATGCTGGGCTGTCACAATGTGCATTGGAATTGCTCGGAGAGAGCTATTTAGTAGATTAAATGCTGAATTATAACCCCGATGATGATGATTTTGGATCGGCAGACGACAATGCGGGGTTGAATCGGGGGAAAGGCCGACGAGCGTGGGGGTTCAAATCCTGGGGAATGTGGGATGACAAGCAGGTGCACGGATCTTCAGGGAAAGGAGCTAGTTTCCCCAGGAATTGTAAGTGCGTGGGGGTGAATATGGTGGTATATGGTTGGTATCAAGTGTGTAGCTCTGTAGGATGAATAGTTACAGCAGCACCCATCATAACTTCACGGACCCAACCATAGCCCTCTCCAACCGGGCTGTGTTCAGTAACTGTGGGCCTAGCTCCTCCAACGACTTCACACCCATAAAGACCATGTTGGACTCGATTTCCTGTCTCAGGATCTCAATAGTTCGTCGAACTCCTTCCTCACCGTAGCCGCTCGCAAGTCCATAGAGGAAAGGCCTGCCTAGTCCAACAGCTGTTGCGCCCAATGCGAGTGCCTTGAGTACATCAGTGCCTCGACGGATGCCTCCGTCGATGAAGATCTGCATCTTGCTTTCAAGCAGGTGAGGCGCGTAGCGGCGGATTTCCAGAAGGGTGAGAAGTGGTGGTTGTGCTCTGTTCTTGTCAGCAAGGCTCAAGATCATAACACCGGACTATAGCGTCAACATACGTGTCCTGGGAACGGCCACCATGGTTGGACAAGACAATTCCTTGTACCCCGTTCTCGTATGCGAGAACGGCATCTTCGACGCATTGAATGCCCTTGATGACGATAGGCAGGGAGGTAAGGCCGCGTATCCACGTAAGAATATCCCAGTCGATGAACGGGGAGATAGAGCTTGCCATGGTTTTAGCAACACCCTGCCCCTTGGTAGCTGGGTTGTCCCGAGCCTAGGCAAGTATGTCAATCACTGCACTCAAGCCCACTCCACAAAACAGAATACACACTTGGACCTGTAGATTCAATCTCTCATCCATCTCCCTCTTTCCAACCACCGGCGAATCTACCGTTATCCAGATCGCGCCAGCCCCAGCGGCATCCGCTCTGCGCACCGTGTCCTCCGATTTCTTAATATCCTTATTAACATACAGCTGCGCAAACAGCGGCTGGTCCTCTCGCACGCGAGCCTTCATCACGCTCTCAATGGGAAAACTCGACCCGTTCGCCAGCACCTGAGCCACCCCTTCCTTGCCCGCCGCGGCAGCAAGGGCCCGCTCACCATTCGGATGCGCAAGTTTCGCAATCCCCACCGGACTCATATACACCGGTAACGAGACCGATTTACCCAAGATGGACGTACTCGTGTCCACGGCCCGGATACTTCGCAGGATGCGCGGTCGAAGCGAAATCTTCTGGTAGGCCTTGGCGTTTTGACGCTTGCTGGTCTCGTCGTCCGCGCCGGAGCAGTAGTACGCCCAGGCGTTAGGCGGGAGATGTTTCTGCGCGAGGTGTTCGAAGTCGTAGAGGTTGATGAGGGTCGTCAACGGAGGTGGCGAGTCATCGGTTTGCTTGATTTCGGGTACGTGCTCGTTGGTATTGCTCGATTTGCTCAGGGACCCTGGCTCGAGATGGCCACGAAAGGCAGAAGACGGTAAGGACTGGGCTAGGAGCTCCTGATCATGCACGGAGTCGAAGTCCTCCGTGGCGTCTTTCCCGGCGCAGCGGAGGATGACATGGGGCCCGCCTGGGTGTAAGTCGACGAAATCTAAAGGGATTTAATCAGGAGAGAGATCAAAAGAGATAGGCTAGACGTACCGGTCACATCGTAGACAGATCCATGTATTGCGACCCAACAGGAGTCTTTGCTGTTATGTTTCTGAACTTCGTCGCGAGTCAGCTGCATGACGAGCGGTGGAATGGGAAAGATGATGGAGATACGGGGGATGGCATATTGGTTTTCATTGAATGGACCATAGGAATAAAGGATTGAGAACGATTGCGCTAAATTGCTCCGGGTCCATTTGAGCTTGAGCGTGGGGGTGCTCTTGGGCTGTACGAAGTACGAAGGAGGTGGCCCGGAATCTTTTCCGTAGCCCTCGGCGCCTTCTCCGCGCGCTCACCATCCCAGCCTCCGATGGTGCAGATTGAGCACAATTCTACCTCACTACCCTACGAAGCGACTCATGTCATTGCGAGCTTTGATTGAAATCGTCAAGGAATGTAAATACAATTTCATGGTCTGCAAACAATCCAAGGATCTGGTATCATAATTGCCATAGAGGGGACAAAGAAAGACAAAGAAAAATGAATGAGACACGGTACTAATCACCAAGGCAAGCCAGCCCATGCCTTAAAGCTCTATCAAGCTCTCCTCAGCTGCTGGGCGAGTCTGCGGTGGCGGGTGGTATTGCACGGGGGACGGATGTCCAACAATTGGGGAAACATCCCCAGCAGGGTACGCACCTTGTGGTGCCGGAGTACTCTGCGGATACATAGAAGGTGGCGGACCAGGCGTTTGTTGTTGCTGGTGTTGAGGATAGTAATATGAATGCGCCTGTTGCTCCGGCGGAGCATGTTGAACACCAGGATGACCATTAGGCTGCCCGGGTTGCGAATCTGCTAATTGCATGTAGGCGGCAGACGGCACCTGGTCCATCGAGGGGGGCTGCTCTGGTGCACTTGGAGCAGGAGCACTAGGCGGCCCGCCCTGCTGATAGAGAGAATCGGTTCGTGTTATAGGGGACGGCTGGTAAGAGGCATCCGTGTCGCCCTGACGGGGAACCTGGTACGGGTGTGGAGCTGGCTCTCGCTGAGTAGGAGGCGCATAGAATTGTGCCGGAGCCCCAGGACCAGGATACGCGGCAGGGTTGCTAGGGAATGCCGGGTTGGAGCTTGAAGGCGGAGGGGATGCAATGGGAGCGTTACCACTCCAGGGTTGGTTGTGAGACAGAGGTTGAGATGGGGGTGGGTACACGCCGGGGCTCATAGCGCCGCTTCGCGGTCCGGCCCCTTCAGGATTCACCCTTTCTGATGGATATTGAGGAGCATACGGGGAGTCAGCTAGCCGCGTCTTCTCGGCGACTGGGTTTCCATAGTAAAAGTTTTCGGCCCCCGCCTTACTTTCGGCCGGCGGCGGAGGCATTTGGTAGATATTAGGATATTGCGCAGCAGCGCCAGGAACAGTTCCGTATCCGAGTGTGTGTTGCGAGTATGCACTCGACAGGCGCTCTTCCAACATGCGATCGTAATACCGTACAACAGTAGAGAGTTTAGCATGTAGGTCGAGAAGCGTGTCTAGTAATCATATATGGTCAGCTAGTGCAGAAATTAGGCCTGAGAGTGAAAAGAACGTACCATGTTTACTCATAGTCTCACCATAGCTCCGCGCCAGTTTCGGCCTGAGTGCACCAATGCTCTCGTAAAGTTCCTGTATTTGGGGCTCGCGCAAAATGGTGCCAGGCGGTTGGTGTTGTAGTCGGTCAACGAGTGCGGCAAAGAGGTGGATGTTTTCGACCTCAACAGGACTGAGTTCATATGGATTCTTAGGTAGCTCAGTAGCGACCGGTGCACCTTGAGTCGGGGTCTCTGGGACCCTCGTATTCTTCAAAGCGGCTGCATGTTGCTGCTTATGCTGTTCCATATCACGCAACGAAGCTTCGATGGCCGCCTTCAAATCCGCATCCTCTTCTTCCTCGGTCCTCGACGGTTCGGAGGCCTTGGGCGGCTCAGGCGCCATGTATTGTGACTGCGGAATGTAGCCGCTCGAACCTTTGTTTTGTGCCTCTTCCAAGCTCATCTGCAAAGCCCGGCGCAGATCATCGTCAAACCCGCCTTCCGCCCGAGCCGTACGGGGCTCCATTGAGTTTGATTTCGTGATAGAGTTGTTCTTGAACGCGGATCGATCGGAAAGTGCTCCAGGGGGGAAAGGTTTCGCGGTCAGTTTAGCGTAGCATCCATCGTCGACACGGACAGGCTGCAGGATTCCCAGATGAGGAAGAGGAAGCGTCTTGCTAGAACACTGTGCGTCGAAGACATTACCACAGTTTCGACAGTGGTGTTTGCGATTCATAAAACTGAACGGCGTGCGACATCGCATGCAGACATCAGAGTCAATCCATTCGGGAGGCTTAATGCCAAACAGTATTAGCAGAGGCAACGGGCGCGCGTTTCAAGGAAGGGAGCTTACCGCACTACTCTCTAGCATACTGCCACTCATCTTCGTCTTAGGCGGGAATCGGAACCCTTCCTCCTGTAGTTTCTGATATGTAATGCCAACATAACTTAAATCCATGCGACCTTGAGCCGCCATTGCCCAGTCTTGAATCAGCTCTAGCATCTTGTCTTTCACTTCCGGGTTCAGCGGGGCACCCTCCGTCTTTAACAAGGAGACTAGATTATCCATGAATTCGCGAGACGCAATTTCGGCGAGGAAGTGAGTGCCCCCATTCTTGACACACGTATCTGTTAACTACCGAGATGGCGGTTCCGTCAGTATGTAGATCGACAAGAGGGGAAGGGGGGGGACTTTGCGGAGCGAACCTTCAACGTCGCTAGTTGTATATTGGGATTCTTGTTTTCTAGTCGGCGTTTCAATGATCTCATCGCCTCCTTCGGTTGAACACTCTTCGATCGGATCAGGTCGGAGATTTCGAGATTCAGGGAGATGTCTTCCCTACAGGGTCTGTTAGAATCACTCATAGGATGAATGGAGCTAGCGATCGGCGAGGAACATCGACAACATACAGAGACGATGCGGTCGCCCGCTCGACCTGTTCATCGAGCGGCGACGCCGAGGAGAACCATCCCGCCATGACGACGGTGATAAAATGGCAGGATCGCGCAATTGACGGACTTGACGAAACACGGGTCACAGGTACCCTATGACGTTGGGTAGCGGGCGGAAAGAGGGGATGAGAGAAGAGACGCGTTCCAACGGCAGCAAAAAAGAAAGGAAGAGTACTGAGGCAGATGTAAGCGGAAAGCAAGAAGAAGTCTATGTGGTGGGAGGACAAGGTATGCAAGAGGACGGGAGAAGGAAAGGTCGGGTGTTTGATGTCAAGTCAAGTAAGCTCTCCAGGCAGGCAGATCCATCCATAACCTCGCCGTAACCGCCAGTCTTGGCGTCCACTACTAGGGCTGAGTCATCCGCCAGGCCCCAGGCATCATGTTCCCCTCCCGGCGGTGAGGGGATTCTGCCGGGGTACGTAACTGACTTTGGTCCTGAATGCCTGAATGCCTGAATCCCTTAATGTTGTTCCCCGGAATCGCTGCATCCCGCGCTTCATCATCCCCGATTGTTGTTCCTGCAATCTGTCTGCCTGCTGGTCTGGCACGCCCCCCTTCCGTCTACCTGACCTCTTCGGGTCGCTTTCTCTTTGATGTTACTTTTTCTTCTCCTTTTCACGTCTATTTGGGGGGACATTTTCGATCCGAGTCCTTAGGCACCGTCCCTCTACTTAGTTCCGCAGCCACCTCCGAGCACTTGCGGCCATCCCTCCGCCGACCACACTCCGAAACCTGCTGGGTCATGCGTTGAGACACTTCCCATCTCAGTCGTTGCAGAATGTCCTCGAATGCAGCGGCTCTGCCTTCGCCTCCCGAATTTCCACCCTGGGAAAAGACACCTCGTCCTCACTCAATCGGGGGGGTGTATTCGGGCGGTCAAGGGCACATTGGCCGAACTGCTGGCGCTCTTCAGAACAACGGCCCCTCTGCTCCACATGGTGCTCGATCCCCGCGGTTCCCTAGCATAAAAGACCTTCAAGATGAAGCCGCTGCCCTAGACGTGAACGAATCTTCGTCGGTAAGCCTTCCTGACCGTGACCACAATTGGCGAGTTGTCCACCTTATCACTGGCTAACTATCGTCTATTCGTCTAGCTGGATGATTTACTGAGTCGAGCCCAGGAGGCAATTCAGCAAGCCAGGAGTTTCGCCGACAACGATCAGCCCGACACAGCCTACGTCCAATACCTTCGCGCCTCCGAGATCACCGTCAACATTATCCCGCATCATGCAGACTACCGAGTCACTATAAGCCAGCGTCCTCGGTGGTATAAACAGTTCGCAAATTTGATGATGGTATGATTTCCGGCGGGGCGCCTGAGCTCCTGGATTCCCACTTTTTGGTTTTACATAATTTATTGTCTATCTTGTTTTTCTGCCTTTTACCTTCTTGGGTCGATCTTTCGGATTGTCTAACTAGACTCTAGGCTGTGCGAACGAAGCAAGGGACAATGGATGACATCAAGCGACAGATCCTAGAGGATAATTTTATCAATAACGTACAGCCCTCCGGTACACCCAAGCACAGTTCTCCGAGACCGGTCTCTGAAATACTGCCTGCTGGGACTTTTCGAAGCTCAAGCCCGAGAGGCCGCCGGAACGACTCGGGAGATAATTCAGTACGGATGCCCAGTCCCACGGAGTTCCAGCGGTCGCTCGATACAAACATGAATAGATTTTCAAGCCCTCCAGAAGATATGCTAGCACAGAGGTTTGCCAAATTGAGAGCCTCACCTCCCACGACAAATGGTTTAGATTCGGTCATCAACGGTCAAAACGGGACCATTTCCATGCCGCTCCAAGAAAACACCGACCATCACTCTTCTCGACCATCTTCTTACGTTCCCCCACGGTCACAGCAAACCTCCGCACTTAGTTCACCTTCGCGACGTCCCCTAGGCCCTCGCAGCATGGGTGCTCCTCACGGTGCACCGACTCTACCTCCGAAGCTCCCCCTCAATACGTCATTGCCTCGAGCTCCAGATCCTACTTATAGTCCTATTTGGTCGGTGCCGTCGCAGCCACCTTCGAACCCCCCTAGGACCTCTACGGAGAGCTCACGCCCCGTTAACCCGAGATACTCTCAATTTTCCAACTCGCCTCGCGGAAGTCCGAGTCGGAACGGATTTGACGACAACCCTTACAGATCACGCACCCCGAACGGGATCCACCAAATGAAGGAGGCTCGGAGCAGCACCGCAGACATTCCACACACTCCCACTATCAGCGCTCAAGATTTACTTGAGTATCTCCGACGGTATAATATCTTGTTGATCGATGTACGCTCGCGCGACCAGTACGACGAGGGCCATATATTTGCCAAGTCCATTATCTGCATTGAACCGGTGGCGCTGAACGAGAATGTGTCTGCAGACGACCTCGAGGAGCGGCTGGTAGTATCTCCCGAGCAGGAACAGTCTTTGTTCGAGCGACGCAACGAATTTGACATGGTTGTTTACTATGATCAAAATACGGGCTCTGTCAGTTACTTGGCAGGATCGCCTGTTGGGACAACGGCGCCTCATCTACGGGCGCTGCATGACACCCTCTATGAGTTCAATCCTTATAAGGCTTTGAAGGATGGGCGGCCGCCGGCGCTTCTTCTGGGTGGCCTCGATGCGTGGGTTGACCTTCTTGGACAACAATCCCTTGTCACATCTAACACTGCCGTTGCCATGGGATCGATTCAAGATAGGCGGAAAACCGGGAGACCACTTGGAAGGAAGCCGACAATAGCGAGTGCCAATTCCAGCTTGGAAGTGAGGAAAAGGCGGCTTCGCGAATACAAGCCACTGAACCCCGAAGAGCTGACGGAATGGATGGAGAAATCCAAGAACGAAGAGATTGATACCAGCACGTATGTTGGAGAAGGTGAACTTACCGAGGAACCGGAGGACGAGGTACAGGAAGAGCAGCCACCTTCGCCATTCGTGCACACTTACGAGGACTTTTTGCGCCGCTTTCCAGAGCCACACACCGTTCAGGAATCCATGGTGGCACCGCACTCTCGAAAACCAGTCCCGACCGCGCCCAACTATGCAGCTCCCGTTCCCGTAGCGCCTTCGCGTCCTCCGCCCGCAGTTCCCCGTCCCAGCTATAGCGGAGTATCGGATGGTCGACAGATCCAGCCAACGCTAGAGCGGCAAAACTCTGCCACTAAAACCGCGCTGTACACGACGAACTCGATCTTGAATCGCATCAAACTTCCTCGGACGGGGTTGACGAACTTCGGGGTTACCTGCTATATGAACTCAACGATTCAGTGTCTGAGCGCGACGCTCATACTGAGTAAGTTCTTCATCGACGATCGCTTTCGGTTCTACGTGCAGAAGAATTGGAAAGGCTCTCAGGGAGTCATGCCAGGCCTGTTCGCGAACCTGATCCGGTCTCTGTGGAAAAACGACGTGGAGGTAATTATGCCGACCTCTTTCAGGAACTTCTGCGGGCGTCTGAATCAAGAGTGGGCCATCGACCGGCAGCAAGACGCCAAGGAGTTTTTTGACTTTGTGGTTGATTGTCTCCATGAGGACCTCAACATCAATTGGCAGAGGACGCCTCTGCGACCATTGACTTTCAGCGAGGAAGTACAGCGGGAGAGAATGCCGGTGTCCAAGGTCTCGCGGATTGAATGGGACCGGTATTGCCATCGCGAGGAGTCGTTCATCTCGTCGCTCTTCGCGGGACAGCACGCCAGTCGCCTGCGATGCACGACCTGCCAGCGAACGTCGACCACGTACGAAGCGTTCTACAGCATCAGCGTGGAGATCCCTCCGTCCGGAACGGGTGACGTCTACCAGTGCCTTCGAAGCTATTGTCAGGAGGAATTGTTGAGCGGCGACGAGGTGTGGAAGTGCCCGTACTGCAAGTGTGAGCGAGTTGCGACCAAACAGATTATCATCACGCGGGCCCCGCAGATTCTCGTGGTTCACTTCAAGCGGTTTTCGGCCTCGAAGACGCACAGCGCCCGAAAGATCCACACGCCCATCGAGTTTCCCTTGCACGGCCTTCGGATGGACGATTTCGTATTTGCGCCGTCGAACCCGGGGCCATCGGCAGATCCGAGGGCACCTGCGCGACCGGAGATGATCTCAGCCACGGCGCCGCCGTTCACGTACGATGCATACGGGGTGCTCCGCCATATCGGGTCGTCGATGGGGAGCGGGCATTATATATCGCTCGTCCGCGATGCGCAGCGGCAATGTTGGCGCCGATTCGATGATCACCGGGTAACGGACTTTAATCCTCGAGATCTCCACTATAAGGATCGACTGCAGAACGAGCAAGCATACATTGTATTTTACGAGCGAGTCCCGGCCAAGTGAGGGAGGAGGCACCGTTGTATCCGGGATTTTGCATGATTTTTCTTTTCCTATCTTTTGTATTGCTTGTTTTTTTTCCCCCATTTGTTTCGCATGACCACCAGCACGTGACACGAGCATGTAACGAACTCTTTCTGATTCTGTGAGATTAGCATGGCGAGTCATTTCCAGCGAGTTCCGATGACTGTATATAGATAGAGAAAGAGCCAGCCTCTGTTTGGATGAGATTGAATAGTGATCCACCCGTCTACTCCATACTCCATAGTGCAGAAGAATAAGGTATTTTCGTCCGCCTGCGGGGCAACTGGCAGACCGACTCGGGCAGTGAATCCCGACAACGTTACCCGGCGGATCAGCCCCCGAGGTTACCTGGACGGTTATCTGCTGTCCGGCCCTGGGAGGGGGCAGTTGGTGGTACACTCGGGGTAAGCGCATCTACTCCGGAGTGTATAGATCTATGAGGCAGACCTCCTCATAGTCAGCACACAGGTGACCGCAGGCAGCAGGACACTACTCCGTAGCACGGTGGACCCGAGTCGGCGAAGTTAATGAGATCACCGTGACTGAAAGGGGCAATCTTATCCTGTTCACAAGATCCGAGGTCAAGAGTCGTCGGTTGGGGAAGCCCAACGGGGTAACTGGGGGCCTCAGGCACAAGATGACTCAGCCCGGTAATAAGCGAGCCGTGATTGGCCCGTCGCCATCCGGCCACTTTGGCGATTTCTACAGAGAGTGAATCTCTAGACTCTAGAGTACAGGGTATAAGGTGTAGAGTGTAGACGATAGACAATAGACAAAGGACGATCGACTGTCAGGTCGACAGAGGCCGACTGACCGAGGATAACCTCAGGCAACGAGCACCGGAAGAGCATCGCGGCAGCTCCGATCCTCAGGCGGAATCACCCGTCGAATCACGTTGCTTGCATGTCGCTCCTTCCCTTTTCTATTTCTCCTCCTCTCTCCTCTTTCCTTCTCTCCCTCTTCTGCTTCCCTTCCATCTCGCCTCGGTTCATCCCTCGTCGCAATTGCTGTTAGACATTCCCCCTTGTCGTCCTCGTTCGCGATCTCTATTGTCAATCCTACCTCCTGATCGATCACCTCCTTTCTCGGTAAGTCAATAAACTCTCGGGCTCGCTCCTTTCGCATTCCCCGGCTGGCTGTCATCATATCATGCCTGCAATTCCCATGTGCAAATTCCCTCCTCGATCGGAGAGGATAACGTCATCATTAATACCGCTCTTTTCCCGTCTACCATCTACCGGCGTTGTCTGTCCTGGACGGTGTGAAGGTGTAACCGTCGGAACTGGTTCCCTGCGCCGCTTATCCCTCTCCTTGCAGACACTCTTGCTCATCCACTCACACGCTGTCCTATTCTCCAACCCCTCCGTCATCAATTCAACCACTTTTGACCTATCTGTCCAAGCTAACCCTTCTACTTTCTCTCCCATTATCTAGACTCCGAATCCATCATCATGTCTGCCAACAAGGAACTCACCTTCCAGGAGGTTGCTGAGCACAACACCAAGAAGGACCTCTACCTCATCGTGCACGACAAGGTCTACGACTGCACCTCTTTCGTTGACGAGCACCCGTACGTTATCCTGGCACAAAAGTCTCCTCTGTGGCCCCCGACAGAACAATAGAGAAAATGAATTAGGGGATCGTTTTCTGTACCAAGACTAACAACCAATTCCAGCGGTGGTGAGGAGGTTCTTCTCGACGTCGGCGGTCAGGACAGCACGGAGGCTTTCGAGGATGTCGGGCACAGTGACGAGGCCCGCGAGATCTTGGATGGTCTGTACGTCGGTGACCTGAAGCGCATGGTATGTTTTCAATCCCTTCCCATATGCTGTAATTGCGATGCGGATCAGAAAAGCTAATCCCCGTACGTCCCTCTAGCCCGGCGACCCCGCTCCCAAGGCCCATGCCCAGCCTGCTGCCTCCTCCGGCTCCAGCGATTCGTCCGGTCTCGGTGTCGGTCTCTATGCTTTCCTCTTGGTCGGTGGTGCCATCGCCTACGGTGCCTACCAGTACCTGCAGAAGTCCGCTGAGGCGCAGTAAATGAAGCCGACGAATGAAAACAAAACAAAAATTCTGAAGAATAAAGAATGATCGAATTTCTTTGAGCCCTTTTTTAATGTGAACATCTTCGTTGTTGTCGTTCTTACACCGGGGGATTTTGTCAGGTGATATCCACTGCAGATATTTATGGTGTTGATCTTTGTTCTGTTTCTGTCAGATCTTTCGCAAGATATTCGCGAGAAAGACCAAGAATTTCTGTTTTGGACACGATGGATATCTACCTTTCTTACTTCTCGCTACCCGATTGTCTTCTACTACCTTCCTAGTCACTTTTTTACGACTTACTTTCTATGGCAATTTCTAATAGACCGCGTTCCTTCTATATCAGACCTTTCTGATCCTTAAAAGAAAGTTGCATATTTGTAGAGCTTACAGTGCGACCTCAGATATGAATCCATATCCAGCATCATGACCAAATTGTGCAGATCGAAAAGTTAGGTTGAAAAGCCAAGATGTTCCTCTTGAGTTATAAAGCACGGTTAAATCACAAAGATAACCAAGTCGGGAAAAGACAAAATAAATAAACAAACGTTGCCTCTGATGCTAAGTAGTAAATGTAGAGATAGAGAGATAGAGAGAGCTATACAACAGTCTTTTTTATTCAACAAACCGCAATAAAGCAAATATGAGAAGAGAATAATTCTGAGCAGGATGCTTGACCAAAAAATAAAAAGTAGATAAGGTAGATATATAGATAGATATGAAGAGGGAGATCAGGGTTTTTTCCCAATCCAAGATGATATAAAATGAAAAGGACAAAGTAGAAAAAAAAATCATTATAAACGCATCTTTTCTTGCTTCACCACCACCACCACCCTATATTTCAGTTCATCGGGGTTCTTTTTTATACCTTTTACCGGGAGTTACCCTCCAGGCCGGCACGGACAGCCTCCAGGATCATATCCTTGGCTTGTTCGAGGTTGTCCTTACCGCCCTTGATTTCGATGGCCTCGCCCTTGGCCTGGTCCTTGGGGACGTTGATGCGGCAACCGGTCTGTTTCCGGATAGCGTTAATCTGGCTGCCGCCCTGGCCGACGACGAAGCGGTAGGTCTTGGGGTCGGGGAGAATGAGGTAGCCGGTGGCGGACTGCTGCGAGGCGGCGGCGATCGCCTTCTCGAGGGCGGCCTTGGCGCGGGTGACGTTGTCGCTGGTACCCGCGAGCACCCAGGGGATGGTGGCGGGCTGGGTCGGGTCGGCGGTGGCCGGGGGGCTGTTGTCGACGACCTTCCACGAGTGAGCTTCGACGGACTCGCTGGGCTCGTCGGTGATCAGGGGCATGGAAGAGCCGCCGCCGTTGACTGCGGCGCGCGAGTCCTCGACGACGGGCTTGGCGGGCACCTGCTGGCCGGCGTGGTCGACGGTGACCTTGTAGTCGTTGCGGAGACGACGGAAGAAGGCGCCGTTGTCGGAGACGGCATGGTGGAGGTGACGAGGCACGTCGACCTTCTCACCCTGTTGGTCCTTGAGCATGGCGAGGATGTGCTCCTTCGCATCGCCGACGGCGTTGCTGGGGCCCTTGATCTTGATCTCGGTGCGCCCGGAGCCTTGCTTGGGGATGTCAAGGGTGATGTTGAACTTCGATTCGATGTCCCGGCGGGTGTCACCGCCACGACCGATCAGGAGTCGGTGCTGGATCTGGGGAACGTCAAGGCTGACAGTCACCTGGTCCTCGCGCTCTCTGACGAATTCCTCAATAGCAGCGATGATGTTGTCAACAAGCGGGCCCTCGCCTTCAAGCTTGATCGCTGTGTCACTGCTCTCCGGGCGGGGGAATCGGACGATACGAGAGGCGCTGCCGTCAGTAGGACCGCCAGCGTCGGAAACGATCTTGCGAATGTTGGCACCTGGTTCAGAGTTAGCATGTGCTCGGACAAGGAGGCAGATCTTTCATGGCGTCGTCAATAACTCACCTCCACCGCCAATGAGGGACTTGTGGTGCTTCTTGTCGACCTCAACAGTCTTGGTCACGATGGCATCGAACTGGTTAGAACGTTGCTGCAGGATCTTCTTGGCCTCCTCGACCTGCTTCTTGGTACCCTTGATCTTGATTTGAACGCGGCCCGAGGCGTCGGGCGCATCGTTCACACCGGGGACATCGATTTGAGCCTCGGTATCAGCCCGGAGCTTGTCCATCTCTCGGCCGCGCTGGCCGATCAGAGAGGGAATCTGCGACTGGGCCACGGACACGGTGGCCGAGAAAGAATGGTCAATCACCCACTGCAACAGACTGAGGATCTCATCGCGAGCAGAGTCAGCACCCTTGCTGGGACCCTTCACAAGGACTTCGTCAGCAGCCTGTTGGGGACGGCTGGGGCGTCCCGCCTCGCTAGAGGTCTCGTCGTCAGCCACGGCTGCCCGAGGGAACTGGACGCGGACAGCATAGCGGTCCTGGAGCCGGTTAACCTGGCTTCCCTTCTGTCCAATCAGTTCACGATGGTATTGGGCAGGGATCTTGAGAATGTGAGTCGTCTCGTCTTCCAGCTTCTTGCCCAAGTTGATGATTCTCATCCTGGCAGCATCGGCCTTGGCCTTGGGGCCCTTCACCTCAACCTTGCCATTTTCCACCTTGATGTCAACGTCGAATTCTTCGCGCAACTTGTTGATGTTTTCGCCCTTCTTGCCGATGAGGAAGTTGGCATACTTCTGGGGGAAGTCGAACGTCGTAGTGTAGCCGCGCTCGAGGTCGTCCTTCTCCTGCTCCACGACGAATGCTTGCAGGGCGGAGATCAGGTCTCCCACGGTGCCAGAAGGACCGCGCAGGGACACCTCGCAGTCCCGAGCGCCCTTCGCGTCACCGACAATGGCGCGAACGGGGATCTGGTCTTCACCCTTGGCCTGCTGGTCACGAGCGATGAATTTGCTCACCTTGTCCTGATACTTACCCGGGACGTTGACAGACTTGGCCACCACATCATTCTGG